CATCATGGACAGCTCTCCCGCCTCGCCTTTGGCCCCCAGGGATCCCAGCTCCCCTGAATCTTCGATCGGCGAACAAATCGCCACTCTACAGGCCCAGCTTGCCGCTCTGCAGGCCTCGCAACCCGCCGCCGCCGCAGCCGCCGCACCCCCGGCCGTCACCGTCGTGCCGGGGAACGCCGCCACCGCATCCAAGGTCGTGTTTCCCAAGCACGCTCGTCTGGACGGCCCCAAGTCGTTCACCAACTGGTTGCGTCAACTCCGTCTTGCACTCCCGAACCAGGTTCGTGGTTACGTTCTCGACGGTGTCGTTCCCCCGACCTGGACCGCCGACCAGCTTGCCGCACGTGACGACGCCGCCCGGGAAATCATCGTTGGCTCTATCGACTCCGCCGACGTATCGGCCACCCTCGACGCCATCCCCAGCGACGACCTGTCGGCACCGCGCATCTTTGCCGCTCTCAAGGCTCGTTTTGCACCGGACGACGCTACACGCACTCTCGAGTTGTTCGCTCGCCTTTGGGACTTCAGGAAGATGCCTGCCTCCGTCGAGGCCTACGACACTTGGCTACGCGAGTACATGTCGATTGCTCAGGAAATACGCGACGCCAAAACATCGCTCAACGACGTGCTCGCCACCCACGTGCTCGCCATGGTCCCGTCTTGCCTCGACAGCTTCCGACTCACGTTCACGGACGAGCAGCGAAACCGACGCGACCTTCCCGAACTCACGACGCTTACGGACCGCATTCGCATCCAGCTTCGTTCGGCAGGACTCTCGACCTCGCATTCGGCCATGCTTGCCACCAGCTCCCCCTGCCCCGCCTGCCGCGCTCCCGGTCACCGCCTGCGCGACTGCACTTCACGTGCGAAGCACCCGCCCACCGGCCCCTGCCGCCGATGCCACAAGAAAGGTCACTGGGCACTCGACTGCAAGAACCGGGGTGAACAGGCACGTAGCAGCGACGACACCCAGGACGACACGTCTTCCTCCGCGGCCTCGCAACCGAACGTCGGCTATTTCGCCTCCTGTCTCTTCGCTCGTCGCCAACTCCCAACTGACGCCTTTGTAGTCGATTCGGGTGCCACGACACACATGGTCGCCGACCGATCTCTATTCACGACTTATCGTCAGACGGCACACACCAAGATCGGCGGCATCGCGGGCGGCATCACGGCTATCGGCATGGGGGACGTGGCATTCGTCGCCAAGACTGGACACCCGATCACGCTCCGTGGTGTTCTTCACACGCCTGGCCTACACGTCAACCTCCTCTCTGTCTCTCGCCTCTGCGACACCGACCGCGTTCGTCTCGCCTTCACCAGCGACGGCATCGACATCGCCAAGGACGGCCGGGCCATTGCTCACGGTACCAGGGTCAACGACGGTCTTTACCTTTTGGACGCGGATCACACCAAGTGTCAGCATCTTGCCTTCCTCTCACGCTCTGAGTCTCCCGTGCCCCTGCTTACCCTACACCGCTGCCTCGGCCATCTTGCCCCATCCTCTATACAGAAGATGATTGCTGCAGGTTTGCTGGACGGGTTTGGGGCCGGGTACAGTGACAAAGACGTAGAGGAGTTTGTTTGCAATGCTTGCCTTGGTTCCAAAGGTCACCGCCTTCCCTTTCCCGACTCTGAGTCGCATTCCGCCGAGAGACTTGGCCTCGTGCACAGCGACGTCCTGTCGTTCCCCACTCCGTCCTTGACCGGGAAGCGCTACCTTGTCACGTTTCTAGACGACCACTCTCGCAAACTCTGGGCATATGCGATCGATCACAAAAGCGATGTTTTCCCGACCTTCCAGACTTGGCTCGCCGAAGTGGAGTTAGAGACGAACGCGCGGTTGAGGATCCTTCGAACCGACAATGGCGGGGAGTACCGATCAAACGCATTCACGGAGTTCTGCAAATCCAAGGGCATTCGTCGTCAATACTCTATCCCTTACACGCCTCAACAAAACGGTCGCGCCGAACGTGTCAACCTCTCCATCGTCGAGGGCGTCCTCGCTCTCCTTGCGGACGCCCGTCTGCCGGCCACCTTTTGGGATGAAGCGGCTGCGTATTTCGTTTATTGCAAAAACAGGTGCTCACACTCAGCTTTGGCCAAACAGACTCCAGAATCCGTTTGGAACGGCCAACGCACCACCGCCACCGCCCTCCACCCGTTCGGCTGCACAGCCTGGCTCACGGTCGCCCCGGACCTTCGCAGCAAGCTCGACCCCAAGGCCGCGCGCGTGATCTTCACAGGTTACGACCTCGCCTCCAAAGCTTTCCGTTTCTTTGACCATTCCATCAACAAGATTGTACTTGGTCGCAATGCCACCTTCCTCGACGACGACTTCCCCGGCCTGCCAGTCACCACGCCCGTCGATGCAGACGACACCGACCGTCAGTTCGTCGTTCCCGCCGACACGCCCGCCCCTGCCGTCAAGACGAGGACCCCACTAGTAAGGTCGGCGCACATGGACGTCTCATCCTCCCTTGATGATTCTGCCATGAGCGCCGTTGACGTGGCCCCAGGGTACACTGGCGGAACCTTACTTAATTCCACAGATACCGAATCGTCCTCGTCACCGTCTCCTGAGCCGTCCTCGTCACCGTCGCCCACAAACCCTTTGTCACCGTCGCCTGCGCTGTCACCGTCGTTGGCAGCGTCATCGTCACCCTCGGTCTCACCGACCGACTCTGACTACTCCGCCGACCCTCTGGACCTCATCGGCTCACAGACCCCGACTCGCCTTGGCCCACCGGACGTGCACCGCCCAGACTTCAGCACGTACCGTGAGCCCGCATCGGCTGAGGAGTCGCCCGACGAACTCGACATCATTGGGCGTCACTCGCGCGATGAATCGCCGGATGAAATCGATTTCCTCACCCAACACCACCGCGCCTTCATCGCCACAGACGACGACGACCCCACCCTCGACGCCATCGAGCCCGTCAAATCGATCACTAGCGACCCCCAGACCTGGCGCGAAGCAATGTCCAGCGACGAGCACAACATCTGGGCTGAGGCCGCCGCCGCCGAGTTCACCGCCATGCGCGACGACTTCAAGGTGTTCACCATCGAGCCTCGCTCATCTGTACCGCCGGGCGCCACCATCGTCACCTCCAAATTCGTCTGGAAGACCAAGCGCAACGCAAGCGGTGAAGTCACGGGGCGGAAGGCACGTCTTGTAGCGCAGGGTAACCGACAGCGCGACGGCATCGACTTCTCAGAAACCTTCGCACCCGTCGCCCGTTTCTCCTCCATTCGCTGCCTCCTGGCTCTTGCCGCTGCCAATGGCTACCACGTTCATCAGGCCGACATCGACAAGGCTTACCTCCACGGCGAGCTCGATCATGATATCTGGATGACGACACCACGCGGTTTCGACTTCCCAAGCGATAAGGTTCTCCGGCTGCGACGCTCAATCTACGGTCTCAAGCAGGCCGGTCGCATCTGGAATCGTCACATTGACACATCACTCAGGAATCTGGGGTACAAGGCAACAGGCACTGATCACTGCATTTACTCTCGCATTGACGATCAGCAGAGGCCTCACTATATCGCCTTGTATGTTGACGACCTCCTCATTGTCAGTCCAGCCCTCGACGAGATCGAACGTGTCATCTCCGGCCTTGAACAGCGGTACGGCGTCAAACGACTCGGCCCCGCGGAGTACATCCTCGGAATCCAAATACGCCGCCTGGACGACGGTTCCATTGCTCTATCCCAGGAGCGCTACATCATGGACGTGCTGGCCCGTTTCCACTTCGACACCACGACACGCGGCACTACGGTGCCGATGACGCCCGGCCTCTCGCTCACGGCAATTCCGGGTCAGGGAACGGAGCGCATTCGTTCGTGGTACCTACAGGCCATCGGCTCCCTCCTCTACATCTCCCTTGGCACTCGACCCGACATTGCCTTCGCCGTCTCGTACCTGTCCCGGTTCGCCAACAACCCCGGCCGCCGCCATTGGATTGCCGTCAAACACGTCCTTCGCTACCTTCGCGCCACGTACCGCGATGAGCTTCTCTATGCCCGCGGCCCAGCAAAAGTCACGGGTGTGGTTGGTTATTCTGATGCGAACTGGGGCGCCTGCGTCGACACATCCATTTCAACGATGGGCTACGTATTTTACTTGGCAGGCGCCGCTGTCTCTTGGTCGTCGAAGCGTCAGACTCGGGTAGCGGATTCCACCACTGATGCCGAGTACCTGGCCTTGTCGCACGCGGGTAAGGAAGCGATCTACCTTAACCAACTCCTCTCCGAGCTCCACGTTTGCCCAATCGCTGCAGCTCACATCTTCACCGACAACGAGGCCGCGGCCGCCGTCGCTCACGACCCCGTTCGCACCTCCGGCACCCGGCACATTCGCCTCCGCGAGCATTTTGTCCGTGACATGGTCAATCGAGGTGATATCTCTCTCTCACACGTTGGCACAGCAGACATGGTTGCGGACGTATTCACCAAAGCGCTAGGCCCCAAGATTTTTGGTACACATTGCTATGCTCTAGGCCTCCGGACGCGACATCCACGGCTCAAGTCTACCTCGCGTTCGCGTGGGGGGGGGTGTGAGGAATCCACTCTCCGCTCGGCTCAGGACTTAGGCGCGCGGAGCGAACCGGGCGCGGACTTAGGCGCGCGGAGTGAGCCGGGCGCCCCGGCCCAGGACTTAGGCGCGCGAAGCGAGCCTGGGACTTAGGCGCGCGGAGCGAGCCTGGGCCATTGGCTCAGCCCCAGGCTCGCTGGCTGTGGACTTGGGGCGCGCGGGTCTCTTATTGTTAGCTTCCTATTCATCACTCTTGGCTATAACTACATCGCTGACGTAGTAGAGTTGATCGAATAGGTATGTTGAAATGGATTCATCACTCTTGGCTATAACTACATCGCTGAGGCTGTGGACTTGGGGCGCGCGGGTCTCTTATTGTTAGCTTCCTATTCATCACTCTTGGCTATAACTACATCGCTGAGGCTGTGGACTTGGGGCGCGCGGGTCTCTTATTGTTAGCTTCCTATTCATCACTCTTGGCTATAACTACATCGCTGACGTAGTAGAGTTGATCGAATAGGTATGTTGAAATGGATTCATCACTCTTGGCTATAACTACATCGCTGACGTAGTAGAGTTGATCGAATACTGGTGACTAAGTGGAGGCATTGGCTCAGCAAGACTGGAGGGCAGACGGCCAGAGTCCCGGCGTGGAGGCGGCGGCGCGCGGGCGTGAGTTGAGCAGGCCGGCGCGAGGCAGGAGGGCGACGGCTTGGCTGCGAAGGCGAAGGCGCCGAGGTGAAAATGGGGCGGCGGCTTGGCTGCGAAGGCAAAGGCGCCGAGGCGAAAATGGGCGGACCTGACAACGGCGGCCCAAGGTTGAAGTGTTCGAACGCTTGTAGTAGAATGAAATTCAACACCCCCCCTCGTTCGAACGCTTCCAGAAGAGCACGAAGGGAGGTTGGGATAGGTAGTGTAATCGACGACGTAGTGACCGGTGTAGGGGGACCTGAGCGGATGGAGGGAGCGAGGGACTTTACCAATTCTGACCGGCGCTTGTGGAAGGCTCTGGGAAATCTTGGAACCTCGAGACTGTTGCTACGACGGGTTCATCCTCCGGTTGATCTGTGTTTCGAGTCGCGAATTGCTGTTGTTGTTGGTTGCGCCGGTCAATGTAACGTTGTCGCGCTTCGTCATCGGGGCAGTCGCGGACGCGGTGCAAGCCGGTCTTGCAGGCGGGACAGAGGTAACGAGCCGGTGGTAGTTTCGGTTTGGACGAAGATGATGACGGTGAAGGTGTTGCAGCAAACGCGGTCAAAGTCGAGCTGGCATTGCGAGTGTCGTGGTGATTCTTGACCTGTTTGTGCGCAAGGGCCATTAAGTTTGACGGTGTTGGGAGCTGGTCGGTGTTGTGCAATTCCATGTACTGCCGGAATGCGTCGAGTTCGTCGGGGATAAGAGTGAGGGCTCGAGCCGTGATGACGTCGGTAATCGTGATTTGGGCGGACTCGAGGCAGTTCGATTGGTCGAGGAATTCGGTCATCCATTCGACGAAGCCCTTCTCCTCGATGGGGGCGCGCGGAATGTTGAAGAATGAGTGGAGCAGACGGAGTGTAGACTGTGATGACGTCGGGTTGTACTCTCGGTCGAGGTGTTCGTAATAGGCCCGGGCGCGTTCGTGCGTCGAGGCGACGGTGAGAAGGGACTTGCGAACATTACCGGCAACACCGTCGGAGACTTGGCGGACAGCAAATATTTCGACATTTTCACGGTCGATGGCATCGGCACGGTCGGGTAGAGTTCCGGTGGTGATGTACGTGTAAATTGTCGCGCCAACTCGGTCTTGCAGCGTGCGGTCCCAGATTCGGAAGGTCCCAACGTCAGAGAGCAGAGCGTCGGCCGGCCAGGTTGAAAGGTGGCGGGGAATATCGATGTTGTGAAGCGGCTTGCGATCTGGGGTGGGGGACATGGAGAATTCCCGTAGACGACGTTGTACCTCCAGGTGGATGCGCTCATCGATGCGGGCAGCCAGGGAGTCGTCGACGTGGGCGGAGCTCGACATCGTGCCGTCGGTTGCGTCGGGTGGTTCGGTGTGATCGGGTGCGGCCGGGATGGTGGCAGGCAACGTCCTCTTCAGAAGACGTTGACTACACGCGGAGGAGGGGATCAGGCCGAAGGAAGGTCGACTGGGCGGGGGCAGGCGACCGAGGGACAACCGAGGAGGGGACGCGGTTGTGAGGCTCGCAGCAAGTCAAGTATATCGGACTTTATTGCCAACGAGATCGAAAACGAAGGATGAAGGTGAAGGGATCTTCGGAGATGTGGCGGACCAGGCTGAGTGGGAAGGTGCTAAAAACAAAAGGGAGGCACTCAGGCGCAGAGGGGACTTAGCCAATTCAGCTACTCCAAGAGGTCGCCTCAGGGGGAAAAAGGATTGCTCGCGGGAGCACCGGTAAAAACCCTGAGGCCGCGCCTCAGCTAACAAAAAGAACAAAAACCGAGAGAAGATTGCGCTCTGCGCGCCTTGAACCCGCGACCATTAAGTGCGCGCCCGCGCGCCGAACGACTACGCCATCACGCCCACAATGCTTGAATGGAGGGAAGCATTTGGTGACCTCAACTCTACCTGCACATTACCTCAGGGACTTCCTTCGAGTGTTGCTGTCAGTGTATCGCTGTTTGCCTGACATTGTCCCCCCCAGAAGGAAGTCTACCGGGAGGACAGGCGGCGATTTGAGCGATCGAGTTGTGCCAGGTAGGCGTCGAGTAGGGATGGATGGTCGAAGCGGAGGGACTGCTCTGACATCCAAGTGTCATCGATGTCCTTACGGCCAATCCATCGAACCAAGAACGAACGATTGCCCCGAGCGTTCCGACGATCGCGAACAATCCGTTCCGGAATGGCGGAGTTGTCGGCCGCGTCGGCTACATCTTCAACAAAAAGAACTGCGGGGTCACGCCCAGGGAACCTCTCAGCATCGTTCTCAACATAGGGGCGAAGCAGTCGAGCATGGAAGCGACTGTGCACTCGCGACATTGCTGGGGGAAGCTCGAGGTCGTAACTGGACGTCGCTGGAATGGCCGCTCGGATACGGAAAGGACCAATGTAGCGCGGCAACAACTTCGACTTCATCCCTTCAGGAACTGCCAGGTTCTTGGTCGAAAGATAGACATAACTGCCGGTCCGAAAGGCGGGATCATCCGGGCGTCGATGCTTGTTGGCCTGGTGAGTCTGATCGAGGCGTGCACCAATGATCGCATCCGTGACGTCGAGATTCCGTAACTGTCGGATTCGGGCAAACGCTTCCGCACGCGGGACGTCCGAGACAGACCAGGAATCGGTGGGCCAGCGTCGAGGAAGGTAACCGTAAGTCGCCTCGAAAGCCGACAGAGACGTGGAAACCGCAACGGAAGAGTTAAGAGCGAACTCAGCTTCAACAAGACGAGATGCCCAAGCCTCGTGGTTTGACGACACCATGATGCGCAGGGTTTGGGTGACCATCTTGATTCGGTTCTCACTCGATCCGTCGGTCTCTGGGTGCGCCGCTGTTGACATCCGCAAGACGGTGCCGACCTTCGCCTGCAATGCTCGCCAAAACTGCGAGGTGAACTTGGGATCGCGATCGGAAACGATGGCGGAAGGCGTCCCATGCAGTCGAAAGATGGTGGCGTAGTACCTGTCGGCAACGAGCTCGGAGTCGGCGTCGGCTGGGAGGGGAATCAGGTGGACCATCTTGCCCCAAGTGTCAGTGACCACCATGATTTGAGCGACCATCATCCCTTCGAACTCGACCGGAGGCAGTCCCGTCATGAAGTCGATGGCCACTTGTTCCCATGGGCCAGAAGGGATCGGCATCGGATGCAGTCGGCCATAAGGGACTTGAGTGGACGCTTTGCCTCGGGCACAATCTTCGCATGAATGGCAGAACTTGGCGCAATCGGCAGACATGGACGACCACCAATACAAAGGACGTATGGCGGCCAAGGTGATGCGATGTCCCGCGTGCCCGACGCTCCGATGGATCTCCGAAAGCACGAGCTCGCGCAGCGATGGGAGCTTGTCGGAGTCGACAACGCCGGTAGCGAGACCGCGAGGCACAAACAGGGAAAGAGACTCATCTGGATGTACACGCAAGATCCTCCCTTCCTCGGTCACCCGAAACATCGGCCATGACAGCGGGTCGTCAACAATGACTTGGGCTTGCGAATCGTGGGCGTAGGCTCGGATGACGGCGTCGAGGAAAGGTTGCGGCAGCGGGTCGGGCGGTCGATGGACTACAGGGGCGTCGTTGACCTCATCGGCGGCGGCTCCCAGTAAGTCGAGTTCATCGGCGTCGGCATCGACTGGAATGGGCGCGTCGTTGGCGGGGGCCGCGGCGATAGCATGAACTCGATTGACGGCGATGGGAGGAGAAAGGGGGCCGGTAGAAGAGTCGACGGCGTCCATAATGTTCTCGGCCAGACGATGGGAACCGGGAGAGCCTGCGTCGTAGCCGTGATCCCAGGGCCCGAAGGCACAATCAACAGGGGGCAACCGATCGTGCGAAGGTGAGGTGTAAGGACGTTCCTCAGGGAGGCTCTCACCAGGTGTAGTGAACTCGTGGCATTCTTCCTTCAAGAACAAATTCCCTAAATCCCGTCCATTCACGTCCTCGTCTTGCGATTCGTCCTTGAGCGCGTAGTATCCGGGAGAGCCTGCCTCGCAATCGTCGCGTTGGGGCCCGAAGGCAAAATCAACAGGAGGCAACCGATCGGGAGATGGTGAGGTGTAAGGACGTTCCTCAGGGAGGCTCTCACCGTGTGTAGTGAATCCGTGGCGTTCTCCATCAAAGAACATATCCTCCAACTCATTCTCCTTGACCTGATCCTCGGGCGATCCCTCCTTGACTTCCCACAAGCGTGACAACGAATCGGCAAGGGAGTTGTTCTTGCCCGCAATGAATTCGAATTCGAAGTCGAAACGGCTGAGTTCGAGACACATGCGGATGTGCCGGGGTGTTTGGCGTAACTTCTGCGTTTTAATCGTGCGAAGGGCTTGGTGGTCGGTGACGATGACGAAGGGGTAACCGATCAAGTGCTGCTCGAACGCCCGACACGCCGAAACGACGGCTAAGAACTCCTTATCAGTGACGTGATAATTGAGCTGAGCGCCATTGAACTTAGCGGAGAAGAATCGCGTAGGAATGGCCTGCGAACGAGTGGGGCCCGAGGCCAGGCAAGCGCCAATGCCAACACGACTGGCATCGGTGAACAAGTAGATTTTGTGCTCGCCGGAGGTGGCCTTAGCGCCGTCGATCGGTCGCAGTGTTGCTGGCACGAGGGACTTGACGGTGTCGAAGGCCTGCTGCTCGCGCTCGTTCCAACGCCACGACGTCGATTGCGCTAATAATGCGGTGATGGGCTCCAAGGTGATCGAGAGGTGGGGCAGGTGATCTCGCATCCAATTCACGGTGCCGAGGAAACGCTGAACGTCGGTCTTGTTGTGTGGAGTCGGCCACTGTCGGATACGCTCCCACTTGGCCGGGTCGACCTCGATGCCGTCGTCGGAGATGATCGCGCCCAAGGAATCTAACGACTTTGAGAACCACTCGGATTTGTTGGATCCTAAGTAGAACCGATAATGTCGCAGTGTCATCAGCAAAATCTCGATGTGTCTTAAGTGCGCGCGACGAGTATCGGAATGGACGTGAACATCGTCGAAAAAGATCTTGGCAAACGAGAGGCACGGCTGAAACATCGCCGATGTCAACAAGTTCAGGGTGTTGGGCGCATTGGTGTCCCCAAACTGCATCACCCGCGACGTGTACGTGCCCGTGACCGTGGCGAAGCCGGTGCGATCGACGTGCTCGGGTATGACCCGCACCTGCTCAAACGCTGCGGCCACGTCGAATTTGGACCGGTAGCGCGAACGTGCCACTTCGTAGCGAACACTGGTCATGTCGGGGATAGGTGAAAAACGCTTGGCGGTGTTGCTGTTGCGAGCGCGGAGGTCGATCACAAAGCGAGCGGTCTGGGAGTTCTTTTTCGGAATGGCGAAGACCGGAGCCGCAGAGTCGATCGGACCAGAAACCCAGAAGCGACCGCGAGTGTACTTAGCTGAATGCTCCGCCCACTGGCTACGATATTTGTCGGCAAGGGGATAGACCCTCGGCTTGACCTTCTCGTTGGGGTCGATCAAAGGGATTTCGTGATTGACGGGTCGATAAGGCGGGAGTCGGTCCATTGGGAGCGAATCTACGAACACATCAGAGTATTTCTCGAGTAAGGCAGCCAATCGTGTTCGTGCTTCGGACTCAGACAAATCCTCGAGCGCCGGGTCGTCGACGACATCCAGCAGAGGGTTGTGCGGCTCGAGGCCAATGATCTCGTCGTCAGGAAGCAACCCTGGGTGATCGTAGCCAATGGCAGAGCCGGAGCAGATGGGCGCCACCGTGACTGCGCGATCCCACTCGTGAGTGCCCTTGGCGACCGGCTGCGAAGGGCCCGGCCGTGCGACGGTGAAGACGCCCCAGCCTACCAGCATGCCGGTGTCCTTCAGAAACGGCAAACCCAGGATAGCATCATATGCCGTCACACGGCAAATGAAAAACGCCCGCAAGCCGAGGTCGAGGGAACCGGACGTGAAGAGGGCGTTGGCAAACACGGCGCAGCGGTCAGATTTGTCGCGAGTGCCGAGGCGCAAGTGCAGCGGCGCGGTAAGGCGGGACGTCGTGAAACTCGGGTCTGTTCGCACGACATCCTGATCCACCAAGTCCACTTCCGAACCAGAGTCGACGAGGCAACGCAGCGTTCGCCCAGACGGCAACGTCCACGCAATAATATTGCGGGCGCGCACAATCGCGGGCTCGGCGGGTCGGGCGAAGTCGTCGACGTCGATCAGGGGCGTGTCGGACTCCAAGAGAGAAACCCCCAACGGCACCGGAACACGAACAGAGCTCACCGATGCAGTCCTCTCCGCTTTGCGCGACGACACCACCTCCGGCCCCCAGTATCGCCGCATTCGCGACGCGGCATCAGCATAAGAGGGGACGTCTTCCACCGCGTCAAACGCAGAGTCGGTCGAGTCATCGGCAAGACGACGTAGATCTGCATCACTTGCCGGCGCGGTTGGCTGCGGATTACTTGATGAGACTTCGACGTCGACTGAAGAAGAAGCCCCTTCTTTCATTCGGCCAACGGGGTCTGCGGGAGGGCAAGAAGGGCGCGTCATTGAAGCGGAAACGGAACTCAAAGGTCGAGTCTGAACACGCTCGAGTGGAATGGGGACTCTCACCTCGGGATCCTCGTCACCACCTGCGACCGAGGACCACTCTTCGTCATCCAAGTCGGCCACAGCGACCGCTGAGAGTTGGACGGCGACCGGGGATTGACGCTCCGCGGTGCAGTGCTGCGAGAAATGACCGCCTCGTCCGCAGTTGAAGCAAGCCATGCTGGTGGGTACCCCGCTGGGCGCCGGGGAAAACCAGGTGGAGCGGTCCTTCCACAAGTGCGATTGCTGCCACTTAGTAGCGCGGTCGACCCATCGAGCTCGTCGGATCTGGAACCTCTCGTCGACGGTGGGCGTGTTGGTCGCAGGTGGGCTCACTCGGGGAGCTTTGACGATCGCGCCATAGGTCGCGGTGCGGCTTGGTGGGGTCGGAACCGAAGGCGGAGGAGAAATGTCGTCGGCGATAGCGGCCCACTCGGTAATCTCGTCGATGGACGGGACCTTCAGTCCGAATCGCCCAATTGTCACCAGCGAGTTGTCGTGGTATTCACGTAACATTCCCGCCCGCACTTCCCGCTTGGAGGAGTCACTGAGCGATTGGTAGAAGGTCGTGGCGAGCTGAAGCGGCGACAGGGTGAAACTATCGTTGTCGTGCACGAAGGCACGGTACCGCGCCCGCCACTCCCCGACATGGTCGTAAGCCCGAGACGACGACTGGCGACATCCGTGGAAGTCTTGAGCCACTCTATCGGCGAACCCGGGGTCGGGCCAACGACGTCCCACTGCCTTCATGAGCGACGTCCAACAATGAGGGCGCCCTTCTCCAAGCGCGTCCCTCATCGCCTCGACGGCCCAATCGAGCGGGGATTGGCGGCGCTGTCGGGTTGTCGTACGAAAAAATAGCGTCGCCACAAGCTGGATCACTCGGCTCGTGTCGAAAAGGTCGGAGGTGGAGATGTCGCACAAGAGAGAAAGATACGACTCCCCAAACGCAGTGAAAATCACCAACCTTTCCGGATGATCTCCGGTCCATAACCCTTCCCGGTCCGGCAATGTCCCTCTCCAACGAGAGCTAATCACCGCCGAGGAAGGGCCGTCCCTAATTCCGCTGTGAGATTCCCCCCCAGGGGTACGAGCAAGGGGGTCAGCGGCAGCTCCCGGGCGTCCCAAAAATGTGTGCGGGGGGACGTCCAGGGGGACCGGTCTCACCGGCAGAGCCTCCCCGACCTGCGCCCCAGCAGGTGCGGTGGATTCTCTCATCAATCGTTCCACCATCTGCTCCAATTTGCGGATGCGTGTCTCCGAGTCGCGGCGCAGGGCTTCCGATTCTGCGAGGCGGGATTCAAGGGACGTGATGACGGCGGCGGCCTGGAGCGGGTGCGGCGAATGCGTCGGCGGGGACTTAGGCGGATTCGCGCGCGAGGGGTCTTCGCGGACGGGGGCGGTGGTGTCTCGCGACGTGTCGGTGGGTTCGGCCATGGCGAGTTCGCGGCGTAGCGGTTGGCGGTTGTGGGGAGAACGGATGCGAGCTCGAGAAGGATGGAAGAAGGGGTACGAAGGGATGACGCGTTCGTCGTCGGACTCAGTGAATGAGGTGGCGAATGACCACGACGCGTCAGCGGGGGATGAGTTCGGCAACGGGGAGGAAGCTGACGACTCAGGGGTAGTGGACGATTGCTCGTCCAGGATGCAGGATAGAGCAAGGGCAAGCGAGATCGAAGGTTGGCGGTGCCGGACTTGAAAAAAGTGGCAGGCAACGTCCTCTTCAGAAGACGTTGACTACACGCGGAGGAGGGGATCAGGCCGAAGGAAGGTCGACTGGGCGGGGGCAGGCGACCGAGGGACAACCGAGGAGGGGACGCGGTTGTGAGGCTCGCAGCAAGTCAAGTATATCGGACTTTATTGCCAACGAGATCGAAAACGAAGGATGAAGGTGAAGGGATCTTCGGAGATGTGGCGGACCAGGCTGAGTGGGAAGGTGCTAAAAACAAAAGGGAGGCACTCAGGCGCAGAGGGGACTTAGCCAATTCAGCTACTCCAAGAGGTCGCCTCAGGGGGAAAAAGGATTGCTCGCGGGAGCACCGGTAAAAACCCTGAGGCCGCGCCTCAGCTAACAAAAAGAACAAAAACCGAGAGAAGATTGCGCTCTGCGCGCCTTGAACCCGCGACCATTAAGTGCGCGCCCGCGCGCCGAACGACTACGCCATCACGCCCACAATGCTTGAATGGAGGGAAGCATTTGGTGACCTCAACTCTACCTGCACATTACCTCAGGGACTTCCTTCGAGTGTTGCTGTCAGTGTATCGCTGTTTGCCTGACAGATGGCGTCGGTGGTGGGGTTCGCAGCTGCTGCTGGAAATCGGGGCAGTTCGGGTCGAACTGGGCTCATAACCTGTAGAGTGTAGGTCGTGGAACTTTTCGGAACTGGGTGTAGCGACCGCTGGGGCTACTGTTGGGCGCGTCGACGTGGCTACGGTTGCGACGGACGGTCCGATTGGGAGAAGTCGCAAGGCGGCACAGACGCGGTCTGACGAGACGGCGGTGCGGCTGGACGATCTGTTCTCTACCGAAGATTAGCAGTCTGGCTAATGTCGGGAAGCGGTCGATATGATTTCAACTAACCTGTTCTCTACCGAAGATTAGCAGTCTGGCTAATGTCGGGAAGCGGTAGAGAAGAGGAAGGGAAGCACAAGGAGCACGAGTCTGACAAGGTTCTAGCAAGCGGGCGCGCAAAGGATCTACTGCAAATCGGGCGGATGCGCTGCTAAGCATCAAGGGCAAACTCCAAGTGGGTCATTCGTATGAGATGATCACCACTACTGTCAGGAGAAGTCGAGAGTCGAACAGAAGTGATCTATTTCAGCGTACCTATGAGATGATCACCACTACTGTCAGGAGAAGTCGAGAGTCGAACAGAAGTGATGAGAAGGAAGCTAAGAAATGGAAAGGGGGCCCGCGCTGGGATATGCCCAGGCGCGGGCGAAATCGCTGGAGCGCTGAGGCAGTCGCGCGCGGCTAAGTCCCCACTGCAAGGGCGGGCTAGCGGCGCGCGCCCGAAAACCGCCGGCGCCGGCGCGCTGAGGCACTCGCGCGCGCCTAAGTCCCCACCACAGGGGCCAGGCTAGCAGGCGCGCGCAACGACCGAGGCGCCCCTGTCGAGCTGAGAGTGGACTCTTCACAATTCGGGTGCTGAGAGGGGTCGTGTTGGACAACGGCCACGAGGGGAAACCTATCTACGATGTCGAGTGTTGGTGAGCGAGGGAGTCCATAGCGACGAGACTCAGGTTGCGAACGGCGGGCGTCATGCATGGGCGATACTCTTGATGGCCGATGGAACATGAGGACGGCGGCGGCAAGCTGCTGGTGACTAAGTGGAGGCATTGGCTCAGCAAGACTGGAGGGCAGACGGCCAGAGTCCCGGCGTGGAGGCGGCGGCGCGCGGGCGTGAGTTGAGCAGGCCGGCGCGAGGCAGGAGGGCGACGGCTTGGCTGTGAAGGCGAAGGCGCCGAGGTGAAAATGGGGCGGCGGCTTGGCTGCGAAGGCAAAGGCGCCGAGGCGAAAATGGGCGGACCTGACAACGGCGGCCCAAGGTTGAAGTGTTCGAACGCTTGTAGTAGAATGAAATTCAACAAAAGCAACAAGGACGCCTTTCCCAACGTCGGACTCTCGCGCTTCACAACCACTCGAACTGGTCCACTCCGACGTCCTCACTCTGCCCGAACCCGCCACCGATGGGGAACGATACGTTGTCACCTTCATCGACGATTTCTCCCGGAAGATGTGGGTCAGCGCGCTGAGGAACAAGAGTCAGGTCTTTGACACCTTCCAGCGTTGGCACGCCATGATCGAGCGCTCGACGGGCCTCAAGCTCCGCACGTTACGAACGGACAACGGCGGTGAATATACGTCCAAAGCCTTCATCGAGTACTGCTCTCTTCACGGCATTACCAGGCAACTCACGATCCCTTACACCCCGGAGCAAAACGGCCGAGCCGAACGGACGAACCGCACAATCGTCGAGGGGACGATTGCCCTGCTCCAGCACTCGGGACTGCCCATGACACTCTGGCGCGAGGCCCTCCGGTACGTTGTTGACACCAAAAACCTCAGCCCGCACAGCGCCATCGATCACAAAATCCCGGACACTATCTGGTATGGCAAACCTCCCAGCACGGCAAACCTGAGAGCATTCGGCTGCCGCGCCTGGCACACCACCCCTCGGCACAAGCGGGCAAAACTCGACCCCAAGGCCAAACCATTCATCTTCGTCGGCATCGAAAACAAAACCAAGGCCTGGACGCTGTACGACCCAGAAACAACTTCGTTCTTCCAGAGCCGCGACGTCAGATTTGATGAGAACGTCTTTCCCGCTCGAGATCCCCCGACTGGCCAACCGAAGCCTCGCGCGACGTCCACTGCTGGCGACTGGACCTTCGTTGACGCTGCACATGGCTCCCGCACTGTCCCACGTCTGTCACTCCCGCCCGTCGTGCACGAAAATCGATTTGCCGCACTTGAGACCGACGCGAGCGACGACGCAACAATCGAAATGTCCGATGATGGTTTTGATACCCCGTCCGACATGTCCATGGCTCAGTTCTCGCTGTCACCCCCTGCGTCGGACGTGACCGATGACTCGGCCGACCCCATCGACTTCCTGTCATGCCCGTCTCGCGCCGCTGCCTTTGCCGCCACCACTGCAGATTCACCGGTCGTCGAACTCGAAGGGCCAACCGAGGACCCCCAGAATTGGTCGCAGGCGGTCAAGTCAGGTAAAGAGGAGATCTGGAGGCAAGCAGCAGCCGACGAGTTTCACTCCCTTACCACCGAGTACAAATGCTTCACCCCTGTTGACTCCTCCTCACTGCCCCCTGGCGCCAAAGTCCTCGGATCCAGGTTCATCTTCCGCACCAAACGCGACCAACTTGGCAAGATCACTTCGCACAAGGGCCGGCTCGTTGCACAGGGATTCTCCCAGCGCCCAGGTATCGATTACGACGAGACTTTTGCCCCTGTTGCCAAGTTCACCTCCATCCGAGCTCTCATCGCCCTGGCCGCCGCCAAGAAACTCCACGTCCATCAGGCCGACGTTGACAAGGCGTACCTCCACGGCGAGCTGAAGGAAGACCTCTACATGCGCGTCCCACAAGGTGTTGACATGCCCGGTAAAGTCCTCAAGCTCCATCGATCGATCTACGGCCTCAAGCAGGCCGGCCGAGTCTGGAACGAGCACATTGACTTGACGCTGAAAAGCCTCCACTACTGCGCCACAGCCAAGGACCACTGCGTGTACGTACGACGCGACGGCGACCACTACCACTACATCGCCCTCTACGTCGACGACTTGCTGATGGTCAGCCCCTCGGAGGACGAGATTGAGCGCATCCTCAACGGCCTGGAGCAAAAATACGGCATCAAGCGACTTGGCCCAGCCCAGTACATCTTGGGGATCCAGATCAAGCGACAGGCCGACAAGTCCATCATCCTGTCGCAAGAGGCGTACATCACGAGCATCCTCCGCAGATTTGGCATGTCAGACAGCAGCCCCGCCTCCACGCCCATGGCCCCGAACCGACAGCTCGAACATTCGCTCGCGGAAACATCCAAAACTGCTCGGACACGCTACATGCAGGCTATTGGATGCCTCCTGTACGCCGCCACCGGTACTCGCCCGGACATTTCCTACGCTGTCGGATACCTCGCACGCTTCTCTGCCAGTCCCACACCCGAACACTGGACGGCCATCAAGACCGTATTTCGGTACTTACGTGGAACCGCACGTCTAGGCCTGCACTACAGCTCTGAACAAGGCAAGTTCTCAGGCTTCACCGGTTACTCTGATGCAGACTGGGGAACCTGCACCACATCGTCACGGTCGACCATGTGTTGAACTTCGCTCCATCTCACTTCTAGGACAATATGCGCTCACTGAAGTAGAGGTGCCTCGCCTTTTGGTGCAGTGGCATATTGTTCCTTCATAGGTTATGAGCCCAGAGCAACCAGCAGGTCATGAGTTCAATCCCCCCTGGGGTCAGGCAATTTTGCGCGCATACACTCAGCGTCCCGGCCCCCGCACTTGCCCAGCAGCGTGCCAAGCACCCTGGCGCATCGACAGTGCTCACAGTGCCCAAGCTGCACTTGCCCAGTGACCTGATCAACATGCCCAGTTGCCTCACAGCCGCACCCACTGCCACAAGCTCTTCAGCTTCGCGCACAGGGGGGTGTTGAACTTCGCTCCATCTCACTTCTAGGACAATATGCGCTCACTGAAGTAGAGGTGCCTCGCCTTTTGGTGCAGTGGCATATTGTTCCTTCATAAGAACTGCTTATGGAACTGGGCATCGACACACGAGCTCCCGTCCAGCTGTACGGCGACAACCAAGGTGCTATTGCTCTCGCCAAGAACCCCACCCTTCACCACCGGTCCCGTCACATTCACATTCGTGAGCACTTTGTACGCGACCAGGTCAGGCTGGGCACCATCCAAGTCGACTATGTGGACACGAAAACCATGGTCGCCGACATCTTCACCAAGGCACTTGGACCCTTGGTGTTCAAGGTACATCGTGACAACCTGGGTCTTCGAGGCTAAGTAAGCTTCGAGCGAGGGGGGGTGTTGAATTCCATACACTCTTGCTTAGGTCGATCTCCAGCCCGCGCCCAGCCTAGCCAGCCGCGCGCCGCTCGGACCCCTTTTGGACTTAGAGATATTTCGCGCACTCGCACCGCGAGCCTCTTTAGTCTTCCCCCTTATTCGATCAACTCTACTACGTCAGCGATGTAGTTATAGCCAAGAGTGATCAATGCATTTCAACATACCTATTCGATCAACTCTACTACGTCAGCGATGTAGTTATAGCCAAGAGTGATGAATAGGAAGCTAACAATAAGAGACCCGCGCGCCCCAAGTCCACAGCCAGCGAGCCTGGGGCTGAGCCAATGGCCCAGGCTCGCTCCGCGCGCCTAAGTCCTGGGCCGGGGCGCCCGGCTCACTCCGCGCGCCTAAGTCCGCGCCCGGTTCGCTCCGCGCGCCTAAGTCCTGAGCCGAGCGGAGAGTGGATTCCTCACACCCCCCCCCACGCGAACGCGAGGTAGACTTGAGCCGTGGATGTCGCGTCCGGAGGCCTAGAGCATAGCAATGTGTACCAAAAATCTTGGGGCCTAGCGCCTTGGTGAATACGTCCGCAACCATGTCTGCTGTGCCAACGTGTGAGAGAGAGATATCACCTCGATTGACCATGTCACGGACAAAATGCTCGCGGAGGCGAATGTGCCGGGTGCCGGAGGTGCGAACGGGGTCGTGAGCGACGGCGGCCGCGGCCTCGTTGTCGGTGAAGATGTGAGCTGCAGCGATTGGGCAAACGTGGAGCTCGGAGAGGAGTTGGTTAAGGTAGATCGCTTCCTTACCCGCGTGCGACAAGGCCAGGTACTCGGCATCAGTGGTGGAATCCGCTACCCGAGTCTGACGCTTCGACGACCAAGAGACAGCGGCGCCTGCCAAGTAAAATACGTAGCCCATCGTTGAAATGGATGTGTCGACGCAGGCGCCCCAGTTCGCATCAGAATAACCAACCACACCCGTGACTTTTGCTGGGCCGCGGGCATAGAGAAGCTCATCGCGGTACGTGGCGCGAAGGTAGCGAAGGACGTGTTTGACGGCAATCCAATGGCGGCGGCCGGGGTTGTTGGCGAACCGGGACAGGTACGAGACGGCGAAGGCAATGTCGGGTCGAGTGCCAAGGGAGATGTAGAGGAGGGAGCCGATGGCCTGTAGGTACCACGAACGAATGCGCTCCGTTCCCTGACCCGGAATTGCCGTGAGCGAGAGGCCGGGCGTCATCGGCACCGTAGTGCCGCGTGTCGTGGTGTCGAAGTGGAAACGGGCCAGCACGTCCATGATGTAGCGCTCCTGGGATAGAGCAATGGAACCGTCGTCCAGGCGGCGTATTTGGATTCCGAGGATGTACTCCGCGGGGCCGAGTCGTTTGACGCCGTACCGCTGTTCAAGGCCGGAGATGACACGTTCGATCTCGTCGAGGGCTGGACTGACAATGAGGAGGTCGTCGACATACAAGGCGATATAGTGAGGCCGCTGCTGATCGTCAATGCGAGAGTAAATGCAGTGATCAGTGCCTGTTGCCTTGTACCCCAGATTCCTGAGTGATGTGTCAATGTGACGATTCCAGATGCGACCGGCCTGCTTGAGACCGTAGATTGAGCGTCGCAGCCGGAGAACCTTATCGCTCGGGAAGTCGAAACCGCGTGGTGTCGTCATCCAGATATCATGATCGAGCTCGCCGTGGAGGTAAGCCTTGTCGATGTCGGCCTGATGAACGTGGTAGCCATTGGCAGCGGCAAGAGCCAGGAGGCAGCGAATGGAGGAGAAACGGGCGACGGGTGCGAAGGTTTCTGAGAAGTCGATGCCGTCGCGCTGTCGGTTACCCTGCGCTACAAGACGTGCCTTCCGCCCCGTGACTTCACCGCTTGCGTTGCGCTTGGTCTTCCAGACGAATTTGGAGGTGACGATGGTGGCGCCCGGCGGTACAGATGAGCGAGGCTCGATGGTGAACACCTTGAAGTCGTCGCGCATGGCGGTGAACTCGGCGGCGGCGGCCTCAGCCCAGATGTTGTGCTCGTCGCTGGACATTGCTTCGCGCCAGGTCTGGGGGTCGCTAGTGATCGATTTGACGGGCTCGATGGCGTCGAGGGTGGGGTCGTCGTCGTCTGTGGCGATGAAGGCGCGGTGGTGTTGGGTGAGGAAATCGATTTCATCCGGCGATTCATCGCGTGAGTGACGCCCAATGATGTCGAGTTCGTCGGGCGACTCCTCAGCCGATGCGGGCTCACGGTACGTGCTGAAGTCTGGGCGGTGCACGTCCGGTGGGCCAAGGCGAGTCGGGGTCTGTGAGCCGATGAGGTCCAGAGGGTCGGCGGAGTAGTCAGAGTCGGTCGGTGAGACCGAGGGTGACGATGACGCTGCCAACGACGGTGACAGCGCAGGCGACGGTGACAAAGGGTTTGTGGGCGACGGTGACGAGGACGGCTCAGGAGACGGTGACGAGGACGATTCGGTATCTGTGGAATTAAGTAAGGTTCCGCCAGTGTACCCTGGGGCCACGTCAACGGCGCTCATGGCAGAATCATCAAGGGAGGATGAGACGTCCATGTGCGCCGACCTTACTAGTGGGGTCCTCGTCTTGACGGCAGGGGCGGGCGTGTCGGCGGGAACGACGAACTGACGGTCGGTGTCGTCTGCATCGACGGGCGTGGTGACTGGCAGGCCGGGGAAGTCGTCGTCGAGGAAGGTGGCATTGCGACCAAGTACAATCTTGTTGATGGAATGGTCAAAGAAACGGAAAGCTTTGGAGGCGAGGTCGTAACCTGTGAAGATCACGCGCGCGGCCTTGGGGTCGAGCTTGCTGCGAAGGTCCGGGGCGACCGTGAGCCAGGCTGTGCAGCCGAACGGGTGGAGGGCGGTGGCGGTGGTGCGTTGGCCGTTCCAAACGGATTCTGGAGTCTGTTTGGCCAAAGCTGAGTGTGAGCACCTGTTTTTGCAATAAACGAAATACGCAGCCGCTTCATCCCAAAAGGTGGCCGGCAGACGGGCGTCCGCAAGGAGAGCGAGGACGCCCTCGACGATGGAGAGGTTGACACGTTCGGCGCGACCGTTTTGTTGAGGCGTGTAAGGGATAGAGTATTGACGACGAATGCCCTTGGATTTGCAGAACTCCGTGAATGCGTTTGATCGGTACTCCCCGCCATTGTCGGTTCGAAGGATCCTCAACCGCGCGTTCGTCTCTAACTCCACTTCGGCGAGCCAAGTCTGGAAGGTCGGGAAAACATCGCTTTTGTGATCGATCGCATATGCCCAGAGTTTGCGAGAGTGGTCGTCTAGAAACGTGACAAGGTAGCGCTTCCCGGTCAAGGACGGAGTGGGGAACGACAGGACGTCGCTGTGCACGAGGCCAAGTCTCTCGGCGGAATGCGACTCAGAGTCGGGAAAGGGAAGGCGGTGACCTTTGGAACCAAGGCAAGCATTGCAAACAAACTCCTCTACGTCTTTGTCACTGTACCCGGCCCCAAACCCGTCCAGCAAACCTGCAGCAATCATCTTCTGTATAGAGGATGGGGCAAGATGGCCGAGGCAGCGGTGTAGGGTAAGCAGGGGCACGGGAGACTCAGAGCGTGAGAGGAAGGCAAGATGCTGACACTTGGTGTGATCCGCGTCCAAAAGGTAAAGACCGTCGTTGACCCTGGTACCGTGAGCAATGGCCCGGCCGTCCTTGGCGATGTCGATGCCGTCGCTGGTGAAGGCGAGACGAACGCGGTCGGTGTCGCAGAGGCGAGAGACAGAGAGGAGGTTGACGTGTAGGCCAGGCGTGTGAAGAACACCACGGAGCGTGATCGGGTGTCCAGTCTTGGCGACGAATGCCACGTCCCCCATGCCGATAGCCGTGATGCCGCCCGCGATGCCGCCGATCTTGGTGTGTGCCGTCTGACGATAAGTCGTGAATAGAGATCGGTCGGCGACCATGTGTGTCGTGGCACCCGAATCGACTACAAAGGCGTCAGTTGGGAGTTGGCGACGAGCGAAGAGACAGGAGGCGAAATAGCCGACGTTCGGTTGCGAGGCCGCGGAGGAAGACGTGTCGTCCTGGGTGTCGTCGCTGCTACGTGCCTGTTCACCCCGGTTCTTGCAGTCGAGTGCCCAGTGACCTTTCTTGTGGCATCGGCGGCAGGGGCCGGTGGGCGGGTGCTTCGCACGTGAAGTGCAGTCGCGCAGGCGGTGACCGGGAGCGCGGCAGGCGGGGCAAGGGGAGCGCGTGGCAAGCATGGCCGAATGCGAGGTCGAGAGTCCTGCCGAACGAAGCTGGATGCGAATGCGGTCCGTAAGCGTCGTGAGTTCGGGAAGGTCGCGTCGGTTTCGCTGCTCGTCCGTGAACGTGAGTCGGAAGCTGTCGAGGCAAGACGGGACCATGGCGAGCACGTGGGTGGCGAGCACGTCGTTGAGCGATGTTTTGGCGTCGCGTATTTCCTGAGCAATCGACATGTACTCGCGTAGCCAAGTGTCGTAGGCCTCGACGGAGGCAGGCATCTTCCTGAAGTCCCAAAGGCGAGCGAACAACTCGAGAGTGCGTGTAGCGTCGTCCGGTGCAAAACGAGCCTTGAGAGCGGCAAAGATGCGCGGTGCCGACAGGTCGTCGCTGGGGATGGCGTCGAGGGTGGCCGATACGTCGGCGGAGTCGATAGAGCCAACGATGATTTCCCGGGCGGCGTCGTCACGTGCGGCAAGCTGGTCGGCGGTCCAGGTCGGGGGAACGACACCGTCGAGAACGTAACCACGAACCTGGTTCGGGAGTGCAAGACGGAGTTGACGCAACCAGTTGGTGAACGACTTGGGGTCGTCCAGACGAGCGTGCTTGGGAAACACGACCTTGGATGCGGTGGCGGCGTTCCCCGGCACGATGGTGACGGCCGGGGGTGCGGCGGCTGCGGCGGCGGCGGGTTGCGAGGCCTGCAGAGCGGCAAGCTGGGCCTGTAGAGTGGCGATTTGTTCGCCGATCGAAGATTCAGGGGAGCTGGGATCCCTGGGGGCCAAAGGCGAGGCGGGAGAGCTGTCCATGATGTGATGGTGCGATGGACGTGTGCGGCTCGAGTGGCTGGGCTCGAGCGAAAAAGCCTCAAGCGGCGGGGCTGGTAGCTCGTGGGCTTATAACCTATTCGATCAACTCTACTACGTCAGCGATGTAGTTATAGCCAAGAGTGATCAATGCATTTCAACATACCTATTCGATCAACTCTACTACGTCAGCGATGTAGTTATAGCCAAGAGTGATGAATAGGAAGCTAACAATAAGAGACCCGCGCGCCCCAAGTCCACAGCCAGCGAGCCTGGGGCTGAGCCAATGGCCCAGGCTCGCTCCGCGCGCCTAAGTCCCAGGCTCGCTTCGCGCGCCTAAGTCCTGGGCCGGGGCGCCCGGCTCACTCCGCGCGCCTAAGTCCGCGCCCGGTTCGCTCCGCGCGCCTAAGTCCTGAGCCGAGCGGAGAGTGGATTCCTCACACCCCTAACGCTCCAAACTACTTCCTAACACTCGTACTGTGTCTCGTGTACTCACTGGTTGCCGATCCAGTCCCCTCTCGAGACACACGACTTAACAGCCCTTGAAGCTTTGCATTGTGTGCCTGCGAAGTTAGATTCGCTGTGCGCTCCCTTGCTAGAACCTCGCCCGACTCGCGCGCTCCCGCGCCTCTTTCCCTTTTCTCTATCGTTTCATCTCATCATTCAGACTGCTGAGACTCGCTAGAAGAACAGGTCCGTTGCAATCGCATCATCGTTTCATCTCATCATTCAGACTGCTGAGACTCGCTAGAAGAACAGATCGCTCGGCTGTGCCGCGGCTGCCTCTCCAGGCCGCGTCTTCACCGCCTCGCGACTTCTCGACCGGGGAGCACTTTGCTACGTCGTCCTGCCTCGCAACCTCCCGAAACGATCCGGTCCGTGCCGCCTCACGATTCTCCAGCGACCCCCCCCGGTCCCAACTTAACAGCGACCACCGAGTGCGCGCCCGCGCGCCTCACGACTGTAGAGTGTAGGTCGTGGAACTTTTCGGAACTGGGTGTAGCGACCGCTGGGGCTACTGTTGGGCGCGTCGACGTGGCTACGGTTGCGACGGACGGTCCGATTGGGAGAAGTCGCAAGGCGGCACAGACGCGGTCTGACGAGACGGCGGTGCGGCTGGACGATCTGTTCTCTACCGAAGATTAGCAGTCTGGCTAATGTCGGGAAGCGGTAGAGAAGAGGAAGGGAAGCACAAGGAGCGCGAGTCTGACAAGGTTCTAGCAAGCGGGCGCGCAAGGGATCTACTGCAAATCGGGCGGATGCGCTGCTAAGCATCAAGGGCAAACTCCAAGTGGGTCATTCGGGTGCTGAGAGGGGTCGTGTTGGACAACGGCCACGAGGGGAAACCTATCTACGATGTCGAGTGTTGGTGAGCGAGGGAGTCCATAGCGACGAGACTCAGGTTGCGAACGGCGGGCGTCATGCATGGGCGATACTCTTGATGGCCGATGGAACATGAGGACGGCGGCGGCAAGCTGCTGGTGACTAAGTGGAGGCATTGGCTCAGCAAGACTGGAGGGCAGACGGCCAGAGTCCCGGCGTGGAGGCGGCGGCGCGCGGGCGTGAGTTGAGCAGGCCGGCGCGAGGCAGGAGGGCGACGGCTTGGCTGCGAAGGCGAAGGCGCCGAGGTGAAAATGGGGCGGCGGCTTGGCTGCGAAGGCAAAGGCGCCGAGGCGAAAATGGGCGGACCTGACAACGGCGGCCCAAGGTTGAAGTGTTCGAACGCTTGTAGTAGAATGAAATTCAACAACGACTACGCCATCGCACCGACAATGCTGTGAAACGAGGCAAGCCTCTGGTCAAGTCAACTCTACCCGCACATAGCCTTGGGGGGCTTCCTTCGAGTACACGCTGTCATCCTGACAACCACCCCTCGCGACGGGTGCCAACCCTCCGATTCCCGCCGAACAGCTCGCCGCACTTACATCGCTGCTGTCGGGTCTCACCGCTGCCGCTTCCGGCACTGCCACACCCGCCACGACGTCCGGCACCACTCGCACTGCCTTTCCAAAGCACGCACGCTTGGATGGTGCGAAGACCTTCGCGAACTGGACACGCCAACTTCGCCTGTGCCTAGCAGACGACATCCGCTCGTACGTCCTCGACGGTATCGTACCCGACGACTGGACACCTTCGCAACGCTCCGCTCGCGACGCCGTCGCTCGTGAGGTCCTTGCGAACTCGATTGACTCGGCCGAAGTCTCGGCAGTCCTCGACAAAATCCCTACCGCCGACCTGACAGCACCGACAATCTACTCGACGCTGAAATCGCGGTACACCCCTGACGACGCTGTGAAGAGTCCACTCTCAGCTCGACAGGGGCGCCTCGGTCGTTGCGCGCGCCTGCTAGCCTGGCCCCTGTGGTGGGGACTTAGGCGCGCGCGAGTGCCTCAGCGCGCCGGCGCCGGCGGTTTTCGGGCGCGCGCCGCTAGCCCGCCCTTGCAGTGGGGACTTAGCCGCGCGCGACTGCCTCAGCGCTCCAGCGATTTTGCCCGCGCCTGGGCATATCCCAGCGCGGGCCCCCTTTCCATTTCTTAGCTTCCTTCTCATCACTTCTGTTCGACTCTCGACTTCTCCTGACAGTAGTGGTGATCATCTCATAGGTACGCTGAAATAGATCACTTCTGTTCGACTCTCGACTTCTCCTGACAGTAGTGGTGATCATCTCATAGGTTATAAGCCCATCGAGCTACCGCTGGCATGGACACGTCGTCAACCCTCGCGACGAGCGCCACCCCGACAATTCCCGCCGAACAGCTTGCCGCACTTACATCGCTGCTGTCGGGACTCACCGCTGCCGCTTCCGGCACTACCGCACCCGCCACGACATCCGGCTCCAATCACAATGCCTTCCCGAAGCATGCGCGGTTGGACGGGCCGAAGACGTTCGCGAACTGGACACGCCAGCTTCGCCTGTGCCTAGCGGACGACATCCGCTCCTACGTCCTCGACGGAATCACCCCCGACGATTGGACGCCTTCGCAACGCTCCGCCCGCGACGTCGTGGCACGCGAGATCCTTGCAAACTCAATCGACTCGGCCGAAGTCTCGGCAGTCCTCGACAAGATCCCTACGGCCGACCTCACAGCGCCCAAGATTTACTCGACGCTGAAATCGCGATACGCCCCTGATGACGCCACTCGCACGCTCGAGCTCTTCTCGCGACTCTGGGGCTTCCGACCCATGCCCGGAACGGTTGGCGAATTTGACAGTTGGATCATGGACTTCAAGTCGGTCGCGCAAGAGATCATCGATACGAAAACGACGATCAACGACGTCCTTGCCACACTCCTCCTCGCGATCGCCCACCCGTCACTCGAGAGCTTCAAGGCAACGTTCACCGACGAACAACGCACGCAACGAACTCTCCCTGACATCGATTCAGTGGCCGACCGTATGCGAGTTCAACTCCGGTCAACGAACCTCTCCAACGATCAATCGGCCCTCCTTGCCTCGTCGTCGCCACGTTCTACCCGTACCAAGTGCCTCGCCTGTCGCAGCCCTTCTCACCGCGTCGCACAATGCCCTACAAGGGCCCAGCATCCACCGCCAGGCCCGTGTCGCTCCTGCAAGAAGAAGGACCACTGGTCTTTCGACTGCAAAAAGGCTCTTGAGGACGGGAAAACGCCCGACACCTCTGATGCGCAACACCATGTCGGATGTCTCGCCACCGGTCTTCTCGCACATCGTCGTCAGCTTCGCAACAACTCCTTCGTCGTCGACTCGGGTGCCACTTCGCACATGGTCTCGGACAAGTCGCTGTTCACGGCCTATCGCCACATCGCTCCTACGAAGATTGGTGGTATTGCAGGGGGCATCAACGCCGTCGGAACGGGAAACATCGCCTTTGTTGCCGCCTCCGGTCACCCGATCACGCTTACCGGCGTGCTGCACACCCCGGGCCTGTCTGTCAACCTCCTCTCGGTCTCTCGACTTTGCGACACCGACGATGTCCGTGTCGCCTTCACGAAGCACGGCATCCATATCGACAAGAACGGCAATGCTATCGCTGAAGGCGCAAGACTCGAGGAAGGGCTCTACTTGCTGGACGCTGATCATTCCAAATGTCAGCATCTCGCTCTCCTCTCTCGCTCACAGTCTTCCGTGCCCCTGCTGACCCTTCACCGCTGCCTCGGCCATCTCGCACCGTCGTCCATACAGAAGATGGTTGCCGCTGGTTTGCTGGAAGGTCTCGGGGCCGGATATAGTGACGAAGAGGTAGAGAAGTTTGTCTGCAATGCTTGCCTCAGTGCAAAGGGCCATCGTCTTCCTTTTCCCGATTCGGACTCGCACTCCTCAGAGAGACTCGGCCTCGTACACAGCGATGTGCTTTCCTTTCCCGAGTCGTCCTTGACTGGCAAGCGTTACCTGGTCACGTTTCTTGACGACTTCTCGCGCAAACTGTGGGCATACGCGATCGGACACAAAAGCGAAGTCTTTGGCGTGTTCAAGACATGGCTTGCCGAGGTCGAACTCGAGACGGGTGCAAAACTGAAGGTCCTCCGAACCGACAATGGTGGCGAATACTGTTCGAGAGCGTTCACGGAATTCTGTAAGGCACGCGGCACACGTCGACAATACTCTATCCCTCGAACGCCTCAACAGAACGGTCGTGCCGAACGAGTCAATCGTTCTATCGTCGAAGGTGTCCTTGCCCTCCTTGCAGACGCCCACTTACCCAAATCATTCTGGGAGGAGGCAGCAGCTTATTTCGTCTACTGCAAGAACCTGTGCGAACACTCGGCCCTGGACAAGGCAACACCGAACTTCGCCTGGCAGGGCGACCGCACCAACGCCTCGGCGCTTCACCCGTTCGGCTGCACGGCTTGGCTCACAGTCGCGCCTGAACTTCGCTCGAAACTCGACCCGAAAGCGGTTCGCGTTCTCTTCACCGGCTATGACCTGGCTTCTAAAGCCTTCCGTTTCTACGACACGACGACCAAGAAGATCAGTTTGGGCAGAAATGCCAGGTTCCTCGACAACGAATTTCCCGGGTTACGTAGCGACTCCACCGAGCAAGACGCCGACACGCACTTCGCCAGCGCTTGCCCGACCACCGAATCCCAAGCCGTTGTCAAGACATGGACCCCACTAGTAAGGTCGGCGCACATGGACGTCTCATCCTCTCTTGATGACTCTGCCATGAGCGCCGTTGACGTGGCCCCAGGGTACACTGGCGGAACCTTACTTAATTCCACAGATGCCGAATCGTCCTCGTCACCGTCTCCTGAGCCGTCCTCGTCACCGTCGCCCGCAACTCCCTTGTCACCGTCGCCTGCGCTGTCACCGTCGTTGGCTGCGTCATCGTCACCCTCGGCCTTACCGACCGACTCTGACTACTCCGCCGACCCTCTGGACCTCATCGGCTCACAGACCCCGACTCGCCTCGGCCCACCGGACGTGCACCGCCCAGACTTCAGCACGTACCGTGAGCCCGCATCGGCTGAGGAGTCGCCCGACGAACTCGACATCATTGGGCGCCACTCGCGCGATGAATCGCCGGACGAAATCGATTTCCTCACCCAACACCACCGCGCCTTCATCGCCACCGACGACGACAACTCTGACACAGAAGCCATTCAACCAGTCAAGTCCATCACCAGCGACCCACAGACATGGCGCGAGGCAATGTCGAGTGACAAGCGCGAAGTGTGGGCCAAGGCCGCTACCGACGAGTTCAATTCCATGCGCGACGACTTCAAGGTCTTCACCATCGAGGACCGATCCACGGTACCAGTGGGTGCGACCATCGTCACATCCAAGTTCGTCTGGAAAACGAAACGGAATGCACTCGGCGAAGTCACCGGCCACAAGGCACGGCTCGTGGCGCAGGGAAATCGGCAACGCGACGGCATCGACTTCAACGAAACCTTCGCACCAGTCGCACGCTTCTCCTCGATACGCTCACTCCTCGCGCTGGCGGCCGCCAACGGCTTGCACGTGCACCAGGCGGACATCGACAAAGCCTATCTGCATGGCGACCTTGACCATGACATCTGGATGACGACACCGCGCGGCTTCGACCTTCCCACCGACAAGGTGCTTCGTCTGCGACGCTCCATCTACGGACTCAAACAGGCTGGCCGAATCTGGAATCGACACATCGACGCATCGCTTCGAGATCTCGGCTATACGGCGACGGGCACCGACCACTGCGTGTACTCTCGGATCGACGATCGGCGACGCCCACACTACATCGCGCTGTACGTCGACGACCTCCTGATGATCAGCCCCGACTTGGCCGAAATTGAACGTGTCATCTCGGGCCTCGAACAACGCTACGGCGTCAAGCGCCTCGGCCCGGCAGAGTACATCCTCGGCATCCAGATCAGGCGACTCGAAGACGGTTCTATTGCCCTGTCCCAGGAACGGTACATCATGGACGTGCTTGCTCGGTTCCACTTCGACACCACGACTCGCGGCACTACAGTCCCGATGACCCCCGGCCTTTCGCTCACCGCCATCCCGGATCAAGGCACCGAACGGATCAGGTCATGGTATCTGCAGGCTATCGGCTCGCTCCTCTACATTTCGCTCGGCACCCGCCCCGACATCGCCTTCGCCGTGTCCTACCTGGCCCGCTTCGCCAACAACCCTGGACGTCGTCACTGGATCGCGGTCAAGCACATCCTCCGCTATCTCCGGGCCACATATCGCGACGAACTGGTTTATGCTTGCGGCGAGACACGCATCACGGGCGTGGTTGGCTACTCCGACGCGAACTGGGGGGCCTGCGTCGATACGTCGGTGTCCACTATGGGCTACGTCTTCTACATTGCCGGATCCGCCGTGTCTTGGTCGTCCAAGCGTCAATCTCGAGTTGCCGATTCTACCACCGACGCTGAATACCTCGCCCTCTCGCATGCTGGCAAGGAAGGGATCTACCTCAGTCAGCTGCTCGAGGAGCTCCATGTCCAACCTGTTGCACCGGCTCACATTTTTACTGACAATGAAGCCGCTGCCGCAGTTGCCCACGACCCTGTCCGCGTCTCCGGCACTCGACACATACGCTTGCGCGAGCACTTTGTTCGGGACATGGTGAATCGGGGCGATATCTCACTCTCGCATGTGGGAACCAGCAACATGGTGGCCGACATCTTCACAAAGGCTCTTGGCCCAAAGATTTTCTCGACACACTGCTACGCACTAGGCCTTCGCACTCGACACCCACGGCTTGGATCTGCCTCGCATTCGCGTGGGGGGGGTGTGAAGAGTCCACTCTCAGCTCGACAGGGGCGCCTCGGTCGTTGCGCGCGCCTGCTAGCCTGGCCCCTGTGGTGGGGACTTAGGCGCGCGCGAGTGCCTCAGCGCGCCGGCGCCGGCGGTTTTCGGGCGCGCGCCGCTAGCCCGCCCTTGCAGTGGGGACTTAGCCGCGCGCGACTGCCTCAGCGCTCCAGCGATTTCGCCCGCGCCTGGGCATATCCCAGCGCGGGCCCCCTTTCCATTTCTTAGCTTCCTTCTCATCACTTCTGTTCGACTCTCGACTTCTCCTGACAGTAGTGGTGATCATCTCATAGGTACGCTGAAATAGATCACTTCTGTTCGACTCTCGACTTCTCCTGACAGTAGTGGTGATCATCTCATAGACGCCACCCGCACGCTCGAGCTCTTCTCACGACTCTGGGGTTTCCGTCCCATGCCCGGCACGGTTGCCGAATTCGACGGGTGGATCATGGAGTTCAAAGCCGTTGCGCAAGAGATCATCGACACAAAGACGACTATCAATGATGTTCTCGCCACACTCCTCCTTGCAATCGCCCACCCGTCCCTCGAGAGTTTCAAGGCGTTGTTCACCGATGAACAGCGCACGCAACGAACTCTCCCCGACATTGATTCGCTTGCCGACCGTATGCGAGTCCAACTCCGGTCAACGAACATCCCCAGCACTCAATCGGCCCTTCTTGCCTCGTCGTCGTCACGTTCTACCCGTCCCATGTGTCTCGCCTGTCGCAGCCCTTCGCACCGAGTCGCGGAGTGCCCTACGAGGGCGCAACACCCGCCGCCAGTGTTAAATCGTGTGTCTCGAGAGGGGACTGGATCGGCAACCAGTGAGTACACGAGACACAGTACGAGTGTTAGGAAGTAGTTTGGAGCGTTAGGGGGAAGACTAAAGAGGCTCGCGGTGCGAGTGCGCGAAATATCTCTAAGTCCAAAAGGGGTCCGAGCGGTGCGCGGCTGGCTAGGCTGGGCGCGGGCTGGAGATCGACCTAAGCAAGAGTGTATGGAATTCAACACCCCCCCTCGCTCGAAGCTTACTTAGCCTCGAAGACCCAGGTTGTCACGATGTACCTTGAACACCAAGGGTCCAAGTGCCTTGGTGAAGATGTCGGCGACCATGGTTTTCGTGTCCACATAGTCGACTTGGACGGTGCTCAGCCTGACCTGGTCGCGTACAAAGTGCTCACGAATGCGAATGTGACGGGACCGGTGGTGAAGGGTGGGGTTCTTGGCGAGAGCAATAGCACCTTGGTTGTCGCCGTACAGCTGGACGGGAGCTCGTGTGTCGATGCCCAGTTCCATAAGCAGTTCTTGCAGGCGTGTGAGAGGGTGAGGTACTCGGCGTCTGTGGTGGAGTCGGCCACACGGTTTTGCACTTTGGAGGACCAAGAGATGACAGATCCGGCCAGGTGGAAGCTGTACCCCATGGTCGACCGTGACGATGTGGTGCAGGTTCCCCAGTCTGCATCAGAGTAACCGGTGAAACCTGAGAACTTGCCTTGTTCAGAGCTGTAGTGCAGGCCTAGACGTGCGGTTCCACGTAAGTACCGAAATACGGTCTTGATGGCCGTCCAGTGTTCGGGTGTGGGACTGGCAGAGAAGCGTGCGAGGTATCCGACAGCGTAGGAAATGTCCGGGCGAGTACCGGTGGCAGCGTACAGGAGGCATCCAATAGCCCGCATGTAGCGTGTCCGAGCAGTTTTGGATGTTTCCGCGAGCGAATGTTCGAGCTGTCAGTTCGGGGCCATGGGCGTGGAGGCGGGGCTGCTGTCTGACATGCCAAATCTGCGGAGGATGCTTGTGATGTACGCCTCTTGCGACAGGATGATGGACTTGTCGGCCTGTCGCTTGATCTGGATCCCCAAGATGTACTGGGCTGGGCCAAGTCGCTTGATGCTGTATTTGACAGGCAACGTCGGAGGGGATGACGATGACTACACGCGAGAGACGAGGGAGAGAGCGAGAGAGCGCGCGAAAGCGCGAAGGAGCGAAAGGGGGGGTCGACCGAGGCGGCGGCAGTCGACCGAGAAGCAACCGCGGAGGATACGCGGCTGCAAGGCTCGCAGCAAGTCCAGTGTACCGAACTATGGTAGCCAACGAGGTCGGAAAGAAGAGGGAGGGCAAACGATCCAAGAAATAGCTGACCAGGCCGATGGGAAGGTCGAGTCGGCTGGGCGGCGGAAGTCGACCGAGAGCAACCGAGGAGTGGATTCGGTCGGAAGGCTTCGCAGCAAATCAAGTGTAACGGACTTAATTGCCAGCGAAATGGGTAAAAAGAGGGAGGGTACGAGTCTAGAAGAGTTGACCAAGCTCTGGAGGAAGGGTGGCAAAAGCAAAGGGAGGGAAGTGCTCCGAGCGAAGGAAAGACTGAGTCAAATAACTACACCACGAGGTCGCTTCAGGGGTAAAAAGGATTGCCCGCCAGGCACCGGTAAAAACCCCGAAGCCGGGCCTCGGATAACAAAAAGGGAAAAGAAACCAAAAGGCAGATCGCGCTCCGGGCGGATCGAACCCTCGACCACTGAGTGCGCGCCCGCGCGCCCTCACGACTACGCCATCGCGCCCACGATGCTTGCAACGAACGAACCGGTAGCTGATGTCGACTCCGGCCGCAAACTTGGGAGACTTAGAAAAAAAAAAAAAAAATCACTTCACCTCGCTTCACTTCACAATCGCCCTACTGCAGCCTTCGATACTCGAGTTAACAAGTGATACACCGACAAGATGTCTACCGGAGACCCTGGGTCCCCACTGCCGGCACCGCCACCACCGGTATCCGCCACCAGCGTCCAGCCCCCCCGCGACCGGATCCCGATAAGCTCGAAGAAGACGCAAGTCACGGGCCCCGCCACCGCCGCACCCAACTATGCTGCCGCTGTGAGTCAGATGGCGACTCAAACACCTGAACAACAGCAACAACAACAACAGCGTGCCAAGGCTCTGGGCAGCCTCCTACAAGCCATGGGTGCTGTACCCGGAAACCGCATGGATCGCTGGGTCCAGGCCATCTACTTCGCCGAACTCTACCCCGTCGCCACCGCCACATCGCTGAAATTTTCGGCCTTGAACGCGAACCGGTCCGTCGAGAACATCTTCGATTACGCCCTTGAAGTGACTCTGTCTCACCAGAGCGCCTCGCGAGCGACTCATGCCGACAAGATCGATCTCGTGGCCTGCGTCACGAGGCTGCTATCGCCCATCTCTCCTATCTGCTTTGAGCCTGGAGTTCCTCTGCCGGACCATCTTGCGGCTTATCAACCACAGATCTTAGGCGTACAACATTCATCAATCCTGCGTAATGGGGCGGCTCACCATCGCGTTACGGTTGGGTTCGTCACCGGCGAGGCACGTGACGCGGCACTCACGACGCCCCCCTGTCAGGATGACAGCGTGTACTCGAAGGAAGCCCCCCAAGGCTATGTGCGGGTAGAGTTGACTTGACCAGAGGCTTGCCTCGTTTCACAGCATCGTCGGTGCGATGGCGTAGTCGTGAGGCGCGCGGGCGCGCACTCGGTGGTCGCGGGTTCGAGGCGCCCAGACCGCAGTCTTCTTTCGGTTTGTTTTATCTTTTTGTTAGCCGAGGCGCGGCTTCAGGGTTTTTACCGGTGCTCCCGCGAGCAATCCTTTTTACCCCTGAGGCGACCTCTTGGAGTGGTTGATTTGGCTAAGTCCCCTCTGGGCCTGGCGCAGTCCCTTCCCTTTAGTTTTACCACCTTTCCCCGGGAGCTTGGTCCGCTCTTCTCTTTTGTTGCCCCTCCTCTTCTTGTCGATCGTTTGGGAATTAAGTCCGTTACACTTGATTTCCTGCGAGCCTTTCGACCGACTCCCCTCCTCGGTTGCTCCCTTGTCGACTGCCGCCGCAACAGCCGACACTTCCTGAAATCCCCCCCCCGTACCAACGCGTGTAGACGACATCATCCCCTCCGACGTCGCTTGTCACTTTTTTCAAGTTCGGCATTACCGACAACGATCCGCACCTCTACAACCGCTTCGTCCACCGTCCTGGACGAGCATTCGCCCCCACTCTCTGAGCCTGAGTCTTCAGCCTCCTCTCCGTTGCCGAATTCATCACCAACGAACGCGTCGCTGTCCTTCCCGACTTCCTCCACAGAGTCCGACGACGAACACGTTTATCCTTCCTACCCTTTCCGTCAACCGTCTCGTGCCCGTGTTCGTTCGCCCCGCAATCGCCGACGTTTGAGTCACGAGATTGCCATGGCCGACGAGCGCGACGTGTACCGCGGCGCCGCCGATGATCGAGACGCTCCTCTCCGCGACGAAGACCCCGGCCGCGCAAAACCGCCCAAGTCCCCGCCGCCCCAACCCTACCACACCGCCACCGCTCTATCGTCCCTCGAAAGCCGCCTCGAGGAATCCGAAGCCCGTCGTATCGATTCCGAGGCACGTGTTCAGCAATTGGAGAAGTTGGTGGAGGGTTTATTGAAAAGCTCACCTGAACCAGCTGCGGCGCGGGCCGGAGTCTCTGAACCAGCTGTGGCGAGGGCTGGATTCTCTGAACCAGCCGCAGCGCGGGCTGGGGAGTTTACGTTTCCGCCGGTGAGATCGGTCCCCTTGGACGTTCCCCCACACACCATTCTGGAACGTTCAGGCAATACCGCTGACCCCCTTGTTCGTTCCCCTGGGGGGGAATCTTGCAGCGCACGAAGGGACGGCCCTTCCTCGGCAGTAATCAGCTCTCGTTGGAGAGGGACGTTACCTGACCGGGAAGGGCTATGGACAGGGGATAACCCGGATCGGTTGGTCACTTTCACTACATTTGGGAAGTCGTACTTGTCTCTACTTTGCGACATTTCCACCAGCGACCTTTTTACCAGCGACCGCGTCATCCAGCTTGTGGCGACCTTGTTCGTTCGTTCCACTTCTCCCAAGCGCCGTCAGTCTCCGCACGACTGGGCCATTGATACTATGACGGACGCGCTCCGGGACGAACGACCTCACTGCTGGACGACACTGATGACAGAAGTTGGACGTCGTTGGCCGGATCCTGGCTTTGCCGACCGAGTGTCCCACGACTTCTACGGGTGCCGACAGTCTTCGTCTCGAGCCTACGACCATGTGGGCGAATGGCGTGCCCGCTACCGAGCGTTTATGCACAACGACCCCAGCTTCAGCCTCTCGCCCCTTCAACTCGCCACAACCTTTTATCAATCGTTGAGTGATGTGGCTAAGCGGGAAGTGCGGGCTGGTATGCTGCGGGAATATCGGGATAACTCACTCGTGACTATAGGGAGGTTCGGACGAACTGTCCCGTCCCTCGAGGAGGTTACCGACTGGGCCGCCATCGCCGACGACACCGGCACGACATCAGTTTCGACCCCACCGATTCGTACTGCGACTTATGGAGCAATTGCGAAAATGCCACGCACCGCCCCATCCACGCCAAACGACGACGCACGTACCCAGATCCGTCGAGCTCGATGGATGAACCGCGCCGGTAAATGGCAACAGGCCCACCTGTGGAAGGATCGGAACACGTGGTTTTCGCCAGCATCGGGTGGGGTACCCGCCAGCATGGCGTGTTTTAATTGCGGTCAAGGTGGCCATTTCTCACAGCATTGTACAGCGGAGCGACAATCCCCCTCGACCGTCCAAATATCAGCAATTGCCTTTGCTGACATGGACGAGGACGAATGGTCGTCGGCCTCAGGTGACGTTGAGGACCCCCAGGTGCGATTCCCCCTTCCCCTTGAGACTGATTTGACTCGACCGTCGAGTTCCGCATCCGCCTTAGTGACGCACCACTCTTGCCCTCCTGCAGACCCTGTTGGCCGAGTGAAAGACGTCGCCTCTTCTTCTTTTGAAGTTCAGACCTCATCAAGTAGTTCGCATCCAACCGTGCCGGCAAATGATGCAGATCAACATCGTCTCGACGATAGCCTGGCTGACATCGCGATTGACGCGGTGGAAGATGTCTTGTACTACGCTGATGCCGCGTCGCGCTTGTGTCATTATCCGGGGCCGGAAGTGGTGTCGTCTCGCAAGGCGGAAAGGACTGCTTCGGTGAGCTCTTTCCAGATTCTTGTGCCGTCGGGTGTGTCTCTCTTGGTGTCCGCTGCGCCCCTGATCGACATCGACGACCCCGACCGACCTGTCGAGCCCGCCATTGTACGCGCCCGCAACGTCATCGCGTGGGCGCTACCTTCTGGAAGGGTTTTGCGATGTTTGATCGACTCTGGATCAGGAGGTGGTGCGAGTCGACCCGAGCTTCGCAACGGCCCGTTTGACTGCACCGTTGCACTTGCGCCTCGGCACCCAGGATAAGTCCGACCGATGTGCTGTGTTCGCCACCGCTCCTTTTTCGTCTGGCGCCCTAGATCTCGGTTTGCGACCATTCTTCGTTTGCCGTGTAATGGCGTACGACGCCATCTTGGGGCTGCCATTTCTTAAGGACACAGGCATGCTCGTTGGTTGGGGCGCCTTCACCGTCGCGCGCACCGGCCCTTCGCAACCCGTCGCCCAGGATACGCACGAATGGGACCGAGCCGTCACCGTAGCACCTATCTTATCCGGTTCTGCCATTGGCTGCAATCACCCTGGGTTGCTCCCCGACGACGAGATCATCGGCCTCAAGCCACACAACCCGCTGCTCGATGTCGTCGACGATCCGGCGCTCGACGATTTCTCTGAGTCCGAAGCACATGTTGAATTTCATTCTACTACAAGCGTTCGAACACTTCAACCTTGGGCCGCCGTTGTCAGGTCCGCCCATTTTCGCCTCGGCGCCTTTGCCTTCGCAGCCAAGCCGCCGCCCCATTTTCACCTCGGCGCCTTCGCCTTCGCAGCCAAGCCGTCGCCCTCCTGCCTCGCGCCGGCCTGCTCAACTCACGCCCGCGCGCCGCCGCCTCCACGCCGGGACTCTGGCCGTCTGCCCTCCAGTCTTGCTGAGCCAATGCCTCCACTTAGTCACCAGCAGCTTGCCGCCGCCGTCCTCATGTTCCATCGGCCATCAAGAGTATCGCCCATGCATGACACCCGCCGTTTGCAACCTGAGTCTCGTCGCTATGGACTCCCTCGCTCACCAACACTCGACATCGTAGATAGGTTTCCCCTCGTGGCCGTTGTCCAACACGACCCCTCTCAGCACCCGAATGACCCACTTGGAGTTTGCCCTTGATGCTTAGCAGCGCATCCGCCCGATTTGCAGTAGATCCTTTGCGCGCCCGCTTGCTAGAACCTTGTCAGACTCGCGCTCCTTGTGCTTCCCTTCCTCTTCTCTACCGCTTCCCGACATTAGCCAGACTGCTAATCTTCGGTAGAGAACAGATCGTCCAGCCGCACCGCCGTCTCGTCAGACCGCGTCTGTGCCGCCTTGCAACTTCTCCCAATCGGACCGTCCGTCGCAACCGTAGCCACGTCGACGCACCCAACAGTAGCCCCAGCGGTCGCTACACCCAGTTCCGAAAAGTTCCACGACCTACACTCTACAGCACAAACACGATTGGCTGCCTTACTCGAGAAATTTTCTGATGTGTTCGTAGATTCGCTACCGATGGACCAACTCCCACCGTACCGGCCAGTCAACCACGAGATCCCGTTGATCGATCCCACCGAAAAGGTCAAACCCCGCGTATACCCCCTTGCCGACAAATATCGGAGCCAGTGGGCGGAACACTCAGCTAAGTACACTCGTGGTCGATTCTGGGTTTCGGGTCCGATCGATTCTGCGGCTCCGGTCTTTGCCATTCCGAAGAAGAACTCCCAGACGGCTCGTTTCGTGATCGACCTCCGCGCGCGCAACAGCAACACCGTCAAGCGTTTTTCGCCCATCCCGGACATGACCAATGTTCGATACAAGGTGGCTCGATTGCGTTATCGCTCTAAATTCGACGTGGCCGCGGCATTTGAGCAGGTTCGGGTCATACCGGAGCACGTCGATCGCACCGGCTTCGCAACGGTGACGGGCACGTACACGTCGCGGGTCATGCAGTTTGGTGACACCAATGCGCCCAATACCCTCAACCTCTTGACCTCGGCGATGTTCCAGCCGTGTCTCCCGTTCGCCAAGATCTTTTTCGACGATGTCCACGTCCATTCCGATACCCGTCGCGCACACTTGAGACACATCAAGATCCTGCTGATGACATTGAGACATTACCGGTTCTACTTAGGATCCAAGAAGTCCGAGTGGTTCTCAAAGTCGTTGGACTCCTTGGGCACCATCATTTCCGACGTCGGCATCGAAGTCGACCCCGCCAAGTGGGTGCGTATCCGTCAGTGGCCGATCCCTTGCAACAAGACCGATGTCCAGCGCTTCCTCGGCACCGTCAACTGGATGCGAGATCACCTACCGCACCTCTCAAAGATTTTGGAGCCGATCACCGCGTTAATGGCGCAATCGACGTCATGGCGTTGGAATGAGCGAGAACAGCAGGCTTTCGATACCGTCAAGTCCCTTGTGCCCGCCATCCTACGACCGATCAATGGCGCCAAGGTTACCTCGGGCGAGCACAAGATGTACCTCTTCACGGATGCCAGTCGGGTTGGCATTGGCGCTTGTTTGGCGTCCGGGCCCAACCGTTCGCAGGCCGTTCCAACGTGATTCTTTTCCGCTAAGTTCAACGGTGCTCAGCTCTGTAGAGTGTTGGTCGTGGAACTTTTCGGAACTGGGTGTAGCGACCGCTGGGGCTACTGTTGGGCGCGTCGACGTGGCTACGGTTGCGACGGACGGTCCGATTGGGAGAAGTCGCAAGGTGGCACAGACGCGGTCTGACGAGACGGCGGTGCGGCTGGATGATCTGTTCTCTACCGAAGATTAGCAGTCTGGCTAATGTCGGGAAGCACAAGGAGCGCGAGTCTGACAAGGTTCTAGCAAGCGGGCGCGCAAAGGATCTACTGCAAATCGGGCGGATGCGCTGCTAAGCATCAAGGGCAAACTCCAAGTGGGTCATTCGGGTGCTGAGAGGGGTTGTGTTGGACAACGGCCACAAGGGGAAACCTATCTACGATGTCGAGTGTTGGTGAGCGAGGGAGTCCATAGCGACGAGACTCAGGTTGCGAACGGCGGGCGTCATGCATGGGCGATACTCTTGATGGCCGATGGAACATGAGGACGGCGGCGGCAAGCTGCTGGTGACTAAGTGGAGGCATTGGCTCAGCAAGACTGGAGGGCAGACGGCCAGAGTCCCGGCGTGGAGGCGGCGGCGCGCGGGCGTGAGTTGAGCAGGCCGGCGCGAGGCAGGAGGGCGACGGCTTGGCTGCGAAGGCGAAGGCGCCGAGGTGAAAATGGGGCGGCGGCTTGGCTGCGAAGGCAAAGGCGCCGAGGCGAAAATGGGCGGACCTGACAACGGCGGCCCAAGGTTGAAGTGTTCGAACGCTTGTAGTAGAATGAAATTCAACACAGGGGGCGCGGCGGAGGCTCACTGAGGCAAAAGGCGGACAAGCCCGTCAAACGGCGGCCCGATGTCGAAGTGTTTGAAGGCTTGATAGAATGCAATTCAACAGAAAACGCGGCCCGAGCGTTTGCGGGCGTGGGGCGGCTGATTGAAATGAGAGATCCAGCCCAATGGCGTGTGTAACGGTCTTGGTGAGCCGACAACTCTGGTCCGGCTCAGAGATCAAGCTCAAGCGCAACTAACGCCGGGCCTCTCCTCACTTTCCTCTCACCAAAACCTAAGAGTCGTCTTCGATTCCACATCATTTCTCAACCTTCCATCTGGCAAACCAGACCTTGGGCATTTGTAGAAAACCTTCCATCACATTCCACAGCTTTTACTATAAAAGGTGGCCATTTGATAGTTTCTCCTTTGCTTCCTGCAAACAACAACTCATCCTCATACTCATACTCCTACAACACTCCTTACCCTTCTTGAGAAACCCTACAGTTCAAGTCCTGCTTCAGTTGCTTCGCAGTCGTAACCTGAGGCTGCTCCCTTGAGAACTCCCTCGCACCTTGTCCCCAAAAGTCTAGTCTCAGCCTAGACCTCTCTCCTGCCGCGAGGACCGTCATATGAGGTCCTCCAGGCGCCAAATTTCAGCTCCGACGCCATGAAGCAAAGATCTCCTATCTCCGACAGTTCCTAATGTTGAGAATAGTGAATTTTAGTATTTGCGGCTGCCACAAGTATGACGGTCCTCGCGGCCGGGGAGACCTTCTACATCAGCAACTTTACCACTTCCCAATGTGCGGCTAGATCTGTCTAAATGACTTTACCGCTCACAAAATGACCGGATCGTCTGAATCACTCTGAATTGTTCTGGAAAGTGTCTAGATCCACCACTTTGTCACACTGAAGTAGCAACTTGTGCAATGAATTGTCTTCGCTGTCACGGTCTTATACACACTAATGGCACCCACTTGCTGGAAAAAAATTATGACTGTGTTTTGCAATGACTACATCAGGATATGTGCACTACTGCCTGCCGTGTGGTATAAGACTCTGACTAATTGGAGCATACACAGTATGTACTGACATTTCAAATGCTATATAGGGGCTCTTTTATTTGTCGGCCCTCCCACCGCACGTTGCTCCGCATCACCCCTCCCTCTGATCTTTGAGGATATTGACAAAACTCTCACCAATATACCAGTAGTACAGAAAAAGCATCGAAAGAAATCTGACCCTCGCGGACCGACTTGAGCGCCGTCCGTCCCAATCACCTTTTGTCTGCTGAGAGGCAGAAGACGAAAGATGATATCACGTGACGACTATTGAGTGGTTAGTTCTGGCTAAAGAGAGTATTACAGTCTCCAACATTTTCGCTCCGCAAGGCCAAGAAGGGTTGGTCGCGCTTGCCTGCATCGAGCCCACCCGTACGCGCGCCTAGGGCGCCTCGTGCTAGTGCCTGCGTCGACGACTCGTCCTCGACACGCTCGTTGCTGTGCGAAGGTTGTGTTTACTTGCGCCTTTCCCTCCTGCCCTTCACTGCTTTTTGCCACCTTCACGCCAGCGTCCCCTACTCGACGCTCTCCCCGATTCTTGTTATCACCCATCCACATTCCAACAGGTCACCGTGATCATGCAGTAGAAGTCAATGTGGCTGTGCACCAGTCTGCCCGCCGCAGCTCCCAATGGGAGGGAGAACCGCCGCTGCTTTGACCTATTCTCGTTGGTTGAGTTGCTCAGAGGTCAGAGCAACTCTGATTAATGGAGTGGACCTGAGTTTGACTCTCAGTTCCGGGAATTCCCATTTCCCAACTCATGCCACCACGCAGGGTGGTGAGGAGGATGTCAAGTAGAGGTTGCAGTCACCAATGAGGCGGCACAAATGAGCACCTAGTAAGTCGGTCCTATACCATCTTTGCCAATAGGTCAGTTAGTTTTGATAAATGATCTCAGATAGGGCCAAGCGTAAACGCACTCGCACCGCCTCAGCTAACTCAGGGGCTCAACCGTTGTTGAAGAATCGGTGTATCACAAAGTCGGTTACAGCTACAGCGAGACAGTCTGGTTACTTCTCACACTGGCCGATGGTATCTTGGTCTCGTGACATGGCTTACAGCTCCTACCTTGAAGCCTAAATCGCTAGTACTGCCGCCACCATCGAGCCTGACTGAGTGAAACCGCTTGCAGCAATGCCAGGAGTCGTGTTCACCGGCAGACGACTTCAAAGGGACGACCTGTCCGATGAAGATGTTGTTTACAAAGATGCTGCTGTCCACAATGATCTCGACGCAGACAATGACGGCAATGATGGTGTCCCCGAGTGGTGCCCAAGGTGAGTGCGCACATCCACAACAACAATTGATTACAATTGTATATCAATCCAATGCTAAGTGCTAGCCTCTGCTTGATACGTGAATTCAAATCACGCAGAATTTCGAAAGGTTAGATGACCGTGCCCCCTGAGCTGGCTTTGAGCTTTTTCTGACGGACACGGTTAGCAACAGATGCAGGTCCCCGCCGTGTTCCTCCCGCACAAGGCCACTCCATCTCGAGGGTGCCCAAAGCGCGCACTGTTCTTGGTGAGGATGACAGCGCGTTTGCAGTCCACCCCTTACCTTTCTCATCTCACCCCACGCGCGCAATTGTAACCTAGTCGCAATATCATGTGCACTACCCTCAGCTCACCTACTGTTGCGACCAGCCCTGCTCCTTCATTGGATGGTGGTAAGCCCTTCGCCTATGGCGGCAAACCTTTCCTCGCTCCGCCCTTGGGTTGTCTGTCACGGAGCCGCCGAACCCACGCGTTGGACAACATGACACCAGATGAAGACAAGGTGGCCGGCATATGGTGCAAGCACAGTTGGTGTGTTGTGAATGAGGATTAGCAGGAAGGCGGCTATTGGCTATTTGATTAGAAGTGCGCTTTTGTTTAGTGAAGCCTGGCGATGCGCACCAACCGTTGTCTTCTCTGCACGGTTGGATTACACGCTCATCAGGTACGTACATTTAGCAGTATGGCTACTATCATCTGCAATTAACTGACGGTTGGATTACACGCTCGTCAGTCTCTTATTTGGTAGCGTCTGTATTGCCGCAAGGCACAGATCCGCAAGCAGAAAAGATGCAGCGCATATCCAAGATGGTGACAACCACGGCGGACCACGTCAGTCTGATGGGCGACTTGTACGGCAAAGTCGACGCCAGCAATTGGGGTATTGCCCGGGAACGACTCCAGAACGTACTGAAAGGCGAGGGCCGCCTCAAGCACATCACCGGTGCACTCGACGTCGGCCCCGAGCCTCTGCAATCCGAGTTCGCCCGCTTGGAGGGTGACACCCGCGTCGACGATGTGGCCATCTATCGCAACCAACTTCGATTGTACCGCCAGGATGTCGATGCCCTTGACCAGGCCCTTGCGCAGGCGCGCAACACGCTGATTGTGTGCCTGGGGGAATCCACCTTCGCCCGCGTCAAGGCCAATGCCACGTACAACCTGTGGGCCGCGCTCGATAAGGACCTCAGTCGCACTTCGGACGATTTCATGCGTTCGGCAAAGCTCGACGCCCTCTTCTTGTGCGAACCATTTGTCGACGGCGAGGCGCTTGACCCCTGGCTTGCGAACTTCAACCGCTTGTTCGAGGACCTCGTCGCCACCCACGTCTCCCGCGACAAGGCCTACCAGCGCGCCAAGATCGACGGCACGACGTTCACCCAAGCCGATTTCGACAAGTGGGAACCCCCGCCCGCGCTGTCCAAGGGCGTCCGCATGGACCTCTTGAAGGCTAGGATGCCGAGGAACCTCGTGACCGTCATCGACTCCATCGGCACGCTCCCTTCTCTCGAGCAAGTTGAGGGCGCGATACGTCGGGCTGCACTCTCCTCGAGCCAGCAGTCCGAGCCCATCACCGAAGTGTTGGCGGCACGTACGCAGATCCGAGGTCAGCCACCCTCGGGTCGTCCTTCGGGCAACTCGGCACCTCCCTTCCTCCAGGCCTCGAAGGTGCCCGGTCTCAAGGAATGGTGGCCTCACGGGATCTCACACGCCGGTCGCCTGAAATTGGGCCGGATGCAGTGCAGGATGTGCTACGAGCAGGGCCACCTCGGCGACGAATGCCCTGTGCCTTTGACTGAGATCTCTCGCCGCCACATCGCTGTTCTCGCCAGACACAACATCACCATTGGCGCGGCCGACCGCGAACCGGAGCCACCTCTCGGGGACGAATCGTACGAGGGCTACTTCGTCGTCAGCGTCGCCATTGGGGACGACAACACGGCGTTGTACCTGAGCGACAACCCGCGCTATCTGCTCGATTCGGGTGCGACTCGCCGGGATCTTCTCGTCGACTTCAAGCCCTTCACCACGGAGCGCGTCCGCGTCGTCGGCGCCTTCAACTCGAGCGCCATGGCGACTGGTACGGGCAATCTCCGGTTCGGCATTGGCGATGCGCCCCTCGAGCTTCGCGATGTCCTCCTCGTCCCCGGTCTGTCCACTGAGCTCGTCTCCCTCGCCGGCCTGATGAAGGATGGGTACAAGCTATCCGACGAGTGTGACGCGGCTGGGAGGAATACTGGGATCACCATCTTGAGCGCGGCGTCACACCTTACTTTCGTCCTCGACCGCAATCACTACGTGCTCCAGGCAAGTTCTCCCTCACCTCCTCGGGCGGATCACCTGGCGCTGACTGCCACCACCTTGCCTACAGATGTAGTGCTTTGGCATCAGCATTTGGGTCATCCTTCTTGGGGTCGTTTGGTAGAGCTTGCTAGATCGGGTCGTCTCCCACTCAACCTCGCCGCTGTAATTCAGGACCAGATTCCTCTCCTTGATCAGTGTGATGCTTGCTGCACCGGCAAAGCCATTTCCTCACTGAACCGCGAACCCGCAAGCCATCCCGCGGACACACCTTTCTCCTGCGTCTTTGCCGATGTATGGGGTCCTTCCCCGGTTCCCGCTCTTTTGGGCGCTCGTTACCTCTGCGGCATCACGGATGAGTTCTCGCATTTCCGCTGGGCCCGCAGCATCCGACTCAAGAGCGACTCGGCTGCCGTCCTTCAGGCTTTCGTTGCGATGTCGAAGACCCAATACGGGGGCCAGGGTGTCACGACCCTTCGCACGGACAGAGGGGGTGAGTTTGTGAACCACACGCTCCGGGATTGGCTCGCCACGCGGGGCATCTTCCACGAGCACGGTCAGATGGGCGTTCAGGAGCGCAGCTGGCGAACGATCTTCAACTCTGTTCGCGCCTGGCTCCATTGCTCTGGACTGCCTCCCACGCTTTGGGATGAAGCAGTGCACCCCTGACTCCGTTCTCCACGAGCCCTCGGACCCGGTCACGGACACTCGCCGCCCCCGCCTCGACCATGTCAAAACCTGGGGCTGTGCCGCTCATGTACCGCTTGCCCCCGAGCAACTCCCAACAAGTTAGCTCCGCGATCCCGCCTCTGCTACTTTGTCGGTTACTCTTCGCACTCCAAGGCCTGGCGGTTGTTCGATCCGGTTCGTAACAAGGTCTTTGAGCCGTCTCAGGCCAAGTTCTTTGAGGACTGGTTCTTTCCCGCTGCGGTGAGCCCTGCCATTCCTGTCGCGGCCGGTTTGTCGTACCCGCCCGCGCCGCTCGGCATCGCTACCGCCGCCGCGCCCCCTGTCGCAGAATTGCCTGCCGCGGCTCCCGCTGCCGCCGCACCGCCACCCGTTCCGCCCGCCCTTGCGTTTTCAAATCCTGGTCCGGCGAACACACCGCTTGTTGGTGACCGCTCCACCCGAGCCCGTCGCCCACCTGACTATCTCGGATTTGCCCACACGGCACAGCATTGGGAGTTCGCCGAGCACGCCGCCGTCCAGGTCGACGACTTCGACAAAGGCGACCCTGCCATCCAGATGTACTCGTATGGGGAAGTCTCTGCGTTCCTCGCCCAGATCAACAGCGACGACGCTCCCTCGGTCCGGGCTGCCCTCGCTCGCCCTTTTCGTGACTACTGGCTTGGGGCCATGTCAACGGAGGAGGGAGCTCTCGCGGCCAAGAACACATTCTCCAAGCCGCTTCGAACCCCGCCCGGAGCGATCATTATTGGCAGCATGTGGGTCCTTCTCGTCAAGCGCAATGCCGAGGGTCAGATCGTCAAGTACAAGGCTCGACTTGTTGTGCGTGGGGACATGCAAAAACGCCGGGGGGAGCAAATCGATTTGTTCTCGCCCACGGGTCGCGCCGCATCTCATCGCCTGTTACCCGCTCTCGCGGTCGAGAACGAGTGGGAGACCCGCCAGTTTGACGTCTCGTCTGCATACCTCAACGGCAACCTTGGCGGGACCGAGATCTACATGCGTCTGCCCGGAGGCGATGTTGTGCGCCTGCAGCGCGCTCTCTACGGTCTCGTCCAGGCGGGCCGCAAGTGGTACAAGGTCTTCACTGAGTGGATCCTGTCTATCGGCTTCACCCGCTATGAGACGATCACCACTACTGTCAGGAGAGGTTGAGAGTCGAACAGAAGTGATGAGAAGGAAGCTAAGAAACAGAAAGGGGGGCCACGCTGGGATAGGCCCAGGCGCGTGACAATGTACATCCCTAAGTCAGCCGCGGGTGAAATTGCCGGCGCGCCTAAGTCCCCACCGCAAGGGGGCGGGCTAGCGGGCGCGCGCATGAATCCGCCGACGCTGGCGCGCTGAGGCAGTCGCGCGCGTCTAAGTTCCCACCGCTGGGGGGCGGGCTAGCAAGTGCGCGCAACGACCGAGGCGCCCCTGTTGAGCTGAGAGTGGACTCTTCACACCCGCACCGACAGTGACCATGCTGTCTTCGTTCGCAAGGAGGGGGACCGATGCTCTTTCCTTTCCATTCACGTTGATGACGGTTTGCTCACGGGTGACAGCGATCTCGACGACGTGCTCTGTCAGCTGAAGGCTCGGTTCGAAGCTCGCAGCACCGACGAGGCATCATTCGCGAGGGCAAGACGGGTGCGGCGATCGTCAACCAGGCGCATTTCGTCGATGCCATCCTCGAGGAACACCACATGGCCAATGCCTCTCCCCAACCCACGCCTCTCGCGGCTCCGTCGACTCTGAAGAATTGCGCCGACTCAGACTTCGATCCCGCCTCAATCCCTTATCGCGCCATCGTTGGCAAGCTCCTCTATCTCTCTGGCACCACCCGACCCGACATTGTGTTTGCCGTCTCGAAGGTGAAAGGCACGAGATTGCTCTCGAGCCTCACTGATTCCGAGTCCAAACAGAAAGGATCAAACGGTGTAATTCGCAGGCGAAGAAAGACTACTAAAAGGACTAAGGTCAAGAGACGCGGCGGCGCCGCGCGCGAGGGCAAGCGTGAGGCCGCAGAGGTTGGCTCGAGGTCGTTGTGAGGCGTAAGCGGAGCGGCGCCTTACAGAAGGCTGCTCGTTTCTGCAACGACTTCACAGCGAAGCATTGGGAGGCGCTCAAGCACATTCTTCGCTACCAGAAGTCCTTTCAGCCCATGTCGGTGATCTTGGAGGGGTTTGTCGATGCTGATCACGGTGCCGACCCAGTCACCCGTCGCAGCGTCTCGGGCTACGTCTTCACGTGCGCCGGTGGGGCTATCTCTTGGATTGCCAAGCGACAGACTCTCGTCACCCTCTCTAGTACCGAGGCTGAGTATGTGGCCATGTTGTATGCCGCTCGTGACGGGATTTGGTTACGTCGATTGCTTGCGGATCTTGGCTTCAAACAGACTGCTCCGACTCGTTTGCGGGGTGACAACCAATCCGCCATCACTCTGGCCAAGCACCCGGCCTTCCATGCTCGTACCAAGCACATAGGCATCCACTTTCACTTCATTCGAGATCACATCGCGGAAGGCACAATCGAGATGGTCTGGGTGCCCACTGGCACCATGGCTGCGGATGTCCTCACCAAAGGGCTTGGGACTCAGAAGCACTATCAGTTTGTACACGCGATGGGGCTTATAGATTCATCGCGTGAAGGGGCGAGTTGGTGTGTTGTGAATGAGGATTAGCAGGAAGGCGGCTATTGGCTATTTGATTAGAAGTGCGCGTTTGTTTAGTGAAGCCTGGCGATGCACACCAACCATTGTCTTCTCTCCACGGTTGGATTACACGCTCGTCAGTCTCTTATTAGCACCAGTTTGCGCAAAGCATCCGCCGCAGACCTGGACTGTGGGTCATATCCCACTGAAGTCCGTTAACCGTTGGACCAAATTGCTACAAAGCTTCCGATTGCGTCCTTCACCGTCAATGATGTCATTGTTGCCACGGTAAGTCACATGTTTGCCCGGAGATTCAGAAACACCTGCTGCATCATCAGTTCATTCCAACATGAAAGGGTCTCTGACATTCCATGCAACTTCTTGCTGGCTTTAGCTGCGGTGCGTGCTGGGCAAGTTGCTTTACACGGCGGACAAGTTCTCTGCGGAGGTCTACGGACCAGTCGTCTTCAAGATCATGGATCACTGCTATGATGGTTCGTATAGCTCGATTACAGGTGTGTCATCGCAATGTGTGTGGACTAGCGTCGCAGCTTGGGTTGGGCACAAAGAACTTCGTCAATTGACGGAGGCCCGGCTGAGGCCGCCGCTGAAGCGCCTTTGTTCGGATTTGCCTAATTTGTGCTCTTAAAAGAACGTAGAGTCTAACCCCCTTCTCTGTAAATGCAATGTGATCATACCATTGTACATAACCCTACTTGAATAGGTCATAATTGGTCTGAAATGGCACTGGAAATGCTCTGGATGCTCTGGAAGCGCTCTGAATGCCTGAATTTCCAGACAAAATCTAGAGCAATCTAGCAGCGCAAGGCTGAATGCGCTTTACGCGCTTTACACCCGGATTGTTCTAGATCGGCTCTGAATTGTTCTGAAGCGCGCGTGGTAAAGTTGCTGATTAGTAGGCGGGGCTAGATGGTGTGAGGGAGTCTCGAGTATGAGATCAGGTTAGGACCGTGAAGCAACGGAAGTAGGTCAAGGTGGTGGCTCTCGAGATGGATTGGGACTAGGGACTATAGGATCAAGGACGATGTGTTGTTGCTTGCAGGAAGCAAAGGAACATCTACAATTGGGCCGGCTTTTATAGTAAAACTTGTGGAATGTTATCAAAGGTTATGGAACTTATCTTGAAAGAATGGAGAACGTGGGTAGAAGGAAATAGAAGCGAATCAAATGAAAGCCAGAGAATGAGCTCAAAGCTCGAGATCCATAATTGAGAAATGGAAGCCAATGGAACGGCCAAGGAGCGCGACGATGGAATCAAATCAAACAAGAACATGGAAGCAGATGGAACCAATTTCGAAGCTTGGACGGATGATCGTAACAACAAGGAATCCATATTGCACCTGGTTGGGTGACCATAAAGGCTCTGTAGCGTAAACCCATGGGCTCCTCAAAATCTATCTCCATCGAGCCTATAAAGTTCACCATGTCAAGCCTATAGAGAGTCCACCAGGGACCCCTGCGGCCCCTCCGTGCGGCGGATCCATGGCGAGCTCCATGGAACCTGCACGGATCTCCAATGGTGCCCGTACAGGTCTCCAACCCGGAGGTCATGTGGGCCAAGCTCACGGAGTCTCCATGGATTCAACGCGGGCCCAGACGGAAGTAGTCACCCATATGGATTCCAGATTGAATTACATTATGGAGCCCGCAAAAATTCCAGGCAGAGGCCACAAACTAGACGCGCCCATGCGGAGCCCATAAGGTTCACGCACCAATGTGTAGTCAGGGTAAAGGGGGCGGGTGGGCGGGCGGGCGGGCAGGGTCGGTGTCGAGACCGCCGGAGTGCATATAGCCAGCTCGCGGAGTGAGCGCACGTGAGGTCCGAGCGCGAGCGCGTGGGAGATTGGGATCGGACTGAAGTAAGCTCATCAACACATTAGTGGCGCGTCTGGCCCGGTTGCCCTCCGAATTCTCTGGGCCAAAAAAGGGTGGTTTGCTGTATCATGGCAAATATTGCAAAACTTTTTACGACAGCGAAGTACTAAGCTCTTCTAGCTTAAAAAACATCATGTGCCACGTGGCTAGTCTTGTGATGAAGTTGACGTCAAGCTGCAGCAGCTCAAAGTCTGCGTTCTGGCTCGGAAAGGCCTAAAAGTGGTCCGAGCGTGCCGTTGCAGCCCTCTCGACTCTGGCACAGCGAGCTCACGCCGGTGGCTCCCGCTTCTTCTCCCTCGATCGTCGCAACCACTTCCCATCGTCAGCAATATCTCAACGCACCAAGATGAAGTCTTCGGACCATCAATGATATCGAAAAGGAAATACAACTCTTCATTGCGTCAAAAGCAACGCCGCAAGGCCGAGGTAGACAAGAAACTCCGTTTGCTCAACATCTCGCTATGTCAATACCTCCAGTGGTACTTCAACCCAGACACAACAGCCCTTCAGGTCTTGACGCATCGCCCAAAGCTTTTCAACGGTCATTGGCCCAGCTTCGAACACGTGCTCAATCTGATCGTAGAAGTAGGCCGACAAAGTAGCAGCAATGGACGAGATCCATCAATACGTGGATTGCCAAGCAGGTAGGTAATGCTAGCCATATACCACAATTCACATCCCCTTTTGATCACCCCCGTTATCTTGGAACAGTCTTACTCGATCATTGTTCGGGAGATGAAGAGATCAAAGCCAACTTATGTTCCCAGCCACGAGATCACACCCGACCGTCTGACATCCGACTGCATCGACGAAGGGCTCGACAAAATTGCAGACGACAATCAGTTTCTTTTTGGTCGAATTCAAAACCTACTCTGTCGGTGCGCAGATACTGCCTGGAGAGAGCCGATCGATGGCGTTGTTGCCAATCGTACCGCACAAGATGAGGTCATGGAAGATACCGATGGTCATGGTCTGCAAGAACACGGCACTGAGTCGCAACATCGTAGGGAAAAGTACTTGTTGTTTGTGAGTTCTCAACCGTCGTTTGTCTTGTTGTGCTCACACTTCAGACTTCGCACTGACAGTGTCCGCTTTCCAGCTTTCACGCACTCTGATGGGGCAACTCGCGTACACTTGCAATCGTCGGTGCAACGCCATGCAACATCGTAACGGTTTTTTCGCCTTGGCATGCGGCGCAAGCGAGTGCTTGACAACTTTTCTGCAAGAGTGACTCGAAATACTTGAAATCCTCGCTTTTGTCGAGCAAGCGGAGAATCGACCGTGACTTCGAGGCCCCAACTTTTGTGCAGCGCAGAAAGACCGATCGATGTTTCCTCCCTGGTGTTGCAGTACACAATTGATTGAGGGATACTACTTGAATCAGATCGGACGCTGAACATTCTGGGAATATCTGTCATTGTAGCCTTGGTATGAGGTGTCATTTCAACGACAATGTTGCGTAAATTAGGGCAAAATAGGTCGGCTTTGGCAAGAAAAGTTCGCGATTTAGAGATGTTGGCAACCGCTAGAATTTTGTTGATTTTGTCGGGTGGCGCGCCCGCAGTAAGGAACAAAATTTGACAACCAATTCGGAGACGTTGTTGAACAATTTGAGCATACTCGGCGCGAAATGGGTTGGATCCCTCGGTGGTATGCGCCATAGCGCCGACTCGGTCTTTTCGTCCCGTGAGTCCCCACTCGGCGGCGATCTTGATCGCCTCGTCGTAAACCAGCAATTTGATCCGCTCTCGAAATGAGGAAGTGAAAATCAATTCACTCCAACGAACGTTGCGCGCATGCATTTCTGGAGACTGCGAAGTCAACAATGCCGTACAATAGACCGTGTTCAGCCAACTTGAAGCAGAAAATGCAAGGTCACAAGGTCTTGAAGCTTACAATGAAGATGTACTCAACTTCGCAAAGGGGACTTTCAATTGCTCGTATAATTTTCCGTCTTTCCAAGTTTTCTTGGACGCAACAACGGCCATCTTGCCCCTCATGCATAGCTTTGCTGCCTGTTGAATGCTCCGAGCGTGACCGTCTGTAGACGCCCGACACATTGGCCGGCAGGAGTCTTGCTTACCTGATGCTCACTCAATGCATTTAAGGGACTGATGATTATTGTAATTGCTCGCTCACTGAACACGAGATTTATTGCTTCAAAAGGTGTACTTTTGCCGGACCCTGTTGGTGCGGCGACGAAGACTGCGTCGAACGTATTCGTGCATCCGCGCTTCCTGTCGAGCTCGAGGAGACCAGCGATTGCATTGATCTGAAACGGCCGCGGCTCGAAGTCGTCACCAAACTCTTCGAGAAGCAGCAGCTTGACCTTGATGCGTAGCGAATCACGGTCCATTCGATCCTCCTTTGGAATACGTGAGTTCCATCGAACGACATCAGCAACGTTGCCACTTTGCTAAACGCCACTAAATAAATCTCGAGCCGCTAAACCGCTAAAGTGCACAAAATGGCACAAAATGGCGCTGTTTGATGAACTTAGCAAAGTTTGATGAAGTTGACACTTAAAATTTGGAGGAGTGCTGTGGTGAGGTGTAACAATGTCAGGACCTTGGTTGCTATTCTTCCTATTACAAACTCTAGGTATCAGTATACCAAGTACTCGACCTGCAATAGATACATAAAGACATGATTTGCTCTCAACACCTGTTTGCAGTATTATAATCTACTCTCGAAGGACTGAAGCTATACTGTTGATTCAATTGACCAAAATCATGACAGGGGCTATTCTGATAGATCCATTTGCGCCGCCCTCCCTTTCCCTTCCCGCAACTCTGAGGCATTCTCTGATCACGTAGAATTTTGATGCTAAATACTCTCGCAAAGCGATAACATACATGCTCACAAGTTCACAGATTTACAGTCAACTGGTCTTTCCAGATGTCCACAACATTCTGGATATTCCATGCCGGCGTGATCTCCATTTGACAAAGTAGCACCTGCCTAAGATCCGATCGTAAAACAAAACATCCTCAACCGAGTGTCGTAGATTGAAGTCGCTGTGCGGCGACGGAAGAAGGAAATGTGCCTCCTGCGCCTACGAACGGAGTGGGACTTAGACAAATTTTGGGAGTAAGGCGCGAGTCGCCGCGCGGCGCGCCAACTGGCGTGAACCGGGCCTTCGCCAGTCAGTGCAAGCGCCGTCGCGGCCAAGTGACTCGCATTAGGCCACGGCCGCGTTGTTGTTTACCAAGTCCACGCGCCGTCGCGAACCTCCTTTTCCTTCCTCCCACTCACTGACACCGCTCGCAATGCCCACCCCTTCTTCCCTCTTGCCTCCACCATCATCTTTCAACCTGGCCCCGGCCATTTCCGAGTGAGTCGACCGTATGGCACAGCCATTGAAAGGTATGGCTGAAGCGTTACAAGCCGCCGGCAAAGACACCGCCAGCGTCCGGCGGGACCAATGCGCGGTCAAAACAAACACGAAGCAGAGAGAGGCGCACGTCACATCTTGGCAACGCTAACCATCTTCGGAGGGGTTCTTGGAACTTCGCTGTGGCCCCACTGTTAAGGTGAGCTTGAGGAAGTTATACTGTTGTCTAGAGCAGGAATTTGCTGGTAAGTATTTGCATTACTGCAGAGAGATTTCCAGTTCGGCCGGAAGCCAGACGACCTGTCAAACTCACTGTTGAACGATCTCGCCGCCGTGTTCGCAGCTTGCGCCAAGAGCCAAAAGCTGGCCTCCCTCAATGCAGCGCAGCCGGACCACCAAGCCCTGGCTTTTGGTCTAGTATCTTACGCTCTTACACTTAAGCTGCGGTGAGTCGAGAGATCATCCGCGGATATCGGTTTTATTCCTCTGACATTCGACCTAGCGTTCGTCTACCGGTCTCATCAATAGGCGCGCGTGTCTCTCGAAAAGGTGATGCCCCCGATTGCGGGGTTCTCCGGTGAGTCTCAATCATCAGATGTTGCGACATACACGGGTTGTTTCCGCAGCGGGCAAAGGGGGGGGGGTATGCTTCCGTTTTCAGGCGGCGAAACAGTGGCCAAAGACTCGCTCGAGGCAAGCCCGGGGGCCTGGCACTTTATAAGAACACTAGGCGCCGAATGATACGTAAGAAGAGGACTCAGAATAGATTGTTTGGCTGGCAGTAGCCTAGTACTTAGCACTGCGTAATATGAGTGGAATGCAAGCATATACCAGTACTACCAGGCATTGATCGCTCAAGCGTGGTTATACACATAAAAGCATTGAAATCAGTTTGCTGTTGCAAAAGCACTATAAGTGCACTTAAGTTAACTGCCTTTTAAGTGTCATTTAGCGACCCACCGGAGATTATAGAAAACGAGCTAAATTGCACTAAAAGTGCGCTAAATGGCACTAGCAAGATTGCACTAAAGCGCGAGTGGCAAAGTTGCTGATGGATCGAGGGGGATTCGGGGGTCGGGTTGGATGACGGCTCTACACGGCCGATAGATGCTGTTAGACTTGCTTTGCTGGCTGAACGCATAGGAGATTCTCTGATTTCAATTGAGGGATGTCAACGAGGTAGGTTTTTGGCTGGTGTGGTAGCATTTTGGGCTGACATGCTTGGGGTGAAGAGCCAAAGCCTGGTTTGGCCTTGCAGCCGCTCGTTCGAATTCGAGCCCTCCTGGTCCGTGCGCGCGAGTGCGTCTAGGAAACATTCAGGACTTTGTTCCGCTGTAGTACCATGTAAACGGCATGTGTTTGCTTGTCTTTTTGCAATACACCTTTTCAACTATCTGAGTATGACCTCTTCAGCTGTCGCAAAAAGTTATGTCATATTTGCCATGATACAGCAAACCACCCTCTTTTGGCCCAGGGAATTCGGAGGGCAACCGGGCCTGACGCGCCGATAATTGAAGGGTGTAGGCGCCATTTGCGGATGAAATGTGGACGAAAACGGAAAAAACAGGCACAGCGGAGCCATTTGAAGCCGGGTTAATGTGCCTGAGAGACCGTGCCTGAAAAAAGCTTAATTGGTTGTTTTGTTGTGCATTCTTTTATGTAGATGTAGATAGATAGCCTGCTATAGCTCAGCAAGGGAGAGGGGACAGGGGAGGCCCGAGCGCGCGAGCTCGATCGGCGCGTCAAATCCTTGCAGCAAAGGCCAAACAGAACAAAATGGCTCCCTTCTGATTTCAATCAGCATTATTTGAAATTGTTAGTCTTTTTGGATGTGTAGTCCAGTTGTGAAGTGGCTGGCCTTTCAGATGCTTGGAAAACTGTATTCTCTTCTTTAGCTCACAGGCGACTTGTGACCTCTCCAATGTGCAGTTGTGTGGCGTAATTGTGAAGCACTACATCCTCGCATGTTCGCTCCATCGCCAAGCTCCCGCCCACCTTTGGCAGGATCTGTATCCGCAGGGCATTGATTTGTTTTGTGTCTTGACCTCGATAACAGTAAAGGAAGGGGAGACGGAGTGAAAGAAAAGCAAATTTGAATGCCAAGGCAAGTCTTTAGTGAAGCTACTTTTTCTCTTTGATTGCCACCTGTATTTGGTCGCCCTCTTCAAAATTGAGTGCTGCCAAAGTCGATGAATTGGCCAGTATCCGACCATTGCGGAGCAGCTTTTGCTTAGAAACTGGGAGGCCAACCTTGCTCTGTTGGAATCAGACTGAAGCATCTTAGCAGATTTCTTGCATAACATTCCAGAACCAATAACTTACAGTAATGCGATCACGGATGGTTCCAACCAGTAGAGTAAGTGGAACCTCAAGCGTAAAAATGCTTCCATCACAGCCCCAAGTTGGTTTCGCCGGGTATTCGGGAAGCTGGATCTGAATCCGGATGGGATCCTGCAAACGAACAGTGCTTGTGTACAATGAGTCAGCAGCATCTGTGGTATCCGACCAGGCCGTGACTTACGGTTCCATGCACTTTCAGCCATTCTGCCTCAGATCGCAGATCACCGTTGCCAGACACCGATAAGCGTGCACGCTTCGCGGTTGGCTCTCCATCCGGCCTCGCGTCGGCGGGTCTGTTGGGATTGCAAACCACACCAGCTTGTGCACCAGCAAAAGATGGCAAGGATGAATCAGAGGTCTGACTTGGCCCAGCCGTCCCGGGTGTCTCAATAGAACTCGTAGGCACGGGCATAGCAGTCGGAAGCGGGAATTGTCCAGGTGAAGGGGTGTTCGTAGTAGTAACCAGGGTAGGCTGACCAGCAGCTAGCATCACAGATGGTATCCCAGAGGACGACGTCGAGTCATCCATAGAGGCGCTTGTGATATCGATATTACTGAGGTTGGGCACAGTGGGACCAATCACTGGGGCCTTGTCATTCTGGGATCTGCTCAATAACAAAAGAGGAGGCATCAGCTTTGCAAGCTTATCAATAGTATGCGCGGTGCCATCCTCCTTACCCTACCAATCCTTTGGCACGATGAAGAGCCTCGATCTGCTCATCTAAATTTGCACCCGCCTGGTACCGGGACGTGATAGCGTCTTTGGTGGTCGTGTGCCCATCCCACACGCCTAATTCACGCTTCTTGGATCTGGCCAGCGTTTCAGCTTGTTCCTGCTTGCGCCGGGCCTCGTCATCGGTACCGACGCCGAAGATGTCAGGTCGATGAGCGGCCAGGTCCCGGATTGAGGAGGAGACATCGGTGCCTGTTTTAGAGGCTGAGGTCAACATAGTGTCCCACCCTCCGGCGAAGAGCGGCATGCTGACCCTGAGGTAGAAGATTGGCGGTGGACCGGTTGACCTCGCTCTGTCGCTTGTCCTCCTTCCAATTTGGATCCAGTAGTTCGATTCGGACGTGACTAGCAAACTCCTCAACAGGAATCTGTTGGTTATTGAAAGTGGTGAAGGCTTGCGAAGGTGCAGCAGGGCGATTCGCTGCATCAACAGATTCAAGATGTCAGCCCGTTGGCGAAACTCCTGGCAACACGAGGGGCCACACCTTTTGGCACGTAGTCTTTGCGGATCTTCATCGGAGCACTTGTATCAGCTGCCCGGATCTCGATAACCGGTGATTTCACGGCCATCGGTTGGGGAGCCGCTTGATCGCGTGCGCGCATTTGGTCATCGTCGTCGTCGCCGCGCAGGTCCATTCCTTCCGTCTCGTCATCGCTGACAATATCGTCCTGGCCGGCGTTTCTGCCTTCCATGATCATCGCTGCCATCTTCTTTTGGGCAATTGTCATGTTCTCAACCTCTGAAAGACTCATCGGCGGGGGCAGCTCGGTCAAGGCCGCTTCGTCAGCTTCCGTAAAGTCGATCGTCGACGCGACCACAAAGTCTTGCCAGTCGATCTCGGCGAAAGCCACGCGCTTAGCCTCCTGCGCATCCTCGAGTTCTCGACGTCGAGACATGTCCCATCCTTGCCAGTCCACTCGTAGCTGCGAATCACTCAGCACCTCACGTCGGCCGGTGGTCACGCGGTGCTGGTTCGAGTCGAGCGTCCCAAGGCTACGACGACGCAGCCCATTTCGGATCTCGTCGGATGGCATGAGAATCTTGGTATATTGCTCGACGAACCTGTCAATGAGCAGGTGCAGAGTGAGAAATGCAAGGCGATACACCAGAGACATGGTCCTCGGCCCTGTACGAACCGATTGAAGCAGCCAAATAAAGAATGCGTCGGCCTAAGAAAGTCGAATTGATAGTTGCGGTTCTCGCGCGACGCAAGTTCTGACGTGAAGCGTCGACCAGAACGCGCAGTGAACAGCGCTGTTAATTTCAGAATGTCGCTGTAACAGACGGGCGAGAGGGTTCAGCGGTGTTGGCGAGTAAAGCGAAGTCCGAGGCCAAACACGTATGGCGGGCACTCACAGGTCAACGGCGTTGATCGCAGGCGGTTGCTCGACAAGGAATTCGAGAGCTGGCGGCCTGGGTGGCATTCCATCGTCGTCTTGGTTTGTGTCCGCCGCCAAAGTTGCAGGAACAGTGCCCACAGGCGCCTTGTCGCCGGCCGGGCCAGGCGTCTGGGCAGTCGCGGCCGGCGCAGGTTCGCCCTCGCGGAAAGCCTCTAGGCGTTGTTGATAGTACGGGTGATACGCATCGTCGGCATTGAGAAAGGCGAAGCGTGAGTCGCTTTTCTCGCGAGCACGGATCTTCTCTTCGAACTGGGCTGCGTTGGGCGACTTGGCGACGTAGGCGGCAGTCTTCTCGACGATAGAGCGAATCGCGGGTGGAGGCAGAATCACGCTGCTCGCTTCAGGGTGGGTCGCATCGGTGTTCAGAGCTGACATGGTGCAGACTGATGGGCACCCGCAAGCGGTCTCACCCGAATCGCTTGGTGAGTACAGGCGTAGTTTGGGCACGACGTGGTAGGGCTGCTCACCTCGACGTGACGCGGGTTGCCAAAGTGCGCCGATCTGCTGCCTCAAGCTCTGGGCAGGTTCTGGCCGGTTGCCAAAGGCGACCAACGGGCTCCAACGGGCGCGCCGAGCGAGTCGAAAGCCTACTTAAGTACTGGTAGTGCGGTAGAGTGCGGTATGAATCACTCCCTCTTGCTGCAGAGCCAACAATTTTCGCTCGCAACATCGCCTGTTGCTCGCTCGGAACTTCAGGAGTCTTGCTTTCTCGCCCGCGTGCCATGCCCGAATTTGCCTCCCCTTGCTTGCGCTGCCCCGCCGGCGGTTTCTTCGCGGGGCCGTGTCGACTTGGGGCAATGGGGCACTTCGTCCCCAAGCCCAAAGCAAAGCCATTTGTTATATCACTAATCAAATTCATCAATCAAAATGGGCACAAACGTCGTTCAGTCGTAGACTGCTCGTCGTATTACCCGGCCGACACGACTCCAGGGTTCCCCATTAGATAAGATAATCTCGCAGATATTAGATATCTATCTAAAAAAATTGGGCTCTGGCCCTTATCTATCTATCTCCCATCTTAGTCAGATATCTTAGATAGATGCCTAGATATCTATAATCAAAGCGTCGGCGCAGCGAGCTTGCCAGCGATCATTTGCGGAGCCACCTCTCAGCTGAGAGTAATTTTGCGCTTCTTTGTCCGTGGCGAATTCCGTACACACAAGGTCCTCCTCAGCAGTGGGGAGCTCATGATCCATCTTGCTTCAGCACAGACTCAGATTGATTATAGTCGTTTGGCGAGGTGTGAGAGTGCAAGTGAGCGAAGAAAGAAGAGAGAACGGCGCCGGGGTACATTGCGAAGTTCACAAAATGTCGCAATTGCACCTCCTTTCTTTGTGTGGTTTGTGTGATTAGTTGATAAGCACCCTCTGGCAGCAAAAACGTCTGAAAGCCTCAGCTCCCAAATTGGCCCGTCGGCAAGCCGTGCCGCCTCACCCGCGGTCAGCGCTTGGGCCAAACCATGCGGCACAAACATGGGGATTGAGCCGAATACGACTTGAAATTCGATGTCCTCGCTAAGGAGCAAGAACCTCCTTAGTGGAAACTACAACTTCCAGCGCAACAGGAGTCTGTATCAGACACAAAAAAAGTTAAGATATCCTAAAGATATCTAAGGAAACCCCCGGGGCCTTATCTATCTATCTAAGATATTCGGCCCCTAGATAAGATGTCATCTATATCTTAGCGAGATATGCTAAGATAGATATCTGGACATCTAATGGGGAACCCTGCACGACTCACGCTCGACGAGCGACAATAGCGCCTGGCACTATGCAAGAAACAGAAGAGAGCCGGCCGTGTACAGTCTCTAGGAATGTTTTACGCAATGAACCTCGAGCCGGGTACTATCCTTTTTACAATCCACTTTGCGAAACGCGGAATGTGAACAAAAAGTACCACCTGCGTAAGGCGATTGCAAATGTGCATGCGCAGGGGAAACTGAAATCTGAGATCAAGGAAATTTAAAACATCTGATGGGGACTCGGGATTCGTAGGTCGAATCAAGCGAGCGTTTTCGAGCTCAACCAGCATACCTGGTGAAAGCACCACGGGTCATCCAAGTTGAGCGGCCGTCCTTGTCCTAAGAGAGGGCACACAGGCGCGTCAGTGGACGTCGCGACCTCGCTGTGAGCGCGCCTATTCGTGACTCACATGGTTCGGATCGGCCGTTGGGTCGACGTAGAGCGAGGCAATGGCAGGAGATAGTGTCGTTTTCTCCGCGGCCAGCTTCGCGGCCAGTGACGAAGAGAGGAGGGGCACGGACGAACCTGCCTTGATCGCAGGGCCGACGGTTGCCATCCGAACCGTTCGTCCGGGTGGCTTCGTTTTGTTCGGATGTAAGGGTCCGATATCATCGCCTGCCTTACGTTTGCTGGTTCTGAGTTTACGCTTCGCATCTTTCGCGCAACCTCGTTCGGCCTCCCAAGCAACTTTCGCAGCTTCCAGCTCATCTGCTCGCGGATTAATGACGATCCATTGTGACGAGCTTGTGTCCGTCGACGAGCTCGTGCCAACGTCGGCAAGCAAGGTCGCTTCCGCCCCAGCTTTGCTTAGTTCCTTGAGGGACGCCTCGGATACGACGTAGCCTCCGGGTCTTCGATAAACGAACTTGGTGGATCCGTTCATCTCACGCAGCGAGATGGGGCATACAAATGGGGCGATGAACTTGACGGCATCTAGAGCATTCACAGGAGCGGCTTCATCCGACGAGGGCGAGCTTGACGGACCGAGCGCAGGATTGGCCGTTAGCTTGAGGGTCGTGACGTCTTTCAAAGATCGAATGTGCGATGCGACCGCATGGCCGTCGCTGCCAGACGCCGGGTCGAGGAGATGTGAAATCAGCGCTTCCTTGTTGTAGAGCTTGCCAAGAGCGCAAGATACTACTGGCTGACGCAAAGGCTCCTTCGATAAGGCGCACGTGTGCCAGAGGAGTCGCTGTAATTCGTGCTGATCAGCATGTACAGTGGCCTTCTTCGTCTTGATCAAGTCATCCCGTTTGGCGAAGGATCCCCCGTCGGCTCCCATCGGTGGCTCGAGTCTGTCCGCGGGCAGCTGTCCAGTATCCGAGGCTTTGATCGGCGCTTGAACGTGGCAGCTGGGGAAGAGAAAACGCGAAGTGCGAAGGAAGGTTCAAGGACAGAAGGTGCAGACCCAGGATGGCGCGCGATGGCCGCCCTGTGCAGGTCTGTGCCAGTCCGTGCCAGTCCGTGCCAGTCCAGTGCCAGTCCGTGCCCTTTCCGGGAGTCTTCCCTGTTGCCCACTTCTACAAGTCTTGCATCTTCCACCATTTGGCCAGGTCTGGTATGTTGTGGTATTTTTAAAGCGTTCGGGGTATAATTTCAATGGCCATCATCAGGAGTAGGCAGGACTGGATAGTTTAGTATGCATCCTTCGGCCGCCGATCGACTCCCGAGTCATAGTGCGCTTAAAGTGTCCTGCATCAGGGCGACACCGAACCGAGCCACAGCCGCCGCGGTGTCGTCCCTGACATTTGACCTGATCACATCTTCCGTCACGGCGGCCTCCAAGAAGTGAAGGAGCCCTTTGACCAGGCTGCCATTCGTCGCGGCGCGGACGCACAGCTTCTCGATCACCTTCCTGTCGCGCCGTCCTTCGAGAGCGAGCAGGACCAGAGCAGGTGATGCGGTCTGTGTTGAGATGATCATGGTCACAAACAACTGTTGAAGGAAATCTGTCGTCTTCATTTTTATTGTCGCAAAAGGGACATGCTGGCAGTGATGAAGGGCATCAGCTTTCAATTCGAAGATCGATCCCCAACACTTCTGAACACACCTTCAGCACAGTCAACGACAAGGCATCCTTCGCTATGCACCATGCATAGAGCCGGGCGAGGTTGTGTACGCGCCGGGGTGAGACCATCCCACCGGTGGTATCCATATCAATCGACTTGACCAATTCTTCGCCGCCAACGCTGTCTTTTCCGAGTTCTCTGAGAAAGTCCCACAAGCAGTACTGAAGCGTGATCCTGAAGCCATGCGACCGTTTCGCAAGTTGAGCGGAGACCAGGGTGTAGTAAGGGTTATACCGCCTCTCCTGCGCGTTTTACAAACGGGTCGGTGCGTTATCCGAGCGTCAGCGCATGGCTCAGGCCTCAAGCTTCAACCTGGGAACCTGGGAATGGTGGACTCACATTGCCGCTGCACCGTAGCAGAACCCGCACGATCTCGCGTTGCTGCACATCCGTGAGACCGAGCTGAAGCAGTCGATCACACGCATCCGCGTAGTCTTCTCCGCTCATCAGAATCACGAAGATGGTCCGTCGAACGTCGGTATTCATCCCATGCGCTCGCGCCAACTTGAAAAGGCTATCTTCCGAACCGACGCTGCGCTGGCCCCCGGGCGGTCCGGCGCGACTCGTGTCTACCTCTGCTTCGGCGATCCCGGCCCAAGCAGCACCGACGAGCCACCACTTTCCCCTCGATGAGCTGTTGCGAATATCCGATAACGTTATCCGTAGTGGTTCATGATACGACGCTACACAGACATGCGTCAGTGAAGCTCGGGAGAACAAGGCGTCGCATCGTCGACGAACGAAGCTCACAGTTCTTCTTCCCTAGGCTCGCTATGAGTTTCTTCAGACTCGAATAGCCGTCATTTGTACCAACAAAATCAGACTTGAGCTTATTGTTCTTGACGTCGGTGAGCATTTCGAGCATGAATTTGGTCCGTGAGCTGGGACACCAGAGTATAGCCGGTCAGTTTTCTAGCGTTCGATGCGCAGTGGCAGTGGCAGCAGCGAGGGCGTACTTCATGCTCGAACTAGCGTCCCTCAAGGCGGCTTGCTCCTTAACAAGGGCAACTATCTCCTTCAAAGCACTCGGATCGTCTTGCCGAAGATGTGAACCAGATCCTAGGCAAGTGAAACCCAGCAAGATTGCACACTCAGTCACGCAGCAACGAGCAACCCGAGACTAGCGTCGCAACTCACTTTTGATCAACCTCGACAGGAGTTCGACGTCCAGTTCCCCTAGACCATTCTTGATGAAAAACCGGATGATATCGTACACGATAGTACACCCTACGACTGAAAAGTTGTAAAGCTCCGCCAAGAATGCTGTGAGGTTGAGACAGGTTTTGCTGCCAGGTCGACCCTCGAAAGCGACAGGTTGAGATGAAGCTTGTGGATGCTCAGCTGACGATGTGTCTGTACCTTCGTTGTACGAAGCGTCAAATAATTCGATCGTCTTGGAGACCACTCCCGCCGACAGTTCAAGTCCCACTACGTATGCCATGGCCGAGACGAGCGCTGCGTACGTGATCAAGAGCTGGTCGCCCAAATTGTCTCGAGTGGAAATCATTTCAAGCAGCAGTGACGAGAAAGCATTCGACACGAGCGCTCGGGGGTTCGTGCCATAGATCGCACTGATAGCATCAATGATGGGCATCATGTTCGAACTCGAGAGTCGGTTCAGATGGCCAAGTAACTGGCGCCGGATCCGAGAGTCTGCTGGCGGTTCATCCGTTCGGCGAGGTGCTGTCACGAGCGTCGACACGGGAACTGAGCGTGATACATTCGTCGCGACATTGCGAAGTTGTGGGGGGACGTAGCGGGCTGTCGGGGCAGGTGGCGCGGGAACGGCCGCATTCGTGCTAGATCCCGATGAGAACTCGTCTGAAGCGACAGTGGCAGAAGTGACGTCCCACTGCGTGATAACGTCCCTATTCTCGCCGAAGCCCCCTCCATCGCTCTCGGATTCTGTTCCATCGTTAAGTCGTTCGTTTATGTCTTCGTGAACGTCATCCTCGTGCTCGAAACCGCTTTCGCTAGCGGTCTGGGTGCTTGCGTGCTGTGGGCAGCGAGACGGCTCCCCTGCGTCAGCTCGACACACCTCACCACAGTTGAAAAAGCACCAATAACACCGCTCAAGGAAGATGATTAGGACAACTCTACCTTGCTCGATGCTGCGCCTTGGTCAAAGGCTGCCGCCTCGAGATCTTCCAGACCCTCGAATAGATCTAGGACCAGACGGTCGGGGCCATGACAGCCGGGGCGATGTTAGATGCCTTGGGTGGTGCCAACGGAATTAAGTTTGCTGGATCCCAGCCACGTACCTTCCAAACCGTCTTCTTCAAACTCTTTCTTCACATTGCTGCGCTCCTCGCGAGAGATTGGGGAGTCTCGATGTATCCCCAGCTTGGCTTCTAGCCATGCAATCTCACGATCTTCGACCGACACAAGACGAGGTTTAGTCCGATGCAGATCGGGCGCGGAGCCTCTCTTCTCTTGCTTGGATAAAAGCTTCTCCAGAGGCGTTCGACGCGTTGCTTGGGGGATGCCATGAGCTGCGCTAGAAGTCGATGGAGACAGAGCTGCGGTATTGACGAGTTCCTCGGCACCTCGACTCGCTGCGGAGGCTCGTCGCGCCTTCTTGATCGCACGCGTCGCTGGTACATCGGCGCTTGCTCGTTTTCGATCCAGCGAAGAAAAGCCCGTGTTGCTCGGTGTATAATCCAGCTTCGAGGGCGGTGAATGGGCTTGCTTGTGGGCCCGAAGCTGCTTCCGACGCTCGTTGCGTGACTTGTGCGTGTGTGCCTGCGGCAGTGAGCCAAGCGCTTCGAGCTCCGTCCGTAGCTTGGCTGGTAGCTCGATCTAGAATTTCTCACACACGAGGAGTAGGAACGATCCCGAATGGAAGATTGGCCATGGAACCGGATCAGCACTCGTCGACAGCGGCTGGCCCTGATGACGTTGACCGGCGAATGCGAAGAGCTCGAAGCTTACCGTACGTCGAAGCACACCTTTGCCTTTGTTCCTCGAACCCGCCATGGCACACGTTCCTCGTTGGCAAGTCGTACAAAGAGCGTGGTCAAGATCGCTCGGACTCGGCCAGTGCCGTTATGTGTCGTGTCTTGTCGAGACTACACGGGGCGTGGTGCGCGAGCGGGAGAAATCGCACCAGCTTGGCCGCGACTCTTGGACTCAATGGAGGACTTAGGTCTGGTCTGGTCTGGTTCGCCCTGATTAGCCCTGGTTAGCCCTGGTTAGCCTACTCCTGCCTACTCCAGCAGCCCGCGCGCACCTTCGCCCTTCGCATCAGTAGGCAGGCACCTGTTCGCACCCATCCCCCTTGCTTTGTACTCGACGCAGGAATGTTAAAGTGCAGCTGCGCAGTGAGCACATTACCGCTATCGACAAGGTGCTCGACAGCAGTAGCATCGGTCGCTTCCTGGACGGGTACGAGCAGCATCGCCGGCAGCCGATACGCGAGCACAACTCGGAGACACCTTGCGATCGATAGCTGGGCTCGGCAGAGAAGCACGAGTTTTTGCCCTTCTCGTAGCAATCGGGCCGCATTCGTGACCGAGGCAAGGGGCCAGTGGTCGTTGCGACGTTTGGCAGCATCACCACCGCATCACCGGACTTTCGCTTCCACCTCGCATTCGTCCGCCGCAAGTGCCCAGCGATCCCAAGCGTATGCCGATGCCCGCAAAGCCCACTACCAACAACGCAACAGATCGCTGCTGCTTTATTCCTCGGCCACAATCGTACTTGTCACGACCGCATCTTATCTGGCCGTACCCCTCTACCGCGTCTTCTGTAGTGCGACCGGCTATGGCGGCACCCCTGCGACCGACAAATCTCGATTCGGCGCCGAGCGTTTGATCCCTGTGGCCGAGACCGAACGTCGCATCAGGGTGCAGTTCAACGCCGACTCGTCCGATTCGTTGCCGTGGACGTTCACGCCTCAGCAAAAGGAAGTACGCGTGCTCCCGGGCGAGACTGCTTTGGCCTTCTATACGGCCAAGAACAACTCGACTGAGGATATCGTTGGTATCGCAACTTACAACGTGACGCCGAATAATGTGAGGCTCCAGCTCTTTGTTCTTCCCCGAACTATTGCAGAATGATGTTGCGCGCGCTGCATCTCGCCAGGTGCTGACCACAGCGATTGCCACGAGGACAGATCGCCCCTTACTTTGCAAAGGTCGAATGCTTTTGCTTTGAAGAGCAGCGCATCCTTGCCGGCGAAGAGGTGGACTTGCCCGTCTTCTTCTTCATTGACAAAGACTTTCTCGAGGATCCTCTTATGCGTGATGTGCAAGAGGTCACTTTGTCTTACACATTTTTGTGAGCAAGCTCGTCGGGCATCAAGCTTGGGACCCGTAGCTGACGTTTTCCGGCGGCCACTTTGTCCTCAGCCGAGCGCGACGAGATCATTTCGGTAACCTTGTGCCTGCGGAGGCAGACCTATCCAGGTAGTACACTGTTGCCCTCTGCAAAGCCAAAATTCGAGCAGTGCTTATCTGATAGCATGAAAGTGCCTCCTCATGCCCATTTCGGATGGCACATTAGCCATAGTCAGGCAAGGGAATTTACATTGCACCACCTGACTGTCTAACCGGCTCGCGGCTCTACCAAGACTCGATGATCAACACATTGGATAGTGACAGGGCGGCTGTCGCCAGCGGTTATAGCATCCGCAGCCGTGTAAGAGATCAAGGTTCCGCGCACTCCCAATTCACGCAAAAGCACAGGTTGGCGCCACGAACCTTCCATCTCGCTCCTAGAGGGGCCACGCAACGCGAGGGCGGTCAGTCCTCGTGAGTGGAAGGCGGTATAAGGATCTTGATCGTTGAGACTTGAGCCCTGGCGTTGCGAGGCTTGCGCCGCTTGAAATTTGTGTCGCAGGATGTACATTGCCCAGAAGTTCTCGGCGTTCTTCGACAATCTTGCGCGCTGCTTTTGGGACGCATCAAACTCACGGGCGTGTACATGCACCTGGTCGCGGGAGAACAGAGGCGAGACAGCACCCGGGGATAGGGCCGACTTGAGTTGCCAATGCGAGAACAGATCACTGTAGCGACGGAGCGGACTTGTTACGCGCACGTATCCACTCGAGTCACGAATCCCCATGGGCCAATGCACGCCTGGCTCGACCTGAGTTTTGCCCGGCAGAAAGTCGATGCCGAGCCGCACAATGTCGCTTGCATTTGCTTCTCCAGTCTCCGGCTCGCGCAAAGCTAGTATATCGGAAAGGGAGGACGTCGACGAGACTCGCGGCGGATCTTGAACTCGGAAAGGCATTGGAAGCCCTCGCTCGACGCAGAACTTGGCAGCCGTTCGGTTGGCAGCGACCATGGCCTCTGATACCAGCATCTGCGCAGACCCCAGTGGCGTAGCCGACCATGCGAGACTCTTTGGTGCTGCCGGTAGATGGAGGGTCACAAGTGGACATTGAGAGTAGAAGGTCGGCCGCGAAGAGGTTTGCCAAGTTGCGTCGGGTGGCGGTGACACTGTGACGGTCGACGATGGGAATTGCCAGAAGAGTGCATCGTTGTCGGCGCGGCGACGCAGAAGAGCGCGAGCTAGCTTATGGAGCACATCCAGGTCGGTTTTGACTTGGTCGGGCGTATTGGTGGCAAGCTCGCCATCGTCGGTCTCGCGAAGATGTACTGAGGGTTGAGAGTGAGGTGTAGCACCTTCTGAAAGAGGGTACTCGAGCCTGGTGGGGTTTGAATCCGCAGCTGCATGTCCGAGTATTGCGTTGACGGCGCCATAAGTGTAGCGTTTTACGTTCCGCACCACACCCGCGGTGACTTTACCGTCTACCACGCGACCCGTTTCGTCCACTAGAGTGCTGAAAGACATCGTCCGTTGAACCCCACCATTGTGAGCGCCGAGACTCAATCTACCGTCGTCAACGAGAAAGCTCGGGAGCATCGACCACGTGCGCTCGGGAAAGTATTCCGTTTGTACACGCGTGCGCGCGACTCGAGAAATCCTGTGCTCGGGAGAGAGAAGTGCGGTTGGGTCGGCGATGTGCACATGGATCCACCACGTTTTCAATCCGGCAGCAGGCTCGATCGAAATCCCGTCGTCCAATTCTCGAGCACTGGCGTCGTCTATTGTATAGACATTGAGTGATCCAAAATCATGCCGAACGTCGTCCAGACCATCGATTATAGGAAGCGACGTTCGCGCTCCCTGTGAAGAACGCTGCAACGACTGGGTCTCATTCTGAAGGCTGGCTGAGGCCGTGTCCCATGGCTGCAGCAAGCTTCTCGACTCTTGTACGACCCAATTTTCCCACGGTGGCAACGCCCCAAGCTCGGCGAGGAAGGTGTACACATGTAAGCGATCGATTGTTTTGCCCCGTGGCAGATTCTGTTGAGACGCCCTGCGAGTGACTCCGGACCTGCCGCAACGGTCCGAAGCAGCGTCGACAAGTTTGATAATTGAAGGCGTCGTCGATAAGTAAGGATTGCGTTGGAGTGCGCGTGGGGTCTCCGCCGAGAAGCGAAGAAAGTCGATAATGCGTAGGTCGTCCTTGTTCCACGAAACGTCGGGAGGATTTTTGAGCAGCGGCTTTGCCGTCCCGATCGATGGCGATGCAGTGCTCTGGAGCATACTATGTTGTCTGACTTGCACGGCTCGGTCGACGAAGTCCATGATTTGCGGACTGCGCTGTCGAACCCAAGATCTAACTGTGACCAAGATTTCGACTTCTTCGTGGGGCCGCAGTTGAAAAGTACCCGTCGTACGCATCAAGGCTGGACCCGCAATAAAGTGCTCCGCATCCTGCATCATGAGTCGATGAATTGCGAGTTGCACCTCGGGCGTGTGTTCGCCGGAGTATCCCAACAGGTCGAGTGCGGTCCGGCAGTCGATTGAGTGCGGCGTTTGCGCATGTGACAAACAAAGCTCGTAGAGTCGCAGGGCGCCAAGGGAGATCAAGGCCCTCGTCTGGTCCTCGATGCGCACGGAAAATTGGCGAAGACTCTGAATGATCGGGAGAACGCTCGGATCGCTAGGGTTGAGCAGCAAACATCGCTGTGCGAGAGGAGAGCTGATGAAATGAGGCACAATACATGTGATCGAGCCTTGCTTGATGGCTTGATACTCGGCGACACCGAGCGAAGACAAGATGAGTAGCTGGTCGTGTTTTTCGTTCGACTTGCCCAGGAACACGCCGTCGGTCGGTACGCCGTCGCTACATGTCAGAATAAAGCCCCAATCCAAGGTCAGTCCCAATGATTCTTCTTCGTGCGCAGCGAGAGCTCACGTACTCCATGCTTTCGACCCAGCAGCCCGGTGAAAGGACGACATCGGCTCGTGAGTCGTAGTCAGCCGACGTGCCAGTTCGGAGAGTAGCTTTCCCGGACTGGCGCAGCTCAGGATCTGACCCTGATAAAGAGACGTCGTGCAAAAAATGAGGCGCGTGCATGTTCGAATCTTCGGCCCCCGTCGGCCTCGCAGTGTATGGCAATGCTCCGGCTGCGCTAGGTGGGGCCGAGCTGGTGAAACTGCGTCGATGTGATGCAGTCAGAGACGATGAAGACGACGGTGCCGAGCGCCGTCTGAGGTCGGTTGCGGCACGAACTTGATTGTTACGTTGGGGTGTACGTTTCCAGCCGTGTTGTGTATACGACGCCTGCCCCCGTAGCCGCGAAGGGTCACGGTTCTGGAGCTCCGTCTGGGCATGGATCGCCGCACGAAGTGTGCGGTCGAGCACGCGCTGGTGCGAAGTCGTTATTGGACCTGGCGATACTCTGTCGTGTTGAGACGTGCTCGGTGGTGTAGTGTCAGATTGCTCGAGCTCGTGACTGCCTGGCGAAGCCGCGATGGACCAATGCGACGATGCAGGCGAGATCACGCGGGATGACGACGACGATAGAGTCCGAGTGCGGGCACGGTCATGGGCAGTAGCCACCGTCTTTGATGAAGGCTTGATCGAACACCTCCATCCCTGTCGTAAGCTAGAAGCAAGCATGCGACCCCTTGTATTCGATGCCTGTCAAGTCTGTTGAGGCGATCGATAGGTCCTGTCAAGCCTGCGAAGCAGCCTTCGCGAGCCCGGCTGAATCGGTGAACAACAAGCTCAACTAAGCCACTACTAAGCCCTCCCTTTGCGAGGGGTTGACGAGTTATTGGCGCGCTTGGCCCAGTTGCCCTCCGAAATTTCAAGGCCACTGTTTTGGGGTGCTTCTCTGTAACTTGGCAAGGAGGCGCATCCATGCAATAGTGAAGAACCCTGTTTTTCTTTATGCTCTAAAATTGACATACCCCAAGTGGCGAGAGCTTTCATCAGCTGTGGGTGGAGCTGCAGCGATCCGAAGTCTGCGATTTTGGTCGATCGGGCCTCAGATGGTCCGAGCGCATCGTGTAAGTGGCGCTCATCATCGGTGAGCCTGCTCCGTTCGGCTTGATTCCATTCAGCCCGCTTCGCTATTCTCCTCTTTTCACGATGATCGTCGGCCACGTCAAGCGCGACAATATTTGAAACCAAAAACGACGCGAACAAGCAGACGCCATACCTCATCAGTTCGCCGCGAGGCGGATCTATTTGCTTAATTTGTAGCCGCGATCTCTCGCTATGTCAATACCTGTCGTTGTACTTCAGCCCATTCACACGTTTTGAAGGCGTTCAAACACACCGACCAAAGCTGTCAACAGCAACTGGTCCAGCCTCAAGCGTGTACTTGAGCTCATTTTACGACTTGCACGCGAGGATGGCGCACAGTCAAGAAGCCGAATCAATGACTGGATCGCCGAGCAGGTGGACAACACTTCGTACTTCTCGGATTGACCCTCCGGATTCAATAAAGCTACTGAATACTTGCCTTATCCGCGTGCAAGCCGACTCAATCATCATTAAAGAGATGTAGCGAACCAAGTCCGCCTTCGTCGCTAGCCATGACTTGGCTCCCGAAGTCCTCGCCCCCGATCACAGACGCACTGCTCGATGCAATCGCCGAAAACAACCCTTTTATCAGCGGACGGATTCGTATCTTGCTATCGCAATGCGGAGACTCACCACCGGCCGAGCGAATCAATTGCGACAACTTGAAGGCCCCAACAGCTTCCACTGATGTCGAGATGGAATAAGCCACCCCGGAGAATGGTTCCAACCCGGAGCAAGAACAAGAGCCTGGTCATCAAAAAAGTGAGAACGGGAGTAAGTTCATCTACATCGTCTACGTGATCAGATCAGGATTTGGACCTGCCGGTGATATGGTCACGTGCGGATCGCATAAGTTCATTCTAAGTAATCCCTGAAGCTCTTTTAGAGCTGAAGGTTTGTTCAACGAAAGCCCCCGAAACATTTGCAGACTTACGAGGCATATGACTGTTTTCCAAGTCTGGCCGCTCCGCTTGTGCACCGCGACTCGGAGCACCACTGCCACAGCTGCGTACTGCGAGCCCGTCGAGAGCTACAGCCGGCCTCTGAGCTCTGCCGGCTCGGGCGGGCACGGGCGGGCAGGGGCGGCCTAGCGCGTCGTTCGTTGGACTGTCGTTGGTTTCTGAGGCAAGACTCGCTACCGCTACCTCTGCTTACCACCCTGCTGCACCGTCTCAGGAACGCATGGCATCGCTTATCTCCGTCACGTTGGCTCGCTTGAAGGCGATATCGGCCGCCAGGACCAAGGTCTTCGCTTACAGATCACTCAGTACCACGTCTTCCTCGGTCCGTTACGAACGCATCTCACCTTTCGGACGTCTGCTCACATGTCCGTTCCGCCCTAATCGCCGCCGCAGCTCCATTCTCGCACCCCATTGTACGATTTCCACGTCAGACACCAGGGAAGGATCGTGGAGTTCGCAGGATGGGACATGCCGCTGCATTATGCGGGCCAGGCGACAGAGGCGATCGCCGGTGGACCCGGTCAGTGCCCTTCCCCCCCTTTCTCCGCCCTCCTCTGCTCAGCATCGACCCCCCAGGCAGCCGCATATCGCACTATAACACGCTATTACGCGCATTTGTCTGTGTCACCGTGTGTGCTAGTCGGTTGCCACGCGCTATTCGTCATTGCGGACTGGTCGCTTGAAGGCGGCCACGCAAGCAACCCTCCCCTCCCCCACATAGCCACAATCTTCGCCCATCCATCCTTTCTGAACCGGGTGCTAGCACCGTTATGAATGCCCGTACAGTCGCTGAGCATCACCAAGTACGCAAATCGGCGGGTCTCTTTGATGTTGGACACATGATCCAATCGACGTGAGTAAGGTCTTGCTACGCACGCGCTTCTAGGCAGTGAGATACGACTCCCGAGCTGACGAACTGACGAACGTCGTTCCCCTGCGCCGCTTTTCGCCGGCTGCCTGACAGCTATACTGGTTCCGGCGCGCTGGCCTTTTTGTCCAACCTTCTTCCCGCCTCGCTTGTGTCGTTGCCCATACCCAAGGCGGATAACGGCGTGATGCGCTCAACCTTGAGTGTCCTGCTCAACCCCGAGGGCGGCATCATTGACGACTGCATGGTCACGCGTTGGGGCGAGAACAGGTAGACACAGCGACTGCGGCTCTCTGACCTGTGCAAATCGTCACTGCCGACCCAGCTAATGAAGCTTTCGTTGTCGTGTATCGTGACAGCTTCTATCTTGTCACCAACGCAGGGCGCGCCGATAGGGATATGGCCTGGATCCAATCCAATCTCGAGACGTGGAACCAAAATCACGCCGATAAGGTAGAGATGAACATATTACGAGATGCTGGTCTCATTGCTCTGCAAGGTGAGGCTCGGGCCAAAGTTTGTTCGTGCATGAAGCTCGAGCGCCTCGCTGACAGCAGCTTTGACAATTTCAAACCGGCAAAGGGCCCAAGGCGTTTGAAGCCTTGCAACGCCTCGTTCCCAAGGATTACTCCCTCCAGTCTGCGCTTCAGTTCGCGTCTTCGGCTTTCATCCCCATCCCGTCGCTTTCGAACGAGGCATTACACGTCACGCGTACAGGTTACACAGGGGAGGATGGCTTCGAAATATCGGTCCCCAAAACATCACAGGTCGACTCCTTTGCGGAGATGCTTTTGGAACAACCCGAGGTGAAGCTTGCCGGGCTAGCGTGCCGGGACAGCCTGAGGCTCGAGGCGGGCCTTTGCCTATACGGTCACGATTTGGATGAATCCGTTGGGGTTGGCGAGGCTGGGCTGGGCTGGGTCGTTGGTGAGTGTGTCGGTGGCTCGCCAACCGAGAGCCCCGGCTGACGCGTGGCAAGTACGCAGGGCGTGATCGTCGTGAACCCGGCTCGTTCATTGGATCCGAACGGACTTTGGCCGAGCTGAAGAAGGGTGGGACCAAGCGGAAGCGCGTTGGCCTCGTTGTTGAGAAAGGCCCACCAGCCCGAGGTGAGCGGTTGGGATGGAACCTTTCAGTTTATTGTGGAGTATTGCCTGACCTCGGACAAGAGAACACGTAGAGGGCGCCAAAATATTCACGTCCGACGGCAACACCGAAATCGGCGTAGTGACTTCGGGCTTGCCCGCTCCAACGGTCGGCCAGAATATTTCAATGGGCTTTATTCAGACGGAATCTGGTCTCAACACGAAGGGAGCCCAAGTTCTGGTCCAAGTGCGCAATAGAATGCGCAAGGCCGAGGTAACCTCGATGCCCTGGATTACTCCTGGATACTACCGAGGATGAGTGAGTGTCTTTTGGGGGGGCTTAGCATGTGGGGCACTCGGTACCTACCAATCCTCGAAGCTCAGTACGCAGTGCGGGGTCCCCAGTGCGAACGGCGAGGCAAGCAGAGTACTAGGATCGGATTATACAAGCCAAAGTGTGTAAACACAACAAATCATGATACAACAGATCAGGGAGTCTTGCAATAGAGTGAACCAGTGGAGGTACCCGGAAGAAATGACAAGTATAAAAGAGCGTAGTCTGAAGCAATACCTGACAGGATTGACCAGCAAAGGAAACAAACATAATACATCAGAGCGTCGAGAACTAAAAATAGTCGAGAAAAAATCAACGAACAACTCAGATGAGATACGGGTAGAGCGTCGCTATGCTGCATCTCTAATGGTGCATTCCGTGTAACATGCGTTCGCCGAAGGGCGAGATGTTGCGCTTGGTCGACTTGGACGGTCCCAAAATTTTTCTACCTCGCGAGTCATCCCCTGGCGAAGATCGTGCGTCCGCCAGGGTAAGACTAGTAGCCGCTGCGGCAACAACTGAAGGGAGAGGGGCTGCACTCGTTGGCGGCGAAGGCGCTTTTGGCTGTGATTCACGGATCCACGCGTAAGCAAACAAACCACACAGACACCGTAGGAGACGCTGGGTGCCTCTATGCGCGCGTCCGACTTACCTTGCTTCCAAATCCGCCTACGCTCAATCGCCGGAACAAGCCGAGACCGTTGGAAGCTGAGGTGGGTGCGGGAGGGGGACCAGCCCCGGCGGACACTACTCTGCCGAGTGGTATGAGTGTTGGACCGCTGGCTCTGCGCGTGTGCGGTACAGCAGCAGTCGGTGGAGAGGTTACCGCTGCACCAGATTGTGACGAGTTGCCAGACTTCGAGGTTTGTGGCCATCCCCATCTTGCTCCGTCCGCGAACAAGGCGGACGAGGACAAGGCCGCAGCTGATCTTGGATCCACTGCATCCTCATCTTCCTCGTCATCCGCGAGTGCCAACTCGTCCTTCTCACAAACCCCTCCGAGACCACCCGCTTTGATCGAGGCGGCCTTTACCTTGGCTCCAATGCCTACGCCGACGTTGGAGTTGGCGGGGGTCTGCTGAGGCGAGGACGAGGGCGTCGGAAGCTGGTCCGAGAACGCCGAGCTGGTCGGGCTTCCGCTCATCCCGGGAACGTTTGAGGCAGTCTCTTCCGACACAACAATTGGCCTGGCGCCCGAATTCGAAAAGGATGCCCGTCTCGCATGGCTCAGCGCCTTTTGAAACTCTTCCGAGTCGAGCGTGGTCGGGGGACTGAGCGTCAGGGTGGAGAAGGCCCGCAAAGAGGCCGAAAGTGGGGAAGTCGGCGGCGAAAGCGCGGCCATTCGCGGAGAGGCTGGATTCGCGTCCGAGCTGGCGTTCGAGCTTGACACGGGTATGGGCAAGGGCAAAGCGTATTGACCCTGGGGTGAGAAGCCCGACGTGGAGAAATCGGTCGCCATCGAGAGTGAATTCGAGCGCGGGCGGGAAGCGGCTCCAGGAACGGTCAGAGCGCCGCTGCGGGCACCGGGGAGCTCGGCCGACATGGCACGTGTGTCGGAACGGCGGATGGGAGGTAACTGCTGGACCAGTGAACAGGCAAGTTGCTGGTCAGTCGTAGGGTTGGATCTACCGAGGCGCGCAATGGATGGCCATTAGAGCAATGCTAGGCGCCTCAGGTGGACGCAGTCACGCTGGGTAGGTAGGTACTAACCAATGGCGTCTTCGAGAGGTCCACGCTAGCGAGCAAGTGGGGGCCGCGCCGGCTAGATGGCACAGTGTTATCGGTGACGATAGAACACGAACCAGGGGCACGGATAGTGGCCTTCCCGATGCGGTAATGACACCGCAATACACAAGGTCGGAACAGGCAACTTGTTGCCGTGCGGAACGGGGGTGATCGGTCGCGATAGAGGAGAGGGCAACTAGGCTGTGGGTAGGCTGCGGGGATGGGCCACCGGAGGATGGAGCCGAGCGGAGATCTTGAAGACTTGAACTCCCCTAGACCGGGTATGACACGTTTGATGGTGGCTGAGCTTGATCAAGATAAGCAGCGTTGAAGTAGTTCTTGGCTTGTTCGGCCTCGTCGCTCGAGTGTCGAGAGCGCAAGTTACCCGGGGAAAGGAGGGGGGCGAACACCGCACCGCTCGAAATCGATCAAGGAGGATCAAGGCTAATTTAATCAGTTGCCCTGAGAGACCCTTGGCGCCGAGCGCCGCTCTGCGCTGCTGCCGAGTGCTGCCGAGCGCTGCCGCACCGAGCGATAGGATGAAGCCGGTGAGGGCCTCAGTTCCGACGGACTGACCGGCTCTCGAGATCGAACACGGCACCGGGTAAAGAGTCGGGACAATATTACAAGGTTCATAGGGGTAGTGTTGGTGTTAGTGAGCTAAGGAAATTTCCGCCTCGCTCGTCGCATCACAATTATTATGGTTCTCAATTAGGCGCGAGGCGTAAAAATGACGTTTCGTGGCTTGGACGGCATCACGATCATAGTCTGCAGCGCTCGAGCAGTGTACCGAGGTCAGTTTATGCGCACAGTGCTGTTGATTCCTCCACTTTGAGAAATAAATTGAGATCCCTTCACTCACCGTGTAGTCGTTGGTGGGGAAATCGGCATCCAGAGTCCACGAATATTCTCGCACCAGCGTGGCAATAATCGTTCCAAGTTGTACATTAGCGAATTGCTCGCCAACTGGTGCCAAAGACCAGGCATATACGAAGTCAGTCTATGGAGCATGTCCGGTGTTCTAGGGCATCATATCTCGAAGACTCACTGCAACGATGGCGGCCTGCTCCGAAAGGCAAGTCTGTTTCGCAAATTCGCCAGAAGCGGCTTCAGTCCCAGCCCAGGTGTTTGTATGGCACTCGCCCATTCACAAATAGTGGCGCAGCATTGGCTCACACGCAGATTTTCCGCCTTTGCTAATTTTGCCGAAACCGTAATCTTCCTCGCCCTCGTCCTCTTCCCCGGGCACTTTGGCGTCCTCGAGCCATCGCGCGGGGCGGAAATCGTTCGCGTCCGTACCCCAGATTGACTCGTCAACCTGACTGACCCCAGGTGCTGCGAGGACGAAGTGACCCTGCGGGATGACGTATTCGCGTCCCTCGTTAATCTTCTTGAACGAGCTTGACGCCGTGGGTTCGCCGGCGGGCGTTGCCAACGTTGACGGTACCGGGCAATCCGCGATGACCTTGCGCATGATCGAGTGAATCGGTGGGTGAAGACGCAGGACTTCTTTGATGACGGCACTCAGCAAGGGCGTCAGCAGTGTGTCATATTCGAGCGGCTTGAGGCCACCTTCCCCGTCCCCGTGATTTTCGACCTGTTCGTCCCAAAGAGCCTTGAGTATTCCGGGATGCTGTCCGAGGCGGAGGATAGCCCACGCTCCAGTTGCGGCCGAGGTGTGCTGGCCGGCCATCAGCAAAGCGATCATGATGTGAGCGATTTGCTTGTCCGTGAGTGGTGCTCCCGACTTGTATTCTTGGTTCTGCAGCGCCGTCAACATGTCCATGTCGGGCTGGGGACCGCAAAAACTGCAGCGTCAGGACTTCGCGCCCGAGAGGTGAGAAATTGGAAGAATAAGAGACTTACAGCTTCTGCGGACTTGCGCCGTTTTTCAAGGATGGCAACGTAGAACTCGCGCATTTTCCTTTGGGCAACGTCGCGGCGACGATAAGAAGGCAAGGGCAAGTTGGGAAAAACAAAGTTCTGGAATGTGGACAACGGTCGGCTTGCTCAGCAAAAGAAAGCAAGAGCAAGAACACCAAGGGCCTACCAAGGGGGTGAAGCCGCCGTCCAAATCGTGGTAGAGCTGGGCAAAAGATTTGTCAAGGCTTTGTCGAACCTCTTTGCCTTGCAACGTGGCCGACGCAGTCAAGATCGTGATTTCAGACGACGTGGTAAAAGCATCTGCGCTGGTAGAGGCTTTGCCCTGATCAGAGGTGCAAGGTGGCGGCTGTTTAGTTACTCGTCAGACTATTCTCGCCTCCACGCGTCAATCGGTCGCACCATGCTTACTTTGCTGGCCTTGAAAACTTCCTTGTTCATGTAGCCCAACACCTCGGTGCGAATCAACCCAACGTATTGACGGAAATTCTCGGTCGTCAATCCAAACTTGACGAATTTCTTTTGTTCCATTAGTACGGCGTTGGGTACGTCGTACACAACCTCAGTGCCGAACACCCTATACACCAAAAGAGAAGGGGTAGCCGGTTTTTTTTGTCAGCACGAACGCCCCAACAATCGCAGACGCGCCGCAGACGACAACTAGTGGCACACTATGGCCGAGATGGGCGAGGGCGAAGCAAAGTTGTGGGCCATCGCTTCTGTAAGCCAGCGGCGACAACCCTCGCATCCGACGCCTCTCGAACCGATGACCAGGCGTCTACCGACACTGGTGGGCTTCAACCGGTGCAGAGCTCGAATCGTAGAGAAGGGGGAAGAAGAGTAGCCACGATCAAGAGAACGCTTTCTCACGGGGTAGTCAAATGAGTGTAAGCTTGTTCGGCATTGACATGGGCGAGTTTGCCGTTCAGGACAAAGTTGGATCCGAGCGGTCCCAAAGCAGCCGTGACCTTGCGACCTAGCAAGGGGAACGTGAAGACGGGACCGTACTGCGAGCGACCAAGCAGGGACAAAGGGTTCGAGCACGTTACCGACTGGTTAGTTGTTGTCTGAGAAGAAAGAGCTGGTGCATGAGCATCTGCCCCGGTTCGACACGCACCTGGTCGCGGCATCGATTGAGGAAGCCAATCGGATCCATGCCGTACGTGATCGCGCATCCGATCACGGGCACGAAGTGGAATACCACCGGCGGCTTGGTCGGGTCGCGCGGTAAGACCTGCAAGGAAAACAGAGGAACAGAGCGCGTTGAGTTCAGTCAGATCGGTGCCCACGGACAGCTCCAGCGCAATGGAGAACGGTTGTGTTTGCTCGCTGACCAGTTGTTGGACGACGTTGAGCGCGACGACGAGTATGGCCGCGCCAACAAAAGCGATCGCGCCTTTACCCGCGACCGACAGCACATCCGAGACGAGAGCGGTAGGCATGCTAAAAAGACGTTGTTGCGCGGCTTTGGAATTGTCCACAAGGGTCAAAGATATCCCTGGAGGGGAGACGGGAGCGAACGGCCAGGAGAGCGAGAGCGAGAGAATGCATGGAAGCAAAGGTCGCGCCAGGCAGATCGACGCGGCTGTGGATCGCACGAGATCGGGCGATTGGCTGCGACTGGCCGCGACTGGCGCGCAACGGGACGACCCCGAGCCGCACGGGCCACGTCGTCGGTCAATTCCAACTCGTCGAGTCGGCGTCTGACAACTTCAATACCGTCTGACAGACTGTCTTCGACCACGAGTCCAGTGAAGCTCAAATCACTCTCTGCTGAGTCAAGATATGGTGCATCTTGGGCTGGTACTATCGCTGTATCGCTACACTTGGCTCGTTATCGGTGTAGAAAGATGACAGGTGACATGTCACTGCAAGCTGAGTCGGGACTCGGGAGACCGGAGTCGGCTTCAAAAATCTCCAGAGTTTGAAATCTAGGGCTTCGACGACTAATACTGCCGATTAGTGCGAATTGATGTTGAGCCTGGCTGGAGCCACAACACTTTCGAATTTACCTTTTCCGTCGTCTGCCCGGTTTGCCGACTCTGATCTCTCTGTACACCTATCGGAGTGGATTGTCACCGCTGTATCTTGGAGGACATAAGAGTTGTCTGGCGTGGCAGTAGGCGCGAGCGGCTTTGCGGGAGTGAGATTATCGCTGCGGGAGCAAGATTGTGGACACCTACCAGGTCACGTGGCAGACTCCGGCGGCGAGTTGGCAGGCGGATCCCTGCAACACCTGGCAAGATACCGTGCTCTGTTCCATCTCTTCTTTCTTCTACTCTGACCAACGTATCGTAAGCGCTGATACCCATGCTACACCCACTTCTTGTCCCCGAGCTTGTTCTCGGCCTTGTCTTTCACTGCCTCTGCCTTGCCGACGACTTGTTTTGTCGCGTCCTTGACCTTGTCCACGACTTGTGAAACTTTGTCCTCGGCCTTGTCCTTGACTTCGGAAGCCTTAGATCCGAAGGGGTTGAAGTTCGCGTACGGCGAAGCCTTCAAAGTCGTAGCATCATTGTGAATGTTCACAGCGCCAGAGGAGGCGCGAGATGTGGTAGAGGTGAGGAGCGAAACAAGGATACCGCTGTGAGCGTCTAGTGCTAGCTTCAATGAGACCTGTGTGACGGAGCCATGACACGGACCTCAGGCTTGCCATCTGTGGCGATGACGAAACCGGGCACGGCGGCCGGGTTGAAGACCCTCTCGCAGTCGCTGTAGCCTTGTCCCAGACCAAAGCCGAGCCCTACGAGCACGGGCCACGGTCGCCCTGCGTGCACGAGTCATGGGGCTAGGTCAGCCAGCGTCTACATAACATGACGCCAAGTGCTATGATAGCGCTCAAACAGAGCTCGGCTTGGCTCCCAGTCTGTTCACTGCTTACGACGGAACAGAATCGCCGAACAGACAACACCTGCGCCGAATCCGATACCAGCCTTGACGATGGCATTCGATACACAGATATCCGACTGTTTTGCGAGCGTGTTCGAATGCACCGATCAGAGTCCAGCGATTGGCGGGAGGCGACGCAACGATGCGAGAGTGACGTCGGACGGGATCGGACGGTTGCATTCGTGAGATCGGAATCGTGAAAGGATGCGTGAGCGATTTGAGAAGAGTGATAAAGCGTTTGTGGCCAAGACGGTGTAGGGGTTACGGTCCGTCGGGAGATGAAGAGAAGAACATCCGTCAGTGGAAGAGTAACGAGGGCCAGCAATGGCATCAGGATACGACCAGAGGTTCGGCTAATACCTCTTCGAGCACTTGCCTTGGCAGAGAGTACATCTTCCGAAGGCACCGCAGAAGAAGTCTTGTTGGATGGTGCAGGTGCGGACGACATGACGATACGACCGTGATTGGACTAGTGGGCTTGTGAGGAGAGCCCAGTCCGCCGAGCGCGACGCCGCAGTGGAGGCTCGCGGATCAAACTCTTGCACCTCGATCGCCGGCTATTACTGCGATTCACAAATTTTAGAGGAGATGTGGACGAGACGAATGTATGGTGATGTTATCGTGCTTGAAACGAGGGACTATCCCGGCCCATCAAGGTGAGCATACTTGACGGGAAAAAATGTATTCTAAGCTCATTCCAAGCAATTTCAGGATTACCCTAACTAGTTAAAAAAAGAGAAAAGGACAAAAATGCCCTCGCTTCTTTTCATGAGGACAGAACACCTCGGGCAGACATAAAAAGTACGCCTCAACAGGCGCGCGCGCAGCGCCCTCCCACGCGCCTTCCAAGCCACAATCCCGGCGGGTTGCAACCTTGCTACCCCAGGTAGCAGATTAGGCCCAGGTTGCGCCCAACTCCCTGCTTCGAGTCGATTCTGTGTACACACAACACTCTCACAGCTGCTAGATTGATAAAGAAAGTGCGTAGAAGATGCATTCCTTCCTTCATCTTTTTCTCGCATCTTTCGGATGTCGTCAATGTCACGTGTCCGAAGCGGTCGCGCGCCGGGATTTCGGTCCCGAGATCGAAGGGTCCGAGCACACGCGTTGGCTGCAGCTGGCCACGCGCGAGGGACCTTCCACTTGACTTGCCGCCTCACCTCGTTGCTTCCGCTACAGCTCATTGTAGCGTCGCCATTGACCGTACAGGCCCCATGGCTCGCGTTCGTCCTCTTGCTCATGCACTTGAGTTGGCGTCGCCATGCCGCCGAAGAGAAGGTACAAGTCCAAACAGTTGGTCTACAAACTGCAGGTCACCCTCTGTGCCTCCGAGTCGCGGTGTGCTAAGGACGTCGAACGCTTGGCCCAACTAGGGTTCATCTCTTCGACCGCTTCAATGCCGATGACCGCCTTCTCATTTCGACTGGTCGAGCAGACCCACGCGAGCTGGAGGGTCACCCCCCGCGCTCTCACCGGCTATGCGGACGGCCTCAAAGAGTATTACTCCCGTTGTGGGTGGGTTCGGGGTCACTATACAGGACATCCTTGGGTCAGTTTGGACGCCGCCATCGTTTCAGGGGCAGATGCTTAAAGCCTGCCTTCCGCGCATGCAGGACAAAGACCTTCGGAAGCAACGCGATCGACGAGTACCGCGCTCTCGAAACATGCGAGCAGGACAGCGGGGACCTTCTCGTAGGCACCGTCGATTCGTTCCAACGAGGGTCCCGCGTGCTTCGGGCCAACGTGACTTAATCAACCTTGTCACGACGTCCCATTGGATTGCGTGCTTGCATACGACGGCAACTTTCGGCAAACGCGTGACAAAACTTCGAAGCACGACCAGATCGTTCCGGACATTTTCTTGGGTGAGGAAGAGGTTCAGGCGATGAAGGCCGAGGTTGAAGCTTCGGTGCGGCCGACCAAAAAGGTGAGTAATGCCGCTCTTTGCATTTGCCTTAATGGGATCGCTTACCTCTACACCCACCCAACCCTCGTAGGCGTGCACAGAGTCGTGGAAGGCTGCCGACGACGGAGCTGGCTCAACCTCGTCACGAGTAGTCGACACTGGACTCGTTGCCTGCGTATGCCGTCATGATGTAAACCTGAAAATGGTCAATCTTGAGAGGTCTGGTGAAAAGTGAGCGCAGAGCTGTCTGGTTGGGACGTAGTCGCTTCCGCTTTCCTCTCCCAGTACTAATGCGCATATTCCCCTCCGACCGCTCAGATTATACTATGCGCTTGCCATCCTCAAGTGCATCTCAGAGCGCCTTCCTGAAAACGCCAAGATTGGAGTCTTATACGACATTGCTTGTAACTTCAAGCACCACATTGAAAAGGTATGCTTCGATCACGACGCGTCCCTTCCTCCTCAGTCTCGTTGGCACAGACCAAATGCGCCTACTTTCCTATCATTTGTCACCCGAGGCAGCTCCTGCCAAAGCTTTTCAAGCGACTGGAGTTCGCCACGAGCGTCTTCCATGCATACGCCCATATCTGGTCCTGCCAAGTCGAGTTCAACCCCCGCCTCATTCCGAACTTCGGGTTGACTGATGGAGAGGGCTGTGAGCGATTGTGGAGCGGGCTACGGTCGCTCATTCCGAGGAGTAGCAGCTGTGCGCGCCAAGGCTCGAGTCGGTGAGGAGGAAGCGCGGATCGGCGCCGAGGTGCGGCAAGCTTTGGCTTGGATCGAAGATGAAAAGACTCGTATCACTAGTTGCCAAACACTTTAGACTAAAGTGTCGGGTAAGTTTTCGATACAGCGTGCTCCATATCACCTCTTATGTCGCCCTGACATCTTTCAAACCATCCCAACAGATACCCTTTCTGAATCGATCGACCCAGCTGATGCCAAGTCCATATTCGGCACTGAAGATGTTGAAGAGATCCGAGACCGCGCGCTCATTTTACTGGATCGCCGGATGGAGCTTCTTCAGTTGCGCGAATGTTCTTGGTCCCAGAACGACCATTTCTTCGATGTTTGGCTCGACACTCGCGGGCAGTCAGAGGGCGATTCCGAGCCCATGCCTCCTGCACTGTCAGAATTTCGTGGTTTACATCAACGATTGAACGCGACGGGAAGAAGTGTCAAGAAGGCGAAACATCACCAGCTACCTGCACATAATCGATCGGGAACACGCGGTCCTATGGAGACATCTGGCTCGATGACTCGGCGCGGCCTCCATCGCTGGCCCGTGACGTTCAGCAAGTGCGGGGCATTCAGGCGCAGATGGATATGAGCGACGAGGCTCAACTCGCAAAGGAGGTGGGGCCTTTCTCCGCATAACTCCTCGAGCAGGACGGTGAGATGGGCAGCTCTTCGGATGAAAGCTACGGCGATGACTTTGCTGGTCAGGAAGACGAATACTTCTCGGGCGTTTAGACCAGCTTCTGATTTAGATTGAATTGGTGGAGCAAGTTAATGTTGGAACAATGGACATGGTCTTTGAAAACTAAAGTCGTCTCAATTGCGGTGGGTGAGAATAATATCACCGTCTCAGAGAGAAATATTGTCAGACCTAATCTCTGGGCTGCGCCTGCCTTACTACTGCCGGGTGACTTGCCGGGTGACGTTTCTAGTCTTTTCGGCCTTTGCTGCAAGATTTTGACGCGGACAGCTCAAGCGCGCTGGTCTCGGCCTAACGGGGCCCGCTCGCGCTCCACTCTTCGAACACGCATTCTTTGGACCCTGTGCCAGCACGCACTCTTCTCGGCCCCCTTGGGCCTCCCGCCTTGCTCACCCGCTGGCGCGCGCGGGCCCTTCCTCTCCCTCTCCCTCGTCGTCCCGCACGCCTTAGCGTTTCGTGTTGTGGTTCCGGCACCCCCCCTGCCAGTCTCTACTCACTCAAAGTGGGTAACATCCCTCGTAAGCCCTCTGCCCTTGTTGGACAGTTGGACTGATGAGCTAGCCTGCCACTACGTTGTAAGCAGCCGCCGTACCCGCTGCTTTGCAAGGTCGTATCGCACCCACTGCTTAGAGCAAGGGCGAACTTTTCGAGACTCGCACTATCGCGGCTCGCTGTTTCTAGCTAAGGTTCGCATTCCGGATCACGACTGTCCTTGTTGGGCATGTTGCCAAATTCCTTGTCCTTGTTGGGCAAGTTGACTCATGGGGCTACCTTGTATACAGACCTCGTTTGGCCGCGTCTACCTACCGCGTCGCCTTCCTCCCCTGCCATCGCCCTGCGCTTTTCGAGCAAAGGTATGCCCTATCCCCCAAGTCAGTTGCAGTGTTTTAGTTACTAATCGGACCTGCGCTCTTTGAGCAAAGCCGATCGACCATTTTTTTGAGCTCCTCCCTCCCACCCTACTTGTTCATAACTCCTGTTTAGAAAACCCTCCGTTTGTTACGGAGTGCGGGTTTTTCTCTTATCACTGCAACTCGACTCTTCCATCCTAAAACAAACGCCACAAACAGCGCGCACTATGGAGGAGTCGAAGTTAAAGCGCATGCACCTGCTCGAGTACCTAGAATGTCTGCCACGTGAAAATGGGTGAGTGGGTTTGGGCAGTATAGAGAATGTATCTCCCACCCTCGGACAGGGTTGAATAGCAAAGTTGGCATGTGCGTGCAAGCCCTTCTTCCGAACAAGATGGCTCGGCGGTGTCCCTTACCAGTGCCGGGTGACTTTTCAATCAAAGCGCATGCACCTGCTCGAGTACCTAGAATGTCAACCACGTGAAAATGGGTGAGTGGGTTTGGGCAGTATAGAGAATGTATCTCCTACCCTCGGACAAGGTTGAATAGCAAAGTTGGCATGTGCGTGCTGCAAGCCCTTCTTCCGAACAAGATGGCTCGGCGGCTCTCTCTCTCTGAGGATTCCCGCTCGAAGGATTCGACTTCCTGCCATGGCGCGGCCAAAGACCCTTTGGACCGATCCCGATCCCTGCTACTGAGCCTTGCGCCTGTTATAAGAAAAGCTTGGTGTCAAGATCTCAAGATCAAGTCTAGTCTATGCTTGACGGGGGCAGAAGTGCTGACAATTCATTTTAGTGCGGCGAATGCAAGAATTCTCTCTGCTTTGAGCACTCACCATGTGGCCTGAGGATTGGCGGCTTACCTCATTGATGAGAGGGAATGTTTATCAAGTAAAAGGTAGGTATGAGCGGCCATCGATCATGTCTCGGAGTCAAGTGAGGGTTTCGCTCCAAGAGCCTGTTACAAGCCTAAGCCTTCCATGTTTTCACCGAACCTATGATCGAGTTCGACCCACCTCTCATCAAGCACGTACTTTGTCGCTACTTCGCTACTTACGACTGATTACCTACGTGTTCCGCTCCGCTTGCGCGTTCAGGGGCTCAGATCAGTTCGCATTCTTCTGGGAGCGCGCGCCGCTTGAAGTCAGCCGGCCGGGGGTCGTCACCGTGGCCCAGCAGCTCTGATTGGCACTTTGGCGAAGACCGAGCCCGGCCAGATGTAACCCTTGCCCGTTCACTTTAGTGCTAATAGATCATAAAAAGATGCTAACATACACTGCAATTAGTGGAAGCGCGTTGCGAATTCTGTTCATTCATTCTTTGCTCAAAGAGTCACTTCCGGAAAGCAGACGCTCCGTCTGGACCACGGGTCAGGGAGCACTCCATTCTCACTAGGCAATTCAACTCTACATAATACTTCGAAAACAACCCAGAACAAGAGTAATAATGTTTGTGAGCAGGATTACGTCACTGGCACATCCCACGTCAACAAGGAGAGGTCGATCTCGAGCGGCCCAGGGGAAGATTAGGCACGAAGGGCAACGAACAATCACCCTCTCCGCCTTTAGTCACCAAGAGCCGGATGCATATGAAGCAAAACTTTGAAATAAATATTGTGGTGGCCTGTGTTGTCCAACGAATGTTGGCCCTTCAACAGCCAAGATCTCCGCACCGCATGCGCGTCGACGAGTCTGGCTGGCGCTGAGAGCTCGGCCATCGTCACCTCACTCGCTGTCCTCGTCGGAGCTCGTGTTCCGAGTCCGCCGGTCAGCATCGCTGTCGCCGCCTTCATCGCCGTCGGCCATTTTCTGTTCTGCACTTGACCCGATTACCTCTTCCTCCAGCCTGAAGCTCAGCTCGCCTGCACGCAGCAATGGGATGATCCGATCCAGGTCTGGTCCCAACAACTTAAGCTTGCCACTCGGGCTTCGGAAATCCGCTTTGCGAAGGAGCGCGCCGCGCTGAACAATGATTCTGGCGTTGTCCCTGAGGGCCTTTACGTCATAGACGAACTTGGGCGATTGGATCTTCTCGCCGTCCAGCACGGAGCGTCGGCGCAGCGCGGACTCTGAAGACAGCGAGCCGGGTCAAAATTAGTCACCGTGTATGGAAGAGTAGGCAGGCTGCACATCTTGTACTCACGGATCAGTTCTTTGAGGATGATGCTGTACCATTGGAATTTGGTCTCAACTTTCTTGTCAGCCACGGGTGCGTTCCAAGCTGTGCGCAGGTATTCGCTGATACACCCCTCCCTCCTGATGCGCGGCCTCCCTCCTCGTCTTGGGAAACTTGTGCGGCCCGCGACTTTTGGCGATCGCGAGCGGAAGGTGCAGTATTTGGCAAACCTGCCGCGTCAAAGACAATACCCGTGCCGTCAGGATTGTTCCCTCCTTGTTCGACCATGTTTGCGAGATTGTTGCTTGCTGGCGGAGCTAGATACGGGCCATCGATGCGTCCAGGATGGGAACGTGGGACGGTAAACTGGTTGGTTGGACGAAGCAGATCCCGGAGAAGATTGATAGTTGTACGACGCAGGATTCGAGATGGTCGTTACGCCAGCGGAAGTGGACGCTGGATCGGGTGCACGACGGTGTAACGTCAGAACAGACCGATACTGTACGCGATCGACGCGACGGCCACCCACGGACCCGAATAGTCGTTATATGCGGACTGGTAGGGAGTCCAAGGCGAGGTGCATGACTCGTACCCAGAGGCAGCATATGAACCTATGTGTCAGATGTGATCGTGAGCCGGTAGTCCAGTCAGAGCACCCGTGTCGATCGGCGGCAAACATACTGCTGTTCGTCGCCGGAGCGCCTGCGATTCGGGAGGTGGTTAAGTTGATTGGATTGACTCGTCATGATAGGAGCAGCAGAAGTATGACTAATCCGGTGTTTCGAAGTGGGCGTTCGTTTCAGACTGTCGCAAGACGGATGCTCATTGTATAGTTCGTTACTTCGTATACGTAGTAGGGGGCGATTGGGCAAAGCAGAAGAATGGGCGGTATGCGCGAGCGCGACGCGTCGCCGCCATCTACAGCGTCTCCGGAGTCGTGACGCGTCGACGTCCCGGCCATCCCGGCCCCAATTGTTCCGCGCGACCCGTGCCGAATCACGTGTTCGAGGTAGAGCGCCTGTTCAGCTTGCAGAGGACAACAATAACTCTCGAAAAATCTCCAAAAATCCGAATACACTATTGTTCGCTGACTGCGCCTTTGTTCCCAGGTCTTCGATGGAGTTGTAGTGGGAGTGAACGTCTCGGCAACTCGACATCGAGGAGGGCATACCTGACCTGGGCCTAATCTGCTACCTGGGGTAGCAAGGTTGCAACCCGCCGGGCATGTGGCTTGGAAGGCGCGTGGGAGGGCGCTGCGCGCGCGCCTGTTGAGGCGTACTTTTTATGTCTGCCCGAGGTGGGACAGAAATGCCCTTCTCAAATGGACAAAAATGCCCTCGGATTCCAGACTTCTGTAATACTCGATATATCAGCTCAGAACCAAGAGGGTAGCTTCTTGTAGTCTTTGTGATCAGCGCCGTATACTCAGAATCTCCAGAGGTGCCGTGAGAAGTCAGTTATCACGGTCGCAAAGGCAGGGGCCTATTGCGACTGAAGCGAGGCCCCGTTGAAAGCGATGAGTATAGACCGCAGTGAATTACCATATGAAACAGACCAGCACACCTTCAACGTGTAGTAGTATTGACACTTTTGACACCTTATACTCAGATTCAAATGTTCGATCTATCTATCGCATGTAACTCGGTTGTGTCCGGGCCTTTTGCAGAGGCCACAGATCGTATCACGCTTGGCCCTCTCGTCCGCACCCCGGACCCTGCGCTTGATTGGACGTCCTGTACGTCTGGGGAATCGTGGCGGAATGATAATGGCACCTTCTTCTTCGCCAGTCGAGTCACTATCGTCCTCATCATCCGTGACCTCGTGTCTTGCACTCGACGTGCCAACGACGCGTGTCAGACTTACGGAACGTCGAGCTGGTTCTGGTCATCAAACGCATATCGATAGCCTACATCCGTGAGCTCCTTCTTTTCGTAGAGATTTTCCCCCTTCTTGAAACAATGTTCCATTGTCGAAAGTCGGTGGTGACTTCGGCGTCCGGGCCGGGGGCGAGATGCGGAAGGCGACCAACGTCGATGCGCGAACTCGCGCGCCTCGACGCGTCGACGATCGATGAGGCCCCTCCTGACTTTTCGACCGTGATAACTGACTTCTCACGGCACCTCTGGAGATTCTGAGTATACGGCGCTGATCACAAAGACTACAAGAAGCTACCCTCTTGGTTGTGAGCTGATATATGGAGTATTACAGAAGTCTAGAATCCGAGGGCATTTTTGTCCTTTTCTCTTAAAAAAAAGTGTCGATCCGCGACCCATGTACCTAAAATCGCTTTTTTTGTCTGTGTTGCGGGCCGAAGGGCCGCAAGTGGTGAATGTATCAGTGTACTGTTGAGTCTACCGCACCTGCCTGTGGTATCGGCGTCCCAACCAGAAGTCGTGTACGACCCTTTCTGCATTTTCTGGACCATAAAAGTAGAGCTACAGCCCGACTACGATTTTTGTCGAATTTTGACATGGTTGGAAGCTATTGAGCATTTTGTGTAGGATTTAATGTATAGCAAGGGCGTGGGTTTGCAGGACACTTCTTCTACAGAGCTCAGGCGTGGTCTCGCTGTCGTTGACGCGCGGACGCGGGCGCCGCTACGCTGCGCGATGCCCCGTCGATCACGTGACGTAACTCTGGCATCCCGATACCGGTTTTAGGGGCTCAACAACATGAGGTTCCAGGCGCTGTGAATACTCCCGCGCTACTCTCTCTAATTTTCGCCTTTTCCCTCCCACTCCTATCGAATTTTCATGACAACCGCGCCAAGTCTTTGGCGCGAGGGTAGCGCCGTACGATAGCGTACCGCCGTACTGCTCGAGGTTGCTCGAGGGCCCGCTGCTCGACTCTCCTCTTCGTCCCGCTCCAATCAACAGAATCAGCTACCCGCGCATAATGACAACAACTCAACCGACCTTGGTATTGCGACCCGTATAAGCGTCCGCCGTACAGCTTTGTAGAACGGACAGCGTGGTCAGCGCGATGGCCCGATGGCCGAACCGACGCTGAGCTCGCCCCACCACCACCTCTTCCCGCGCAGGGCAAGTGCACAGGCCTTGAATCGCGCTCAAACCACTCAAGCCCCACGTTCCCCTCCGCGACTACCTCGGCCCCAGATGACCGTGTGTACCCACTGCAAGGCTCGGCACTGGGAGTGCGAAAGGACAAAGTCGACCGGACACTTCAGCACGTGCTGCTCGCAGGGCAAGGTGCAGCTACCTCCCTCTCTCCGGCCCAATCCCGACTTTCAACAGCTACTTGAAGGCTCGGATAGCGGTCAGTCTCTCCGTCCAACGACATTCGTCTGTAGTAGACCAACATGCTGAACTGTGCGGCACACCTACACAGAAGCTAAGGCATTCCGGCGTTCCGCGAGAATGCCCGGTCGTACAACAACGCGCTGTCGTTCACTTCGCTCGCTGCCCACTTTGACCAGACTCGACCAGGCACTCAAGAACCCCGCATGTTTCAGGTATTTTGTTGCCTTTACCATCGACTCGGGCACTCTCGGCGCCCTAATTCCTGCCGTCAATCAGCGCCCAACCTTTGCCAAAACATGGCTCATCTGCCCGGCCGAGGCCACCGACACTCAACTTGGACCCGACGGCGCAGACAGTCGCATACAAAGATCTACTTTGACCAAGCTCGACTCCATGTGGGGCACCGGACATCGCTTTGTGAGGGAGCTCGCATCGGCCAAAGCCCGCGCAGGTTGGGTTACGGCCAAAGAATGGGTCCTGCGCCTTTGTCTAACACCTGGCCGGGACCGACGCACCCACAACCTTCCTACGTGGAGCACGGAAATGGCGATGCCCATCTGCGATTCCGACACCAACATGTGAGGTCGTGGACCGCAAGACCTTAATCTTCAGGCGCACGGTGATCAATGTCCCGACGGTCGGCCCACGTACCAAGTTAGCTCGCTCCATCCGTCTGCGATGCCTCTCCGTTCCCCACTCCTATTCCCTGCAGGAGAAGATGACTGCCTCCCCAACATTCCTCTTTGCAGTTCCAACCAAGCTGGGTCACCCTTCGTCGACGAAGAGGATGAAGACGAGGAGGAAGGGGACAAAGAGAATAGTGATGGTGAACGTAAGCGCCTTCGGCTCTTTCTCGGATGTTCCATTCTGTTAAGGCGCACGCACAGACTGACATTTAACGTTTTAACACCTAGGACGAAGCTCAAATAAAGGGGGGTCGAGGTGGCGAGTCTCGCGTTCACAATTCTTTACGTACTACTTGCACAAACGCGACGAGTACTTCTCAATCCCGCATTGCACCCAACGTGCCTTCCTGGCGTTCGTGATGACGGATACTCCCACGTCGAGACCGATCGACTCAACTTACCCCAGTTGCATCAAGAAAGCCTCCGCCTCACCACGGGCCAAGGTATCATCACCTTGACCCCGGATCAAATTGGATGTTCGGTGATTTTAAGCTCGACGTTCAAGAATAGACCGCGCGAGAACACGCAGCATTACCAAGATGCGATGGCATGCGTCGTCAAATATGGAAAGCCTTCGCTGTTCATCACGGTAACGTGCAACCCCGAATGGCCGGAAATCAAGGCTGCACTGGGGCCGAACGACCAAGCATGCAACCGACCGGATCTCATTGCACGAGTGTTTGAAGCCAAGTTGAACCGACTCTGCGACGACGTTTTGGGCAACAAGCAACGGGCAGGCTGTTTGGGCGATGAATGGAGAACTATTTCTTTGCTGTACTTTGTAGTATGTTTTCTTAGCCTCTGTTGAATGTAGACTGTTCGATTCTCCTGCTATTTGAATTTCACCCTCCCGTTAATTTAACGGGTTCCCACTGGTTTTAATCAAATACTTTGAAAGCGCTAGTGCTCGCCAGAAGGACAACTACTTGGGACTCTTCCGAGCGCAAAAGTAAGCATTCCCAATTGGGAGCAGCGGGGGGACTCGGCAACATACAACAAGCATGCCATAACAAGTACAGGGAAGTGTCTACGGGGCGAGAGTCGCAGATATGCCCGAACTCCGAGGGTCCAGGACGACCTTGAGGAATAGGGTGGAGAACAAGAGCTGGTCGCCAACAGCATCGTACAAGGGAACGTGCCGGTAACCTTTACGCGTGATTCGGTCAATTTCAGACGTCAGGGAAGGTGCATCGGGCGCAAGAGTAGGTTGGATCTTACCAGGTAGCAGCGCGCCCAATGAAATGGCGAAGGCACCCACCGGATCCCCTTTCCCTTCTTCGAACGCCGCCTTGATGTTGCCGCGCGCATTGAGCACTTCGACGCGAAGAAACACGAGATCCAACATGCCCTCTGAGGGGTGAGCAGTGAACTCAAAAGTCAAGGGCGTGTTGAAGATCGGGTTGAACGCATTCCCGCTACCCAGGGAGCCAGCTCAGCATCAGCGCACAAGATCACATCCAAGCGCGGTTCCGCGGCACGTACCGAACAACCTTGCTACGTTTCTTGGCAGGGGATGCGAGACCGGGCTGGTATAGCGAAACTTCAACGAAAGGATCAACCTTGGCGATGTTGAATTTGTCTACGTCGTCTACGTCGCGTGGCTTGGGCAGTTGCTGGGCCGAGATGACCTGGGAAGGGAGGCAATCGGATTGTTGGTGGCGATCTCAAGGCTTCGAGTTTGTCAAGACAGCATCGCCGACCCCGCAGAAACTTACCACAACTTGCAGCGTGTACCTCTCGGATCGAATCAGCGCCGTTTTGTCCTTCTCGCCGCCTTTCTTGCGAAGGAGCTCAGGCTTGAGGACGTAGCCGATTCGTCCGGCGCGCGAGAACATTGCCAAGTTGAGTTCCATGCCCGTATCTTGGGTGTAGGGGAAGCAGCTTTCAGCGATGTAGATACCGGGATCGAGCTGTGAGTTCACCTAGGCAACTCACCGAAAGTCTGCCAGTTCAAGGCGACAAGCTGCACGCCGGCGGCCCACATGTGATGGGGCTCAAAGTTCGAACTGTTGAGGCGGCTCCCCTTAGGGTATGCCCGCGTAAGATGCTTTCGATTGTGGGCGATGAAGTCTTGCCGTGCGCCCTCATCTCTGAACATTTTATGCAGGCTGTTCTCGCCGATTGAGATCACGTGCGTTGCACCGTACGTTTCTTTCTTGTTGAATCCCCGTGCTTTGACCCCGACGGTGTAAACAAGCAAGCCAAGCAGCGCAGATGACATGACTTGGTGTTTGTCTGGTCTGCCCGATGGCGCCCCGACTTCGCTAGGCTCGACGGTCATGCACGCAGATAAGCGGTCTGGTGGAGCCTGGCTGAACGATGCGTTCGATGCCGACTTGGTAGATGACGACGACGACGGCGAAAGGGGTGGTCGGGGTTGTTGAGGCGGCGTGATTGAGCGATTCGACCCGCCGCCCACGCGCCTCCGAACAGCCCGAAAAACTGCGACCAATAAAGGTACCCAGAAGATATTCAATCATCAAGAACACCTGGCCAAGATGCCAACGGCGCACTAAAAGATACGGCCGACTGACCTCTGCCAAAGTCTGAGTCCGAGCTTGTCGATTCGGCGGAGGAAGTTGCGTGGTCCTCAGTCTGAGTGACTTTGCTCAGCGTTCCGTCCGTCTTATTCGCAAATTTCGATTTGTTCTTGGCCTGTGTGCAACATAACGGAACGAGGTGTAAGGTTTTCAGTGGGAGGTAGGGGCTCTGATGGCACGCCGCTCACTTTAAGCAAAAATCGCCCTTTGAGCTCGTTTGGGCTGGGCAATTGCTCGAGCTCTTCCTCTTGCTCGGCGCCGTCGAGCCTCGACCGAACGAGCTGATCGCCCAGAACCGAAACCAGCAACTCAACCATGCGATCCTGTTGGATAACATCGCAATGAACTTCCACGCTCAAGATAACCGGATAGGGCGAGGCGAGGAAGGCGTATTGGGCGATCGCCTGTAGCACTTCGCGCAGCGTGATCTTGGAGGTCAATGTCAAGCCGTGTGTTACCACCGGCTCGCCGTCATCTCCATCATAAATATCCACTGCGCGTCGACATCGTCGAAAGCGTCCCGATTCGGCTATCAGCGAACAGATGCCTGGAACAATGTGAGAGATGGTGACTTGCACTCGACACATCGGCACCCCTGCTGCAGGGCGCGGATATAGCCCTCCACAGTACTCTGTCCCTTTATTTGGTTTCCGACGAGGTAGGTCTGGTAGCGGAATCGCATGTCGAGTCGCGACTTCAGCCGGCCCGCTTAAGGCGAGACCCTGCCAATGGGGCACGAACTCACGTTATGGCTTGAAGTTATGAAGTATTCCGGGAGCGGGCGAGACATGTCTTGATTCGATTCATTTTTGAGGATAGCATTATCCGAGGACATAAGGTATGATGCGAACCCGTCAATCATGATTCGCTTTGTCTCCGAATCGGCGTACTTGGCATACGACGCCAGGATAGATTCATGAGTGTGGGGTTGCTGGTGGCGTGTGGCGACGGAACAGAGGGATCAGCATGGCCCTTGCAACACGAAGGCAATTTCAGACGCACTTGTTGAACCTCGGCAATGAAAGTCGTCCAGGATTGGAGTGACAAGGACTGGTGACCCGCTCCGGCTACGCCCGCAAAGATGCTCTCAATCTCGCCGCGACGCTTGAGCAACTTTACGAAGCGTTGGAACGCAGCAAAGTCGAGATAGTCGCGTGGGGCGGCCGTAGACTGGTGTGAGCCGTCGTCAAATCAGCGAGTCAAGCGCACACTAATACTGAAGGATCCTTGCATCGGCCTAATCACTCACTCTGAAAGCCTCGCCAATCTCGGCGGAACCGATTCCCATTCCCAGCTTGGCGCAAAGGTGATGAACCTCGGCTTCGCGCACAATCGTGTTAGACTCTTCTACAACGGCGGGACGCGACGGCACATCAGAAACAGGGTCGGCCACAGCAAAGCCTTTGGTCATCCGGCCATCGCGGAACTTGTCCAGCGTGAGTCTCCACAGGTCGAGCGCTTGCCGCGTCGGAGCAATAAAATGCACCAATTTGTAGCTGACGGTCGAAGAGTTGAGCATGTTGCGGGAGGTTTGCGGGACCGAGTATATGATAGTCATCCACCTCGGCTCGACGTCTGCCGAAATCTGCAGTGAGGTGCGATAAGGCGAGCCTTGAGCCGCAAATCGTAAATCTCTGATCCTTGCAATGGGAATCGACGCCTCTCGTTTGCTGCCTACACGATCGTAACAAGCTTGTGTGAGTGTGGAGATCTCTTGGCCGGTAGCAAGAGGGCGCCCAAACAAGGTTCACCGACCTAGACCGAACCCATTCTTCTCCCAGCACAGCCTCACGTCCTGACCGCCCACGAGCCCGATGCCGATCTCGAGTCCCATCTCTCCATCCTCGGATCCGGCGGCGCCGACGTCGAGCCACATGTTCCTCGGTTTGGCTCTCCTCGCGCTCTTGGCCGACACTTTGAGCATCTCCATCCCTGGGCGGGCGAGTTGGTCCGGGATGACGAAGGCAGAAGAGTGCCTCCGAATGGCAAACTTGCGGAGCGAAGCCGACGCCGGAGTTGATGCAGGGGCCGTCTTCGGGCCCGACTCGGCGAACGAGACTGCTGTCGCGAGGGGAGACGGCATGGATTCAGGTGAGGTCGAAAGAAGCCCATCGCATGCAACCTGTGTCTGTGGGGGAGGAGTCAAGAGCATCATGCGGGTTTGCTGGCCAGGGGCAATAGGATTCGGAATCGGAATCGGAATCGGTTTGTGAGCGGTCGCAGCCGCGCTACTGGAAAGTGGGGCGGCACTTGACGACGTCGCGGCCAAGCCCGAAGTTGAGCAAACGGGGCCATCGGTGGGGGTCGGCGGCGTATGAACGATATTGGGATAGGAGGCGGGGAGCAAAGGTTTTGTGACAGCAGTCGTTGACCCGTTGCAGACGCTGTCGAAGCTTGGGGTCGGTCCAGGTTTGCGGCGACAATGGTCCGCGTCGGCGTCGGCGTCGGCGTGAGGCACGGAACTCTCTCGTGACGCGAGAGAGGTCATGGGCTTCCAGTGAAGGAGTGGTCCACTGTTTAAGTCACAAGTGCAGTCCGGAGCACGGTCGAGTGGCTGCAGTAGCAAGGAGGAGCGAGCAGCGAGAGGCGGCGCGAAGCAGCGAGTGCCCGAACAGCTAGCGACAGCGTAGGGCTGCGAGCGACGTATATCAACGAGAGTCCACGAGCGCGAGCTTGAACCAGGTAGGGCACCGGTAGAACGAGCCTGAACGAGCCTGAACGAGCCAGACCCTGCCAGACCGAGCCTGCGAGAGTCCTGCGAGGCCACTGCGAGAGACTAGACTGCGAGGCCGCTGGCGCCGCTTCTCCTCGGTTCTCGCGGCCACTTCCTGGTCCTTCTTGTTCAGTCCTCTACCGTCCTCAACTGTTCCGTTTACGAAAACGCTCTTTCGCGACATCCCTGGTCCCAATTTTAGCTCCATCATATACCCGGTGGACCATACTGGTATCGACACGCACACCGCCACCCACTCGGCACTTTGCCCTGCCCGTGGCCGCTCGTCTCGCTTGACGGCCATGGCGACTGGGAAGGCTACGCCGTTGCCAGCCGACGCGAAGCGGTGCGTCGCGGCTCGAACTCACTTTCCCAGAAGACACGGCTGATAGAGCCCAACACCCTGTCCGAACCGTTGCCAATCCGCGGTGTGCGCTCGTGCCAATCTCTAGACTGCGCACCATCATCATCGCCACGCCGTTCCTCGTCGGCTCCTCGATCCTGCTCTATAAGAGACTCATGCTGGGAGAGGAGCAGCGCCTGCTTCCGCGGCCCACACCTCCGACACAACACATGATTGGTCGCATCAAGAAGGCTGAACAAGCGGCCCAGCGATGAAGAAGTCCGGCCCCGGCGAAGCTTTCTGCAGCGAGACGGCGAACGAAACGAAAGCATCGACCAACAACAACCCTTCGAGACGTTAAGGTTAACGAACGGGAGACTATCTTATTCGGAAATGCTGGCACTGAGCATTAATTGCCGCGAACATGTTGTAATGTATTCATACAACTCGGGGCCTTCACGGTGGACCCGTTCCAACCCACCACCCGCCAAGTCTTGGTCCATTGCCGTCGATGGGGCATCACGGTCCTCCCAACCATGCGATCATCGCTAGCAGCCATCCTCAGTTCCGACTACTCTGCGCGTTTCATTGCACGTTCTTCACACGTCGTCCTTCCTCTGGGTCTTGTCCATCACATCCCTCGTCGTCACGCCGTGCTGCTTGCCCTTGTCGATTTCTCTGCGAATCTCGTCGCGCGATTCGAACAATCGCTCTTCCGACTCGTCGGTCGCTTGTCCCGTCGTCTCCTGCCGATAGACACCCAGTACACGCACCGGCATCAGAGTCAACTACCGTATTCAGTGCGTGGGGAACGAACCGGAGCCAAGAGATCTCACTTTGATCGTCTTGGTCGCGGCATCCTTGACTTGGTTCAGCGTATCGCCGACAAAGTGAAGGCGCTTAGCAATCGGCCCCTCGACTTCGGCCGGTTGCGTCTGCATCAGTGCGGCGGCAATAGAGAGCGAAGTGAGTTCCACCCTAGACAGTATACCATGGTGGTGAGACGTACCCCTCCAATCTTTTCGTGCTCGTCCGCGGCGCGTGTGATCGACGACGTTGCGAGAGCCGAAGTGGCGCCCCAGATTCGACTCGGACTCCGTGACGACTGTAACCCTGGCAGCGCCCCGACGCAGCTGAAAGGCAAAGCGGTTTATAGGCAGCATCCGATGGTCATGAGCCGAATTGTGATTATGTGAACAGGTTTGCCGCAACAAGTGGGTAGATCAAAACTGGCGATTGACCGCCTGGTGGCACTGGCTGAAGCTCACACGTGAGCCATGACGTTGATTCGCAATCGAGTATACCACGCCGAACGCGCCAGCTTGTCCAATCGGAATTAGGTAATCGCGCGAATAGCAGGGCACTTTGGTCCCGAGAATGGCGGGGCGGTACCGGTGCCGGGGGGTGCGCTTGCGCTAACTCGCGCGCGCCAAATTGAGTTGGCGCAATTGAGTTAGCGCACTTGAGTTAGCGCACCGCGCGCGTGAGTTGGCGCACCGAGTTGGCGCACCGAGTTGGCGCAATCAGGCGCGCCGCACGCGGCCATCCCCTCCTTGTCTTCATGCTGCAACGTGCCATATCCTACGGTGCAACTGCTGTCACGCTTCTTTCGGAAACGAAGCGCCGATAACACGGACGACAAAATCGTCGGCACCTCGGCTACGACAGCATCGACAGCGTGCCAGAACGAGATCGGCCCCTGTGTCGACACTCTACACAGCGCGAACACCGCGAGCCAAGTCCAGGCCGCGAAGCGCCGCTTCGATGAGCTTTCAATACATAATGATGGACAGAATACAGGATCGACTGCAATTGATCAGTCGACCAAGAAGCCATCGTGTTGCGAGGTCGACCCCGTAGCTTAGTCCCTGCGCCCGCGGCGACCAGGCCTCAGGGTCGTCCGAGGAAGACGGAGGAGAAGAAGAAGGAGGCGGCCATAGCCAAGTCCGAGAGAGCAGCACAGCAAGCTGCCGAAAGAGAACTTGATGATGAACGTGCAAGACAACTCAAGGAAGCGGAGCGAGCTAGGCTAGAGGCCGAGCGAGCGCCTCAACGCCAACTCATATTAGACGAGCAGAGTCAGCGGATGCAGGTCAGTTGTGAAAGCCCGATTTGCGATAGATCAGTGGGATCATGAGTGTCAAAACCTGTCAGGCATGTGGCATTGACGTCAGAAATGAAACGTGCCGCATCCTTCCATACAGTTTCCCCCTGCAAAAGTGTACACTGTGAGCCGGGCTACATTCCCGTCGCCCGTATTCCTTCTGACTAATGCATGTCCGTGGCTCCTAATCTTAGACTCAAACAACTCTCAACTTTGCACCGGCAACAACTTCACCCCAAACTCCGTTTCCAGACGGCTCGTCTGCCATTCCTTCCGCATCCGATGCCTCAGTCTCGACCAACTCCACGTCGCGCTCGATTCCGACGTCGGTCGGATCGGCATTGCCCGACAATTCAGACTCTTTCAACAGTCTCGAAGGAGGCATCCACCGGAACCTTCGCCAACGATTTCCAAAGTCTGGTGTTTCTCCGTGCCATGCCAATGCGTGCTTGGCTGACTACGTGCTAGTGCACAATCTCACGGTCAGTCCAACTCCACCATCGCGATTCGAAGAAGCGGCAACCATTCTCACCCATTATCCCTTGTGTTCGCAGGTTGGGACGTTCAATCGTACCGGAAAACCATTCGTGGGGCACTACGACCTCTGGCTCACTGTGGAATTACATCGTCTGAGGCGCAAGACCTCGGCATTTCTCCCACGGCACTCAACCACTGTGTCAGATATAGTCAACCCGCTGCTCTACACCACCGAAACATTCGGCATCGTACCTGTTGTTCAGTCGCCAACAGCGCAAATGCGCTTTTTGATCAAGCCCTATCACGTCGAGCGCGGGACTCTGCGTTTGGAGCCCGTCAAGTGGTCGCCATGGAGCTTGCTGCAGAACAATACGCCGGCGATACAGCATATGCAAAGCCGGCTGCCAACCGATCGCAAGCTTCGCCACGACTGGCTAGCGGAACGTCAGGGTACTCGATTCGCTGTATTGCATGTCCATACACCCAGCGAACGAGCGCTATACAGATATCTCTCAAGCAAGGTACGACTGGGAACTCCTCAATCTTCGGATACTCGAGATTACCGAGCTTTGGAACAAGTATGCCAACGGAATAGACATTTTTTACAAAGTATGTCGCGTCTGTGTCACACTGAATGGTGATGTTGAGCTGAAGCGCAATTCTCACACAGATGCCAGAGCACATCAATACATGGGCATCGAGATGGTCGTCGCTGGCAAATGTTCAAGCCACAATGAACATGGGTGGGAACGACGTCAGAGTGATTCAAGCTTTGCTTACCGACCCCTCCCGCGGTCGTGATGTCAGCGTGCTAGCGGCTGAGCCATTACTCGGTCACAAACCGCCAGTCTTGGGGAGGCTTACGGAGGTAGAAGTCGATGCCTCGGATCCTCCAACGTCATCCATCCGCCCCTTATTGCAACTGCCTCGAGCGACGCTGGTTCAAGCGCGGGCTTGGGCACGAGCAGCGCTTTGACGCGCGCGGGTACCACAAAAGGGGCAAGGCACTGTCGATTCTGTGGCCAAACTACTTGTCGACGCAAGGGGTCAAAACTAAGCGATGACGGATCGATGACTGGGTGTGACGGGGCGTGCTTGGACTGCGGGAAGCCTTTCGGGCTAACAGACGAGATGGATTCGAACGACCCACAATCACGAAGGTTCTGTAGAGGACTGACAAGGGCTGAGATGAATGGCGGAGCTCGGCATCAAAAGGCACAACTTTGTAGCTGCATAACACCTGGGTAATATGATGTATGCTGTCAAAATGACATGTTCCGTACCACTTCCTCTCTTTCTCCTTTTTCACCTCCCCCTCCCTCTTCTTCTTCTTTCTCCTTCTTTCTCTTCCCCTCCCTCTTCCTTTCCCCCCTTTTTTTTCTTTCCCCCCCCCCCCCCCCCCCCCCTTCCTTTTTTCCCTTCCTTTCTTTTTTTTTTCTCCTTTTTTTTCCTTTTTTTTCTTTTTCTTTTCTTTTTCTTTTCTTTTCTTTTCCTCTCCTCCCACCCACGCCCCGACATGGGTACGGACCCAGAATGGCGACTCTGGTCCCACATCGGAGGCGACTTTGGGATCACATCCGAGGTCATTCTGTACCACGTTCATGGGGACTTTGGTACCACACAGTGTAGACACCTGTATCTCTTGCAATATGTGATGTATCACTCTGGGGACAGAAGTATGATATATGTACAGGTCTATAGTACTTCTGGCCGGTGAGACGAGGCGGGCAATGCAGTAGTTGCTACATCGGGGTTCTTCCCTGCTTGGCCGCTCCGCGCCCGTGGGGTCAGCGGTCCGGCGCCCGAACCGCCAGGGCCGACACTCCCGAACGTGTTTGCGCCGATTAGAGCAGAATTGGCACCGGTCCCTCGCTTTTCTCATCCATGAAGAACAGTTCATACAGCTTGAGCGAAGATGCAGATTATATTAAGTCACGCTTCGACATTGGCGGACTTTGTATGATCATTGCAGTTGAGCAATATTTGAACGTATTCACATGTAAAAACTTGGCTCGCTTTACCTCTCCTGTTTTTAGTGCAGCTGTTTGCTCAAAGTGAACAAACCAGTTGTCAGCTCTCTTGTTGGTATGATGAAATGTTAGACTGTACCTACTTCGAGCGTGGCTGTCCTAGATCACACTTCAACTTCCGGTCTCGACATTGCGAGCAAGCTTTCCGCCGACTGGTGCTCGAGGTCACGCTTTCCGCTTCCGAATGACGCCGTTTGCTGGGAGTTACAACCGTAGAAGAGCTACTGTCTTGAGGAAACGCGGAGTACTTGCATACTTTTTGGGTGTGTTCGATATCGCGCGTGGCAAGTACTGACGGAAATGAAGGAAAGGCGAGCGTTGGTCGGTTTCTGAGGCTCGAGGGAGTGCCGGATTGGTCCGATGCAAGACGAGTTCGTGCTGTCGATATTTTGTTTCCTTGTACAGATCCCAGGTGCGACAAACTGTGAGCTTGTGGGTGCTGGGTGATGACTGTGTCAACAGAGGACGAAACATTTTTTGCCAGCCTTGACCCCTCGAAGGTTACGGATCTCGTAGACCCAGGGGTGGGAACTAGCGCGACGCAGACACGAAGAGAGGAAGGATCATTGAGTGACAATTGTGGAGCAAGGGCACAAGCAAAGTGAAGAAGTTGCATTTTCTGTCCCGGAACTTACTGAGAAGTTGTGAGACTTCTTCAGCGTCGTCACTGCTGTAGCCTGCGCACGAAACAATGGCCGAGTGATGGGATCAGGGTTAAGTCATTCCGAAATAAAGAGGGACACAAGGAGAGCAGAGCTCTATAGGACAATAGAGCACGCAGGAGCTTCAATTTTGAACTCACCAGCGTAATCTCCAGGCTGTGTATTGCCATGAGGGTTACTGATATCCAATGCGTTGTCTGGATCACGAGTATCACACGAGATGGTTGGAGACTCCGGCGAGCCCGAAAACCAAGACGAGCTCATGTCGCAACGTAGACGAGAGTGCAGGGTGACATCCAACATGTAGTCTCGAAGCTCGGAATAAAATCTTCCAGGCTCAACCTGTAGGCCCCAGCTCCAATCGGGTTCCGTTTTGGCGACTGCTGCGCACACCAGGGTTTCCATCGCTCGGCACACGAACGCCCCGCACGCGTTGCCATCAGTCTGTTGAGGATATCTATCCGGTTGAGGCTGATCGCCGACCTTCGCCGCTTTGACAATTAATCGCTTCCAATTTTTGTACGGGACCGTCGGTCGATCGATGCCTCCAGTGATGCGCTCTATCGGTCCCTGTGCACGAGTCTCCAAGAAATTGATGATTGACTGGCAGGCAGAAAGGGCGAATGACGTCAGCGGCTGCGCAGAGATTGATTGCCTTTGGAAGTGCTTTGTGATCGTTAGAGAATGAACTCACATCGAGACTTTCGCTTGCCTCCTTGCGCATGTTCTCCCTGCCAAAAAGAGAGTCGTGCACGCGAAATGTACAATCCGAAAGACGTGCGACGACAAGGATCCAATGATTGGTGACATGAGTTGAGAAGGGTAGAACTGGTGTTCGAGAAAGGAGAATCTGGTGAGGGGGCGGCGCAACGAAGAGGCAGGCCTCCTGCCAATGATGCTAGAAAGCTATGCTCGCCAACTCTCATCCGAACTCACCCTGCTGCCGCTCGGTTGGTCGAGTGCCTCCAATTCCCTTCGCGCACTTCCCTCCTTCGAGATAGAATGCGTAGCACGTCGGTTCAAAGTCGCGAACCTCTTTTGATCGACCATTGAAAGGCAATTGGCCGTGGAACCGGTTGATAGCGCTGCTGAAAGCATCGATGTGCGAAGCCCTCAACCACAAAGTCACATTGGCCATTTCGCGCAAGGAGCTCAAGTTCAAACCTGGTGCGTGGTCGCCGGCGTGAATGTCGAGGAATACGTCCCAATCAACCTTCTGAATGTCGTCGGGAATGAGCTTGATAATGTCCTTGACGGCAGAAACATTGCTTCGGCGCTCCTCCGGCTGAACCACATCGTAGATGTCGAGTGGAAGACGTCCTTCTTGTAACGGTGCGAGCTGGCATGGTGGCTTCGCGTCGTCGCTCAGTTCTTCGATGTCAATGACCTCGGGAATGGCCGCCATTCGCTTGGCAGCCGCGTGATCCTTGGTCGAGGATAAGTTGTTGGAAACTTTTGTCTCACGTGGGCGTCCACGGGTCTTCCCAAACTGAGTGGTTCCGTTGTCAAAGATGGTGTGTTTGGAAGTTTTTGGACGAAGTTGGTTAGAATTGAGCTTGTCGCGTATCAAACGTCTAATTGCTGCGGTTGCTTTGCCATCGACTCTCCCCGAGTGCTCGAGCGTGACCCCTGAATTTGACTTCAATTTTGAGAGTTTGCGTTTGGCTGTCTTCTTGCCACGATGAGGTTGCAAGGGCCGATTCCTGGCTGATCTGCCTGTGCGACAGAACGGGACCAGATCAGAACGGAACTCTCCATTCCGGCAAGGTGTTAAGACATTGCTCACCTTTTACAGTTGAGCAGTTGGGCTGAAATTCAGCAACATCAGCGGCATCGGCAGCGCGTTCGTCGTCGTCCTCGACTTCCGAATCAACCTCGTCGCGTTCGTCGAGTTCGTCCTCCGACAAGGGCTCGTCTGGCTCGTCGTCGTCATCCAAAGTCGTTGGCGTTTTAGAGTCCAACACTTCGTCGACCAAGGCTTCGACGGAGGCGTCGTGGAGCTTGCTTGATTTTGTTCCGTCCCATATGTCCGACTTTCCTTCTGCCGCTGCTGCTGCTGCCATGATGCGATCTGCGGGAAAAGGGTTACGCCAACTGTCAGACTGTATGGTGGTGAAGCTGCTACGAGGTTGATCAAAGCTTTCGGACGCACTCATCGCTGTGTGGTAGTCGCCATTGTGAACCAGCAGATCGCACGCCCAAAGATGAGCGCATTTCTTTCCCGTTTGCTTGAATGCGCGACAAGGACAATAAGGCGCGCGATTATCGAGGGTGATTGGTAAATCCATGGATCTGAGTTAAAAATCCGAAGCATTCTCGCGTCAGTAAGGGCTTGGTAGCCAAGGCATTGATAACCGATAAAAACTCGCCGTAAACTCAGTACCCACTGTCCTTCCTTTTCGGTAGGGCGGAACTGTCCAAGCTCCCAGATGTCCATCGAGTTTGCCAGAGTATCTCGAAGAATATGATCCGGTTGTGCATCCGATACGTCCTTCCAAATGTCATAAACTAGAGCATTGTCGATCCTAGCAGGTGCAAAGCGCAAGCAGAAGTGTCAGCTCTTCCGTCGAGATTCGCTCCTTGAGTCCGGTGCTGCTCAATACCTCTTGTTGGCTCGGCAATGGAGGTGGTCTTGCTGGATGGTCTTGAAGGCTCGTTCAGTCACGTTGTTGGTGTTGATGGCGTCCCATGAAACACCAAGGGGTAAACCATCATCTGTGTATGTTTCTTCAGAATTGTGGAAATGTGTGAGCCAAAGAAACTGTGAGAGAACACGTAAAGAAGGAAGAAGTAAGACTCACCAATCCACTCTGGTACGAACCAGTTGACATTGAAGTACACCCGAAAGTTATCCTTCTTCGCTTGCAATTGTTCTTCTTCTCGGCTGTTGCGACTCGGTTCGGGCCCCTTGATGATCTCTGGTCTGTTTGCTGATGGCTTGCGACAACTTTGGAACTCTTTGTCGATCCATGCGTCCGATTTTTTGAAGAACGCCTGCTTCTTCGCTTCAAACTCAGCCGAGCGCCGATCTGTCGCCTCGGCATCTGTTTCATGCTCGTTGCGTATGAAACGAAAGCGCTGGATGATGGATCGAAAGTCGTACAAAATGTTGATCAACGTCTTGCGAGCAATCCGAGAAGGCTTGACGGTGTTGCCTCTTTCGCCGTCATTGCTGTCACTGGACCACCGAATAATGGCCTGAACCACGTGGAACTGGCAAAGGCGTATGTGAAAGTTGAGGTTGTGCTTTTCTTTCCCTATATGCAAAAGAGGACGATCATCAACGATCGTAAGGAATTTAGAATTGTGAGAGCAATGTGCACATGTCATATAGTAGCAAGCATCGGCGCTTACAGAGTGTCAGGGCGTTGAGCTCAGTCCGACATTTGTCGATCATGACATTTGGTGGTTGCCACTGATTTTTCAAGATGAATTCGGCATTTTGGAGAAGATTCGGCAACCGGGGGGTGGACTCGCCGGGTGGGTTGTGCCCATTCTTACGAGCTTCTGAAGTACGAATGCGAATCGTCGACGGTACAGAGGGGTGTGAGCGATTCCTCTCAGAACTGTCGTATCGGCAGCACACCCTGGTCAACCCATCTTATGACGCACCCCTTACAAGGATCGCGGCGCGCTCCTCGACCAGACTCTTTACCGTATCCAAGTAGATGACGAGAGTCTCTGCCTTCACATCACTGGACAGAAGCATAGGACCTGAATAAGACAAGACGTAAGCGATGAAGTGAGTCTTTGTACTCGTCCGGAAATTTCTTTCAAGTGCTTCCCAGGCTCTCACCTAACGCAAGTCTATCTTTCAAGCCAGTCGCGACGAGGACGGTGAGGGGAGCGCGGTTCTCGTTCAGATATCGCTAGCTTGAGTCAAGTCCAACGAACCGCGACCAATCTCCTGAATCGTTCCCAGCTGTGGCGAACGAAATCAACACGTCGATGGAGTGGAGGGAGGCGAGGACGCAGATCAACGGCTGCTTCGTTTTCTCGTTGAAAGGCTGAAAGCTGAGAAGGGTAAATACCTCCGACGCTTGTTAGCTTATCAGATTTGCAAGCAGCTTGGATCGTGATCACTCACTAGGCCACTCCGCGTGTCTCGGGCTCCGTTGCATTTTGAAGGGTTAGCGGCCTCAATTCAGCCGTGCGAGCTAGCGAGTACAAAGAAGAACCATGCTGCGCGTTCTTTCGACTTTTTGCCCTGAACATATTGCGCAGCTGCTTTGCGCTGACTTTTCTGTATTGTGGGAGAATGACCTCGTTCTGTTTCTCCCAGACCGACATCCGCTTGTTAATATCTGTGAAATGATCGAGTTCATCAACGAGAAAGGAACTGATGGTCAGTCTTGCGAAATGAAAACTTCCTGTGCAAACTTGGGAGCACACACTCACTTTGAAATGCGAGCGTGGGCGTGTTGGCCTGTCGAAAGACTTCCTGATGCGCCAACGCACGAATGAAAGGGGCTGGACGTCGGACGTGCGGTGGTGGTTGACGTCGTTCGTGGTTGCCGAGGGTGTACACCAGCGCCGATGAAAGATCGTCGGCCTGAACAAGGATCTGCACAAGGGACAAAGGAGATAACAGTGAGACTTGTCAGTAACCCAAACCAAGATCCTTTGGTTTCATATCCGGCATGACCACCTTGAGTTGAGTAGAACATGTTTTCCCGGGGTCCTTGTCATTGTCTCGTTTCTTGTACCCAAGTTTGCCATCCTTAACCTGAACTCTTTTGCAGGCCCCCGAGTAACGATGGGTAATTCGTAGAACCTCCGACGGATGTTGATGATGAGTAGACGAGGGCGCATCACCGTAAGGTCGCTCGATGACAGCGAGACAGCGTTCATATTTGCGTGGAGCCCAGTCATGCTTCTGTTGATAGACCGCACCAATAAAAGTTATGTCGATCACAGGACGAAACAGAACGCAGCGCACCACGCAGCTTCGACACACCTCTGTAGCCATGAACTTTGGGAGCTCCAGGACAGGAAGTTTGCGTACAAATTCCCATTCGGACTTCTGCTTGCGACAATTGAGAACGAGCGGCCTGAGACGGAGCTCGTTGTGCTCTGCAGTCGTGAGGATCATGTTTGAGAGAATTGCCTGGCGCGTCGTGTTCGATAGCTCTTTGTCCTGTCGAGAGGGCTCGTACGTGTGCCGGTCGAGGATCTTCTTGTCGTTCCGAGCCAGGAGTAGTGCCGAGACGATGTTGTCGATTGAACTCTCGTCTGAATCGTCGTTTTCGACTCCGTAGTAACCCTCGTCTGCCGAAGCCTCGTCGGAGTCCCTCGAACGGGCCTCGCGAGAGTCTGAAAGCCCCGAGGCTGTCGATACCGAGGACTTGAGGGGAAACGCGATCAAAGCTGCCGAGAGTTTGGAATCGACCTCATCCTCATCGAGGTCCGAGTCGTCGCCCGAAGCGTTTGCCTCCGACGAGGTTTGTTGGTTTGTTGGTGTAGTGCAATGGGGGGACGCCCCCCCTTGTGCTGGAGCATTTGGTGCCTTGTTTTTGTTGACATGGCCGTAGCACTTGCCGCCATCCAGAAGGTACAGGCGTCGTTGTGCTCAAGATGAACAAAATTTCCGCTCGACAAGGGGAAAGAGTGTTTGGGTGAGGATTGTATGTGTAACAAAGGGAGACTGGGGAGAAAGACCAGGAGTGTGCGAAGCTCTGAGGAGAGGAGCTGATTTCAGGGGCATTCGTGAGTTTGCCGGTATAGCCCTTCAAACGATGAGCGCCTACGAGTTTTGGCGAGGCCCCTAGGCTTTCGCCCAATGGTTGAAATTTCTTTCATAAGGGTGCTAACGGTTGCAGGCATACGCAACCCCAGCTCACCCATGTGTGTGATGTCGTCATTGATAATGTCATTATCGTATACGTCTCGTCAGCAGGAAAAAAATAAATTGCCCCACCGATCGTAAGGTCCGACGTCAGACCGCTGACACCACGGGCGCGGAGCGGCCAAGCAGGGAAGAACCCCGATGTAGCAACTACTGCATTGCCCGCCTCGTCTCACCGGCCAGAAGTACTATAGACAAACTACTGTTCCCAGAGTGATACATCACATATTGCAAGAGATACAGGCGTCTACACTATGTGGTACCAAAGTCCCATGAACGTGGTACAAGAATGACCTCGGACGTGATCCCAAAGTCCGCATCGATGTGATCCCAGAATCCGCTTCGATGTGATCCCAACGTCGCCTCCGATGTGGGACCAGAGTGCCTCCGACGTGGGCCCAAAAGCCGACCTTATGTGAGCCCAGAGTGACGAGCTATTAGCGCGGTTATGTCCGGGTGCCTTGCTTTTGATGGCTCAGGGGCTTACCACCGAACGCGCCCTTCCAGTGCTTGTCGTGCCGTCGCGGTGACTTTGTGACGTGCGCGAACCAGGTTATCAACGGCATCTCGGTCGATGGCGGATACGCCGAGTACGCGACTTTGAGGACCGAAGCACTCTCTCGCATCCCAGACAATAGCGACGCAGCTGAGTCCGCGGCGCTGCTCTGTGCCGGTGGTGAGTCTGCTCCCGAGCTGGATAAACCTTGCTAGTAAGCATACCAAGCACTCACTCTGTGCCTTAGTCACGGTCTACAACTCGCTTCGCCACATGAAGATTCTTCCTGGCGAGATTTGCGCAGTTCAGGGCGTCGGGTGAGTCCTGCTTCGGGGCCAAACCGATGTATGCAGCGGCATGAGGTTTCGATAGACAACAACACTGACCAGAATTCGTCCATTTGTTTCTTCGACGGGCTCAGCGGTCTCGGTCATCTTGCCCTGCAGTTCTCCAAGAAAATGGGTACGTTCAACGATCGTAAAAGGACCGTGCCGATTACTAGCCAAGCTCGTCACCTGCCGTCAGCCCGGCTGATGCTGCCGGTCTTTTCCCACGGGCTACAAGACGGTCGCCTTATCGCAGAATGACAGCAAGGCCCAGCTTGCGAAAGAGCTTGGAGCCGACATCTACCTCGACGCGTCTAAGGTCGACCAAGTCGAAGAGCTCAACAAGCTTGGTGGCGACAAGGTCATCATCGCCGTCGCCCCTTCCGGCAAGGCCATGGCCGAGTTGATCCCCGCCTTGTCTGTCGGTGGCCAGCTCGTCGTGTTGGCGGTGCCTCACGATGGTTTGGCGGTGAACGCGATGCATCTGATTCAGAAGAGGAGGAGCATTGTCGGCTGGCCTTCGGGTACGGCCCAAGACTCGGAGGAGACGATCGCGTTCGCTGAACACGCCGGCGTCAAAACCTCGATCGAAAAGTTCCCGCTCGACCAAGTCCAGGAGGGTTTCGACCGCATGTCAGAGAACAAGGTCCGCTTCCGTGCCGTTCTCACTTTTGATTAGGCACCTTCCCGGTGCGTACCAGCATCTCTATGAATTTACCTGCACCTGTCGTGTCTCATTATTTTCAATACGCATGTCCACGAGGGCGTGCTTTTGGTCTCTCAAGAGTGAAATACAAATAGTCGATCATGTCTCGGTTAGTCTCGATCGACTCGCGGCTGAAAGTATGTCGCGCTCATTTACAACGCTATGAAAGCTGCGGACAGGATACGTTGTCTCTGAAGATCAAAACAGTTCTTTGCTGATGCATTTGCATACAGAGCGTGTGATTCCACCTCAAGAATATTGGCAAAGTAAGCACTGTTGGTACATGCAGGCATTCACATCATGGCCATCTGACCCGCATACGCCATCGGCTTGATGTTGGGGTGCGGTTGCTCTTTGAAGGTGGTGTACTTGATAGATCCTGTCTCGTCAATCGTCGCGAAGGCAGCGAGGTTGCCGACTTGGTCTACCTGAAGAGTGGTGCAGGCGGGTTATCATCAGCTCTTGCCGGTGATGCTGACGTGAATGAGAATGACTCACATAGTTGGGCGCTGAAAAGACGGTGATGCATAATCCGTCATGCTCGACCGAATAACCGCCTTGTCGCACCTCATGACTCCTCATCACAGCAGTCACCTGGTTCAACTCGCACCACCTCCTCGTCACGTCCGGACCAAAGCCGATCCCGACCCCACGCTTCGAAGGACCTCGCCCCGCGGTATCCTGAGGGTCGGTCCACAACATCTCGCACATTAAGCCTTCGTGGCCCGGTTGCTTCAGACTGATGCGGTCAATTGCGGCGATGTTGGCGAGGGTCACGTCGTCGCGCGAGAAGAGGCCGCCGTGGACGACGAAGTAGCGCTTCTTGTTCTGGCAGAGGATTGGGTTTTTCGGGGTATCACTCGGCATAGCGTTTGTCGGTGAAGATGCCGAGATGAGAGTCGCCAAAGGCACTGCAAATCAATCACGTAAAGTTCCCGGTCAATGTTGTGGTCAAAGGAGAGGCTCGAATCGAGGGATCGACTCACGAGCGGTGAAGACCTCTTCGAAGAGCTTGTACGTCATTTCGGAGTACTTCTTCTTCGTTTCCCCTTCAAATCCGTACACCTTGTTCATGTCCGCTGTTTCGTGGTTGCCTCGGTTTAAAAAGACCTTGGTGGGGTAGAGCCCTATGATGGAACAGTGCAAGGACATTCGTTAGGGTCAGCAGCGAGTCCCAAAAGTGAAGCATGTTACGCGGCGTACATTTGTACGCGAACAGGACCAATACAATCTCGGTCGACCACGATCCGCGATCGACAAAGTCGCCGTTGAACAAGAGTGAATGTGTCTCTGATGGCCGACCGGTGAGGGTGAGAAGGTGGTAGAAATCATAGAACTGGCCGTGGGTGTCACCAATGCTGTGGAACATGGAGGGGTCGAGCAGATCAGCATGGATCAAGCGCTTCAGACAGAAACTTTGGGGATGAAGTGGGGCTCCGTACACATTCATGGTTTCTCCCTGCGGAATTGTCACTTTAACCAACGACTTCTCCTCCTTCAGCTTCTCGTACGCGCCCAACACGATCTGCCATGCCAGCCGCTTGGGAATTGTCTCCCCTTTCCTGAACCACTCGATCAATTCGTCGACGAATTCGCTTGTCGGTCTCAGGGCTTTGCCTTCCTCTTCGGTCAGTAATCGGGGTCCGGCGTAGCTCGCTTCGATGGGCAAAGCGCCGTGAGCGAGTTGCTCGAGGATCTTGGTCGAGGTCAGAACTTCGTCCTTGGCCGAGATGGCGGCTTCGAACTGCAACCGGCGCAGGAGCTTCTGGGTGGCGTCGAGCTGGGCTTTGGCGGAGGCATTGTTGGGATCAAGTGAGATGACCTGCGCCGTTTCCAACGATGGGGTCTAGCTCGTCAGCGTCTGCTTCACCGAACGATCGTTTATCGAACATGCACCTTTTTCAGGTCGACCAAGGCAGCCTTGGGTTTCATGATGGCCAAATTCGCAATCGCTCTGCGGAAATAGGCCTGTGTAGCGATGTTCTCGAGTTTATCAGCTTCGAGGACCATCGCGGTGCCGAGCGAGCGAGTTCTTGTCGTCTGACCTTGACTGCTCTCGCATCGAGTTCGATCGCTCGCGTCGAATCGGCGATGGCGAGTCCATACTCTTCAAGCTTTAGCCGGACAGCGGCCCCTGTGGAAAGAGAACGGGTGACATGTCAGGGAACGGTGTCAGGCTCGAAAGGTGCGACAGCAGGCGGGGGCCGACCGACTGACGGTTGGACCAGACGATCGGATCGAACGGGTTCTTGTTCAAGGAAGCGGTGTAGAGGTCGAGGGATGGTCGGTACTTGGAAGCTGTGACGGGGCATAGGATATACGAAAGTCAGCTTGCCGATTGTCGTGGTTCACGAGTGGCCGGAGAGGTGACTTTGACGGGATGATGACGTACCCGAAAATAGGGCATTGGCTTCCGACTTTATCCTCAGTGCATCCTGATGGTAAGCGGTTCCAGTGTAAATGACAGTTCAGCATCGGAATGCAGGTCTCGCGCCCTGACCGGTGGACATTGGAGCCGAGATGGTCCCTGGTCGTGGTGCTCGCCGGTCGTGTGACTGTGGACCGAGGCCACGGCGGAGTGTCGGATTGCGAAGGCGATCGATCGAGCGCGATGCGAACGTAGCGATGGCATCCGATCGGCGAGGCGAAGCCGGAGGAGGCGAGGCGATCGTGTACGAGAACACAAAAATCGAGGCCAGTCGTCCACGGGTCTGCCGAAGCTGCTTACCTTCTTGGCGTCCGGACCGAGCTCGGCTTCCGACTCGGGCCGAATCCCGCCACCGTTCGCACCGGACGAGTGCCCACCGCCGTCGACGCTCGAGCCGTCGATCGAAGGGTCCGGGGCATGGCCAGAGAGGGGTGCAATGTATTCGCTCGATGCGGTCGAGTAGTCGGATCCTGCGTCGGACTCGGCGTCGGAATCGGTCGAGGGCAGCGCCGAAGTCGGGCTGGACGAGTCGTCGACCGAGAAGAGCGACCGAGTCGCCGGTTCGACGATGCTGCTGGGGCTGGTCGAGCTCGAGCTGCAGTCGTTCCCATCCATGCGTGTGTTCGTGCTCGTGCTGGCGTCAGTGCTGCCTGCGGAAGTCGCCATGATCGGTCGGACCTCTTGAGCGAGATAGCGTTGAGTGCGGACAGGAACAGAACTGGCAAGTCGAGCCGGGTCGTGCGATGCGAGCCTTGGCGTAAAAGTAAGTTATGACTATACAAATCCAACTCATACAAACCCATCCGAGGCGCGCGGCTGCAATATCCCTGATTAGATAGAATTGACGTCAGGCGCTGCAGTGCTGCACCGTCCTGCACGTCCGACGTCCGTCAGGCCTAGAGGCCTAGCCAGCGGCGTGTACTTGAATACATCCTCTCCGAGTTTTCCAGAAGTGTTCCAGGCGTCGATACCAATTATGCTGTCATTGCGATGTACCAGACAATAAATTGGTGTCGCGCGTGCTGGTTCCAGGCGAGTGCAGTGCAGCTCGTAGTGTCCTTCGAGTCGTGCAGGTGGGGGACGTGATCAGTACGTGATATGTAGTACGTGATCCGGACTCGGGAGACCTGACTCGACCCTGAGCGTCCCGGCCACACTGCACAGTGCACTCCCAACTGCAAGTCCATCCGCGAAGATCCACTTGGGCCGACATCGCTATATCCACACGAGCGCGAGGATTTTCGTATTGCGATCTGGGACCATACGACGTTGACCTACCATTCGACCTCGGCACCGGGATCATAATATAATCGGAATCGAGGCCGCGCGCCCGCCTCTCGCGCCCGCCTCTCGCGCCGCTGAACCCGACGGCAGCGGACGGCAGCGCGCATCCAGCCTGCCACACGCACCACAGCGTCATACCCCACCCCACTCGACCACAGGAACCATCGCAGTCAACATTAGCGTCAGTCGGCCTCACTCGCTATACCTCTGCGCAGCGCATGCTTGCCAGACTCGTATCTCTTGACGAGATTGAACCGACCGCCGCCCGTCGGCTCTGTGCGAAGCAGTCGACAGCCTATCGGCTATCATGCGCGCCTTGTTACCTCGTGCTCTGTGTTCTGGGTTTTTGTGCTCGACTCGATCCCAATGCTGACCGAATATACGATACACAACTGCTCTCCAGTCGACAGTTAAAAGACACCCGCTCTCGACCGCTCTCCCTTCTCGCTCCTCGTCGCCGTGCTCCGAGCCGTCATCTCCGACTCGCACGACTCGCACACGACCTCGTCGTGCACCTCCGCCGGCGGCCGAGATCCCCGGCCCGACCCAGAACGGCGATCCCACTGCGCTTGCAACAACGACGACGACGGCGAACAGCATGGCCACGAACACTGCTGCTGCTGCCCCCCAAGAGACGGCTCCGACTTCCATCCTCAAAGCCACCTCCGCCTACTCGTCCGAACTCTCGACCGATGCCCAGTTCTTCACCTCCCAGGAGATCGCCTCGGCCCCGACCTTGACCCCGACCGAGATCGAGGCCGCGACCGCCGAGCAGCGCGGCGACTACCAAGAGGACGACTACGACGACCCTGATGGATCGCTCTGGGCGGGACCCGTCGCGAGGTCGATCCCGACCAGCATGAGCGGATTCAGGATGAGGAATCGCAGTCGCAGCGAGTTGGATCGCGCGTCAAGGGAATTCGTTCGCGCCTCTTTCGACGAAGCATCGTCCGAACGACCGGCGCTCCCGGGCAATGGTACCGAGACAGAGGATGACGGCCAGAGCATCGCGAGGCGCTCGTCCAGGTCCAGGCGATCGAGGAGACGGCGGCGAAAGAGCACTCGCAGCGCCGCCCTGTCCGAGACCGAGCCAGAGACGGAGGCAGATCAAGGCGATGACACCGATACCGGGTCCCAGCACACCACAAGGAGGTCCAATCAGAGCAAGGGTCGGTCGAGGCGGAGAAGTCGGAAGAGCTTTAGCTCCAACAGATCCGCGTCCATGGTCGGCAGTGACGAGGACGATGATGCGGAGGAAAACGCTCGATCCGGTTTCTTTAAGGGCATATCCAACGCCCTCAGGGGGAGGCCGTCGATGCCGCGACTCGAATCGGCGACCTCGCGCAAATCTGCCTCCATCTCGGCAGGGCGACGGTCGACCGACTCGCTCGAAGAAGATGCCGTCTCGTTGCGGTCCGAGAGCGACTATGCCGGCGATCGGATCGACGACGATAACGACGACCCGTACGGCCCATATGGTGGGTCTTCCGACTCAGTTTCGACTTCCTCGACCATCACGTCGTCCTCACAGGATGAAGGTGGGCCACGGCGGCGAAGAGGAGCAGGTGGACTATTGGGGGTCCTACCGGGGGGAGGAGGCGATGCGTTCTACGGCGAGTCCCGCATCGAGTTCGCTAGCGACGCCGAGGACGACGAGGACGAGTTCTCGACCGACGACGAAGACGGCGAACGGCGGCGCAAAGCCGGCGGATTGCAGGCCAGTCAGAGCGTCTATATTCCTGATGAAGATTTACCCCTTCGCTTGGTCGGGTTGCACGTTTCAAGGTGGAGGGTCGCGTTATGGACACTCGGGTGCATCCTTACCGGTGGAAGTTTGTGGCTACTCGGGCGGTGGCTACCCAAACTTTGGTTGAAATGCGTGGGTACGCCGGGCGAGTTCAGAAAGGCTTCGTATGTTGTTGTTGAGGTGAGTCGACGAAGCTCCGAACGCTTTGCGAGAAAGACGGGGGTCAATGAGCTCATCTAAGATCGCGTTACCGTGTGTTTCTAGTGCTTCCACCACGAACCCCAAATTCTTCCCATCGAAACCTTTCAACTCTCGAATCCCCTCGCCCTCTCCACAGCTTTTCCCCCGTCGCTCGTCACACCGCCTGCGCATCGTGACGACGTGACCCACTCCCGCAACTCTTCGAAGCCCGTTGACGAAGGCGCGCCAGAGACCGAAGCAGGTGTGAACACTCCAAGCTCGATCCCGTTCGCCGGATTATCCGCGAACGCAGCTGAGAATGGGGCTGTACCGGTCTCTTTTGCTGGCCAACCGTCAAGCGTGAATGCCACAAACCACAAGGGCAAAAAGGTCAAGGGGCCGGCGATTACGCAGCTGCAGTACCTCGACTATCGGTACTACCGTTTCTTGCTGCACCCGGAAGGAGAATTTAGGATGGTTCGGTAAGTACTTTTGGAGATCGGCACAAAGCTTTGAAGGATGTAGACTGAATCATTTTTCGCGTATCCTCGTAGCGAATGGAAGGACCCTACATGGACGACTCCGATGTCGCTCCGCAAAGGCTTGTCCTCGACGGATGCACACACTCGACATTCACTGTTTGGGCAGAACGCGATCGACATCAAAGCGCGGGGAATCGTGCAGCTTCTGATGGACGAGGTGCTGCACCCGTTTTACATCTTCCAGATCTTCTCGATCGCGCTGTGGTGTGTCGATGATTATTACTATTACGCATTCGCGATCGCCATCATCAGTGTCGCGTCTATCGTTTCGACTTTGATCGAGACCAAAGGGGTATGCACGGCCATGGACCGCAGATTGAATGCGATCCTATACTCACTGTGCAGATGATGTGCCCACAGAACATTGAACGAATGAGGGAAATGTCGAGGTTCTCCTGCCCCGTCAAGGTCCTCCGTGATTCACAATGTGAGTCGAGCGATACAATACATTGCAGCCGAACGCACGAGCTGAGTAAGTGACTCCACACTGCGCAGGGACTTCGGACGTTTCGGACGCGCTCGTCCCCGGCGATATTGTCGACCTGTCCGAGACATCCCTCATCACCTTCCCCGCAGACTTGGTCTTGCTCTCGGGTGACGCGATCGTCAACGAGTCGATGCTGACCGGCGAATCGGTTCCCGTGTCCAAGTACCCCGTTGAACCAGCTGGGATTTCGTGGATCTCGGCACCCGGCGGTGACGTCTCGCTCGATCTGTCGAGGCATGTCGTGTTCAGTGGTACCAAGATCATTCGCATTCGGAAGACGAGCCCGATCAGCATTGGGGTCGGGGAGCCCGAAGCCTTGGCCATGGTCATGAGGACGGGTGAGCTACTAAAGACCTCGGGAGGACCCGACCGCATTGTAGACATACTGACACTGTGCTTCCTCTTGGCAACGCAGGTTTCAACACGACCAAAGGGGCTTTAGTCCGCTCGATGCTCTTCCCCAAACCCTTTGGCTTCGCCTTTTACCGCGACTCATTTCGATTCATCGGAGTGCTTGCCATGGTGGCCGTGCTTGGTTTCATGGCGTCTTCGGTCAACTTTATCAAGCTCGGCATCTCCTGGTCCGTCATTGTCATCCGCGCGTTGGATCTCGTCACTATCGTTGTCCCTCCCGCTCTGCCTGCGACCATGTCGATCGGAACTTCATTCGCAATCTCCCGACTTCGCAAGATTGGCATCTTTTGCATCTCGCCGAGTCGAGTCAACATTGGGGGCAAGGTCAACATTGTCTGCTTTGACAAGACGGGGACGTTGACGGAGGAGGGCCTCGACGTGCTTGGCGTGCGAAGTGTCGTGCGCTCGACCAACAAGTTCGCCGACTTGGAACACGACGCTGACAACGTGCCCATCTTTGGGGCCGCCGATGCTAAGACACCGCTGCTGCATGCATTGGCTACGTGCCATGCGCTCAAGATTGTCGATGGCGAAGTCATTGGTGATCCGCTCGACCTGAGGATGTTCGACTTCACCAACTGGACGCTCGAGGAAGGCAAAGAGGCGGCGAAGACGAAGGCCCCGACCTCAGAGGCCGCCAAACACAGGAAGCACGCCACGTCGGCTCGAGCGGCCGCTACGCCGGGTTCGGCATCGTCCAAGGTCCCCGAACGTGCCGCCACGCTCGTGCAGACTGTGGTACGCCCACCCGGAGGCGAATCGTTTAAGCTCGAAGACGCGCTCAAGGCCGGGTCCAAGCATGCGCACTTTCTCGAGTTGGGCGTGTTGCGGACCTTCGACTTTGTATCGTCGCTGCGAAGGATGAGCGTGCTCGTCAAGAAGCTCAAGTCGACTTCCGTCGAAGTCTACGTCAAAGGTGCTCCCGAGGTCATGCTCGAGATCTGCGACAAGACCACCCTGCCGGACGACTATGAGGAGATGCTGGCCTACTACACCAAGCACGGTTTCCGCGTCATTGCCCTCGCCGGCAAATCGATGCCTGGGTTGACATGGATCAAAGCCCAACGGCTCAAGCGCGAGGTCGTCGAATCCGACCTCCGCTTCTTGGGCATTATCGTCTTTGAAAACAAGCTCAAACCGGGGACGGCGCCGGCGATCGCAACGCTGCGCGCGGCGCACATCCCGACGAGGATGGTGACAGGCGACAACGTCCGAACCGCGATCTCGGTGGGGCGCGAGTGTGGTATGGTCCCGGGCTCGGCTCGGGTCTACCTTCCGACGTTCCTAAAAGGAAACTCCTCGACGCCTCGATCGACAATCGAGTGGGTCGACGTTGACGACGAGGGGCGCAAGCTCGACCCGTACTCACTGATGCCGCTCGTTACCGACGATGATCGGAGCAGCTACAGCGGCTACAGCGACGAGCGGTCACGGCGCGAATACCACTTAGCTGTCTCTGGCGACGTTTTTCGCTGGATGATGGACTTTGGGGCGCTCGAAACGCTGCAGCGGATGCTCGTCAAGGGCATCATTTTTGCGCGTATGTCGCCCGACGAGAAGCACGAGCTCGTCGAACGCTTGCAGTCTTTGGGCTACACCGTCGGGTTTTGCGGCGACGGCGCCAATGATTGTGGTGCCCTCAAGGCCGCCGATGTCGGGCTCAGTTTGTCCGAAGCCGAAGCCAGCGTTGCTGCCCCGTTCACGAGTCGTCAACCCGACATTCGGTGCTTCATCGAGGTCATCAAAGAGGGTCGAGCGGCTCTCGTCACAAGCTTCAGTTGCTTCAAGTTCATGTGAGTGACTCTTTCGTGGCTCCCTAGTCGGTCCTTGGCTGACCATACCCGTCTTATTCTTTGCTACAGGGCGTTGTACTCTTTGATCCAGTTCACCACGGTCACCCTGCTCTACTCTATCGCATCCACCTTGGGGGATTTCCAGTTCTTGTACATCGACCTTTTCCTCATCTTGCCCATCGCCGTCACCATGGGTCGTACCGAAGCCTTCCCCCGCGTCCACCTCAAGCGACCGACCGCGTCGTTGATCTCGAAGAAGGTCTTGACCAGTCTCATCGGCCAGATCGCGCTCACGTCGGTGTTCCAGTTCATCACCTTTTTCTTCGTCCGTGCGCAGTCTTGGTACACCCCGCCCGAGATCGACCCCGACGAGCTCGACATCGTCTCGTACGAGAACACAGCCCTTTTCCTGATTAGTTCGTTTCAATACGTCCTCGTCGCCTTCATCTTTTGCGTTGGCCCACCTTATCGCAAACCTTTGTACTCGAACCGATGGCTCGTCGCTGCGTTGGCCGCGTTGACCGTCTTTTCGATCTACACACTCTTCACGACGTCGGGGCCGATCTTTGCGCTCTTGCAGCTCATCTCACTTCCGCACGAGTTCCATCTTGAGTTGTTGTTGCTGTTGATCGCCAACACAGCGGCATGTTGGACGTTCGAAGAATACGGCGCGAGCCGACTAACGAAGTTGATCGGCGAGTTGCAGCGCAAATGGAGGCGTGCGCGCGGCACGAGGAGGAGGGACGACGGTAAGGTGTACAAGGCCATTCAACGGGCGATGGTTGATTAGCGGGTTGTTGCTGTATGTTTCTCGCACAAAGCGTCTTGAAGTTGTCGTAGCAGAGCCGGTGTGGCTTGGAATTGGCGCGCTTGGTCGAACATTTTGATAGCTCTGAACAAAACAAGGACGCAGAGCAAGAATAGGTCCCAGAGGTCTTTTTTTGAAAGAGGTGATTCAGGATGTTTTGATCGCAGATGCGAAGGGCCCGTGACTGATTCTGGCCCCCGGATAGCAAAACACACACACAGCCGGCTTGGTGAAGCTCTCGAACTCCGCTTGATTGACAGAGAACTCTATCAGAGTCCAGGTAAAGCATGTAGCGTGCAAGGGCGTTTACCGTTACAGTATGTCAGCGTAATCTGATTATTCGACACCTCCGGCTCGTTCGGAAGGTGCAGAAGGACGCCTCGCGTCGGGATCGGATGACCACTGATGGAGTGGACGAGAAGTGGCAAGCAACGCCACTAGAAGTGTGCTCCCGCCTAGTAGTGCCCGCCGGCAGCCGCCGGCCGGCTTCTCCGCGGAGTCGCGGACCCCGGCGACGACAATCAAAGAGTCATGGCATGATGAGGCTTGAAGGGGCTAGAAGCGGTAATCTTGATCGGCCCGAATACGTAATATTCGGGTCCAGAAGAGCTGCTTCTGAGTGCGCATGCGGCGGCGCTCACTCAGACCGGCTCGAACAAGTCCGAGATGAGGTGCGTGCTAGAGCCAGCTTCTGACAGCTTTCAGAAGGCCAGAGACGACGAGATCGGCTCCGCGCTGCCGACGCTCGCACTCGTTCATCTCGCAAAACAACGCCTTGTCACTCGTCTCGGACGTCGTGTGCGCTCCTCGCCCGCCCCCCTCCCCGCAAGCAGCGACCCGAACGTAAGTGCATGCTATGGTCATGCGCTCGAGTCCGCTGGCTAAGACTGGAGCCGTCCCGCTGCGCTATCTGCTTTTAACGCGGTGACCGCTGTGGCGCCCGGTGGTGGTCCGACGAGGACCGCGCGACGCGGTGGCCTGACCCGTCCTCTTGCCACCCCAAACGTAATCTCGTGTTGTGGCGGATTGGGATACCCAAGCATGGTTACACTCGTGACTTTGGCGGCGGCCTTGGATGCATCATTCTTTCCGATTCCGATGTTCGACCGTGTCGCTCTGTTCATGTTATGCGAGGCAAAGCGTGCACCGGCGATCGCGGCACTGACACCTGTTGTGGATCGCACAGCACAGTTCCCCTCCGTTGATTTGACGGCCAAAATCACGCGCGCGCACGAACTCGTGATCAAGATCGATCGACTTGTTTTTTGAGCGAACCTGCCTCTTCTTCTTCTCTTGGTCTCGGGCCAACCTTCATACCATCGAAGGTAAGTCATGCGGCCCGGAGTAGTCGATGCGTGCCCGAGCCTACCCGAGGCCCAATGCCGCAGGTAGATGCGAGCTGCCAGCTGCGCGCGGTCCGGGTGCGACGCTCGTTCATGCCGAGGCGAGCAAGACAAGGCCGAGGCCACGAGTGCATAGGATCATCCACATTATCGAGTTCAACGGTACCTCCGGGTTTCGTGACATCCGCTGACTCTTCGATGCCGACTCCCCTTCAGATTCGAACCTACAGCCCCGTCGCTTTCCGATACCTCTCATTCAAGCGCACCGAAAGTCAAGCGCACCGAAAGCCGAGGCTCTTCTGACGGTATTACGTAGCATATCAAGATGGACATTGCGCTGCATTGTCAGTTGACAGCCGGTACTACATACGTAGCAATGCCTCGTGACGCTAATCTGCGCAAGCACTCCTTTCTCGACAGATTTTGACGAGTACGCCGGCGACGCGATCTACTCGCGCTTACACAACCCACTCGCCGGTCTCGGCAAAGAATCGTTTTCGTCGGTAGCCTTGAACGTGACTAACTCGGAAGTAACACAGTACGTGGCAAACTTGCCGGAGCTTTCGGTGCTCCCACGCGACAGTGTGCTGCGGCAGTGCATTTCCTTGTACGGCATAACCTATGTCGGTAAGTTCTCGTCGCTCCTTTCCTCCCAGCGGCTTCCCGAGTGCCGACCGAAGCCTCTCCATACTTTAGGCATCCTCTTGCTCTATTTCTCGGTAGCGACCTTCTCGTACTACTTTATTTTCGACCACCGAATGAAGCTTCACCCGCGGTGGCTCAAGAATCAAGTTCGGAAGGAGATCATGTTCTCGCTCGAAGCGTTCCCGATGCTCGATCTTTTGACCTTACCGTGGTTCCTGGGCGACGTCCGAGGCTACTCCCAACTGTACGACTCGATCGCGGAGGGCCCATTCGGTGCCGCCGGTGGATGGAAGCCGTGGGCTTACATGGCGTTCTCGGTTGCATTCTTCTTGTGGTTCACCGATTACTGCATCTACTGGATCCATCGGTGGTTGCACATTCCCTTCCTTTACAGGCGGTTGCACAAACCTCATCACAAGTGGATCAGTGAGTCGCAAGTTCCTTGCATGTCTCTTTGTTGGTCCCAAATCGCAACTACGAAATGAGATCTGACCCCAATCGCTTCAACTTGTTCCCCCCGCAGTCCCTTCTCCTTTCGCTTCCCACGCTTTCCACCCCGTTGACGGCTATCTGCAGTCCGTGCCGTACCATATTGCGTGTTACATGTTCCCCATCCACAAGTACATGTTCATCGGCCTCTTTTCGTTCGTCAATCTGTGGTCGATCTTCATTCACGACTCCGACATGCTGTGTGGCCACCCGCTCGAACACTATATCAATGGACCCGCTCACCACACCCTGCACCATATATACTTTACGTGCAACTACGGCCAGTACTTCACCTGGGCCGACAAAGTCGGCGGCTCGTTCCGTGTCCCCGCCAAGGGTGATGACCCGCTCGATGCCGTTTTGGCGGTAATCGAGCAAAAGAAGGCTGGATTGGGTTCGAGATCGAGCAGTGAAGAGTCCTTGAGGACGACACGTCAACGAGTGCTGGATTTGTTGGCCGAGGAGACAACGAGCGAAAGCGGGTCCGAAGAAGTCGACGTCGCGACAATGTTGAGCGTGAAGAAGTCTCAGTAGGCGTTTTTAGACGTAGAATGTACGTGGTTCCCAGAACTACTTCTAGGAGAGATAGAAGTGGCCAAACTTAGTGCTAGATTGTCTGTAGACTTCGTGTTTCTACCCTCTGTTTCGTCCTCTGCACTGTGAGAGCATGCTAGATCCCTTCTTTGGTATTCTTGTCTAATACTAATATTCCATTTGCTCTGTAAATTCTCATGACTCTCTCGAAGAGCGATGGTGGAAAGGACATGGTCGCGTCTTCTAGTCCTTGAGTACCATTTCTGACACTCCCCTCGGAGGCCGTCGCGAAGTTGGAACGGATTTCACTGGTATACCAGACATTACCGACCCTTACTGCTGTATGGAAAACAGGTGGCCGACGCGAGCAAACGACGCGCGAAAGCCTTGTCACGGCAGACGAATTCGGGGAAAGCCAAGTTAGGAGTTCGAGCCGAGGATTGATTCGGCGGACGGCGTCACGGAACTCTCAACAGCTCAACATTGACGCCGCTGTCATCGGGTCCACACAGTATAAGCTGGGCTGAGGAATGGCCGGGTTCGACTGTTCATCAGGTGACCGCCGTCTGTGGTAGTCCGTGGTGGCCCAGGCCCGCACGCGGTAGGCTGCGAGTGGTCAACGCCACGCTACACCTAACTTTGGGTGGAGGGGTTTGAGCGTGCGCCACACCTCAGATCCCTACGGGAAATCCACGCAACCGCAGTTGACCGCGGTTGGACGATGGCGCCGAAGTTAACCGCAGTTCAACCGCGGTGCCCGCGGTTGCGCGGATTACCAACTGCGGTTGCAACTGCACGAGGTCGCCAACTTGGGAATGCTCCAGTACGCCCTGCAATTCTCAGTTGACTCGTAGACTAAGCGAGAACAGCCTGACTTTCAGACCTTACCTAGTGCAGCAAACAACTCGTGATATAGTCTCGAGTGGTGCTCTAATTACATACACCAACCTAAGAATGTGTAACATCTCCAGATGAAGATGTGGTGTTCTTGGAATTGGACAAGGTTTCTAAAGGATTGAAGCTAATGAGCAATTGGAAAAACCGCGCCCCTGTATCTTCCGGACGACCGAACGGAGAGCGCTCTGCCTCGTGTCAGTACCAGGCGTCGACTCAGCGCAAAGCGGTCGCAGTTGAATGTGGAAAAACAGATATCGAATATGTGTCGGGAGCTGTCACAGCTGGCCCTGCGTCTTGCGCAAGCTCAGCCGCGGTGGGAGGCGGCCCGGCCGCATCCCGTATTCGAGATGATGGACACGTGTTGGCGGAGACGCTCGACGCCGATCAGGCTGAGGGTGCGAGGACCATCCACATCGAATCTCTCGTACAACCCCCGGATGTCCCATGGCAACTGGGAAAACATCGACCAACGAAAGCAATCGCTTCTCCTTCAGCGTTGTTACACCTAGCTCAACAAAACACACAACTTCGCCGGCGCGCTGTGAAATGTCGGCCTCCATTGACATCTGTGGATCCCAGATGAGCTGTCAAGAATATCTCCGCTGAAATCAGATGTGATGAGTTGATTTGGTGGTACTCACTCGCATAAATCTAGCCGTCTTGCAGTTAACGGTGCCTTGCGTGTTTCGCATCTCGTTACCGGATCCGAGCAACGTGACTGCCGATGCACCTGCACCCTCAAGGCGCCGCCATCCTTCGTCGAGCGAGCTGCCAAATTCCATCGCATAGATGGTTCTTGGTGTAGTCGTTTGCATTCGACCCCAGAGAGTTATCGACATGACACTGCCTCCGTGGAAGACTGCGACTTCTTCGGTCAAGTTTGCGAAGGGTGTCGCGCCGTTTTCTTGAGCGTGTGCAGCTTCTAGCCCGGCAGCTGGGCATGCAAGGCATGATCCCTCGGCGAACTGTCCCGGAGATCGTTCATTGTAGGTATGTCGTACTTGAGTCGAAGGATCATCACCATGCTCCGCATCTCCGCCGAATGACGGGTTTTGACTTGCTTCTCATCCCCCCTTTGACGTAACCCATCATCGTCTCCGTTCCGCAAGCCGAGTACTCACGAAGCGGCCCCATTCTTTTCATAACATCGGGACCGTGCATAAGACGATGAACTGTGGCGGGGAACAGATGAAGAAACTCGGGATCTCGATCATACAAAAGCTTCTCGCGCAGTAGCAGCATCTGTTCGATGAGAACATAGAGGTAGGTGTACGTGATGGAAATCTCGCCCCCTTCATCGAGCTCGTACAGACGAAGTTGTTCGAGCCGGTCCACGTCCGGTAGGCGATCGACAAAGTCAACGGAATCGTCGATGAAGACATCGGTTTTCATCGCCGCAAACATTCGGATGGTGAGCGCCGTCAGTCGCTCGAACTCGGGTTCCTTGAATTGCTGGTACGAAAGCGGTCCCAGGTCACGCAAGATGAACAGTTCCCGTTCGATTGATTTACATTATTTCCTTTTCTCGGCTAAGGGCCTGACAATCACACCCTCCACTCTCGCAAGGTACGGCCGAGACAACAGCTGCGCACGAGTCATGCGAGCGATCGCGTCGGAGGTCAACGTCATGGAGTGCCTGCGTGCTTTCGAGTCCAAGTCGCCGACGAGGATATTGGTGAAAGTGCTGCCACTGTTGATACCAATCAGATGCATATAATCCAATGGTAGAAACGTGGAGTAAGCATCCTTGAACAGATCGAGCGCCTCGATCGGAGCTTCGCCTGAGATCCCCGTGCGACGCCGCAGCGATTCGAGCTTGGTCGGGTGTCGTTTCATTACGCAACCACCCGACGGTAGTGCTTGTAGTTGCGCTCGTTATAGCCGAACGTCCTGCCCACCAGGGGTTTGGAATGTCATGGCGGTGTCGACAAGCCCAGCCCACTCGGGATGGTTGAGCACCAATACGATCACTCCCTCGTCGTTTTCGAACGCTTTCGCATGAGGAACACAGAACGGCAGATAGCCTTTGGTGTTTCCAGGTGCGTAATGAGGTATGCTGATGATCGAGCAGATCAAGCACTAAGCGAGGCCTCTTGCTCCCACGAGGTTTCCAAGAGCTGCTTGCTCCAGCGTGTCGGCTATGCAGGCCACGATCCTGTCGCTGCAAAGCACGTGCCTGTCCCGAGCGGCTGAAAAGGATGTACGCTCCCCTTCGAAGATGTGGAGCTGTTCACAAAGTGTTTCGAGGAATGACTGCTCGTCTTTGGGTTTTTGAGGGCCGTTCACGGAGATGACAAAGTGCGATGATAGCTTCCAACGAAGCTCGGGGGCAGGGTCATGGGTATCACCCCAGAGATGTGGGCGTTGACCTTGCGATTGGCGTTTGAGTGCGCGAGCACTTCGGTTCCGTCGGAGAAGGTTGCAAGAGGGATGTCATCCCGCTTGAGATCGCCGTTTGCGTAAAGCGTCCGTGCCTGTAAGCCGTCGACCCATCGCCTCACGACCGGGTAAGAGCCCGAGCCACCTGACGCCTTGTGCAAGTCGACGACCTCATCGCTCGGCTTGGCATTGGCGAGGGTAGGGCCGATTACTGGGTGTGCACAAAGCGCTTTAACAAAAGGGGCAGGGTCATAAAAGCGCTGCGTTGACCGTTTAAATCTTCTCGCCATTCTTCCCCAGCGTGAAACGTTTCTCGCGCCACCCGGGCGTCGGACACTCCTCAAGGCCTTGGTGTCGTTTGGCGCCATAGGATACGTGACCTTTGGGGCACTTCCGACCTCCATAGTTAAGCCGGTGAGATGTCGTATCGTTCGGACCATTTTGTATTCGGACATGTTCGCTGAGGTCAGCGTCGTGGGAGGTGTAGGTGCGCAGCAATGTGAGGAGGTCAGTCCAAGCGTCCCTCGAAAGCGAATGGTCCCGCTTGAACATGTAGAGTTGTAGCTTTGCAAGGTCATGGGGCGGAAGCGTTCAACTATGAAGTCCTGTATGAGGTAGTTACTGCAACAGCCCTCGTGTTTGTGTCAAACTGGACGACTTGAAGGACAGCAAGACTTTGAATCACCTTCGGCATCAAGCTCGGCGAGATGAGCCTCAAGCGCGGCAATTTCATCTTCAGTCGGCTCGGGCTCATCTCCCTCCCCTTGGACATCCTCTTCCTCTCCCGCGCCTCCCAGATCGTTCTTATCACTTTGCGTTTCACCCGCACGGGAGTCCGTATCACTGGTATCTCTGTCACCATCATGTTCCTCCTGCGCTTCTGAGCCCCATTCGAGGTTCCAGATCGTCGAGCTCCTTCGGACCGCGCATCTCCTCTTCGTCTACGACCATCTCTTCTCCCTCGTCATCTGCGGCTTCATTGAGATTTCCTTGGAGATCGTCTCGTCGCCGTTTTCGTCCGCCCCTCCGCCGGAACCTTCTCGATCCATATCATCGGCGTTATCGTCATCGACCGCCATTGGGATCGCGTGACCGACTGCTGCCGGTAAAAGACGTCCCCGAAGGTCAGAATGGAGATTGGCCCAAGATGAGTGAACTTGTTGACGGACCTGGTGTAGCTGGTGCTTCTTCAGGCCCCTTTCGCTTCCAGAACTTCGCTGGAAGCAGTTCTTTCGCGCCTGGCCGTTGCTGTTCAATGTACTTTTTGAGATGCGCTGTCCAGGTTCTTCTTGCAAGCCAGGTTCCAGACTTAGGTAGGCACACAGAGCAGACGCAGTACCTCCATTCATTGTAGTGTGCTTTGTCGTGCTCGGGCAGTTCGACAAGACCGCTCAACGGACGTGTGTCTGCGAGCTTCTTCTGGACGCGGTTGATTTGTGCTTGTTCGATCTGCTGTGAGACATGACAGAACCAGTGTGTAACTGACGCCTTGGAAGGGAGAATATGACGTTACAGCCGTAGGGAGAGAAAGAGTGGTCGGATGAAGGCCCCCGTAGCCACCGCTGGAGGCGCCCGTCACCGTTGTCGCGGCTCGACTAATCTCCGCCACGCGAGCTAGGAGCGTTCGCTTCCGCATTCGCCCCTCTCCTCTCGCTCCCCCACGCAACTCGCCACACCAACTCGTTCGCACCTCTGCGTCATGTCACGCGTGAACAGCATTCTCAAATCACTTCCACCAATGTCGTCCCGCAACCCGAGACCATCGACTGGCGTGGTTGTGCTGAGCAAGCCGAGCGAGCCTTGGTACTACATTAACTCGAGTCCGAGCGCGATCTTGCCTGCGCGCAGCGTGACGTTCTTCAAGCACGAGTTGCTGCACTCGAGACCGCAAGCGAGGGCACGAGAGGAAGGACTGAGGATATCGAAGACCGCGATGGCGTCAAGGTAGAACATGGCAAGTGGTACCAGCTCGTCCCCAAGCTTGATCCTGTGTCTGCCGGAGCTAGCACGGACCGCTGTAGACCTTCCGCTGGATCGTCAAAACGATTTTTTGGATTGAAGATATCAAGTCATCGATGTCGGGAGCTAGTCGTGGCAAGCGTGTGCTCAACACGACGCAGCTTTCAAACAACGTCAACCACGCCGAGCACCTCACCACCAACCCCACCGAGTCGTCGGCAAAGCAGACTGATCCTTTCTTCAAAGCCGAATGAGCGTCAACCTTCGAACCCAAGTGTTGTGGTTCAGCATGTATTCGAATGTAGCTTTCTATCCCACGCCGTGTTCGTTTCTCAGGAACGTCGTTCAGCATGTTTGCTCGTCAGCCGCCCAAGTCGACGTGGTTTCGCTATGGAAAGTTGTTAGTCTTTTCGGCCTTTGCTGCAAGATTTTGACGCGGACAGCTCAAGCGCGCTGGTCTCGGCCTAACGGGGCCCGCTCGCGCTCCACTCTTCGAACACGCATTCTTTGGACCCTGTGCCAGCACGCACTCTTCTCGGCCCCCTTGGGCCTCCCGCCTTGCTCACCCGCTGGCGCGCGCGGGCCCTTCCTCTCCCTCTCCCTCGTCGTCCCGCACACCTTAGCGTTTCGTGTTGTGGTTCCGGCACCCCCCCTGCCAGTCTCTACTCACTCAAACCGCCGTACCCGCTGCTTTGCAAGGTCGTATCGCACCCACTGCTTAGAGCAAGGGCGAACTTTTCGAGACTCGCACTACCGCGGCTCGCTGTTTCTAGCTAAGACCTCGTTTGGCCGCGTCTACCTACCGCGTCGCCTTCCTCCCCTGCCATCGCCCTGCGCTTTTCGAGCAAAGGTATGCCCTATCCCCCAAGTCAGTTGCAGTGTTTTAGTTACTAATCGGACCTGCGCTCTTTGAGCAAAGCCGATCGACCATTTTTTTGAGCTCCTCCCTCCCACCCTACTTGTTCATAACTCCTGTTTAGAAAACCCTCCGTTTGTTACGGAGTGCGGGTTTTTCTCTTATCACTGCAACTCGACTCTTCCATCCTAAAACAAACGCCACAAACAGCGCGCACTATGGAGGAGTCGAACTCTTTTAGAGTCCATCTGGAAATGATTAGTTAGCCTATACATGTTGTCACCACACATCTGGAGAAAGAGAGTCTGAGTTGAAATAGATTTCGCTGGTCTGATGTCCCCATTTGTCCAACCTGCTTGCAAAAGTCAGGCAACGAATGGCAGATTTTGTGCCGATTGCGATGTCCAACTTCGGCTTTTGCTGCAAGGTCTTGACGCGCCGATTCAGGCTCGCGCGCACGGACCCTTTCTCCCTATAGTTGTGCTTCCCACACACGCGGGCTCACGCCCTCATCAGGCTCAAGGTTCGTCTCTTGGTTCGAGTCGTATGCTTGATATAATGCAATGGCATTGGCAGTGGCACTTCACTATATCTTTACTGTACATGCAAAGGAGAGCGAAGAAAGGGATAGTATAGGCTACTACATTATCACAATCGCGGTTATGTGCGGTTGCAACCGCGGTCACAAAGTTCAACCGCGGTCGTGCAGTTGTAACTGCGGTTGGTGCGGTTGCGACCGCGGTTGCTGAAGTCGCAACTGCGGTTGGGTATTTTGCAGTTTCTAGGCCTGAAGTTGAACCGCGGTTAACCGCGGTTACTTTCGAATGGCTAGACGGGCAAACGTCAACGCGTCAACCGCGACCAACCGCGGTCAACTGCGGTTGCGCGGATTTCCCGTAGGGCTCAGATGCTCGCGGCGCCCACGGTGGCAATTTTGCATCGATCTCAATCAGGCGCCGATCTCACGGGCTACCTAGTTCGAGCCCAAGACAGTGAACACTGCAGTGAATGCCGCTCGGGCGGTGAACCATGACATATTGACTCCTAGTGGTTTTTGTTTGTTTGTTTGTTTGTTTGTTTTTCTTTTCTTTTCTTTTCTTTTTTTTTTGGCTTGCGTCCAACATGCTCTGGTTGACCATGGGCTACTAGGCAATGGCACATCTCGAACGACCGCGACCGACCGCGACCGACGACGACCAACGACTCGACCGACCACTGCAAAGACGTCGGCCAAGGCTAAGGCCGCCAGTTGCCGCCAGCACCGGGGAGGCCGGAGGGGGACCTGCTCCGTCCGGATTCCAAAAAGACGAGGATATCCTCCGAATTGCTATGTAATAGAGTGCTACTGCTCACAGTAGGCAGATAGGTAGGTAGCTTATAGGGGCAGGACTTTCTGATTCGACATTACCATTGACCACGTCCACCATTGGGGCCGCGACTGGCGGCGCCGAGACTTGCCCACGAACGGCCGGGGCAGCGTTCCGATCGACGAGATTCAGCGAGTTTTGATGTTTGGCGGGAAAACATCACAGCCGCGTCCCGCGCGGGGACGCCGCGCTCGCAACTCCGCAAAGCGTCTAGAACGGCCATTCGTTTTGGCGGCTTGTTGAGGAACCAAGTCAAGGAGAGAATTCAAGACATTCGCGGATTCCGAGGTCCCAATCCTGAACGCCAAGCAAACCGCGCCAAGCAAATCGCGCCAAGCGATCGGACAACGGAGCCCCGCAAGAACGTTGTCCGTAACCACGAACTCAGGCACAACCAGCAGAAGCCAATCAGCGCCAGCGATTTTCCCCCGCACCGCTTTGAAACCTCGCTCTTACCGATGATCCGCTGTCGAATGTCGGGTGATCACCGGATCCCTTCATGCGTCGCGCTTAGTTCTGGGTCGAGGACGAGGAGCGCCCAAACGTTCTACACTCTTCTTTCTGCTCACCATTCATCGGCCCCCCCGTATTTTTCACGCCACTCTCTTGGTGCTTAAAGTTCTCAACTTCAACCCTTTAGATTTACCGCCAGCTCAAGACTCAAGATGACTCAAATGGACGGCGCTTACGCCGACGAGAAGGCAGTGGTCGAGCACATCGATGAGATTGCCGACCTCGAATCTTCTATCGATGCAACTGCCGAACGCAAGCTTGTGATGAAACTCGAGTAAGTCGACTGCTTCCTTTCTCGTAGCTGTTCTCTTTTCAGTGGGCAGAATGCTGCAAAGATGAGGGCCCCTCCGAGTCCTTTGCGGGCGAGGATCGCTTGCCGCAGCTCGGGGCCGCTCGAAGCTCCTTCAGCGACAGGCACAATGATCTAGCCGCCATCGAAGCGAGACGCTGATCACTATTGCATCTACCATAGCCTCTGGATCTTGCCCCTAGTAACCCTCATGTTCTTGCTCAACTTCATCGGTACGTCTCCAGTAGGTCTTTCTGGCTGTAACTCCATCCGGTTCCTGACCTCCTGCGCTTTTTCGCGGCTCCAAAGATCGATCCGCTGTCGGGAACGCGAACGTCGCTGGACTCTCCAAGGACCTCAACCTCGATGGATATGAATACAATATTGCACTCATGGTAAGGATTGGCTTGCTTCGACTTCTTGGGTCATCTTTCCTCGAGCTGACGGGCCCTTTTTTCTTTCGCGCCTGCTTTTCCTTCCCAAATGTCTGTCGGATCTGGGATTGTGACCCCTTGCACCCGTTGCTGCATTGACCGCACGTAAAGATTTTCTACGTTGCTTATGTGGTGGTGGAACCTTTTTCTAACTTGGTAAGCTCGGCAGAAGGGACGAGGGATAGCGCCGCGCCGCGCGAGGACAGGGGCGCGCTAGATCTGTGCTGACAGCCCACGCATTCTTCGCCACTGGTAGGCCCTCAAAAAAGTTGGAGGCATGTGGCTTTCGGCTTTGGTCGTCATGTTCGGTGTCATCACGATCGGCTCGGCCTTCATCAAAAACTATCACGAGTTCTTGACCGTCCGCGTTCTACTCGGGCTGGCCGAAGGTGGAGCTATTCCCGGCATCGCCTTTGTCCTGGGTCGCTTCTACCGTCGCCACGAGCTCGTCTTACGTATCGGTATCTTCCTTGGTAAGCTATTTTTGTATTCCCGATCAATCGACTACTCTTGTGACCGAATGAGCGACTAATCTTGTCATCTTCCACTGACCAGCTCTCGGCCCCTCGCTGTCCGGTGCTTTTGGCGGTTTACTCGCTGGTGCTTTGATCAAGCAGACGATTGGATCTGTAAAGGGATGGCGCTGCATCTTCCTGGGTAAGTGCCACATGCTTCAAGTCCTGTCTTCGACTTTGCTGCTGACACCATTCCCTGGTGATCTACTGCGCGCGGAACAGTCGAAGGCATCATCACCACTGCTGTCGGAGTCTTGAGCTTCTTCCTCATCCCCACGTCCCCTGAAACTGCCCGCTTCTTGAACGAGGCGGAACGCGCTTTGGCTGTGAAACGCGTTGCGATCGAACAGTTAGGCGCGCAGAAGGACAAGACCAACTCCAAGTCGCTTAAGCATGGCCTGAGCAACACGCTCACCTGGCTTTGCTGCCTCGGATATGGCTTCATCAACATCCAAGTTCAAGGAGCCGCACTCTTCTTGCCTACCGTCATTCGTACTCTGGGCAAATTCACGCCCGTCGAAGGTGAGTCTCGAGTTCACCAGGACGGACGTCCCTTGCGGCTCCAGGATTTCATGTGAAGCAATCGCGTTCGGCCTCGAGAAATGCGTACTGATTGGATCCGTTCTTCTCGTGGTAATCAGTTCAACTTCGCTCTGCTCCCCCTTACGTCCTCGCCACGTTCTGGTCCATCTTCATCTCATGGCTCTGCCAGCGCACTCGCAAGCACGGCATCTGGATCGCTCTCACGTGCTGCTTCAGCACGATCGGATACATCCTCTTCTTGACCGTCCATAACAACAAGGTGCTCTACTTTGCAACCTTCATCACGTACTCGGGTGCTGTACCCTGTGGTCCTATCTTCCTGAGTTGGGCCGTAGCCAACGCTTCCCCCGAAACCTCTCGCGCAATCACTTCGGCCCTGGTCCCAGCGGTCGGAACATGGGGTGAGTCCCTCACTAGGCTCTGCATGAAATCGGACTAGGTGACTAAACTTTATTTGTGTCATTGATCAGGATCAATTGTGGCGACATGGGCCTATTTGCCCAAGTATGCACCCCGCTACAAGCCCGGAAACTCGCTCAACGTCGCGGCCGCTGTCATGCCTGCGTTGATCGCTCTGGGCATCACCGCGTACTGCAAGTGGGAGAACAAGCAGCGTGACGAGGGCAAGCGCGATCACCGGCTCGAAGGACTGACTGAGGCGGAACAGGTCGCCCTTGGCTTCAAGCATCCCGAGTTCCGCTATTTGATTTGAGCGTCTTCCATTCTGGGGGGTTTAGTTTATGGGATTCGGCGCGCTGTCTTCTTCTGCATACGAGCAGTCGTTCTCCGAGGGGTTCAATTGTTGCTATCGATCCATTAGTCTCGAGCGCATAATGCGTGTTTCCTGAGGTAACTATCGGATTTTTACATAGATCACATCATCATCGTCAAGAGCCCATCTCGGGCCCGAGTCCGGGCGCATGGTATTCTGTATCCGAACTTGCCCTGTAACCGAGCTTGCCCGCGTGTGGGTAAAAACAGGTACAGGGCGTCTGCTCAAAAACAGAAGATAGACAGCAGCGGTCACGGCTCGTGCAAGGCGACCCCGACTTGCCCTCCTGCGGCCCGACCAGACACGCTCAGAGGACGGTATCAGACTGTAGCAGAGCTCCGGGACCCCAGCAGCTACATAGGTAATGGCGATCTGAGCCTCTCAAGCGGGTGTCAAATCAAGAGCACCCCCGGCGCCAGCCCTGAGCCAATCGCGAACTCCCGAGTCAGAACTCGACATCAAGCACCAGCTCATGTATGATGATGGGTCCGGACTCTCATCCTCATTCGATTTAAAGTTGGATGCTCTCGTTCGGCGGCCGCATCACCCGAGCTGGCGAGCAATTGCGCAGCCCGTTTCCTCAAGGAGTGTTGTTACAGCGTGACCAGCCTCCGAACACCTTTCGTGGGTACCTAGACTTTAATTTTCGCCGCTCTGACGACAACGGCTTTCGCTCGACACCACCTACGACTTTCAATTGTTCGCGGATTTACTTCTATTGTAGGGCCATATCGGCTGTACTTCTATCATACAGCCATATTGGTTTCACTTCTATCGTACGGCAATATTGGATGTACTTCTATCATACGGCCATATCGGTTTTACACCTTCCACACGGCCGGATCTGTCCTCGAATGTGGTCGCTTCTCAAAGCCCGCTCTTTGGCCCCGTATTTTTCATTTCCTACGTTTTCCACGCTTCCAGTGTCACCTGCCCAGGTCTTGGCTGGGCGTTCCACACAGACATTCTTCTTCGACATAGCTACTACGGACTCTTCTCAACGGGACACTGCTTTTCCTGTTCATATGGTTACAGATGCCTCTTCCGACTCGGAGTCGGCGAGAGCCCCTAGGTCGGCTTTGGATAAGCTCTCCGCTCTCCTTTCCCTCACAGTTTTACATGCGGCGTTAGCCGATGTCGTTATCCCCTCAACTTTGATCGATGACAGTCGGCCATGAATCGCCCGCGCGTACACCGTGGCAACACTTCTTTCGAGCAAGTCGCTTTAATCCCAACCCAAATCCCCGCGGGTTTCGACTTCGGCCTCCGTCACCTCCCAGGGAACCATCTACTCCGAGCAACCACATTTCGGACGATGATGACGCATCTCGTGAGGCAGCGGCCAAGGAACTTCCCCGTCTCCTTACGCGATGGTCGCATCGCGGGGCCTTTTGACTACGACTGCCTTCGCCTTCAAGTCAGCTCTCTCGGCTCAAATCCGCTGTCGGTGATCAAGAACGACGCGCACCCGGTCAATCGCGGAGGCGTCTCCGTAAATGTGAAACACGGGATCTCAGGATCGCCCAGAAACTGGCTTGGCTTGTGCTGGGGGGCGCACTCTCCCTTCAACCCCCTGTTCCCCCCCCCCCCCCCCCCCCCCCACCCCCCCCCGAAAGTTTCGGCGTCGCTCGCGGCGGCGCAATCTGCGCCGGTAGCTTGAAGTTGGGTCGCCGGTCTCTTCGCGGGGCCGTCAGCCGTGTCGTGGGGAAAATCGCCCCCAAGCCCAAATCAAAGCCATTCATTCTGTATTGACTATTCGTATTGATCAATAGAGATCGGCGCAAACGTCGTTCAGTCGGAGACTGCTCGTCGTCTTACTTGGCCGACGCTCCTTCGCGCAGCGAGCGCGAGCACTCGATCGCGGATCGACGTCATCGCTTCCAAGCTTAGCGCTTCAGCCAATGCCAGCGCGCGGTCAATTGCCAGTTTTGATCTACCCACTTGTTGCGGTAAACCTGTGCACACGATCACAATCCGTTTTACGACCATCCGATGCTGTCTATGAACCGCTTTACCCTTCAGCTGCGTCGAAGCGCTGCCGGGGTCACCGTCACTTCGCTATCGTCCTCGCGGAGTTCGAGTCGAATTTGGGGCGCCACTTCGGCTCTCGCAACGTCGTCGATCACACGCGCCGCGGACGAGCACGAAAAGATTGGAGGGGTACGTCTCACCACCATGGTATACTGTCTAGGGTGGAACTCACTTCGCTCTCTATTGCCGCCGCACTGATGCAGACGCAACCGGCCGAAGTCGAGGGGCCGATTGCTAAGCGCCTTCACTTTGTCGGCGATACGCTGAACCAAGTCAAGGATGCCGCGACCAAGACGATCAAAGTGAGATCTCTTGGCTCCGGTTCGTTCCCCACGCACTGAATACGGTAGTTGACGCTGATGCCGGTGCGTGTACTGGGTGTCTATCGGCAGGAGACGACGGGACAAGCGACCGACGAGTCGGAAGAGCGATTGTTCGAATCGCGCGACGAGATTCGCAGAGAAATCGACAAGGGCAAGCAGCAGGGCGTGACGACGAGGGATGTGATGGACAAGAAACAGAGGAGGGACGACGTGTGAAGAACGTGCAATCAAACGCGCAGAGTAGTCGGAACTGAGGATGGCTGCTAGCGGTGATCGCATGGTTGGAGGGACCGTGATGTCCCATTGACGGCAATAAACCAAGACTTGGCGGGTGGTGGGGTTGGAACGGGTCCCCCGTGAAGGCCCCGAGTTGTACAGCTCATTCAGTTCGAATGGATGACTTTCTGTGCCAGGTCTGCTTGACCCTAAGCTTTCGCTGACCATGGATGCGTCGAGGTCTATAGCTGCTTGCAATGTCGTTGAGCCGCGGGGCAATCGTGGACAGAAGCGTCTCGTTTACAGAAGACCTGATCCCAATAGGAAGGAAGGCAGCCCCAAAGAGCTACAAGTACAGCTAATTCAGCCTACGCACCTCTCTCAAGCCGTGTTCCTCCACAAGGTCTTCAGACCCGTCGCAGCCGCGAGCGTGCCGAACATGCCGACCCAAAGGTTGTCCGGCAAGATGCCTCCAGGAAGCGACCTATGCGAAGAAAGGAGCGATCCTTCATTCAATACAGTGCTCAACATTTACCGAGCCTGCAACAGCTCGGTCCACGCGGAAGCGAGACTGACCAATGCGCCGTCAAGGGCAAGTATCCAATCTGGACCAACGTGTCCATCTTGAGCGCATGACTCTTGTTCTTGATCCTCTTGATTTCTTCCACTTCCGTACTCTTCTCGTTCGACCCACCAGCGATGCGGGACTCGCGTTGCGCGTTCACGAGCTTGCGACGCGACTGGTTTAGGAGCTGATACTCGCGTCGGATGTGAAGCACTTGGAGGACGACGTAAGAGGCCCAGAAGCGGCATGCCCACATCGCGATACTGAAAATCAGAGCAGAGCAACTTTCAGTACCGACCTCGTCTTTTCCGCCTGTCCAGAGTGACATCGGAGGATCCTTGCGACCCGAGGAACGTTCCGAGGAGAGACTTACGTGCCGATCCTTGCGGGAGGGCAATCAAACACACCCTTGCCAGCGAGGTAGTCTGACGGACGAGAAGAGAGGAGACAGAATAAGGCATGAAGTTAGCTCTACCGCATCCCAACCTGCCCGATAGCGACTCCACGCTCCGGCGCCGGTGCAAGCCAAGAGGCAAAATGCGGGGCACCGCTTCGAGACTTGGCGGGGCCGGCTCGACCCTACGGGCGCCTGCGGCGTACAGTGAACAGCGCGCGGAGAGACGACCTACAGTAGTGCTCAAGAGGGTAGTAAAATAACATGGACCAGGCTTGCAATTTGTTGATGAGCGCCAATTGGCCATCGGCGGGCCTTTTCGCGGGATCGTTCAGAGCTTGAGCCCATTGGATGATGGGGAACAGTCCAAAGAGACGATATCTGAGGGGACGATAGCGTGGTCAGCTTCCATCTGGATTACCGTCGTAGCTGTCGTGGTTGCATGGACTAACAATGTCCTGGCATCTGAGATGACGGCTCGCAGCTTGTCCATGCGGTTGGCGAGCTCGAGTCGCGATTTGGTTGCAAGACGCTTGGAGCGCAACAGGTGCATTATCACATGGGACGAGTCTGTGAAAAATATGGTTCCAGTTAGCAGATGGGCATTGAGCGGCATTCCCCGTGGAGGCGGGGTCGGCCACTGACAAGCATAGAGCATGAACACCTTGTCCTGGCCCGAGGTGGTGCCGATCACCCGGTTGATGTGGGCCAGGCCCGGCGAGGGCGTGTTGAATGGAGACAGCGAAAGGGATGATGGCTTGGACATGATGCGGTCTGTGTTTTGTGTGGCGCGTCCAGGACGTCTCACGGTGTAATTCGGAACGCGGACAGAGAGAGGTTCGCTCGTTGACAGCGCGAGTGGGGCAGCAGAAGCGGCAAAAGCCCGCAGACGCTCGCAGACGCCCGCTTGGCGACGAGCGCTCGGCAACGCAACACTGCCAGACACTGCCGAACCAGGCCAGACCAGGCCGAACCCTGCCGAACCCGAGCCGAGGGTGCAGCACGTTGCGGCGGGCATATCAACTGCATGTTCATGTTCGAAAGCCGAATACATGACCGTCATCATTTTGGTTCCAAAAAAAAGGGATGCGGGCGGAAAAAGCAAAATACTCCGAATGCATAAATCAGCGGCTCCGGGTCACGTGTTTGTAGGCATTCGCCAACCACTGCACAAACTATTACCGAGGGAGACAGTGACAGTGCACAACTTTAATGACTAATACATGCACCAGTGAGTCAAGCTGTTTACTATAGCGCGCGTACTGAAGAGCAGGATTTGTTATCATGCAATATCAATTTTGCTTGTAATTATTAATGACTTGACAAATGAAATTTGTATATGCAAGAAACCCTTCACCGGGGCCTGCCAGATCACTGCAGAGTCCTATAGCCTGCCAGTAGCCTAGTAGTGGCCTGCCGTAGTACTCCCAGTGCCCCTCAGTGCCCTCTCCTGCCAGCTCCTGCAGGCTCCTGCCATCGCTGGCCGGCAGCGCGTCGCAACTCGCTCAGCTCCTCGCGCGCTTGCTGCTACACCCAATTCACTCCACCGCCCCATCACGCATACCAGCGCTGTGACACCGGGCATGGTCAAAGCACCCGAGCCAGATCGGATACCGGTAAGTGGGGTCTGACTCGCGGAACATCCTCGTCTGGCTGGGTAGTCCCACGCGAGTCGGCGATCGTCACTCAACCTGCCTTCGCTCGGGCCCACAGATCGCCTCGCTGGCTCAACTCGACCACGAGTTTGCTCTCTTGCAGAACGCGCTCGCCCAATCCGAGACGGAGCATACATGGGAAAACATAGACCGCGCTGTCAAGCGTTTCCAGGCCGTCGTTCGAGGTGGGGCGTACAAGTTCACCGACGAGTTCATCCGGAGGTTCAAGGACAAGGCCATATCGAACGGCATCGTTCGATCGGTCAGTCCGAGTTGAGGCGAGAGACGGGGCCCAGCAAAGTGAATGTCGATGCTGACTCCCCAATCTGTGTGGCCGAATACTCCTAGCTCGCGACGGAACGCACCCGACTGAGCGCCTCGACGCTGGATCTTATCTCGTCGTGCACGCGCCTCCACGGCCAATTCCAGCCTCTCTTGTCGACCTACTTGTCCCCTCTGCTCCGGCTCTTCTGCCGAACAAACAAGTTGTACATCTCTCGCGCGTTGTCGGCGCTGCACGATATCATCCGGCACACGCTCCTCGTCGACATTCTCAAGTTCATCGTCATCGAATGGAAGCTTGAAAGTGGCAAATCCTCGTCGTTCCGAATCGCCGCCGCCGAGGCAATATCGGCGATGCTTGGAGCTGGGACCGCAGAACTCGTTGTGCCCAAGGAAGCTCTCGACAAACGTGTCGAAGAGATCGAGTGGGTCATCCGCACCGGGGCCACCGACAGGGAAGCCAAAGTACGAGGCGAGATCAAAAAGTGCTGGGAAGTGTACAAGCGAGAGTGGCCGGATCGAGTTGCGCAGTAAGTGAACCAAAAGAACCGCCCAAAAGTTTCTCGGCGAGAGGAGGCTGACCATAGAGCCACTTCTCTACGTCAGATTCACTGCGCCCATGACTCCCATCAGTCGCAAGTACCTCAACGTGACGGCAGTAGGCGCTCCCTCGACAGGTCACCCTTCCGGCCCCAAGCCTAAAGTTCCCTCGAGCCTGTCCTCATCTGCCTCCGGATCTTCCGCTCTCAAAAAGACGACCACCGCTCCTCAACCTTCTACCTTCAGTCACCGCCCAATCCCGTCGACTTCTTCTTACGCTCCATCATCCTGGTCTGCACTTCCGACGGCCTGCTCTTCGTCTTCCCACCCAACGTCGAGCCGGCCGACCCCACTCTCGGCAAGCCTGTACGGCGGCCGACCCATGCCCACGGGACCTTTAACATCGACAATCGCTCGGGACATGCGCCTCGCCAAGAGTGTCGGGCATGGTCCTCCACCGCCCGCCATCTCACACCACACAGAGGAGACGGCGAGGTCGCTCAGTAGTGGAGCTCTGCCGTCGGCAACGTCCTCGTCAGCTTCGACTTGGTCGGCTTCGGGCTACCCCACGACGCGTCGGACACCGCATGGCCCTCCGATGGATGAGCCGATACCCTCAACCTCTTCCTCGTCCACACCCCACGCCCCTCCTTTGACCAGCGGGGCCTTCAAGCCCTCAACGGCATCGCGGTCCTTCCGGCCCAATACCGCGTCAGCAACGCAAGGGCCCAACGTCGAAGTCCGAAGGGCCCGACGGGTCGCACCTATCATCGCACCGCCGCCAGTCATGGGGAACGTTGCGCCGATCGGACGACCAGCGACCTTGGCTCGACATGGGGCCGCAGCTTCGAATGGTCCTTTCCGACCTAAATCCTCGAGAGCTCCTTCGGCTTCCTCGAATGTCGTCAAACCGATCGAGAAAAGATGCCTTGTCAGCTCGAGCGTCTCGGCTCCTGCGAATAAAGCCGATCCTGTGGTGGTAGCCGTGCCGACCAAGAATGTCGAAGACGTACAGGAACTGGAACGCTTGGTCAAGATCGTCGATGCCGGCGGCGTGATCGTCGAGGATCCGACCGTCGACGATGAAGTGATTCGGAGTCATCTGCTCGACGGGCTTGTCGAGAGACCAATCGCTCAAGGTGAAGCCGATGGGGTCCTCGACGGAAATGTGTATACTGCTCACGCAGTAGTGGATGCACCTGAAACGGAGCCGACCGCGGTCGGTGTCGAGGTCGCCCCGGAGACCTCACGGGTCGAAGCTGAGGCAATCTCCGCGGCAGAGGGTCCCGTCCAAGTACTATGCGGTCCAACAACACGCGTCACGGTTGAGCCAACCTCTTGTGCGGAGGTACAGCGGGCCGTTTCTACAATCGTGGAAATCTGGCAAGAGGCACTGAGCATTGCGCCGGAGGCAACGGAAGAGTCGATCGAGGCAGAGCCGATACCGGTGGCCCCTACCGTTTCGGAACTGACGATGGAAGCTGGCGAGCTCGAACGGGAGCAAGAGATCGAAGAACCGAGCGAGTGCCTCGAGGAGCCGTCAAGCGATGCGATTAGGATCGTCTACTTGAAGCATGACGAAGGAGCGGAAGAGACATTGGAGTATCTCGTTGCGATTGCCGGAGACGCCGAGGAAGAGACCAAGGCCTCAGACGAGGACGAGATCGATGCCCCAAATGCGGTCGAAGCGGTTGAGGCTGTCGAAGAAGAGTTGACCCCAGAGGAGATGAAGGACCCGGAAGGCAACGTCGAGAAAGACGACAGCTGCGACTTTGATGAACACGCATCAACGGTGGAAATTGAGCCCCTTCAGGCCGAGGGGGCCGAGGCGGACGAGGTGCCGGCAGCTTGGAGCGAGGAAACAGTGAACGAAGAGGTCCTTAGGGAAGACGAGGACCTCGCCGAAGAGACGAAAGATATCGAGGTAATTGCTGAGGAACGCCTCGACTCGGAAGATGACGAGGACGAGGAAGGACCGACCTTCCCCCTTCCGCCACCCACCACGCCCACCAAGTCCTCCCTACCCATGGCACCCTTCACACCCGAGCCTTTCGCTCAAACCTGCTCTATTATGCTCGACACCCCTCCTCGGTTCGAGGATTTTGTCTCGATGGCAATCCGAGTCCCTGGTGCCTTGGAAATCAGGATGGACGAGCTTGCTCGACAACCGATTCCCATCGAGGAAGAAGCGCAGGAGAAGGAAGAGCTTGAAGATGGAGGACCGGAGGACGAGTTTGACGAGCATGCTCAGGGTGAAGAGTACGAGGATCAAGCAGAAGAAGAAGAAGGTGGCGTGCCCGAGCGTCTCGTCTCTCGACCCCTTTTGCCGTCCGTGCGAAGGGTTCCACTCGAGAAGCCACATGCCGTTTTTGAAGACGAACAAAGCTTTTCAGTCGACTTGTCGGAAGATCTGGACGCGGCCCAAATGGAGGAAGAGGATGATCACGTCAATGTCCAACATGATGGGGAGGTCGAAGTCGTCAACAGCCCCCCAACACGATACACTTATGAACACGCGCCTACCTCCATTCGCTCGGTCCTCACTCATGACGACAGCAGCGACGATGAGGACATGGATGCTCTTAACGCTCATGCTAGACCGTCTCCCACCTCGCCGTGCGATTTCAAGCGAAGCGAGGCACCAATCATGGCAGAAGAAGAAGTCGAGGAGGAAGAGGAGGTGGAAGTCGTCTCGCCCGTCATCTTTAGCCGATCGCTTCGGTCCCGAGTCGTCGAAGTACTCGACGTCAAGGCGGTCGTGTCCCCCGTCAAGACGAGACGAGGTGGTCGTCGAGAGGTTCTGAGCGAACTACGTTGATTTTTGATAATGGGTTCTCAGACGTTTCGTTGTCTCTTATTGTCCGCCAATCATGCACCTTGTTATTCATGTCGATATTGTGACTGCTGCGAAATGGATCGAGCTGGCACTTCCGACCCTCGCCGCTCATTCCCTACTAAGTAAAAGCACATTCAACTCCTTGAGCAACAACTCGGCCTCATCCTTATCCTCTCCCACGCCCAAGCATTCCTTCAACAGCTCCTCCGCGGCGTCCAAATCGCCCTTCATCACCCCTCGCTTGATCTCGTACTTGGCCAGCCACAACCTGATTTTGCTCAGCTCGTTCTTGGTCGCCTCGGTCTTGATCCCTTCTGCTAAGGCTCGACGATGGTACGAAGCGGCTTTGAGAGAATCGCCTTGTAAAGCGTAGAGACGACCGATGCGGAGAGCGGTGTCGTTCTCGCCGGGTTCGGACGAGACGAGCGCGCGTTGGTACGACTTGATCGCGTCGGGGACCCTTGGTTTTAAGAATGAAATTGTCTGGTCAATTCTTCTGGTGCATCTCACATCATGCCTTTCCTCCCATCCCATCGATTGCTCACCTCTTCAACTTTTCGTAGCACACCGCGAGCGCGCACCACATCCTCGCGTCGAACGGTCGCAACGCCGTTGCTTTTTGGTAATAGTTCAACGCCGAATAAGGTTCGCCCAAGAGTTCGTACGTCTGTCCGAGGCCGTACCATGCTCGATAGTCTTTGCGATTGACGTCTGCGTTCGAATGAATAGGGTTGAGAATCGCCCTCCGGCGGTAATGATGCATGGTCCATCTAATGTCAAAGCTCACCAACGGCCCTACGATAACTCGCGATCGCGGCATTCGTATTTTTGATCTCGACGTACTCATGGCCCATCAACGTCCACGCGCTCAGATACCCTCGATCCAGCTTCAACGCCCTCCTGAAGTACAGAATCGCCTTCTCGTGTTCCCTCCTGAGCGAATAATAATTCCCTACCAAACAACAGACCTCGGGTCGGGAGCGATCCATCTTGGTGTATTCTTGAGCCAGCGTCGCGAGTTCGGCCCTTTTCTCCGAGACGTAGAGGATGTTGGAGAATATGTCGATGTCTTCGACGCGGTAAGGGTCCGATTCTTGCAGTTTGGTAAAGTACTCGGTCGCTTCGTCAAATTCTGCACAAAGCACACCTCCACTCAATTGATGATCCCAGAGGATAGTTTCAGACCAGGATGGGGACTGACCTCGCACATGATAATGAATCAAACCCCGCATGCCTTCGATTAGACTCGCGCCGGGAAAAATCTTGTCGAGGTCGTTCAAAACCTCGTGGAGGTTCTCACCCGCAGCATGAATCTCCAGTGTCGCGTGGACGAAGAAGAAGAGGAGCGGCGTCTCCTTGGGTAAAAAATGTAGGGTCGCTTCGAGCTGCGGCGTAACGGAGGTGCAGAGTTAGGTTCCGTGCGAAACCAGAGTCTTCCTCCTTCAGACAGTACCAACCTCTTCAGGCCCATCAAGACAGGACGCCAACTTGAGCCACGCGGACCAGTTGTACGGTTCCAACTTGACCGAGTGGACGAGGTGGTCCATCGCGGCGAGTCGGTGATCGAGCGTGACGGTCATGGTTGTCGGATCCCTCGAACCAAAAGGCGAAGGCGAGACGGGTGGGATCGCGAGCAGTAGTAACGCTTTTCTGTGATGGCGATCCACGCAGATCCACATCAGTTCGATCCCACCGGATGATTTTCTTCGAGATGAAATATTTGCGTGGCTGACGCACAGGTACAACAACCAAGGATCGTGGTCGACGGTCCCCGGTTCCCACTCGGCCATCTCCGCCAATAGTTCTTGCGCAAAAGGATTGGCAATCCCTCGGTCCTTGACGCCCAGCAGATCGCCCGATTCTTCTTGTGCCCGTTTCTCCCCAGCCTGTGGACGGTGAACAGGCGCGTATCGGGAATGATCAGACTCGTCCCCTCTTTTGGACCTTGCTCATCCCCGCAAAACTGACCAAGTACTTGGTATAACCTCTCAACCACCTGGCCTTATTCCCTCTACACCCATTGAGCACACTCGAAGCTCTAAGATGTTCATGGGTCCTCTCGTATGCCAAAGCCAAATCGTAGCGATCGCTTTCGAGCGCATCCCAGCCCTCGGGTTCCGGATCGAGATCGAGGTCGAGGTCGAGATCGTGATCGTCCAGGTGGGATTTTGCTGTCCCCGGGAGCATCGCGGAGTCCCCTTCTTCCAAATGGGACGAAGGATGTTCCCGTCGATCGTCGAGCTGGTGGGGATACCCACCCGGTGAGGAGGCCAGTTCCATGATGCTGCCGAGCGAGTCCCTCGCGGGGTGGGGTCGAGGGGCGAGAAGATTCGCCGAGGTTGAGGAAGCTGGAGCGGTGGTTCGGTGGCCGCCCAGACTGGCCCATGAGGTGATGGTGTTGTTGGAAGGACCTGCAACGCCGACTGGACTGGGATGAGAGCGTATGGGTGTCGAAGTGGCGAACCTGGACAGCGATTCGGGACTGCTCATCGGATTCGGAGGCGCGGTCGAGGTCGAACCCCAGCCCGAGTTCGCTGCTCGCCTCGCCGCGGTAGAAGTCCCTCTGCGGCCATGGCTCCCGCGCGTAGTGGTCGCCGAGGAAGCTGAAGACGACAGAACGGCCGAACTCGGTATCGCATTGAGCAGTTCGACGGCCCATTTGGCACTTCCGGGCAGGGCGCGGTTCGAGCATGCGGTGAAGGCGCGCTTGAGCCGTCGACGCAGCACGTGCGCCGGAGGGTGCGCGATCGTAGGATGTAACAGGGTGTTGGACGCCATGCTGGGTGACGTTTGGACCCGCAGTGACGGACAAGGATGCGCTGGGGTGCTGCGGTTGGTTGTCGAATGACGAAACGCGCGTGATCGGAGCCGTGCCAGCAGGTGCCAGCAGGTGCCAGAGGGTGCCAGCGCGTCGCAACGCGTATTATTACTCAACGCAGCTCAACGCTCAACGCACTCTATCGCGTTCTATCGCACCAACACCGAGTTTACTAATCGGAAATGGACCCCCACTTGCACACCTCGCACGCTGTCCGGACTTGCTCCCTCTAGCGCCCCACTTGCTCCCACCTTTCACTGTACCCCGCATCTCTGACGATCTGACGTACCGGCTACGATGACGGACAAGTCGACTCCCATCTCCGTCACAGCCCTGCCCCTGCCCCGACTGGCTCGCACCCACCCTGCTCCTCATCTGTCGCACCTCGTTACTTCATCGTATGCACCCCCGAAAGGACCCAAGGACCGGCTGATCGAATCCAACCTGCTCATACTGCTCCACGGGTTAGGTCAGTAACGTGCACTTCGCGCTGATCAGTCGCACCTCTGCTGACCCTCCTCCCTTCCGCTCTCTCCCTACCCGGCGCTAGGCGACTCGCACACCCCCTTGTTCAAACTCGGCCAATCGCTGTCCCTACCTCAAACGGCGGTCCTCTCGATCCGAGCACCCCTGCGCGTCCCACTCTTGGAAGAAGAAGCATGGCAATGGTGGCCTTCCTTCGATGCACTCGGCGAAGGTCTGTACCCCACGATCGAGACGAGTTCATACGCTCCTTGTCGGAGAAAGAGATAAGAAATCTCGTCCGTCGGCTCGCTCACACGATCCACATGACCCCACAGTGATCCCGAACCCCAACCCGACCGCGACTCTCCAAATCCTAACCCAAGTCCTCGGCCACCTCCTTACGACCTGCAACTGGCACCCGTCCCAAGTGCACTTCTTTGGCAACTCCCAAGGCGCGACCTGCGCCGCCGAACTCATACTCCAATACTCCAACCCCACCTTCCCCTCCCCCATCACCTTCGGGTCCCTCATTTCCATCTCCGGCCCCCTCCTCTCCTTCCTTACAAAACCGGCGAAGAACTCAACCAAGGTTTTGCTCGTGTCTCGCAAAACGCAAGAATCCGCTCTGGCGCTCCCGAATTGGAAGAAAGGGTTCGAAAAGATCGATTCCCATGTCCTACCTCTGCATCCTAGCCCGATGCCGACCAACGACAAGGAGTGGTTCGGGATCATAAAGTCAGTTCCTCATTGAATCTCCAATGCTTCTGTCTCGGACCTCTGATCATGCACTGACACCGTCCAGGTTCTGGTCTCAAGTCTTACTTCGGCGATCACCGATGGAATTCGAGAAGGACGTCTACGCCGTCTCAAGCGATAGCGTACCCGGAGACGCCACTCGACCATCTAAACCCTGAATCCAAGTCTGTATGTGCCTCTCATGTTATAACGAATAGCCCTCTTATGTCCCCCGCAAGGAACGAATGCGATTGCGATCGCCCATCGGCTTTGATTAGATAACAACATATAAGCAGAAAGAAGAAGAAGAAAAAGAGGCAAAGGGCCTGATGCCCATCAGAAGCATCTCCCACCCACATATCCGAGGGAGAGCGCCTCTTTCACTCAAGGCACACCTGCAAGTATTCACCCATCCTAGCGACCCTCCTCACCGCCTGTCGCCTCCGCATTCTCATGGTGCGGGATCCATCTCGGCAAAGCAGCCGCAGCCACCGGCGCCGTCGGTCCCGTAACATCCATCGAATCGCTCCGCTGACTTTGCGCAGTATACATTGTCTCGAACGACTGCCTCGACACCGCCGGGGCCAAAGGAGGAGGCACCAAAACCTTCGTCGATGACTGCGTCGAGGTGACACTAGGCATGACCATCGTCGCGCTCGGTAAACTGTTGTTGAGCAAGGTTTGGGTCGAAGCGGCGGTCATGGACGATTTCCTCGGTAAGGGGACCGCGATGTCGGGTTGACTGGTTGATGTTCTCCTTGCCGAGATCCCTCGTGGTTTTGAATCGGCATTGGCGTAAGGACTCGACGTTCCAGGAGGGGTCTGGGTTGGTAGTGGTGATGACAAGAGCGGTGGTGCCTTGTGCGGTCTTGGACTTCCCTGACTCGAACTCCCACTGGCGCTCTTCCTCATCGGCACCGACCCAACCATCAACATCGGTAAGTCCTGCTGTTCTCCCGTGCCTCTCCCACGATTCGACTCCACCGGTAAATGCTGTGGCTGTTGGTGGTGATGGTGGTGCTGGTGCTGATCAATCAACGACGAATCCCTCCCCGGCAACGTCTTTGACCTCTTAACTTTAGCGTTCGACCCATCCGCTGCCTTCCTCAACCTACGACGTTCGACGCTCCTCTCGCTCCCACGCCGATACAGCTGCGCCTCCGCCGAAGGAGGTTCAAGGCTGTCGTCCCCTTCATCCCTCTTTTTGCCCTTGGAACTCGATCGCGGTCCGACGACGACGTTCGATCTTCCCTTCGGCGTCGAAGTCGAGAGTGGAGCCTGTACATTCGCCTTGTTGCCTGCGATGTTCGATGAGGTCCTCGGTGTCAAATTCCAACTCGCCGCTGCCTGCGTCGCCGCCGCCGCGGCCGAAGCCGAAGACGTTGGCGGTTCCAACCCAATCATGAACCGACTCTGCTGCTCGATCAAGAATTCGAGCACTTCCTTGCCCCTCCCATGTTCACCCGCGCCTTGTCTCGCCTGAGCACCCGCACCACTCGATACGGTTGGGCCCGTCGGGTTCGTCGGCACCTTGCCATCCAGGAAACCGGGGAAACCGAGCAGCGCGCCTTCGCCGGTTCCTTCTCGACGCGTCGAGACGAGTCCAGGTTGGAACACGACGGCGAGGTTCGACGCGGTCATGAGATTGAGGTGGCTCGAGCGCACAAAGACGGAGAGGAAGTCGAGCAGGTAAAGGAGAAGGTATCGTGATGTCGGGGGTAAGAGCGAGATGAGGCGTTGGTATTCGGCGATGCAAGCTTCCTCGGGTAGGCCTCGTTCTGTTCGAGTGCGACGCGTGCCCGATCGTAGAGAAGTCAGTCAACAGCTCTGTACACTCCCGAAGCACTCAGACGTACGAAGGACATGAACAAAGTCGACATAAAGGTTCGCGGGAATGACAGGTTCCTATCGTGGATCACGTCAGGAATAGACGGGAAGATATCAGCGTTCCCCGCCTCTCTCCTCATTGGCCACGATGACTCGAACTGAAAAGTCATCATTCGTTGAAATCACTCACGGGCATCATGTTGAGGTACCGCCGAAGTACGCTCGCGGCATCGTGGACGGTGAAACCGGCCCAATCGAGGTCCTTGCCGTAGCGCGGGGGTTGATCGAACAGTTCCTGCAACTGGTTGATGCGCTTGTTGGATCCAGATACCCTGAATATGCCTTCCGTCGCGGTTGCTGTACGGAACATGTACATGTCGTCGGTCGAGGGACGAGATTCGGGACCTGGTCAGCCAACAGAGACGAGAGGAAATGGGGTCGTGACGACGGTGCTGCCGAGGGACGAACCTGATTCCTTGAGCATCATGCCACACTTGGCCACGACGATGGGCACATAACCGTAAACATATGGTTTTCCATCGCTGTAATACCGTTTCGTAATGGGAGAGGACGAATGTGGGAAGGGTCAGTTGGCTTTTTCTCGATGATCCGCGAACGCGGTGACGGGCGATGAACGTATAAGACCCACGCAGAGACGGTCGAGATAGCCACGGCGGCGTATTTGAGGCTCTGTTCGGGCGAAACACCAAAGACCCTCCCTTCGCCCGATTTCCCCTTGGCCAGTCCACGTCCAGGAGGTTGGTACGGTCTCGTAACGGCGGTCGGGTTGCCCGAGACAGCGCCCGGCGCCGTCGAGGCTCGAGCACGCGTCATCTTGTGGTTCGCCGACGACGACGACGACGACGACGATCTGTGAAGGTTCGTGTTGTTCGAGGACGACGATGTCTTGGCGGTGAAGGCCTTCCACCATCTCAGCAACGAGGCTTTAGTCGGCGGTGGTCGATCGTCGTAGACATTCTCCTTGCCGTGCGACATGGCACGCAGCTTGAACGGCCTCGCTCGCTTCGGTTCGGTTCCGGCCCCGGTCAGGTGAGTCGTGTGCCGGCGTCAACTCGTTGTCGGCTTGGTGCCTGTATGCGTCCGCGTGAGCACGTGTTGTAGATGATCGTAGTGGCGTAAAGAGTCAAAGATATTCTCCGCTTTTGGACGGTCGTCGGCTGGAGCTGGATGCACGCACGATGGCACGCACACACACACACACACACACACACACACACACACACACACACACACACACACACACACACACACACACACACACACACACACACACGTCGAGTCGAGGGAGGAACCGAGGAGCGAGACCTGCCAGCCTGATCGCACTCGACCAGCGCTGACAAGGCACCGCCAAACTCCACAAAACAGCTGCGGCAATGGGCGTCCCATCTCGTCCCATTTCCCCTCGTCGTAAAGACCCCCATTAGTAAACCCACCGCGACAACCCCAGTTCCAAAGTGATCGCGCTCACTCTCGACAAAAAGGGTGGCCGGATAGGTAGATTCACAGGATGGTTTCGGCATCCAAAGTCTGCATCGGTGTGGGCCTCGTTCACCAGTGTGTGAGCCAAGCTGATCGATCACCCCTGCTCCCGTCCCCCTACAGGGTCGAACCAATTCCAAGTCGGGTAGCCCAATCAAAAAAACTGGCACTCCCGGCCAAGGCAAATCCTCGAATCAACACCCAAGTCATTTCCCAACGATTGTGCAATACCTCACTGCACCGCTCCCCTCGAGACACCTCCCCGCCGCCCATCGTCGCCTCTATTGCTCCCCTCAAGTACCCGTCCCAAACGCCCCACCTCAACTGAGCATCAAGCCCTCATCGATGCTACCCACCCCGCAAAAGGTCAATTCGGCCTTTTCGCAAATGCCAAGATCCCACCTCGAACATGGATCCGCGATTACCTAGGCGTCGTCCATCCCGAACAGGACGTCGATTCGACTTCGGACTATGATCTCTGTCTCGCCCGAATTCCTATTTTTGAAGACCCCTCATCCGAGACGATTGCTTTCTCGCCTGTACGCTACGAAACGATCGGGATAGATGCGACCAAAGCCGGTAACGAAGCGCGTTTCATCAACGACTATCGAGGTGTATTGAAACGGCCGAACGCCGTGTTCGAATCGAGGGAGTGGAAATCCGCCGATGGGACGACGGTGCAAGGCGTGAGGATGAGCGTGTGGAGTGGTCCCAAGGGCGTCGAAAAGGGGTCCGAGATCTGCGTCTCTTATGGGAAGGGGTTCTGGGACGGCAGAAAGTCGGAACCGACCTGAGGAACGAACGGAGCGAGGTCTACAGAAATCGGACTCTGTCGGGACCTCGGAGGTCCGAGATCATGTTGTCGCCGCCCGTCCAGGGCAAATGCATCTGAGCCATGAGTGAACGGCACGACTAGTGTTGAGGAAAACCGTGGCAAGCCTAGCGATCACGAACCGAATCGTCCGCTAATAGTGGCGACGAGGGGGGAAGAGGGATCGGAAGGTCGTGACTCGTGAAGAGAAACATTTACACACCACTGGACGGCACATACCAAAAGCTACAAGCAAGGTTTCATATAGGTACTGCTAAAGATACTACTGTCGAGATGTCTAGGTACAAGTCCGCTCCCAACGCGAGGCTCCGCGCGAGCTTATCGACAAAGCCTCGACGGCGCAATCCCCCTCCGCAACTCACCCCGGAACGACCGCCGAGGCTACGATCCTCCGGCCCATCTAAGTCCTTGGTGTGATCTCCTTTGTCCAACCCGACATCATCGCTTCATCCCTAGCTCTAGCTTGTCCCCAAATACCCGCGGCCCTCCTCCGCCTTCTTCGGGCCGAAGCGCTCGGACCCGCCGAACTCGATTGCGATCCCGACGACGAGTGAACTTGTTGCGCCTGCGCCTCGCGCTGCGAAACGACCAAGTCGAGCCAGTACGAAAGGGACGACGGAGTTCTTTCCGGTGTAGGAGATCGTATTGTCTTCTTGCCCGTAGCTTGCTCGTACGACGGTGGGATTTGATTGGGGCCCGAGTAGGTAGGTAGAGGTTCGGATCGCTTCACTTTGAGTCGGAGCATCGACGACGATGTCGAGCTCGGGGACGAGGACGAGCCGCTGCTTGCTGCGAATCCGAGCATGATGATGAGGGGCACGACGTCGATTGCGTTCGGGATGAGTCGTAACGAAAGTCAAGGATGGTTTTTTGGGCTTGATCCTTGAGATCTGGCAGGGGTGAACTGAGCGGAGAAGGAAGAAGGGATTATTCGGCACGACTTGCCGACGATGACGGGATCCTTCGAGGTGGTAGTTCCCTGGCTGTGGTCCCAAAAATAGACCTTTGGCTTGCGTCGCGCGTGCGTAATCAAGATGAGCCCACCGTGCGCGCGCCTAAATGCCACGATTGGGCGTGAAACGAAGGCGTTCCGGCGATTTGGGAACGGCAGCAGCCTGCTGTGACTGTCCCTCGCCGAGGCTCGGCTCAGGTAGTCCCGGCTATGTAGCTCTGTTTCAGCATGGGTCGGCCGGCGGCCAGCGACAGACCGTTTCGCCTACGTTCGCCGAGGTTCCATTTTCCATCAAAGCGGCCTGGCACATGACTCTCTGCTTCCCCGACGACCTGTTTTGCGTGTCTACCACATCGTAGCGTAGTTCCTTCAACCATCCAGTTCCTGCCACTGCCGAAAAGTCATCTGCAAGACACTACTAAGCACTAGAGCCGTTCCTCTCCCTGCGAGTGGGGCTGTCCTTCGTGTTCTTGGAGCCAATAAAAAATAAAAATGCTGACGCAATAAATTTGACCTACCTACTTGGCTTTGACTTTGGGATGTAATCTATGACTTAGCCCAATCTTCCCGTGCACTTCGCGGACAAGCGACAGTCAGATCACGTGCTTGGAGCTTTGATCCGCGGACCGCGCTTTGTATGCCGATGAACTGACGTCCTTGTTTCACTACATGGAGACGTGGGATACTCGGCGCTTCTCTGTTGGGCAGGTACTCACGTGAGTGCGACGGGGCCTCCCGGCTCTCAGAAGTGGCGGATGTCGAACCGGACCCACGGATAGGGGTCACTGTGGTTGCCCATCCAGTACTAGCGCGGGTGTACTGCCGTACCTAGGTACCGTGTGATCAACAGAGGCCCGCGCCAGATGTGATTGTACTTTTCAGTCCGGTGGGTACTGAAATGCGCTGTCGGACGAACGCGAACACTCAGGTACGGTACACAGTCGGAAGTACGGAGATTGACTCTCAGATCGGGCCGCTGCTGGACAGGGTCCGTGCGAGCCCCGTCGTATCCGCAGGCGCCCAAGTTCCATGAGCGGAGCAGCCCCACCGGGATCTCGTGCCGTCGTCGTTCACTCAGATTGACCCCGGCCATATTCGTTCACGTGCAAACGAAACCTTGCCTAGCCATGTCTAACGGACAAGTTAGTACACCTCAAGAGCAAGCGTTTGTGGACTGGCTCAAGTCGAATGGATCGACAGTGAACCCGAATGTTGGTCTGACCCAGTTCGAGGGAATGGGCCGAGGTGCGGTGGCGCTGCAGGACATCCAGGTACGCCATCTCGGTCATCATAAGCCCATATCAAGCTCCAGATCTAATCTCGCCGTTCTCGCTGCAGCCGGACACGCTGCTGTTCTCGTTGCCCCGCTCCATTTTGCTCACGACCTCGACTTCGTCGCTCTCGTCCCAAGTGCCGCTCTTGACCCTCACGGGATGGACGCCTCTGATCCTCTCGCTCATGTACGAGTACCTCCGCACCTCGAAATGGAAGCCCTACTTTGACCTCCTCCCTGCCTCGTTCGACTCGCTCATGTTCTGGTCCGATCCTGAGCTCGAACAACTCAAAGGCTCTGCCGTCTTGGACAAGGTCGGCAAGGAGGAAGCCGAGCTGGCGTATGCGGAGGAACTCTTGCCCTTCGTTGAGGAGCACGCAAGCGTCTTGGGCAACAGGGAGGACTACACGTTGGACTTGTTCCACCGGTGTGGAAGCTGGATACTCAGTCGCTCGTTTCACGTCGAGTCGGCGGACGAGGATGAAAACAAGCCAAAGCGGAAACACGATGGCGACGACGAGAACTCCGATTCGGACGACGAAGAAGAAGAAGAGCGAGAAGATGTCGCTGACGTAGCGATGGTCCCCATGGCCGACCTCCTCAACGCCCGATTCGGCAGTGACAACGCTCGACTGTTTTACGAACCTTCGACGCTCAACATGATGTCGACGGCGTCGATACCGGCTGGAGCCCAGATCTTCAACACCTATGCCGACCCACCCAACTCGGACCTGTTGAGAAGGTACGGCCACGTCGATGAGGAGAACGGCGCCGACCTCGTTGAGATCGGATTGGGACTTGTCGTCGAACTCGTCGGCGGTCCCCAGGGGTCGGACCTTAGCGAAGACGAGCAATCGACCCGCGCCGAATGGCTCCTCGAACTGGGTGTCGACGACACCTTTGTCCTCGATAAGACCCATGAACTCCCTGAAGAGCTTATTTCGACGATCCGGACGTTACTGCTTGACCAGGCCGACTTTGAAAAGGTGCAGAGGAAGGAAATGCCGCCGAAACCGAGGTTGGATCCGATCTCGGCGAAATGGGCGGTCGCGATCTTGGACAGGCGGATGGAGGAGTACGAAACAAGCATAGAGGTCAGTCTGTATGAGCCCCAACAAAGCAACAGGGCGGCTCTGATGTTCATCTGCCGTACGCACTTTTACAGGAGGACGAGACGTTGCTCGCCCAGACCGACCTCGACCCGAGAAGGAGAATGGCCATCATTGTTCGACTCGGTGAGAAGCGGTTATTGCGAGAAGCCAGGGGCGAAGTTGTCGGTGCTTTCCCACCTGGTGCCGAAACAGAGGAGGACTCGAAGGAGAACAGCAAAGCGGATAAGAAGCGCAAAGCAGGCGCCGACAAGGGTTCGAGTGAGGGCAAAAAGTCCAAAAAGTCCAAGCCGTGAAAGGCGAGGACGTAGGAAAGCAGTGCCGCTCCCGTGTCGCAACTCGTCGGTACAATGCTACAAGGTGGAATGCAATTTGCGTGTCACAAATCTCGAGTCTAGCTTTTCCACAACTACAGTTCGTCTCCTGCCCTGCGCACGGTCTTGTCCTCTGCGACCCGCTCAGGAGTCTTCGGTGCTTTTTCGGCGGCAACATCAGCCACAGGAAAGTTCTCCACCAAAGTGTCCTCCTCCGAGATCAGTTCCCAGAAACGCACACCCTCGGCTTTGCCGTCCTTCTCGTATGCCTTCCAGTAGTGGGCGTTATCGTACTTGGCTCTGAAGGACACGTGATCCAACGACGGAAGAGCATCAAAGTAAGCCTTCGCCGCCGAAGCATCCAGCTTGGCTTGCGAAGGGACGAGGTTGATCACGAGCTTTTTGAGCGACTTGATCGGTGCCAAGAGCTCGAGCACTTTTGCGAGCAAGAGCTCGTGTTCTTGCGCCGTGACTAGGACGTCGCCCGGACCAAAGAAGAGGACGAGCGTTTCCAGCTGGGAATAAGTAGCGCCAAGGTTCGAGAGGGTCTCGATGACTTCGAGCGCGTTCTTGATGGTCTGGGGTTGCAGAAGGAAAACGGCTTTGGAGGTGTCGTTGATATAGGCCGAAGAGGAAAGGGTCGGGGTCGAGAGCATTTCGAGCGTGTCGATGTGAGGGAACAAAGTTGCTGGAACAGCGGCGAGGAGTTCATTCATCGCCGGAACCAGCTCGGGCGCGGGTGTCATCGACCCGAACCAATCAAAGAACAGGTCCAACGAGAGACGTGTCAAGGGTCCCTTCGTCGCCGTCGCGACAAAATCCTTGATCGCCGAGGTGATGATCTCGATCTCGGGGGCTTTGACGTCGCGCAGCCTCAAGGTTTCCAGGTTTTTGAACACCGCAGGGTTGAACCAAGCCTTGTTGAAGCCCGAGATGTAGTCAAGCGTCAACGACTTGAGCCCCGCAGGTAACTCGCCGTCGGTGTCTTCGACCTGCGCGTTCGCCAATTCGAGGCGGGCCAAGGACGAGCTGAACGTTTCGTACTTGTATGGGACGATCGGTCCGTTGTTGGCAATCAGATGTGCGAGCAGCGGTGCTTGCTTCAGCGCCTCCCATAAAGGCTCGATGTAGGGGCTATAGGACGCGTTGTGGGTGGTGTCGCCTTGGGTCTGGTGACGACGACGCGTCGCGATGCGTCAAGGTGTCCCAAAAAGAGGAATCAGCACCAGCATACGGCAGCATGTTGCGAAGGGCGCCTCTTTGGAAACTCACAATGGCGAATGTCTCAAGGTTCTTACTCTTCTTGACAATCTCGGCCATGCCTTGCATCTCCTTCTCCTGAAACCAGCCATAGTCGACGAGCGAGAGGATGCGGACCTTGTCGCACCTCTCCTGGTCCTTACGTAGCGCCTCGATTGCCCACCCGACGATGGTCTGCATCTCTTCCTGGGCCTTGGGATCGACATCGACTTGGGCGGGTCCACTGACGTCCCAGCCAAAGACGACGCGCCCGTGGCTATCGAGTTGTGAGGTCGGTTCGACGACAGGTGGGGGCTTGACTTCGGGGAAGAACTCGAGCAGATCCCTGTTGAACTGGGCCTGCGCGGCTTCGAGCGATTCGTAGGCTTCGGAGCTGAATGCTTCGGGTATGAACTGCTGACTGATGGTTGACATCTCTTGGGTCGGGCAGGGGTGGGGTGGGGGGGGGGGGGGGGGGGGTGCAGAGGGGGGGATGGACGTGATCAAGAGCTGGTCACATCAACGAGCCTTTCGCAAAGCCTCGGAGTCCGATTGCAGCCACGGGTGGGCCGCCACCCTGGGGGTGGAGCGCATGCGCTTATAGAGTGGAGTAGGCGAGAGAATTGCCTGTTCGCTTCTGCACCTTATTCGTTTCGCTCGAACGGCAGTGTGCTCATTAGTCCCACTACTCAAAAACCCCAAACGACCGTCCGAGCGCTTCAAATTCTGAAGTTTAGACTTTGTGAAATCGCTCGCGCCTTCCTCTTTGGGTTAGGCTCGATCGCGATCACTTCAGTTTTTGAAAAGCAAACGCGTTTGAGGCGCTTTCAAAAATCCGACCTCAACCTCGGATTTTTGGACAGATCTGTTCACTTTTCATTTTATTTCGTGATGTAGATTGTGAAGGTCACGTGAAACGTCGAGCGCCGGTCCCTCTCTAAATGAACCTGTCGCGCTCGGTGCGTGAGTTCGCCCGTGTCGCCCCGCCCGATCGTGTCCTCCATCCACCACACCCTTTCCCGACGCGCGACGCGCGACGCGACAGCCCCACTCTATGGCCCGATATAGTCGACCGTCGGATCACGCACGACACGAAGCTCGGACTCTCCAACGCCAGGCCATGATGTATCTGCGCTTATACCAAGTCTTTCATCGCCGTCACCAACGAATGTTCCGCATGGTTTTGTTGCTGCAAGTGCATCGCCTTCTTCGACGCGCCTGCGAGCTTCGCACGTTGATCGAAACTCCGACCGAGCGCGGTCCTTACAACAATGTCCCCAAGACTCAAGACAGTCTAGCTCTCCTGCTCACACAGCCAAACGACCGATGGTTCGAGAGCAAGCTGCGCATGTCTAAGACATGTTTCGAGTACTTAGTGCAACTGCTTTCCTCCAACCCGGTGTTCGCGCCGCAACCCACCGGTCGACCGCAACGTCCGGTACGCGAGCAGATCGCGGTGTTTCTGGCGTACATGGGGGACCCCACCAGCAAACTCGGATCAGCTGTTCACACCGGCATAGGCGAAGGATCCGTGTACCAGTACATCGATCGCGTGTCAGATGCACTCTACCATCATCTCCCCCAGGTGATACGTTGGCCTACGGGTGCGGAAGCAGCACGAGTCTCGGAGGCACTGGAAGTTGACAAGTGTATAGGGGTGATCGACGGGACTCTGCTTCCATTAGCTACAGCCCCTTTTGCAAAGGATCGAATGACGTTCTACAATGGGCGCAAGAAGATGTACTGCGTAAGCATTCGTCCTGCTCAGCGCTCCACTGCTCTCATCCGCGTTTGAAGCGTCGCTGATCACGTCTCGTCAATAATGGTGGCGCGTCCTCTTCTCAGCTGAACATGCAGGCAACTGTCGACGACAAGAGGCGTTTCACTTCAGTTGATGGCGGCTTTCCCGGCATCCGACACGACAATGAAATGTTCCGGCAGTCACAGATTTGGCGAAGGCGCGATGTGTACTTCCGTGGCCGCAAGTTCTTGCTCGGCGATAAAGGTGCGTCGGAGCCGAGTCGATCGGCGATCGCACGACGAATTGGACTACTACTGAACAAGCTAGGTTCCGTGCTGTTGCGCGATTTCGTATCAATAGGCTATGCACAATCCGCGGTCCTCATCAGATCGTTCAATCAGACCGAAATGAATGCGATGAGCCCACTTGAACAACGCCGCGCCAATAGCTTCAACAAGAAGTTCGCCTCGAAGCGTATCGTGGTCGAGCACGCTTTTGGCGATATCAAGGACAAGTTTCGATGGCTTAAACTCTTGGCGGGCATCTATCACACGCCTATGTGGAAGTATGTTAGTGCTCTTATGGTACTTCACAACCTTCTGATAGATTGGAACGACTCCGAGGGAGCCATGGCAGAATGGATAGAGAGAGGACGTCATGGCGAGCCTCCATTAATTCGACCCTCAACTCCGGAGGACGTGGAGTTTCTCCGAGCTCGAGATCAACAACAATTAGGTCCGATGGCACCGCGCCCAAATGATGCCGCGATTGGCAAGACGACACGCAACCGAGTCAAATACGCGTTTCAACAGGCGGGGTAGGATAGTGCGGAGAGGATAGTGCAGATGTCACCGAGGCGATGGCGCCCTCAGGCACCTTCATGGGAGACTACCAATTGTACTGCGCGCATGAGCATTTGAGATATTCGATACACTATTGTTGTTACATAGCTTGAGTCACGATAAAAAAAATCAGGCGATAGCTGAGAGCAGGAATCAAGACATTGGACACTACACGGTTATTTCACCCTCCCTGACTACTGCTCTGCTCTTACGCCACTCAGTCATCTTCATCAAGCAACTCGTCATTGAGGCGATTCAACCGCGCCCTGGCTATGGCCTCACGCTCAACATCACCTTCATCCTTGAAAGCCTGGAGTCGTTCCGTCCAACGTTTGATAACCTCAAATCGAGCGTCCTTCGCCTTCACCTTTGCCTCATCCGCGTCAATCTTCGCCTTAGCGGCGGCGTGCTCGGCAACTACCGTCTCATTCTGAAAACGGCCCTTCTCGATATCGGTGATGGTCTTGATGAATCCATTGAATACAGGGTCTTCGTTGTTCGCGGAAGATTGCGGCTGCCATAGTAATGTAAGGGTCCGAAGCACGTCAGTCAGGCACGGTCTTGTTTCAAATCCAGACACGACGCGCAAATTACCTTGGCTCGAGCCCTCCCCTTCCCTTTGATCACCTTGCGACGCGTGTCTTCGTCCTCAGCCTCCTCCGCGGCAAGAGTTTCTTTGTCCTGAAGCGCTTCCTCATCGTCGTCCTCGTCGGTGCAAGACTGGGGCTTCGCTCGCTTCCGCGTGTTCTTGGGAACTACACCACCCAATTCCGTCAGGGCGAAGTCGCGCGTCAGGTGCTCGGTATCCTTGACCGGAGATTCCTCCCAGTATGAAAACCATTCTGAGGTGTAGAACTTGAGAAGAGCCTGGTTGGCTTGGTCCGCAAGTAGTTCGCCCTGAGATAATATTATCAAAACACAATCAGAGACATGAGTGTTATGGCGCGCATGGGCGCACGCGCGCAGGGACGCGGACCCAACTCACGCGGCTTGGGCGGTCGTCATCTTCTCGAGTCTCTTCGTCCGGACGGCTCCCACCAGTAACATTGAACGCTTCCAAGCATGATTTGTACAAATCTTTATCGCGCTTGATCAAATTGTAATACGAATCAAATTTGCGATACGATCCCGCTCTGTTCAGGCGGGGCTCCGCCTGTAGTTCACTGCAGATACGCACCCGTTAGTCATGTGAGGAACAGACAGTGGGTTCTGAGACTCAGCGTACCTTTCTCCACCAAACGGTCTGCATCTGTTTGAAAAAGAGCCAGGGCGGCAGACGTTTGCCATGTTTAAGCATGGTGATATGCTTCGCGCGTTGTATACTATCGTCAATGCTCATGTATTCGGAGCCCGAGTCGCTGCTGTCGCCGTCGAAATTATCCATCTCATTGAAGACGAGCTCGTATACCATGCGCTTCTCGTCGTCGGTGAACTGCTCAGGGTGTGACGAAAGCCAGTTTATAGTCAATTGCCTCTATGAGAAGCCCGTGTTTGACGATGAATAGATAAGAGTCTTCGCCCGACGATTCGCCCCTCTCGATAGACCAAGATGAGTATGCACGTGTCTCTATTAGAATGCAATGAATCTCCTCTATACCCTACTTGAAAACAACATGTGGAGATTCGTATGCCAATGAGATTGCCAAAGATGAGGGCTGGCCACGGCCGAATAATGGGTTCAAGGCGATCACGCCTAGGCGACCTGTGGTGTACCGCCATCTTTGCCTTCTTCCGCCGCTGCCGCCGCCGCTTGTCGTGCTTGTAGCAGCTCTTCTTTACGTATCCTCGTGTTGCGTTCGACCTCGGTCTCGGGTACGAGATAGTCGCCGCCGTAGAGGCCGATCAAGGCAAAGACGAAAACACCGAGCGAGATGTAGAGCCTTGTTCTCGGCGGTAGGACTGAGATTATGGTCGTCAGCTCGTCGACAGCAAGAATGAATTCATTCGGTGTTAGACTGACCCAAATAAGACTCCCACACGTTCCTCTGTTTGACCGTCTTCGCCCTGGCCTGTGCTACCAAAGGCGGTTCGGCCCAATTGTTGAGCTTGAGCGCCTCGAGACCTTCCTCCCTTTTCTTGCCCTTCTCCTTGGGACTCATCAACAGCTTCGAAGACCCATCCTGGTTGAGGGGTGGCGGCGGGGGTAGCTCGGATGGGCTCGGATGGACGGGATGGGGTTTAGGAGCTGATTGCGAAGCTCGGGGTCGAAGGTAGAGCGGGATCGCCTTTCTCGCTTTCGAAGCTGCAGAGAGTGTAGACGAGGTCGTCGAGAAGCACCTTGTACCCCTTGGGAGCATGGTTGTGCGATTGAAATCGCCTTTTGCGACGAGGTTGAGTTGGGTTGGGGAATGGGAGTGCAAAACCTGAACTCGGAGTCAAGTCTGATCTGATCGATTTGGAGCGCCTCGCACGGACCGCCTTGTGATAGTTTGTGACCGGCCGGCGCGATAGTGCGGCGCGGCGGATCGCGGCTGCAGCCATGTAGCCGGCTGCGAAATCGGGCGCTGGGCATAAACGTCCGCTCCGGCCGATATACGCGCTGCCTTCTCCCGACTTCATAGGTCGTGCATACACCCATCGGCTCGAGTGATTGAGATCAGCAGCTTGGGTTCGTCATGGCAGAGCAATCTCCGGTCGACATTAGTGAGTTGAGCTTCCATCTTCGCGCGACCCCGGCGTCACACGCCATCTAGACCTCGGTGAGGGGCGGGATTCTTTCGCTGAACCCGACGAAATCGATACCCGGTTTAGCTAAATGCGGATCACGTAGAATGAGGCTGGAATTCGACGATGTATTGCTTGGTTCCTTTCTCTCCGTTCCTTGGACCGAAAGACGTGCCAGAAAGACGTGCCAGATAGGGCCTCTCGGACCCGAGCTGACCCCCGCCTCATTCTTCTCAGCTCAATCTCGCTACGACACGAGTACATATGGTCAGTTCGCGCTCTGGCTGTCGTCTCAAAATCCAGATGAACCGGATTGATGACCTTGACAACCCGTTGTGTTCCCCAGTCGGCCGCCTCAAGCATTTCGCCTCCATCACCTCGCCCCTGACACTCTTGGCTTCGTCGACCGAGCTCGCAAATGCCCAGCGCTTCCTCCGCGAATACCAAGATGGTGTGGGAGAAGGGAGAAAAGCATGGGGGAAGGAAGAAGAGTACGGGCTGTGGAAGAAGAAACAGCGTAAGCGCGGTCACTTGCTTCGTGGCTAATCCTGCCGAGCTGACAATTTTCTATTTCTCGTCGTTTCAGTCGTCGAGAGTTCTATACATCCTGGTGAGCCCCTCGTATTAGTCATTTTTCGGATCGGTACTAGAACTGATCTTCTGGACCCACTTGAAACTCGTAGACACCGGCCTCCCCGTGCCATTACCTTTCCGGCTGTCGGCCTTTGTCCCGACAAATTTGCTCATCGTCGGTGGCATGCTCATGCCCAATCCGACTATCAAGAGTGTCATCTTTTGGCAGTTCGCCAACCAGTCCCTCAATGGTGGGTGATGCTTTCACGACCTTGTACCTGGTAGTTGCTCCAATCGGGTCGACACGTGGCTAATGCGATATCTGCACGTTCGCACAGTCGCCGTCAACTACTCGAACGCCAACAAGTCCATCTCGATGACCAACGCCGAAATCGCCAAGGCCTACGCCTCAGCCACGATTGCATCCTGTACGATTGCCGTGGGGCTCACCTCGCTCGTACCTCGACTGCGATCCCTTGCACCTTCGACACGAATGCTGCTCGGCAAATTGGTGCCCTTCGTCGCCGTTGCGTCGGCGGGTTGCGTCAACATCGGTCTGATGAGGTGGAAGGAGATACGAGACGGTATCTCGATCTACAAGCCCAAGGATGCGGTGACCGGCCGAGTCAGTGACGAAGTCTTGGGCAAGAGTTCGATTGCGGGCAAATATGCGATCGGGCAGACGGCGGCGAGTCGCGTGTTAACCAACATGTGAGTTGCCCCAGCGGCCTAAAGGTCAAGCCGGTCTCGAGACTGGTGCTCAATATATCCTTGTTATTGCATCCAGTCCGACTCTCATTCTCCCGCCTTTGATCATTACGCTCTTGGAGCGAAGAGGAGCTTTCGATCGACCCAATGGGAAGCGGTTATCCACGGCGCTCAACCTTGGTCAGTCTTTTCCCGCACTCCCTTCTTCTCTCGCCTTCTTTTCTCATCTTACTTCGCTCGTCTATAGGTTTGATCGGCTTGTCCTTGCTTGTATTCCTTCCCCCTGCGATCGCCGTCTTCCCGCAACGAGGCGCGGTCAGTCCCAAGAAGCTGGAGGAGAAGTACCACGACTTGCCTTATGACCATGTCGAGTTCAACAAAGGGTTATGATGTTGTTATGTGCGTAATCATGTTTACGGGACTCTTGCAAGGTCGTCTACACGTAATCAGTGCCTCGCACTGGAGCCAACGTGAAGTGAATACGCTATCCCGACCGCGAGGCCCGGGATGCACCGTCTGCAGTAACGATGGAATTTTCCTTTGCTTTCAATTTGCAGTACGTGGGGAGCTTCCTGGCAGCCCAATCAATCATGCGTCATGCTATCATGCGGAAACCCTCTGCCTCCCCCGATGCACAATGCTCCGCCCCGGGCATTACTTCTTCCCGATGACCTTGTCCTTGACGTCCTCGGCAACCTGCTTGACCTTGTCCCAAGCCTCGGAAGCACTCCCACCGGTCGTGTCTTTTCCCAAGGGGTCCTTGCCCACCCTCTCAGCATGAATGACCTCTTCCGAATGCGAAGGGTTCTCGAGATGATCGAGGCCCGGAGGCTTGCCTGCGCGGTGCTGTGATGCGGGATCGAACGACATCGGGGTCGTGCTGAACGACATGCGAGGCGCACTGAGACGGGAAGGACAAGGTCCATGTGGTCAGTTGGTCTAGATCAATGTACCGCTGGTCATGACCTGTAACTCGATGGCGAGCAGTGAGCTCCGGACTGGGTACCACCCGCGATCCCGATCTCGGCTCGCGCGAAACCGAGGAGCGCTGACGGGTGACGTAACGATGTGGGGGCACGAGCCGAGCACCACACACTGTAGCGAAACTCACATGACGGCTGAACGCGAGACGGTGCGACGAGAGATGAGGGAGAACATGATTTGCAGAAAGTAGACGGAGTGGTTCTTGAGCTTTGTCTTTCTGCTTGAATGGGGCTGTTGTGGGTGTGGGGAAGCACAAGAGGCGAATTAAAAGTGGCGCGAAGGCGACCTCGAGCAACGCACCTCCACGTAGCTCCACGTCGCACCGGTGACGCAAACGACCAGCTCGCCTTGACCGATGGGATCGACAAATCGAGACGACCACAGGTACCCACGTGATACTCATTTCTCGCTTCAGGCCTCAGGGCTGTGTCGATCCGACCCTGGTCCTCGATTTCCGATCAATTCCGTGCTAGTGGGTTAGCACGGGGGGGCGGCCCCTCTTTGAATTCAGGAGCTTCCTGTCGCGCGCTGATGGCGGTGGAGGTAGATTTCTCCACCCAGGCCCATCTCCCCCCTCATCTTTGAGACGCTAGCCTCTTTTTTTGAACGGATTTCCAAATTCTATGATTCAGACAACACGAACGTGAGTCGAGCGCTGCGAAAAGCCGAGCCTGGCACCACGAGGCGGTCGGAAACGCTACGACTGGTGTGTCCGACTCCAAAATCTGCCACACCCTCCTTGACTCATCCCTCTTCGGTGTCGTTGCGGTAGGTGTTTACTAGCACTCGGGCGCCGGTCCGGATGCAGCAACACGACGGACTAGTTATTTTCCGCCGCACTCAGAAATACCGCACCAAGCCAAGCATAAGCAGTCAGGTCGGTCGTTTCGGTCAGTTCGGTCAATTCGATCAATTCGGTAATTTCGGACAGTTTGGTCGGTCCACCCCCGCTCTTTGGTTCCCGCTCTGATCTTCGACTCAACGGCTTGTTTCTGGCAAGACACGCTGTGGCGGCGTACAAGGCGATTCGCACTTTGAGGACCGCGGTTCTTAAGGGGTCACGACCTCAGCTCTTCCTCAATAACCGATTGGCTGCGAACTCGATGACACCTCCGGGAACGATACAGCGAAGGGACGATCGATGCGACACAAGCGTGAAGGGGTATTGGAGGAGCCATGAATGGTTTCGTTTATAAATGACGTGACCTCGGCACCGGGGGAAGAGGCAGGCTAGCGGAAGTGGCTCAGGCATACGAGCTCACACATTTCTCTGGCACTCCAACGACTCAGCAGGCCTAACCCCACAAAGGGGAATGAGAACAATTCCGGGCGTGAGAGCGCATGTGTTAGTTATTGAATTCATTGTGAGCTTACCGTGGATCGATACAGCCGAGGACGAAGCGAAGGCCAGCAGTCAAGGCGAGGTGTCACAAATGGGATCTCGCGGGGACTCGCGCTCTTGGCTCACGTGATCTCACCCGGTCCACGTGACCTCCGCTCACTCGGAGTACGGGTTCTCGCCTGTCGCACGTGACTACGTCTTGATCACATGATCTCGCTTGGCTTACATCAGCTCACTTGGTCACATGGTCACGCTTCGGGTACATTGGGTTTATACATGTGATCTTGCCTGGTCCATGAGGTCTTGCCTGGTCCACGTGATCTGGCTCGGGCACATGATTCCGTTTGGCTTACATCATCTCGCTTGATGCACATGACTTCGTTTCATGGGCGTTCCTTTGTATTCTACCCTGTGTATGAAAGGTGTCCAGTGCGATAGCTTGCTTGTCTTTCTCTTTTCTGCAACTGGAATCTCGACTCAGATCACACCCTTGCTCTCGCCCCTTTCCTGGCCTTCAGTGGAAGTCCTTGGAACACCTTCGACTCAGCCTTCGTCTCTCGCCCTTGTCTGAGCCCCCTCGTCCGGCTCGCCTCTTCCATCCTCGTCCTTCGTGATACGAGGATGATCAAGGGGACGCCTGCGGGATTTGGCAGATGTCGTGGGTGGGAGGGCGGTGGTGTGAAGGAAGTAGAGAGATCCTAACTAGTAAAAAAAAGTGTCGATCCGCGACCCATGTACCTAAAATCGCTGTTTTTGTCTGTGTTGCGGGCCGAAGGGCCGCAAGTGGTGAATGTATCAGTGTACTGTTGAGTCTGCCGCACCTGCCTGTGGTATCGGCGTCCCAAGCAGAAGTCATGTACGACCCTTTATGCATTTTTTGGACCATAAAAGTAGAGCTACAGCCCGACTACGATTTTTGTCGAATTTTGACATGGTGGGGACTATTGAGCAGTTTGTGTAGGATTTAATGTATAGCAAGCGCGTGGGTTTGCAGGACACTTCTTCTACAGAGCTCAGGCGTGGTCTCGCTGTCGTTGACGCGCGGACGCGGGCGCCGCTACGCTGCGCGATGCCCCGTCGATCACGTGACGTAACTCTGGCATCCCGATACCGGTTTTAGGGGCTCAACAACATGAGATTCCAGGCGCTGTGAATACTCCCGCGCTACTCTCTCTAATTTTCGCCTTTTCCCTCCCACTCCTATCGAATTTTCATGACAACCGCGCCAAGTCTTTGGCGCGAGGGTAGCGCCGTACGATAGCGTACCGCCGTACTGCTCGAGGTTGCTCGAGGGCCCGCTGCTCGACTCTCCTCTTCGTCCCGGTCCCATCAACAGAATCAGCTCCCCGCGCATAATGACAACAACTCAACCGATCTTGGTATTGTGACCCGTATAAGCGTCCGCCGTACAGCTTTGTAGAACGGACAGCGTGGTCAGCGCGATGGCCCGATGGCCGAACCGACGCTGAGCTCGCCCCACCACCACCTCTTCCCGCGCAGGGCAAGTGCACAGGCCTTGAATCGCGCTCAAACCACTCAAGCCCCACGTTCCCCTCCGCGACTACCTCGGCCCCAGATGACCGTGTGTACCCACTGCAAGGCTCGGCACTGGGAGTGCGAAAGGACAAAGTCGACCGGACACTTCAGCACGTGCTGCTCGCAGGGCAAGGTGCAGCTACCTCCCTCTCTCCGGCCCAATCCCGACTTTCAACAGCTACTTGAAGGCTCGGATAGCGGTCAGTCTCTCCGTCCAACGACATTCGTCTGTAGTAGACCAACATGCTGAACTGTGCGGCACACCTACACAGAAGCTAAGGCATTCCGGCGTTCCGCGAGAATGCCCGGTCGTACAACAACGCGCTGTCGTTCACTTCGCTCGCTGCCCACTTTGACCAGACTCGACCAGGCACTCAAGAACCCCGCATGTTTCAGGTATTTTGTTGCCTTTACCATCGACTCGGGCACTCTCGGCGCCCTAATTACTGCCGTCAATCAGCGCCCAACCTTTGCCAAAACATGGCTCATCTGCCCGGCCGAGGCCACCGACACTCAACTTGGACCCGACGGCGCAGACAGTCGCATACAAAGATCTACTTTGACCAAGCTCGACTCCATGTTGGGCACCGGACATCGCTTTGTGAGGGAGCTCGCATCGGCCAAAGCCCGCGCAGGTTGGGTTACGGCCAAAGAATGGGTCCTGCGCCTCTGTCTAACACCTGGCCGGGACCGACGCACCCACAACCTTCCTACGTGGAGCACGGAAATGGCGATGCCCATCTGCGATTCCGACACCAACATGTGAGGTCGTGGACCGCAAGACCTTAATCTTCAGGCGCACGGTGATCAATGTCCCGACGGTCGGCCCACGTACCAAGTTGTTAGCTCGCTCCATCCGTCTGCGATGCCTCTCCGTTCCCCACTCCTATTCCCTGCAGGAGAAGATGACTGCCTCCCCAACATTCCTCTTTGCAGTTCCAACCAAGCTGGGTCACCCTTCGTCGACGAAGAGGATGAAGACGAGGAGGAAGGGGACAAAGAGAATAGTGATGGTGAACGTAAGCGCCTTCGGCTCTTTCTCGGATGTTCCATTCTGTTAAGACGCACGCACAGACTGACATTTAACGTTTTAACACCTAGGACGAAGCTCAAATAAAGGGGGGTCGAGGTGGCGAGTCTCGCGTTCACAATTCTTTACGTACTACTTGCACAAACGCGACGAGTACTTCTCAATCCCGCATTGCACCCAACGTGCCTTCCTGGCGTTCGTGATGACGGATACTCCCACGTCGAGACCGATCGACTCAACTTACCCCAGTTGCATCAAGAAAGCCTCCGCCTCACCACGGGCCAAGGTATCATCACCTTGACCCCGGGTCAAATTGGATGTTCGGTGATTTTGGGCTCAACGTTCAAGAATAGACCGCGCGAGAACACGCAGCATTACCAAGATGCGATGGCATGCGTCGTCAAATATGGAAAGCCTTCGCTGTTCATCACGGTAACGTGCAACCCCGAATGGCCGGAAATCAAGGCTGCACTGGGGCCGAACGACCAAGCATGCAACCGACCGGATCTCATTGCACGAGTGTTTGAAGCCAAGTTGAACCGACTCTGCGACGACGTTTTTGGCAACAAGCAACGGGCAGGCTGTTTGGGCGATGAATGGAGAACTGTTTCTTTGCTGTACTTTGTAGTATGTTTTCTTAGCCTCTGTTGAATGTAGACTGTTCGATTCTCCTGCTATTTGAATTTCACCCTCCCGTTAATTTAACGGGTTCCCACTGGTACTCTTGCAAGGAAGAAAGCAAAATTTCATTATCTTGGTTGTTAGCCTCGTTTCAGAAAGTCTGGCTACATGACCGCAGACCTTGCCGCGACAGATTTGTCGGCCCCTGTTCGCAAGCGCAAGCTAGCCCAGGGGGGTCATCGGTCCGGGCCTCGGGGGAGTCGCTGCCTCAGTCGCAGGCTCGCAGCTTCACCAATCCGGCTGGGTGGACAAGTAACTGATCTCACCAGAGGAGGCGGAAGAAACGGTCCAGACCTAACGTTTAGTTTTGTTTCTTCCCGGTCACAGTGTGAATAATGATTGGATGATCTCGACCCGTCGAGTTTTGGTAGTCGGAGCCGAGACACGATCGGTCGGTCGCGCACTGGCGGCGCGAGCCGTCGCCAAGCTAAACGGGCCGCGGCCATTAGCGCTCAATTGCGCCGCTTCGTTATAGCATTCGGCACTAGTAGGTAGGAGATCAGCAATGGTCGTCAGGTACCCATTTGGACCGCCATGACCATGTTTCCGGGTAAGAGCCCCTATTGCATGCTGCCCGAGTCCTTCCAAGGTTCGATTCCAGCGGGATGTGCCCGGTGGATCCGTTCGCCGGGAGCGTTCGCACCGTTCGCTGATTGGCTGCGATAAGGAAACAGGCACAGGCCCGCTTTTGTTCGTGCCTGGAAGGTTCGCCAAACGACCCTTGGCCGGCACCGAAATCTTCCGACCCGCTGTATCGGCATCACGGAGCATGCCTGGGTGACTCAGCTGCCTGCCTCAACTTCTTCTGATGGGACTCTGTGAATTGTGTGCCGCGGCCCGCGACGCTTATAAGTTGCCGTTTAGCCAAAACTCGGGCAGCTCGGCTGGCAACGGTCGCCCTCATAACGAATCAACCGGTCTCTCAGTAGTGTCTAGGCTAATAAGGTGTTGTAAGACATTCATCCGAAGCAGAGCAGCTCTGTTTGACCAGATAAATCTCCTCTTCTCTCCGGGTGACCCAAAGTGGATCGTGCGGAGTCACCGGTTAAGACAGGACGAGCGGCCTTGGATTGGATGAGAAGCAGTAATAATGCAACTCGCCACTGAACCCTGCTGAAAAGTACTGGATCATTGGTCGGTACCGACCCTGATCTACTGGGCACGCGACGTGCTGCCGAGCGCCTAGTTGACGTGGCCCGAGCCGGATAGGAGTCGTTCGCTGGAGGGGCCTTGTCTCGGGCGGGGCCGTGCGCGGCGCCGCGTCGCCCAGACATCACCGCGATGCCGATCATGTCACGGGCCAACAAAAACCGGCGCAATTCTGGATGTGGTTAGCAGAAAGTGCTACACCAAGAGTTGCACCCCGGTAGGAGCGATTAGGATAGTTATGCAGGTACGTACTCTGCCGTGGGGCCTTGATCCCAATTATCAGGCCATCGTTTGGGGCAACTATTCTTAGCCTATCGCGCGCTGATCCCACTGCTGATCGAAAGGATGCCGGGCCGAATCGGTCGACAAGAGGTCCCGCCGGGCATCTCGAATCTCCGCCTTTCCTTCTCACACCCCTCGAGCAACAACCACTCGTTACCTAGTACCTACGAAGGCACTCCGCTTTGTAAGTCGCTTTTCCGGGGAGGTAGGGGGCAGCTGGCATTCATAGCAGCTCAGGTACAGGGAAAGCTGGGGCCTTTCGCGAAGAAGCCCGAGGCACCCCGTCTTGGTGCCTGTTGATTTCAATCGCTAATCGAATTCGGGTTCCAACATCCAGCTTATCTTTGCCGCGCGCCGCCCAGCCAGCGCCCAGTAATCAGTTCGGGCTCCCCTTCCCCTGCAGGCTTCTCCTCCGCTCTTTCTTTCTTCCTTCTCCACCCCACACCCAAAAAAACTTTGACTTCAGTCTCATCATGGTCAACGTTACGTACGATACAACAGGGACTCTTGTTGCCAATGTAGATGGCACTGAGACCGTGTACAATGGCGGTGACATGGCATGGGGTAAGTCGAAGATTCATTCCCGCTTGGTCGATACGGCCACTGACTTCGTCGACGGCAACCCGAACGGGAACCGAGCGCTGACATGCTAAAAATCGCCTCGATTTTGTTGTCGCAGTGCTTGTCTCCGGTGTTCTCGTCATGATCATGGTGAGTGTGGTCCATATCCTTCCCGGTGTTCTCGGACGGAGATCGACACGAGCCACGCCGCGGAGGAACCGGGCCGAAGTTCACGCCGCTGACCATGCCTCGCCTATCCTCCCTCGTTCACTCGATGCACAGTCCCCCGGAGTCGGTTTCCTCTATTCTGGTCTTTTGCGTAGGAAGAACGCCTTGTCGATGATGATGCTCGGTGTCCTTGTGTGAGTTTCGTCGCTTTCTTCCACTCTTCTCTGATCCCAGTGGTTATCCGGGCTTCATCCCAACCGGGCCGCGGCGATGATACGGCTTTTGATTCGATGGCGATAGAGGTCTGGGCGGTTTCTGAGTACCAACGGCCCTTTAACGCGAGACGATTCATCTTGTGAATGACAGTAGCTGAATTTCCGGTTGCAAATCTTGCCTTGTGTACAGCTATGCGGTTATTACAATTCAGTGGTTCTTTTGGGGCTACTCGTTGGCTTTTGTGAGTGCTGCTGTTGCCGCGTTTGGGTGGTCAACTCTGTCCAGGCCGGGCTCTTCCCTCATTTCCTTGAATCTAGATATACAAAGCGCTGACACTCTTCTTTATTCTCGCTGTGAACCATTTTCTTCGTGCCGGGATACAGAGCAGCACCGGCAGTTCCTTCATCGGCGACTTGAAGCACTTCGGCCTCATGAACGTCACGCTCGAACCATCCGCCGGGTCCTCCAAGATTCCTGCTCTGTTGTATTACTTCTACCAATCCATGTTCGCCACCGTGACTGTGGTTATTCTTGTTGGAGGTATTGCAGAACGTGCACGTATCCTACCGCTTCGTAAGTCGAAAAATTCGTTCGCGGACGGTGCGGGTCAAAAATTGATCGCCGTCGCTTGCTGGCCCCTGTACAGTCATTTTCTGCTTCTGCTGGGCCACCATCGTGTACGATCCTATTGCCAACTGGGTCTGGAACCCCAACGGATGGCTCTACAAGCTCGGCGAGCTCGACTTTGCCGGCGGAGGACCCGTCCACATCACCTCGGTCAGTTTATGGCGAGCCCCTGTTGGTGCAGAAGTCCCCGTTGTCCGTTGCTGACCCACGACGCTCTCTCACAGGGAACCGCTGGCTTTGCGTGGTCGCTCTACTTGGGCCGTCGTCGCGGTTACGGTACAGCCAAGCTCGCTTACCGCCCCCACTCGGTCTTCCAAATCATCCTCGGCACCGTCTTCCTCTGGTTCGGCTGGTTCGGCTTTAACGGTGGATCCGAACTCGCGATGAACTTGCGCGCAGTCCAGGCCTCGACTGTCACCAACATCGCTGCCGCTATGGGTGGAATCACCTGGTTCGCGATGGATTGGTTCTACACCAAGAAGTGGTCTGCTGTCTCGATGTGCTCCGGTATCCTCGCTGGTCTCGTCGGCATCACCCCTGCGGCTGGTTATGTTGGCTCTCCCGCGGCGTTGGCCATTGGATTCCTCACCGCGATTGCATGCAACTTTGGCACTGGCCTCAAAGTTCTGCTCGGAATCGATGATGCAGTCGACTCGTTCGCGCTCCACGCCATTGGCGGCTACTGCGGATCCGTCTTGACTGCGCTCTTCGCCGATAGCCGCGTCGCCGGATTTGATGGCTACACCGAGATTCCTGGTCAGTAATAGCAACTATTTGATTATTGCTTTGATTCAATCAGACTGACGCGTAAATGGGCACTGAACAGGCGGCTGGATCAACCACAACTACATCCAGCTTGGGTGGCAACTCGCCGGAGCGACGACGATCATGGCTTACACCTTCGTCGTCACCTACCTGCTCCTCTTTGTCATCGACCACATTCCTGGTCTCAAACTCCGAGCTACTGAGGACATGGAGATTCTTGGTATTGACGAGACCGAGGTGAGTTTCCCGTGAAAGGCTGCACTGTTACAGAACTCTTGAGCAGCTCAACTGACTCGATCGACCCCCTTAATGCAATGCACTCAGCTCGGCGAGAACGCCTACGACTTTGGTGAGTCGATAGCGTTCTAGACTTTTGGCATTCTTGAAAGCTGACCAGGATTGTCTTGATATTCACATTGCAGTCTTCCGCAACCGTGATCTTGAGAACGTGAGTTTCTGCTTCCGATAGAACATTGTACGGCTGAGAGCCAAGTCTGACCGCTCATCTACTGCACACCACCATAGCCCGAGGAATTCTCCGAATTGCACAACCGAGCAACTGGCGAAGACCTTAGCCGCCAAGTGAGCCATCACTCGTCGTCGAGCCACAACAAGGACATCAAGTCGCCCTACTCCGCTGTCCCCGTGACGGGGGAGAAATTGAGCGTTTGAGACGGAATGTAGAGACCACCACACCGAGTCGCCGGCTCTGACCAGCGCTGTACACTCTGGTATATCCAACCACTTTCCCCTTCTCTCTGACCTAGCGTCGCTTGTGCTTCTACCAATCTCGCATTCGTTTTTTTGGGGTATTCTTTGTGCTTCCTATATTTAATTACACATATGCTCTTTCAGCCGATATCATGACCAAGATACGACTGTACGATCCCTTTGAACTCCACTGCGATCGATCTGAGGCTCGGACGAAAGAAGTCTTGCGGATTGGCCCCGAAGAGTCGAGGGTCGATCCATCTCTGCCTACAGGAAGTTGGTGAGGATTAGCAGGAAAGCGGCTTCTGGGTATTTGATCAAGAGTGCGCGTTTGTTCAGTGAAGCCTGGCGATACGTACCAATCGTGGAGAGAAGACTGCGGTTGGATTAGACGCTCTTCGGTCTCTTATTCAGGAGGCGGTCCGAGCGCTTCTTTATCTTCCTCTCGTGGTGTGTGATACACCGCTCTACATGTCACATCCCAAATCCGGTCATTTTTTATTTTTTTGCTTCCAGGGAAAACCTCAATGCAATTGCCCTATGTACATAAGCCTACCGAGCAGGGTCGGCTCTGACGGAGAGGGAGATGTCACCGAATGTCAATGAGTTGGCGGGGTCACGGCGCTTTTAGTACGGTGGAGTGAAGCAAGAATCCGATGTATTTAAAGTCTGCTTCAGCCTGTCGGAGGGCAGCAGCAGCGTATAGTCCTGGTAGCAGAAGTATCAGCGGCATCGGACGGATCAGTGACAGCGGAGGGGTCGTCGGAAGTCCGGTACGACTGCGGTCTCCGAACTGGAGGTCGGGTCCGCTTGCCTGAGGGTCATTTTTGAGGCCGCAATCGAGGAACTCTCTCGCTGTTCTGCATGTTTCGGACCAAACACCGAGCGTGCTCACTGGACGGCCCGAAACCGCCAGGCGCCGGTGAAGACTCGCTCGACCGAAGACGACAGAGAATGCCAAGGCGTGCCTGATCCTTTATCGCGCGCGTCCCCCTCCCCCCGCCGCCTTTCGATAGCGCGCGATGTCAGGCGACTGCGGGCTGGAGGCGGCGCTTATTTCGGGGCTCGAGCCTCTCGCCGAAGTCGAATGTCCAAGTTGAATCACATGAGCCCTATCAGCTTCGCCCCCCTGATTGTTCCAGACAAGATCCGGTCCGTTATCAAGAGCTTTCCTCTCTCCCCACCTCTTGTGTGACTTTCCATTGGAACGCAAGCCATCGCTCCAAAGGCAAGAAATTTAAGACTGCCAGTGATCAGCGCGTGAGTTCCGTATGGCCACTTTCGCAAGTCAGCGCCCGAGCCGCGGGCAGATCGCCCGCTCCAGAACGTCGAGTCTACTTATCGTCCCGCCCGATTGATACGGTTGCTGATCACACGATTCTACGCCCTGCCCCTTCTTTCTTCATCCCAGTCTCCTTCACATTCTTCAAATAAGAATCACTCCCTCGCAATGGTCAATATTAGCTACGATGCCTCGGGATCTCTGGTCTCCATCTACGACGTGACCGCGTACGATTCCTCTGCTGGCGCCGAGGGCGTCGCCGTTTACAACAATGGCGACATGTCTTGGATTTTGACCGCAGCGGTGAGCCCTCGTTCCGTCCAGTTGAGACAATGACCAAAAAAATGAATAATGCTCTTCTTCGTGTTACAATAGGTCCTGGTCATGATCATGGCCGCTGGTATCGGGTATCTTTACTCGGGCCTGCTCAGACGGAAAAACGCGCTGTCAATGCTCATGCTTTCGATGGTGGTCTACTCGGTCGGTGCAATTCAGGTGAGCAACTGATCACTTTTTAGGATTTTATATCTAGCATCTGACACTGTAGAGACCTATAGTGGATGTTCTGGGGCTACTCACTCGCGTTCGGCGAAGGCTCAATGTTCATCGGCAATCTCAAACACTTCGGCCTCATCAACGTCCTCGACGCTCCTTCTGTCGGCTCGTCCAAGATCCCAGCATTGTTGTTCTGCGCCTACCAGTCGATGTTCAGTTCCGTGACAGGTGTTATTGTTATTGCGGGCTTTGCGGAGCGAGCAAGAATTCTCCCGATCATGATATTCACCTTCATGTGGTCCACGCTCGTCTACGACCCCGTCGCTTGCTGGACTTGGAACGCGACCGGGTGGGGCTTCCAAAAGGGCGTTCTGGACTTTGCCGGTGGAGGACCTGTGCACATGACTTCGGGAACTGCGACATTCGTCGTAGCGCACTACCTTGGCCGCCGACGCGGTTATGGAACGGCCAAGCTCGCATACCGTCCGCACTCGGTCTCGCACGTCGTTCTCGGTACCGCCTTGCTTTGGTTCGGATGGTTCGGCTTCAACGGTGGTTCCGAGCTGGCCATGAACTTGCGTTCCGTTCAAGCGGCCCTGATCACTAACTTGGCGGCGGTAAGCTCTTGTTGCTTTCCTCTGGCGCGCCGCGCATCCTATCATCGTCGCGTTCTTTTGGCGACCAGCCCTCCCTCTTTCCCTCTTTCCCTCTTTCCCTCTTTCCCTCGCCTCCCCGGTCCCCGTTCCTGCCCCCCACAAAGCTGGATTGTACCCATACCTCCCAACTCATCCTTCACTCGCATCTCCACCCGTACCCCTACGGACTTCGAACGCGATCGCTGACCTCGTCTCTGTCCTCCTCATCACGAATTGGCTGCGCAGGCAATGGGCGGCTTGACCTGGATGATGCTAGACTACTACCACACGGGCAAATACTCTGCTGTCGCGCTCTGTTCTGGTATCCTTGCCGGCCTCGTCGGCATCACCCCTGCAGCCGGATACCTCGGTGCCCCGGCCGCTCTGGCCGTCGGCTTCGTTACGGCGATCGTGTGCAACTTTAGCACCGGAATCAAGGTCTTGTTGGGCGTCGATGATGCGGTCGATGGGTTCGCGCTCCACGGTATTGGCGGTTTCACTGGGGCAATCCTGACCGGTGAGTCTTTTTTCTCAGACTTCTTTCTTCCAAATACTAACTCTAGACCCTCTTCCATTCACAGGCTTCTTTGCCGATTCGCGCGTCGCCGGTTTCGACGGCTACACCGTCATCGCGGGCAAGTTCAGCCCAGCATTCGTTCACCCGTCTTCCCAAGCTCACTCCCACTCCTCTCTTGTTCCAGGTGGTTGGATCAACAAACAGTATAAGCAAATGGGGTGGCAACTCGCGAGCGCGTTGGCGATCATCACCTGGACCGCAGTCTTGACCTATATCATCCTCTTTGCGATCGACCACATCCCCGGTTTACACTTCCGCGCGACGGAGGATCAGGAGATTTTGGGCATTGATGAGACCGAGGTGGGTCTCGGTTGCTGTGGATGGGTCTTTATCATCGAGACAGCGGTGCTGATTCTTCGAATCTATCGTGTGTCTATCATTCTCTCCAGTGCGGCGAAACGGGCTACGACTTTGGTACGTCTTCTTCAGACCCAAATGCTGCCTTGTTTCGATCCGTTCTGATACCTCCCTTATCCCCGAACAGTCTTCATGCGCCGCGACCTCGAATCGCCCGAAGACGTCGACGCGCTCAACAACGGTGCGTCGTCGACACTGAGTCGTTCCTCGTCCGGTTCCAACGCCAAGGTCCCCGCCGAGAAGGCCCCTCTCGGAGCGGCCGAGACGTTGCCGATTCAAACGATCTAACGCGCCATCTCCTCTCCTTTCGATGTGTTCTACTCCCTTATCGCACTCCGGCTTTCTTCGGTGTCAGTGTTTATGCCCCTCTCAGTTTTCCGCCGCGTCTATTAGTCTCGCACCGGGTTTGGGGGGGTTATTCGGCCCCCTGTCCTTTTTTCCGTCTTTGTCGTGAACTGTTCTGTTGAAATCCCCCATAGAAAGTGCTCTCTTCATTGGTCTATTACCCTGTACTTTCCGTTTGAAAATCGAGAGTTGGACTCGCGTGCGACGTTGTCGAATGAGGCTTTGGGTGGACCTAGTCCCGCGGGGGATCGTTCAGAAGGGTGTCATGTCACTTGAACCAAAGCTCCCCTACAGCTGCATCTGATCCTGTTTCCTCAATTGTTCCCTGTGACACCCGGAAAACGACCAAGCCGATCAGCACGCGAACGCACAAGTGTCGCGCCCACCTCACCTCCATTGCATGATCCCCTTTCCGCCTGGCACTGGACTCACCTGAGCGCGACGGAAAAGTCATCCTCGACGTCATCGTCGTCCCAGTTGTCCTGCCACAGCGAATCGAGCCCTTGTTTCTGCTGCTGTTGTTGCGCCTCCGTTCCTGCCGCTGCTGTTGCTGTTGCTGCTGCTGGCCCGCCGGCAGCTGTCTGGGCGGATTTGGATGCGAGGACGTTCGAGTACGTCGCCGAGTCATCCCAATCTGGACACGAAATATAACGGGATGATCAGGGACGGTATGGAGAGCAAGGGTGAGGGGGTATGGCTGACCCTGTGAAGCGAATTCCTCAAACTCGTCGTCCTCGTGCAAGGCCGGGAGTTGGTCCAACGAGGGGGAACTCGAGGCGGCTGCGGCGGCTGCGGCTGCCGGTGTTGTTTGGGCCTCTTTGGAAGTGGACGAAGGGGAGGTGCCGGACATGGTGGCGGAGGTGATGGTCGTGAGCAGGCAAGGAATGGGTTGATGACGCGTCGTCGGGTGGTGGGCGGCTGAGCTTGGGACTCGATTCGATGACCCTTGCAAGCGGTGCGATGCACGCCGCGGCTTGGAGAGTTGACTAGGTCGGTCGTGCCAAGTGTGGTGGCCAACGGTGGAGGCTGGTTGGGGTGTAGCAGGAGGTGAGAGAGCGCACCGACCGGACCCGAGTCGTCGGCTGTGGTCGGCTGTCGTCGGCTGTCGTCGGCTGTCGTCATTTTGAGCGAGTTTGGGCGCGTGGGCGTAGGTGGGCGTGCTCGCGCGCTCGGACCTCGTCTCCTCTCTGCCTCCTGCCACCTACCGCCAGCCGAGCCTAATAGCCCTTCAGAATGAGCCCGATCCCAGCCAATGACCACTCGAACAAATCCAAGCGCTTTCATGTCCACATCACGGGCTTCGGAGTGAGTCCATCCACCCCGCCTCGAGAGGATCCCACTCGACTGCCCCACCCTAAGTCATCTCATCGCGCTGACATCCCGGAGCCATCGTGCGCAGCCGTTCGGAGATCACACGATCAATCCTTCGTGGCAAGCGGTGAAGCAACTGCACCAGACCACACTCGAATCACGCCCTGCACCCCTCGCTGCATCCTCCTCGCGGAGCAAGTCCTCGATCACCGCCATTTCCCCACCCTCGTCGAACGGATCATCGTCGACCCGACCCATCCACTTCAGCTCGACCCTCATCCCCGTCACCTACGCCTCCTCCCTTTCTATCGTTCCCGCACTGCACACCACCTCCACGGACCCCAAGCCTGATCTCATCATCCACGTCGGTGTCGGCGCCCCTTATTCCCTGACCCTCGAAGCTCTCGCGCGCAAATTCAGCTATGACAAACCCGATGTCGACCAAACCTATGCGCCGTTGGACCACGAGACAGGTCATCGAGGGTTTACCGGGTTGGGCGAGGTCTCTGATCGGTCGGACGAGGTATTGCATTCGAGGATCGATATGGACAAGGTTTTACGAGCCAGTCGAGGTGAAGGGGGTGGGGTCGAGTTTTTGAGGATCAGCAAGGATGCCGGTAAGTCTCTCTGGCTGTTAACGAGTGGAATACTTCTCATTGACGTGTTATTCCTCAGGCCTCTTCCTATGCGAATTCACTTTTTACGCCTCAATGGCCTGGGCCAAATTCCTGGCGACAACACATTACAACGACGCCGAGACCGCTCGGCGCGATGTCGACGGGATCGGTTCCAACGAAAAGCGCCAAGAAACACCCGTACAATTCATACATGTACCACCGTGGGTACTTGCCCGAATTCCAGGACGGTGCACGTCGCGGGAAGCTGACTGGGCTCCCTGCATGTCTTCCACAGCGTTGGATTGCCTTATTCCCTTCCCGAATTGACGCAAGCTTTGCGGATCATCATTTGGGCCATCGTCAACGAGGGAGGATTATAGTTTTATTCATCCGTAGATTGATGAGTTCAGATTCACCCGCACGCGTGTATGCTCAATCGTCGAAATTTCAGCAAGGAGCGACCGTCGAGCCAAAGAACAAAACATGATCTTGAAACGAACAAGATGGAACCCGTATGGCCCCGCTACAGACAAATCACACCCGAGACCCCTCATAAAACATATGCCAGCCTCCCCCTACTTGTTGACCAACTCCTCCTTCTCACTCTTATACTCCTCCTGACCCATCCTCCCCGCCGAAGTCTTGGTCTTGGCACTGTCGATGGGCACCAGGATGGACTTCCAACGATCGCCTTCTTCGCTGCGAGTTCCTTCGGGGTCGATCTCGTTGAGTTGACGGAAAATGTTGGCCATCGTATTGCCTGAAGGGTCGTGGTTGGCGTAGATGCCGTCAAAGCCACCTTCTTTGACCTGAAGGAAGCGGTTAGGGCGTTTTGGATCAGTCATTCAACAATAAAAAAAGTTGGGGTTCTATACTCTCCCAAGTTAAAAGGAACTTACGACAAACATCTCGTGCCAAATCTCATAACCACGATCCTCGTACCCACCGAGGTTGTAATAATCCGTCCACACCTTGGAGTGTAACGGGCCCCTCGCAAACTTCCATAGATCCTCCTTGCTCCTAAACACGGCGACGGCCTTGAATTTGTTGTTTCTCCATTCGGAGGTGCCGAGGTACATGTCAACGTTGAGCAGACCCGAGTCGGGGTCGGCGGAAAGTTGGGCCCACATCTCGTTGAACGCCTTGCCCAATTTTTTGGAACTCGATGAGAAACGACCAAAGGGTCCATGGAAACGGGCACCAATCATGAAGATGACGAACTCGGGAGATTGGACTCGACCGGTCGTGGGATCTTCTTCACCTCCTGGCATGCGGGCCATCCACTTACCCGGCATGACGCGGTCAAGATCGGGGGACGTGCTCAGACCGTAATGAATCATGGTTGGTTTGACCCATGGCGCGAGAATGAGGAGCAGCGGTAAGACCCACTTGGTCCACCACCACGTCGGAGGGGACGCGAGGGTAACGAGGTATTGCAACAAGGCGCCCAAGCCGAGGAAGGTCGTCAAGGGGATCGTGTCTTTGAGCATCGCCAGGCCCATCTGCGGGCTAGGACGCCGGCTCGCTCCATACGTCGCCTTGGGACGGCTCGCGTACGTCTTTTGGTACGGGTGGTCCGGGGAGATCGAATGGGCGGGTGATTTGGCCATGGCTGGGGTCGTGGGTTGTGAAGCTGGGGAGGCATCATCTCGGGTCAGCTGTCGCGGAGTCTCGAGGGTCTCGCTGGGGCCCCACTCACCGTTACTGGGGTTGGGCAGGCCTTCGGGATGCTCGTGCAAGCAAGTGCCAAGGATCACAAGCCAAGGGTCATAAGTAGACCTAGGTGGGGATGCAAATCCTTGCGTGTACGAAAGGTTTTCGATGACCAAAGAGATGATGGAAGGCCCAGAAGAAGCGGGGAAACGGGTGCAAACATTAAGAACCCGAGGCGCGGCTCGGCGCCGGCGGGCTTCGGCCATCGTGTGCAACGGCATCGCGAGCGTATCACGTGGCATACAACTGGGGCGGAAGTGACCGATGGTCCCTACTAGAAGGTCATGTCGAAGCGACGAATTTGGGAAAGTTGGCGCTAACTCGAGATTCAAAAATAGACAATCCGGTGCTCAGAATCCTCGGATGACACAGAGTCGAGGCTGAAGACTTCGGTTTCAGCTCAACTTCGTCTTGCAGCTTTAGAGGCCCGAGCTTTTCAACTGTATGCGATTAGATGTGGTTCGCGATGGGACCACATACACTGTCTTGGGAATACAATCATATGTATTCAACGTCCCTCCCTGGCACAAATCGCTCCTAGGATATCGTCGCTGTGGCATCTGATGAGATCCCCCTCGGCAAATAGAAGGTTCGCGCCGCGCCGAAAAACGTGAGCTTGGACCTCAGTCCCGAGAGCGAACGGTAACGAACAACTCACTTGCTTTCTGTGTCTTTCGCAACTTCATCGCCGCCTTGCATAGCTCCGGGCACAACCCACTTTTCCTGTTCAGGTCGGGATCGAGCCATAAGCCGAACACGTTAGAACGACGGTCGCGGCAGCTTTCGGCGGCGGAACAACTTGGGTTTTGCGATGCTCACGTGATACCGTTCTCTTTCTCGGCACAAGCAACGGCACAAACCTGCGTATTGTTCCACGGGTCGGCCTTCTCTAAAGCCACTGCAGCGGCGATTCCAGCCGTGCTCTCTGGGTGCGAGGTGCTGGTGTTCGCTGAAGTACCCGACGTTGTGGTGCCGTCACTCGAGTTTTTATGACCGAACCACGAGAAGGGACTGCCAGATCACGCAACAGATGGCGTTGTACGTTTGAGCTGATCAGCGACGCGTCCTGAGCCGAGGCAATGAGTTTGGACGCACTTTAGAAACTTACCGAACCCGCCGAGTGACAGGGGGTCCGGTGTCGGTGCGCCGGAGGTGACCGTGATGCATACGAGGAGGACAAGGATCGCATATCTTCGGCTTGAAATCATCGAGGTCTCGAGTAGTAAAGCCAATGATAAAGGAGGCCGGAACCACCTGATCGCGTCTTCGTCGGAGTCTCGATCCTCGGAGTCAAGCGTCCGACTGGACCGTACTCCGAACGTACTCCCCCCGCCGGACCGGACTGCGGACTGGCCGCCGCAACGGCGTCTGTCACTGCGGACGGGCCCATGCCCTGCGGATGCGAAGGATGGCTGGCACCCATCGCCGATTGACCTTGACCATGGCAGTGAGAATAGACCGGCTTTGAACACCCAAGCTCTATACTCAAGGTAGGAGATGCCTATAGTGAGCTCAAGGGGACGGCCCCATTCAATCCAATCCTTCACTCAGGGGCTCCATCGAGGTTTCCCTTCCAGGTTGAGCCCGCCACCTCGTTAGAATGCAGGACGTCCCCGACTTCTCTCTCCGACATTATTTACTGAGGATTAGGATATGTATATGCACTCGGATACCTGCGAGCGCTACGCTTTGCCCAAATCTTCAACAAGAGCTGGCCTGGGACAATCAGGACAAATTAGGGGCCAGCATGAACAAATGCCTAAATATGGACACGGGGAGCCAGATGAAGTGAGGCGAGAAGTAGACTCAATATCTCGTCGCGTTGGCGGTCGAGGTGAGGTTTACAGCGTTGCTTCCCTCGTCGAGCTGTGTGGTGTTCGTCGAATCCGTCGCTGCTCCAGTATCAGCACCCGTCGTGCCAGTCGTCGTGTCATTGGTGCTCGTCGTCGTATTCCCGTACTGGTTGGGAGGTTCCCAAGTTCCGTAATTAGCGGTGGTGTTCGGAGCGGTTGTCATCGGAGTGGTGGTACTCGGACTGGTGGTGTCCGGAGTGGTGGTGTTCGTGATGTCCGGAGTGGTGGTGCTGGAAGTGGTGGTGTTCGAAGGAGTTGTCATTGGAGTGGTGGTGTTCGGAGTGTCCGGAGTGATGATGTTAGGAGTGGCAATGTCCGGAGTGCTGGTGTCCGGATTAGTGGTGTTCGAAGCGGTTGTCATTGGAATGGTGGTGTTCGGGGTGGGGGTGTCCGGAGGGGTGGTGTTCGGGGTGGGGGTGTCCGGAGGGGTAGTGTTCGGAGTGGTGTCCGGAGTGGTGGTTTTCGGAGCGGTTGTAATTGGAGTGGTGGTGTCAGGAGTGGGGATGTTCGAACTGGTGATGTCCGGAGTGGTGGTGTTCGGACTGGTGGTCGCATCCGAACTCGCCAGGGTCGACGCGTTCAACGTTCCGGCAGTTGTGTTGGCACCTGTGCCAGCGAACGTGGCGTTCGAATCGTTGATGGTGCTGTCGTCGAAAGTCGAGTTTGATAGACTCGAAGGATCAACGGAGGTTGCCTCTGTGGTGTTAAGAGTCGACGTCGTGTTCAACTGGTCTGGAGTAGAGGTCGAATTGGTCCCCTCGGGGCTGTCATCGGTGTTGGTACCGTCAAGACCCGCGGTCGAGTTGGTGTTATTGTCCGAGGTGTTATTGTCCGACGTACTCGTCACAGAAACGTTGAAAGGGTTCGACGCGTTGTATCCCGTCGTTTTCCCCACGGTTGATTTTGATTTTGCCACAGTCGTATTGAGGACATTCGTTGAGTCGACCCCATCCGAGTCGCTCTGAGTTGAATCGGACGCGGGGAGAGAGGTCGTGTTCAGGCTCAACGTGGCATCAGTGTCGTTCGACGCGCTCAACCCATTCGTTGTTGCGTTGAGAGTATTGGGAGTGGTCGTCGCATTCATGCTTAGTGTAGAGTTGTCCACCCCTGAATCAGTCGCATGTTTGGACCCAGAGTCCGGCGTTGGGGTTGTTTTCGAGGCTAGAGTCGTATTCCACCCCGTGCCAGTGCTTCCGGTGGATTTCTCGGGCGTACTGGTCGTCGTGTCGTTGGTGTAATAGGTCGTATTGACCGGGGTCCCCAACTCTGGTGTCACCTTGGGCTTGCTCTTGCTCTTGTGTTTTGGCGTCGGGGAAGGCGAGGGCGAAGGCGAAGGCAACGGAGATACCTCCGCGGCATCGCTCGAATCGGTCTTGCTTCCGGCCCCCGTGTGCGTCGCTGAGCCCGTCGAAGAATCGTCGCTGCTGCCGTCGGCAGCCGAAGAGTTCGAGCCCGGCGAGATACCATCGCTCGACTTGGACTTTTTGCTGTCCGAAGAGGACGGCGAAAGCGTATCACTCGCGCTGGAAGCAGAGCCACTCGTATTGGAGGCGTCGGTGCTCGAATCGGGGGTGGTGGCGTTTCCCGCGGCGTCGCTCGAATCGGTCTTGCTTCCGGCCCCCGTGTTCGTCGCTGAGCCCGTCGAAGAATCGTCGCTGCTGCTGTCGGCAGCCGAAGAGTTCGAGCCCGGCGAGGTACCATCGCTCGACTTGGACTTTTTGCTGTCCGAAGAGGACGGCGAAAGCGTATCACTCGCGCTGGAAGCAGAGCCACTCGTATTGGAGGCGTCGGTGCTCGAATCGGGGGTGCTGGCGTTTGTCGTACTGTTATCGGGCGTGACGAATGCACTGGGTTCACGCAAGTAAACGCGATCGACGGTGAGTTTAAGGCCACACATGATGATACGCATGGTTTTACTCACCCAAACATCTGCGACAGGTCGTTCGACATGTTCTGTAGGCAAAGAATGGTCACAAGCCTCAGTTGCCGTCGAGGAGCCCAAGCGGTGTGAGTGAGGCAGCTCACGTCGGTAGGTCCAGACCCAGAAGCCGTAGTGTTCGAGGTCGAACTAATCGCGGTACTATTCGAAGGGGCTGTGGTGTCCACTGGAGTTGAGGACGAGGAGGGAGTGCTAGTGATATTCGAATGAAGTTTAAGGCTTAGGTTCAGCGCTCGACGTCTTGTCTAAACCCTGTTTGTTTATTAGCTCACTCAGAAGTACCACCGGAAGGCGGCTGATGAAATCGAGGAACCAAGGAATGTGAGTAACAGGTGTAGCTCGGAGTGATCACAGGAAAACTCACGCTGGAGGCTGCGCTGGATGACGCGAGTGCGCTGCGGGGCGAGAGCAAGCCGTTTTGTCAGGTCGATCCCGAGTAGATCTCTAAGGTCTGTATGGCTCACCCGAGCAATCCTGATAGATCTCCAGTCGAATTCTGCGAGAGTGAAGTGGTGGCTTATAAGTCACCGTGACAGTCATCGACCCAAGCTCAGCGCTGTCCGAATTGTTCCTCACCGTCGCGTCCGAAGGGCTAGTGGTTGGAGCGGCTGGGGTAGCGGCAGGGGCGCTTGATTTGACCCAGTTCAGCGGACTGAGAAGGGTTCGTTAAAGCTTGATGTTAGTTCCCACTTCAGGTGTGCTAGAGCGGGTAGTGGCAATCTCTCAAAGCGGGACCGCTCACTTTAGCCACCCGAGCAAAGGCTGAGGATTAGGATTCGGGATCGGTGCCGAGTGAGCTGCAGTCGATGCGAGCGCCACGATAACGACGAGCGAGACCCTCATGGTGGTCGGAGAATAGTTGAAAAGAATATACAGTACAGTGGGAAAGGGAGGAACTTGACCAGCTGGTAGTTGCCACACATCCGAGGACCAGCAGACCGCCAATCTGGCTGTGGCGGACCGCGACGGAACGCCGCTAGTGGTGCAACGGCGTCCTTTGGCGAGTAGCGCGATTTTTCAGGTTTGCCGGGGTGCTTTCACAGTTTTGTAGGCGTCTAGACCAATCACCATGCAGAATCGAATCCTCTCAACGGATCAAACGCAATGCACGGGATCCGAATAACCGTCGGTTTTGCCAGTGAAGTTCTTGCCACACCCCCAGATTGTGCTCTTTGGCTTGTTCCGACTTTGTGGAGCCGTGTGCCGAGGGCGCCGCGGAAGACTGGACTCACTTCTGGAATACTCGTAAACAGATGCATATCAAAGAAGATACAATACGAAGGCATGTCCAGAACCAATACACGAGATCCGGCTCCCTAGCAGCCTGCTCGTCGCCTGCGGCGCCGAGGCTCCTTTTCAAGCCGTGGTGCCCTTCGTTACCACCGTCGGCGTCGTGGTCTGATTAAGTGCAGCTTTCTGGGCTTTGGCCTGCGACGACACTCTGTCCTTCGCCAAGGTGTTGGCTTTGCTGGCCAGTTGGGCCTCGGTCGCGGGAGTGCTCCCAGATACCACGGCTTTGGAGTCGGTCGTGACGGAGGAGCCGCCGGTCGGAGGGGTGGTATCCAAGGCCGTGATTGACCGGGCCGAGTTGGACGCGCCAGAAGTGGTGCCAGTCGATTCACCCGCAGTATTTGCTGTCGAATCCACTCCTGAACCCTTCGATCCCGCCATGTATGCACTGGGGTGTGGCACAGCTCGCGTTAGCCTTGTATGCAGGTTCAGAGCGACCAGAACGATAACTTGCGAGGCCATCTTTTCAAGCGCAGCCAAGCCCGAGCCACCTCCGGATCCTGTGCTGGTGCTGGTCCCGGTGCTTCCGTCGGTCTGATCGGTCGAAAGTCATGAGTTGAACCCAAAGGAAAGGGTTTTGCGAGTCAATGAGCTTACATTAGAGGATGAAGATTCTGATGTGGAGCTGGGGATCGAGCCCGAGCTGCTGGTCGAATCATCGGTCGAGGTGCTCGTAGATCCAGTCGGTGTAAACGCGCTGCGGAATTTCTTGAGCAAAGATAAGCGCAAACTCTCTGACCTAAGGGTATTATGAGCGTACTTAATCCACTTTAAGATTCCTCCCACTCCACTCTGAGATAAAACAATTGATAGATAATTCAGTCAAGGACATCAAACTCTCAATGAAGAAAAGCTTTTACCGATGTCGACGAGTCCGACGAGTTCGACGAGTCCGATGAACCAGTCGGCGACCACATACTAGTGAGATCAAGCGGCTTGGTGAGCAAATGCCAAGGCCAATCGTCGAATCAACCATCACTCACTTAGCCCATTTGCTCCAATCTCCGATACCTGACTGCAAGATGACAGAACTGCGTCAGCCCCTCCGACTCCGTATATAAACTTCAGACGTTGGTTGCGAAAGCTCCTGACCAGTCCTGCTCCGCCGCCCAACATATGGCCCCATTTATTCATCCAAAACGTAGGGCTGAGTGATTTGAGTACCAAACGAAAGTTAGCTCTGGCTCACACTACGATAGCAACGGTTTCTCACGTACTCCCACATGTCTGCCCCACCAAACGTCGGTGCCGGAAGAGGAGCGGCTCGGGCTGCCGTCGCCGCGAGCAACGGGAATGCGAGCACAGAGATTTTCATGTTGATGGAGGTTTCGCTATTGCTCCTGTGGGAAGGGGGGCAGCGTAGAGGCGTGATGGGAGAAGACGACGAGCTGGGGAGGACATGAGAGTTGTGGCGCAGGCGTCGACCCCCGGAAAATCCATCGCGTGACGGAAAGTACCGTGCGCTGCCGGGCGTGCGCTGCGCAACGGCGTCGCTCTGAAGACGATCGTACATCTTAACCAAACCTGGGCGAGTGGTCTGGGGCCGATCGGCGTGTACGCGATGCTATACCCATTGAACGAGTTTGATATTTGCCCCTGTACGATTATCTACGATTATCTACGATTATCTACGATTATCTACGCTTATCAATGCTCAACGACACAAGGCTACTAGATCACTGAGTTGGCCCTCGAGTCAGGATTTCAGGACGCCTCGACGTACAGTCAAGTGAGGGCGATCTCACGGACGAGTCCCGGATTCAAGATGGGTGGAGTAAAATGCACAAAACGACTTTACAGACTAATTGAGCTAATATGATTGAGTAAGAAACCGAACGAAACGGTATCCAATAGTATGGGATTAGGATGAGAGCCACTGCCGGCGGAATGTGACGGTCTGGCGCGCAAGCTTGTTCGGCGCAAACACTGCCCGACTGACTGCAATAGCCAGGTCCAAGTGCCAGAGGCTGTACATTGACACTCCGAGTTACTAGTAATCTCATCAATGTTCAGGTCAGTCCTATTTCGATATCTGCAGAAGGCCAGCCATGACTCAACTCACCGAGCTTACGACCGCCGTGCTATTCAGATCCTTGGGGATGAGACCCGAGCCCGAAGGCGATACTCGTCGTGTCACGTTAAATATCGAAGGATCTTTCACATGATCCCGAGGTTCCGGTGATGGACTGCAGGTGAAGCGAGCACAAGGCTAGACGTGAGCGCCAGGGCTGAAGCGGGGAAAGCACGCCTGTATGTTGCGCAAGTGACAGTCATTCGGACTTACGCGTCCACTTCGACCTCCGCGTCTTCTGCTCGTTTCACGAACGAGCGAAGCGCATTCACATAGTCGCTGCCTAACTTTGCGGATCCTCCCGCCAAGAAGGGGCTAATCATCGACAAAATCGATTAGCTTGTTGTAACGACCGAAGGTCGGAACCGCCAAAACAAGCTCACCATGTCCTTTTGACCGATTCCGGGGACTCCTCACGTTTCTTGATGATCGAACCGAGTGACTTGAGGGAGTTGGAACCCGAGCCTAGGCCGGAAGAGCTCGATCTTGCCAAAAAGGGGCTTCACGGTGGTCAAGAAAGGGGTTCAGCCCAAAGTTCTCGAATATGCGTTGCTCAAGCCGACTCACCAAGCCCTTTTATACTTGACGGAAGGGTCTCGTTTCACGAACGAGCGGAGCGCATTCACAGAGTCGCTGCCTAAAGTCGCGGATCCTCCCGCCAGGAAAGGGCTGCGACAAACTCGATTAGCTTGTTGTAACGACCGAAGGTCCGAGCTGCCAAAACAAGCTCACCAAGACCTTTTGACCGATTCGGGGGACTCCTCACGTTTCTTAATGGTCGAACTGAGTGACTTGAGGGAGTTGGAACCCGAGGCTAGGCCGGAAGACCCCGATCCTGCCAAAAAGGGGCTTCACGGTCGCCAAGAAAGTGGTTCAGAGCAAACATCACGAATTTGCGTTCCTCAAGCCGACTCACCAAGCCCTTTCGTACTTGATGGAAGGGTCTCGTTTCAGGACCGAGCCGAGAACCTAAAGTGGAGACATGGTTAATGAAATGTGGCTTCAGTGCTTCTTTCTTGGGACAACTCTGACGGCGCTCAGTTCCGCTCCCCGAACCTACACTAGTCGCTCCACTGGAGGTGGAGGAGGAGGCCGAAGCACCTTTATTCAGAGCCGACATTCCTGATGAAAGTACACTTTGTAATATTAGGGGGAAAGCAGCAAATAAGGGGGAGGGGGGTCAGATTTGGGTCCGTGCTACTCTTGTCAACACGGCGCTGGGCAACGGTGGTCCCAAACTCCACGGACTTACGAGACGAGTTTTGTAGCGACGGAGAAGCCGGGCTGAAGGCGGAGAGCAAGTATGAGCAATTCTGAGGGTCTACGTATCAACATCAAATCAATTCGAGCCTCGTACCTTCCCAGGCATGAATTGTCTGCTTCGGTGAGCGAGTGACAGCGAACACAAAGTCAGCGGACCGTGCGCGCAGGCAGGAGGACGGAAAGGACGATTTATGAAACTTGCTTGAGGATGCCCGTGAATTCGGACTACCGCGCAACGTAAAGGGAGTACGGCAGGCGTCAGTTCCTGTGTTCAACGGATACCTCTCCACCCACGTGCTCACCGGGATCCCAAACATCGGCGCAGGAACCGGGACCGAATGCGTGGTGCCTGCGGCCACCACCACCACGATCAAAAGCGAGAGCTTCATGCTGTGAGAAAGGAACAGGGCTGGTTGTATGACTTGTTAAAATCCAATGCCGCAGAAGGGAAGCAAACAGGAGAGAGGCGGAAGGGGAGAAAGGCGCGAAGAATGGAGGCCGAGGAACGTTCCTCGCACAGCCCGGCATCCTGAGAAGGACGCACGGTGACGGCGCTAACAAGGAACAACGGACGTCCCCTCTTGGCGTTCAGCATGGGTATGTGGGAAAGATGACGATGGGAAATTCCCATAGCCTAGATCGAAACTTCGTGCGACGGTTGCGAAATATCCAAGCACCTCCTTCCCCTGGGCCAGAATTTCCACCTCGCCGGACGGCTAGGAGGCTTACCGCAAGCATCCGCGGGGCAAGAGTCGCCGCTGCTGAAACGTTCGCCAGAGTCCGGATGCACCGCACTAATGCAAGCCTTTCGGGTTCTTGACAAAATGCTCATCGCATGAACTGTCGATCATACCGCGGGTTCAAATGACGACGAGCAATGTGCATTGCGAAACTGCAAGGAGTAAATGCAGAGGAAAGAGGGGGAGGACAGCACTGTCGACAAGAATAGGTGAAATCATAGTCTGCCCCTGGGCGTCGTTGATCAAAGTAAAAGGTATACGCCGAAAAAGAAATAAGAAGGGGATCCGTTTATTCATGATAAAATGGAGTGTCTATGTGCCGTCAGAGAAATGCGTCTATGAAAGAATCGGATCTACTTCCTCAACTCGTTCCTCACGCCATCACGATCCCTCGTATCGTAATCATCTCCTTCGTCATCGACAATTCCTCTTCGGTTCGTCAACTCCATCGCGACGTTGTTGGCCTTGCTCGCCAAATTCGTCGCTGAAGTCTTGGCCGTGTCCTCCTGACCCACCGTCGTAGCCTCGACATGTTCCTCGTGGCCCGGGTCAACGAAAGGGACCATGATGATCTTGGTCGGATCAGGAGGAGGTGGCGAAGGGTCCCCATTATCGCCAGGTCCGTAGATCTTCAATTCAGCCATGGCCATCTTCATCGCGCACAAGAACTTGTTTCTTCTCTGCGCCTTCAACGCCCCGTTCTGCCAATTGCCACGGTAGTTTATATCGGTCGTGAGGGTCAGCTTGCCCTGTTCCTCGAAATCTTTGATCATGATGTCGACCTTGGGGAGGAAATCGCGACGTTCGGCTTCGACGAAGGCGAGCATGCGAGCGCGCAATTGCTCAATCTTTTCGAAAGGGGTCTCGAACGCGACATCCCAGACGAAGGGCTCGCTAATCGCCCCGCTGCGACGGATGTTGAGGATGAACTTGGTGTTGATGAGCGAGTGAGGCGCTTGCGTGACGGTACCATTAGTGTTGCGGAACACGGTCGACAAGAGGTGCATCTCCAACACGACGTAAGGGACGCCATCAATGTCGACGCGATCTCCGACGTCGTAAGGGTGCTTGACGAACAACAGGATGATGGAAGCGAGGATCTCTTGCGCAGTCGTGCCGATCAGCCAACTGAGACCCAAGACAAGCGTACCCGCGCTCGCGATCATGGTGTTGAAGCTCGCGTTGAGCAGACCGGCGAGGATGAGGATCGAGACGACGTACCACAGCGACATGACGATGCTGTCGAGGCGACCGACGGCCGAGTCGATGTCGCGCATTGAGCGGGACAAGGACAAACGTTCACGGTGGATGTCCAGGACGGCCATCTCGATCTCGTCACGCGTCGCGTCGCCGTTCCCGTCGCGATCAAAGATCGAGAATGCGCGCTCAGCTTGCTCGCGATTCTGGAAGCAGCGCGACACGTCCTCGATCAAGAGCGAGTCACGGTACGAGGGGCAAAACGAGTAGTAGATTCGGCGTGCGAGTTGCTTGCTCTTATTCGCCGAGCCCAGCGACGAGAGGACCATCGACTGCGCCGACGTTGGTTTGAGGACCTGTTCGCCCGCAATCTCTGACGCTACGGTACCGATGACCGTCGTCGCCGTCTGCGCGACCTTCTTGACCCCTCGCAGCGCGTGTTTGACCAACAGTGTCGGATCGCTGTGCTGTCGACGGTTCCGAGGACGTCCAGAACCCGAGAATCCGCCGTCGAGAGTGTCCGATCGACCAAGGTCGCGCGTATTGAGGTACAGAGCGACGAGGGCCGAAATTTGGAATTTCTGCTCGAGGATGCGGTCCTCGTACGATTTCTTGTGGAAGCTGTGGGCGATGATCTGAATGAGAAGCTTCTCGATGAGGAGGATGATGGAGACGATGAAGATGCCAAAGAGGCCCTTGGTCAACAGGATGAGGGTCGAGTCCGAATTCGAGCTCCTGGCATGGAGGCGGATCAGGGGCAAGAACGAGACCCAGTTGGCTGCATTCAGGCGCGTGTCGCATCAGTACGCCCATCCCGGGTATGGAAGCGCGCATGCAGTGGCAGAACTCACCCATTGCCCAGAGCGCGGTACCGACGTAGAACTTGATCGCTTTCAGATAGGTAACGAGGTGCAACATTTCCGGGGCAATGACACCGACCGTGTGACGGAAGAAGTGGGGCAAAATCCTGGCGGCTACGGGAGGCGAGGAATCGGTCAGTGTGACGGAAACACCATCACACAGGAAAGTAGCAACGACTCACTCAATGCGGCTCCCCACCATCCGCACCAAGCGATCGAAAGCCAAGCCGACCACCACAGGAGCGGCACTTCCCAGATTGTCGCGTTCGGAGCGACGGTCAAGCCCACAATACCCGGGATCCCTGCGCGAATTCCAAGAAAACAACTTAGTTTCCCACGTCAGGCGCTCGAGTCTAATTTGGTTCATACGCACAGATGAGGGCCAGAAGCGGGATGATGTAGATGATCCAACGGACGAGGAAGCTCGAGTCATAGATGGCGAACACGGTGCGCGTAAACGCGTTCGAAGGGGGTTTGATGAAATCGCCTGTGTGATCGATCCACCCATCCGAGTCAGCACAACCAGAGTCTCTCGGCTCCGTATCATAGCCGCCATCGAGCTCCGACTGACCTTCGGCGTAAACGAGGTTCTGAGTGGAGCTCGCCGCGCTCTGCACATTGCTCCCATTACCCGCTCCCAAGTGTCCATAAGGACTCGCGCCCAATCCAGCCGGTCCACTCCAATTACCCAAACCGGAATTGGGTCCACCGGCCGAACGTTCCTGGGATCGGTTCCTCGGCGAACGGTAGCCGCTCATCTTTTCCGAAGGCAAACCATACCTCCTGTCGGCTTTTTCACCTTCTCCTCGATCACTTTGCGTTGACGAGACGGTCGAATCGACGGCTCGCATCGTCACTGAAGCTCCTGGGTGAATGGGGGTTGTCGATCCTTTGGTGTACTGCGCTTGCGAGGTCGAGGCGTGGGCAGCGGCGTGGTGGTTCGGAGAACGGGAGTCGCTCCTGTCGGTGGAGTACATGGCGTAGTCGCGAGCGAGGAACTCGTCCTGTGCCCTCCCCATATCCCCTACGAGGGTCTCCCTAGCCGAAAGGGGGTCGTTGGACGCGAGGGGGGAACTCTCGTGCGTGGCGCCCTGGTTACCCATGGTCGACGTCGGGGGCAAGTAAGGTTGGTCCCTCAGCGACACGCCGTGTGACGTGTGGTGAGGGTACGCCGACAGCTCGTATTCCGGTGCGGCGACGCTCGACGACGTGGATGATTGGGCCAAGTGACCTCGACCGCGGTATTGGGGGTCCGAGTGTTCGCCATGTTCGCGCGTCGAACTGGACGAGCGAGGTGGGTTCGCGTACGACATCTCGCTCGGCTGCACTGGCAAAGGCGGGGGGGGGGGGGGGGCGGCGCCGTGAACGGGGCACGGCAAACAGCTGCCGTCGCGTGTCCGACCTTCACGAACGGCAGGCGAATCTAGTGTCCTGGGGAGGTAGCGATGTAGACCAAGTTCAAGCGAATGAACCCAAGTCAACGACTCCAAGAAAAGAGTCGCAAGTCAGCCTGGCGGTGGTTCGAAGAAGAAGGGGAGCCGAAGGGAAGGGCAGAAAGAAAGGGCCCGAACTTCGAACTTCTGCGAAGCCGCTCAAAACGGCCCGGCGCTGGCTGGCGCGGGGCTACGTCGGGGAGAGAGGCGATGACGCTCACACGAGCACGCGCGCGTCGGGACTAAAATGAACGGAAAATGAACGCGTGTCCCGTGGCTCAGGCTCATCAACGCGCGCTAAAACAGCCCGCGTCGGCCGCCAACGGACGTGGTGCGGTGCGGTGCGGTGCAAAAGAAAGGCCGAAATCGATCCGATGCGGATCGATGTCCGAACGAACCGCCGATTCGGGCAAATTCTTCCTCAGCTCTTGTTCGGACAGGGGCTGTAGACCTACTTCCATCATCCCCTTCAAATGTCGTAGTGTTGAACCTCAAGGATGAAGTCCTTTTCTCTGCAGTTCCCTTTTTGGATGGAAACCACGTCATGTCACGTCATGTCACTCGAACTGAGACTCGGAACCTCCACTCCGCAGCGCTACCGTGTAGAGCCGCAGCGTTGGCGTCATGATGCACGAGCCGCGGTCAACGTGCGTCCTCAAGGAATTTCCGTCTCGCCCGCTCTCGTCGACATCACTAATACTGTGGATCATGGTTTGTATGACATCGACCTCCAACACAGATGCAGTGGATTCGCCGTGAATATTTATACGGAGCTACGCAGCGTTCGGACCCCCTATTCTTTCATGCCCCCGTGCCCGCTCCCCTCCTCCCCAGCCCCTCGACCCAGCGCTTCAATAGAAAGCCCACCCTCTCCTCCTTCCTCTTTCCCCCTAAAACCTCCTCTTCAACCACGCCTCCCGTCAACTGCACAAGTTCCAAAACACCTCCACCTCCTCGTCCTTCTTCCAAAGGCCTGAACCTCATCCTCCAAACCGGCCATTCCTGCTCAGGGATCTTCCCATTGACTTTGAACTCTTCTTCGGCTGCTTGGTTGTTCTCGTCGGATGAAAGGGTGGAAATGATGAATTGGATGAGATCGAACGCTGATGTGAGGGAGGTCGTTGGGGACCAGGCGTGGGGTTTGTTTCGGACTCTGCAAAGGTGACACGCGAGCTAATCAGCATACATCGGTCGAGGCCTGGTGTCACACCGATTCGAGGAGGTATAAAATATTACGCGACGTGCAATCGAGGTATCTCGAGTGTCTTGAAGGACTGCAGAGCCGACAGATGGCCGGTACGGGTGCGGAAACCTACGATGATGGTTGGGACGCCGAGGAGGACTGTGTTCGAGAAAAACGGTATCAGCGAGTCAGGTCCGTGGGACATGGGAAGCCTGTCAAACGAGACCTTTAGGACTCACATGATTGGGTATAATGCTTGAGGAGTTTTTGCCTGTTGACGATCGAAGGGACGAAGCTCATCAGCACTTGCTGACCCATGCAACAACCAACATCCCCCTATTCACCTCTCGAACATCATCTCATCCCTCTGACTCGAAATGACTATATTCGTTTTGAGTTCGACAAAATCGTCCGTCCTTATGGAATCGGCTTCCGTCCACCCCGCACGAAGACAATCGACTTCCCCACCAAGGAACATCCTAAACCCTCCCAAATTGGTCTTGACGATCGAACACCATTGCACATTCGTGTTCGGGGGTTCGAAAGTGGGGTTCGTGTAAGAAGAGGTAGATTGGGGTGATCGGGTTGAGAAGGCTTCGAAGGAGTAGCCGTAGTAGGATTGTCGGAGGTAAGACTTTTCCGAAGCGGCTTTGGCCTCGAGCCGGGCGGGCGTTTTCGATTCTTCGAGATAGAGAGTATTCTGGTGCACCCGACAATGTTGACCAAGATTAGTTGAATTACAAGTCCAATCGCTCTCCTGATGACGCATGCCCGAACCCACGCCCAATAGCATGAGGTTCATCTCCCATCCTTCGGCTCGTGTCCTTCTTGAATTGGCAGCGTCGTTGTGTGCCGCTTCGACCTCGTACACGGCGAGCAATAGTTTGGTGATCATCCCCCTCCAAGTGATGATGTTGACCTTGTCGAGCATCTCCCCCGCTGCTCCTGTCGGATCGGACTCGACGTAGTGTTGGAGTCTGCACGTGGAGCTGCAAGTCAGTCAAAAAATTCCACCTCCAGGCCCTAGCCCCGAAGAAAAAGACTTGCGTGTCCAACAAGGCATCGAGCCCTTCATCCCCTGAATCATCCCTCCAGACGGCCTGCTCAAAGCCCGTATTTAAATCAGTGCCTATCCTAGGAGGAGTGTACACCGCCAGGGAAGCATCTCGGTCTTGAGGGGTCAGCAAGAGTTGACGAGTGGGGGAGTAGGAAAAGGAGGTGAGATGCAGCGGTTGTTGGAAGGCGATGGGCCTGGTGGGAGGGGCGGAGAGGGGGTGGAGGGGTGGAGGTATGGGCCGGTAGTAGGGCTTGTTGGGTTTGGAAAGTGGGGGCGTGGTGAGAGCTGACAATGGGCCAGGAGCGGGAGCGGGAGCAGGAGATAGAACACGCGGTGCCGACGGTGCTTGGTCGAACGAGTTGGCTCGCCGTCGTTTCAGTGGTCGCTCGGCGTGGAAAAGCGGTATCGTTGGGGAGGGAGACATCGTGTTACACCACAGAAGCAAGCACTTGTGGCTGCGAACGAATGAGAGGTCAGGAGGAGCGGGCGTGCCGGGCGTGCGCAAGGTGGGGGGAGCTAGGCCCGAATTACCCGATTAGGAATGAGTTCATTAGGGTTTCAGCTCTGATGACGCAAGCCGAGGCGCTTCTTCGCAGCCCACTCGACTTGCGCCCGCGCCACTTGCCCCTCCGCTCCGGTGCCCACCCTGCACTGCTTGGACCTCCTCTCAAAGATGGCGACGGTCGATGTGCACCAACAGCCCTCGCGCATCACGATCCAACGTGCTCGTACCACCGGCCCGTCCTCGTCCTCGTCGCAGTCGCAATCGTTCTGGCGCAAGACCGCGCGAGGTCAACTACAACGCGTCGTACACCAACACTACCTCCGGCCGTTGTCCTCCTTCCCTCCGCTCCCTTCCTCGATCCCCAACTGGGTCGTGCTCGACACCAACGTCGTCCTGCACCAGTTCGACCTCGTCTCCTCCCCCCAATTCCCCGCGATCCTCCTCGTCGCTCAAACCGTGCTCGATGAAGTCAGGCATCGTTCCCTGCCTCTCTGGAATCGGTTGAGGGCTTTGTGCGACGAGAACGCTACCAAAGCGAATACGTCGGCCGAGCAAGTCAAGAGGGCTTATACGGTATGGAACGAGGCCAGCGAGGAACTCTTTCTCGAGACGAATGGTGCCGAGTCGCCGAATGATCGCAATGATAGGGGTCAGTCCAGAAAGTAGTCGGGCCACTCCTGTGTCTCTCATCTGATCGGATTCATCCCGCAGCCATCCGTCATTTGGCAAGCTACTACGCGGCGCATTTGGGCACTCCACTCTCGGCCTCGGACGAACCCTCGTCATCGAAGCGACAAAAGACCACCACCACAGCCTCAGCCAAATCATGCGTAATCCTCTTGACCGACGACGAAGGCAACAAACAACAAGCCCAAGCGCAGAAGATTCCGACCATGACCGTCCGGGAATACGTCCATGCCCAACCTCAGCAGGTCCAGGATGAACTGCTCGATCTCCTCGCTCAAGCGGGCATCGATTCCCATCGCTCCGCTGGCGGTCACAAGGGGAGGGCATTGTATCCCGAGGTGAGCGACGAAGACGATTAAGCCGAACTTGTATTCATCCCGAGACTCAAGTTTCTGCGTCGTCGTCTGCCCACAGTACCTCTTGCCTTCGGTCCTTCAAGCCGGCGTCAAGGCCGGCAAATTGTTCCAGGGCCATTTCAATCCCAACCCGTACAATTACAAAGAGGTGCGTCCGAGGTGAGCGGTCTATCCGGAAAGTCGCTTACCAGGACCATTCTCCTCCCGCGCACAGGCCACGGTCGCATGCCACGGTCGTACGAAACCGATCCTCCTCGTCGGCCTCGAGAGCATGAACCGGTCCGTCGCCGGCGATGTCATCGTCGTCGAACTCTTGCCCGAATCGCAATGGCAAGGCGCGGCCGTCGATGTCGTCGATGCCGATACCGTAGCCAAAAACGACGATCCAGATGCTGAATCGGCCGATGGATCCGATGAAGAGATCGATGGTCAGAGTGATGATGACGAGGACTCGACGAAACCTGTGGCGAGAAAGGACGTGCAACCGACCGGTCGTGTCGTCGGGGTCATGAAGCGCAACTGGAGGACCTACGTCTGCCACCTTGATCGATCATCCCTACCTCCCGCAGCTCTAACCTCGACGACTTCGACCCCGATCTTTGCCTCCCCCGTCTCGCGCTCGATCCCTCGCATTCGTATCCTAACGCGCCAAGCCGCGCTCTTGTCGACGCAAAAGTTCCTCGTCTCGATCGATCGATGGCCCACGACGTCCAAGTACCCCGAAGGGCATTTCGTCCGTACGTTGGGTCAAGTTGGGAGTAAGGAGGGTGAACTGGAGTCGTTGTTGGAAGAATGGGAAGTGCCTTATCGACCTTTTTCGAACGCGATCTTGAGTTGTCTTCCTGAAGAAGGGGACAGTTGGGTCGTTCCGCCCAAGGATGACGACCCCAAGGGGATCTGGCAAGGTCGAGTCGATATGAGGGACGAAATCGTCTGCTCGATCGATCCGCCTGGATGCCAGGACATTGACGACGCCTTGCATGCCAAACGTTTACCGAACGGCAACATCGAAGCTGGTGTACATATCGCCGATGTCTCGCATTTCGTCCATCCCGATAACCCCATGGACGCCGAAGCCGCATCAAGAGGAACAACAGTCTACCTCGTTGATAAACGAGTCGACATGTTGCCTGCTCTCCTAGGGACGAACCTGTGTTCGCTTCGACCGTATGTTGAGAGGTTGGCGTTTTCGGTCATATGGGAGATTGACGACGAGGCGAATTTGGTCGATGTGAGGTTCACAAAGACTGTGATTGCTTCGAAGGAGGCGTTCACGTACGAGGCGGCGCAAAAGAGGAAGGATAACAAGTACGTTCCATTGTCGAAGCAGTTGGCTTGAGATTGGAGGCAATAACATGACAATCGACCCCTCCAGATCCCTCAACGACCCTCTTACGAATGGCATCCGACTTCTCAACTCGATCGCCATCAAGTTGCGCGCCAAACGCTTCGAAGCCGGCGCCTTGAACCTCGCTTCCCCCGAAGTCAAGATTCACATGGAATCCGCCGAGTCGTCCGAACCGATCGACGTCGAACAGAAGGAGATGTACGAGACGAATTCGTTGGTCGAGGAGTTCATGTTGTTGGCCAATATCTCCGTCGCGAGGAGGATTTATGAACAGTTCCCTCAGACTGCGGTGCTGAGGTGCGTCCCGAGCCTTGTTCGATGCAGACGGTGGAGTTTGGAATTGATGGGAAATGTGTTCTTTGGAATCACGCAGGCGGCACGCTCCACCGCCAAAGACAAACTTTGAGGTCCTGCAGGACGTCCTGGCGAAACGAAGGGGGATGAGTCTCGACGCGTCCAGTTCAGGTGCCCTTGCGAAATCGCTCGACGAATGCGTCGTAAGTTCGCCCCCCACCACGCTTCGCCAAAACGCACGAACTGATCCCCTGGAGTTGGACCCTACTCAGGACCCGGAATTACCGGCGTTCAACACCCTCGTCCGCATCATGGCGACGCGCTGCATGCTCTCCGCCGAATACTTCTGTTCCGGATCGCTGGCGCGGTCCGAGTTCAGTCACTACGGACTCGCCTCCCCGATCTACACGCATTTCACTTCGCCTATCCGTCGCTACGCCGACGTCTTGGTCCATCGACAATTATCCGCCGCTTGTTCTTCCACTCCCTTACACGCGGGTTTACAGACCAAAGCATTCGTGGAGAAGACGCTGGGCGTGGTGAACAAACGACATCGAGGGGCTCAACAAGCCGCGAGGGCGAGTATCGAGTTTTATGTCGCGTTGGCGATTGAGGGGAGGGAGACTGCTAGAGTCGGGCAGGGCTTGGGTAAGGTGAGGGCCGAGGCGTTTGTGATTAGGACGTTTAGGAATGGGGTGGCTGTGTTTGTTTCGCAGTGAGTTTCTTGGGGGCGGTGTCGATTGGTTTGATTGTGGTTGTGCGGTGGATTGACGAGGTTTTTTTGGTCGTGGTTCTTAGATTCGGTCTAGAAGGCCTCGTCACCTTCAAAAGGGAGAACGATTACGATGCCGAAAAGTACGAGATCTCGATCCCGACGTCCAAAGATGGACAGGACAAGGTGACGATTGGGGTTTTCGATAAAGTGACGGTCGAGATTTCGGTGGAGAAGGATAAGAATACGCAGAGGGGCAAGGTGAGGATGGAGTTGGTCGAACCGGTCGATTCGAGGGGGATGTAGGATAGGAGGAGGTGATTTTGTGGAATGAATTTTGTTCTTATTTTGATTCGAGGAGGGAAGATCTGCGTACCTCCGAGAGCATGCGATGGCTGGCTCAGACCGAGTACCTGGCTCGCCCTTGCTCGCCGCCCCGCGCCTCTCTCTGGCTCCCTTCCCCCACTTCGCCGCAATCGGGGCTCCTCGTCATCGCTCTCACTCGGTCAATCCACAACCAGCCATGTCCCCGCTCATTCGCACCGCCTCACACGCAGGGTCATGGTACACCAACTCGAGCAAGTAGTCCTAGACTGACTTCCTCCCATGCCTTAGGAACTGCACGCTGACCCCATCCCACTCGTCCGTTGCGGCGGACAGGCTCCAAGCTCGATCGTCAATTGAATGAATGGCTGCAAGCTGTAGGCCCTGACAACTCGAAAGAGCCCAATACGCCCACTGGCTATCCGATCGAAGGGTGTAAAGCCGTCATTGCGCCGTAAGTGACTTCGACGGCATCGCTCTGAAGAGTAGAGCAGGCGCCGGCTGACGTGATTGCGTGTGGGGTGGGGGACCTGGCGTCGTCGTTTTGGCCTGACACAACAGACACGCGGGGTATGCGTATTCAGGTCCCGCAGCGGCATGGGCTTATCGCTGCATTGACGCACAACACATGTGAGGGAATGCCCCACGTTCCACGAGGAACAACAAACACGCTGATGCTCGACTTATCACGGGTCTCGGCATCCTCGGACGTGACTCTCACTTAGTAAACGAATCTTCATCCTCGGCCCGTCGCACCACGTCGCTTTACCCGGGTGCGCACTCTCGCAGTGCGATGAATATGCTACGCCTTTGGGGCCATTGAAGTTGGATAAGAAGAGTGGGTGCTTGGGTTCAGAATTATTCGCGCTTCGCGCTGCGAGGCTGACCAATCACACTTCATGGCACTTTTTTGAACCCCTGAAGCGATCGCCGAGCTCGCGGCGACGGGCAAGTTTGAATGGATGGATCAACAGACCGATGAGGATGAACATAGGTGGGTCTCATTGGGCGTTCGTTATTAGGCTCAAGCCGACGAGCTGACGCCTCACGTCGTCTCGGATCCTAGCATCGAGATGCACCTCCCGTAAGCAGCGCTCCCTTCTTTGCGCTCCGAGAGAATGCTCAACCTCCTAATTCCCACGGCTGCGGATAGCTACGTTCGCAAGATACTTGAAGGGTGAGCCGCCTACAGGACTCTAATGACTATTTCTACCTCTACCTCACCTAACCGATCCTTCTCCCCCCTCTCCAGTCGATCCGACATCACGCTAATCCCGATCCTCGTCGGTTCACTCTCCTTCACCTCCGAGAAAACCTACGGTACTCTACTGGAACCTTACCTCCGTTCCGCGGACACCTTGTTCGTCATCTCTTCCGATTTTTGTCATTGGGGAACGAGGTTCGGTTACACCTACTTCATACCCCGCCATGATCTCGGAGTAGGTGAGGGTCATGCCCTGAGTAGAGGATCCAGTCTCGGCACGGGGGAAGGGTGTTGTTCGATCGATCAGTCGATCGAGAGATTGGATAGGGAGGGGATGAGAATCATTACCTTCGACCAAAACGGGGAGGAGGAAGGAGGACGAACTCCTCGTTCTGCGCATGAGGAGTTCAATGCCTATCTCAAGCAGACGAGGAATACGATCTGTGGGAGACATCCGATTGGGGTTTTGTTAGGGGCCATGACTAGGTGGGCTGAGAGGGAGGTGGAAGCGGAGGAGGGCTCGGAGGGGGTTGGAGGAGGGTGTCGTTTGGTTTGGACAAGGTACGAGCAGAGTGAACGGGTTAAGGATCTCAGAGGGAGTAGTGTTAGTTATGCGAGTGCTTTTGTTGGGCTTTCCGAGTGAGTGCCAAGGGGGGAAGGGGAAGGTGTTTCGTCGGTATGCGCGCTTGTTCTCTCGATTGTTTTCATACACGTGTAGATATTAAATTCAGTAGATTTTCCTGTTCTCTTTCTCTTCGTCCACTTCAATACACAGCCACACAGCCTCTCCTCCTCTTCCCCTCCCGCCACGAGACCTCCTAGTAAACATAAGGGATGATCCTCCACTTCACAATCCCTTTATACGTCTCCCAATCCTTCTTATACTTGTGCGCGCACGCCTCATCGTCCCTCATACCCCGATGAATTAATAGGATCGCGAAGAAGATGACGTAGTAATAGGGTACGGGGCTGGAGAATCCGGTGGGGAGGGACCAGGCCCAGGACATGAACCAGTCGCCCATACTGTGGGAGGGGAGGAGTGGGTGGGTTAGTTGATGGGAGGCGTGAGAGGGTGTGTGTGACGTACTAGTTGGGGTGACGCGATAGGCCCCACCATCCGGAGGTGAGAAGTTTGGTCCCTCTTTCGGTTTGCAGGAATTTGAGGTCTGGTGCACAGACCACGACAGACCGCATGGCATCAGTCTTTTGCACGAAGGACCCCACCGGGCTTGTACACTCACTCTTGGGATTGTTCCCCTTCCTGAACTCGTTCTTCTCGCTATTCGAACTCCTAAAGATCCAATATCCCAAAAACTGCAGCGCGATGATGAGTACCGTCTTGACCGGACCCAAGTCGTTGGGATGAAGGGCGAGGTAGCGGGCCGAGGTGGAGTAGGTGAAAGGGACCCAAAGGAGGTCGCCAACGGAGAGCATGAAGCCGAAGCCGTCGGTCGTGATGTCCTGTTCGAGAGCAGACCGGATACAATTCAGTCGCGAGAAGGTATGCGATTGGGACCAGACCACCTCTGCCTACTGACCATGGTCGTCAAAATAGCCGCCTGTCCACGAAGGTAGTACCACCCCAAGTTAGTCTTGCACACCGTTCTCCTCAGACTCAGACCAAACGCCGGAACTGACCTCATTGTAAAGCGCATCAAAGACATACCACGAATGGAACGCAACGACGAGCAAGATGCTATCGGTGACCCTCCCGATCGTGTGGTACTGGTACGCGATCATGGCGAGGTCGATGATGATCCACAGGATCATGCCGGGGCGGAGCTCGTTGAAGGACTTGATGTCGAAGGAACCGATGCGGGGGTTGAGGCCTCGGCCGATGAACCACTGAGAGGGGAGAATAGTATTTGTCAGACTTTGGTCCGTAACTCAACGCGGAGGTTACGAAATGCTACTGACGTTGTAAAGCCCACTGTCGGTGTTGCCGCCGAGGGCGAGCATGGGTTGTTGGAGGTATCCTCGGGGAGCGCCGAGCGTCTCGGAGACTTCCTTTTGGTGCGATTGCACGTGGACGAAGAGGGCCTGGGAGGGAAAGGGCAAAGCATCAGTGTGGTATCCTGTTGCTGACCCAACACGCACAGCTGGTCTTGGCTCTCACCTGCGCGACGCTCATGAGGATGGCGGCCGAAATGAGCTGAACGTAGTTCTCGACGATGAAGAGCAAGGGCTTGAGGCCCTGGGTGTAGGTGACCGTCGCAATCAGGACAAGGGTGAGGACCATCGTAGCGAACGCTGGTGGGGATCATCATGCGGAGTTCAGTCGCCCATTACCCGCCCCAGCAAAGCGGGTCACGTACCGTTCATGGTATAAGTCAGACGCGAGCCATCCCTCAACTCGACACCTTGCACCTGATCTCCGGGGAGGACGGCCCAACAGACGACGGTCCAGAGGTACCACAGCGCGTACGCGATCGAGGCCTCCTTGGAGAAAAGGTCGCGGTAGAAGTGCAAGGTCGTCATCCGTTGGAAACGTTGGCCGTGGAAGTCGAGGAAGTGGGACATCGGCCACGGCGGACATTGCTGAGCCGTGCACGCGAGCGTGAGCCCTGTTGGATGTGCGCAGCGTGGGCTCAACGGGGTGTGAGTTGGGGGATGTGGGACGGACCCGTGTTGGGGATCTCAGAGTACACTGCATACTGACAATAGGCGAAAAAGGGTACGGCGACGGTGACGCCCAACGCGCCGATCGGGCCGCCAAACTCGTACGAGGTCGATCGTGGAGCGGGCTCATACCCGGTCGCAGAAGAGGATGCGGACGACTGCGGCTTGGGGGACGAAGTGGCAGCGGCCTTGTTGGGCGTACTGGCCGCCGAGGATGATCGTGTGGCCACCATGCTGTGCTAGGGTCGGTGAGGGGCACACAAGCAATAGCGCGCACGCGACCACACAACACCGAAGCGCGCTGCTCTGCGCTGCTCTGCGCTGCTCTGCTCCAGTCCGCTCCCGGCAGCTCCTCTCAGCTCATGCTACTCTATAGCTACTGGCCTCCTGCTCTGGCCTGCTTGCGTATAGGCTTGGGGGTCGTCTCGGATCGTCGCGCGCCCGAGCAGTTTTCCGAGTATCGCGCCCGGCACCAGCGTGGAGCGAGCGCTGGATATATGCATTTTGTGTTCCGGCAATAGCGGTCCGGTGGTGTTCAGATCGATTTTAAGAAATAAAATAAAAGTCTTGATAGGTTTTCACCATTGATTCCGCTCGGTTGGCCAAGTCACTTGCTTGCGTCGCATCCTCAGCCACTGCTCAGCCGTCTCCTCGCCAGGCGCCAGGCGCCAGTCCCCGCCCCGTGCTCAAGCTCAAGCTCAGCCTGCGCTGTCTACGATCCACAATCCAATCCAGCCTCGAAGCACACGCTTACACGCTTACGGACGGGGATGCTCCCACGGCGGACGCTCTTTGAAGCCAAGGCATGGGCCGTATCACCGTCCCTCTTGGCTGCTCTGAGCTCGTGCTGCTGTACCGGGCGTGCGACGACGGAGGTCCGCTCGAGCGGCCGTCCTCAACGATGGACGAGCAGCCGTAGCTCATCCTCCAAGGCCAACCCAGCAGCGACACCAGCCACTCCGAGTCGAGACTCGAGCTCTCTCGGCTCTTCCTGTCATAGCGGAAGCCGACCAGCAACGTCTACGTCGGCCGTGTTGGCGACGTTCGCTACCTCGAGCGAGACGGCGAATGGACTCACACCACCGGACTGGACCTCGTCGCCGACCAACGACCCCAGCTCTTGGGATAACTTGAGCCCGCGTCCGATACTGGCACCAGGTCGGTCGTCGTTCAAGTTGACGGCCTGCGTAGCTCTCACTCACCATCGCTCTGGCTTCTTTTCTCTCCTCTCCAGCCGCTCGTCGGGTCGAAGAGGTCTCAGCTTCTCCACCACGTCCCCCAAAGAGCGAGGCATCGTCCTCAAACCACCCCAATCTCGACGATCAAGTTTCACGGTTCGAACCACTACAAGCCACTGCAGCGCTGCTCGAGCACATCCGACGGCATCGTCGATCTGAGCGCGAGCTGCCTTCGACGTTGCCCATCCTCGAGTACACCACCTCCAGCTCTGATCTGAACCCGTCTCCCGAGTCGCATGCCCACAATCACTCCGAGGGGAGGAGTGCACCGATTCCACCCCCTCCGATCGCCTACCTCCCCCACTCGAGCACCGACCACTCGAACCTTCTCGCCGCGTTCCTACTCCAGGCCATCTTCCTCGGTGCGAGCGCGGTCGGCTTACTCCTGCGAAAGAAGAGCACCGTACAGCAGGTCGATGACAGCATCAAGTCCACACCATCCCCGACATCCGTAGCCAAGAGAGCAGAAGCGGACTTGGAGGCCCAAAAGCAACGGAGGACCGAAGAGATCGACCATGTCCCTGCCCTGAACCTGCTGCTCTCCAGCTACGTCGAGTTGCCCTCCGAGCAGCAGCCCGAAGCCAAGGTGACCCCCTCTTCGAAAGAAACCGTGGTTTTGAACTTTGTCAAGCACAAGATGGAACGACTCCCTCACGTTGCCGAGGTCCTGTCCAGATTCTCGGAGGCGCGCGCACGACCCGATACCTGGACGACACTGGCCGCCATGGCTTTTGTCGAAGTTCCGTCCGCGGTCTTACAGGCGTGTCAATTGGGCAGCACCGAGACCAAGGACCGCTTTCGCGAACTGAATTCTCTCTCGGAAAAGCTCGTCGAATGGTCGTGGCAGGCTTTCCTTGGCGCTGAGAGGAGTGGCATGTCCTCCGAGGTCAAGGCGACGCTCGTCTCGTCCTTTTTGCAGTGGGCCGCACGGACGGAAACGATCGAAGAAGGGCATCACAATGCGCTCGCACATCGGATCATTGACCACGGATCGACCTCCATGTCCGAGTTGACGGCTTTGCAACGCGCTCTCCTCGGTCAAGCCGCCTTGTACCATTCACGAACGGGCCTCGTCGCCCGATGGCTAGCCGCCGATTCAATGCTTGACCCTCGAACCCGCCTCGATCTCGCCGCCTCGACTCTGAAGGTCTTGGCCGATCATGAGGAATGGCATCGCCGTGGTGACGTCGTCTTGTACACCGCCGAAGCGCTCGTCACATCTTTGGAACAATTGTATGCGCCTAGTTCTGGCGATGCGATTGACCCGACCCTGCGCGTGGTGCTGGACGAGTGTCTCACCCTCTTGATCCACCACTTCCGTATTGACGCCCCCCTCGAACCTCTCTACACCCGCATCATCGAATCCCTGATGACCAAGGACCCCACATCCTTCTCCTCATCGCGCCTTCGATCCTTCCTCGAAAGTCTTATCACCGCCCGTCAAGCCAAGCTAGCTACCAAGGTCTTCCTCCTCATCCCTTCCCCCTCTCGTACATTGGGGCAGTACGAAGCGATGCTGCGCTCCCATCGAGCCATGACCTCGGATCGAGTATGGTCCGACCTCTTACTTCATCCGACGTTGGAACCGAGCGTCAGTTCTCTATCAGCGCGATTAAGTTCGCACCTCTTGACGCGTCGTCACGACCTCGCTTTACAAGATTTCAACCTCGTTCGGGAACGTCTTCGGACCAAGACCTTGCAAGCTTTGTCGGAGCAGGAACGAACGCTCTGGACGAAATCTTATACGAAGCTTTATACGCTTTACGTACGAACGAAGCACGACGTTTCCCTCTCGCGTTTACGACAGAGGATGAAGGACGATTTAGGGAACGAGGTCGTCAGGTTGGATAAGGCGATGGGGACCGGATACTTGTTGAGGGAAGTTTTGGGACGACCTTGGGATGTGGAAGTGAGGAGGGGGAGGGTGAAGGGGAGGAAACAGGTGGAGAAGGTTGGGCGGAGGTGGAAGTGGATCCAAAATGGGGAGAGGGGGACGGTGGGCAACGAGCAGGAGAGGATGATCAGTCGAGGGATTCTCAATAACGTCGGGTTGAAGGGGTTGGTCAAGTGGAATTCCGTCGTCGACGCTTCCAAGATCCTATCGATCGCTGAGAAAGTATTGGGTACGGAACAAAATATGGGGGTGGAGCAAGTAGGACAGATGGCGAACGATGAATTTGACAAGGTTCGGAAAGTGGCGTATAAGATTTTGATGAGGGCTTTGGAGGAGAGGGGAGCAAAGGATCAGTGTAGGATGTTGAGAAAGAGGTTGGAGGAGGAGGTTGGGGAACGGAGGAGGGTGGGGAGGAGGGATGTGATGGGGCAGTAGATCGCAGTTTAGTAAGATCGGTCAAGGTGGTTGAAACGTTGTTCTCTTGAGTCTGACAGAACAAGACTAGAGCGTTGGTATAGCACCCTCAGTCGACCGATTGATCACCTCCACCCCACCTTCTTCCTTCTCCCCGCCCCCCAAAAGCTTCTGATTAATATCGGCCCCCAGCGCATCTAAATTCCACTTCTTACCCTCCCCTCCCCATCCCCTTCCTTCTACAATCCCCAATGCATATTCTTTCATCAAAACGACGGGGATGATGACGAGATCGGGTTGTGAGAGGTTGGCTTTGAGTGAGAGGGAGGTGGAGAGGGCGAGGTCCTTGATGATGAGACCGATTTGTTCGATTAGATAGGTGCGCGTGAGGGGTTCGGAATGGGAGCGTATGGAGGGTTCGATGGCGAACTGTTGAGAGTGGATGGACTCGGTGAGCTTGGGTTCGCAGCGACGCGATGGAGCGAGCTGTGAGCAGGACGAACCGTGAACTCCGAAACCGCTTTCGAAGCGGCATACTCTTCGAACGTGCGCCTCATCAACTCTTTTGATTTCTCAAGCACGGTCTCGGTCTTCATCGCATGACACGAGGTGCTGACGGGCGTGAGACGGAGGCAGAACCTGCTTGTATCAACGGGTGGAAGAAGTAGACGAGTGAGTAAGGCAATAAATTGGTTTCGACCGAGGGCGGGTACGGACGGACCTGGTTTTGATGACTCTGGTCGATTGGAGATCGTCGACGATGGCTTTGCATAGCTCGACGGGATCATAAGGCCATGCGACGGAGAAGAAGCAAACTGTACCCAATGCCAAGTAGTCAGCATCTGCCTAATCAGCTCCGCGTGTGGGGGCACGACCAAAATGAAACTGACCACATTCTGTCCCCGTCTCAATTGAGAGGAACCTTGCCTTTTCCTTCTTGCTCTTGTCCCCTTTTGTTGTACCCGTAGGGTCGGATGAGGAGGATGGTTTGGGCTTTTTGGGTTTGCGTGGGTTGAGGGCGGCGATCTCGCGTGCGATTTGCGCTTCGATCGATTGGTCCGCTTCGTCTTCCTCCTCGACTTGTGGAGGCTCTTGCTCTGGTTCTTCCTCGGCTCGGACGGGTGCTGCTTTGACGGGTCGTAGCTTTTCCAATTCGGCCAATCGTTCTTTGGGGTACAACCGATCCGCGACCTTTGACCACAAACACACACACACCATCGAACAAAACAAAGTCATCAGCTCCTCTGCCAATTACCACCTCTTCATCCGAAGATACCGAACCCACCTCATCCAACACATTATAAAACTCCTGCACGCAACGCGGTTCCTTGCCCCGTATGGTGGTGATGAAGATCCCCGGCCCACCCACTTGACGTTTGGAGGTGTAGTGGCCCCCTGCGGAGGTGAGGTACTTTTTCTTGTTCTTACGTCGGGGGGCGGGCATGGTCGTGCTTCGCTTTGCCGGAGGATGGGGTCGAGTGGCGCGGAGTTATACGCGCGGAGAAGGAGAAGAGGCAAGGCAGCGGAGGCAGCGGAGGTGGTCTTTCGCCGCGACGAGGTCCGAGCGCAAGCACTGGTGCGGCAGCAATTAATGATTGTGCCTCGGAGGAGTCGTTGACTCGAATCTAGAGGGTGTACGACGGGCAACTGCTTGTAACTATGGTCCATAATTACGACATCAAAAAGAACTTCCGGTCAACGAACCACCTGCCTGATGTATCATGTCGTCATCCACATGGTCGAGGGAGCTCGGCTGAGGCGCCGAGGGCTGAATGTATGCGTCGTCGAGTTCCCGAGCTTGCACAGCCACCGCGGCGCACTACATATGTATAACGTGGCAGAGTGAATGAGCGCCCAAAAGAGCGTGAAGCCCGATCGACGTCACTCGCGCCGTCGGCTCCAACGTTCAAACTTCACGCTCTCGTTCCTTCCCTCCGTCCTCACACCCTCTGCCATCACGATCGTCCGAGCAGCATGTCAGCTTACCCTAATCAACAACCCGGCTACAATAACCACTGTGAGTATCTCAACGCGGTCGTTCCTTCCGCGAGGTGTCGATCGATGCGGTCTTTGTTCTTGGCTTGGCATTGTTCCAGTGGTCGTAGGAGCTTGATGAGCAGCCTCTTGCGTCACGTTATGCGCCGCCGTTCACGTGCGGAGGTTTCGAAACGCATCAGATGCACAAGGACCCCATGACGACCGCAATGCGCCCGAGATCAGCACTCCCAAGACGAGCCAGCCCCACTGCAGGTGGGGGCGGGAACGAGATGAAGAGCCCCAGAGCGATCGTCGGAGGGTCACACGCACTCCAGAATCGACCATGCCATCCCTGATTGATGCTGACCGGACTCATGCCTTGACTTCAAAACTCGGTCAGACGGCGCGCCCCCAGCAGGCCAGCCCCAGTACGGCGCTCCTCAGCAGCAGTGTAGGTCATGCCAGCGCACCCTCGCGCGCACCCTCGCGCATGCCAAGATTTGATTACTTATCCGACGCATGTTCTTTCGCCCTCAGACGGTGCGCCGCCACCTCAGGGCCAACAAGCTTACGGCCAAGCGCCCCCACCAGGCCAGCAGCAGCCTTGTCCGTTCCTGCTCAAGTCCTTCCCGCCGTTATCACCCAAAAGCTAAAGGGGATCTTTCCCACAGATGGTCAGCAACCTCAATATGGTGCACCCCCGGCGCAGCAGCAACAATACGGTGTTTCACCCCAAGGTGAGAAATCTTCGTCTCCTCGGAGCAAAAGTCACGAGCTCACGCGGACCATGATCTTTTGTCGCAGGACACTACGGTCATCCTCCACCAGCCGGACAATACGGTCAGCCTCCAGCGGGACAGTACGGACAGCCGCCAGCTCAGGCCGGAGCATATGGCGCACCTCCGCCACAACAGGGCTACGGTCAGTCGGAGGAATTGCGTGATCAGAGCGAGGTCAAGAGGCAGAATTTCTGATGAGTGATTTCGTCTTGATTGGCAGGCGCACCTCCGAGTCAGGGATACGGTGAGTAGTGCTCCGGGCTCTCCGGGGAAGGACCCATCCCATTCCTGATTTTGTCCTCTTTGCGTCCGACTCGTAGGCGCTCCAGCCCCTGGACAGTACGGGGCACCCCCTCCGAACCAGTACGGACAACCTGCTGCACCCGGAGGCTACGCCCCTCAAGCAGGCTACGCAGCACCCGCCCCGATTCCCCACACGTACCTCGGAACTCGCATTCACCCCTCCGAGAACCCGCTCTTGCCCGCTCAAAAAAAGCTGCGCGCGAACCAAGTCGTTGACGGATACGACCCCGCCAAGGACGTCGAGACGATCAAAAAAGCTTGCAAAGGTTTCGGGACGAGCGAGGACAAGATCACCGCCGTCGTCACCGCCTTGCCGGCCGTACGCATCCCTCCTCTGATCTACGCCTACAAAGCTCGCGAAGGCAAGGACATGATCAAGTTGCTCGAGAAGGAGTTAAGGGGCAACTATGAGACCTTGATCTTGCAGATTCTTGCGGGGCCTTTGATGGGGGATGTCGAGCTTGTCAAGGACGCGTGTAAAGGTTTGGGAACGAACGAAATGATCTTGACCGAGGTCTTGATCGGTCGAACACCCTTGGCGATGGATCTTCTCAAAGCCGCTTTCCAAGCGCATACGGGCAAGTCGATGGAGAAGGAGGTCTTGGATGAGCTGTCGATGAAGACAAAGTCGGCTATGGCTGTCGCTTTGCTGGGCAATTGGAAGGATCAACCGAATATGGGAAGGACGCCGGAGAATGAAGCGGGTCAGGGTGGGGCAGGTGGGATCGGTGGATTCGTCAGTGCGGCTCCGGCTCAGCTCAATCAGCAGATGGTCCAGGATGATGCTCAGGTACGGGCGAGGTGAAAGGCTTAGAGATTACGGAGAAAATGCCGCTGAACGAAATTCCTGGGGCCTTGTCAACGCAGCAACTCAAGAAGGCCATTCAGGTTCACGTCACGGGCGAGGTCAGCATCGATCAACAGCACGTGTAAGTCACCACGCTGCCAATGAAACACTTCCCCGACGCTTCCTCACTGAGTGAATCATCATGCATAGATCCTCCATTGTCTTTGCGCGATCGCCTGCACATCTCCAAGCCGTGCAAACGCAGTACAAGACGTTGACCCGAGCCGCGTTGACCCACAACATCAAGCGCTGCGTCGATGGCCATCTGAAGGAGATGTACCTCTTTGCTCTGGAAGGAGGAAAGCGCGATACGAATGGGTGCTGTGAGTACTGGCCTGTATCACTCGAAGTGTAGGCGCTGTCGGCTAAGCAGTGTTTTGGAATCTCTCCCCGTCCCTTCGCGCAATTCCAGGGCGAGACGCCAAACGTCTGCACGACGCCATGGCCGGCCTCGGCACCAAAGACCTCCTCCTCATCATGCGCATCGTCCGAGCCCACTGGGATCGCCAACGCTTCCAACAGCTCAAGGGCGCGTACCGCCAAAAGTACTCGAGGGAGTTGTTGACGGACGTGATGAAGGAGACCTCGGGCGATTATCGTGATGCGTTGATTGCGCTGATCAATGCGCCGTAAGATGGGGAGTTTGGTGGTGGGTGATTGGGTTGGAATTGTTTCTTGGAACTACATCCTTTCTTGTTTGTTGTGTATGCGTGTGTTTTGATCTGGATACCGCTGGGTGACCCAGGCATGCGAGATCATTGTGGAGGCTAACGCCTCGGAGTAAAGTTGCCAATTTCTCATGATCAGTGATTGCAGATCGAGCAAGACCGAGGGTAATGTGCATGGTGTGGCCAAGTGTTGACCTTAGAGCGTGCCTGCATATCTTCCACGTGCATGCGATGTCTAGGGTTAGAGTACCTATCAAACAACGTGGTTACCCACTTCGACTACAAGTACATACCGACTGATTGAGGCATGGCTAAAGCACCTCGGCCAAAATCCAACAGATCGGTCGAGATGAGGTAAGCAAGATTTTGGTAAAACCTTGGAAATCCTGTAAGGTATAGGCCTCAATACAATTCGTCGTTGTTAACCGTTGGACTGAAAGCAAGTAGTAGTTACGAATCAAGGCATCCCCTGGCCACTCTCATCGAATGTCTCTCGCTATCTCTGCTCTCCCCATCCCGATGTACAATTGGCTTGAAAACATACCTACCTAGCAGGCACCTAGGTATCTACGAACTTTGACTTAGACCAGGTACATAAAATGCTCGAGAGTGCTATGTTAGGCTTTAAATGCGACATGTGCTCAAGAGTGCCCGGATGGAGACGGCTTGAAAGCTCCCGAGTCCCGAGTCCGATGTGCCTGACGATCAGGCCGTGAGAATAACTCTAAAATGGCGGCAACGTGGAGGGATCGATACGGCGCTAAGGCCGTCCCACCACCTGACGTCTGACACCCCGCTCCTCCCACCCGTCGCTCGACTGGTAGTTTTTTCTACTATGTACCCCTCTTTACCACTTTGCGCACACACAGATTGTCTCGTGCGTAAAATCACGGTCGCTAGTAAAGTGAATTGTTTAGCGCCTTCGTGGGCGCAGGCCCATATACCCGCTACACTAGTGACTGAGACCGAGGTCCGAGGGAGAGGACGGAGTTAAGCGCTTCACGAGCCGCTCGTCCAGGGATTCAGGGACGAGCTTTAAACAAGCGGCGAATGGATTGCTCGCGGAAGTCCGCGTGTTTGGGGAAGGGGGGCTGGCCTCAAAGCAGCGAATCTGCTGGATGGGTGGTGGTTGCATTGCGCGGAAGTCGAAAAAACCGCCATGGTACGCACACAGACGCGGAACGGCGACCGCGTCGATCACTCTGCTTGCCGAAAAGATTTAGATATTTTCCTCAAGCCTCTTGCTCGATTGACTTTCGGGCCTTTTCCTTGGAGTTGATTTCCTTGAGCACAGGAAGGCCTTTTTGGCAATCCCGGCGTGAGGGTGGCCGTCAGCAGGTTTCGTCACCTTGGAGTGGTTTAACCTTTTACGATTACCCCCCCACTGCTTTACTGATCGACTGACCGACCGAACGACCGAACGACCGACCGAACTCGCAGTCACGGCTCAGAGTTGACGACCAGCTGCGACAATGGTTGGTGGCGACGAAGGGGAAGGACATCATCACCATCACGAACAGCACCAATACCAACAGCAGCCGTATCCACCCCACCACGTCGATTCAGCGGGTGGTCGTCAGCAGTGGTCGCGCCTTCCTCAGCCTTCTTCGCAGCAGCAACAGCAGGCGGTCCATGTCGCCGCTAGCGCCGCGCCAACAGGAGCATCGATGGCGACGCTTATGACCGGCCAGAAGGGCCACGACTCGAACCTCCATCATCCTCATTCCGGTCCGAGTTCCTGGGCGACGACAGCCAAGGCCATCATCGGTCACGACGTAACTCACCAAAACTCGCCGTCCATGCTGTCACATCCCATATCCCAACACGCACAACACCAACAACAGCACCATCGAATGCTGCAGTCACGGCCTCAGTACGCGAGCCAGGCGCAGGGTTTGGGACCGGCTCAATTGCCGCCGTCGTCCAAGACTGCCGGGATTGTGCTCCCCCACGTCGCCGTCGCGTACTCAGGAGAGGATCCATTAGCGCCGACATACGGTGCACATATCTCGACCCTGGCCCAGACCTACCCTCCACATCCACCCCAACATCAACAAGTTCCGTCCTCGTGGTCGACCCCTAATCCCACGCACCACACAGGACACACGGGTGGTCAAGTCGCCGCGTCGTCGTCCTCATCGTCGTCTAATTCTCGGGGCGCAAAAACGATTGGCGGCGGATACGGGAACCGCGGCGCCGAACGTTCTAGGTCCGCTCGAGGCGCCAACGACCTCGACCTCATTTCCAATCGGCAGAGACTGTCTCCTCCCGTCGGATCATCGGCTACCGCTACCGTCACCGGCACTGTTGCTTCGGAACACAAAATATCGCAAGCTGGGAGTAGTAGCCGCAGTGCCAATGTCGACCCGTCTCGATTCGAGTCGCGTAGTAGTCAACCGGGCTCTTCAGTAGTCGCAGCCTCAGGGGAGGGTCGCTTCCATCCAAGCCAACCGAGCACGACGGGAATACAAAAGTCCGCGAGCAAGCCATCCGAACCTTCCTCGTCACAGACGGCGATCATCAAGTCGGAATCTGACTCGTCGTCGAGTACTCCGGTCCTGAATAGCAAAAAGCGAAAAGCGAGCAAACCGCGCGAGTCGGGCGACGCCGACACGGTCATCACCGAAAAGAGCTGCGCGCGTTGCAGGATTCGCAAAGGTTGGCCCTGTGGCTCCCAAGGATTTGCAAGGTCTTTCCTTTCTTGATGCTGATCAATCGGATTGTGCGGCTCCTAGTCAAATGCGATCGCGCGTTTCCCGTGTGCAACAACTGCAAGATCCGCAACGAAGAGTGTGATCTCATTTCGCTGCATCCGAACGATAAAATGTCAGTGCAGCACATTTTACAGGCTGTCTTGAATCGAACGTGTGTACTGACCCTAGGGGTGACTCTTTGGGAAATGTCGGGGTGGCAGATCCATGTCTGCCCAAGATGCGGCCCAAACTGAACGGCTAAATCGGATGGAGGAAAGGCTCAGTCAGTACTAGCGCCAGCTAGCTTGCTCCACTATTCCGTCCATAGCTTACTGAACTAGCACTTCTATCTTACCAGTGGAAATAGAGCAGCAGCTTGGATCGACGGGCGAGCACGATGAACCACACGAGCCCGTGACGGTAACGTGGTCGTCACCGGCCTCGACGTCAAGTTCCTCAGCCCGATCACAGCCCCAGACCGCGCTGAGTCGAGTCGAGGGAGCTCGTATTGGGCAGCAATCCGTAGACTGGCGCCTCGCGACTCCTCAATTGGCTCGGTCGTTGACGCAGCATCTGTGTGAAGGTTCGTTCTCCCGATCTGCCTGTTATGCCTGTTATGCTAGGCCCAATCTGACCACCGTCCCGTGCTCCCTCATTGTGCGATCAGCCTTTTTCTCGTCTTGCTGCTTCCAGATGCCGTCGTTCGACTTCTTCCGTGCATCGATACCGCAATACCAGCAAGTCGACAAGCTGCCGGGCCCGATTCAGGTCGCAATCGCTGCCTTTTGCGCAGTCGGAGCGCGAGCATCGCCCCATTCGGTCAGTCTTGCACCAGCGGGAAAGTAGTGTCGGTTCCGCGCGCACAGCTACTTACGCCCGGTTGAGGTACTCTTGTAATAGGCGGTCCTCGGTATCGCCGCTGCACCCGATGACGGACAGAGCGATCCGGACCTGTCGGCCGGCTCGCGTCGTCAATCGGCATGTCAGGCCCTCGTCGCTCAGGCCCACTCGCTCTGCTACGATCACGGTCTCCTCGAAGACGCCTCTGTGGAAACGCTGGCTGCTCTGATAGCGTTGACCCAAACAGCCGCCTTTTCCGAGTTCGTGCCGCGCAAATCAAAGTCGCTCCTGCGGACTGCGATTGCGCACTACAAGGAATTGATCGAGACGGCGGCGAACGCGGCTCGGATTACCGAGCTGCAGAGCTCTTTCGGCCTCGCCCTCTATGTAAGTCCCAGGACCACAAGCGTATAGTGAGGACTTATAGACTTACTGAGACATGGGTTCACAGACCCTGGATGCGCTCATCGCTGCCTACTCGCGGCGCATGTGCATGATCACCGAATCCGACCTCCACCACTACTTTGCTCAAGTCTCGATTGTGCAACCGGGCCTTCCGCACGACTCAATATTGAACGCCTTTGGATCGATTCTACGCACGACCCCATCGGCGGAAGAAGGGATCCAACTTGCCGTCCATACGCTCGCGTGTTGGGTCGCCGCCGCGCAGCGTCTGTTTTCGCGTATCGCGAGTCCGCCGCTGGCCATGAATGAGGTCGATATATCGATTCGAGACTTGCTGCAAGCCGTGGATGATGGTCGAAGGGGCGTCGAGATGCTGAAGCGGTATATACACGAAGTGGGTTTGACCCACGAGCACCACCACCACCACGGCCATGGATCCAATAGCGAGACCTCTCCTTCGAGCGCTGCATCCGTAGCGGCCGCAGCGGACCACGAGAAGGACTACCTCGCCCGCGTCATTCGCTGCGATCGCGATCTCATCGATCTCATCCCCATGCTACGCACCTTTGTCCTCCACCTCCCCTCACCAGGTCTACCCATGCTGGCACACGAAATGACGAATCGTGTTCGGCAAACGATCAAACTCAACGCTCACTACGCGCGTGAATACCTCCGCGGGGCCGATCGACATATGCTTTACCACCATGCGTTCCAACTCGAGCATGCAGCGGATTGGACTCAATTGGCGACGCAACAGTACGATCCACATGATGCCAAAGGTCCTCAGTCGGTCGCGGACGAGGTCAATGCCGATGAGTTGAATTGGCTGATCGAAGGGCTCAAGGGAGCATGTTATTACACGCCCAAGGCAGAGATGAGGTTGCAGGAGATGCATTCGATGCTCGAGGCGAATCGGAATGGGGGACCGGGCGTCGTCCATGTCGATGTTGATGCGGCGCACGGCCACGCGTGGGCGCAATGGATGAGCACCTGACCACACCTTTCAACCCCTGGCGCAACGCAACGCGACACGACTCGCCGTAGTAATCATCTTCGTGCTGCACTCGTAACGATACATATATATATATGGTATCTCGTGGTTCATTTCCATTTTGATTGGCTTTGAATAGAACATCTTCTCCTATCTCCCAGAGCTGTTGTACAAGATACCCTACTTTTTAATTTGCAGTGCCATCAGTTTTCCTCTCCTCTTGGCTCTCGACGAGCCCAGTCGCCCTGATGAGAACAAGCGACCGTTTAAGGTATTGAGAGAAATGCGATTGCAGAAGTAGGAAATCATTGATCGAGATCGGGCTTTGTAGAAAGTCGCTTATGGAGTGAGCAAAGAAAGGGTTCGTGATATGTATGTTCAAGCCCGCGATGGGCGACAACGGCTTGGGGATGTACTAATCTTGGGTTCATAGGGCATTCGACGCTAGCACGGAACATTATGCCGAACAAGCGAAGGGTAGGAAAGAAGAAAGCAAATGGGACGTCGTTATGGGTGGTCTTCCTGCGGTGATAGGGTAACGGGGGGCGACACAAAAAAAGAAAAGAAAACGCCGGGTGGGTGGGTGATAATCTGCGCTCTCTCAAGCCATCAAGCCATCAACTCTCGATCCTCATCCTCCTCTGCGTCCCTTCTCCTTCTCATCTCTTCCTCCCGTTCGGCCTCGTCACCACGACCGACCATCAACCTCGTTTCCAGTACGCCTTCGGAGAGGATCGGGGTCTGCATCCTGCCGTCCCTGGGGGTTGAAGTGCCCGAACCGGGTCTCGAACTCGAGGCCCACACCGCTCGAGCCGGCGAGGCCGGCATCACAGGGTCGAAACCAAGGCCTTGGCCGAAATGAGGCGGCGAGTTGGTGCGCGAGCGAGATCCCGGTGTGCCGACGAAATCGTCCTCTTCTTGGTCCTCGGGTCGTTTGGGTTTCTGCTTGCCCTTGAACGACGACGATGATGAACGAGACGCGGGCAAGTCGTAACCGGGAATACGGGGTTCATTCTCCCATGCTGACTCGAAGCCGAGCGCAGATCGATCCCACGAGCCGGGAGATTCACCTTCGTGACACCATCCCATCGCTTGCAACGTCATACCAGCGGCGCGGATGAAGATGCTCCCGTCCATGACTTCGGTTCCAGGCAACGAGGCTTGGTAGAACCCGGCCGGGGATTGCCCAAAATGGGTCGCCGCAAAGGCGAGCGAGCGAATGACCTTGGCGACGTGGTCATCGGGATGGTCCACGGCGCTGGCGAGCACGGTCGACCAAGGATTCCCACCCCCGAGCAGATCCAGCGGCGTCTCCGTCGCCTCAGCCAATTCCTCCTCAAGTCGCAGTCTCCCGTTCGCATCGACCTGCGGCGTCTTGGGCACCCCATCGGGGCCCGACTCGCCTTCTTTTCTAGCGTGTAGACTAGCGAGGTAGCGCGCTACGGCGCTCGTCGACGGGGAGGAGGCGTCCGGGGGCATCGGGTACAAGGGTGCGGCCATGAGGGTTTCTTTGATCCATAAATTCGGTCTGCAGTCATCAGTAAAGTCAGGAGACGGAGCCAACATCAGTCTCCACAGCGATATGTCTCGGCTTGCGCCCCATAGCAGCACTCACCGTCCTCGCGAGATCCAGTAGCTGACAATCATGCGGAAGTGGGTGTGGAGGATGTAGGGGCGCAAATGGGGAGAAACGACTTCGAGGATCGCTGGCAGGAACAAGACCGAAGTAAGGCCGTGCATGATGAAAAAGTCCATCTTGGGCTTGCACGCATATCCTGGTCTCGTGCTCGAAGCGTAAAGCACCTGGGCGCGCAATATAGCCCGCCAGATTTTGTCAGAAACGGCGATCACAAGAAAGTTACCGATGATGCACAACTTCGACTCACCGTAGCCATCCATATCAACTCTTCGCACTTTTCGACCACCTCTTCCCAGTTCGGCGTCTTGAGCGGCGTCCCTTCTTTGCGTTTGGCTTGATGCTCCTCCCCGTAATCCGGGCTCACGTCGCAGCTAAACTTCCACTCGTCGCACCACTCGATGATAATGTCCGCGCGGCGTTTGAGCAAGTTGCCCAATTTGGGGAAGTCCTTCTCAAAGACCGCGACATCGGGAGCAAGACGGGCGTCGTGAAGAATCCTCTCGAGGATCGTGAAGCCGGCCAGGCCCTCTCGGGGCACTCGACGTTCTCGGGGTAATCGAGCAGCGGTCTGGACGAACGAGTCGGAGGGTGAAGCGATGGGCATCGTCCCAAACGAGCCGCTGCCGAGCTTGAACGAGGACAGGGCCGACGAGAGCGTGAACTGCATCGCCGTTTGGGTGCGCGGTGGTGGCGGCCAGGCCGCATCGAAGAGCGGCGAGACTTGAGGCGACGTGACCGCGGACTGGGCCAGACCTTTTCACGGGCAGGAACGGGCGAAAATGAGCCGAGCAGACAAGACAAGAATCAGAAGTCTGAACTGTCCAGCATAACGAACCTTCTGCAACCAAAGCGTCCAGACCGAACTCGACACCGTAGCCAATGTTGATCAATCCATGCAAAGCTCCACTGACCGCTCTATGCAAGGTCGCCCAAACATGACGCATGTCAGGATACTCGTTCTACTGTTCTTGATGACAGCAATGATGGCACGCAACGCACCGTACGAGCATCTGACCCTGCCCACCGAGGAGGTAGCGTTCAAGCACGGGGATGACACTGCTTTTCCTCTCCGCATACTGGCTCGTGGCGAGGGGAATCTCCTTGATTTGGCGCATGAAAAAGGCGAGATAGTTCGGGTAAAACCTGATAGTGGTGAGGGTCCATTGCTCAGCCTCTCGACGCCGGCTAATTTCGCCTAGACGTCAGCCCAAAGCCCCGAAGCCCCCAAAAAGCGCTTACTTTTCATTCCCTAAATGCTTGGTCCAGTTCGCTTCGGTCAATCCGATCGGATGGAGCGGCAGCATTGGCTTGGTACCCTCGATCAAGTGGACCTCCCAGATGTTTTTGAGCAGCGAGGCGGGAGCACCGAGCGAGTAGGAAGCGAGCAGATGATGGGCGGCATGGTTGTGGAAGCCGTCGTCGTTGAAGTAAGTGTGCTTGCTGTGGGCGGGCAAGTTATGAGGAAACGTCAACGATGTTCCAGCGAGTGAGCTTCTGACAAAGTCGACGTACGTGATGTGGTTCTCCTACAGTGATTGTTGAAAAATGACGTGTGAGTTCATTCAATGAGCAACGTCAACCCGAGCGCAGCACGAGCAGAAGTGGGGAGCTGGTTGAGATCCATCGCCAAGCGGCGAGGGCAGAAAGCTACCATAGCAACGCTGGCGGCCACAGTCGGATCTCCATTGGAAGGCGCCAAAGCCACGGCAAGAAAGAGAAAGATACAGTCGGCCCGAGGGCCGGGCGCGGCAGACGAACCGCCTCGTCACCGATGCAAACCACACCGCGATCCGATTTGACGCACCGAAAGCCATAGTCTAAAACCTGGAATCGGCTTTCGATGTGAGTTGGTGCGCTCGACGGAGCACCGCCCCCGCGTGCGACCGCTGTGTCGTGGCAGTTTGTGGTCGGTCGCACCGAAACACACACGACGGCCGCAGGTGGGCGATGTCAACCACCTCGACCGAGTGGAGGGTTGCATTGCGCACCGTAAGCCCCCTATCCAGACTGCTCGACGTCTCGATGCGGATGGTGGCCGCCAAAAGGTGTGACAAGCTGCGCAGCCCTCTCGACAGCGAGCGCGAGCGCGGTTGACGACGATGACGCGCCCACGTCGGGACACAGAATGACCGACCCCGCGGTCGACGGGAATGCATCACGAGCAGGACGTGCATCCACAACGGAGGACAAGAACGTAAGCCATGGATAAACGATCCCGACTGACCTCGAGCAGTTGTCGCACGGCCCTTTTCGAGTCGTAGCTTCGGCCGGGGCCATGGAGCAGGCCCGCTTGGGGCTCGTCGACGCCTCCATAGAGCTGCTTCGGCGTCAGGCCGGACGTCGAAGGCGCGGGTGACGAGACGCGAGGCGTTGTCGAAGCTGGTCCATCGTGCGGCGACGAGGATGATCCGTCGTGGGCGCCGTGGGCGGGTGGGTACGACGTCGTACCGCTCGGCTGTGGCGCGGGCTGCGGGTGGTGCGCGATCGAGGTGGGCAGGATCGACGCCGACGACGACCGACGCGACGGGAAAGGCGCCATGAGCGCAGCTGACAGACCTCGGCGGGTGGTGGAGAAGAGCAGCGCGATAGGAAAATAGAAATAGGGGTGCGACGGGCGGGCGATGCAAGCTTGCGACTTGAAACGGCACGCGCCGGTGGTGGAGCGGAGACGAGTCGGTGGAGGTCGGTGGGGTCAGATTTATTAGGTCAGGTCAAGGTCATACGGGAGCTTACGGGAGAGGGCGGCGCGAGGGCGGCGCGCGACGACAGAGTGAGCTCACTGAGCTCGTTCTAAGCTCGAAACAGCTCCACTGTGTGGAGGGGCGTGTACCTTATCCGCGCGTTTGGCCGAGTTGCCTATCGAAATTTGGGCCCAGAAAAGTACCACCTTGCTGTAGCATGGCATATAAAATCAACCTATACAATCTGTTGCAATAGGCGCATTCTTATGCTGTTTTTTCGAGCATCTACCCAAGGGAAGACTCTTGCAACTCCTATTCATTGAGCTACAGCGGTGAGGAGTCGTTAGTTTCGACTTGGAGCTGGCTCGCGCACGGACCCAGAGGGACGGTTCTTCGCGCCGACGTGAATCAGCCAGCCAGCCGCGCCTCACCGGTCTCAACTTCGGTCCACAACGCCAGTCCACGACGTCGCTACCGCCCTCATGATCCACCATGCCCGTACAAACGCCAACGCCTGTCAAGGGCACACCTCGTCGGTCTCCATCGATTGAGTTCAGAGAGTCGCCCTTACGATCAGCTTCGAGGGCAAAGCCAACGACCTCAAGGCCCAAGGGACCATCACTCAACCAACACAACCCCCGAACTGCCTACCCGTCGCTCTCGGGCTGCTCACTGGAGATCACAATCAACTCAAGAAGATCGAGTTGACCCGATTAAGTGACGCAAGAAGCTCAGACTCCTCTTGGACGACAAATGTGGCGAGGGCTTCGTCCCCCGGCCGGTGCAAATCGAAGCTCTCGCGGGACTTTTTCAGCTCGAGCGGTTCAAGACTCGAAATCAGTATGACACTGTGTTCGTCATTGCTCCAACGGGTTCAGGGAAGAGCTTGATATTTCAAGCCATGTATTTGGTTTACGGACGCCGGGCTGTGACCATAATTGTCAGTCCTCTGACTGCGCTGAGCCAACATCAGGTAGATTTTATTCGGTTGCGACGCCGGTGCTGAGTTCCATGGTCTTGATACCTTTACAGGCCGACAATCTCAATCAAGAGCGAAAGACAGCGGTTGTCATATGCAAGGAAACATGGGGTGACGGAGAGCTGTACCAGCAGTTGAGCGATCCCTCCCATACTGTCTCATTCATCTTCATCGTACGTGACCATTCAATCCGCCGCAGGTTTTTGCATGCTCACAACCCCCGTTCTGATATCTTGCTACTAAAAATCCCCGACAGTCTCCAGAGATGCACAATGGAGACAAGCGCTGGGCTGAGCTGATATCGAAGGACTCGTTCCGAGAACGACCGAGAACGAGTCAAGCTGCTTGCCTATGACGAGGCAATCAAGATCGCCGAGTGGGGATTCAGCGAAAGGGTGCGCGCCGGAGCTATGAGCCACACAATGGAAGGCTCGACTGCATTTCGCCCCGTGTATGGGCAAGTTGCGGAGCAGCGTCTCATACTTGGCTGTCAAACACTCTTCCTCGCCGCCGGCGCTCCACCCTACAAAATCGACAAGATCCTAAAGGTATCCCGTCTCTCCGAATCGCGGACGTTCTTCGCCAAAGCCGACCTTTTCCGACCAAACCTATGCAATTCTGCTGTCGAGATGAAACCAAGAACAAACGGTACGATGGGAAGTATCAGGAATCTCCTTAACCAGCGGTCAGATCCATCGTGTTGTGTTGATGGGCTGAAATACCACGAGAGGTATTGACATAGTGAGAACTTGTGAAGCCGAAACCGAGCGAATCGATCCGCCTGACGGCGGCGATCCTGACGAGTCGTCGAGCCATAGCGTCTGCGGTTGCGCGTCATTCTGAGATAAGCACGGTGTTGCACCGAGCACAAGCGAAGAGCATAGTACCGAGATGACGAGTGATGCGGAATGGGACGGGAGAGAAACCGATGCGCACACGACGAAGTGCGCAAGCCGGCGGCTGCAGCTGCCGCTCGGACCACTCGGGACCACCATTATTTCTAGTAGAAGATCAATAACATTTCTGCCTTTTGGATAAATTGTAAGTGGCACAGGCCATTATTTCTAGTAGAAGATCAATAACATCTCTGCCTTTTGGATAATTGTAAGTACTTGCCACGCTACAGAGAACCACCCCAAAATGGCCCTGAAATTTCGGAGGGCAACTGGGCCAGGCGCGCCGATAAGTCCTAAGCCCCTCCCAGAGGAAGAGCTTAGTTGAGCTTAAGCTCGCTCTATCCTGCCCGCCGGGAACAGGCGACTTCAGAAAGGACAAACTCGACCGTCCCTAATTAATAGGCGCGCCCCGCCCAACCCGAGCAAGCGCACAACTGAGGATGTTCTAACTTGTGAAAGCTCGCAGGCCCACGCCGAAAACGCGCCAAGCGCGGCGCGTCGCCGAACGCCGAGCTGGTACCGCCGATATCAGCTTGCCTCAGATGTTCAATAGCGCGCTACCTACTACCCAAAGTCCGATCACACTTGTCTAACTCGTCACAAGGTGCTCAAGAGATTTGATACCAGCACGTCCTACAAGAGCCTTTTTCTCAAATTGGAAATCGCATAACCAGACGGAATGACGGCACTGCTTGCATCTTCGGCAATGACTGGTCGACGATTCAGTCGGCCGAGCAATCAGGATGGGCTGTTTGTAACCTCCTATTACCCGGGGCTTCCAAGCTGCATGGGGCGTGGGAATTTGCTGATTTGCGTCATCCTCTCCTGTTTAGACAGAGATACCTACCAAGACGGGAGTCTTCGCTTGACCCAGAGTTTATCCGGCGCTATCCGGCGTATCCGGCGTCCGCGGGGTTTAGCCGCAGCATACGGTATCCAACGCAGGTATGGCCAACCTCGTGGGGGTCACACGCATTGCATTTCACGGTATTACTTCTCTCTCTGTGGACCCTATCGATTCACCTTTCTCGTCACTTATCGCTACCTCTTCCTCATCGCTCCCCTCTACGTCTTCTCCATCATCTTCATCGTCCTCGTCTCCTTTCTCATCTTCCTCATCGTCATCCTCCGTATCCTCCTCGGCGTCGTCATCATCATCCACGTCACTCTCCTCCTCACTCCCACTCTCATCCTTATAGAAATCCTCCAAAACCGCAAAACCCTTCCGTCTCGCCTGCATCCCCGCTCCACCCAACATCCCACTCACCGACCCCGACCTCGTGGCCCCCTCCACCCCATTCGCCGACCTCGCGAAATTTGTCGGGGTCAAAACAACCGCAGCTCCTTCGTGAGCGGAGTTCTTCAAGGAGTCGGAACCGAAGCCGCGTAGGGGGGTTGGTGATCGACTTTGACCTCTTGAGCCTGGTGGGGTGGGGTCGAGCGATGGGGGAGGATCACGGATCGACGAAGGGGGGACTTTGGTCGGGTACGAAGGGACGCCAGACGGCGATGACGACCCGAAGCCCAGACGTTTGGTCGGTAGGGCTAGAGAGAAGCTTCCTAGGTCGAAGGGACCGTCTCCTGCGTTCGCGTCTATTCGCGTAGAAAGGAAACGTCGACTCAGCAAGCTACGCGTGCTCAACCACGTCAGGACTAAGGACCCACCTCGCTCCACGTCGAACGTCTTGCCTTCGAAGAGGATCTTGCGCGCTTGCTCATTCGACATCGTCCTCGCCTTGTCCGACTCCGACTCGGTATTCGCGTCGCCACTCGTCCCCGTAAAGTCCTCCACCATCACGCCCTTGTTAAAGTCCTCTTCCCCAAGACCGACCCTGGCCTTACCCGCATCTGCTCGTTCGAGCCCCGCCGCTCCCAGAACCCCTTTTAAGAACCTTGCTCGATCCCGCACCTCGTAGGTAAGATCATACCGTGCCAAAGTCGCCAGGTATTCGAACAAGAGCGAGTACTCGCGCAAATAGGGGGTCGAGCTCGTCATAGTTGACGCGACGACGCATTTGGCCGAAAGCGTGAGCAATTGCAGTTTCGCGATCTCGGATTCCTCAGCGAAGCCGATCGCGCCCAAGCGGATGACATCGGGTGCGACGGTCGACACGAGGCCGTCGGATACAAATTGTCCGACCAGCCAATATATCGTCGCGCGAGCTGTCGGGGTCTTGATTCGATCGGCTTCGAGCAAATCAACGAGACGCGTGATGACGGCTGGACGAGAAGTCGAGCTCGGAAGATGGGGTGACCTCAACAGTGATCGCAAGACGAGGACCGACTGCGCGATGATGACTTCTGTTGTACGTTGGGTATCAAACAGAGTCAGAAGACTTCACCCGGCTGAACGGAGAGTCTCGACAGCTTACCGTGTTTGCTCTGGGTGAGCTCGATCAACGTTTGGAGGCACTCTTCGGAAACCGCCGGTACCTGCTGAGCGCACGAGCCTATGGCCTTGATAGCATCCGCGGAAAACATCTCGTCACCATCTTTGACGTAGATCTGGCAATTTGATGGGGTCCGAGCGTTAACAGCGTAGTGCAGACAGTGGCACTCATTTCGCTTACCGATAGTTCCTTCATGATCTCGCGCACGTTCGTTTGATTCGTCAAGGCCACGAGGATTCTCAAACGAGCCTGCTTCAACGACAACACCTCAGAGGAACGCACGTAAAACTCGGACACGTGCTCGGCGAGGAGCTCCGGTCTCGTCGAGGCTACGACGGCGCAATCTTCGAGCACAATCGCTTTGACCTCGGGCGAGGATCTCAGCAGTCGGAGCAGCGGTCGTACAATCTTGGGCAAACGATCGGAAGGTGCAAGGTAGTAGTGAACCTTGATCGTCGCCGACACGACCGAAGGGTTGATGTGCTGCAACAGCGCATCCGAGGCCTTAAGCAAGAGTTCGGCATCCGGGTCGAGTTTGCCTATCCGAGCCGGATCGAGGAAGAATGATCGGCCATACTGCAAGAGAACGCGTAGGACAACGGTCTGGCCCCACTCCTCGACGTCGACGAGCATGCGACACCATTTGCGGTAACACGGGTGGACCAGATCCCATCGCGTTGGGCACATTTCTTCCCACGCCGACAACACCGATCCAATCGTCAGCGGGCTCGCCGAGTTGAGCAGCACGATCAAAGTCGGCAGCAATTGGTTGCGGTTCTCGGTCGTCGGGTCCGCTCTCCACAAGGTCGCGACCGCATCGGCCGTGGCTCGGCGGACGTACCACGCGCCGTCGCGTGCCCCTTTGGAAACAGCAACGCCGACGAGCGAACGAATGTCGGGCAGGTTCATGGACGAGAGCGTTTTGATGGCGCCGGCGCGTACAATCGGATTCGGGTCCGACAGATCCTTCTGGTAGGCGTTAATGGACAAGAGGGCGAGCTCGGGCGCAGAGTTGGCGCAGTGGATGATGTAGAGCGAGATGAGCGTGCGAGCCTGCAGCGGTGTCGATGGGGACAGCAGGGAGGTGACGAGCGGGAAGAAGCCCAAGACGGGCAGTTTTTTAGTCATCATCTGCAAGTACATCGGACAACATGTTCAGCTACCAGTTCTCAGCATGTTGAAAGCCACGAACGATACGGAACTTACCGCGATGACCCTTTTGAGTCCGTCAACCCGATCGCTCTCCCGTTTCGACGCCAGCATCTTCTTCGTCTCCTCGATCCCCGCAGAGGTGATAACGGCTCCATTCTCTAGATATCGTCCTGAGCCTCCCCCACTGCCACTTGCGAAGCCATCCTGTATAATGCAGAGAGGTCGCAGCGAAGGGTCAGCTGACAGATGCGCGACGTCATTACGGAGGCTGGCAGCCGGCGGGCAGAGATGGGGTACTTGCAATCAGGCCCAGGTCACGCGAGTGCTCTGCGTAGTGTTATCGGACCTCCTTGTCAGTCCCATGATTCCCGTACGGAGACAAAGGTAAGCTTCGACTGACCGGCCAAGTTCTCCCCGAGTCGTGCTCCGAGCCTCTGCGCATTCGTCTTGAGCGATGCAAGCGCATTCTCAGTCATGATGAGGGTTCTAGTGGTGGGACCAGCAAGACGCCTTGACTAGAGATCCAACTCGTGATGCGAAGCGTTACGGCGTGCAAGTCAGTCGCTTGATCGAGCTCCACCTGGCGACGATGACGATTCTGTAGGCGAGCCTGGACCGTTTGGACGAGACGACAGAGGCGGTGGAGAACAATCGGTACCAGGTCTGGTATATTCGAACGGATTCGAAACGTGCGCAACCACTCCGACCTCCAGGCTTGACGTGAGCCGAACGAGGTGATGCCGAGAGCGCCAAGAACGACGAGTTGAGAGGCTGACCCGCGTGGCAGTCTGGCGTCTGGCAGATCGTGGCTCGGGCTATTTTCACCCAACGACACATATTAATCGAAGCATCAGGACTCTCTCTATTTTGCCCCAGCCCTCCTGACCCTAGTATTAAGCGAGATGCTGTTGTACCTCAGCTCTTGCCACCCTCGAGAACATAGCCCCTTAGATAGGGGTCACACAGCCCGAGCAAAACTCAAGTTTGGAATCAGATCCCTTTCGTCCCAGAATTGCCGAGTGCTATGTGCAAAGATTGCCTGTTCAGCAGGAACAATCCTATGGATGTGGAACTAGTCTATTTCTCAGCAGTCAAAATGATACAAGAGATCGGCCTGGTCCTTCGGATACATAAAAGCGGTCGCAAACTCGAATAGCAACGGAAACCCCTAAACTTCCTGATCAGGTTGGATCGTCTTCCACGCCGCAAAGACACCGGGCATCTCCTCGAGCTCTTCAGGGTGTCGCGCGGCTCGGATACGGAAGTATACTCGCTTACCGTACTTGTACAGTTCGACGAGCACGATAAAGGCGAGCAAGGCGATGAAGGAAGCCCCGATCTCCCACGAGATTTCGGTGTGGCCAAAGACGACCCGGTTCAAACCAGGAATATCTACGGGAAGGAGTGGGCGCAAAACGATCAGGATCAGATTCGAGAATTCAAGGTGATTGACGTCCTCCATCAGGCTCTACTTACAAATGATGGGGAAGACAGTGAGGAATCCGAGCGCGACGGACCAGAACAAGAACCGGTTCGCCCAAAGGTCGCGCGTCCACTGCGTGAGGGGTCGCTCGCTGTTGTCGCCCAGCTTGAAAAGACTACGGCGCAGATCCTTAACGAACCAGGCCAAGAAGAGGCAGTTCCACGTCATAGTCGCTGCAGCACGCGAACGAGAACGAAGGGTCAGAATCACTCTATACGGAGGTAGTATGCGCGGAATCTCGGCACCCACCAAAGGTAGCCGAACGAGCCTTGAACACCAATTCGGAACCGTCACCGATCGAGTTGTTCGAGTCAATGCCAAGGTTGCCGTCGCCAAAGCCCCAAACGATGGTGACAAAGACGCCGAGGCAGGTTGCTCCACCGAGAATACCGTAGACGACCATGTCGATCAGGATCTCGGGAGTGAAGATCCCCGTCTTAAGCGAATGGGGCTTGCGTTTCATGATGTCGGGCGATGCCTTTTCGGCGCCGAGTCCCATGGCGGGGAAACTAGCCGTTGCGCAAATGACTGTAATTGCGAACAAACGAGAGAGCGTCTTAGTACCGCGCGCTTCATATTCTTATCACCTGAAGGTGACCATGTTGGACTGACCGTAAAGGATCTCGATGGGTGTTAGAGGGAAGACGGAAAGGTTCATCGCATCCTTGAACGCGAGACCGACGAGCAAGACGATGGCCTGCATGACGTTACCAGCGAGCAAGTGCAGCACAAACTTTTGGATGTTGTCAAACATGCGACGGCCTTCCTCGATGGCGTTTAGGATCGACGCAAAGTTGTCGTCTGCGAGCACGAGGTCCGAGGCGTCCTTGGCGACATCACTGCCTGTGCCCATGCCGATGCCGACATCGGCACGCTTGAGCGAAGGAGAATCGTTCACGCCGTCACCGGTCATGGCGCAAAACGCCTTGCGCCGGTGGAGCGCATCGACCATTCGTGTCTTGGTGTGAGGCGCGCACCGAGCAATAACGAGAGGGAGAAGGGGAAGAGCGTCAACCTCGTCGTCCGATAAGCGATCGAACTCCGCCGCAGTCATGACCATGGCGTCGGCCGAGCCCTTTGAGAGCGCGTTGATGTTGCGAGGCAAGATTCCGACTTGAAGAGCGATCGCTCGTGCGGTCGAAGGGTGATCTCCGGTAAGCATGTGGACTTGAATACCAGCATGGTGGCAGCTCCTCACGGCGCCCTGGGTTTCGTTGCGAGGAGGATCTGCAAGGCCAGAAGGAACATGTTAGGCGTCAGTATCACGGGCAGAAGTAATCCTTTTTTTCTCTCTTCGAAGACTCACCATATAAACCGACAAGGCCTTGCAGATTCATATCAGCCTCGACCTCCTCTCGGCTAGGATTATCGGCGCCGGTGTACAGCCACGGCTTCTGCGCCAAGGCAAGCACACGAAGACCTTGCTCGGCGAGCGCGTCGACGTTCGCAAGCACGTTTTCCTTCATCGCCTCGTCGAGAGGCACGGGACCGTCTTCGAGTTCGATCGTCTTGCAGGCATCAAAGAGGCGCTCGACTGCGCCCTTCATGAAGACGGAGCGCTTCTCATCCGAGTTGCGAGCGTAGATGACGGACATGCGCTTGAGGTCAGAGTCGAAGGGGAACTCTTGGATTTGAGCTGGGAGAGGTCCCAAGTTGTGTCGGTCAGTGATTTGATCGGACCATCGCTCTTGACCAAATTTAACATCTAGACTCACTCCACGCGGCGCCGTCACCGACCGTCCAGCGCTCGCGACCCCATTCGAAGCGATGGGCGAGGACTTGGATCGCACATTCGGTCGGATCACCACGAGCGGCCCATCCTTCCTCGTCTTGGAAGACCTTGGCGACGTTGCACATCGAAGCAACGTTGAGCAGTGTCTCCAAGGGCATTCCGTGGGTCGAGATCAGTTCCTTCGCGGAAGCTTTCCCGGGCTGCTTGGATGGCAAGGAATCGTTGCCTCGGGTGTTCTCCCTCTTGGCCGACTCAGCGGGGGATTCGGAGGTGAAAGACAGGTCGCCGAGGGTCGGGTTGAAGGCCTCGTTCGAGTCGCCAATGAGGATCGTGCCTCGCGATGGAACCCAAGCCGCTTTGCAGACCATCTTGCCTTGCGTCAGTGTCCCCGTCTTGTCACTGCAAATGTCGGTACTAGAGAAACGTCGGTCGAAAGGCATCAGCATTTGCCCTGGGCTTAGAAGTAGCGGCTAAGGAACGTACACTGCGCCAAGTGCCTCCAGGGAATCGAGTTTGCGTACGATGACGTTACGCTTAACCATGGCACGCGTTCCACCCGCAAGCGTGATGGTAAGAACGACAACGAGCGAAGCGGGAATCATCGAGAGACCGGTGGCGATGGCGTCTGCGCAGCCGAAGGACCGGAGCCGGGTTAGACTAATGCACTTAACCGAAAGCGACTCAGGATGCAAGCTTACAAAGAATAATCTCCTTGTTGGAGGTAAAGTTGTTGGCCGCGAATGCGATCAAAGCAAAGACGCAAGCGATGCCGAAGAGTCCTGCAAGCAGCGATTGCGTTATTTCCCGTCGGTGCGCAGTCCCCTAAAGACCCCATTGCGAAGGCCCAGCCACGTACCGATAGCAAGCCACGAAAGGGTTCGCTGGAGCGGGGTACCGAAATTCGTGCCCAAAAATTGACCGATCACGTCCCACGTCGTGAGAGCGTAGGCCGAAACGTAGCGGTGCCAGGGGGCATGCCCGTCCTCGTTCCTGCGAACCTTGCGCACGCGCGTATCACCACCTCGCAGCGACTCGGCGATGGCTCCAATCTCGGTGCGCATTCCGATTGCGGTCACAACACCTTTGGCACGTCCCTTGGTGACGGTCGAAGAGGTGTAAGCCATGTTGATGCGATCTGAAGATGGGAACACCGAGCTGATCAGTATTCGCGCGAAACGACTCAAAGCGCCTGGACGACTTGAACGACGAACCTCCAACACCGATGTCTCGCGGGTCAATAGGTGTTCCATCCTTCTTGCCGAATAAGGCATTGGGGTCCTTGGCGACGGGAAGCGATTCTCCTGTGAGGAGGGCCTCGTCGGTCTCAAAGTTTGCCGCTTCGATAATTCGTAGATCGGCGGGGATCGTGTCACCTACGAACGCGTGGTACATGAATTACAGTGTGATCAGCAAAATGATCCCAAAAATAACAAAAAATGAGCAACCAGATTGGGAACTTACCCGTCTTGACCTCGACGATGTCCCCCACGACGACTTCGGGCGCTGGGATGCCGATGGATTTGCCGTTGCGGATGACTTGGGCGGTAGGCGAAGCGAGCGAGCGCAACGAGTCCATCGTTTTGGCGCTCTTGTATTCTCTGCAGGATGGTGTGGGGACAGTAGGTATATTGTAAGCATCCGAGAATGGCAGTCTGAGCCGCTCTTTAGTCCGCGGCACCGTCCACTGGTGCTATTGTTAGTCAAACGAAGTTGACGGCAGTTCCCGTGATGGTTCTTGCTTCGCGACGTCATCGCCCCCACCCGCTCTCGACCGCTGCTGAAGACCGCCGGTGGCACCAGGTCGAACCTTGGACGTGCAGGAGAAGCTAAAGGCACTTCGATTGTAGTTTTGGACTTACTGTACGAAACCAACGGTCTGGATACAGCCAGAGCAACGCAAATCATATAAAGGGTCAGCTCGAGTGCCCCTATCGGACCTCGCTCGCGGCATCCTGTCGGAACCCAGCCTGCAAGCAACGTTGCAGGAAATTGCACTCACAACATTGATGGCGACGACGGCGGCGATGACACCGGCTTCGATCCATGATTGAATGCCCAAAGAGACAGCAAAGCAGATAATCAAACTAGCGCCGAAATAAGAACGGGTTATCTCCGAGTCAGCTCGAGCAGAGCGATACAGTATGAGCGTTGCCCCCTGCCCCCCCTCCCCCCGGGCCGGGCAGAAGCGCCAAGCTTTCGAGGAGTCCACCTCTTCGGGGGTTTCCATCTCGGCCGTCGTGGGGGACTAATCCCCCGAAACAGACACGGAGGCGATCGGTAGGTCACACACACACCAGGCATGACGGATAATATGAAAGTAAAAGCAGGAAGACGGCAACTCACACGAGCATCATGGCGTTGAAGATTTGAGTGGCGAGGATCGACCAGACCGATACGCCTCCGCCGCCGGAGAGCGCGTTCGGACCGTCAAGTCTTTGTCGCTCTGAGACGACCTCGTTCTTGAGGCCATGGTCGGCATCACTGTCGAACTGAGAGACGGCTTCCGAAGCAGAGAGCAAGAAGGGGGGCTTCTCTTCGGTCAGGGTCGTGGCAGAAGCAGATCCACTCGGCGCGAGCCCCTTCTCCGAGTTCGGGTTCACGGTTGGCAAGCTCATCGAGCGATCTGGGCGATCTCAGATGTCTGGCGAATAAGGTCGGGATTTGGTTTCAGAAGGCGAGGCCCGGCAATCCAAAGAAGGATGTACCTTGGTTAGTCGAGTGTTGGTCTTTCTTGACGGTAAAGAGACGGATGTGAAGATGATCAAGAGGCGAGAGATCAAGTGAGCTAAGTTGGAATCGAGCGCAGGTTGTCACGGCAGGAGGATAAGCTGCGGAGAAGGGGCGTAAGGCATGGCATCATGAAACCTCGCTGCCGAGATCAAGGCCCCCGTATTATGTACGCGCGCAATTTCCAAAGTTTCAAAATATGCTGCAGAACGATCAAGTCGCGCTGATCCGAAAACCGACGCCTTGGCGAACGGCCAAGAAAGGATGACGTGAGGTCGCGCGCTCAAGCTCAAGATCAGGGCCAACAATCTCCGGCGCCAAGCCTTGGGCTCCTTGGGCCAATTGTGGCGCCGCCACCTCGTCGGCCGCTCGAAAACTTCGCAAGTTGGTCAGTCCGATCACGCACTTCCGAGCGGTACATTCCGGTTGGAGTCACTCCGCAACCCGGTTCGGCATGAAGTGTGGATTGGCTAGCGATTACCGCCGGCCGGGAGGAAGCCTGGAGACGTGGATGTATGCATGCGGACGATCACCGGTGCACCGCTTGGGTGGCATCCACTTTGGGCTATGTACCACTCAGATTTCGCTTCCCAAATAGTTGATAAATACGTACTTGTCCCTGTAGACGTTCGTCGGAAGTTGCAACAGACCTAATAAATCGCGGGAGTTTGTGATCATATCTCGCGTTAGAACCTCATCGCTTGTACGTGGAACGAAGATCATCGGGTTGGTTGATCTTTGTTAAAGCTCACAAACCTTTAGCTGCTCCATCACTCTAAGTAGGTAGTGAGTCCTTGAAGCCGCAGGGGCCAGGTCACTGTAAAAGCCCAGATTACTCAGCGGTAGGCGTAAGTAAAGGCGGGTGTAAGGTATGCGCCTCTGATGTGCATAAACTACAATCTGTCGTCTTGACCGCTAGACTAAAAGCAAGTCGTAACTAGAACTCGACAGTTCTAGCTACTCAGAGGCTACTTATGGGGCTGTTCTGTAAGGCATCCCCTTACAGCGGGTTTCTTTTCCTCGTCGGTAGTAAGTACTCTAGGGGATCTGGAGATAGTAAACGGATACAAGAGACGGTGTGGCTCTTTGTGAGAGATTAGGACAGTAGATACACATAGATAACAATTAGGAGGGGTGACAAAGGGATGCACAATGGTTGTAGTCATAGGCAGGTAAATGAAAGGGAGATCGGGCAGGTCTAGGTCGGTCCGTTGAGCTTGGACCTGGTGGATGGCTGCCCCCCCCCCCCCCCCCCCCCCCGTAAGTTACAGTCACGTGAGCACCACGGGTGATCGATGCAGGCAGAGATAGCCCAAACAAGAACCGGCTTCAATGGTGAGTTTATCAAAGGCTAAGCTTCTGCTTTCAACTCTTCATACTCTGCGCCTTGCGTTGGATTCCTACCGACCTCAGGGTCTCAGAGAATGGAAAATCCGACGATGTCGGTTGAAATCGGCTAGGCGTGTTCCGTGGCTCTCCGTCACGGCACTCATTCGAAATTCACTCGCGGAGCTCGCATCATTAGCAGTGCTCTACACTGCGAGCCCTTACGCAATACAGAAGGAGGTACTTCCATCCTAGACTATCCAATCGACTTGCAAGCGCTATCTTCAGATCCGCCCGAATTGATACGTGAGTGCTGTCCGTGGTCGTCGTCGGCGAATTCCGTGTCGGTGCCAGTTGGACCGTCGCAAGCTTCGCTGCTCTCGATCCATCGCCTCTCTCCATCAACTCGCGTTTGGAAGGGCCCGGCTTGTCCACTTCGTTCGTACACGACCGAGACGACGCATTTGACATTTGATCGGCTCTTTCGGACCACGGCGCCCGTCGGTCGTCATCGGGGAGGCACTTCGCCGCCATCCGCCGCTTACGACTCCGCTCACGGCCTCGGGAGCTTCTTCGACTGTGTCGGATGTGACCGATTCTGATCCTATTGATCACTTTCACCTTTCAGATCCGTGTCCCTCAAATACGTCTTGGCATCGGGTGCTTCGATTTTCGAATAGTCCCACCGTGAGCGACAAGTAGTTCGATCGACCAATCCCCGACGGACCTATCCTCGTCAATATGCCGCCCAGAGTCTTTCTCTTGCGACATGGCGAAGCAATGCACAATGTAGTCCCAGAGGATCATTCGGTGCGTAGGCGTGCGGTTGGATAAACTATGACGTGTAGCATATGGGCCCGCCTTTCCATCCCGAGTGAAGGCTGACCAGGACCTCATCATCCCCCCCCGTTCTCTCTCTCACCAAAGATCCCGGATCCCGTGCTCACCAAGAAAGACGAGCTACAAGCGCTCTCGGTGCCCTCAACCTACTCGACCTTTTTTGAATCCCTCTCCCTGTCCTCAGCGGTGATCGTCACCTCTCCCTTCCGTCGAACGATGCAAACGACCATGAGTGCTTTCGCCTCTGTCTTGGCACCCGTCTCCTCAAGCCCGATCCCACTGATCATCCTTCCTCAAGTACAAGAATGCGGTGATCAGCCTTGTGATACGGGCGGGGAACTGTCGCGGGTTCAAGCTATGTTCCCGCACGAGTGGCTTGATTGGTCCGAGTGCACCGAGGGGTGGAATTCGAATCAGGGTTTTTATCAGGCGACGGAGGAGAAGCAAATGGAACGAGCCAAGGTGAGCTTCAGGGGTTCCGTTTTCCGCATCACCCGCACAATCTGAATGAGAACTGATTGACGATGGCATGCCATGCTTCGAACGACGAATCGAAAAAGTGGGTGCGCCGATGGATCCGCTCTCGAACGGAAGACAATGTCGTCATCGTCTCGCACCATGGCTTCTTGCGGAGAATAACCAAAACACCCGCATACGATGTGAGCGAACCGAGGGTCCAGATTCACCGTCTTAGTCGATGGTTGTGTGCCGCAGCCCCATTGATGCGATGCTTTTCACCCCCATAGGACTGTGGTGTCCGAGCGGCGTGGGCCAACGTCGAGTTGCGAGAATACGGCTTCAAGGAGGGGACGGGCGAGGCTGAAGAAGCTGAGGTGGAGAGGATACCAAACTCATTGCTGTAGAGGTCGTCGGATCGGTCCTGGGAAGGCCCCCGAGCTGTCATGCCGGGTGCTCGGTACTCGGCACGCTTGAAGGAGCCTGATAGGGGGTCAATACTGGCTGCTTACAGCCGTTACGAGTCGTGGTATGTCGTGAGCAATGATACAAATTGTTCGTAACCTTCTTGCACTGTCCTTCTGCCTCACATCTGAATAGGGGCAGGACTCGGAAGGAGAATGGAGTCCGAGAGCCGGATCGGATCGAGCCGAAGACCGAGCCGAAGACCGAGCCGGAGCCAGAGCCGGAGCCAGAGCCGAAAAGCGCAGCGCAGCGCTGTTCGTGGCCGGCTTGTTCCTTCCGCCCCCTCGCACTACCCCACGCCAGGCCCACCCGTCCGACCGGCGTTCAAGCCCACGGCTTTGTCGATTTGCGCTCACCGTCCGCACCTGCGCTCTCTTTGGCTAGGGTCTTACCCTTGACTGGTCGGCCGAGCCCGAGAGGAATCGGACCGCAGTTGGCTCCCGCACTGCAGTTCCGTCACGCGTCATCGCATCGCATCGCGTTGCATCGCACAACGGCATCCCACGCCCTACACACCATCCCGCATCCGATCCAACCCGGTCTCTGACGATCGCTTCGCCACCTCCCCATCCCCGCCCGTCGTGGCTTCACAGGAATGACGATCCGGTTATCGCCGTACCTGCAGCAACGCGTGCTCGCGGCCGCGTCGAGGCTCGAGATCAACTTTGACCCACGCGTTGGACTGGCGAGGGTGCAACGCTATGGGTGGCAGTGGAAGCGCGATTGGCCGTATGCTTTCCTCGTCATCGTGAGTGTTCTTCCTTTCACACGGTCGAGGAGATACGTGCACGTCCGCGGATGGACTTGGCCCTGGCCGCTCCTCGAGCGGCATCCGAGCTCGGCGTGGCCGCCCATGAATGTGCCGTCGATGCTCCCTTTCGACTCGGGTCCGTTTCTTAACGCCCTGCATCAATCAAGTTATCCGAAGCACACTCTGCAAGATGGGCAGGCCATTCACTTGCACTCGACGACGTGGAAAGGACCTTGACCGGGCCGTAGACACGCTGGCCTCTGCGGACCGCTCTGCTGCGCGCTCGTGACGGTTAGCTCGGGCTTTGCACCTCGGCACGGATCGGGGGGTTTGCAGCCTCGTTCAACCTGGAACATGGTGCAACTCCCGAATGAGGCGCGATACGATAAGTGGCCCGGGGCGTCGTGTTTGGCGTCAGGAGCACGGGCCTCTTCCGCTGGACCACCTTTCATCGACGGACCCGCCGGCCTGGAACACAGCGGGCTGCAACAACCGTTCAAAATAACGAATACTGATCGTGATTTCGTACGCGTGTTCACTCGCAGGTTGCCATGTTCTCCCTATGCGTCATGCCCCAGCACATTCTCTTCAAGGTGTTCCTCGTCGGCATCTACACCGCCGCTCTGCTCGTCCCCTTTACATCTCAATTTGTCCTACCAGCAACACCAATCTTTGGCTGGCTCATCCTCTTCTTCTCCTCCCAATTCATTCCGACCAAGTACCGCCCCCACATTTGGGTTTCGGTGCTGCCGACGCTCGAATCGGTGCTCTATGGCGCCAACATCTCCGACATTCTCACGCGCTACACCTCCCCTTTCCTCGACGTCCTGGCGTGGATCCCGTACGGCGTCGTCCACTTCGCGGGACCCTTCTTCGTCGCCGCCTTCCTCTTTGTCTTTTCCCCACCCGGCGCGCTCAAGTTCTGGGGCTCCGCATTCGGGTATCTCAACTTGGTCGGGGTCATGATTCAGATCATCTTTCCTTGTGCTCCACCATGTAAGTATCTGAAGGTCGCATGCCGTGGGCAGAGCACGAATACAATTTCTACGCAGACACTGACATACCTCTTCCTCTACAGGGTACGAGATCCGAGAGGGGCTGATCCCTGCCAACTACGGCATGCACGGCTCACCCGGTGGCCTCGCTCGCATCGACGCCATCTTTGGCGGCAACGGCTACAACAACACCTTCACGAACGCCCCTGTACCGTTCGGCGCGTTCCCTTCCCTTCACGCTGGATGCTCGACGATGGAGGCCCTCTTTCTATCGCACTTCTTCCCAAAGGGTCGAGTCTTTTATTGGTCCTACGTGTTCTGGCTCTACTGGAGTACAATGGTGAGCCGGCTCCACCTGTACCAGACCAGTCTTGTAGTTGCATTTGGTCCGACTCACCTGGCGCTCATCTTCACACACAGTACCTAACTCACCACTACTTGATCGACCTCGTCGCCGGTGGCTCCCTGGCGTGCGCGTACTTTTACTACTACCTCGCCCGCATGCCCGACGAACTCCGACACCCCACGGCCCTAGTCAACGGCAAATTCCTCAACGCCACTCCTTTAGACGAGGAAGTAGGGATGGCATCGACGATGCTCAATGGGAATGGGTACGGGGGGTGGGATTCGATCGATGAGGAAGAGGAAGAGATGCTCGATCGGTTCGGCGCGTCGGCGAACCCTTCTACTTCTTCTTCAACTTCGAGTCCGAATGTGAATCGGACACCTGGTGGGGTGATCACACCGGGGGGTCGGAGCCCGAATTTGACCTCGAACACGGGGCGTAAACCTAGTATCGTACCGAATTCGAGGGTGTGAGTGGCGGGCGCGCTCCGCGACGTGATGATTTGAGGACGATCGGGCGCGCCAAGGTGAGGGTTGATGACCTCGCGTTATGACAGTGACCTTTGACTGTATTGCAATACATTAACGATATACCCGTGATACCAAATCTCATCTCCACGGCGACTGCGAGAGGGGCGACACGTGCCTGAGCCTAATGCAGAAGGTGGAGGATGCGATGAAGAATGGGTGGGTTCGAAAAGAACGAAACATTTAATTTATGTATGGGCATTGGTACACGTGATTATTGACTTGGGTTCAAACAACGAGAAGAGAAAACCTACACGGGCGAGAATAGATATGGGCAATCGGGTAACAACAAAGTATGCAACATCAGCGCGTACAAGGCGAGCCAGGGCTGTTGTAAGGAGAAACGAAACGCCGCGCCGACTCGGTAATGCGAAGGGAGTGGTCAATGGGCGTGGGAGGCCGGCGCGGACCCGTCGGCATCCCATTGCACGAGTTGATCCCATGTCGCCTCGCGATGATGATCGTGCTCCGTCGACTCGTCCGTTTGGAACATCTCGCGCGAAGCATAAGCGTAAACCTCTTCGAGCTCAGCCGCGGTCGAGGTCGAATCACGACTGTCACCGCCACCACCGGCGCCGTCGTTCGAGATCGGGGGTAGGGGGTACAAGCACGCGCCATGCTGTGCGGTGAAATAAGTCTCGTGGGTACCCGAATTTGGATACTCCTGGTATTGGTGATGAGCTTGATATTGCGGCTGTCGCTGCTGCTGATAGCCTCTATCGTCCGTTGTGGTGTCGTGCAAGCCATGTCGTTCGTCCCATGAGCGCGATCGACCGGACGTCTGCGAAACCCTCGCCGATCGAGGCAATTGATTCCACGAACGTGATCGAGACGAGACGGACCCCGCTTCGGTCGACCAATATGACTCCGGCGCTCGGGCTGAGTTGTACGACGTCGAGTGACCGTAAGGATGGAAAGCGACTGGCGAAGGGTTAGGTCGAGAGCGATGGGCCGTCGGTTCGGGCATGGAAAGTTCACCGGCCTTCGGCATCGAGCCCATGATCGTCGGGGACGGCAACATTCCGCGGCTACCCGAAGCGAAACGAATGGCCTCGCCACGCTGTGGTATCCTTGCAGAAGAGACGTAGTCCACCTGAGAATCGGCGCCAATCGACTGTGCGGTGTGATGGGCCGAGAAGTAAGAGTCGGCATGGACCATCCCGCTTGCATGCGCGGGTGACTCCGTCGGTGAGAGAGGTCGCGGTCTCAGTTCTGTCCTAGAGGCGTTGGGAACGAACGAAGGATGCCATGGTGCCATCACCGCACAGTGATGCGAGCTCGGCGCCCCATTTCCGGAAGGTGGTGGCAAGGCGTATTGGAACCCGTTGTTCGCGAGGCTGTGTCCGAGAATAGGGGCGGAGCTGTGGGAAGTTGTTCGAGCAGCCTTGATGGAGCCGCTGCCCGAGTTGGATCGGCCGTCGTAGCTCAATTCGGTCGGCGCGGTTTCGCTCTTTCGGGATTTCCGCGGACCTCTCGCGAGAGCGCCTGCATCAAAGAGAGCGCGGGCAGGTGGGATCGATCAGTAACACAACAAAGTCATTCTCACAAGCAATCAAAGCATGGGAAGAAATGACAGTGGCCTCGAGCGAGGCCATGCGAGCCGCGGCGTGAGGCTCTCAAGTGGTCCCTTCGGTGTCGTGGAGCCTAAGAGTGGGTGGGCGCTCACCTGGACCGTATTTTTCCAGCAGCTGTCGCTTGAGGCCTTCTGCTTTCTCATCGTACATTGATCGTGTCTAGAGGTGCCACGAAATGGAACAGATAGAGCATGTAATCAGTCCCCACCATGCATTCTTTGTGGCTAGTAGGGTGCTCTGGCCGCGATCGCTGCCACCGGGGTGGCGCCTTGGCCGCGTCCCCACGCGCTGTCCGCGCAAGCTTCGCTTTCGCCAACCGCTACTCAGGAGAAGATTGCCTTACCTCTGTTGTCACCGACTTCCAGCGTTCACCGATGATCTGAAGTACAGGGTTGAGGACTTCTCATCTCCTAAACTGGCGCGCTTAACGAGATAGGCATGCATCAGCGACGAACCTTCGACAACTCGCTCTGCGGTTTGGACCGGAGCTCAGGCTCGGTCTCTTTGATAAGCTTGACTTGCTTTGAAAGGGGGTGATTCAAGGATGGAGGGACAGCGAATTAGAATCAATCCACAACAATACTTCAGGGGCACGCCACGCTTTGAGGAGCAGGTAAAGACGTACATCGGCGCGGAAGAGAATGAAGGCATTTGGTGGACGAGTTATGCGCTTCTCCGTAACCGGTGACGATTCTTTGATGTTCGACGCGGTCTCCGGAGAGCTCGAAATGGCGCGCTCCGACTCGGCTTGGAGGGTATCTGGTGCAACAGGGATAGCAAGGCGCGGTCTGATTGTCAATGACTCGTCCTGGTCGAACGCGTTCGGGTGGGCGGAGCCGTGAGGCTGCCAGCCAGAGCCCGACAAACAGGGGGTTCGACACCAGCGCGCACCGTAGTATCTGCCAACTGACCTTGTTCGTGACTGATTTCACTCATCGGAGCTCTGACACGCACGCGGTTGATGTCCTGTGAGGTCTGCGTTTGTGATGTTCTTCGAACACTCGTCCAAAGGCGGTAGATCGAGCTTGGCCGAGACGCGTGGTAGGTGTAAAGTTAAGCGCGCATGCAATCAGCGTCGGACTCGGAAGACTTGTGGTGGCCGGGCCACGACGACTGGACGCGACTGTGGTGCCGAGCGAGGTGGCAGCGCAGCGAGTCGTGTTACGGTACGATCCGAGCAAAGTGCCAATCTGATGTTGCCCAATGTAGGGCAGAGAACGTATCACTGTGTACGCGTACGCGGAGGGGAGGATACAGAGAGGGAACTCGGTGCGGCAGAGCGGTGCATAGATACCTAGATCAGTTGAGGTACGGAATCTAGAGGATCGAAGACTCGCCGGACGCACCCTTAGAACCGAGCTCTAGATCCAGTGGGGAAAGAAGCTTTCCGAATCCCGTTCCTCGAACAAAACGTTCCGCGCCCTTCGAGGGTCCGCGACTCCGCCTGACTCCGCACCGGATCCGCTCCCATGGCACGAGGCGAAGCACGGTACCCAGACATTCCTTGAAGTCCACGCTTTGAGGGGGAGTTGTGTTGTAGCCACTCACGGTAGCACCTAACAAACACGCTCATGAATAATGTACCGGTACATGTTGGTATACGATTATCTGATTTCTCGGGATCGCCCTGTAGCGAAGTATCGAGGGTAAAACTCTCAGTATATGCATTGCACCCGCGGGAACGTGCCGACATTTCCAAATGCGTACCGGCTTGCTCGAGCAAGGGGAAAAACGGTGATTGTAATTACATGTTCACTTGGTGGAATACATTAACAGGCACTTGATTACTGGCCGTTGGCTTTCTCTGCTGATTCGACGAATTTCGTCCGGGGTTATCGACGGCGGACCGGTATGTTTCGGACAATGTGAGTATGAGGCCATCCCACGCTTCGTACGTACTTCGGTAGATATGCTAACGTAGGTCCTAGACACTGAAACCACTGGGAAAATAAACATCGAAGTGGTCCTCGCATGTGCCTCAATACCCAGGCACAACCTACGGAACGTGATAATTCAAATGGTGCGGAATGAGGCACGCCCGTCGACCACTTTATAGACCCGATCATTTGGCGCGTGCGCGCCAAGCTCAGCGGGCGATACCGTGCGCGCTCTGCGCATGGGCACTGGGCACTGGGCCAGGGCAGTCTTTCTCCGGTCGTGATCTACACTTTCTCCAGGAACGCCGCCGAAGCCTCTCGCTTCGACGCTGCGGCCCAGAAGAGGCATTGGGCGAGGCACGCGCGACCGGAATTGCATCTTCAACTTGTGAGATTGACAATCTCCTCTATTTCCTTCTCGCATCAAGTCTCCCTTTCTCTGTCTTGTCTTACTCCATTTTTGGCCTGCCATTCCCCACCTTAGCTCTCTCCCTCTCCGGGCTGGGTCCGTGCGCCTGACACAGGCTGCTGGCCCAGCCGCGCACTTGCCTCAGCCAACTGGCTCCGCGCTTCTTTCTCTCCTGCTCAAGCAACTTCTTGGTCTGGTCTCCTTGGTCCGTCGATCAGAGCCTTACCACCGCTTGAGCAGGCGTCACAACTTATACAACTATCGGGATCTAGATCGGTAACCCAGCAAGCACCTGCAGTGGTACCCCGATACGCACGTAATAGAGGCAGGTAAGTAGGTGCCTAATACCTAGTGGCTCTCACCTTCAAGTGGTCTGCACCTATCCGTCCCTCAGAAAGTCTGAAATGAAGTGGATTCTGCCGTCGTCGTTGCAACCTACGACGAGAGACAGGTAAACTGGCCGAAGCAGGCTCTCACGATCGAGCACATCATCGCTTCCCGAATCGCTACCGAGCTCAGCCGCGGTCGGAGAGCGTTACATCGGATGCGCGATTCGTTTATCGGGTGCACTTCTGCTCGTCTCTGGAATGGGTATCGATCTACCCCGTATACAAAGTTTGCCGCCCACATCGAGAGCGGCCCGTCTGAGCCCGCGCGGAAAGTGCGAGCCGCGCCAGACTCCAACGCGCGAGAACAACTTTTCGCAAGAAAGGGGGTGATGGAAAAAAAAAAAAATCCCCTGATGGTGTAGGTGCCTTTTCACCACCTCGGGCAGACATGAGAAGCAGGTAGGAAGCGCGCCCGCACGACCGGGCAGCGCTCGGCAGGCGCCCCGCGCGCGCGCCGGCAGCGCCGCCCCCTGCCCGCGCCCGCCCCCCGGGCAGCGCGGATAGTGCCCGCGCGACCCTGATCCTATCCCGGATAGTATGCTGGGGCAGGCGAGCGGGCAGCGCCACTCGAGGCCCAGGCAGCGGATAGTCAGACCGGTCGCGCCACGCCCACCGTTCCTCTGCGCCCCCGGGCTCCTTCCTTTCCTGCCTATCCTTGTCACTCCCTATACCTATACCTTTGTTTAAATTTTTATTCGTCTTCCTTTCCTATCACTTCCTATTTCCTATTACTTTTTTATATTATGCTGAAATAAAATAATATCTTTCCCCCCACCGTCCCCCCTCCCAGCCGGCCCAGCCGCCCAGCTTGACGGTCTTCCTTTACTATCACTATCACTTCCTATACCTTGGCTTTTTTATTCTAATAAAATATCTCATCGTTTTAGATTTATCTGGTGTGTACCTGGCGGACGGACTACACGTGCTTTTCTTTTCCTTTTTAGAGAGCTCGTCCGAGTCTTTTCAACCCCTCCGCCCCGCGGCGCGGCCTCGTCGACGGGGACCGTGCGCGCGCAAGGACAGGGCCTGAGCTTGTTTCCTGAGCGAACCTGGCTGTTTTATGCTTCGGCTACGGGATTTCGGCGCATCTGAGACACGGTGATTCAGATTTGATTCAGTTTTGAAATAAGACTAGGTGGATAACGGATAATCTCAAATGTAAAAGTCCTTCAAAAAGTTGTAGGATTTCTAGGCCACGGAGGCCCGGAAAACACGGAGTCAGCGGCTCCTGGGGCTGGTAGGAAAAGGGAACAAGGGAGCGCGGCCGAGGGATCGCCGTTCTCACGTGCCGTCCTCGAAACGCAACTTCAACTCCGCTCTCCGCTCTCATCGTCTCAATGTTTGTCAATCCTATCATTTCCTCTTACCGTAAGGTAAGTGTACACCTGTCCTATGCTATGCTTGCTACGTGAGGTCCCCGACAGTCTCAGGAGCCTTAGGACGTCGTGCAATCGATCAGGTCCGATCGCGAGACTCGACTCGACTCGTTCGACCCCACAAAATCCGTTCCCATACTACTGTGGAGAGCGAAAAGCAGCCCGAGATCGCGATCGCATCGAATGAACGCATGAAATAGCAGGTACGTTGAGGATTTTCGACGTTTGGATACATTTGATCACGTCGAGCCAGGTAGCCTGCTAGTGTGATTTTATTCAGACTCGGTCTGCCGTGATCAAAGCGCCGGAGCGAGAATTCCTCTCGAGATATGCGATGGGAAATGCAGATGGAGTAGTCTATGGAATGGAGTAGAATACGGGTTTTTGTTCGTAACGAGGGCTAGTATCTAGGGTACTCCTCAGGAATCAGTGTATTATATGCACCTCCTCAATTTGATACTCGCTCAATTTCGTTCCGGCCAAAATAAAATGAGGTGCCGAATCAGCTCGCGGAGATCGCGAGGTTTTGTAAGGCCGGCTTGATTTTGACTTACTTGAGCGAGCAAAGATTTTTACGAAATGAAAGTGACTGAAAATGCATTCGCAAGGAAGGCTAAAGAAGATAAATTAAAGGGCCGAAGTGGTCGCCTCTGGCAGTGGAATCGGAAGCCACCAAGTGAAGCTGCGGGGAACGAAGTGAACGGGGGGAGGACAGAACCGATCACGAGTCGGCCACAGACAAAAGGGTTCGCACATGTAATAAACAAAAGCGATGGACGGAATGCGACAGAGTGCAGCCAGCTGTAGAGGGTACAGATGAAGAGAGACAGAGAGGGTTCAGAAAAACAGAAACAACGGAGGCCGGGGCGAGATGAGGTCGAACAGATGAACAGATCGGCGAGGGGCCGATGCCCCCCGACGGAAGCGAACCAAGTGCCAGCCTCGATGCATGTTGTGGGGTAAATATGCCCAACTCGACCATACACTATTGGTACTGGACTCGGACCGCCAATTTGAGAGCATCGTAGTTGTTGAGTTGCGCTCCATTGACTTCGCGCGTGTCCTTCTTCTGCATGTGCTCGTAGAACTTTCGGTACCTTGCGAAGTCCGCGGGGGCAAGCGCCGTCTTGATGCTTGCCACAACGAGCTCACTTCGTTGCTGTAAGGTACCATGTCGAGATGGAACTCCTTCCACGGCCTCGTTGATGAACTTCAGGACCCTGTTTATGCGAGTCCATTCGACACCGGGTGCGGTTTGACCTGGCGCACCGCGCCAGCGAGTTCCGAAGCGGCGCTCCATTTCGCGCCAAGGCATCGACGGGTTTCGCCGATCCCCATCCTTTGCCACACCCGTTTCGTAAAGGAGATACACATCCTCCACATTTGTAGCAGGATTGAACTTAACGACGGGAAGCCATCCGGGGGGTGTGATGGTGGTGCTCCATTCTACGAGCGTGCCAGGGAACCGGGCAAGATCATCGAGGCCCAGCGCTTCGAGTCGCGGATCGACATACATAGGGTTTCTCTCCTTGACACGTCGGTATTCGGCGAGCAGGTGGCCAACATCCTCCAACTGGTCGCTTGCTGGAGGTCGCAAGAGTGCGTCCATGGTCGCATGATGAGACGGTAATCGGTACGCCAGCGATTGGCCCACGCGCATGCGATCCGATCGATTGCCCGCGGCGGCTGGTGGGACAGCTGCGCGCATGGCCGTATGAGAGATCGCTGGTTGGGTTGGCGAGGTTCGGAAACTCGTCGATCGGGAAGGCGGGGTTCGGAAACTGACAGATCGGGACGGCGAGGCGGGGGAATGGGCCCCGGGTGCCGGTACTCCTCGAGACGATGAGGGCGAAGCTAAGGCTGGGCTTGACGAAGGCGATTGCGGTGGGTGCGGCCTCCGACTAGCATCTCGATATCCTAATACAAGGGTAATACAAAGGAGAGGCAAGTAAGCATTGGGTAGGAACACCAGTTGATGCACGCAGAAGGTAGCAGATACGTACTTGTAGGCGCGGACATGTGCGCATCCGACAAATCACGACGATCGTCGTCGGAATTGTCATCGTCGTCATCGAAGTCGCGGACAAATTCGTGTCGTCGTCGCTTCCTTACATGACCGTGAAAGTGACCGCCTCGATTATGCTGTTCGATGAGAAGTTCCAAGATTCGACGATTATCGCTGCGAAGGTGAGCAGTTGCAGACTGGCGCTCCGAGGATTGCTGGGCGCCAAGCCTGTCGACGATGGAATCAAGGAGGCCGCCGTACACCACTTTGAGGGCGGCTTCTTCACGGCCATTCCCCTCCACACTGGCCACAAAATGCGGAGCCCACGTTCGAAATCGGTCCGACTGAAACAGGCTCGCTTGGAAAATCGGTGCATCTGGAAAGGCTTGAATCAAAAACGCCGCATCTTGAAGGATGACGAGTCTGAACCATTGGAGCAGCTTCAAGTGACCAACCAACGCCTTGTCTTGACAGAGCTCATCGGCCTCAAAGCGCTCCTCGAATTCGGCCAAAGCGGCTTCGACCCATGGGAAGATAAGTCGTTGAAGATCGTCAGGCACATCTGGGAAAGCGACGGGACGGAGAGGTCAATATTGCCAGACCAAAAAGCTCGATGAAGGAGTAGACATACCAGCCTCGATATCACGAGCCACGTAGTACCTCTCGGGAAACTTTCCATTAAAACCGGCGAGGGCAATGAAGGAGGTGGTTGGATCGCCACGTTGGTAGACGCTGCGGAAGGTGCCATCGCTCCAGCCTCCAAGAGCCTTCGTGTCGGCTTCATTCGCGCCTCTCTCCGCCGACATTTGGGCACCAGCAATGCGGCTGAGATGAGTCGTGTGACTAGAATGCACATCACACTCCTTGAGGAACGTCGAAACGGCAACGTTGTGACCTAGACGAAGAAGATGGCGAAGTTGAAGATCCCATCCCCATCGCAGGCATAAGCGAAGACGAGCAAAGGTTTCAGTCAGCGACCGACCGATCTCAGCAAGTCGAGCTAAGCGCCCTCCGATCAGGCACCAAGAGTGCCGACTCACCCGAGTAGGAGATCGGATGCAGCTGTGCGTCGCCGCTAAATGCGCTCGGGAAAAGGGGGACGTTGTACCATTCTCGATACCCGTATTTCGAACTGCCTTTAGAGAAATCTGGCTCGAACGAACCATATGGGAGTCCTCCAGTGTACTCATCGCGGAACCACATGTAGAAGGCGACCGCGCCGACATTGCAAATACGAGGGTCGAAATGACGGGCAACGGGCTTGTAGTCGAGACGACCTTCCTTGTTCGTCTTGCCCGAATCGGCCACGATATAGAGCGTCTTGATCGGCGGGTGATCCGGTCGTTCGAGCGCTCGAGCGCTCGCATTGACAAATCCGAGAAGGCGAGAGCACGAGTGTTGTCGCCGCGGAATAGCGTGGCGAGCGAGACTGCCCACATGGCGCGGTTGCGAAGCGACCGGGTCACCGAGTGTACGGCAGTCAGCTTACCGGTCGGCCCCTGGCAAAGAAGGTGTTCACTAATTTGTAGTTGTTCTTCTTTGGTGACATTGTCGGATGCCGTTCCTTCGATTTTGTTGGTCTGGGCGGACTTCTTTCGACCGGCCTCGCGTTTCTTCCAGCCGGCCTCGAGATTACCGATCGGGGGAAAATCTCGCGGCTTGCCCCGGGCCGCAACGCTTGTGCGATCAATTTAATCGATTACACGGTACTGGAGGCACGTCAAAAGCAAGCAACATGTGTTATTCAAGGGAGTAGATTCATTGCGGGTACGAAGGGAAAGGCATGCGAGCTTACATGTTCGAGGGCGTTGAGATGCTATGAACGGTGGGGAAGCCGGCATGGCGCGATCAATAGACGCCCAATTCGCTAGGTGCAGAGGCCAGTCAAAAGCCATAGTTGAGATATAATACTCACATTTTTCAGCACCGAAACACCAATGGTCGTGCCTTCAATGTCCTCGCCTTGATCGACACCCGTACCTGATCTGCGCGCGGGTCGCTTGGACTCGGAGCTCAAAAAATTCAAGACCATATCTGGGTCGATCGGTCGAACGCAAGCGCCGGGCCACGTTTCAGCCATGAATTTGGTGTAAGATTTGAGCGATTTTTCGTATGCGCTGACTGTCTTGGGCGCCAAGTTGGATGTGCTAGTGCAACTGGCGATGATCGCGTTATTCGACGCTTGAACTAGAATCTCGGCCAGAGCCAGACGGCGGGTGGCGAGCAGCAACCGTCAGTAAAAATTCGCGCCAAAGTCCCGGGTCTGCCCCGAGTCCGAGGACGGATAGGACAAGAGACTCACGTCGTGCAGCAAGGCTTCCCATGCCCTGCTCATTGCCCTCACCCTCGCTTGCTTCATGCTCACTCTCGGCGTGCTCGCCGTCGTCCTCTCGACATTCGAATTCGTCGCGGCAATCGGCGTTCGAATCGGTGACAGGGACTGAGTGCGCGGTGCTAGCCGAGCCACGAATGGGGGAGGAATTGGGAGTCATTCCTTTCGTCGCGTTGGTCTGAAAATACTGTGAGTCGATTGCGGAATTGGTGGCGTTGGTGCCGAGATCGGTCGAGACGAGAGCTCGTCGGTTCAACCGAGAGCTCGGAATGACGGTCACGTGAGGAAGTTCCAAGCGCACTCAGTGTTGATCAAGAGAGATCGTACAACGGTCGTGCGAGTCGACAGCAAGTAGATAGGCAGTCGAAGTAGGTCAAGGGAGACGTGGCGCCCTCTTCGTTCAGTCGAATACGGGCGAGGAGAGTGGAGATGCGAAACGCAGTGAAGTCAATCAGAGTTCGTTCGCGACCTCATCACGGACAGACGCGTGCACGGTGCCGGCCAAACTCGACAATCCACTCACCAGCGGCAAGGCACTCGGGTTGCGATGGATACACGACTCGAGCAGCTCGAACTGCTGCTTGCAAAGGAGGATGCGAAATCGCCACAAAGGAGTATGCCACCGCCAGCCCAGCCAACGACTCTGAGTGGAATGTGGCCAAAACATTTGAGTAAGGGGCCCGGCCTCGCGCGCTGGGCCTCGCGCGCTGACCCACGCTGACCCACACCGCCCGCATCCGCCTCGGGCACGCCTCAAACAAGGCGGCCCGAGCTCAATATTGGTTTCGAATATTCAGGCTGGCGCTCGCGCGCGTCCCGGGCAGGCCTGCCCAGTGCCTTGCCCCACTGTGTGGGCAGTATATACTGCCCTCTAGACCTCAACAAGCCCGCGCGCAACGCGCCCCCTGCCGCCTTATGAACAATCTCGCCGCTGTTCTTTTCGGCCTTTGCTGCAAGGATTTGAAGCGCCGATCGAGCTCGCGCGCTCGGACCTCCCCTCTCCTCTCTCCCTTGTGAGTCTTAGCTGTGCTCCCACATACGCGGGGTCACAGGTGGTCACTCGCGCTGCACGTCCACTCGGGGTCTTCAGTGCATCGTTGATTCTCTTCACCAGTCTCTGCCGCTGCGTTCCAGCACTTGCTGGGACAGGTGTGTTCTTCACTCCGAAGAGTACCTCGCAGTTGGCGAAGCCTCTGACCGAGTTTTCAATCACGCCGCTCTTCCACAAGATCAGGGGCAAAGTCAACTCCGACGGCGGAGTTCCCATCAATAAGGACGTGACGCCGGCTTTGACGCGCAAGTGGCAGTGTTGTTCCTCGGGGTTCCACTCTCGATTTCACTTCCCCCAGCATCACCCGAGGGTGCCTGGCCGACGTCAACCTTGTGATCTATCATACCGATGCGTGCCTGCGGAATGCCGAGGACACAGGCGCAGAGGTCGGGTTTTGGCTCGTCTCGACCGGGGGTGCACGTCACCACTTCTATTGCCGCCCCGACACACCTACCAGAGGATCCAGTTTGCAGAGTTGTTGGCGGTCGTCCGACTGAACCTTTGACATCGCTACGGATCCGGCTCTCGGCTAGGGTCCGTTTCGCCTGTGATTACGCCAGTGGAGCCTGTTCCTCTCGTACTGCCGCTATCCTCGCTGCCGACCATCGTATCGCTATGTCGGTGTCTACTAGCAATATTGTTCACTCGACTGTCCATCAGACCCTTTCGAACCTGACACACTGCTTCGAGCCGATCAGGGGGGGACGAGTGGACCTAGATCCGCTCCTCACGCCCCGTCAGGCTGGTGATCATAGGAGGCCTCAAGATTTGGAGGTGGGCCGCCAAGCGAGCTACGCCGCTGCCCTTCAGTCCGGTCGACTACGCTCTCGACGCAGGGTTATCTGTTCAGCTATCTCGTATGACATGACCACCTGCTCTTCCTCGCCATGGTCGCCCTTGTCTTCGGTGCGTGCGCTCGAGGTGCCGAGCTCTGGGTATCCAGCACGGCTGCGTACCAGGATCACGACAAGCCCCTCTGCCCCCCGACAAGGGTCAAGATCGACGAGTATTCTGTCATTGTGCATCTACCTTGCCACAAGGCCGACCGCCGGTTGGTAAGGCTCTCACTTCATTGTCGTCCGACAAGCGATGAGCACCTCATTCTTGGACATCCTCCGGAGGGTCATCGCCGCACGAGATCAACGACTCCCGCACGCTGTCTAGCTACTCTTTACGAGGAATGGCCACCATCCCACCCTGAGTTGGTTCATTCGTCGTCTTTGAAGGCAATCCGGGGGGTATTGCAGGAGGCCTTCCCTTCGTTCTGGCGGCGAGTCAGATCAAACGTCTAGGTCGTTGCAAGTCCACAGCTCGGGAGGACTGTGTTCGAGTGGCCCCTGTGGTACTCGGGATCCCGTCGGAATTATCATTTCAAATTAACGCAATACTAGTGGACTTAGGCGCCTCGGCAATGAATCACTTCCGGCGGTCGACGAGGATAGCTGCCGCAGCGGCAGAAATGATCAGATTAGGCACCTCGGCGACAGTTCACTTTCGGGCGATCGATCAGTCAATTACGATGCACCCGACCTGCACACGGAGGACTTGACCGGACGGGAAGACGGAGGCTACAGACGGCTCACGGGAGGAAGGAGGCTAAAGTGTGAGGATCTATTATAGAACCTTGCTTGTAAATCTTTCCAATGACGCCGCACATAGCTGCCGGAGCTGCCGCAGAAGCTTGACACAGAGTCCAATTGGGACTTAGAGTTGACGCATTGCAATAGCCTGGCAGCAGTGCAAAGGTCTAAGGGGAAGTATTGAAGGTGTTAGTAGACCTTGCACTGATATCAGGGGCCGGATAGCTTAGAGGTCAAAGCTTTCCCGATTGATGGAAGCGACCCAGGTTCGACTCCTGGTCCAGCCGTTTCTCTTCTTTTGTTGATCATTTTCGGAATCATCGTTGATTCCAACATAAAGATGGCTCACGGGAGGAAGAGGAGGCGATCATTACCGGACTTTTACTTTTGCCCCGCGAATACAATACTCGGAAAACGACGAGCAATGCTGGGAAATTTAGAGCAGGGCTCGGACGGAAGACCGGGACGGACGAGGGAAAAGCGGGAAGAGCGGCTAAATGCGGGACTGAGGCGGTGAAGGGGAAGGAATGCGGCGGAGCGGTTTACAAGACTAGGAGGTCTCGAAGGAGCTTCTTGTTCTCGGGGAGACGACTTCTAGGGCCCAATACAGTATCTTACTTGGCTTTCATCTTCTGCCTGCTTCAAGTCTCGTTCGGCATCATATTCCAGTCTCCGGTCTCAGCGTTATCTGTACTAGCCCTCTACCGCTCTCGCTCCTCTCGACCCCTGTCTCTCGGCCGTTCCAATCAATTTCTCGTCTCTTTCACATCGGGCCTCTTAGCAGCTCTCAGTCACACTTCATCCCTTATATTCCTTGTTTCATCATCTTTGGTCATCCGCTTTGCTATACCAGACGCCGTCACACTCCGCAGATCTCCTTCGGTAACAACTTCTTCACTTCCAAATTCATCAAGAGCAAAACAATGAAACAGGTGGTTCTTTCTCATCCTGCTGCAACTCGACGAGCTCACTGCTACACGTCATGTGAGGGGGCGCAGATTCAGGGAGTCAATGCTGTCAAGGATAGCTGGTTTCACCGTCCTCATCCGAACACAACATCTAAGTTGTGTTGAAGTAAATTACTCTTGCCTTAAATCCGCACTACGTGCGTCTCCACTTTGTATTAGTCGCGCGCGCTATTCGCGTCTTTGCTTCCTCTTCTTCACTTGATTACGAACTCATTGGCTCGTCCCTGCCGCCAACTCGTTCAGCACATCGCTGTTCAGTTTCAATAAGCTGGTCTTTGGGATTGAGCCCAACGTGCCTTCATTTGCAGTGGCCCGTTAATATTTCAATCTTCCAGCTCTAATTGTCTCCTTAGTCTCTCTATTATCTCAGTGCTTTATCAGTTAGCTTTCCATGAGTGTACCTCTTAGTCTCTGACCACTCTGTTCTCGTCCCTGTTCATTGGACTGAGTCGTGGTCATCATCAGGTCAGCTCCTTTGGAATCTCATCACTCTGTTCTCGTCCCTGTTTATTGGACTGCGTCGTGGTCATCATCAGAACACTTCGTGAAAAATGCTACCAAGGGTAGCATTTTAGGCTCAGCGTCGCGAAAACCTCTGCTCCGAGTCAGAGTTCTGGCACTGTCACTTATAATCTCTACATTTGCTTCGTAGATGATCAACGCAACATATCATCACCAAAGAATTGTTATAAAGAAGAAATTTAGATCCATGCCGAAGGTCTAGATACTGTGTACATGTGTACAAAAGCGACAAGCTATCGATTTCAGTTATGACCCTGTGCGCGCTAAGATTCGGGACATTTCTCTCGATCGAAGCTCCGCGGGAACAGTCCGTTACTACCGGTCACTTGCTGCCCCGTTACCACCTCTGAGAATACGAACCTTTCTACTCATCTGTGACCCCTTCCTTTAGCCGGCCTTCTGGGAGGCAAAGATGAACTTGCTGAAGAGCTAGTGCGTGGTGAAAGCGAAGGTTTGGTCAATCGAGTGGCAGCAAGCGTTCCGAGCGCTTCAACACGACCGAGGTCCTTCCGGCTAAGCCCGAGGCGTTTTCGCTCTCAAGCGCAGATGCACTATGGCAAGAAAGCGTCTATTCATCCAGATACTCTTTTGACAGCAAGGCTATTCTCTACTGAGATACCACGCCAGCTTACAAGGGGGAAAAGCCGATTTGACCCCAATAGGGACGGGCATGCTAGGCGCAAACTTCACTCAGCCCGACTACAGGACAACCCCACACACAGGCGCCTTCAACACATGCATTTGCGGGTCGTCCGATGATATAGCGAGTCTTACGAGAGCTGAAGCACAGCATCGTCCATACTCACAGCATGAAAGGAGGGGTGAGGGGGTGAGGGTCCTCTTCACCATCTACTGGAAGGTGGCCACTGCTGGCGACGAGTAGTGTCGTTCCGGAGGCAGAGAAAGCGCAGCAGTAGGTCGACGCAGTTGATCCTTGCACAGGCATAGCGGGCCTCGCTTATAATCGACTTGAGATGATTCCGCGCACGGGACGGCTATACGGAGCTTTTCCCAAGTTTGGGGCCGCTTATCACCGGCGCTGCTTACCGGTCTTGAGTGAGTGGGCGTGTGGGGGCGAAGCGTGGTTAGTACGGAATGCGCTATGGAATGCCGGACGTTGTCGTTGCGGACGTGGAATGGTGCCGGCGCTCGCGCATCTGCCAGCGTCTTTTCTTCTTGCACGTCTTGAGGCATCTGAAGCTGTCTCAAGCCAACACTGATTCGACGAGAGCACTGCATAGCGTGAATAGAGGGGTATATTGTTGGCGGCAGTCTGGCCAGACTGGTCGAAGGGTGGGCGGATTGCGGGAGCCTTGATAATTGAACGGTGAAGCACGGCCGGAGCGAGAACGAGAGCGAGTAGGGATCGCGAGGTGCAGAGCTCGACACGAGTGACCAAACCCGTACGAGATAACTCATAGCGGTGCTGCTCAGACCAGGTCAGTATAAAGGGAAAAGCAAGACCGGCAACGCGTCGGCGCCAAGCGAGTCGGCGCTTCACCCGGCATATGCTATCAGTCACTGCCCGCGCGCAGTGTCAGGGGCCCTGGGCTAGGAGCAGGACAGTGCATGCGGATAAGTCTCTGTGCCCTTCGCGTCCCATGACTCGTCCACCAATCCAACCTCTGAGGCCCGCTGGACCCTCAAAAAATAGAAGTTCTATGCTCGAGTCATGAACAGGCGGTCCAGGCGGTACCTGAAACGGGAAGAGCCAACCTCGTGACTAATCTCGTAATCATTATACTATTAGGCAAAAAACTGTAATAGGAGCGTACCTACTGGGTCAGCTTGTGGAAGATGCCGCCTCCACACCTTCAGAACCTTTCAAAAGATCAGCCGTAGACTGCACTTGATCGAGCGGGTCTGAGGTAATGCACCTGTTTTTCTCCCATCGTCGAACAAGATGAATCGCTGGATTCAAACTGACGGAGCGGCAGTCGGGCACGGAGACGCGAGCTGACGCGAGTCGCCGTCGGGCAACCCGAGATCCCGGGGTCGCTCGGCGTCAGGTGCCTGACGATTTCGCACCCGTTTCTGGCTATGGTCCTACCCTGGCAGCCTGGTGCCGCGGTTCCGCGATCTCCGAATGAGAACGTGAACTAGTGTCCAGCTAGTATACACGAACGAAACCACCGTATCAGGCGCTGAACCTCGAGTGGAGCCAACACAGCTCAGGACCAACGCGATCGGACCTGCATCGCTCGTTCGAATTGAGTTATTTGTCACGGACTTGAAAACGAGAGACGAGATCGGCTGTCTGATGTCTATCCCTAGCAACATGATTCATACAGTGAGTACGTCCCCAGGTAAGTGCCATGGATTAGCAATGGGTACAATTCAATAACATCGCTGCGTACGGCACGAAAGTCGTCGGCCAAGGGAAACTAGCACCCAAACCGGCCCGGTCGATTGGTGAGTCTTTCCAGGGGTGAGGCGGTGAGGCGCGCACCTCGGCCAGCCAAGGCCAGCTCCAGGGCTTTCAACTAGCTAGGAGGTGAGGTGCATGAAAGAAAATGCCAATCGTCGCTTGGCCCTACTACTTACTTATAGCGCCGAGGTGGCTCAAGATGTTCAGCAAAGCCTCGTTGTGTTCCGCCCATCGGAGACCCGCTACGTCAGACCGAATCCCATTTTTTAAGTCATGGACTCGCCGATCACGGGAAAGAGCGCCGCTGAGATTGGCCCACGGGTTCCGGAATCACACGGGCACGCGCGCCTGTCCGCTACCGAGCCGCGCTGAAATCAGCTGGTTCGGAGACCAAGCAAGGCTTTGCGACACCAAGAGTACGTGCCTACCCTTACTTACGAACCCAACTAACAGCCAGGGCCATGCTCAGCTTGAAGTCACTTATTCTGCCTAATTGATTATGGTCCACAGAGAGCCTATGAAGTGATGAGAGGACACCACGCAGCCGGATTGGATCTGCTGCGCATGGACAGGCTCCGTGCGAGGCAACGCCGAACTTTCTTACAGAGGCACACTTGGGGTGATACCGAGTGCAACAGCCTTGGTACTCCTTCTCTTTTTGAAAATGCTTTTTCCTCTTTTCTTGGCTTGACACCCCGGTCATAGAGTGCCGCCAGCGAGAGAGTGGACTCGCCCTCGGACAGTTCCTTGGAAACACTGCCAGGATGCGCCGGCACCGCTGAGCGGCGGCGTGACATCTTTTGATGCACGACTCCATCAAAGCCCCTGTGCTGCGCACACAAGGGCGGTCGCAAACCGAGCTGCGCTAGAGCTTCCTTTGCAAGCGATGCCATTTAAAACACTGGGACCTTGCACGAAGTGTTCACGCCGGTCCACGGTGGGAAAAAAGCAGCGTCAGAGACTCGACCACTGCCTAGTGTCCTCTGGGCACAGGGGAAGAGACTAGCTTGAGTTGAGGGGCCAAGTCAACAAGGTGAGGTCCGAATTCATCGCCAAGGTTAGACCCTTCGTCAGCGAGGGACGATTAAGAGCTTTCTCTGATGAGCCATCGATGCTCGGTTCGACATCAGCAGCAGCGTGGCCCTGAATTATGGTGCCGATCCTTTCTGGGCTTAGGTTCTGGGCCTGCCGAGGTGCGGGCTGCAGATGCGCCTGGCTGAGTGAGGTTCAGAGCTCAGAGTCAGAATTGGCCCGGGGCCCGTGGGCCGGGACCCACCCAGAGTGGAGCCAGTTGGGCGCTGGCGGAGCGTCAGTGCCCAATATCCATGGCGGCCGTGGCCTATGCCCACTTGCCTCGACTTCACACACTGCCCGAGTCAGAGCCGGGCTCGCCACTCTTGCGTGCCAACCACCGCTCCACGACGATCTTCATCAAGTCGACTACGACAGCCTCCGCTGGCCCCCCGCTGTAGTGACCGCTGCCGCCCCGTAGCCGAAGGTCTCACCGTCATAGGTTTCGTCCTCCGTCCGTCGAGCTTCGCTCATCCGTGGTCCGTCGTCTTACGTTCGCCGGCGGTGCACACCGCACACGCCCTCCTCTTCTGTCGTTGCTCGTCGCCGGATCGCCAGGTCGAACCAGTTAAGCCCCTGTACGCCGAGTGCGGCCTCCTCGTGAAGGCTGCCGGACATGTCTGAGACTGAATCAATGACATCCTCGCGGCGCTTGCACTGTTGCTGTGTCTCAGATCTCTTTAAGGCTCAGCTCGTTCAAGGCCAGTGTCGCGGCGCGGGCATCGGATTTCGGCTCCCTAAGCGTACCTGTGACTCCTCTTGCCACAGAGATCACTGACGGCACCCCTTGATTCGACCCTCGACGACATAACTCCTCTGATCCGAGCTCATCATTCGAATCGTGGGATCGTCGTTGTGATCTTCGAGGATCGCCTGGCCAGCTTGGACTCGCAGGGAGAACGGGGCTTTTGAGTCGTGCCCAGATTGCATCATCTTGGATTTTTGTTCAAGATCTCGCTCTCTTCCCTTCCATTTTTCACTCCGAGCCCCGCAAATTTCTCCGTTGGAGCTTCAGCCATGTCCCACTACATTGAATCGACGTCGTACAACCACGATGGTGAGTGTTTCGCTCTTGTCCCCTCACGATGTCGTCGCGCTCGGTGACCACCGAAGCGGTGTGCTCGTGCTCGTGGTTCCTTCTTATTGGCATCAAGGAGGTACTTGCTGACTGTGCCATTGCTTTTTTATTTCATGTGTTCTTTGCCCATCTCTCGTCCGCCGCTCCGCTCTCTGGCGCCGTCTCCGACCTGCTAATGGACAACCGTACGAATACGATGCGCCATACCCCCCCGTCGCTGGTGACCGACCACGCGACCGAACAACGTGACCGACCACCGAACACGCCTCTCGGGCCCGCGCGGCTGGTGCACATCTGACCTCCTTTCCCGACCGACCACGCACCACCCCTGTCCCCCTGCCCACCTTTCGCGCCTTTTTCGCTTGAACGATCTCAGTTGTCGACCGATCGCCACGGCCCCGCGTCGCGCCCGGCCCAGCGGTGGCTGCCTTCTCGGTTGAATCGTCCACGACTGGCGCACCCTACTCGTCCCCTTCGCAACCGACCCCGACGCAGCACCACAGTCCGGTGCGCCACTCGGCTCGCGGCATGTCGTCGCACCACCACGCCCACCACGCCCAGCACGCCCAGCACCCATCGAACCTGCAATCCCCGCTGTCGTCGCCTCATCTTGGCTTTGCCGGCTCGCCCCGATTCAGCCACGCGCCAGGCGCTCCTCAGGCCCCGGGCCAGGGCGGCGCGCCGGCAACAGGCTACGCCGGGCCTGGTGTTCGCAACTACCACAACCTCGAGATGGCATCCTACCCTTCTAACGGGGCGGGTCCGTCGACGCCGCACCACCATGATATGCACTCGTCACCCATGATGGGGGGCTCGCGCGTGCACAGCCCGGCACCGGCTTTGCAATCGCACTCGCATGCCGGTTCCTACTACTCGGCCTCGACGCAGCACACGCCCGTCTTGGGCGGCCCTTCCGCCGCGTCATCGATCAACGATGGGCCCAACCCCGCCTCGAACAACCACAACAGCAACAGCGGCTCGGCCGGGGGTCATCACTCGGTCCATGCCTCGCCGTACCACACCCCGATACTGCGCCACTCGGAATCACGGGAGCCCAGCTCGCCCCGGGTCATGACCACGTCGACCTATTCGCCGACGATCCGGGTGCTGCAGTGGACGCCTCAGCACGGCGACGAGGGCACGCAGGTTACGATTGTGCTTGACTCTTACGCCATCAACGGCGCGCCCGCGACACAGTACTCGATCGCCGCCTTCGGTCCCGGCTCGTCGACGAGCGGCCATAAGACGGCCGTAACGCGCCGGTTCGTCGTCGCGTTTGGTGTCGCTGCCGCCCCGACCCGGTTCGCCCGAGCGCAGAACATCGATGGCAACGGCGTCGCCCAGTCCATGTCGGCCGGACCCAACGAGATGGACGCTTTCGTTGTCTTGTCGACCTTTGTGCCCGCGCGGCAGTCGATGGGCCCGCTCAACGAACGCGTCCTGGTCAGTGTGCGAGTGCTCGACGAAGGCTCGGCAATTCTTGAGGAGACCGTCGTAGGCGAATGGGACGCCGCGCCGCCGCTGCCGCCTTCCCCCGTGCGGCGTGCCCTACCCACGTTCAAGCGTTCCGGGGACGAGCTCGAGGTCGCTCGTGACGCCCCTGGCCTGCGCAGCCCCTTGGTCACCCATTCGACCCCGCGCCGCAACCGAGAGTACCTCTCTCCGCCGCAAACGAACGGTCAATTCTCATCGCCTGTGCTCGGTGGCGGCGGCGGCGGCGTCGGGGCGCACCACCCCGATCGCTCGCCTCGCCTTGACGACAGCGAAACGGCAGCCTCGGCCAGTCTACGACATCCTCCGCTGCAGGACGATCAGGACCCGGGCGAGATCGAGGCACCCCCGTCGCAACCAGATCTCTTAAGGACCTCCCAAATCCCGCCCTCGCTCGTCGACGACACGGGCTCGTCGCTCGTCACCTTCTCCAACAAGGCGACGCTCAAGCTGCAAGGCGATTTGAACCAGATGGCGATGGGGTGGTCGAACGAGGAATGGACGAATCGACGCCGGTTGATCCAATTCTGGCGCAGCCAAGAGGGGAACCAGATCAATGCGACGTTCCGACCGATCCTGCAGAACGACTTTGTCCCCAACTCGATCGTCATCTCATGCATCTTCCGCGACGACTGGAATGAGTGCTTCGTCACCTCGGTCGACACGATCTACCTGCTCGAGGCACTCGTCGGGGTGCGCTTTACCGTTGAAGAGAAGAACCGCATTCGCCGCAATCTCGAGGGCTTCAAGCCGATGACGGTCTCGAAGAGCAAGGCCGAGTCGGAACCGTTTTTCAAATTGATTATGGGTTTCCCGAACCCCAAGCCGCGCAACATTGAAAAGGACGTCAAGGTCTTTCCCTGGAAGGTGCTCGCCGGTGCTTTGAAGAAGATCATCAGCAAATACGTGAGCGTTTTCTCTTTGCTTGCTTAAATCATGGTCTCGCACGTGCAGCTTTGCCCACGTCTTCTCCGTGGCAAAACATTCGAGCTGACATCTATGTCTCACCCTATAACGCTTCCTTACCCCCCAGTCCGCCACGTACACTGGTTCGGCTTCGAACGAGCTGATCAATGCGGGTACTATCCCTCTCACCATCTCGAACGAGGCCTTCTCGCAACCCCAGACGCCTCACATGTCGCCTGCGATGAGCTCGTCGGCGCATTTCGCCTCACCGCACCTCGGTCGATCGGGTTCAGCGGTTCCCTCTCCGCACCTCGGCGTGAGTGATCGATACGGCGGCGGTACTAGCGGCGCTGGTGTCAGTCTTTCAAATTCGCACTTTGCCAGTCCGACATCGGGTGGTTCGGCCCGACTCGAGTCGACGCACGTGCCCTCTTCACCCCACCAGCACAGGGCGCCGCCATCGTCGTACCTCTCCTCCTCGGTGCCCGCAAGTCGCAGCAATCCCACGAATGTCCCAACGTCCTTGAACTCGATTTTCCGTCCCTCGCATTCTCGTCCCGGGTCTTTCGACTTCAACTCGATCCTCGAATCGTCTAATTTCGCCCCCTCGGGGTCGAGCAGCGCGTACGATCGTCGTCCTTCGTATTCGACCAACTTGGCCCATCCGCACCTCTTCCCTTCGGCTGAGGACTACGGTATCTCCCCTTCGTTCATGAATGGTGGTGGCACCGCGTTGAGTGCGCCGGCGATGTCGCATTCGCGATCCTTCTCCGAAGGACCTCGACGGGATTCTCTGACGGGCCAACAAAGTCTGGGGACGTATTTCGCTGCGCCTTCAGCTGCGAACAACAACACCTACTCCGCGAACAATTATGCGTCCCCTGAAGTCGTCTACAACCAGGACCATACCTCGACTTCGCCTGATACCAACAATGGCGCAGAGGAGAAGATTGAAGACGCGAGCGCTGTTGCTGGAACGTCCACCTCAACGACAACGACCACCGCCAGAGCGGCGCCGGCTGACACCAACTAAAAAGCGCAGGGCGCTTTCTTTCCTTCCCGCATCCACACACTCCTGCGATACCTTTCATCCCTTGATTCCCACCTCGAGTCGCCCCCCTGTCCTCCGTCTCAAAAAGTCGCATCTGTTCTGCTCATGCCTCGCAAAAACTACTCCCACCCACCCCCTTCGTACTCTGCTTCTTTCGTCTTCGCATGCATGATCCCCTCGTTCTGTCTATCTTCTCTCTCTATCGGGTATTTATATGTTTTTGTTCTATCCCCCTCATCCCATCCCATTCACCTCGATCGCCCCAGAAACTTCGTTGTCAGTAACTCCATCTTTATCTCTTTTTATGCGCGCGGGGAGGGAGAACTTCGGTCCGTTTCTGTTTTTTTGTCCGATCTCCTTTCTCTCTCCTCTTCTTTTCATTTTTCTATTTGGAAATATCACACCATATTGTTGCAGTGCTTCTCTCTCGCTCTCTCGCTCTCTCTCTCTCTCTTTGATGAGCGATGAAACATTGGGGGTTGATTGCAAAAGGGAGTGAAGAGAATGAAAAACACCGCGTGCAGATCGTCGTCTCAGAATAAAGGGGCCCGCATCGCTGTCTTCTTCTTCAAGCACCCAAAGGAACAAGAAAACGGAAGAACAAGCTCGAGACCTCAACATCATCACATGCAACGATCAACACACACACGCACACACACATCACCGCGAGGAAGGGGAAGCAGCACATGATGAAAAGCGCAGAGTAATCCGAATTGAGTTCAAGGATCCCTCCTTGGAAAAGAAGAACCCCTGACCACGAATTGCACTAAAGTGAAACGACACCTCGCCTCAAGGATGACAATGACTCGAAGGAGGGGATAGTGGGACCCCTTTCCCAAAGGAGAGCAGAGCTAGGCTCGCTTCGATCCGAGAGGACAGAGGACCCCTACCGCCCAATGAGTCACCCCCGAGAGACATGAGGAGGCTCGAAATCACATGCTCGCTCACCGCATTTTCCCAACCTCATCCACCTTCCAAATTCCAACACCCCCATCGAGCACCACACTGACGACACACCAAGAAGGCAGGGACGAATGGTCGATCCGAACATCGGCACGTCCTGCTCGAAAAGCCGAGTGGCCATCCGATGATCCAAGTGATGCCCCGACCAACGCCCCAACGAAAAACGCAAGTCCAACCGGGGTTGCCCTTCTTCTTGTCAAAGAGATCTTGGGGCGAGTTCCGGCGGCACCTCTGAAATTGCGTGAGCACGATCGACCCAACAACGAACGCTCGACGTCATCCGCCATCATAGACCCGGGTAGTGAACAGACCAGCATGCGGGAAAACCTCGGACGACCATCGACCGACCATGCCCCAGAGTAGCAAAAGCAAAACAAAAAATCGGACCAACGGGCGCCATCGTCTTGCATCGTATCGCCCAGGATAGGAACGTTCACGATCCGCCAAATACGACGACGGGAACTAAAGATGTTATCCAACCTTTCGTAAAGAGTTCGAGCGTTTGCTGTCGAAGACCATGCTTCTCCGAATTTCGTTTTCGCGACTTCCCCGACGTGATTTCGAGCCCGAATAGAAGGACAAGAGCAGAAAGCGCCGTGCGCACACAACACACTTGGAAGAGGACGGGCCACAACACTTGGTGAGTACGGACGGGTGACGACCTTTTTTTCTTGTTCGGTGCGGGCAGGAAACGACGACATGCGGGGACGGGGTGTAGAAACGGGCTCGAGGCGAGGATAGGGCTGTCAAAATCAAAGGCCGCGAACAGAGACGAAAGGAATACTTGATATCGGGTCATTCTCGAGGTGATCGGGGGACCAGTTGTGAGCGCGGAAGTTTGAGCGACGGGGACGATGCAAGCGATGGCGCGAGCGAAGAACCGACGACTCCGGACAGAACTCCAAAAAGAGGACGAAGGGACACCAAATAGCGCTCAACGCAGCTCGAACAAAAAAGACCAGTCTCGGACGGGACGCGGGTAACTCCAACTATGACCAAAAGCTCACGGGCTTAAAGGGACACGTCGAGGTGGCGTGCCAACCGGGACAGAAAGGAGCAGTTCGCGACGAGGTTCGGATCTTGTGCGGAGAGAGATGGGTCAGGACGGGCCACGACAGGCACAATAAAGGCAGGGCACGACGGGCGGTTCACAACAAGTTGATCGGACGTCGACATAGACGGGGCTGCTGCTGACGGGGAGTGCTGGCTCTTCTTCTCGTTACGGGACTGGGCCGAGGGACTTGGGGACCGACTCTTTGTTGGGTCTCGGGACGTGGGTCTCTCGCTGCTGCCGCTGACGGCTAGACGATGCTGAGGGGTGGTCGACAGTCGGTGGCCGCTCGGGTCCTTTGTTCTCGCGCGAGGGTGGGACTGAAACCCTGGGCCGAGCTGTCCATGTGTGGGGGGAGGTGGCGTTGTCAAGCGTTGTCGCGTGGCTGGCACGGATGGGGATCGTGACACCAGAGAGGAAAAACCCATGAACCTCTCCGAGTGGCAAGGTCTGTCGCTGTTGCGAATTCGTTAGGTTGTGGGTTCGTGCGATCAAGCACAAGGTCTGGGGGGCATCTTGGATCGGTGGGTGGCGCCTGGGGAGCAAAGGACGATGACACGACGTCGCCTATGCAAAGGCACGGAACGAGCTCGTCGACCTGACGTGGCGTGAAAAGGGCGTCAAGTGTGGTGCAAGAGGAAGAAAGGGAAGGGAAATGGAAGAAGGAGATGAGGAGCTGTTGGCTGGTGATGCGGGACGACTCGATTGGAAAGTGTCGTGCCCCGTCGAGGGACGCCCACGCGCCTCTCACACAAGGCTCGAAGCACGTGGGAGCGAGCAAATCAACTCGGACTTTGACCCCGTCCTGAAGGTGGTGGGATCCAAGCACCACAGCGTATGAAGGCATGTGGGCTCGGCCATGGGTAAGAGGACGAATCGTGGTCTTGCGAGTGCTGCTGCTTCTCCGCGGTGGGCGTGGGTGTGGGTGTGGGTGTGGGTGAGGGTGTGTGGATGACGAGGGGAGGAGAGCAAGAGGCGCGGCCGGCGGTTGCTGACTCGGTCACGCGCGCGGCAAAAACATGACTCGGCACGCGTGACTTGGTCCTTTGTGTTTTGGTACTTTTGTAAGAGGCCTGATTATTAATACTCGCAAAAGCAATGTTCCTCCACAGGGGGGTGTGTAAAGTCAAAGCGGCTGGATCTATGCAGTCCTCACATTCACAGAACAACCAGAAGTGTGCTTCCTGTGCTTCCAGAAATATGAGCACCAACCACCCTTCCTATTCCATACTTGAAAAATACGGACGGAGTCGGGCTCAACGAGGCGGTCCGAGCTCAGCAGCAATTCGGCATGTTCCGATACTTGCTTGCAGAGGAAAGTGGCAGGCTTGCGTTCGTCTGTCTCTTTCTCAAAACAGAATTCTCAAACATACCATGCCACAGAAGAGTGAGCTTCGGAAAAGCTCACCAGGCTAGCTCACCGAAGCAGCGAAGCTCACCGACTCTCACCGACTCTCTCACCGACGCCGTGAGAGGCCGTGAGAGCTGCCAAGGCTCGTCAGCTCGCGTCCGGGTTCGCTCACCCATCTTCTCGCTCACCGCTTCACGAGCGCTCACGCGTCGTCTCCCCGGCGCACGTTCGGCAACGTCTTGGTTACGGTGCTCCCAAATCGGAAGGTCCGATCCAAGCTACCCAAGCTCACCACCGTCACCACCATAGTCCGTGCCTCGACTCAGGCGGAGCAGCACACGACTAGCTCGCACCCTCTCGCACCAGCGCACGGAGCGCACGGTGGGGATCGACTCGTGCCCAGCTGCAGCTCTCACTCAACACTCGCACCTCCTGAGCCGATCGCTCCTCACGACCTCCCAGTGCGCGCTAACCGGCAAGGCAAGCACCCCCACCAGTCAGTCCATGATGATTCGTCCAGCTCATCCTTCTGATACTCGGCCTGTCACTGAACTGGCTGCTCTGTGTGGCCGCCCTACCCCGAACCAGTGTCGGCGCGATCACCCCCACCTTCACCGACAAAGCCACAGATGCTCCTGCGCCAGCTCGTCGCGGGCGTCCGGCCCATCAGCTCCGAAGAGCACCCCAAGATTTGGAGCAGCAGTCGATCCGCAGTACCGCCCTCGGCGTCCACGTCCATGCCGTCGTCCCCGGTCGCGCAGTTGGCCAAGCCCAGCGGTCGCGTCGCTTCCATGGTCCAGGATTTCGAGGCCGTCAGTCTCAGCGCTCATTCCCGGCCCTACGCTGCGATCCCTGCCTCGCCAACGAGCAGCGACGCCAACGCTCCTCCACGACTACCTCCGTTATCAACGACCACGACCAAGCAGGCCTACCTCGGTCGATCGACCGCCTCGCCTCGATCGGCACCGCCGGAAGGGACCTCGAACCCGACTTCCCCCACCGTACCGGCCTCGGTGTTTCAGAAGCAGCAGTCCAGGCGCATGCCGACCTCCCCAGAGGCGGAGAAGCGTAGTCGATCCGCTCAACCCACGCCCACATCCGTAGCAGGCAAAGAGAACCAGTTCCACTCGCCGACTCCGTCAAGACCTCTGTCATTCCACGCCCCTGCGGGTTCGAACGCCCCGTCTGCCTTGGCTCTGGCCGAACCATTTCGGCGGTCGACCCTTGGCTCACTTGGGGACGATTGGGAGACGATGATGGCGTCGTCTCAAATTAGCGTCGAGACCATGGCCACGCGTGCGACCGATTCGACCCATATGACCACGAGCAGTGAAAACTCCAACCCTTCGCTCGTCTCGGCCGAGCACGCTCAAATCGGCCAGGTCCAGGTCGTCGATGCCGGACGAAGGGTTAACGAAGTTCCAACCGTCCTCTCTGCGTCAAACCTTCGACCTCAGATCATCGAGACCCGTCCGACACCGCGCAAACCACCTTCACCAATCCTCACCCGTACGCGTGCGCCAGGCTCTTCACGACTCCTCGGTGCGGAGACTGCCGAAGCCGCCAAAGTCAAGACGCCCGATACCGCCGATTGGCTGAGTTCACGGCCCCTCTCTGCAGCTCAACTCGAATCGAGTGCGCGAGCGTCGTCGAGTCCCCCCCTTCCGTTGATCCCTGCTTGGAGTCCCTCGTTGTTCACTGAAGACCTCTCCCAATCAGGCAAGAGGATCTCCCCGGCTCATCGAGAGCTTTCATATGCTCCTCTGTTGATGGGGGATCAGACCGCCCCTCCACCCCCTATTGCGAAGGATGAGGCACCTACGCGTCGACAACGAGCGAATACACTTGGAGGTGGACTCAAGGCCCCCTTTTCAGATCTTAAACCTGTTAGAGTCGAAACGGCGGAGGAGAAGGAGGCTCGGATCGAGGAGGCGTTTTCGAGGTTGCTGGTGAGACCCAAGCCACAGTGGTCTCTTCTGTACCGAGCTCTGACATGTCGTCTCTCTCAACAGGACACGATGCAATTGCCGAACCGCAGTGTGCGAACCAAGATGCTCGGTCTCGCCCTCCCACTCAAAGAAGAGATGCTACGCGCATCCCACCTTTCCTCCCCCACACCTTCGAGCCACTCGACTTCCTCCCACGCTGTACCTTCCGTTTCAGTCCAAGCCGCTCGTCCAAATGGAGCTCATCATCAACGAGGTCGCTCCCTCAACAACGCCTACGACTCCCCTCCCATCACCCCAGCGACGACGAAGAAGGAGTCGTCGTTCAAATCAGTCGTGATGAGGAAGAGTAAAAGCAATTCGAGTCTTCGAGCTGCAGCTTCTCTCCCCGTCACCTCATCCAAGAAAAGAGGAGACGGCTCGGCTACGCATTCCCGTACTTCTTCCGCAACATCGATCATCCTACGCTCGTTCGGCAAATCCTCAGGCAAGGACGTTGCACCTTCGGCTAGCGGTCCCTCGACGAAATCCGCGGTTGAAGGAGAAGATGCCGTCTGGTGGGCCGTAAGGATGCGTTCGTCCTCTTCTTCGGCACTTGAAGTCCATGAAGTTGCGAGGATGCGTAGGCGTTTAAGGAATGAGACACCTGGATGGGTGAACGATTTCTTGACGAACGGGGGCTACGTCGGGATGCTGGAGAGGTTGAAGGAGTTGTTGGAGATGGAATGGAGGTGCGTGGGTTTGCTGTTTTCTGCGTGGGCTTTGCCGTGTGCTGACTCTGAGTTTGAATTGGGTGGGCAGGGAGGAGCAACACGACGACCAACTCCTGCAAGAACTGTTGAGGTGCTTCAAGGCTTTGACCATGACCGCCGTAAGCTGGATCTTCCTTAGCTCTCCTGCGGATGAACGCCATACTGACCCCCCTTGGCAACGTTTTACAGTGCGGCAAGCGAGCCCTCGCCTCGCGTTCACCGACCCCCTTCCTCCCCCTTGCGAACCTTTTGTTCTCTGAGAAGCGCCCCGGCGATCTAGCATGTCGTCAATTGCTCGTCGAGCTCCTTCTCTCCCTCTTCGACCTCTGCCCCGTCGATGCTGCCCCCATCCCCGCTTCAGAATGGACCACCCTCTCCCTCATGTCCCTTCACAAACCCCTCGAGTGCCAACGTCGTTACACACGCAAGATGAAAGTCGATCCGGACGAAGATGTAGGGGAAGAAGTCTTTGATGCTTCGAGGATCGAAGGGACGAGGTTGCTTGTGAGGTCTATGATGTTGGGTCCTCCGGACGAGAAGGAGGAAGCCAAGGTGGACTTTATCAAGAATGCGCATCGGGCGAGACCGTTCAAGAAGTGGATGGTCGAGATGAGCGATTGTGTCAGGGATTATTTTTGGTGAGTTGGGCTTGGGCATGGGGAGGTGTCAAACGCGGGGCTTGGGGTGCTGACGAGACGTCTAAATTTCATTCGTGCAGGATCTTTTGCCATGCGCAGAACTTGTTCTGGTCGTTGGAACAGATCAACGTCGAGCAGGTCGAAGCCCCCGCCGTGCCCTCCGGAATGACAGGTGGGGTCGAGTACGAAGCCATGGCGTATTGCGTGAGTCTAGCCCTGGCTTGCCGACTCGCATCGAGGAATTGCTTGACTTACCGAGTGTGTTCTGTCGTCCATGCTAGGCAACGCATTTCCGCCTCATCAACGCCCTCGCGAGCGCATGCGCCACACCCGAGATCGCCTTCGCCTTTCACCAAGAACTCTTTGAAAGCGGGTTCGAGCGCATCCTTCTCGTGAGCTAAAGCCCACAAATCTACTGCGTGCCTAGCCTTTACTGAAACCCCATCCCGCCCTACCTCTCTACAGACCCTCCGCCGCGCCTCCCTCGTTTACTACCCAACCCTACACCTCGAATTATCGCGCTACATATCCCTCGCCCGTTCCGTACGCTTCAACCTCGGTTCCCGAGTGTTGGCGTGTATCGATGCTCGTACGCTCAGCAGGGAAGAACATTACGTGCTCGAACTGGCTCGACAACATCATCAGGCGCAGAAGAAGGCGCCGACGTCGCCTTCGGGGGCTCCGCAATTGGAATTGAACATTGGGTCATGAGGAAGGAGAGGGAACATCTTGGACTTGGAGAATTCGGTTCGGTCAATGTATTGTACATATTAGGATTTTTTTTCTTTTCTGGATCTCGCATGTGCCTCTTTGATCGTTTGTCTATTGTCAATTGCAAATACGTCGACTCGCAAGGAATCGGGCGAATTAGCTGGCTCCGAGTCACTCGGGGTTTACGACAGGGGTTACACCTCTGACCCCAGACATGAATGAAGCAAGAACACACTTCACACGACCTATTGACCAGGACCAGCGGCCATGATCTGCGCCTCGATACGCGAGACCGAGTAACCCGATCCGAGACCGCTTTTGTTGGTCTTGATTCGAGCGGCGATGGGCTCCGAGATACCGCCCGTCCTTCCGATTTGCATGCCTTCGGACCATCTGAGATCAAAAAGAACGCTCAGATTTTGTCAGGGTCAAGTTTGGGAACGCGAGATGCGGATGGTGGAAACTGACCCCATCCTTTTGAGCAGCGCGAAACCGATGTTGTCCTCGCCCAAGCGGTCGGCCTGCACACAGTAAGCGAATCAATCCGATGAGCACACTGAACACTGAAGAAGAACTCGCAAACACTGGCTCACCCCTTGTCCCACTACAGCTCCTTCATCGTGTCGTTTCCCACCCATACCTCCCCCTCCACCTCCAGCACCACTCGACTTCTTGCCATCCCCAGACAGAGCCGCCCACAATCCCCCTTGCTTACCCTTGGCCCTTCCTCCGTACTGCGCCCCACCCAATATCTTCTCCCCCTCGGCCGTGGAGATGATGGCGCGGATCTTTCGTTCGTCGACACCGTACGTCGTGGTCTTTTGCGTGCGCACTAAGACGGGGAAACGAGCTTTGCCCTTGCCCACACTCTTCGAATTGAGACCGTACGCCTCGGACAGCAAGTGAACCGCAACGCGAGACTTCTTGGACATGGGAGGAAGCGACAAAGAACCTTGCTCCAAATCGTGCAATATGAACTCGCGCATCTTTAGGTTGATGACCGCAACATCCGACGAGCCAGCGAACGAAGCAGGCGGAACGTGCCCCTTCTTGAACTTGTGAGGTGCGGCCTCATTGGCTTCCGCCCTTGCAAGGGCACGCTTCCTCTTGAAGTCCGACTTCTTGGCACGGTCGTTCTCCCACTGGGCTTGTAGCTCGTCGGCGAACTCGCCGTCCCACGCCGGTTTCGAGGCCTTGGACTTGGTCTTCGATTTGCGAGCTAAGGGTGCGAAGAGATTCGACAGGCATTAGTCAGCGTTGCCACCCAAGGCCGCATGCTAGTCGAGCCTCGACGCACAGGGTCCGCTCGTCAGCAAGACATCGTCCTCCAGCATCAGATCAATGTCGTCAAAGTTGCCATTCTGGACCGCCTTGAACAGCTTCTTCCTATTTTTACGACCCGAACCCAGCAGTAGACTCTCATTTGTATCCAGAACGTCCTGTGGCCAGAGAACCCATCCAAATCAGCAGCAGTAGCGGAAACGAAGCGAGCCTTTGGGGACCCACCTGCAACTCTTGGATAAAGTCCTCGTCATTTTCGGCCCATGTGTTCTCGCCCGTAAACATGCGGACCTCGTCATCCTCCTCGTCACCCGAGTCGGACTCGACCCAACGGCCTTTGCCCTTCTTGGCCCGCTTGCGTTCTTTTCGGTCCCTTCGTCCTCCGGGACCACTGACGCCAACCGAAGAGAGACGGATCGTTTGGCCAGCCAGGAGGGCCGCTTCGATTGCATCGTTCTCGGCGCCGGAAGAGATGGACGAGTCGCGATGGGACGAGGCATCGTCCATCATGACCTCCTCGGCATCTGCCATGGCTCGATCAATTCTGTCGAAAGGATGCCAAATTAGCTTCCTCGCCCATACTACGTTACTTTCAAGTAAAATTGCACTCACGCGGCATCGGATTCCCCAAGCGTATGGTCACGCTCGAGCTCGTCGTTCGAATCAAACTCTTCACCTCCACTGGATCCAGAAGACGACGACTCGTCACTCTCGCTCCCACTTTCATCTTCCTCGTCTTCACTACCACTCGTCGTCCTCCAACCCTCTTGCCCATCCTCTTGCTCCTCCCTCGCCTCATCAACCAGCTCGTCCAAATTTTTCTGCACCCCACTACTCGAGCCCATCATACCCTCCGCGAACCTCCTCGCCGCCTCAAGATCGATATCTCCCTCCTCAGTCTCGCCCAACAAATTCCTCGCAAAATCGTCCATAGCTCTGTTCCCACCGAGCAACTTTTCGACATGCGACCTCGCCCCTGATGCAAGACGTTGCATCTTCTCCAACTCCCTCTGTTCGCGCCGCTGTCGTTTCTGTAGTTCCTTTTTAGCCTTGGGCCTTATTCCAGCGGACGAGCGAGTCTCCATCCCCGGTGGTCCATCGCTACCCCATTCGAGATCCGAGTCCCCAACGCGGGGCTTGGGCGCTTCTTCTCCTTTATCTTCCCCTTCATTACCCCCACCTTCCTCAACTTGCATCGCCTCAGCATCACCATTCAATTCCAAGCGCGCAAACATCTCGCGCCCTTGTCTCGCATCCTCTTCATCAACGGCTTGCTCGTCCTCGTCAGAGCTCTCGGCCTCGACCAGAAGATGTTGGTTGCCTGATCGAACGTGGAGTCGACCGGCTCGTCGCGCTTTTTTGCCCGCTCGCTTTTGCGCTTTTGTCAACTTGGGCGCTGGAGCCTTCTTGGTGCGGGGTTGGACCATGGGTTCTGGTGCCGCGACGGCCTCCTTCGTGATGGTGGGGGGTGAGACCTCTGCCCGTGCCGCGCGAGGTGCGCTCGATGAAGGGTTGCTCGATGTCGATGCAGTCGGGTTGAAAACGATCTGTTCAATTTCTTCATCATCATCCGAGTCCGAGTCAACTTGTTCCCGATTCGCCGCGGTGTTGCTCGAAACACCGAGGACAAAGTCCGAAGGCACGACGAGAGGCGGTGGAACCGAGCAGTCCTCGACTCGTGAGGCGGTCAAATCGATCACGAATGACGGGGCAGCCTCCATCTCCTCAATTTCGCTCACTTCACCTCCAGCAACGAGTGTCGTTTCCTTCTCTTTGACGACAATTCGTTCCGTGACGTCCACCCCAACCTCATCCTGCTCATCAGACTCGGAGGTCGACTCCTCATCTTCCGGCGAAGACTCGTCTCGCTGATCGAGATCCCTCACGCTCTCCACCAAGTGTCCTTCCACCACTTTCTCTTCCAGTTCGCCCGGGACCTCATCGACGTCTAGGTCGCCCTGCATCTTGGGTGTCAACCCCGAAGCGGCGACAAAAGTGACGGGCACAAGCAGCGGGCGATGACCACCGGGAGTGAAACCGACGATACCTCCCCTACCTCGGATGGAAGGACGAAACCCGATCGAAGTGGTTGTGATATTATGGGATCCAAGTCCAGCTGCTCCTCCTCGACCACGGAAAGAAGAGATCGGGTTCTGATGGTGGTTGGTTTCGCGCCGAGATGGACCCCCGTCGCGTGCGCCTGAACATCCGACGCCACGCTTGGGGGTGTGGTAGCCGGAATGGCCTCCATTTGGAGGTGTTGGTGGCGGAAAATTCTGACGGGTAGAAACCTTGGGAGCGGGGAACGAAGGTGATAGGTTGTAACCTGAGTGAACGAGCATGTCGAGCGTCGAGAGGGGAGAATAGGGGGAGACAATCGGAGCAGGCTTTGAGTCAGCCAAAAGCCGACTCGTGGAAGCTCGCACGTGCAATTGTGTCGTCTTACTGACCCAATACCTCCTCGGTCAACGAGGAATAGTCAAAGCTAAGCTCGGACATGTCCTCCCTCGATTGCAATCGCCGTGATGACGACGCCCCTCCTCCGCCTCGACCGCGCCCTGCTGCAGCTCCACGATTCGTCGCCCCGCCTCGACTTGCACCCCCTGGTGGTCCCCCTCCCCTTGCTCCTCCTCGGTTGTTGCCTCGGTTTGCTTTGGCCATGGGGGTGTGACGGTGTGGCGAGGCGGGCGTAGTTGATGGGCCCCCACGTGCGACTGATCAAGCGGCGATAATATAATAGGCAGTCGGTTCGGACCGGTCGACGACACAAAGTAGTACTGGCCTGCTCTTGAATTCCGGGAAGTACTCCCGAGCGTTCCTGAAATGCTATGATCCGGCAGGCAGTTGACGGGAAAGGAATACGGGTCGAAAGCGAGGCGATGTCAAGAGGACCGAGGATCGCGTCCGCTCGCTCGCGATCGAGTCGCGCCAGGGCAGGCCAGGGCAGGTCGCGCCCGTAAGTTACGCCACGCGTGACGCGTCCTGAGTCCTGACTCGACGATTGCCAACCGAGTCGAACTTGTGGGGTTGGTTCGGTTGCAAGCACTTTTCGCGGTTGGATGTCGAAGACCCAAGGAAAAACTTCAGTTCGGGGCGAATGGAGTTGCCGGTGGCAACCGGAGTCGCCAACTTGAAGCAACAGGCAAATCGAGCTAAAGATAGGAGTTGGACCCGAGGTGTAGATCTCGAGCGACAATATCCGCTTCAGCAGGTACTGTGTTGAATTCGAAATACTGCATCGCATCCTGCTCGAGTAAAACTCATAAAGTCCAGCCGGAGTCAACCCCCGCTGAGCCTTGAGGTGATGCTCACGCTCGATATATGCACTTTTTGTTCCCAGCCGACCTGGGCCGGCCTCAAGTCGGGACCGGTTGATGAAGCGTGCCGAGGGCCCGGTCCGGTCCTTCTTGGCGGGATAGTCTTCCTCTCTCTCTCTCTCCTCACCATCTCGATCTCCAACCGCCCACGACTCCATCTACAAAACAAGCAACCTGCCACCATGAAGGGTTTCGTGATCGAACGCAACATCAAGCTCCACGAGCTGCCGGGGACATTGACGACCCAAGCGAGCGAGCCCAAGCCCCAAGGCTCCGAGGTGCTCGTGGATGTGCAGTAAGCGACAACCCTCGATTCTGCCATTCTCATGGGACACACAGTGAATTCGAACTTCCTTTGGCTATTCAGTGTCGCCGGATGCAACTTGTTTGATGCGCTGCAGGGTACGTAGTCATCTGCCCCACACGTAACCGGCGGGTTGCGCGCTCGGGGCTCCTCACTCAATCTCCGGCTTTCGTGCCTCGGCCTCATCCCCTCCGCTCCCTTCCCCGTCCCTCTCATAGTCCAAGGTCTCTACCAGCACAAGCCCGCTTTCCCATTCGTAGCAGGCTGCGAATTTTCTGGAACCATCTCCCCCGACTCGCCCCTCCCTAAAGGTTGCCCCTACAAGCACGGGCAAAAAGTCTTTGGCGCCGGGCAAGGTGCTTACGCCGAGAGGCTCAAGGTCGATTACAAGTCGCTCGTACCTGTTCCTGATAATGTGACGATGGAACAAGCTGCCGGTCTTTATATCACTTACCCGACAAGTTACGCTGCGCTCGTTTATCGTGCCGAGATCAAGAAGGGTGAGTGCCAATTTGGTGTCCAGCTTCGGGAAAGAGTTCCCATTGGCCTTGCTTCGAGCCTCGCAGCCAAGACTCTTTTGGCTCCGTCTTTGCTGACCTGATGATTTCTCTATAGGCGAATACTTGCTCATTCACGCCGCCGCCGGTGGAGTCGGTATGGCGGCCTTGCAAATTGGCAAAGCTCTCGGCGCCAAAGTCATCGCCATGTGCTCCACCCAGGACAAGCTCGACGTGTGCACCCGAGCGGGCGCAGACTTTGCGATCAACTATGCCGATGAGAAGTCAAAGAATGGGGGGTGGCAGAAGCAGGTTATGGCTGTGACCAATGGGCATGGTGCGGATGTGTGAGTCGGACTTGACCGTTACGGCGGATGACCCTGCTGCCACCGTCGCTGACGCCCGAGGTCCCTCCCAATCAGCATTTACGACCCTGTCGGACTCCTCATCCCTTCTTTGAAGTGCATTGCCTGGAACGGACGAGCATTGGTTGTTGGTTTCGCCGCCGGCACGATCGAGAAGGTAAGCTCAATGTCCACAAACCTGCAGAATCCTGACGAAACTCATGCCTTTTGCCTTATGTCTCACCGACCCGGTGCAGGTTCCCGCCAACCTAATTCTACTCAAGAACATCGCCATCTCGGGCGTACACTGGGGTGCCTACCAAAAGAACCAACCCGAGATCGTCCCCGCGACATGGGAGGCTCTGCTCAAGCTCTTCAGTTCGGGATCGCTCAAGGCCGTCGTCTTTGATCGCATATTTGAGTGGGTCGCTTTGATGCATGAATCGGAGAGTCATGGAGCGAGAAGCTGATATTCGGGCTACCTTTCTTTCTTCAAGGGGCCTTGAATCCGTCCCTGAGGCTTTGGACGAGTTGCTCGCTCGGCGAACTTGGGGCAAAGCCGTCGTTCGTGTCAAGACGGACAAGACGGCCAAGCTGTGAAAAGGAGTCCAGATGCGATCACAAATGGTGTCGGGAGCAGTCTGCCAGTGGATCTGTGATGTATCAGAGCAGTCTCACTCTGATGTTTCATTTTGTCTTGCTCGAATGTAATCATATCAGGAGCCGACTAATGCCGCCCATAGTCGGTCGATCGGTCCCAAGTCTTAGTCACACCCCCACTGAAGTCTTAAGTTTCAAGTCATAGCATAAAGTCGCCCCACAAAACTGACTCCTATACCGAGCTTTGAGCGCAAGAAAGAACAAGGATCACTGCGGCCCATTGGAAGAACCTGATTCTATACACCGCACACGACACCGCATCGAGTATCGAGCCTTGATCGAGGCCGAAAATGTCACGTACCCTGCCTCATTGGGCCAAATTTAGGCCGGCCTCTTATTCGCGCTTGCCCTGAGCTGTTTTGCGCGCTGCCGTGCTTTACGCCGCTCTGGTGCACTTTCAGAATCCACGATACCACGGCCACAGCGCCAGGAGTCCACCTTTTGGTTCACGGGGTTCCCGAATTCTAATTGCAGAGCCCCACAAGCATTTAGCAGCGGACCTGTCCCTGAGGCTGTCCGACCTGCCTACTGCTTCCGATACCGTCGAACCGGCTGCCGGATCGGCTCAGATGCACAAAAGGCGGTGTGAGAACCTGTCGTGATATGTGGTGGGTCAATGAGAAGAGAATTATCATGGCAGTGTGTGAGACTCTCTTATACTCAGGAGCTTGGGTGAGGGGATCGATTTGCCGGCCTGAGCAGTGCCTGAGCGCCCGAGCCTCGATCTGCCTCGATGCGAGCTGCTCAAGCTTACTCCGTCTCTCTGTCTTCTTCTTGCCATACACTCGAAGCTTACTTTCGACTACAACCATCCTCCTGCTTTGATATTAAAGCTCCGCGTGGCCGATACACGACTCTTGCCCCCCCCCCGCCCATCGCCAGCTTCTACAACTCGGCGCTCGTTCTGATCGGCCGGCCGTCGCTTAGCAGGCCCAGCTCCAAGCGCGCTCTCACTGCTCAGTCTCAGTCTTAAAAGAGTCCTCAAGTGCGACGCAGCCCCTCTTGCCGAGGTCTCACGTCCAAGGACCAAGACTAGCCTTCCCAAGCTCTGACGTCGACACAGTCGTTGACTCGCTGTGTCTCTCGCTATTCCAACGAATGCACCCTCAGGTAGACCGTTCCCCAACAATGAAGCTCTTAGTGATGATCGGACCGAATCGGTTCGACATGGAGGTCGCGCACGTCAACGACCAGAGTCGGCCGACCGAGATCGACACGGAGCTCTTCGCCGGCCGGGTCGTTGTATTCGTTAAAGACTTTGTCGGCGTCGCACCACCCGGATGTCAGCCCATAAAGGAGCATCCTTACTTTACCGGACGGTCAAGGAAATATGCGATCCTCATCGAAGGTGAGTAGTTCGGAACCTTGGTGCACCGGTGCTATGCGAAACGCGACGTGAAGTAGGCCGAGGTTTTGCTTACGTCATGACTTCATCTCGGTGCTCTTCTCCCGTAAAGGCCGCTTCAAACAACGACCCGGGGTCGCCCCTTATTCTGGATCGGAGGTGCAGTTCGGGTCAGACTTTGGTAAGTCTGCCGTGTAGCAACGAAGGGTCATTATCAGCCTGTGGACGCGCACAGATTTGCGCGAATCGTCTCGGCTATAAACCCGGCGTTCATGTCCCTTGCTTTGGGAGCCAGTTGTATTCCAAGTAATCGCGCCTATTGCTACATACTCATCCTATAGGCTGCAAACAGATTTTTTGCCCGAATCCTTCCCTCAAGGCCCATTCAGCCTCGGACTGAAGGTCGCTCAACGGGTCGATCCCGCGACGTCCGCCGTTATGAAACCGAGCAACGGTCGACCGTACATCATGTCTCCTTACTTGGCGTGCATGAACACTTTTGCCGCCTACCCCGCCCCGAATGCATTGTCCAAAGCACTCGTCCAAGCCCTGCATGACGCCGATCACCCCCACAACGATCATGAAACCGAGTCCGCGACCTTTGTCCCGCGCGAAGAAGTCGATAGCGACAGCCACGGCGTGATGAAGACGACGCGCCATGGGATGCCGTATTGGAGGTTCGTGGGTCTACGAGGCGACCCTGCGGTAGAGGAATACGTTGAAAAGCATCGCCATTTGCTCGCGCCCGACGACCCCATGGATGTCCACGGTTCGGCGTTGGCTCTCGGGACCTCTATCTCTCATCTCGATTCCTCGTCCTCGCCGAAACGGCACCCCAGTCGAGTTCGTCAAGAGTCACCAGATGGACCTTCCGGACCCCAGGGCTGGGGTGCTCCCATTCCTATGTCGGACGGTGAGGAGACGCGCGAGCCGGCGAAGAAGAAGAAGGGAGGAAGGTTCAGCTGGGCAGGGTTCTTGGGTAGCGTAGAGAAGGAATCGAACGAAACCTATCTCCACGCAGGGGACTTGGTCATGGCCGACAAGCTCAACAAGGGTTCAATGGGGGATGCCTCTCTGACAGGCGTTTCGAAGCATTTGGGACCCTGGAGGTTCGCCGATCCCAAGGTCGATGCGATCGAGGTGAGCTTTTCGTCTCCCGGGACCTTGATGCGGCATCCCAAACTGACACGATGTGTGCCTCCCTAGGATTCACTTTTCATCTTCCACGATTCCACACACGAGCGATCGGTCGCCGAGCGTCGCAAGTGGTTTGTACAGAACCATGGCTACAACCGTGACCAGTTCACCTACTCGCCCGACGTGGTCTACACCGCATCATTCTTCACGTCCTTCTGCGATCTCAACACCTTTGATCTCAAGTGAGTCTTGAAGCGGAGCGAGGAACGATTGTCTTGCCAATACATCGGAACTAATGCCTCGTTACGTATCTCGATCTTCCCAGAATGGGTCCTCTCGGCCTCAATATCGCCCCTTACTTCGCCGAGCAGCCGATCCGTTACACACTGCGATCGACTCGGTTGGCACCGCGCCCCGACGGCAAGCCAGGGCCGGACGAGGAAGAGGTCTTTTGCACCATATCCTTCCAGCTCTCGAACCAGTAGCCAGTAGGATTGACATACATCAGGGAAAGGACTCATTATACAGCGGAGCCCTCCATCGCATTCATAATCTTCGCATCATTTCGTTCTTTCCCCCAGCTAATCACATTCATGTCTATAACATTTACGCCATCTCATTTTATCTTACCTGTCTGTAACTACCATGCCGTCGATACCTCATACCTTGTCCGCAGAAACCGGTACTTTATTTGTCAGAGGTGGTGTCAAATATTACTACTTTACTCTTTACTCTAACTAGTTACTCTTTACTCTAATTAGTAAAAAGAAAGTGTCGATCCGCGACCCATTTACCTAAAATCGCTGTCTTTGGCTGTGTTGCGGCCCCGAGGGCCACTTATAATGAGTTGCCAGTGTACTATTGAGTCTCGGGATGCCGGGCTTCATGCCTGATACTGCAACTCGTCTTGTCCCCGGCCCGCTACCTGGTCCGGACCGCGCTTCTAACGAAAGAGTCGATGAGTCCTGGACCAAAAGCCATGTAATTTTTGTCGATATTTGACGTGGTTCGGAACTGTTGGGGCGCAGTATTTAAGGTATAGCCAGCGCGTGGGTTTGCATGACACTTCTTCTACAGAGCTCAGGCGTGGGTCCCGCAGTCGTTGACGCGCGGGCGCGGGCGCCGCTTACGCTGCGCGATACGCCGTCAGTCACGTGACGTGTTGTCTACATCGCGACACCGGTTTCAGGGGCTCAACAACAACATGATCAAGGGGCTGTATATAATCCCGCGCTACTCTTGTCCTTTCCTTTTCCCTGCCTGCACTGGGGCGGAACGACGAAGCACGAATAACCGTCCGGGTTTTACTGCGCGAGTGTTTGAACGTTTGAAGCCAAGTTTCATTTTGGACAACAAGCAACGGGCGCTTGTCCTGCTGTTACGGCGATGAATGGATATTAGTTCCTTTGCTGGCCTTCGTATTGTGTTCTTTTACCTCTGCGCAATCCAATTCTCCTGCTATTTGAAAATCATCCTCCCGTTAATTTAACGGGTTCCCACTGGTTTCAACAAAAACATGACAGATATCGTAGGTTTGTTCTGTCGACTACGGCCAAAAAAAAAGTAGAGCCCTCCAACAATAATATTTGCGAATAAGCAAGTCAAATATGGTGTTGTGATAAAGACACTATAGGAGAGTGTCAATCACGATGAACAACAACAGCACCTTCAAGTCCCCAGCGTTGTCGCCTACCCCGTGCTGCGATCCCGCACCCTATATCATTTTTGCATCACCTTCCTGCCATCACGCAGCGTCACATTTATTTTTCTTCAGTCCCACAAGCGCAGCAGCGCAAGCCCAGCGTTCGGTTCAATCTCGGTCCCGTCCCGACTGATCTTGACCTCCCTGTTGTTGTTGAACGAATTGAGGATCGACCGGGTGCGCGTAAAGGGCAAGCGGCGCGTCGATAGCCAGTGCACGGGGAAAGGCGTCCCTCCCTCGGCGACAATTATGACCTTGTCCGCTTCGGCCACGTGGAGGTTGGGATGCCGGCTCCCCGCCCGATCTCGAGGGGGGCTGAAGATGGGTCCGATCATGCGCGCGTAGCCCGCGAACCCGCCGCTTCGATTGGCGGAGAAAAACAAGAAGACACCCTCGAGCGAGGTGCGGAACGCCTGGTCGAGCACATCCTCGTTGTGGCCTTGCGTGCTCCAAAGTCCGGAGCGGATCGATTCTTCCAGGTGCTCGCTTTCTTTCGCTTTCAGCACAAAGAATCGCTGAGGGAGGCACATCAAACCGTGGTCAGTACAGTCATGCGAAATGGGTAGCGAGCTGACTACATACCTTGGGGAAGTATTCTGAAAAGAAGCTCGACGTCGTGGACGCGGTCGAATCACCCGACGAGTTGCCGGCTTCTTCGTCTAACGCGCGCGAGTCGTTCGTCGTCTGCACTCCCTTTTTGCCCAAGTCGAGTGCTTGCGCAGCGATGTACGACAGGTGCAATCCGGCTCCTCGTTGTGCACCCACCCCGGATTTGGCATCGTCCTCGCGCATCCTTCGCCGACAAACGAGGGGCTTGCATCGGCGGTCGTTGGGGCGCAGAGAGATTCCATTCGAACGCGTGATGGCTTGTTGCATGAGAAACTCGGAGCTGTAGTTCACAAAAGCGCAGTTTGATCTAGGTATACGGGAGATGCGGAGATCAGCGCGGAAAATCTTTGCCCGCTCTGAAGGAAAAGCGATGTCTTACCTGGCGATGAGGTGGATGCTCTCCACGCCGTAGAGGTCGGCAGCAGTGGCGGCCGACGCCCCACGCACGGCGAAAAAGTCCAGCAACTCGGCCTCGGTCGCATCAGACGGAATATTGCCGCACCACATGGCCCAGGTGCTTCGATCTGGCAGCCCCGAACGCAGCCGAGTCTCGCCCGACCGCGAGGAAAGCAGCTGTGGTGGTCCGGATATGGTCACCATCGCCGTAGACGCCGCGCGAGCGCCCGAGCGATCAGATCCGAGGTGCGCAGGCGAGGTCCCCAACCGCGCGCGGTACCACGAGCGAGGGAAAGGAGCATACGGGGAGGTCTCGTACGATTCCCGAGTCAGAGACAGGTCGTGTGGCCTTTGGCTTCGAGTGCTCCCACCTTGGATCGCTTGAGTTGGCAGCAAAAGAGGCGCCGACCAGTCGGCCGGTGGAATTGGCGGTAGCGGCATATGACTTCCGGCAGCGGCGTGAGGAGGGGCCGACGGTGACCCACCTGCTACGCTCCAGGGAGCTGACGAGGGTCGCAGATCTGAGTTACGCGCGAGCAGTGATGCGTTCGAGGAAGGGGCCAAGGACGATGCGTAAGCTGAGGGCTGGGAGCCGGCGGGAGCCGAAAAGGTCGGGTCGCCAAGTGGGTAGTTCGAGAATGCATAGGATGAGCGAATGGGCAGTGGGGGTGGGTCGGCGTGAGGAGTTGACGCAAGACTTGCTACCTGAGATGTGTACCTGCTTTCATTCCCGTCCTGTATCCTCGGAGCAAAAGCGGTCCTCGCCGAGGACAGGTGATTCGGACCATTTGACGTCTCCGATGCCCAAGGGTCGAAGACCGAGTGCGCCGTTAGCGGAGGCGCTGTGGACGGAGGATGGTCTACAGCCAAGCAAGAAGATGGCGCAGATGAACCTCTCGAAGCAAAGTCGTGGGAGCGTGCAGATCCTAGATCTGCAGACGCATACGATCCTCGTGGCTGCTGAAGCGGCCGGGATGGGGCGGGGGAGCCGAGGCTTGGAAAACTTGGGGACCACTCGGAGTTGACTTCTGTTCCGGCTCTTCCTCGGAACGCACGCGATGAAGCGGCACCTCTGTCGAAGGGAGACCAAGGGAACGCATCCTGCCAAGGCTCGAGGCTACTGGCCGTGGTCGAAGGGGTGAATCCGTTAGTGCTCGCGTCGAAGGGTGCCGTCCGCACCGAGGTCGAATTCTCCGTTCCATCTGCCGGGTAGCGAGGGGTGCGCGTCGTGTCGGCTGATCCTGGATGGGGATTGGTCATTCAATCCGCGGCGGGGGCGTTCGCGGCTCCTGGATCGTGTAGAGTTATAGGAGGATTGTAGTTACGTGTGCTGCCTAGGTAACGAGAATCGGGTGGGTGTGCGCTTGTTTTCTGGGGCGCAATCGAGCGTCGACGACAGATGCGAAGTCGGTCGAGGGGGGGACGCCAGCGTTTGCGCACAGAGAGGGGGCAACAAAAGGCGCTACCACGGTCGAGCACGATCAGAAGCACGCGCAGGAGTGACAGTAGACGAGGAGAGGTGGTGAGATAGATTTCGCCAAGACGCAGGCCCAGCGTTGCTACCGTCACAGACAACAGGGGTGCCGAGAGGGAAACGAGGACGCGAGAGCCTGGGTTTACGAGATACGGGTTGGCAGATCGGTCGCCGGGCCAGGGTCTTGCAGAGCTGGCAAGGAGGTCGGTGGCTGGAGTGAGGTTGATTTTCTAGTGGACTAAGCGCTCTTGTATCAGTCGAGTAGACGGACAGAGTGCAGCGGTCGCAAGGACGAATGGGTCACGACTCGAGAGCCCCGGCGCCTGCTGCTGGAAGGAATCTGAGCGCGCGATGACGTTGTGACTCGTGCTGATGCATGGGGTCGGCGCCGGGCTGCTAGCAGGGCTGCTGGACCGTTAGCGGCCTTAGCCCTGCTGCATCAACGCCGCTGAGATCATTCCCTGATCTCCGGTGGGAGTCTCAAGGTCGGGCGGTGCACGTTCACTCACCACAGGTTCACAGATGGAGTGGCAGGGGCTACAGCCGATCACGGAGGCTGCGCCCGAGAGTCGGCAGTGCCAGGTAGTAGACGGCGCACGACTTGTTTCGCGTCGATCTTGGCCGGCGGAGGCGGTGCAGGTGCAGAGGTGGGGCCCTACAACCTCTGTAGCACTTTAGGTAGTGTCGAAACAGATCAGCTGTTTGCGAGATTGATGGAGCCTCCTTGTCAGCGAGTCCATCTGCGAGTGTCCAGCCGGAACCCCCCAGAGAGGCGCCATTCGAGTCGGCTCCGACGCTCTTCCGCTCGGATCTTGCAGTAGAGCCGCGGAACCCCGACGGGCAAATTCGTTGAACCCGATGCCGATTCTGGACCTTGTAGCAGCCCACCGATCCGATAGAATGGTCGAGGCTCCTCCGTCGCTTTACCTCTATAAAGTAAAGCACCCGACCAAGTAAAGTTGCGGGTTGTGTGAGAGGTAGGTAGACATATCATCCACCTACTACCCTACCTACGGAACTCTGCCGAATGCCAATAGCTGGGCCCAGAACGCTGTCACGGAACCACCGTGGCTCGCTGTAGACGCCACTTGGTGCTGCACTCTGAGTGAACTTGGCACTGACAATGCTCCCTGCAAACTGTTGGTGAAGCTAGCGCTCCCATTGCCTTCAAATGGAGGGCTCAGGGTGGGCTGGTCGATGCCCTGTCTGTTTGGGACCCCTGTTCGGCCGGTGAGACACCTAGCTCCGCTGCCCAAAACGTATGTGTGTAACGCAATTTGCTCAGATTGGGTGTGTGAGGACCGGGGCCGCCAGGCATCAATACAGGCTGAGCACCGGCCGCGTCCAGCCCGATCTGCAGTGGCAAATATCAGATTTTACTCTGTCGCACGTATGAGGATCGACCTACCTTTCCTCCTTGAACCTATTGCCATAAACGAAAAGAAAAAATGCCCCCGGACCCTCCCGACGGGAAGGGATGCCTGCTGCTGCGAGGTACGTGCAGGGCCCGGCCGGGAACAAGGGCTTTTCTCCATGAATCTGTGCCCCATATCGAAACGCATCATTCATATCCTCGTTTTGAGTGCTCCATAAGAAAATTGCACCGCGGGCCATGGGTACGCACTAAATCTAGGGGCTAACTTGCGTCACCATGTCACCATGCACCGGCTGAAGTTGCGCAGCCCCCGAGAACTTCGCGTCAACTAGAATCACGATGTTGGCAGCTAGATCTGTTACCGGTACAGTCAATACAAAACTTGATATCCTATACTGTAAAGCACTCAGTCTGAAGCCAGCAGTCTATTTGATTCTCATTCTCTGTGCAACCACCTTCAATATCGCTTGACCATTGCTCGGAGGCGATGGAAAGCCGCCTCGAGTTCATTGCAAGTGTAGACGAGATATTTACGAGGCAGAAACACTGTAGTAGAAATATCCTGCTCAATTCGTCATTGCCTTCGATACCGGAAGGCATGATGTGGGGTGGGAATTATGACGCCGAGCGGTTTGCAGGTGCGAGTACCAACCGTACCGCCGCCATACTGAGCGGGTCCGACCAGCCACGGGCGTCGTCCTCCTGCCAAGGCTGCTTGCTACCCGGCCAGTGCGCCGAAAGGTTGTCCCATCATCCACTCCACGCTGCCATAACTCGAGTGACCCCAACAAGTCTGCTTACTGCCTTCGGTAGTAGAAGACGACGTCAGGTATCAGGCACCTACCTAGGCAGGTTGATCCTTCACCGGTCGCCAGCCATTGGTCCAACGAGTGCGGCACATGAGTCGGAAGGAAGAAATTGACGAAATCGTGAGTTTGCGAGCCGAGACCGAGACACGGGCCGGCTCCGCCGCTCCGATCATTTCGACTTTGCAGCCTGTAGGACATACTGCAGTGAATGCCTACTATTCCATCGCTGGCCACGTATTCTGACCTGTTCAGTGTGACTATTCTACACCTTGACTCATGAGTCGCATCACCTTTCAATGATAGCCCATGACCAATCAAACCCCTACACCATCCTTCGTGCGGTGGACAGGAAAAAACCTGCTTGAAGTATGGAGCTGCTGAAAGAGCCGACGTCGACCAGACCAACTAGTCGGAACAATTAGGAGGGCGTCCATCTGTGCAGAAAGCATGGTGCTTAAAACGGGTGCCCCAAGCTGGCATCGGTGACGGTCGGACCCGAGACTCCAGTCTGACCCTGCGGACGCGAGCTGGAAGAGTGATTCGTCCTTACCCTACCACCCAATACCCCCTTCAGTCCACTCGACCTGAGAGAATCTTGGCGTGCAATAGCTCGAGGCGCTACTAGCTGCTTCAGAGCGTTGTAGTCGTCCAACCGTCGATAACAGCCAAGGACGGAGTTAATTCTTGATCCTCGGCGCGGGTGGGGGCCAACTTGCGACTGCAGACGACAACCGAGAGTACAAGACGACTCGGACTCCGACTATACTTTCGCGACACGACTCGAGACCCACAGCGCTGGAGCAAGACAGTACCTCCCTCGCTTCGCTTGGAGGAGCGTCGTGGCGTGGCACACGATGCAAGCCCCTTCACCCAGTTGTGGTAAGCCATACCTTGCCCCCCTCCCAAGCCTGCGGTCGGTCTCAGCCTCACCGGTGCTTTCCGGCCGCCCAAAACTATTGATCGCGGCGATATGACTGGGGCCGCTGAAGCTCTGAAGGCTTGGCGCTGACCTTGCTCCATGAACGGAACCCCCGCCCCCCCACGTCCTCTGCAGCACTGGCCACGGAGCTGAATACGATCTGCACCCGATTTGGCGAGATCCTGTCGAGGACAAGTCAGAGTGAGTCAATAGTCGGTGCTCTGCTCGCCCGGCCTGTGGCCCTGTGCCCCTGCGAGTGCAGCAGTTGGGGTCGCTGCACTCGCGGGCGGCCTTCGCGGTGACTGGCACCCGCGATCTCGGGCATTCGAAGCCGACTGCGGAGAACCCGATCGAGCTGACGAACGGTTTATATTGCGACGATATGTGATTTGTGGTTTTGTTCCGAGTGGTGCAGTTGCTGCGATCGCCGGCGTGTCCTTTTACTCGCAAGTGCAACAGGAGTTGTCGCAGCAGTCGATTCAGTCACTGCTCGTCGAGGAGGCACCGGTCGTCGACTCGTCGTCGGCCAGGTCGATCAAGCATGAGCTCAGGTCCCATCATGAGCTCAATGACGACCTCCCTACATCGTCGAATGAGCTTCAACGGTTTTGGAAGCGGACAATGGAGGACTGGATCGGCCAGCAGCTGCAGGCGCGAGGCGACGGTCCAGCAACGTCCGCCGTATCGCCAACGAACTTTACCGATTCGTCGATGCAGCCCACAAACGACTCGAAACCGCAACTTTTGCTCGACCCGAGTAATAATGTTACTTCAGGCTCCTCTTTACTGTCGCCGCATCCCATGGATCCGTTGAATCTCGGATTTTCTGGCACGGCAACTCCACCCTTTTCCCCTTACGCCTCGCCGAGTCCTCATCGGGCCATGAGCGCAAGTCCGATACCGGGCAGTGCTCCGCTTTCACCCTTCATGCCTAGTACGTCCATCTGGTACAATATCCTCTCGCGCGAGCCAACTGATTCCTTGGACCCCTCGCTGACCATCACCGGTGGTGCTTCAACGTCCCCCACAGTTAGCCCCTTCGTTCTGCAACCTTCGCCCTTTCTTTCCCCTTTCCAATTTGCCAGCTATTATGCTGCCTCGATGGTCCCGGTTCCCTCACAGGGCCTGGCTATGCCTATGCCCAGCTCCTCGGGCTCAACTACCCCACTCGCCACCCAATTCGGCAGCCTGGAAGTCGAAGAGTCGTACCCCTGGAGCTCGGGGAACATCGGCTATGAAACGAACCATAACGCCACGACGATGACACCGATGGTGCAGCCCCCGACCCCGACCCCCTTCGACAACTCTGTTAGTACGCCCGATCATTCCGAGTCTCCCGGCGCCAGGCGTCTGTCCTCGGCATCCCTCCCGAGACTCGTCACTACGGGCCTCTCCCCGTCCACGGGCTACACGCAGTCCCCGACCATCAACATCTCTGGCTCGCTGACCCCGGACCCGTCCTCGCTCGATGATTCAGGTCACTCGAGGACACGGTCGCTTTCGGTCTCAGAGTCGCCGAATCCAGGTGGCCGCGTCAGTCACCATCGACGGCTCTCGAGCGGATCCGTGCGCTACCACCCCTTCCCGACACCGCCTCGGGGGGACTCGAGCCCCCACTTGCAGGGCTTGAATGATCACTCCCTTTCGGCTATCATGACGCCGTCTCCGAGCTCGCTGCTATCAGACTTCACTTCGACGACCTCGAATTCGCCGCAGTCGTCGAACGAGTCGGCGTCCGGGGCGGCGCCACAGAAACTGGTCAAGAAGCGCCGATCTCGCTCCACAGACACACGGTCCCGAACGACGCGATCGGTGCAGTACGACGAAAACGCCGTCTTCTCGACAAATTCGGTCGATGTCTTCATCGTTCACACCCAAACCCGCTCCAAAAGCGAGGTGACTGAGCAAGACGTGCTGGAGCTCGAACTTGACTTGGAACCGGGAGCCAATGCCGTGACGTCGACATTGTACCGGACCGTGCATTCGCGCCTGCCATACACACATGAGATGCTGGAGCAGGACTGCGAGCTCAGAAAATCGTACCACTTCGTCTCAAGTCGCGCTGGTGCGATCACCAAGTGGATCATGTCGTACGATTTTGGGAATCCCAAGGTCGAGGAAGGGCAACGACAGCCCCGTGTTCGGATCGAGCCAGTCGAGCCGCTCAGCCACTGCCTACCGTCGGACAGCATCCTCACGTTCGTCCATTTCCCCCGAGATTCGATGGTCGTGGATCCGACTCATCCCATCGGCTCGAGTGCGTGGTGGAGGGTTCAGGCATGCGAGGGCCGACATGAACACTGCCCCGGAACGGGGGCCTGGACCGCGAGGTGGGACGAGGAAGGATCCGAGCGTCGGCCGTCTCGCATCGTTCAACACTACGCCGCTTGCTCTCTACACAAGGACGAGGGCGACTTTTTCTGCCTCGGCAAGTTCGCACGAGCGATCAAGCGTGTCGTACCCCACCGAACCACGTGAGCTCGGTGCTTCAATCATGCGCCGAACCACCGATCCCTGTATCACTTTGCTTCTTCAAATGGCTCCGTCTCGAGGGTGGCACTGTATCACTATCAATTCATCTGTCTTCACAGATTTTATTTCTCTGATGTCTGCCCCGAGGATGGGCCTATGCAAGTGGGCGTCCTCGGTGCACCGGACAATAAGAGTTTGACCTGCTGGTCACATAAATGTTGTTCGCCACCTTGTGAGGGGGCGATGTAACCTACTACTTAGATCTGTCAAATATGCCAATAGCCTTGCCCTCTTCGGTAGGCTTCGGGATTGTACCACTTTTTCACGTGTGAAATGCTACAGCTTACTGGGAGTACCACTCATGCTCGGCTCCAGACGAAACGATGCAAACCCCTCACATCTTCCTGCCTCCGACGTTATTGACACTAATTGCTCCACTGACCAGGAGATATCGAAGTTAGAATCGAATTCGACCCGGAATAGATTACGGGCGCCTGGCTGCCAGCTGGATAAACCTGTGTAGCACCGGCCGACGCGTGTCGCGGTACCCACCCATGTTCCCCTTTTTAGGGTTGGTACCCATGTAGGTAGGTAGGTCTATGCGAGCCCACTTGATTTAAGAAATAATTGATGACACATCCATAGGACCAAGCAAACTAAGTAAGTCGAATCGACCTTTCAAGCTGCCGAGTCAATCTCATCGCGCTTGCTCGACGCGTCGCGACGCGCAGTCATTTGAGTTTCATGACAAAACCGGATAGAGGCCGGCCGATCGAGGGCCATTACCTATCTACCTATTGGGTACCAACGGGCACCAATCTGTTGGCCAATGGGATAGATTGCGAAGGCATCATACTTCGTGATTCTTGCAATCATGCCAAGTGAATCGGCTTTCGACTCCAAGCTTCCAACAAGGTCACCTGAGCTTTCCTTTATGCGTCACGGGCTCCTTACTGCTCCCTACAAATCATGTGAAAGAGTCCAGACGTGGCCCAGACAATGTAGGAGCTATGCATCTTTAGCATCCATGATACCTCGGTAGAAACATTCTCACCCTGGCTATGACACCGACCTACTGCCTACCTCTTCTTTCTTCACCGTCAATTTACTCCGACTGCCTGCCCTAACAGGGCTTCTGGAATCTGCATCCACTGCTGCCCGCCTTTACGCGCGCCCAGAGCGTTGGCTGTTCGCATCAGCTACGCGTGTGGCGATCATCGTGACCGCTTGCGCGTCCATCGCCAGGCACGAGTCGGATCGATCAGTGCGGGATCGGCAGTAAGCGGGTATATCTACTACCTACATCTCATCATAAGCCTACCTAGGTCGTACTCATTGAGCCACCAGTTTTGTCGGTCATCGTCGATCGGAAACTTCCAGACAGAACCGTGAGTTTTCGATCCACAGGCTTCCAAGGCCCAAAGTCTTTGTTCTCGCATTTGCATTTCTGCTCGTGAATGCGGTATCCGGCTTTGATCCACCCCGAGAGGTACCTAATCCGCTTGCAATCGCCACTTCACGTCGCGTCACCGTCGGTAATTCAGGAAGGTCGGCAGAACCGTAGATATCCCTGCTACCTGTAAATCTAGTGGTTGCGCATACGGTTGACCTAGGATTAAAGATCATGGGCTTGACTGGGAATTTGGGACTCGAAATTCGAGGGAGTGGAACAGCGTTTGCCGCGCGAAGTGGTCGATTTGCCGAGGCAGGGTCCGCTCGGGCGAAAAGAACGAGTCGAGTCTTGCTGATAAAGTCAAGATTTGTTCCCGATGCAGGGCGCGTGGTCCAAGATCGCTGACACGTGCAGCGACGCCCATTAGCCCATTGTCCCCTTTGATCGACCTTATCCTGAACGGTGTTACGTACGTAGACCTGGTCCCTCGCCGCTTCGATTGCTGATCACCAAACCGTTTCTTCCTTACGATCGTTACTCGTTCCGCAATCCACACCCTGTAGCCCCGCGCACCCCAACTCCAACTGGCGAACGGCGAACGCTGACGATAACAAGCCGTCAGGACTCGCTGAAAGCAGCAGCGCCCTCGTGCGACGGCTCTTTCCCCCGCGCGAGCTCGGACCTCTTACTAGCTCAGATCAAGCCCAAGCCGCCGCGGTGCAACTTGGACCCTCACACGCCTGTTCATCAGCTCAATCGACAGTCTGACGCGACTCGTTGCCTTATACGCTCATTATCACTCTCTCTTGAGCTTCATTCGCTTGTGGTACGTCCATCAGACGCCATTGCCCATTGCACAGGACTCGTTCCGATTCGATGCACGACGCACGCGCTTGAAGTCTGTCGGTCTGCCGTAAGGTTTCGCGACCGGGCTCGCGCGCAGGCTCATTCTCGGACCCCGGGTCAATGGATCGCAACCTCATTGATGACTGCCTCTTCAAAGCTTTGTCTGGCATGTCGTCAATTTTTGCACACCCAAGCTGACACAGACTAAACACCCACATCGCTCCAACAATTCCTCCGCATCTCACAGTACCTGCGCCGACCGACTCACTCACCGCCTGTGCAGCTCTTTCCGTCATTCACTCTGCAAACTCTTTGGTGAAACCTCGGCCATTTCTAGCGCACCCTTCGCCGGTCTGTCAAGTCTCAGCATCACGGCTCCATCCAATCTTGTCAAATATAGGAGTCAGCACTATTGGCTTTGAAAAGTGTGCGTACTGGACTCCATGTGTACGGTGCTACCTTGCGTTTCACCGTAACTCTCAGCAGGCCGAACGCCGAACGCCCGAATGGATGTTTCTGCGCCAGCGCGGACCCCGAGCCTGGGTCGCCGGGTCTCACATGGTGGGGTGGCGCTAATAGACATCGCTGACGAGTCCCTCTTATGCAATTTGCATCAGTCCATTCATACGCCTTCGCCAACGGTCGAACGGACATCTTTGGGACTTACTCCGTTGCTTGAGGCCCCAACTCCCACTATCGATCGGGCTAGACACTTGAGGTACGTGCACGTCTTTGCCCGACGGTCGGGGCTAGCGCCTCTTCCAAAGCCCTTCACTCCAACATCGAGTCCGATAACCGCTTGGCTAACGAACGGCGAACTCATCTACCGTAATACTATGCCATAGCGAGCCGCCATCACGAGCAAATCGTCTCACGCACAGCGCCCCCTTCTTGCTTCGTTCCCCTGCCCCGCCGCTCAATCATTTGGACGATCCTCGCGCCGCTGCTGCTGCCACACTTCTTGGTCTTTTACCGTATACACCGGGTATAAAGTTTTCGTGCGACACCTACTCGACTGCACAATCATCCATCTTCCCTACGCCTGCCATGATCTCCTTCCGAACCCTCGGTGCTCCCTTGGAGTCGGACGACCCCTTTATAGCGCCCGGCGTCCGTTCTCGCCTGGGGGCGTCCTCGTTCTTCGTCAACGTGTCGAAAAATGCCAGTGCCACTAAAGTCGTTACTCGTGGCTTGAGCCCAGGATCTTACTTCCCTACCGTACTCCATACCCCCGATACAACCTCGCCTACATCGCGACCCACGTGTTCGCTAATTCTTCGCTCGTCGGACTTTGCGCCCGAATCGTCCTCGTCGCATGACGGTGTGTTCAAGCATCCGGAGCTCTCGCCCTACTCTCCCACTCGTCCACCCATGACACCCAGATCGCCGTACTTTGCAAAAGTCGTCGCTGCCGAGGTCGACACCGACGCGACCATGGTCGATGCGTTCGCGACGCCCCCGCCGGTCGCGCGCTCGAGCTGCGCCATTTCCGTTTCGATCCCAGACACCGTGATGGGCTTCGGGCTTCCCTCGCCACCACCGAGTAGTCGTACTTCGGACAAGAGCAAGCTCAGTTTAAGTAGTGCCGAATTGACCTCGTCACAGCAGCAGGCGCATTCTGCTCCGCGGATACAACCAGCTTGCCTCCCATCGTCGGTACCGGAACGTGCAACGCTGCTCACACCGCCGCCGACACCGTCGGGGTCACTCAATCTTCAAGAACAGCAGCAATCTCCCTTACCCTCGGCACCCCTCGTTGGCGGCGCTGCGCCCGCCGCCTCTTTACCCGCCCCCGCCCCCGTCAAGCTGTCCCCATCGGCGGCTGCGCTGCAAAACTACACCCTGCACCCGCTCTTCGCTGCCCAATACACGCTGCAGGAAGAGCTCGGAGCTGGTGGGTTCGGCTTTGTCGTTCGCGCGATGCGCAAGTGCGATGAATACTCGGTCGCCGTCAAGTTCATCGAGCGAGCCAAGATACCCGCCCACGGCTTGACCAAGGACCGAGGCCCCCTTCCGGCTCCGGGGTTGTTGCCCCAGATGTGCGACGATAAGGGCGCTTACCGATTGATCCCGACCGAAGCTTTCATTTTGCGCCACATCAACAAGATGCAGCATCCGGGCATCATCGCCTTCGTGGATGCCTTCGAGGACGACCGCTACTTTTACTTGGTGATTCTGCCTTTCGTCGGCCCTGCCCGCTTAAATTGTATCTAATCAAATATTTTTCTAATGTTCCGCAGGTCATGGAACACCATGGCACGCCTTGGCTTTCGCCTGACAAGGTCGAAGCGCCGTGCTCGTCTCCGTCGGATCTCCCGGGTCTCGTGGCTGCGGCCCAACCGAGCATCCCCCAGACGATGACGCCCTCGGCCTCGCCGACGTCGGCGGAGATGTCTCCGTTGGCTTCTTCCTTGACACCCACATCACCGAACAAGCTCTCCCCGCCGCGACCCGCGCCGATGGAGCGCCGCGCGTCGTGCGATCTCTTCGAATGCATCGAGCGCTATCACCGCTTCGACGAAAACATCGCGAGGTACATATTCATGCAGATCGTCGAGGTCGTCTACACTTTGGGGACACTTGGCATTGTACATCGCGACATCAAGGACGAGAACATCGTCATCTCGAGCGACTACAAGGTCAAGCTGATCGATTTCGGCTCGGCTGTCTTCTTCGACCCTCGCCAACCGGCACCGTGGTATAACCGCTTCTTTGGCACGACCTCGTTTGCCTCGCCCGAGATCCTCCGTGGTGAGGCTTACCAAGCCCCCGTCTCCGAGGTCTGGTCGCTCGGGATCCTCTTGTCGATTCTCGTGATGGGCGAATCGCCTTTCGCGAACGTCGAAGCGATCAAGGCCGGTCGACCTGCGCGACCCAAGGTGCGGATGTCGCACGAGCTTCGCGACTTACTCTACAGTTGCCTCGAGCCGGACGTGACGAAACGCCCGACGATCGCACAAGTGCGACGGCATCCTTGGTTGGCTCCGCCGCCTCTTCGGACCCCTTCGAACGCAACCAAGGCGTAGGGCTCTCCGTTTTTTGACCCCTGTCCCGCTGTCGTGCTCGTCGATCGGCCCTTCAACGATTCCATGCTGTTACGGCTCCTTCGCAACTCTCGTTCGCATTCAGTACCTTCCCGGGGACATTCAACGTCATCCTCACTATTCCATACCATACTGTACACCTACACCTTATTCTCGACTCGGGCCTTTCTCTTGATTTTATCTCACTCCCTGATGTATCGTCTTAGTACTGGTTCCTATCCCTATACACGTTGCTTGTACGCCTTGACATCTTGCTTTGTAGCTCCATCCGCTTTGCAATCACATCACAGTCCATAGTCTCAAAATCTGATCACAAGCGTGCAGCTGGCCGGCTGGGTGCTCCCATTTCTCCTCGCGTTAGAATGGTCGCCTATAGGAGTTCCGAGGGGCAGCAAATGTTATGGTCGTGGGTTGCGGAGCAATTGATCTCCTACGCTAGCAAACTCGGTCGACAATCGGAAGTAATTGATCGAGGCTCGAAACTTCGCAAGACCCAGATCTACCCAGATGGACCGAGCGCGCGAGACAGCGCGAGAGTGCGCGAGAGGAGGCGCCGTTGACTCTTTCGTCGCCGCCGTCGCCGTTCGCACCTTCCGCTCCCTTTCGTATCGCGCTCGTCCATCCTCGACCCGGTTCACTTATCTCAGTCAGACACTTGAACGAGCTGCGAGTCTCGACAGGATGTTACCCAACTCGTTGATCCCTACGGCGTTGCCCAAGGCTCAATTTCGCGCCGTCGTCACGTGCGGCTACGGCTCGGATCTGTACCCTCTCATCGAGCCACTAGCAACCTTCACCGACGACGAACCGGACGAAAGCCCGAATGCGCCTCTCTCCTCTCAACACCATCACCACCATCAGCGTAATGACAGCCAAGGCGGTGCGAATGCGACTGGGGTGATGGGCGGCTCTTCGTCCGGGACAGGGGCTGGTGCAGGCACGATAGCAGGGTTGGGGTCGAACAATGCTGGTACGAGTGCGGCAACGAGTGCGAGTACAAAGAAGCCGGGTCAGGTCAAGGCTCTGTTGCCTGTGGTGGGCAAGAAAATGGTCGATTGGACACTGGACAGGGTCGAAGAAGCGGGTGTATTCGGTGCGGACGGCACGCGCCTCTCAGCGTGTGAGAGTGGGCACGATACGCGTGCGATACGCGTGCTAACACGGTGCCCGGGACCGCAGATGTACTCGTCTTGTCGCCGTCTTCGCTGGCCTCGCCGATAGCGCATCATTTGCGAGCGAGGAGGACCGCGCCGTCGACGAGCAACCTCCCTTCGGGCACCCCCTCGACCAAAATTGAGCTGGAAGACGTGCCCGACGCTGTCGCTCGTCAAGGTAGCGTGGCCGTGTTGAAGTGGGCAACAGAAAAAGGGCTTATCAAGGTCAGTTACCCGCCCCGCAATCATCAGCTCACTCCACTCCAATTCACGCGTCCAATTTTTCTTTCCAAAGTCCGATATCCTTTTGGTGCCGTGCGATCTCCTCCTCGTACCCACAACGATGACTACCATATCGCTCGCATCTCTCATCGATCGCCATCGAACCGACGACAACCTCATGACGACGCTCTTTTACGAAAGGGCCGCAGGCGCAGTGGTCGAAGCCCGAAAGGATGGTCAGTTCCTCGCTCCTCCGGCTCCGTCATAAGATTTGGCCTGTATTGACCATGTCCGCCTGGAATCGCACAGGTCCTTCGGAGATCCTCACGATATACGATAGCAAAACTTCCACTTTACTCGATATTAGGGAGATGGCCGAATTCGATGACGACGAGATTCCGTTGAGGACCTCTCTTTTGGAAAGGTCAGTTCAGAACGTTGGGATCCCACTCTTCGTGCCTTCTACGGATGCTTACTTCGCATTCCGCCTTGTCACTTACAACAGATTCCCCTCACCCACACTTTCAACCACTCTTCTGCCCTGCCAAGTCTACATCTTCTCGTCCCTCGTTTTTCCGTTGCTCACCTCCCCCAACAACGCCCGTCGCTTAAGCCACATGGAAAGCCTACGCGAGTTCGCCGGTTGGGTCGCGCGTTTATCGTGGCGCAACAGCGGCAAAGATGCGATCGGGTACAGAGACGTTCGCTCGGTGCAAAGGGAAGACGGTCTGGCGATGGGTCGATCGACCACGCAAGCCCCTCTCGGCTTTTCGCACCCGTCCAAATTTCCCTTCGCCCACTCGCCTCAACCGCTTTCGGGACCTCAAACGGGAGCGAACACTCCTGCGCTCGTGTCACGTTCGTCATGGCTCAGAAGCAGCATCTCGAACGGACCCAACAACGGCGAATGGGATCACGGTCTCTTATCCAAAGCCGCCGTAGGAGGTGCCGGTGCCGGAGGTCGTAAGAACGGTCGAGCCGCGACCGGAGGGTGCAAGCTCGTGATTTGGAAATCGCACGACGGTTGGTGTGGGCGAGGCAACACCGTCGCCGGTTACGTCGAATTGAATCGCTCGGCGTTGAAGTTGTTACCGCCTCAACCACCGGCGACGAATACGCCTCAGGGCGTGTTCATTTCCCCCGATTCGTGGTTGCATTCGAGTGTGCATGCGAACTTGGGGGAGAAGGTCGGGGTCAAGAGGTCGATTATCGGGAGAGGGTGCTTTGTGGGGAGATTGACCAAGTTGACGAATTGCGTCTTGATGGATGGGGTGCACATCGGGGAAAAGTGAGTCGTCGCGGGTCGATCGAACGCGCTCGGTCTGTTTGACTGGACAAAGCAAAGCGCTGACTCGCCTTTGCGTGTACGCATCCTTGTGTAGCTGCAAATTAGATAACTGCGTCGTTTCGACGAATGTGCAGATCCGCGATCGCGCGCAATTGAAGGACTGCGAGATTGGGCAGGATTACATCGTCGAAGCTGATGGTGAGTGCCACAAACGGAGACTTTCAGGGTAGAAATGATCTTGGATCTGACATCTTTTCGATTCGCTTCCTCTCTTTCTTCCTTCTCCCTTCTTCAGCCTCGATCAAGAATGAACAATTTGTCGTGGAGCTCGATTGAATGCGATCGAAATTTGTTACCCCCTACTACTACTAGTCTCTGACCAATGACCGCCTCTTTAAATTCAGCCGCTTCGTTTATGTATATCTCTGACCTCGTCAACGCGCAGCGTCTAAGCGAAAGATCGAATTGAGCGTCGGTTTGCTTCAGCAGCCCTCTTCCTAATTCGCAACTGATATCGATAGCGCTTGAAACACTGAGGTGCAGGTTTACTGGATATGGAAGCAGTGGGGATCTTCGTCAGGGCTCCCGCAGGCGAGGACGTCGGAGGGGCGGACGAAGTCGTTGCTGGAGCTGAAGACGTGGTCATCGGTACTGCTCCCGTCTGACCCGCGACCGGTGAACCAATGCCTAGGGCCGAAATCGAGATCACGTGCGGTATTTGAGAGACGGTCGATGCGATAGAGCTCATGGTGGGTAGCTCTGAAATCTGCGGGCTTGATCCTCGACGATGACGATAACAGGGGTTCGGTCGTGCGGGTCGTCTCTACTGTGCACCTGCGCGACATGGGTGCGCCGGATGCTGATCAATCAAATTGGATCATGAGTTCACCGGTTGAAGACTTGATTCGTCAGAACCCAAATCCGAGCCTGTAGAAACCGCGGCGCGTAATGCCGCACTGGTGGTCCTTGCCGACGCAGCATCCGCAGTCGTCCTTCCGAGTCGAGTGCGAGTCCCGGCGGTCGTCAACGGGGCAATTGTAGTCGATGAACGCAAGACTTCTGCAGACGGTCCAATTGATGAAAGGATCCGGTTGGATTCTGTTTTGGTCGTCGTTCGTAAGTCGCTGCTCGTCAGGGTCTTTGAAAAAAGCTGGATTGAAGTGACTCTTGCCTGACCACTAGTCGTGGAAGCAGTGAGCCCGTTCGAATCCCCCGAATTCGAACTCGAGCTCCTCGTTCCGCTCGACGTGCTTATCTTTGATCTCCCCTTGCGAGTTGCTGTGCTCCGCGACGTGGAGGATGACCGCCTGGACGTGATTCGAAAGAACCCCGAAGAGCCCACTGAACTTTGCACAGGCCGGTCGGCCGGGCTGTCGAGGCTGATCTCGTTGTAGTCGAAATGTTCAGCGAAGTACCAGACGGAAGGAAGGGGTTGTAGATAGATTCGAGTTGGTCCCTTTGGTCGTGGGATGCTCGGTATCGTTTGAGTCAGTCGATGCGGTCGAGATGCGGGTCGTCGTACCTTTGGTGGAGGCTTCTCGGCGGTGACGGAGGCGGGGGAAAGTCGTAGTCTTGTTGACGCTCTTCGACGGCCCGTCCTTGGCAAGTTTGACCAAATTGACAGGTTCACGACGAACCAAGAAACCACCGCCCTGGGACGCAGTCAAATCGACCAAGCGACGTGCACCGCAATCCTCGGAGGAAGTCTCCGAGGTGAGAACCGTGCCGAGCAAACTTGACCAAGCTATGACGAGGGAAGTGAGGAGCAGCGTGAGTGAACGGGTGATGCTCGTAGATCTGATGAGAGATGCCAATTTTGGTAGGGTAGTGAAGCTATTCTGATCGAGTGAAGGCTGATTTGGTGGAATGAGGTGAAACCAGCTCGTTGTGCCTTTCGACGAGCAACTTGAGAAGGGCAAGGGGCAAAAGGAAGAACGCAGTCCCTCGAGACACGGAGCTGTAGGACCAGCCAAGAACGACCACTGAACGATGGCGAGAAGAGATACAAAGCGGACCCGGGAAGAAACGCCGAGGAGGGGAAGGGGCCCGACGTGCGCAGACCAGAAACCCGGCGAACAACGGTCGGCTTCGCCATCCTCAGCCGCGGGGGGAAGCCCCTGTCGACGACTCCATTCATCTCTCGCGCGCACGCTCTGACAGGTGGCGAGAATGCAAAAATCAAATGCGAATGCAATGTACAACACTGAACGGATCCCCCAAGAGCGGAAACGGCATGATGCTCAGTGACACGACAGAGTTTTCCCATCGTCCTCGACGACTCCAAGGTCGAAATGTCGTTGGAAGATGCAGTGCCCCAGGAAGGCTCCACTGTGAAAGGATGAAAGATTGGAATAGGTCAGTGATGTGATTCCGGAAGAGGACTACCCTATTGTAGGTGCCCGGTATAGGACGAACATGAGGACCGCGGCGATCAGGACGGCGTTGTACGCTGTTCAATCAAACGGCAAGTGTGGTCAGTCACAGTCAGGTTCACACTTCTCCCGGATCGGGTGAGCTTACACATGATGATCAACATGATGTAGAACTGATCGAATGACGTACGAGCCCAGGTCAAGGCGATACACGAGGTCAGTCTGGGCCATCGACCACAGCCGGGCTCTGGTACGACTTTGGAGAACGCACCGACAGCGCGATGTTAAAGGTGTACGACATCGATCTTCGTGTCTGGATCGACCATGGAAGTTTGCTGTTCCCCAAGGGAGAGAAGGAAGAGGCACGGATGAGCCTCGAGCCAAAAACGCCGAGAAAACCCAACTCACACGACGCCAAACGACCGCGCACCCCGACCTCCGCCCAACAGCGCCTCATCCGAATCCCTCGACTCTCCAAGAGGGGTGTTCGTAGGTCGCCTCGACCCAGGTGTAGGCGAAGGGTTGCGATGCGGATAGCTCCCCGAAGCTGTGGAGAGGTTCGAGTTGGCCCCTGCGCCTCGGAGGGATGTTCGGAGCACGCGGTCGAAGGAGAGGAGCGAGAGACGAGTGTATTCGTAGAGGATCGAGAGCAGTATGACTGGTGCGGGATGGGGGAGGGGGAAAGGGATTGGTCCGATCGGTCAGTTTCGAGTGGTCGGTCACCTGCGCCGGGGCTCGGGTGGGCTGGGCGCTTCGGGACGTACGGAACACAACATAGCAGACGAGGCTTGAGCGCGAGGTGATCTGAAGCGAAGGGAAGACGAGACAGATGCCCATGGGGTTCGTATTCCAGACCTGTCGGGGTGGGTGGGGGTGGGGTGGGGTGTCCGATAGGGGCAGTTCGAGTCAGTCGGCGGAGACTCGTTGCGACGACGTAGCGCACACGGAGGGCAAGGGCCAGCTGACCATGTTCATCTATGGGCAAGACGGTGAGAGGTGAGTGCGGTGTCGAGTGTGCTCTGGGACGAGCTGACCTGATGCGTACCTTGCAGTGCATGGGCATTGCTGCGGCCGAGGAGCTCCCGGCCCCGTGGTGCATCGAGTGATCCATCGCCAGGTCAAGACGAGTCGAGGTCGAGCGGCACCGAGGACGGTCGGTCTGGTCGTAGGGGGCAGTTCGTCTTCGTGCCGTGCCTCAACAGGGGGTCTGGTTGTGGTCCGTCGATGCCGAGTCGGGCTGAAGTCGCGCCCGGACCGCGCTCGGGCGGCGCTCGGACCGCCTCGGATCGGGGACGTAAGCAAGCGCAGACCATCCTCGCCGACTTTGCTCTCTGTGCCTCCTTCACGAGCAGCGAACCTCGTCCCTCGTCCTGATCCAGCCCACGATGCGACTCTTCATTCTGTCGTTCCTTCTGCTCCACCCCCACTCCGCCAACTCGCTCCAGTTCTTCTGGAACGGTGCGTCTCAGTCTCCCTCGCCTCCCTCCGCTTCCCCCTCAACGACCAAGTTCGCCTCGCACCGTCTCTTCCCCCTCTCGGACGGCACCTTGCTCCCCTCCCCCGCCTTTGGAGCAGGTTCGGTCTGGAAAGGCGAGAACGTGACCGAGATCGTCCTCAGTGCGTTGAACCAAGGCTATCGTCATCTAGGTACGCGCTCGACTCGATTCGAATCGACTCGTAGGGCCCCGCCGGCTAAGTTCCCGCTCCGGAAACGTTGAGTTGATCTCATTTCGAGATTCGATCCACACAGACAATGCGGCTTTTTATGCGAACCAAGAGAGCGTCGCGGATGCGATCAGGGCTAGTGCGATCCCCCGGGACGAGTTGTATCTGACGAGCAAGTACGATCGCTTGAACGGCCAAGGACCGGAACAGGAATTGCACGCCACCTTGCGCAAGGTACAGTGGACGGAGGGAGCGCACGCCGACTTGGTCTCACCGCGCACCGTTCAGCAACTCATGCACAAAGTTGACCCTCCCTACAGCTCAACACGACCTACTTGGACCTGTACCTGATCCACGTCCCGCAGTTCGGCGCGGACCCGTCCATCTGGCCCACGTTCGAATCCTTCGTTCATCGAGGCCTGGTTCGTTCGATCGGCGTGTCCAACTATCTCGCTTCGGACTTGGGGCGACTGCTCGCCTCGGAGTCATTGACGATCGTCCCCGCGGTGAACCAAATCAAGTTACACCTCTACAACCAGCTCGAGATGAAGGCGACGATCGAGTTGTGTGAGAGGGAAAGCATTCAGATTGCGGCTTATTCGACCTTGACGAGTTTGACGACGAGGCACGGGGGGAAGGCGGATCGGGTTGTGGGAAAGGTTGCCGAGAGGCATCGAATTACGGAGGGGCAGACCATCCTCAAGTGGGCCGATCAAAAGGATTGGGCGATCGTGAGGTGAATTGGGGGCCACTGCCAGTCTTTCAAGGCATCATCATGGGTGTTCGGCGGACTGCTGATCCGTCCGCGTTTCGGTGTACACTGTACAGCACGAGCGGCAAGGATTATCGTCAAAAGCAACAGTTGCAAGTGTTTGAGGCCGATTTCCCCAAGCTGAGCAAGAAGGAGATGAAGGTGATGGAGCACAAGGGGAGGAAGCAGGAGAAGAAGGATCGCCAGGGCCAAGCTGAGCCTGCCATGGGGACGACTCGGAGCTGGTGGTGAATAGAGTGGATCGGAGGATGAACTGTTGTTGTGATTTGAAATGAGAATATTGCCGGGTCAAGTGCTGAGTGGTGTCGAATATTCCGAACCGAGCGGGGCCGGACTCCCCTGCCGGACCGAGCAGTAGCGAGCAGTAGCTAGCAGTAGCGAGCAGTCGTCCAACCGACTCCAATTCCCGGCGCGAACCACACAAGCACTCCTTTCTCCTTTCTCCTTTCTCCGCCACCCCACCCCGCGCCGGACGACCGACCTCAGCTCGGACGCAGGACCATGTCGCTCGACTCGTTGCCTTCGATCGACGACTCGATCCGGCGCTCGATCAAGCGTACGCACGCGCTGTTCTCTGCCGACGAAGCGTTCTACCACGTCGACGAAACCGATCGCTCGTCAGTCCACGCCCGGCGCACGACGCCCGGTGCCCAGTCCAGTCCACGCCCGGCGCACGACGCCCGGTGCCCAGTCCCGACCCACGATCGTGCCTGCACTGACACCGCAGCGGACACCGCATCGGTTCTGTTCACCCACAGTGCCAAACTGCGCCTCGCGGCCAAGATCAACGCCGAGTACGGGAACGCCAAGGTGCTGCCGGCGGCGTTGTTGGTGCAGCAAAAGGGCGCGCAAGGACCACACCGACCGGCCCAGCCTGCCGGAGGTGCGCGTAGGCCAGCTGTGGCGAGCAGTGCCCGGATGATCGAGGGTTAGTCTTGCGTACAGCTCTGCGACGGGTGGCCGAGGCTGGCTTGCGAGGCCCTGCTTGAACGGCAGGATGGATGAATGCCTGCTGACGATCTCACCACGCGGGCTTGCGCTCCCTTCCTCCCTTCCTCCCATCTTCCCACATCCTCATCCACCAGGCGCACCAGGCGCACCAGGCGCACCCTCCTCAACACCCGCACCTTCCCCCAACGGCTCCTCGACCGCACTCACCACCACTTCCACCAACGGCACCTTCTCCGCGAGCTCCTTGCCCGTCTCTCACCAAACGCCGACCCTGCTCTCGCAATCGTTGATCCGTCGTCGCGAGGCTAGGGCCGTCAAACCCGACTACCATGCCCCATGGAAACTCATGCGCGTTATTTCGGGCCATCTCGGTTGGGTACGCGCGTTGGCCGTCGAGCCGGGAAATACCTGGTTCGCATCCGGCGCCGGCGATCGCGTCGTCAAGGTAGGCAGCGCCGACCCGTCATTGCTGGCCCATCCTCGGCAAGCTGCCCAACAGAACTCACTGACGACCAGCGATGGGATCGTTCACAGATTTGGGATCTGGCCAGTGGTGAACTCAAACTGTCCCTGACGGGACACATCTCCACCGTCCGAGGTCTGGCCGTCTCGAACCGCCACCCGTACCTCTTTTCGTGCGGGGAAGACAAGGTGCGTCGTTCTCTCTGCGGTAGGGCACATCGGATCGAACGACGAACTGACCCGTTGGTTCCCATTGCAGATGGTCAAATGCTGGGACTTGGAGACAAATCGCGTGATCCGCCACTACCACGGCCACCTGTCCGGCATCTACGCGCTCTCGTAAGTCAACCCTACTCCTCTACCCTTCACCGTCCTTTTATGCTCATCCCTCCGCACCACAGCCTCCATCCCACCCTCGACGTCCTCGTGACCGCAGGTCGAGACGCCTCTGCTCGCGTATGGGACATGCGAACCAAAGCCCAGGTTCACGTGCTCAGCGGTCACACGGGAACGATCGCCGATGTCAAATGCCAAGAGTCGGATCCGCAAGTCATTACCGGGTCGATGGATACGACGATTCGGTAAGCCTCCGCGTGAACGAACTCGATCCCGTCGTCGAGAGACGAGCTAAAGGGCGATGCTCACACCCTCAGATTATGGGACCTCGCCGCCGGGAAAACGATGACGACTCTGACGCACCACCATAAATCCGTTCGGGCGCTCGCGATCCACCCGACCGAATACTCCTTCGCCTCGGGTTCGGCCGGGGGGAACAACATCAAGAAATGGGCTTGCCCCGACGGGACCTTTGTGCATAATTTCAGTGGCCATGACGCGATCATTAATACGATCAGTGTGAATCATGAAGGCGTGTTTTATTCCGGTGGTAAGCTTCTTCCATTTTCTCATTCCTACCCATGCCGTTACTTCAAAGAACCACTCACCTCCTCCTCTGCTCTCCCTACCGAACAGCGGACAACGGTTCCATCACCTTCTGGGACTACAAGACCGGCCTTCCCTTCCAAACCATGAACGACCTCGCCCAACCCGGTTCGTTGGATGCCGAGGCGGGCGTGTTTTGTTCGACTTTCGATCAGACCGGTTCGAGGTTGATCACCGGCGGCGCGGATAAGACGATCAAGATTTGGGGCCAGGTCGCTTAAGAGACAGCGAGGCGGCGGACGGAGCTGGCGATGGGGGTTTCGGGTCCGATGGGGAGTTTGGGTAGTCGGAAAGGTAAAAGCGGAATGAAAGCTGTCCCGCGTGAAGGTTTCTCTGTATCATAGGCTTTCGTTTTTCATCTGTTGAATCCCCCCCGAAAGAAATACCATAAAGGACCCCCCCAGACACAAGTCACGGTTCCGTACTCTGAGACAATATTGCACACAAACTGCGCACATGGGGGACACTGTAACGAATCACGTGCCGCATCTAAAGAACCCCTTCTCCCACAAAAAGCGTTCCATCGTCCACAATACACACCCCTGGCCCTCACACGCCTCCGATCATCAACTGATCACGAACGCACTCCTGACCAATTCGACCGTATTGATCCAAGGGTTCTTGGGCGTAGGGTGGTCGCGCAACGTTTCCCTATCAAACCCCCACGAGGGGAAAATGAAGCTCCGTCAGCGGGGGTGGATGGAAGTTGGTGGAGCAATTGACGTCGACACCTACCTTTGGTTGACGCGAAGGATGAAGTTGGTCAATACGGCGATGAAGACGAGGCCGACGAGGATGATGGGCCCATAAAGTTCGTCTAGAAGAGGAAGAGAGAGAGAGAGGTCCTCCGCTCGTGTGAGCTTTCCCAACGGCTATCATCCGTTCAAAACGTAATGAACCCCGAAACTGACCATGATGCCCCGCATACCGATGAATGATCCTCTGCCTCCTCAAGCGATGCATACCATACGCGTAGCCCAACATACATATCGCGATCAAAGCATAGGCAAAACCCATCCATTTCGCGACGTTGTCCGTCGGTCCGGCAGAGTTGAACAAGGCTAGGGCGAAGGAGGAGAGCAGCAGCGCTACGCGCAGCCAGTTGAGGAAGGTGCGTTCGGAGGCGAGCCAGACCTTGAGTGGGCGTTCCCATCGAAGATGGGAAAGAATGGGAGGAGGGGATTAGGATCGATGTGGGGGGGGGGGGGGGGGGGAAGGGGGATAGGACCTCTTTCTCACCTTGGGTTCAATCTTGGTCGCATCGGGGGGCAGGGCTTGCATACCATGGTTAAGCAACGGTGCGCCAGTCGAGGAAGTTGCTCCGTAATTGTTGTTGCTGGTACCAACGGGTTGGTAGCCCTGTTGAAAGTGTGATCAGCTCTCCTTGCCGTCGAGAGCCGAAACAATCAAGTACCGAGCACCCTTGGTAACAGAGTGACGTACCTCGGCTTGGGGATCGTTGGACCGGAAGATGGTTTGGATCCTTGCGGCCATACGTTCTCGGAAAGGTGCGGAATGGGAAGGCATGTTTCGAGGTCGGAACTGTGGAGAGAGACGCGGAGGAGGTTACGGGACAGGGGGGAGCGGACGGCTTATCGTTAGCTGGCGATTCATCATCCTGCATGGCAGCGGTCCTCTGGCATGTGACGAGAGCTAGTGGCTGCATCGGTGTGAGATCCACTGTCTCGACGACTAGTTCCAATTGTCCGGGTGTCGCACGACGGCCATGACCCACGCACGACCAATCGATAGGGCGCCGTAGATCGACGACGGAACAGTACCGAGCACTGGCGGAACGGCGGCTAAACGACCCTGATCGTCGCACTCGCAAGGGTCCTGCACAAGACCACACACCCAGTCCAGCGACCTACCTAGATGATCGAGCCGTTCCGGAGGTGGTTGTTCGGGGTGTGATGCGACGAAACTGAGTCGAGAGCACGAGAGCGCCCGCCTCGGATTCGTCCGTCGGCTTTGGCCGGCTTTTGCGACTGACCCAATCTGAATCCCGGCTTTCGGGCGAGTTGCGCACGTGCGCCTGCTGCAGGGCTGCTGGTTAGCTCTCGAAAGCCGAATCCGTCGAGGCGCTGAGTTCAGCGATTATTTTTTTTGTTTGCCAGAAGCAGGATGTTCCCGTGGGGTGGGTCATACATTGAGCTCGGTTGTTGTAGCTTCAACCAAGAGAGAGAGGCAAAACACCCTCTCCGTCGTACTAGACTTGTAGCCACTTGAAAGTCCCGCGCTCACGAGCCAAACGCCTCATCACTTGTCCATTCTCATTCGTCTGCAATGCAGAATACAACATCCTCCCGTACATCAACCATGACCCAGAAATGTCCTATCGGTCCTCCTCAGCAACACCCCGGACAAAAACCCAAAGCATCATGCACCAACTTGTCGCAATCGAGGCAGAAATGGTTCTCGCACGTAGCGCACGAGTACCGACCCAAAGGGGAGATGTCGACTGAGGTCAGGGACGATTTGATCGCTGTGGTGGGGAAGGGGTGTGAGCACGCTTTGCATGACAAGGGGTAGGCTGAGGACGGTCTAAGAAGGTGAGGGGTAGGGGTATTAGCGTGCGGCGCGCAGGGTAATTAGTTTGGGTTCGAGCTCACTCACTCGGATACGATCTCGTAGTTCGCCACCTGTCGCCATGTATCAAGCATCAGTACACAGTCGCATACTCACGGGACACAGAATTGAACTCACCGGGAACAAATGCCTATAACTTCTCGCCAACTGCGGCGCATTGACGACCGTCAATCCACAGACCCTACACTCAGTCGGCACATCACAAATACGACTCTTGCATCTCGGGCAATTATATCCCGAGTTCTTGAGCTTGAGGTGACAGGAGCATAACCCCGGATAGGGAGCTTGGATGAGTTGAGGGAACCCCATTTGCATCAGATCGGCGGACGAGCTGGGAGCTGATGCTGAAGGACCTCCGAGTACGTGCGATTTCGAAGGCGCGAGTGTTGCGGGGGGTGAGACGAATTCAAAGAGCAACTCGCGTAGGTAAAGATCGTCTCGAGCGACGTTGTAGGTCCCTGTGGGAGTCCATGTGCTTAGTCACATCAAATCTGTGCCGCGAGAGCCAGGTGACGGGCGAGCAGGACCCACCTTTGGTGCGGGTGGCGATATCGCGACAAATCTTCATTTCGGCCGCAAGGCCAATGATGTTGACACGGATGCTGTGGAACGATCGGCGATTGAGATCAGCTCTCATGCAATCATACAGGAGTACGTCGACCAGGTCCCCCGAACGCACCGGTCCTTTTCGACGTCTTTGATCGTGGTGTGGATGTTGCCCGGATCGCAGGTGGTCAAGGACCCGAGGATGATGATGACTTCTCGAGATCCGTGCGGGGGTAGATGGCTAGGAGGTAGATGAAACAGAGTGATCAGGTTTTGATCAAAGGAACGACACGAACCCGGAGAATGCGTACCTCAATCCCGACTGTGCCATCTTGAGCACATTTTGCAGACTCGGATCGCCGCGTGCTTCGAGCTTCTTTTTGTTTTGCAGGGCTTTCAGATGATCGACGGGGTTGCCTGAATGATGCGAAGGTGGAAATCGGCTCGAGTGTTCGTTCGAGGTGAGGTGAGGTGATGATCTGCTTGATCGGACCCACCTCCGAGGGGAGACAACCGTTCGGCTGCTCCGTCCCTAGTGACCAATACCGCCATCTGGGATATCGGGTTCTGATCAAAGAACTCGGAAATAAATTCCTGCCGAGATCAAGACAGGATCGAGTCAGTTATGAATACGTTGATTCAATCCGATCGGGCCTTCTTGGCCCGTTCTCAGAGCTGAGGACTGACCCTCGCGTATTGCAGCGCGAGATCGAGCCAGCTCGACTTGAACTCGCGTTCGAGCATGGCCGCACTGAGGTCGATGACAAGGTACACATGTCGAATGATGCCCCTTTGGATCGATGCGGTATCCCTCAAGATCCTGTTCAAGTCCTTTCCACGGATGATCAGCGCCTCCTCTGCACTCGATCGACGACAAATCACCCCACCCCACCCCCCGGGCAAGGATGAACTGACCTCCTGTTCTTCGTACCCAACAAAGCCCCCGACACGGCCCCTTCCAACGTCCCTCTCTCATCCTCCTGTACGTTATCCCAAGTATGTTCGAACTCCCCCTCCCAAGCCCTGCCCCTGCCCTTCTTGTTCTTACTCTTGCCGGACCTCCCTCCGGACCTCCCTCCTCGCCCTCCTCCTGCTCCAGCAGCACGAAGTGGATCGCCGATCCCCCCACCGACAATCTTGATCCCACCTGTGCTCGCTTCGACCAACGAACGATCGGTCCTGCTCGCCCACTTGCGCTTCCTCTTCCCCGTCACAGCCCACCCCGATCCGGAGCCAGGATCGAGCTCACTGTCGTCATCTTCGTCGTCGTCGGCTGCAGCGATCATGTCCTCATCCTCGTCCTCGTCCTCGTCCTCGTCGAGGAGAAGCGCATCATCGTCCGAGTCGTCATCGGGTCCGAACGCTCGGTCCTTGCCTTTGGAGAGCTTGCGCTTGCCGGAAGCACCAGCAGCAGTCGTCGTCGTTGACATGCTCGATCGAGATCGTTTGGGAATGGTGTGCAGAGGCCGAGTTCCACCCGCGCGGACCCCGCTAATGTTCGCTGCTCCCAGTGGGCCAAAGCCATCTTGTGCCACCCCGAGGCAATAGAGAACTCGTTCAAAGCAAGTGATTCGACTGCCCGTTCTCTTCTTCACTCTAGCAGAACAGATTACAGATCCAAAGCTCTCGTAACCTCTCATCTTCGGAGTGAGACTCCAGACCATGCAGGGGAGAAATGCGTTGTGAGAACAATCAAGTTGGGATTGTTGTTTTTGCACAGCGTAACCCCGACCTGTACCATCGACTCGACAGAAAACTTCCCGTAACTCTTCCTATCTGCAATCCTTCCTCTCTCCTGCTCTTCTACTGCTAAATCAAGCGAACCACAATGCGAACGAACGAACAAGCCAAGCGATCCAATGATGCGCCTAGTTCGATGCACTACATGGTTCAAAACGAAGAGACGGTGTCAGCTTCCCAATACGAGTAATACAACACATATTCTTGAGTCTCTCCCCAAAAACTTACCGGACGAGGTCGTTGATAAAGTGTTCACGCTTGCCGGTCTCACCACCCTCGATGAAGGTCTTGAACTTTCGGGTTCGGTAGCCGCCGAGCGCGTTGGACAATTTGAAGGGCCACAGCGCATTGCTGACCTGCTTGAACGCGGGGCCGCACGTAACGATCTCGTGGACGATGTCCTCGATCGTGAGGATGCCGTGCTTGCCGAGGGCCTGCTCGACGACCTGGTTCGAGGTGATGGGGATGCGCTGGCCGTTGATCTTGAGCGCACCTCGCTTGTAGATGACCGAGCGCGCGGCCGAGAGCGAGAGCTCGCCGTAGGTGATGTAGGGCTCGACCATCAAGAGCATCTGCGACGTGGCCTTGGTGACACGGACAAAGACACCGTTGTTGATCTGCAAGAGGCGGAGCAATCGCATGATCTTCTTCGTCTTGGGCGCAAGGTTGTTGATGCTGAGCGCAGGCGAGACGGCGGGCGACGCGGATCAGTACTTTGCTGCTACAGTTCGCGGTCTCGTCATTTCCCCAACCAGCTACTCACCCCTTGATTCGCATGACGAAGTAGACCTTGGCCTCGGCGGGGACGTAGAAGTCGCCGGCGGCCTTGGCGGCGCGCTTGAGGCGGATCTCCTCACGCTCGGCCTTCTTGTACTCGTTGACGTACTGCTCGGCACGCTTGAAGGCGACCTGGCGCTTGGACCTCAAGTTCTGTATGATGAAATGGGCAGAAGGACAGGATCGCGCGGTCAGCAAAAGGCCATCGTCCTGCATCTTTCTGTGCTAGACCGGCCCCCAGGTCCATAACGATGTCGTTCCGTAAGCCGAGCTAGAGTCAGTCGTCATCATTCTAAAAGTCTGGATGTCGAAGGATGGCGACAGCTTCTCGACAACAGCGCCGTCTGCCTCCGCTGTACCCTTGCCCAATTGCGGCGTCCCCTAGCCGCTTCGTTCCGCCGCCGCATCCTTCACCACGCTCCTCCCACCGCGATTCACCAACTCGGAATCCGGTGCTATTCCCAGTTCGGTGTCGAAGTCAAAGTCGATTGTCCGTCCTCGTAATGGCGCGTGCGGAGTATAGGTGTAGGCTGCCTCACCTTGCGGGCCTCAAGAGCGGCGTTCTTCTTCTCCTCACGCGACTTCTCGGTCGACTTTCGCTTCTGTAAACGGGGTCAACCCAAATTCATATAATCAGCATCATATCTTGTTCCAGGCAAGCGAAGGACTGCGTTGGGCGTTGGGCGTTGGGCGTTGGGCGTTGGGCGTTGGGCGTTGCGCGGAATGGGATCGAACCGGCCGGGCAAAAAAAGTGCGTGCCGCGCGTGCGCCGCACCGAACCGAACCGACCCAACCATTCGCGGAGTGCCGGCTGGCTGGCCCAGGCTGAATGCCGCCCCTCGCCGGGCCCGCGAGTCGTAACAATGCACACACACACACACACACACGTACCTTGAGCAAAGTCTCGGGGACGAGGATGTCCTGCTTGGAAGGAACGGTCGTGCTACAACGGTGAACGAAGTTGACCAGGTCAGCACCTCGTACTCGAGCATTCGTGGTCCCGCAAGCGGTCGTCGTCGATTCTCTCGTTCGTCGACCGCCCGCCTTCGAGCCTGCGACGACGACCGGCTCGACGGCCGGCGGCGGCGCTGGGCGAAAAAGAACGGGCTCGCTTCCATCCCAGGCGCAGGTGTCGTCGTGTCGTGATACGTCCAATGCAGGTGGCGACAATGTCGTCCCGAGATGAAGAAAGCTAGTCCCGAGATGAAGAAAGCTAGTCTCACCTAGACATGTTGGTCGAAGTGGCTTGAGGGGGTGAGGGAGGTCGGCAAAGAAAGATCACACACACACACACAGACGGGCGCTCGCTAACCGCCACGGGACCCCCTGGACCCCCGAGTGCCCAGCCTGACGCGCGTAGCCCTCGGCTGGACAAATTTTGGGCCTCAGGGCCTCGGATGGGCCAAAATCGCGAAGGCGCTGAGTCGGTGCGGGTGGGGGCTTTTTTCCTTTTCTTTTGTTTCTAACAGAGTCTCAATCACAGTCTAATTGAATTGAGGCCTAAAAAGTCAGAGGAGATGCATTCAAGCACACTACTGGCTAGGCCAATAGTTCCCGAATCGTCGAAACTGCAGCAGAACCAACCATGCCCACTAAAATATCCATGGCTGTTGCAACAAAGGTACGGCAGTGGACAAATTTTGGCCCATTTCAGCCACATTCGGCTTGGAATTGCACGGTTTGCCGACCGCGCGCAAGACATTATCGATTTCACAACGGCTCCAATTGTCCGATTATTGCGACTCCTATGGCTCGTTCGCAATTACAGCCTCGTGCTGGTCGAACGCGGCGGTGCGCGCATCTTTTGCCTCCCTTTCCGCGCCGCGTCGTCCGTGCCATCGTCGTCCTTATCCTACATTCACGGTACAGCCAGCCGGATATCGATTCGGAGCGAGTGGTATCCTCCTTGGACGTGGGGGAGTCTGAGCTTCTCGCCTTCGGGGTCGAAAGGATCTGGCGGCATACAGATTACGCCGTGCTCGATTTTGTCGGTAAGCAGCCGTGGTTGATTGGCATGATTCATAGTGCTCTTCCTAGGGACCAAAGCCGCAGGCGAGGCGCGATTTTAGAAGGACGCCGGCGGTAGTCGCGATTTAATAAAAAAGGCGTGGCAAGTTCCCAAGGCACAGCTCTGCAAGGCGCAGCCTCTGGGAGGATGGTCAACGCGGCTTGGAGGAACCGCGATGGAGGTTGCCATCGCATGCGTACTGGCTTCATCGCAAGTACAAGCACTTCATCGCGAGTACAAGCGTCAACAGCGTCCGACGAAGTATGCGGGCAATTCCCATCCGATTTCATGACGATTCTGTTCGCTTAGAAACATCAACCTTGCTTTTTTTTCTCGTTAGAGCTCGCCCTCAATCTGCGAACATGGGGCGATGACACGTGTTGATATTGGGACAAGGACCTGGCCGCTGTTCAACTCGCTCTCGCCAATTCGAATTACCGAGATCAACCGCAACTCGGCCGTCGCATTGTTCGACGACCTTGAGCTACATATCATCAACACTGAACCGAAGCAAGGCCGCACGGCTGGCTCAACAAGCTGACGGCTCTCTCGTGCGGACCAGCGGCATTCAATGTCTTCCGTACAAAGTCTTTCTCAGCCATTCGACTGGCATCAGTTCAAGTGGGCAGCATACCTACATGCCTCAATCGTGACAACAAGCATCTGGGCAAAATCTTCGCAGCGCATGTGATTCAGGTGCCGGAGCAATTACGGCACGGCACCGCGCACGCGCTGCGGAGATTTTTGCTCAGATGCTTTTCGTCCCGATTGAAGCATGTAGGCGTGTTGCCCACTTGAATTGTCAGTAGAATGGCTAGGCAGATTCTGTCGGGACCTGGAGATGGGAGACATTGACAGCCGCTGGTCCGCACGAGGAGCCATCAGCCTGTTAAGCCATGCAGCTTTGCTTCGGTTCAGTGTTGACAATTTGTAGCTCGAGGTAGTCAAACAATGCGAGTGCCGAGGTGCAAGTAATCTCGTCAATTCGAATTTGCGAGAGCGAATTGACGCTGTGCGTGTCTTAACACGTGCCATTGCCCAACGATCGCAGAAGCAGAGCGGGAGAAAGCAGAGCGATTGAGGGCGAGCTCTAACGAAAGGTCGAAGGTCGGCGAGAGTTCGATAGGGAACAAGAGGTGATGTGAAGATACACTTGTCCAAGGCATTACATTGAGGGGAGTCAGGTTGATGTTTTCGTGAAGCGACCAAAGTCGCCATGAGGTCGGATGGGAATGCCCCGTATACTTTGTCAGGTGCTGTTGACGCTTGTACTCGCGATGAAGCCGGTACGCTTGCGATGGCAACGTCCATCGCGGTTTCTCCAAGCCACGTTGTCCGTAGGAAAAGCAAGAAGAATCATCACACTCAATCACGCGATCGACCAAACGAAGAAATATACCGACAGGATCGAGCAGCCTACGCAAGGACGCGACACCCGAGGATCATTGAGGGGGTATGTTACTCTTCAACAAGCAGTGACGGCAGCACCTCCACAGCCTTAAAGATGAGAGGTTGATCTTCGATGTCGACACCCAGATGACTCTTCATCCACTCTGCATGCGCTCGGCGTAATCTATATGCCGCCAAATCCTTTGGACACTGAAAGGCAGCCCAGCGATAGCGATAGACCGGTAATCTTGCTTACGTGCTGCAATGATTGTTCCACGATCCTTGAACTTGTCCCTCCCAGCATCGAGCGGCCTAGGAAAGTATCAAACTCGAGAGGCTCGTCTGTATTTGGGGGTCTGGTTTGTCGAAGCGGAAGCCGAGACGCTCAAGAGGGGTGCCATTCGCGCAAAACCATCGTCAAGGAGGATCGATATCCGGATCGTCTAGATACAATTCGCCGGAGCCGGCTGTACCGAGAATGTAGGAAATTGATGATGATGGCACAGACGACGCGACGCCTTGGCAGCCCTGTCGTCATGACCCGACAAGAGGCGCCCGTCGCCCGCGCTCTCCACCATCACCAGTCGAGACAGAACGAACCCGGGAAAGCTCAGCCCAAGGTGCGTCTCGGAGAACCCCGTTTTTGTGCCGATTTCAAGTAGACCGAATCCTAAACTACTAAAAACAACTGTCGCGTCAGACAAAGGACGTCAAAGAACAAAAGACAAACCACGTGGCGTGACGTCATCGGCAGCTCTCGGTCCAGTGCGTCCCAGCTAGCTACTGTAGCGCTGTTTCAGAATGGGTCAGCCAGCCACAGACCGTTTCGCCTACGTTCGCCGAGGTTCCATCGTTCGCCGAGCTTCCATTCCCCATCAAAGCAGCCTGGCACATGACCCTCTGCTTCCCGAAGCAGACTGAGACGACCTGTGTTGCGTGTCTACCACATCGTAGCGTAGTTCCTTCAATCATCCAGCTCCTGCCGCTGCCAAAATGTCATCTGCAGACTTTTACGTCCCGTCTCCTGTACGACAATCTTCACGCCGCACGGAGAGCAGAGGGGCAGCAGAGACGTCGGCAACGTGAGCGAGCTGAGCCTCTCCCGCACAACCCGACTCCTGCTCTAATCGCACAGTCGCCGCCGCCAATCGATCAACACCACGTCGCGCAAACTGGTTCGTCAAGTCAATCTGCACCGGTAGCACGTCGGGTAGTGTCGACCGGTGCGCCAATTCCGCCGTTAGGGGCCCGCCAGCGTGTCACAGCTTGCCGACACTGGGCGTCACTCCACGTCGTTCCGCGGCCTTCCGCGACATTCTATGATCACGGTTTGAACTGAGGCGCAGCCTTCTCCATCTTTCTCCCTCCTGCTCTTCACACCTTACCCATCGCACCTCATTCCATCGCCACCTCGAGCTCGCGACATCCGAAGCGGTCGTCGTGGAAGCTCTGCAACGAATACGGGATCAAGAAATGCCTGCCGCATGCAACATAGCTACGAATTCGAGTAAGTAACTTCATGAACTGTGCTCTTCGGTGTGGGATTGTTCAGGAGCTAATGGAGAACTACCAAGCAGCAATTCCCTTCAACACGTCCTCTCTGAATGTCAACCCTCGAGTTGTTTCTTCACCGTCAGCTGGTGACACTGCATGCGTGAGTTATCCCTGTGCAGTCTTAGAAATGACGGAAAAACTGATACGAAAACAGACATTGAACGTCAGTGACACAGCGGAAGGATTGACTTCGTACGGTTGAGAATCCGGGTCATTGGGACACTAAATGTGAGTCTTCACTGCCATTGCTACAGATGGACAACAGCAATAATGCTGATAGTTGTAACGAATCACGCCAGAAAACAGCCTCTGGTCGGGTGAATTGCGGCTCACCATCCCGTGGCAGATCCTCAACGGCTCGGTTCGGTTCTTGGCAGGTGTGTGCCAATCTTTCAAAAGCAAAACGCAGGGCAGCATGACTAACCTACCGGTTGGACTGTAACATCACAGGAAATTCGAAGCAATGCCTTCCCGTTATTCCATGGCTCGGTTCGGTGGAGTGACCGTCGTGTTGGCAGGTGTGTGCCAATCTTTCAAAAGCAAAGCGCAGGGCGGTGTGACTAACTGATTGATTGAACTGTAACATCACAGGGTTTCCGAAGCGATGCCTTCCCGTTATTCCACGTCATCGCCTGCGCAAATCGTCGACGCTTGCATCATGAATGGCGACTTCTGGGGGGATCTCTCTGTAAGTAGTAGTCCTTGCCTGACTTTTAGACCTATACTAACAACAGCCCACGGTGCGAGCGCAGACAGACATGCGTCTTCTGGCCGCTGCAGACCGCATGACCGAAACGGAACGGGCAAAGGCAATACGTCGATAGGCGAAAAAGTCGAATACTTTCGAGATCGAGCAATTCTGGCGCCCAAAAATTCGCACAGATCAACGACATGGTGCCCGACCTGCTGCCGGGTGACGCTCAAACGTTCTACAGCGCGGATTCGGTCGAAAATGAAGACGGATCACTGTTCTCGATCAAGTACCTTCAGAGTCTCAACATCGCCGGGATGCCGCTGCACGCTGCAAGATTCAAAGTGGAAACTTGGACCCCGCCGCGGGGCTGTGCAACGGCACAAGACTGTTGTCAACTCGGTTACACACCCGCTTGCTCGAGGCCATCATTCTCACAGGAGATCATGCTGGACAGCCAGTTTTATTGCCACGGATCACGCTGAAGACAGGGTCATCAGCTGAGCTTCCGTTCACTCTGCATCGGACGCAGTTTCCAATTCGGCTGGCAATGGCTATGACGTTCAGCAAGTTGCAAGAGCAGTCACTTGCGCAGGTAGGAGTGTGTCTGGAGACGCCGGTCTTTTCTCACGGCCAGTTGTATGTCGCGTTGTCCTGAGCAACTATGTGGACGGTGTCAGAAACGTCCTGAAATGAAGGCTCTTTACATTTGATCGTCGTCCCGCGGTCCTCTCCCGACTTGAACCACTAGGGATCCGTTACTGAACAGTACCTCAGCTGTTGCAGCAAAGAACATCACATTTCAGCGGGTCAACGGTTACGGTGTGAGGTGGCGCGCGGAGCGCGCCGCCGCACCTATATCCTACTCAAGGGGTGTACGTGTTCCGGTGTAAGACCATGATATCGAGTTATGTTGAAAAGGTTACTCTACCATCAAAATCTACCTCATGTAGCATATTACAAGGCATAGCTGGCCCCGAAAAGAACAAATCTCCGAGACGCACACTGTGCTGAGCTTTCCCGGATCCTCTCGAGACCACTCCGCGCCCGCTTGCTGGGGTGGTGCGGAACCCAAAACCATTACCTCATAACCGAACGACTACAGGTCAGGATTTTGGAAGCGCCATTGCGTCTGTAGACGCTCCCATGACGACGCGGTGTTCAGTGTGTTGACCAGGGCAGCCTGATGCGCGGCGGGGGGGTGAGAATCGTCTCCAACGACTCGTGCAAGTGAAACATTTCGACGGTGCCGTGTGGTTTGTGAGTAGGAAATGAGTGGGAAGAGGAAGAAAACCCAGAGAGCCCCATAATTGAGCTGGTCTTGGGGTCGTTCGGCCTCGGAAGCTTCTGGTGCGACCGGCGCCGGCTTCCGAAGGGGAAAGGAGCTACATGATTTATGGGGCCGAAGCAACTGATGATGCAATACGGGGGAAAGGGGCGCATACAGCCTGCATTCAAGCGTGAGTTCTTCTTCTCTTCTCTTCTTCTTAGTGCAGTAAACAAAGAGTAATGTCCTCTGTCTTGCATTATGCACTGCAATGCATAAAGCTCGGACCCTTCAAACTCGCGCAGAGAAGGTCTTTGTCAGCGAGTCAATAGAGACTTGATTTACATCCTTACATCCTTACATCCTTCACAGCTGCGTAACCTTAGTACCCATCTTGACGACCTCTCCCAACTTTCCAACAACAGTCCAAAGCCCTTCCACAACACCTAATCCACTCTTGCCATCCGCCCTCCTCCTCGCCGCCGTTCGTCGGACCCAGGTGATGAATGCGAATGCCACGCAGACGGTCGATAACAGTCTTACAGGATCATATCCTTTGAGACTCTCGAAAAGGGCTGTTGAGAGAGATCGATTCGAGGATAGGGCCGATGAGGAGGCGGTGGATGTTGAGGGTACGGCTTGGGAAAGGTACGAAGTGAGGGAGGAACGCATAGCTGCGAAACCCGTTTCCGAGGCGTGCGAGTCATGCCTGACGGACGATCTTGACCCGTTCGAAGGCCTTCCATGTCCGTTATGACTCGATTTGGAGGATGAGCCAGGGGATCCATTCGAACTGAGATCGGAGGATGAATGCCTCTGCGCATGTGGCGGGGGCTTGGCCACTCCCTCATTCGTCACCGCACGAGCTTTACCCTTATCATTCGCCCTCGCTCGACGCTGTGCAGCTTGCTGTTGCTCCATCGCCAAAGCCGATGCAGCAGCGGCAGTTGCGACGGCCTCTTTTTGGGCGCGTATCCTCTGTTCCCGCGAGGCGGATTGTTCACTCTCTTCGCTTTGTAACGCCGCGAGTTGTTGAAGCGCGGCCTAGAGAGCGTAGGATTTGATCATATCAGCACAAACCTCCTCGGGGTGAATGCAATCGAACCACTGCGCCACTCACATCAAGTCGAACGTCGCCGATCCATCCCGCATTCTCGACGCCTTGCAAGCGAATGGAATCGCCCGCGGCTTCCCACTGTCCGAGCCTCGGGAGGACGTGCAAACTCAGTAGATCGACGACCTTGAGCCAGCTGGCCAGCAAGGCCCTCGTTGCATCCATGTGGGGATGCAGAATGCCCGAAGAGGACAGGTTGTTGGGTGCGTGGGTGGTGTTGTGGTGGCCGTGCATGGACATGGACATGGTCTCGTCCAGCTGAAACTCGATGGCCCAATCGACCGATCGAGCAACACCTTCGATGAGCGACTCGAGTTCTTCCGAGATCGAACCTAGGTAAGCCTCGAGTGCTGCTCTTGCTTGTCGAGGTTGATCCAACTTGAGCGCTGCGAGGGCGAGGGCGACGACGAGCGAAGGGTGTACGCAGGAGGCAAGTGGGGAAGCGTGGATGTCCGTCGAGGAGGAGCCGGTCGGGTCTTGGAGGATTAGACGGGACCACAGCGTCGGGATGAGGGCATCGAGGGGGAGGTCGATGTAATATTGGTGTGTTGGGTGGAGGGCACTGCTTGATGTTGCGGGTGTAGACAGAGGGGGGGATCGACAAGTCGCGAGGAAGGTGATCTCAAAGATGGTCAACTTGCGAGCCCATTCGACCTTGGGTGGGATCGTATTGGACTCGGCGAGGGTGTGCACCCAGTCTGAAGGTGGAGGTGCAGATGAGGCGGAGGTGGAGGCGGAGAGCACTTGCTGTGCCGAGTGGAGCGACTGGGAGGTGTGGACATAATCACGGATCAAGAAGGCCGACGTCGCTGCGCGGTAGTACGACTTGATCGACGCCGATGCAGCCGAGGAGGGCGATGCAGGACTGGATGATTGAGACCGACTGGCGACTCGAGAAGCGGTCACAGTGGCCATGGTTGGGTTGGGTCGGGTCCGATCCGATCCGATCCGCGCTTGGTACTTGTGTTCGAAGGCAGGCTGGGGAGGGCTGGGTAGGGCTGGGGAGGCGATGGGGTGGGGGTGAACGGCACCCCTCGGGCGCCCGGAGCCAGCCGGAGCCGGAACGCCGATTCGACGACCAAATAGCCGGGGTCGGCGCGCACGGACCATCTCAGGCCAGCCCCTTTAAATTTACCGAGTGGCTTCAAGACCTCGAGTAAAATGCTTTCGAAAGGGTCAGATTTCGAGTAGATTGATTCGTTCCGGTGAGGAGATTCAAACCCGATCCCCACCTCTCAGCACATTTCGGACCGAACCGCAGCGCGCCGAGGGCGGGTTCGCACTTGACTTTGTGCACGTCTAGTAACGCGCGTGTGCGGGTGACATCCCGAATAACGGCAACCATGGACAGCCGACCAGGTAAGTTACATGGCACTCTGCAGAGCCCGTCCTCGTCGCTGATCCCTCACGCTCTCAACAACTGCAGACATGGTCAGTACAGGCCATCTCCTGGCACAGCCGAGCCTCCCCCCACACGGACAATGAGCGCCTCCGCCTCTTGAACGCACGCGACTGACTCCCAAGCGTACATGATTCCTATCAGCTCGTCGGTCCAAAGACCGAGACCGATGAATTCCTCCAGAAAGCCAAACCCAGTGCCAACAACACGACCGGCCTTCCTTGGTACTGGTCAGTCCGCCGCGCTCACTCACCGAGTTGCAAGTCGAGTTGACATTAGTGATATTGTGTGTCGTGTCTTGGCCCAGGGTCTGCATCCCTCGAAGCAAGGACGACAAGGAGGATGCACTCAAACCTGCCGAGGAACAGTCATTCGAGTCTCGAGTCGACTTTACGGAACAAGGTCAAGTCCTCGTCGACAAGTTGACCAAGGATTGCAAGCACATCGCGGTCAGTAGTACGCGGCGGACCTCGTTGGGCTTTCGGCGCGGTCACTTCACTGACAGACCCCTGAATCACTCTTCAGGAGACTGCTCCTGTCAGAGGCAACAAGAAGACGGGTGCCAAATCACAAAAAGAGCGTCAGTCTTTCTCCCTGCACTCTAGTTCCGTGGAGGTTGGCCCACTGATATTTACGAAACCGAAACAAACCCTGCAGTCCGAGAAATCGAACACGCCAAGTTCAACGACCAAGTCGCCGCGCTCGCCAAGAAGCACAACGTCTTGACGGGCAAATGGCTCTTGTACCCTACGGCCGACAACGTCGATGCGATTTGGGCCAAGGTCGTCAATGCGATCGCGAAACCGGATGGAGCCTTGGCCAAGACGGGGGTCGTGCATACCGCCAAAGTTTCGACGCACGCTGAAGAGGGGCAGTCAGTATTCTTTGTTCCTAGTCTTTCTCACCCTTTCCGAGGCTGACGGGAAAATCTCCCGCGTTGACGTGGTAGAGGCTACGTGATTTGCGTCTACTGTGACGATTCGTGGGACCGCGACGGGGTCGGCAAAGCGTTCAAGTGCCTCGTCCGAGAACTTGGTCTCGTTTCGAGCGCTTACAAAAGTGACGCCAATGTGGGTCCCTGGTACTCTGTCAAAGAGAAAGTGGAGTGCTACGTGCTGATATCCACTTTGGATGTGAACCGATTTCACAGACGCTCCTCGGCATCGATTCCAAGCATAGTTCGGGGATCCGTTCGTCCCTTTACGGCAAGACGGATTTCATGACTAAGGACGAGATTGAGCAGGCGATCGAGAAGAGGAAGGTTGAACTGGAGGCCCCGGTGAAGGTGCCGAAGAAATTGGAGAAGGAAGAGGAAGAGGATGGGTTCGTGACGGATGAGGATTCGGATGAGGAAGCGCCCAAGGCGAAGAAGCAGAAGGTGTGAGAATGGAGGTCTCCCGAGCGCGAGATTCCCTAGGTCTCGCTCGATACAGCAGATTCAGATTTTTTCCAAGTTAGTGTTTTCGCTTTCGTCTTTTTACGTGTATACCCTCCGCAACTTGCATCCTACGTCCGTCTAGTGCAATCAGCAATTTCCGACCCATTTCGGCAGCGGGAGAATCGACTTTGCGCGCTTGGGCTGAGCTCACCCTCCAGCTCACCTCGCTTCGCAACGGCGTCTCGGCCAAGCTCGGCCGGGCGTGTGCTTCAACTTGTGAAATTCGCCCCCTTAGGCGCCTACCACCTCCCTCTCTCTCTCTCTCTCTCTCTCTCTCTCTACCGCCCTTCGTTCAAATCCGACCCCCCGAGAGGTGCTCCTACCTCTGGATCGATAGTCACCATTACGTCCCTACTGTGGTCGTCGTCGTCGTGGGCCGCAGTCGCCAGTGGAAGCAGTGTTCGTTGCTCATTCAGTACCGCTTCGTCGCTCGTGCTCGCTCGTCAACGATCGGCATCGACACCGGTGCTCTTGTCGACGCCTACACGCGGACTGGGCAAGCACTTGCGGTTGGTTACAGCCCAAAAAGAGCTCAGACAGAACACGGAGAAACGCTCAGCCACTTTCATCGACAAGTTGGAGGCCGTATTCGGCCCTGTTACTGTGACTTCTCCAGTCGGTGACCATCCAAGCACCCGTTCGCGATCCACCGCCAAAGTCGAACCTGAAAAGACCCGACTCAACATGGTCAACGCACCCTCACCTCCCAAGGGCGCATCAAAGCTCGGGTACGAGGTTTTGAACAAGACGTTCCCCCCAGTTTCTCTCGTTCGGTTGCGCCATGGTCAGTCGCAAAAGCTTTTCGCTTTCTGGCCTTTGAGAGCAAGTGCTGACCTCAAACCTTTTCATTTGCTCCATCAGTCATCCTCACTTGGTCACGCTCTTTGGTTACCCAGGACAACGCAGCCTGGTTCGAGCACAACCTCTCCTTCGACGACTTGCTCTCGTCCCCGCTCGCTCGCAACGGTCGCATCACCTTGTACGTTGAAAAAGACCTCAAATACCGCCACCACCCGCCCAAGATCTACATCTCTAAAGCTCAGTTCGAGATCCTCACGCGGTGGATCGTCGAAGACGAGGCCGTCCCGGTCGAAATATGCAAGGCGATGTCTCTCAAGCGCCAATCCCTTCCGACTAGCAAGTTGGGGCCCATCGAGGCGCGTGTCTACGACGACCCGAAAGCGTTGCGCGAGTTCGTTCATTCCGAAGCGGCTGCAGAGGACATAACCTCGCCTTCCAACAAACAGAGGCTCATGCTCGCCGGAGAGCAGGTGGGGCCTCGTAAGGCCCAGAAGTCGACATCGCCTCCGCCCGATTCGGCGTCGACGCCCTCCACCCCTCCAGCGACCAGTCCCGAAGTCACCTCAGAACCGTCTCGTAAAAAAGTTAAGCTCGCCAAAGTTTCATCAACATCTACGCTAACTGTCGAAACATCGCGAATCGCATCACCACCACATCCATCAGCGGCGGTACCCTTAGCGCCCCTTCCCCCTGTCTTTGACCTCGACGAGTGCTCGGTCGAGCTCGCCGAACTTCGTGCACGCTATGCTCACGCCAAACGGTACGGTGGCGCGGCTTTCTTGTCCCTCGATGTCGAGACGTGGGAAAGAGGCCATGACGCCTTGCTCGAAGTCGGCTGGACCTGCGTCGATTTCACGGCGCCTTCTTCCTCCTCGTCGTCGTCTTTGGAATCCGACTCTGATTCGGACATGGGAACGGCGTCGGAATCGGAAGGGGAAGAGGTGCCAGCTGCTCCCACTGAATGGGCGACAGTCACTCGTACGGATCAACACGTCGTCATCGCGGAGAATATCACGCGACGCAATGGTCGATTCTCACCTGACGCTCGTGACGATTGGGATTTCGGCCCATCGTCGCGAAGTGGGTCGGTCGAACCTACCGAGATGACACTACCGGCGAGCAAGAAAGCCAAAGCCGACAAGGAGTCCAAGTCCAAGTCCAAGTCCAAATACAAGCAAACGATCAAGGTCCCTGCGGTAGTCAAGACCGATTCCCTCCTGATGGGTCTGGACAACCTCTACGCTTTACTCGCCGCGACGTTCGAAAATATTACTTCGTCGGAGAAGGACAAGCAGTTGTTCCTCATCTTCCATGATCCTCGGATGGACCTTAAAGCATTGGGGATGTTGGGCTTCGAGGATGGTTTTGCCAAGCCGGTGAAGGAGTTGGCTGTACAAGCCAAGACTGGGGACAAGGGAGAGGGAGAGGGAGAGGGTAATGTGTGGATCATCGACACCCAACGCGTCTACGCGGGATGGAAAGGGTTCGAACACCGCAAGAGGTTGGAACGCTGCTGCTCCGAACTCGAGGTCGCTACGAAACGACTTCACAACGCGGGTAACGACGCGCATTACACTTTGGATCTGTTTGAGAGGATGATGGACCCGCAACGCAAACCTGTGAGCGACCCATTTACATAAGCTTCAGCGGCTTCTTAGTTAGAAGAGCTTTCAGGGTTAGAACTCGCACCGCTCATTTGTTTGTAAAGCTAGCATTGTCGCATTGCATGTTATCACGTGTTGTCTTGTTGTGGATGGGCTGTGGGGGTGTTACGGGTGGCCTAGCGTCGGTTCGAGAGCGCCACCGTCCCAGCTGAGTGCCAGTTGAGTGCCACCCGTGCGAGACCGTGCGAGACCGTGCGCCTCCGTGCGCGCTCGCCCAGCCAGTCCCGCCGCTCTCGAGTGGTCGTCGCCCCTCGTCGTCCTCCCACCCCACCCCACCCCACCCCACCCCACCCCGACGCGCCCACCTCCCGGCCACCTCCCGGCCACCTCACCCTCACCTGATCATCACCGTTTGATCATGCAGTCCACGCTCCCCTTGGACCCTCCCAAGACGCAGGCCGGCAGCGAGCTCAGAATGCAAATCAACAAGCTCGACTCGGAGCGGTGTCGGTTCGTCGCGGATGGCGTGAATCTTGCGTACGTCGAGATCTCACGTCCTTGCATAGGGTGGTGGTCCGCTTGACATGGAAAACTTGACGCTCATCCACTGCTCGCTTCTTCATCCATCCCGCCAATCCCATGCAATCGATGCGACGATCCTAACCTTCGACCTTTCTCATCCACTCTGGTCCCTGTTCTCCTGTTCTACACCAGTCTCGCCAACTCACTACGAAGGGTCATGATCTCCAACATTGAGACACTGGCAATCGACCAAGTGCAAATCGAGGAGAACACCTCCGTGCTACCGGACGAGATGATCGCTCATCGATTGGGACTGATCCCCTTGTGGAGCGAAGGCATCGACAGGAGGATACCCAACCACAACAAGGTGACGAACGACCCCGTCGAGCCACATCCCATTCGATCAATCTCCCACTGACGTTGTCGTCTGCAACACCTGTCGATTCGTCACAGGAATGCGTGTGCGATGCCTTTTGCGACCTGTGCTCGATCACGCTCGAACTGAACGCGTACTGCACCGAGGACCGAACGATGGAAGTCACTTCCAAGATGTTGACTGTTGTGGGTGATGATCGATCTGGGATTGGGAGACCATCAGTCGGTGAGTGGACCCCTGCCTCAGCATTTGGGCTACTTTGGCGCGGGGGGTTCGTTCGAAAGGGCTGGCCTGCTCATGAGCTTTACCATTCGACTATCACCAGCTGGCGATCGGGACACAGGTGTGATGATCGTCAAGTTGGGAAAGGGACAGCAGATCAAGATGAAATGCATTGCAGTTAAAGTACGTCGAAGCTGGGTCGAGAACTGTGGGCATCGTCCCAGCTCGCTGACTCGTGGAGTTCCTTCACACCGACCGCGCACAGGGGAAAGCACTAGAACATGCGAAATGGTCCCCGGTAGCCGCACTGGGGTTCGAATACGATCCGTACAACAAGCTGCGGCATACCGACCTGTGGTTCGAAGTAGGGACCGACCCGAACGAGGAATGGCCCCTTTCCGAGAATGCACAGGTGAGAGCATGAATCGACACATCTTGACGTGCAGCAATCGCTGATGGTGCGGGGATGCCTACGTCACAGTACGAACGCCCACCGGCCAAGGACGGTACCGATCCATTCGACTTCAATGCCAACCCAACGCGATTCTACTTTGACGTCGAGGCTGTCGGCCAAATGAGGCCCGAGGAAATCGTCGTTAAAGGCATCGATCAACTCATCCTCATGCTCGCAGACGTTACAACCTCGATTGCCGAAATCGCCAAACCTCGTGTCAACTCGGGGCAAACACCGATGCACCCTGGGATGGGTGGTGCGGATCTCGGAGGGGGCTACGGTGGCGCGGGACAAAGTGGGTATGATGGTGGGGCAGGGGCAGGGTATGGTGGATACCCACAAGGGGGTCAAGGACCTGCGGGTGCCGTCCCCGCTGCGGGTGGGTTCCCCAACTATGGTGCGAGGAGTCCACAGCGGAACGGGTACGACGATTTCAACTAGGTATGCTAGTCCGCGGAACGGGCCGAGCTTTTGGGGGCAAGAGCGCGGCGCGACCCCGAGTGTTGTAATTGCAACAAAATCACTTGATCTGTTGCCGTCGATGATGCGAGAATTCTGCGGACCCGCGATCCGGCTACTGTGACTGCGTGCGTGCAAAGTGCAGAGCTGCAGTCGTCCGTGCGCAGCTTTGACATGGACAAAGGCAGCAGTGCCAAGGCGAGTGCGGGATTCGCCGCTGGTGCTCAAGTCATTTCGATTTCATTTCAGTAACGGGATTGAATGGATCATTAACTTGTGTAGGTGAATTGTTCACTTCATTCCCAACTTGGCTTCTGCGAGCCCATTCACGCATTCGGTACCGGGCGGTTCTGCGCTTTGCGGCGCTTACTGCTGCGGACGTCGGCGGCTGCTGCGCGCGGCAAACCGAACATCCGAACGAATTCGAACGCAGCAGTGTCTCCACGGATCTGCTGCTTCTTGTCCTTGCTCCTGTTCTGCTTCTCATCCGTCTACTCTACTCAATAGGACTCCCACCATCGTCGTCCTCCCTTCGCCTCTCCCAAATTCCTTTGCCTCTTCGTCCGCAGCACTCTTCCCGGCGCCAATACGACTTGACTGTTACACTTGAAGCGTCCGAGTGGTATTCCCCTTTCACACTTTGGTTCGCCTCGGGTCGTGAAGTACTTCCTTCGCACCACCACATTCTGGAGCGATTCACACCATGAGGATCCGATCTCTGTACCCCATTGCTTTGGCAGGCCTCTGTAAGTCCTACAAGTTCTTCGTGCTCTCTCGGACTCAAGGGAGGCAGCGCGCGTGACAATGCGCAGCTCGACGTACCACGGGCGCTCACGTGCCGCAACGGGCAACAGCTGGCGCGCGGACGGGCCGATGGTCTTGGCCAGGCTGGTGACGCCACAGCGAAGAGGGGTTGACCTGTCGAGACGAAAGATCGTCAAACTAATCAACCCGTACATGACATTTGCAGTCGCTTCCATCACCGCGTCCCCTTTGCACGTCGAAAGCTCCCCCATGCGAATCACCGCCTCCTTACCCTCCGCTGAGCACTCGACTCTATCCCTCCACCTCGTAAGAACGGACGATCTCCTATCCGACCTCGACGACCATTCGATCCTCAAGAGGTTGACGCATATTGCGCTGAGGATTGAATTGGACGAGGAGAAGCTGGTGCTCGGTATCAATGGGAGAGAAATCGAGTTGAAGAGTTTGCAGAAGGACTGGGCGGGGGAGAGGGTACAGGCTGTAAAAGCTGAGGTGAGTGGGGAGGGGAGCTGTGCGCGGAGTTCATTCGGCTTCTTGAGAGGTTGAGGACTGACTCTGCCTCTCTTTGAAACAAATTCAGGCGTTCACACTCAGCGATGAGTTTAAAGAAGGATTCAGGCAGGGTGAAGTTATGCCCCAAGCCGAGATCGTCAAGTCGGCACTCGAGCACTTGCCCAAGGGCATCGTCTCGGTAAGGACCCAAACACGCTATCGGGCACTCTCATTGCCCATAAGCTGACCCGGTCATTCGGTCATTCGCCTTCATCTTTAGCTCAGATCAGGATCGCCGAAGACGAGGTGGCCCCTTCGACACTACCCGCTGGAGCACCGAGCGAAGTTTCTGCCGGCGCGCAGGTCTCGATGAAGGCTTTTGCCGTTACATTGAAGGCGAGTCCTGGCTTCAATACACATAACACTTCCAGAAGATGGAGGACTTACCTTGTATCCTGTCTACTTGTAGATCACCGACGTTGACTCCGACTCGATTTCGCATTTGTCGTCCTTCATGGTCCCCGTGCTGCGTATCGAGCTCGAGTACGATGATGGCGAAGACTCGATCGTCAAGATGCGTCACTATGCGATCCAACCGAGTGTGCGAGTTGTCGGTGCAGACGAGACGAACGGGTTGGATCCGAAGATTGCTGACGAGGAAATTGTCGAGGAGATCGAGCAAGGTCGCGAGTCGGTTGAGGGAGTGGACGAGGATGAGGAGGAGGGTCTGTGGCACTCCGAGTTGGATGAGGAGAACGAGGACCATGAAGATAACGAGGACAGCGACGAGGACAGCGACGAGGACAAAGGTGAATTCTCCGGAGAAGATAAGGAAGGAAAGTCCCGGCAACCGGACGGTGGCAAGGGCCGACGACCACTTCCCGAAGGTGGAGACGGCCGACCGCATCCTCCCGGACACGGAGGGGAGCGAAGACCTGAAGACCCCAATCATCGACGACCTGCTTCTGTCCCTGGTCACCACCACCACCACCACCACCATGGTTCTCCTCCTCCTCCTCCTCCGGCTTGGATCAAGTGGATCGCCGAGCGGCTGGGCGTCCCTCCTCCTCCCTCTCCTCCTCCTTCCCATAGTCGCAAGCCTCACCACCCGCACGACCGACAAGACATCCCTCCTTTCAATGGGCCATCCGGTAATGATGACGCAGAGCGTATGGAGCTCGCATCAGAATGGAGACCATCTGGCTTCGGTATCTTGGGTGGAGCAACGATTCCCGGCGGACGGTCTCACCGTCGTCCCGAGGGCCACCGCCATCACCACTTCGGCGGTCACCACCATCGTCACCATGGTCCTTCTCCTTTCTTCCATCGCCTAACGCACGACCTCCATGCCTTCTTCTACGTCCTCGGCGCGGCCCTCTCCACACCAGGTGGTCGGATCTTCTCCTTTGTTGTCCAAGGGTTGATGCTCATTTTGATCGTCGTCAAGTTGGCCAGAGCGAGGAGGAGTAATGGAAGTGTGAGATTGGAAGAAGAGGACGTGGAAGCGGCTTTGGTCCCTCCTGCTCCTGAGTATTCGGTTCGGAAAGATGAGACGCAAAGGTCGCTTGGGCTTGGGGAGGCGCTCGAGATCAATTTTTCGAAGGCTTGAAGGATGTCGAGGAATCGCTTGTTTATAGTTCGACTCCATCTCTTGTGCCGAGTTCGCTCTTGTTTGTTTAGACATATTGTTTGAGTTGTAACGACTACATGAATCGACGATTATGTGCTTCATCGTTTGCGTTAGGGGATCCTCTTGAATTTCACCCTTCAGCGCTTCAGCTCGCTTCCAATCGGTATGAGACCATGTTAAAGACGCTTCCAGCTCGGACTATCCACGATGAGCAGGGCCAAACACGCAACAAAATGAGACTAGGTCAAGCACGCTTCCGGATGTCGCATGCGGCCACGAAAGTTGTACAGCGGAAAGTACGTATATTATTTTGCTTGAAAGAAACTCGCGCTACAGGGTAAATTTGGGGACAACGACGACTAGGTAAAACGAAGCGTTGATATAAAGCAAATATAGGGAACAAATAGGTGGACAAGTCGGGGTGTCCAAGCCGACCAAGGGGAAAACCAAAAGGGTTTCGACGGATGCCTGAGGGGTGACGTTTACGGGACATCGAGGGAGTATCACGATCAAGCGAAGAGAGCGACAACACCGGCGACGAAACCAAGGACACCGGAGACGGCGACCTTGTCGGCGGGGGAGGCGGCCTTCGCGGTCGCGGCTGGGTGGGCAAACAAGTGGTACTAAGGTCAGTACAATGGCGACCATCCTGACTTCGACTCGAGACACTCACCAGCAAGAGCACTGGTGAACGCCTATGATCAGAAGCGGAAAAGGAACGGTCAAGATTCGTGCAGCTTTAGGATAGGGGCCACGCCGCGAAAACGTACCCCCGCGACGGACGTGGCGGCGCCAGCAACGGATGCAGCGCCGGAAGTAGCGGCGCCAGCAACGGACGCAGCACCGGAAGTGGCGACGCCAGCAACGGAGGTGGCGTCACTAGCGACAGATCCAGCGCCAGAGGCAGCGACAGAAGCAACGGACGAAGCACCTGCGACGGCTCCCGACGCGGCACTCGAAGCACCCGAGAGGACCGATCCAGCCGAGGCCGAGGCGCCGGAAGCCACACTCGAAGCAGCGCTCATGGCAGAGGAGGCCGACGCCGACGGGCCGGCCGACACGGACGAAGCGGCCGCGGAAGCACCACTCGTAACTGCACATTGTACCGTAACTAGTCAGCAAAATTGGGAGCTAACTCGGTGCCCTCGAGAATGCTCTGGCACCAACTCACCGGAGGCGATGGGGATCGAACTGAGGCTAGCGATCTCGCCCGCAGCCGCTCCAGAGTAGCCCTGAGATGCCAGAACATAGGAGAGAAGATGGCATGAGCTTCTTGACGCGGGACGATATTTGAGTGTGAATGGAGACCCACGGTGGTGGGAATGGCTACGCCAGCCGAAGCGCAAACTTGTTGGGCAAGGGCGACCGAAGTGGCGACTGCGGGTGGAATCATGTCGCTGTCAGGAAGAAAGCTTCACAAAAATCAGCGAAAAAGAGAGGCTAACCCTCGGCTGCCGAAGCGCAGTTGTCATTGCAGCAGTTGACCTGTGAGGGCTCCACCGCATGGCATCAGATCACGAAGCAGGACTGGAAGCTGGCCGCCAGCCACACCAAACTCACGAAGGCCCCGATGAAAGTGCGGACTCCGCAGAGGCCTTGAAGTGATGAAGCCCATGTGGTAGATGTAAGTGTTTGCAGTCCTGGGCAGTATGTCTGTCCGCTTGCCGCACCCCAACCTACCGGCGATGTCTGTGAGGCGTATAGTTAAGGCAATCAGTCAACACAGCTCTGGGTATACGATGGATCGTATCGTAGCAACTGACTGGTCGGATCAACTCCAGGAGCGAGCGAACCGGCCTCGGAGATCTTGATGGTGAACTGTCATGAGTGGTTGTCGGAAGATGGGGCCTTCGGTCAGTCGTCACGTCGAGCTGGCTAGCTGAGTAGAGACTAGCGTCGCATGCGTCATCGCCTCGTGCGGATCCCGAGAACAGGCCCAGGCTTGATCTGAATCTGGTAGCCTTCGTCAACGGGGTCCGCCGGCGAGAGCGATACATCCAGCTTTATGAGATGCCAATCAACTTACACAGCTGGTGGCGCACGACTATACGGGAGAAAGTTGGATGTCAGCAGTCTGATCTCTTCTCCAGCGGCGCTGCCAGTGCGCTGCCACATTACAGCGGAGAACGAAGCACTCACGGGAGCTGACGAAGGGAGCTGTTGCGCGTTGACACCGGCAGCAGCGGCGGCGAGGACGAGAAGATACTTGGAGAGCATACTTCTACTTTTTTCGGGGTGGTTTGATGGCGTTGGATGTGATGTAACGAGATGGGGTGAGCGAAGTAAAGAGATCGCCGCGGGTTGCCCACCCCAAGGCCAGCCTCGGGGTCACTCTGGCCTATTCCTGCCTACTCTGGCAGGGCCAGCACCCTCTCATGCCATCATTGGCTCCAGGTGAGACATTTAGCGGCCCGCTCCACCTTCCGATCCGAGGCCCCCATCCAAGGCTTTCGTGAGCCCGATTTTGGTCCGTCAGGCTCAGATGCACTACACAGCCACCGCAATCCGTGTATTTTGTAACGGCATGTCGACGATAGAGACGAGAATTATGCACCTCAGCTCTGCCTATAGCCCCTGTCTGGGCAGAATTTTCGCCCGAGGCGTGAGATTTCTGTACCACCACCCCCGGCCTGTGACGTCCGCGTGTAAGCTTAAGTTGCCCAGATCGGAAGATCGTTTCCCAGTACAGATGGAAGGAAAGGGTGCAATGTGGCTCCCACGCTGTTGGTTAGTACATCTCAAATTTGCCACCTGGACGGTCCAACTGGGCATGGCCTAAAACCGGACCCTCCAGACCTTGGTCGATAAGGGGCCATGCACATGTTGATCGGGGGGCAAACTCGAATTTCCTGGTATGGGAAAGCAGCTTCACAGTTGCTCGCGGTGGAGGATCATAGTAAACTTGATTATCGGAGCTGGTAAGTCATCGAAAGAGAACAGACCTATTTGCATGGATTACAGAACTTGAACTGGTCAAATTCGACATCCAATCCCCGAGCTTCCGGCTTTAGGTCACCCGCTCGGAAACATTCGCGGTGATGGCTCTTGTCACGTGATCTCGGCTCCCCAGCGGAGTCGTTCGGGCTTCGAGGCGTGCCCCACTGGCTCGACCTCGCTTCCGTTCGGCAGCTGCCATTCATCGGAGTTATTGCTCGCGTGCTTGTCATCGATGTCGACCTTGACTTTAAGACAACTCAAGTTCCAAGCTCGAAGCCTATACAAAGAGGTAGGTCGCTCAAACCTCGGCACGTGCTGTAGAGGCGTGCTGTAACTCATCCCCCCCTGCGTTTGCCACCAGTTGCAATACCTCGCGAGAGAATACCCGGACAAGAACTACCCGATTCAGAAGAAACTACACGGGTGCTTCTCGACGTTCGTAGGAGCCGACAAGGAGAAGGTCGAGTTGGGGATCAAGAGGGCCGAGTTCATCAAGAAGGGTGAGAAGCCAACTCTTCGGTCCTTACCTTGTGTAATGGAGGCTTACGATGGGTGGTCCTCTTCGCTGTACAGAACTGGAAGCGTTGTACTTTTTGAGAAAGTACCGGGCGATGAAGAAGACGTACTACAACTGAAGAGGCGGGACAACGCCACTCGTTCAAGGACGTGGCGTGACGGTCTTGGGCCAGAGGTCTCACAAGAGATACAAGTTGGCATTAGATCGACTTTCGGTCACGGCCTGCAGCTTGTCTATCTAGTGCACGGACCTGGAGGCCGTCGTCGATTACGTGCGGGAGGATAGTCTTCAGCGGGAGAGAGTGAGACTATGGATCGGATGGACCGTGTAGCGTGTATCAACTCCGCAATTTGCAACATGAACAGTGTATAGACTATCCTAACGCTTACAGCATGGGTCTATCCTCACATGAATCTGCAGCAAATCTGCAGCAAATCTGCAGCAAGAGTAGGCCACAGCGTTGCTCCGCACCAAAAGATCCGGCCCGACGAAAGCGATCCCTCTCCTGGCCGATCTGCGCCAGAGCTACAGGAGAGGTCATGTCGAAAAGGATGACCATGATAGTGCTGGTACGAAGTGCAGCATACTGCAATTATTACGGCGGCCCGGACGCCCAGTCAGAGTAGGGAAAACTCGACCCAACACATCGGCCTGTGACGTGGCCTGCCGTCAGCGAGCCGACTAAGGACTTCACAACTTGGGAGACATCGGAGACATCGGAGACTGGAGTGGGGAAGCTCCCTCGGGAGCCAGCGCGCAAACGTCGCGTCGGCGGTGTTCGCTGGGGACAATACTATGTTGTCGACGAGGGTCCAGAGGCAGCAAATTAGGCAGCAAGAGAATTAGCAACGAAGAGAGGAGGGATTCGTACAAAAAATTGCAGTAATTTCAACGGACTAAAGTGCGTGTAGGCGGGTGGCCAAGAGAGAGAAGTCAGCGGTGGACTTCGTGGCAGCTCGTTGGAGCTCGTCGCACCGGCCGCCCACTTGAGTCCGTTCTACACTACCCTCACTTCACTTCGCTTCTCGTGTCCATCCGCATCTCTTTCGGCACCTCCACCTCGTTGCCGCCCTTTCTACACGTCTGCACCAAATCTTCATTCTACTCCCGCCCCTGGTCTATTCCCTTACTCTGTTCCAGGCTGTAGTTTGTCCGCACCCATGGTGAGTCCGAACCCCCATGCTGTTCACCCCACTCGCGGCCGTCGTCGTCGGCCTAACCAACCGATGCGACCCGCTGCGAGCTCGCGGGCCAGTCGCGACGGCTCGTTTCCCGTTGGGGCCCAACCGATTCCGAGCTGCCGAGCATCGCATCCCGGGTGGCCAGATCGTCATCAAGCTCCAAGTCGGGACGCATCCTCTCAGGAATGCTTCGGCACGGCCTACCAGGATATGCAAGTGCTGTAGCACCTACCTCGACCGAGCCGCTCGTTGGGCTGCCGCCTCACTTGCTCCGGTGCTCCGCGGTTCCCCCCCCGCCTGCCCCCAAGCTCGAGTCTTGCAGGCACCGTCTCATCCTGTGATTTACGGCTGCTGACAAAGATATTCTTCCTACTGTTCCACCTCGCTTATCTTGATGGCATATTTGATCTGGACACCATCCGTGTGAATTATTCGTTGCCGGCGCTCGTGGGCCCAACCTCCGCACCTCGCCCCTCTTCGTCCCGGCGCGCTCTCGTTGATCGCCCCTCGCTTCTCGCCGTCTAAATGTCCGAATCGCACCCTTTGCGCTCTTGATCCTGGGCTGTGGCTTCTCTCTCCCTCTCCCTCGCGACGGATTTCATCTACAGATTCAAATCAATGGCAAGCATGGCCGCCACGCCTCGGGCACGTCCACCCCCGCTCTCGGCCACACCGCGACCAGCCGGCCCCTAGTGCTTCTCCACCCGACGACCCAGACCCGCATCTCCATCAACGTCCCTTCGACTGCGCAAGAGTGGATCGCCGCCGAGGTCGCACGGGATACGTTCCAGGACTGGCTGCATGCTGAGGAGAAGGACGGCCACCTTGTCGGGTTTGATGCCGTCGAGGCCGATGAGGACAACGCCGACGCCGCGGGCGACGATCGCGCCGAGAAGGAGCTCGTTCTAACCGCCTACTTCCTCCGCCATGTCGCCTCGCTGCTTCCTTTCCCCGCGACCGCGACCTCTCCCGCAACCTCGACCGTCTTGGTCGCGACCTTTGCTCACTTCGTCCGCATCTTTTTGGAGGCGACCGACGTGCACTCGCTCGGCGCCTCATTGTCGGCCCCGATCCGCTCGCTCGTTGTCTCGTCCTACTTTGCCGCACGCACCAAGCTCGAGGTCAACGGGCAAGCCAAGAATCTGCCCAAGACGCGTGATGCGGCCTTGCTGCGTGGCGTCGACAGTGGGGATGCAGAGGTGTACGGTCTCTTCGGTGGCCAAGGAATGAATGAAGTCTACTTTGACGAGTTGCAGGTATGTCCAGCTTGAGCGATCATCATGTTATACGTTTTGGGACCCCCCACCGGGGCTGACTATTGTTCCACCGTTATCCAGGACTTATACGAGCTTTACGGCCCACTTTTCACCTCGTTCCTGGCCCTCGCTTCGGACCACCTTAGCAAACTCGCTGCCGCCGAATCCTCGTCCCTCCTCTATGACCACTCCCTTGACGCCTTGGCATGGCTGCAAGAGCCGTCGATCCGCCCCCCTGTCCCTTATCTCGCTTCCTGCGCCGTCTCCCTCCCCCTCATCGGTCTCACGCAGTTGTCGCAGTATGTTGTTTACGGTAAGGGTTTGAACCTCGGTCCTCGCGAGCTCGGAAGCAAGTTTAAGGGTGCGACCGGTCACTCGCAAGGTGTCGTTTCGGCTTGCGTCATCGCCGCCGAGTACCCGCCCGCCAAGGCCGACGGTACCGACTCCTGGACTCCTTTCTACGAGCATGCTCTGCATGGTTTGACCGTTCTCTTCCAGATTGGTCTCCAAGGCTCCCTCACCTTCCCTCCGGTTGCGCTCCCGCCAACGTTGGTCGCGTCGTCGATTGAGAACGGTGAAGGCACCCCGACGCCGATGCTCGCCGTTAACGGTCTCGAACTGTCCAAGCTCGAGAAGAAGATCAAGGAGGTCAACTCGTTCGTTGCCGGCCAAGGCCGACAAGAGACGCTCGCCGTCAGCCTCCACAACGGTCCCAGGACGTTTGTTGTCACCGGTGCTCCCAAGGATCTCGTCGGTCTCGCTGACGGTCTCCGAAAGAGTCGAGCCCCTGTTGGAAAAGACCAAAGCAAGGTACACGTTTTTGATTGATCGAGCTGCGCCGAGCTGTGGCTAACTCGGAACGTGCCCCGTCCTTTGACAGATCCCCCACTCGAAGCGATTGCCGGTGTTCTCCATGCGCTTCCTTCACATCGGTGTCCCGTACCACTCGCACCTCCTGAGTGGTGCGACCGAGCGTGCGATGGCAGCCATCGGGGACGCCGAGTCCAAGCACTGGGTGCCTTCCTCTCTGGCCCTGAGCGTCTTCAACACCGAGGACGGTTCGGATCTTCGGTCGAGTTCGGGCTCGTTCCTCGAGTCCCTCTTTACTCAGATCTTCACCTCCCCGATCTACTGGGGTGCCAAGGCGATCAACTTCCCCTCATCGGCAACCCATGCGATCGACTTTGGTACGGGTGGAGCTTCCGGCGTCGGCTACTTATGCGTGCGCTGCTGGGAGGGTCGAGGAATCCGCACGATCATGCTCGGCAACCGCGGTTCCGGCAACAGCTCTGGCCAAGAAGCTTGGAACCAATCGTCGATCAAGCGCGACACCCGATGGACCGAGGCGCACAGCCCGCGCTTGGTCAAGACCGCCGATGGCAAGCTCAACATCGACACCCCCTTCTCGCGCTTGTTGTCGAAGCCGCCTTTGATGATCGGTGGTATGACGCCGTGCACTGTGCGTGCCGGCTTCGTTTCGGCCGTCATGAAGGCGGGCTATCACATCGAACTTGCGGGTGGTGGACACTATAACGAGAAGGCGCTCCGAGGCAAAATCGCCGAAATCCAAAAGCTCGTCAACCGACCCGGCATGGGCATCACCCTCAATTCGCTCTACATCAACCAGCGTCAATGGTGAGTTCGCGTTTAGCCGATGTCACAGCGCACCCGGATCGGGTGGGTGACTGACATGACGTTGGCTTCTTCCGCTTCTTGCAGGACCTTTCAACTCCCTCTGTGGCGAACGATGCGACAAGAGGGTCTCCCCGTTGAAGGCTTGTGCGTCGCTGCCGGTATTCCCTCGACCGAAAAGGCCAAGGAGGTCATCGACGGCCTGCGAGAGTCGGGCATCAAGCATGTCTCGTTCAAGCCCGGATCGGTCGACGGTATCCGACAGGTCGTGGCCATCGCCGCCGCCAACCCCGACTACCCGATCATCCTGCAGTGGACCGGTGGCCGTGCCGGAGGTCATCACTCGTGCGAGGACTTCCACGCCCCTGTGCTCGCTACGTATGCATCGATCCGACAACAACCTAACATCTCCCTCGTCGCTGGATCCGGGTTTGGTGGCGCCGACGACACGTACCCTTACTTAAGCGGAGAGTGGAGCGAGAAGCTGTACGGCGTCGCGAGAATGCCGTTCGATGGTTTCCTGTTCGCATCGAGGGTCATGGTCGCCAAAGAGGCGCACACGAGCGAGAGCGTCAAGCAGTTGATTGTCGATGCCCAGGGTGTCGATGACGACAAGTGGGAACAGTCGTACGACAAGCCCGTTGGTGGCATCATGACCGTCACATCCGAGCTTGGCGAGCCGATCCACAAGGTCGCGACGCGTGGTGTCAAGCTGTGGGGCGAGTTCGACAAGACGGTGTTTGCCTTGCCCCGCGAGAAGCAAGTTGCTTGGCTGCAAGACCACAAGCAATACGTCATCGACCGACTCAACGCCGACTTCCAGAAGCCTTGGTTTCCCGCTAAGTCCGACGGCACAACCTGCGATCTCGACGACATGACCTACGCCGAAGTCAACTCGCGCCTCGTGAGATTGATGTACGTCGCGCACGAGAAGCGATGGATCGACATCAGTCTGCGCAACCTCATGGGCGACTGGATCCGTCGTGTTGAGGAGCGTCTGTCGAACGTCAACTCAGGATCGCTCAAGGTCTCGACGCTGCAATCGTACAACGAGCTCGACGACCCGCAAGCCTTCTTGACCAAGTTCAATCAGCAGTACCCCGCCGCGGCTCAGACTTTGTTGTCGTCGGCCGACGTCGCCTACTTCCTCGCGATTGCCCAACGACCCGGCCAAAAACCCGTGCCCTTCATCCCCGTCTTGGACCAAACCTTCTCCGTCCTGTTCAAGAAGGACTCGCTGTGGCAAGCCGAGGACATCGAAGCCGTCTTTGACCAGGACCCTCAACGAGTGTGCATCCTCCAAGGTCCCGTCGCGGTCAAGTACTGCACAACAACACAGCAGCCGATCGGCGAGATGCTCGGCGAGATCGAGTCGTCGCTGGCCAAGAAGCTGCTCGACGAGTTTTACGGTGGCGACGAGTCAAAAGTCCCGACGATCGATTACCTTGCACCTGAACCGAAGGATGTCGACTCGGCTGCGTTGCTCGCGCAGAGCAACATCACCCACTCTGTCGAAGCGCTCGGCAACGGTGGTGAAAAGCACTCGTACTTCATCAACGGTACCTTGCCTTCAGAGGGCGACTGGCTCGCCCACCTCGGTGGACCCAAGCTGTCGTGGCTGCAAGCTTTCTTGTCGAACCTCAGCATCACCTCGGGCGATGCGTTGTTGGCGAATCCGGTCAAGCGTGTGCTCGCGCCGAGGCATGGCCAGCGAGTCGAGTTGTCGCTCGCCGCCGATGGGTCGCCGCTCAAGCTCGACGTTTTTGGAGGACTGTAGATCGCGCCCCTTTTCCCGACTATTTCCTGTCGTTCGCATGTTTCTTACAACCCTTTATCTAGTTTCTGTCACCTAGACGAGCTCTGCCCCCTTTTTTGAGGGAGCAAGGCGCTCCCACTCATAATTGCCCTCGGTTCTTCTTGCTCGGTGGAGCAGTGTACTCTTTTTCGGGCGTCCTTCATCCCTTTTCCCTCTTTCGCATTGCTCTTTTCATTCTTCTCCACTTGCGCCTTGTTTTCTGGCTCTCTGTCTTCTTTTAGTGTGTTCGGAGTTTTAAAACCTCTATGAGAAAGACAGACAACATGGGTGTGAGAGAACGCAGTCGGCTTTGTACGTGGCGATTCGATTGAGACATATTACCGGCTTAAGAGGAAGATGTAGTGTTTCATTGCAATTATGGTGTGCTGTCCATGCTCTGAAGGTAGACTTCAGTCCAGGTATGATTCGGAAAGATGAATTACTTCGCCTTGCTACATCGAGTCGCTCTCGAAATTCAAGGCGCGAGTAGGTCGTTCGACTCGGCTCACTCGACGCGGCGGCCCGCAACAGAGCGGCCTGCAGGTCTGCTTCTCTCCCCCACACGTCCTCGACCGATCCCGCTCGCAACCCCCCTTTGAGCGAAGTCGGATCTGCGCTCTCACCCCACTCATCGACTCATAAAGAAGAGCTCCCGCTTCGGATTCGATTCCCCTTTAAGCCTTACCCCACACACCCACGACGTGAGTCCAAGTGGCTGTGACTTGCTTCCGAAGGGAGAGTGAAGATGGGACTCGCAGCGATCAACTCGGGGCGCAGGTCTCGGAGTGGGTTGGGGCCCGTCAGCTCGCGGATACGTTGCGGCATGAACGCTGTCCTAGCAAGGATCACTGGGAATGGGTGCTTTCCGCGGAGCTGTTGTTTTACTCTTTGGGTTGGTTTCTTCACCATGAACTCCGTTGCCACGGGGTGCATATGCGCTGCATTAGCTGGGCCGCGGTTGCGAAAGTCCACGTACGGTTGGGGGTCCCTCTCGCTCGCACCCAGGCACGGCACACCCACCCGCGCCGCTCCACCTCCGCATCGGCCCTGGCGTGTGGCGCGCCCACACTCCGAGTTCCTCAACCTGACCTGCACCGAAGCCAAAGCCAAGCGCCGAATTGTCGTCCGGGCCCGACATCGGATGCGGGATTCGGCAACCTTGGCCAATCTGGGAAAATTACACGATCTTGCAAATTGAATATCGTTTTTTTGTCCATGTCTTACACAGCACCGATCATGTCGTCCACCAGCGACCTCCCTTTGGCGCTCTCGATCGACTTCAGCAAGGCCGACTCGGTCATCTCGCTCAAGTTGTTCGATCACGACCCAGTCCAGAAGAAGGCGATCCCGCTCGAGCTCAAGTTCAAGTATGACGTCTCGACCCCTTACGCCCCGATCCATGAGATCGTCGGCGATCGCAACCAGCGCATCAAGGAGGTCAGTTGCGCCGACGAAATCGCTGCTTACGCCTTCCTTCCGGCAAGACTCTGGGAGCTCACCTTGGCTTTGCACCATTGCATTTGTCTCGTAACCGACAGCACTACTGGGACTTGTGGTCGCTGGATGCCTCGGCCACGCAAGGCATGTCGCAGCTCTCCATCTCGGACGAGTTCCACGGCGAGACCGTCACCATCAACGAGGATGACATCGAAGCCTTCTGCCGCGTCGTCGGTAACGAGGGCGAGGCCTACAAGCGCAGCCACAAGAAGGGCATGCAAGTCCCCATGGACTTCGCCATCAAGTTGGGATGGAAGGTAGATTCTACCGCACTGACCGGGCGTCGGGGTGCGGGAATCGCTTACTGACCGTTTCCTCTCGCTCACTGCTACAGTCCATCATGAAGCCCATCTTCCCCTCGTCGATCGATGGTGACTTGCTCAAGCTCGTCCACCTTTCCAACGGCTTCCGAGTCCTCCCCGGCGCCCCTGCGCTCGTTCCCGGCGACACCGTCACCTCGACCTCGCGCATCGAGTCCGTCACCAACTCGGATTCGGGCAAGACCGTCTCCGTCAAGGGTACCGTCTACCTCGTCTCGTCGGCGGCCAACAAGGACAAGGCCACGACCGAGGAGCGTGTACCCGTACTCGAGGTCACGAGTTCGTTCTTGTACCGCGGCACCTTCACCGACTACGCCCAGACGTTCTCGTGCATCGAGTCCCCCGTCTACAAGGTCTCGCTGCCCACCTCCGAGTCGGTCGCCGTCCTCCAATCCAAGGAATGGTTCCAGTGGGAGAACGACGCCCAACCGCTCGAGAAGGATGCCAAGCTCGAGTTCCGCGTCGAGTCGCGCTACGTCTACGCCGACAAGTCGTCCTACTCGAGCGTCCACGTTCAAGGTGGTGCTTACGTCACGCGCCTCGAGCATGGCAAGACCTCATTCAAGGTCGCCACGGTCGAGTACTCCTCCGAGGGCGAAGGCGTGACCAAGGGTGACCCAGTGCTCGAGTACCTCAAGCGTCACGGGTTGGCTCAAGAGCAGCCCATCGTCTTTGAGAACGGTGGCTACTCGCTCACGGCCGAAAGCGGCGCGCAGTTCTTCACGCCCACGTCGAACGCCGACTACTCCTTTACTTCCGGCGACACGAACCCGATCCACACGAACCCTTACTTTGCTGCTCTCGCGTCGTTGCCCGGCACAATCACCCACGGCATGCACTCGTCGGCTCGCACGCGTCGTTTCGTGGAGCAGATCGCGGCCGAGAACATTGGCTCGCGCGTCAAGAAGTACACCGTCGGCTTCACGGCCATGTGCTTGCCCGACCGCCTCATGGAGGTGCGCCTCAAGCACATCGGCATGACCGCCCAAGGCGAAAAGTTGATCAAGGTTGAGACCGTCGACGTCGAGTCCTCGACCGTCGTCCTCACCGGTACCGCCGAGATCGCACAAGCCCCTACGGCCTACGTCTTCACCGGTCAAGGTTCGCAGGAGCCCGGCATGGGTATGGAGCTGTATAGCACCTCGGCAGTCGCCAAGGCCGTCTGGGACCAAGCCGATGCACACCTGGGCGAGGTTTACGGCTTTTCGATCCTCGAGATCGTTCGCACCAACCCCAAGGAGAAAACAGTGCACTTTGGTGGTCTCAAGGGCCAAGCGACGCGCCAAAAGTACATGGAGATGACGTACACGACGACCGACGCCGAGGGCAATGTCAAAACCTTGCCTCTCTTCGGCGACATCGACTTGCGCACGTCTCGCTACACCTTCTCGTCACCGACCGGTCTGCTCTACGCGACGCAATTCGCCCAGATCGCTCTCGTCGTGACCGAAAAGGCTGCGTTCGAGGACATGCGCGCTCGCGGTCTCGTTCAGGCCGACTGCCTTTTTGCCGGTCACTCGCTCGGTGAATACTCGGCCCTCGCTTCGATCGCGGACATTCTCCCTGTTTCGGCTCTCGTCGATGTCGTTTTCTACCGTGGTATTACCATGCAGCGTGCTGTCGAGCGTGACGAGCAGAATCGCTCGTCGTACGGCATGTGCGCCGTCAACCCTTCGAGGATCGGCAAGTCGTTCGGTGACGCCGCTTTGCGTGAGGTTGTCGACACGATCTCGCGCCGCGGTAGCATCCTCATCGAGGTCGTCAACTACAACGTCGAAGGCCAGCAATACGTCGTCGCTGGTCACCTCGTCGCTCTGCAGGCGCTGACGAACGTGCTCAACTTCCTCAAGGTGCAGAAGATCGATCTGGCCAAGTTGACCGAGATGATGTCGATTGACGAGGTCAAGGAGAAGCTCGGCGACATCGTCGACGAGTGCGTCAAGTCGGCTCGCGAGTTGCAGGCCAAGAGCGGTTTCCTCGTCCTTGAGCGCGGCTTCGCCACTATCCCGCTCCCCGGTATCGACGTGCCGTTCCACTCGCGCTACCTCTGGGCCGGTGTCATGCCGTTCCGCACCTACTTGTCCAAGAAGGTGAACCTCGCGCACTTCAATGCTGACCTGCTTGTCGGTCGCTACATCCCCAACTTGACGGCCGAGCCTTACGCCGTCACGCGCGCCTACGCCGAAAAGATTCACATCCAGACCTCGTCGCCTCGCCTCAGCAAGGTGCTCAAGAACTGGGACGAGGAGCACTGGGGCGAGCCGGAGAACAAGAACAAACTCGGCTACGCCATTTTGATCGAACTGCTCGCTTACCAGTTCGCTAGTCCTGTGCGCTGGATCGAGACGCAGGACATCCTCTTTAAGGACTTCAAGTTCGAGCGCCTCATCGAGCTCGGTCCTTCGCCGACCTTGACCGGTATGGCCACCAGGACTCAAAAGTGAGTTTACCAGGGCCGACGAGGCAGATAGTAGTGACTAATAGATCGTTGTTATACCGGGTTCTCACAGGCTCAAGTACGAGTCTTACGACTCTGCCCTTGGTATCAAGCGCGACATCTACTGCATCGCCAAGCACCAGAAGGAGATCTACTACCAGTTTGAGGAGGAGGTTGCCGAAGCTCCTGCCGAAGTGCCCGCTGCTGCTTCTGCCCCCGCCGCCGCTGCGGCCCCCGTCGCTGCGGCTCCGGCCCCTGTCGCCGCCGCCGCCTCGGCGGGCCCCGCCGCTTCTGTTCCCGATGAACCGCTCAAGGCCGTCGACGTCTTGCGTGTCATCATCGCTCAAAAGCTCAAGAAGCCCGTTTCGGAGGTCCCTCTCGGCAAGTCTATCAAGGACCTCGTCGGTGGCAAGTCGACGCTTCAGAACGAGATTCTCGGTGATCTCCAGGGCGAGTTTGCCTCTGCTCCCGAGAAGGGTGAGGAGATGCCGCTCTCGGAACTTGGCGCCGCCCTTGCCCAAGGTCACTCTGGTGCCCCCGGCAAGTACACCTCCGGTCTCATCGCTCGCATGATCGGGTCCAAGATGCCCGGTGGCTTTGGTCTGTCCGCCGCGAAGGCTCACCTCGGCAAGCAATGGGGTCTCGGCTCGGGCCGCATCGACGGTGTCTTGCTCGTTGCGCTCACGCAAGAGCCCCCCAAGCGTCTCGGTTCGGAAGCCGATGCCAAGGCCTTCCTCGATGCCGCTGCACAAGCCTACGCCTCGAACGCCGGCATCACGTTGTCATCCGGCGGCGGCGGAGGTGGTGGTGGTGGAGCCGGTGCTGGTGCTGGCATGATGATCGACTCGGAGCAGCTCGACAAGATGCAAGCCAAGCAGAACGACTTTGTTTCGCAGCAGGTCGAGGTCTTGTTGCGCTACCTCGGCCGTGACTCGAGGACAGGTCACCGCCTCGCGGACCAACAAAAGGCCGAAGTCCAAGGCTTGCAGGACAAGCTCGACGCGATCGCTCGCGAGCACGGCGACGACTACATCAACGGGATCCAGGGCGTCTTTGACCCACTCAAGGCGCGCCATTTCAACTCGAGTTGGAACTGGGTTCGTCAAGATGCGCTCACAATGTGGATGGACATCCTCTTTGGCCGTCTCACGACCGTCGACCGAGACATCACCGCGAGGTGCATCGTCATCATGAACCGTGCCGATCCTTCTCTCGTAAGTGGATCCAGATTGCACGGCAATTTTCTACTGACATCTTTGCCCGTGCGTGACATCAACCAGATCAAGTACATGCAGTACACGATCGACAACACCCCCGTCCACCTCGGCGAGAACTTTGTGCTTGCCAAGCAGTTCGGCCAGCAGCTCCTCGACAACTGCAAGGAGATGATCGGTCAGGCGCCTCTGTACCGCGACGTCACGTTCCCGACTATGCCCAAAACGACGATCTCCGCCAAGGGTGACATCCTCACTGAGGAAGTCAACCGACCCGGTGTGTCGCGTCTCGAAAAGTACGTCGCCGAGATGGCCGCCGGCAGCAAGATTACGGTTCCCAGTGTCAACGTAAGTGTTCCTTTTGGGAACGAGTTCTGACTGTCTGTGTTCAACTCACTCACAATCGGTCCTTGCTTTTCGAACAGCTCGACAAGGTTCAGGATCACATTGAAAAGATCTACCGCTTGATCAAATCGCAGCCGCAAATCTCCAAGGCGCACATGCAGTCGATCCGCTCGCTCTACGGCGAGGTCGTGCGTGGCCTTGGCAAGGAAGGTACCGCGCCCGCTGCCAAAGGTACGACCAAGACCCCTGCTCGCACCCGTCGCTCGTCGTCGGCGTTCCTCCGGCCCTCGGGCTTGACCGAGGCGACTTTCCTCCCCGAGGACAAGATGCCCTTGTTGCACCTCAAGCGCAAGGTTGGCACGAACTGGCAATACTCGTCCAAGCTCACGTCGTTGTACCTCGACATCCTCAAGGAAATTGCCACGAGCGGTGTCACGTTCGAGCACAAGAACGCGCTCATGACCGGTGTCGGCAAAGGATCGATCGGTGTTGAGATCGTCAAGGGTTTGCTCGCTGGTGGTGCCAAGGTCGTCGTCACGACGTCGAGATACTCGCGTGCCACGGTAGAGTACTATCAGGGCATCTACCAAGAGTGCGGATCCAAGGGCTCGTCGCTCACGGTCGTTCCCTTCAACCAAGGCTCCAAGCACGACGTCGAGGCGCTCGTCGACTTCATCTACAACAAGGAGAAGGGTCTCGGCATGGACCTCGACTACATCCTCCCCTTCGCGGCTTTGCCCGAGAACGGTCGCGAGATCGATGGTCTCGATGATCGCTCCGAGCTCGCTCACCGCATCATGTTGACCAACCTCTTGCGCCTCCTCGGCGCCGTCAAGTCCAAGAAGGCGGCTCTGCAGCTCACGACGCGCCCGACCGAGGTCGTCCTGCCGCTCTCACCCAACCACGGTCTGTTCGGCAAGGACGGTCTCTACTCCGAGTCCAAGATCTCGCTCGAGACCCTCTTCAATCGTTGGTCTTCCGAGTCGTGGGGCGAGTACCTGTGCATCGCCGGTGCCGTGATCGGCTGGACGCGTGGTACGGGTCTTATGAATGCGACCAACTCGGTCGCCGAAGGCATCGAGGCGCAAGGTGTCCGCACCTTCTCGGCCAAGGAGATGGCGTTTAACATCCTCGGTCTCATGCACCCCCTCGTCTTCGACGTGGCTCAGATCGAACCCGTCTGGGCCGACCTCAACGGTGGCATGGACAAGTTGCCCGACCTTGCCGCGCTCACGACCGACATCCGCACGAACCTCAACCTGACCGCGTCGACGCGCAAGGCGATCGCCGTCGACAACTCGCTCGACTACAAGATCACGCGCGGTAGCGACGCCGAGCAGATCCATCATCAAGTCAAAGTCTTGCCTCGAGCCAACTTCTCGCTGCCCTTCCCCGAGCTCAAGCCCATCGACGCCACGTCGGAGTTGGCCAAGCTGCGCGGTTTGATCGACCTCGAGAAGGTCGTTGTCATGACCGGTTTCGCCGAAGTCGGTCCTTTCGGCTCTTCGCGTACGCGTTGGGAGATCGAGGCCCACGGCAGCCTCTCGATCCAGGGCACGCTCGAGCTCGCGTACATCACAGGCTTGATCAAGCACTTTGACGGCCGTCTCAAGGATGGCTCGCTCTACGTCGGTTGGGTCGATGCCAAGACCTCGGAGCCGCTCGACGACAAAGACGTCAAGGCCGCTTACGAGAAGCACATCCTCGCCCACACCGGTATCCGTCTCATCGAGCCCGAGCTCTTCAACGGCTACAACCCGAACAAGAAGGGTCTGACCCAGGAGATCGAGCTCCAACACGACCTCGAACCGATCGAGGCCTCGGACGAGGACGCGAGCCGCTTCAAGCTCGAGCACGGCGACAAGGTCGACGTCTACACCGATGACGGCTCCAAGTTCTTCGTCAAGTTCAAGAAGGGCGCCAAGATCGTCATCCCCAAGGCCGTCGCGTTCGATCGTCTCGTCGCCGGTCAGATCCCCACGGGGTGGTCGCACAAGGCCTTCGGTATTCCCGACGACATTGCTGCGCAAGTCGATCGCACCTCGCTCTGGGCGCTCGTCGCCGTTTCCGAGGCGTTGATGATGGCCGGTATCACGGACCCTTACGAGATGTACAAGTATGTGCACCCCTCCGAGGTCGGGTCGTCGCTCGGTTCCGGCATGGGTGGTATGGTCTCGCTCTCCAAGATGTTCCGAGATCGTCGCGAGGAGAAGGACGTGCAAAAGGATATTTTGCAGGAAACGTACGTATTTTGTTTTTTGTAGTGCTGCGACGTCTCGAGTTTCAAACGCTGACCAGCTATACGAATTTGCATTCACAGCTTCATCAACACGGTCGCTGGATGGGTCAACTTGCTCTTGCTCTCGTCCTCGGGACCTATCAAGATCCCCGTCGGAGCTTGCGCCACTGCTCTTCAGTCCGTCGAGATTGCCATCGACACGATCTTGTCCGGCAAGGCCAAGGTCATGATCGCCGGTGGTTTCGACGACTTCTCCGAGGAAGGCTCGTTCGAGTTCGCCAACATGAAGGCGACGTCCAACACCTTGACCGAGTTTGCTGCCGGCCGAGAGCCGACCGAGATGTCGCGTCCCACGACGAGCACTCGATCCGGTTTCAGTAAGTTCTTCCGTCTGTCTGAGCGTGGTGTGCTTGAGCTGACCATTCGTTACGCCTCCCCCACCAACAGTGGAATCACAAGGTTGCGGTACGCAAGTCCTCATGTCGGCCAAGACCGCCATCGAGATGGGTGCCACCATCTACGGCATCGTCGCGTTCACATCCACTGCGACCGACAAGGCCGGCCGATCGATCCCTGCGCCGGGTCTCGGTGTCATGGGTACCGCTCGCCAAGTTCACTCCAAGTACCCCTCGCAGATCCTCGACATCGCTTACCGCAAGCGCCAGCTAGAGTTCCGTCGCAGGCAGATCTCGCAGTGGCTTGAGAACGAGACCGAGCTGCTCAAGATGGAGTTCGAGGGCAAGACTCTGGACGACGAGTACGTTGCTTCGCGCCTCGCCTCGATCGAGAGCGAAGCCAAGCGTCAAGAGTCCGAGGCCGTGTCGACCTTTGGTATGCTTGCCGGGAGCGACCCAACCATCTCGCCTTTGCGCCGTGCCTTGGCCGTGTGGGGCCTTACTATCGACGACGTTGGAGTCGCTTCGTTCCACGGTACTTCGACCGCGGCGAACGACAAGAACGAGTCGAACGCCTACAATGAGCAGTTCCGCCATCTCGGCCGTGCCGAGGGCAACGCTTGCCCCGTCATTGCGCAAAAGTGGCTCACCGGTGTAAGTTCAGATCAAACCTTGTGGAGTTACCAAGGAACGAAAACTTACTGTGATTCTCGATTCACAACACAGCATCCCAAGGGTGGTGCCGCTGCCTGGATGATGAACGGCCTCACGCAGGCGATCCAGACCGGTCTCATCCCTGGCAACCGCAACGCCGACAACATCGCCGAAGAGATGCGCAAGTTCGAGTACCTGCTCTACCCGTCCAAGTCGATCCAGACGATGGGCATCAAGGCCGGTCTGCTCACCTCGTTCGGTTTCGGACAAGTCGGTGGTCAAGCTCTATTGATCCACCCCGCGTACCTGCTCGGCTCGGTCGAGCCCGCCGCGTTCGATGCCTACGCCAAGTCCAACAACGTGCGCCGCCAAGCCGCGTACCGCAAGTTCAACGAGTTCTTCACCAAGGGCAACATGGTCCAGATCAAGGAGCACTCGCCCTTCTCGGCCGAGCTCGAGCAACCCGTCTTGCTCAACCCTCTCGCGCGTACGACGCCCGACGGCCACGGCTCGTTCGAGTTCCCCAAGCTGTTGCAGACGGAGGCTGCGTCGAACTCGGCTGAGAACGCCGCGATCGCGAGCAAGCTCGTTGCCGCCGCGACGAATAGCGTCCACGGTGTCGGAACGGACGTCGAGTTGATCTCGGCGATCAACATCGACAACGAGGGCTTCCTCAAGCGCAACTTCACCCAAGCCGAGATCGACTACTGCTCGTCGGCGGCCGATCCTCGGGCGAGCTACGCCGCTCGTTGGAGCGCCAAGGAGGCGACGTTCAAGTCGATGAAGGTCGAGTCCAAGGGTGCGGGAGCGTCCTTGATCGACATTGAGGTTGTGTCGTCGTCGACGGGTCCTTCGATCGCTCTGCACGGCGAGGCGGCTCGTATTGCCAAGGAGAAGGGCATCAACAAGTTCGAGCTGTCGCTTTCGCATTCGCAGGACGTCGCGATCAGTGTCGTCATTGCGTCGGCTTAGAGTTTTGGGGGAGTGTATAGCACTTGGAGTATGCCTATAGATTTTAGATTAACGTGATTGAAATCGGATTCATAATGGCCGTGTTTCCTCTCCGGGCCGTCTGGGGACAAGAAAATCAACGCTGCTTGAACTGACAGCGAGAGACGAGACCATTAGTCAAAGGGTGAAGCTCACCGACTCGGACCTGACAATTTTGATTTGGAATCTTTTATTTCTTTCATTTGATTTGATGGCGACCTGAACACGATCGCCTCGGTGTCTGGCGCTTGCTCTCAGGAGTACGGGCGCCGCACAGCCTCCAGGATCGAGGTCGCGCCGCGCCACTCAATGACGGTTAAATGACTCTCGAGGTGCGCGAGGGCGCGCGCTTACCCCACACTGCAACACTGCACACCGCGCGCGCTGCCTCTCTCTGTCTCTGTCCACACGTGTGCGATCGGTCGCACCGGCGTCCTGACTCTTGGAACTCTCCACCATCCACACTGACGTGACTGTGGCCATCTGACTCCGGCCTTTTCTACACATTGCTGTCAGCATGCCCAGACAACCTGCGGTGCCGTTCGTGCAGGTGGTTGCAGGCGACGTCGAGCGCTCCCCCACTGCGTCGTCGACGGCCGCCTCGGCTTCAACCCGACCGCAGCAGCCGTCGCACTCGCACTCGACTTCGACCTCGAGCGCAGCGACAGCAGCAAGCACCAGCAGTAGCAGCAGCAGCAGTAGCAGCAGCAGCAGCATCCCCAACATCAGCAACAGCACCAACACCGGCAACACGCTCTCGCCTGCGGACGCAGCTCGGCCCTCCCTCGCCTCGCAGCCGTTGCGCCGCTCGATCCTTGGCAAGCTCAACCTCAACCCGGCGAGCAAGCTCAAGAAGGCGATCCCGGCACCTCGCATCCCTTTCCGTGGCGCAGCACGTCGGCGTAATCAGCTCTACGAGCCTCTCGATGATACGCCCTTGGGATTGTTCGTCGTCAGAGTCCTCGCCGCAAGGGACATTGTCGCCAAGGACAGGAATGGCTTGTCGGACCCGTACCCGAGCTTGCGATACATGAACACGCGGGCAAGTCGGGTCCCCGAGATCCAATTCAGTAGGAATATTTTGTACTGACAGAGAACCTCTCATGCGTGTATCTTGACTCGTACAGGCCACCGGGCCGACCGTGCACAAGTCGCTGAACCCGATCTGGGGCAAAGGAGGCGATCACGTCCACATCGAAGGCATCGGGCGCGAAGCCAAGCTCGAAACCGTGCTCTACGAATGCAAAGCCCTCGCTCGTGAACGCGTTGAGATCGTGCTGTGGGATCGCGATCGCGTTGGGCGAGAGTACCTCGGCGAAGTCAGCCTCGGTATCGAAGATTGGTGGGGCTCGCCGCAGGGCTGGTTCGGCGGTCGACCCCCCGTCGCAATCGAGGATGAGAACAACAAGGTGGGTGGATGGTCTCCTATCAGCGTAGATCGTACATTCCGAGCTGAATTCTGGGTTGCACCATACCATCAGCCGGTCTGGCATCCACTGCGCTCGAGTCGCTCTCGTTCACACGTCTCGGGGTCTGTGCTGATCCAAGTCGGCTTCATGCCGGCTCCGTCATCGTCCCAAGTCGCCAATGCCCTCCGAATGGCCACGACGTCGACTGCGGCCTCAAACTTGGCCCGAAATCTGACCACGGTCGAGCAAGAGCGGATCTTGGACGTGTTGCAGCGCTGCAAGGAGGATCGTGATGCTGCGAGCAAGACCGATCGGCTGCTCCTTGCCTCGCCGACGGAGGGTGTCGGTACACAAATGATCTGGGATTCGGCTCCTCTGGGCATGGTCCCCGCGAACCTACACCACCTCCTTGGTCCTACCGAGGGTGGTGATGGCGATCAGGGTGCCGCTTCCGACACCGATACTGATTCCACAATGACCGATGCCACCGAAGGAACCGACTTCACGGACGCCGAGTACGAGGATGTCGACGCGGGAGTTGGCGACTCTTCCGAGGACGACGACCAACCGGTATTTACTGCGATCGAGGCCCCGACGGACTACTTTGGCATGGGCGCCACAGCTGGTGCACCCCTCACCAAGGTGCGGTCGCCCGAGTCAACGCTCGCTGCCGCCCCCGAGAGCAGTTCCAGCGTTGGCATGGACGAAGCCCCGACGCCGTCTTCGAGCAAATCCGGGCCATCCTCGTCGTCCGTTGGTGCATCGGCCCCGTCGTCCCGACCGTCGAGCAGGCGTGGCTTGAGCTTGCCCGGCTTCATCAAACGAATCGATTCAGCGATCTCGCAGCGAGTCCATCCCGACGGCCATGATTCGTCGACTGGGGGTCAAGGGGCCAGCGATGCGACGACCGATGCTGGCGATTCTACGAGCGAGGCTGCGGTAAAAAAGCGTAAACATTTTTCTCGTCGCAAGGCCAACACCAAAGACTCCATCACATCTTCGGGCACTAGCACGCCTGCACTCGTCGTTGCCGACGTGGACGGGCATCCCGCTGTGGTTGCACCTGGAGCCATCGGGGACAGCAAGACTCGGCAGGTACGACGTCTTCGCCGCCGCCGACGCGATACCAGCGAGGCGGGCCAAGTCCAAGGAGCAGAGTTGATAAAGAAGACTTCAGCGCTTGGTCGACGACGAACAAGGCGCGACTACACTTACGAGGAGAACGACGACATTTTTGGTCTCGTCCAGGTCGAGGTCAAGGGCGCCAAGGATCTGCCGCGCTACAAGAATCTGATCAAGTCGAGCTTCGATATGGATCCTTTCGTGGTGTGTTCGTTCGGTCGCAAGGTGTTCCGCACGCGCGTCATTCGTCACTCGCTCAACCCCGTGTGGGACGAACGACTGGCCTTCAACGTCCGCCAAACGGAGGTGCACTGGACAATCGCGTTCAGCGTCTATGACTGGGACAAGATGAGCTCGAATGACCATGTTGGCGATGTCGCTGTGCCCCTCGAGAACCTCTTGGGCTCTACGATCCAGCCTGACGAAAACGGCCTATTCCCTGCTCGGTCCGATGGAAGGCTGGCCAACGATGACTTCCGCGAGCACACGCTCAAGATCGAGGGCTCGAAAGACCATGGCGAGCGCGACTCCAATACCGGTCACCCGACACTGCAGATCCGAGCCAAGTTCACGCCGTACGCCGCGCTGCGTCAGCAGTTCTGGAGGCTATACCTCAAGAACTTTGACTCGAACGATTCGAACGCCTACTCTCACCTCGAGATCACCTCGATGCTGGACTCGCTCGGATCGACTTTGACCAAAGACACAATCGCGTCCTTTTTCACCCGATTCGATGTCGATCTTGATGGGGAGTTGTCGACGGATCAAGTGGTGCTTTGCTTGGAACAAGAGATGACTCGCCCTAAGGAGGAACGTAGGACGGTCGAGGAGGGTCCTGACTCGACCCCAAACACTCCTAGTTTGAGCCATGGATCAAGCAGTGCCAACCAACAAGCTGAAATCTCGCTCGCGTCGACCAAGGCTCCTGTAGTCCAGTCGAGTGATCCATCCTCGGGCATGCGGCCTGTAACGCCTGGAACCGAGATTGTCACGAACAAGGAGCTTGGCACCACCGTCAGAGCAACCCAAGGTGGAGAGGGCCGTTTAGGTATTTCGCGTCAAACCTCGACGGCATCGTCCGAGAGCTCGAGCCCAGCCCCCGGCGGAGCTTCGACTCCGATGTTGCGAAGCAACGATTACGCGACCACAAAAGACCGAGCCGTCGAGAGGGTCATCAACGTCCGTCAATGCCCCTTGTGCCATGCGCCTCGGATGAACTCCAAGGCCGAACTCGACATCATCACCCATTTGGGTATCTGCTCCTCAACCGACCCTCGGTCCGTCAATCGCATCGTCGTGGCCGAGTACGTGACGGCTCATCAAGCGCAACGCAAGTGGCTGTCCAAAGCGATTGCTAGGGCAACCCGTGGGGCTTACAAAATCGGCGCAGATTCGGCTAATATCATCGTGTTGGATCGTCAAACGGGGAATCTCATCGAGGAGAAGATCGCTATCTACGTTAGTGCGGAGGTGGTTGGCTCGGTCTCTCTGCAGTCCGCAGCCACTAAACGTGCAAATGCTCTTTTTCTCTAGGTGCGACTTGGGATGAGGTTGGCTTACCGTGGTTTAGGTGCCGGCGGTGGCATGGAAGGGGCCAGAAGTGAGTTGCGAGAACTCTTCAGTGCGGTTGGCGACTGACCTCGAGGCATGTCTTCGGTCACAGTCGCTCGCCTGCTCGACTCCATGTCCAAGAAGCAGGGCATCAAGTACGACTCTCCAGCCTCCGTCCGAGACATCCCTCCTTTCATCGACTTTCACAACCTCAACCTCGACGAGGTACGAGATCCCTTGTCGTCATTCAAGACCTTCAACGAATTCTTCTATCGCAAGCTCAAGCCCGAGGCGCGCGCCGTCGCGGACCCGGACGACCCAACGACCCTTGTGTCTCCGGCCGATGTGCGTTGTTATTAGTCCCTCAGCTAAAAAGAATTGCTACCCATAATACATAAAGCTAAGACGCAAAACAAACTCCGCACAGTGCCGAGCCATGTTTTTCCCCACAGTAAAAGCCGCCACCAAGATCTGGATCAAAGGGCGCGAGTTTTCCGTCGCTCGCTTGCTCGGTGAGCAACTTCAGCACAAGGCGCACGAGTTTGAAAATGCCAGCTTGGCCATCTTCCGACTCGCGCCTCAGGATTACCATCGATATCATTCGTGAGTCGGGGGGGCTAAACCTTTGGATAGATCGCAGATCGCGAGAGGGGTTTACTCATCTGGATTCGGCCAATCGATTCGCAGTCCTGTAGACGGTGTCATGGGACCTCAACACCTCGTTCCGGGGAAACTCTTCACCGTGAACCCTATGGCTATTCGTTCGGCGATCGATGTCTATGGCGAGAACAAACGCCTGGTCGGGACAGTCTTGTCGCGTAAGCTCAATGTTCTGCTCGGTGATTTGACAATCGTCAGCGTCAAAGTGGCTGACTTTGATGGCGATGCACGTGCAGCGGTCTTTGGCGAGGTCGTGACGGTGTGGATTGGAGCGATGCTCGTCGGATCGGTGAGATCGGGATGCACACTCCTGGAAGTTGCATCACAAGTCCTAATTCGAACTGTTTGGATGCCGAATAGATCGCAATGACCGCCACGGAAGGTCAGGAGGTGAAGCGAGGTGACGAGACGGGATAGTAAGCTGCACCTCGAGCACCTTGAGACGTCGCGTGAAGGAGAACCGAGGAGGACTGACGAGAAGAATTGGCGTTCGCTACAGCTTTGCCTTTGGTGGCAGCACGATCGTGTGTCTCTTCAACAACGTGCAGTTCGATGAAGATCTTGTGGCCAACTCGAACAACTCGGTGAGTCCTTTCCAATCCTACACGGCAAGAGGACAGGAGACTGAACCTGTGATACTAATCCTCGCTCATAGATCGAGACACTCGTCCGTATGGGTAGTCGTATCGGCAAGAAGGTCTGAACGCACTAGTATATCATCACGCGTCCGCATCCTCTTCGTTTCGCTCCTTTCACACATTCTCATATCGAATATAATAAACCCGCTGTCTTCCGCTGGTTGGGCCGGTGCTTGACAGCAATAGATTTCTCTGCTCTTGCAACACGTGTGTCATTCCATCATAGTTTATGAATTGCAAAAAGAAGAGACTATTACAAGAATGGCATGGCATGTCCGCAACGTTCAAGCGAAGCACATTTCTCACTACTTCTTGGCTCGGGGTTTGACTTCGTCGTCCTTTTCGATGAGAGGCGTAAGGTCAGGCTCGTTCGAACGCGCAAGACTATGAATTAGCTCGGTTTGACTTACTTTACAAGGATGCAAGAAGACCTTGTTGATAAAGTCGGGTCGGTTGCCCGTATGCCCTTGGGACCAATCATTCGCGACGGCGTAGGCGAAGATGCTGCCCGTCGAATTGAAGTCGGTCGCGACGATCGGGCCGCCTTTGAAATCGAATGCTGTTCAAGAAAGCATAGCGTCAGAGAGGGGGGGGGGGGGGGGGTTCCGAAGACAGGAGCCTCGCTTCCAGAGCGTTCAGGGGTTGCTCACACTTGAGCCGTGTCTTGGCGCTGTAATCCCATGAATGCCATGTCCCGTCCGATCCTGCGGTGGTGAACGTGCCCAAGGGGTGGAAGGAGATCGCATTGACCGCGTAGACGGTTTGTGATTTCGAGGGGGCGGGGTTGTCTTTGCGGTGGCACTGTTGTGGATGATTATTATCAGAGGTTTGAAGATTAGGGAAATTGGATGGAGGGATGACATACCTTGAAAGTGAAGTTGGCGGACTGCATCTTCTCGTCGAGATGTCTTTGGGATTTCTCGGGTGGATTTCTCGGGTCAGCTCGATGGGTCTAGCACAATTCAATAAAGTAAGCAGAACTCACTGGATGGCTACACGTCCTTCTATTGTTCCGATGGCATATCCGGACGCATCAGGGAAGCACGAGACCTGTGGCATCGAGGAGGTTCAAATGTAAGCGTGACGCCCTGACCAGCGACGAGGGAAAATTTCTGAAACGGACTGCTCGAGTTTGCCATCGCAGCGGCGAGTCGAGCGTCTTGAAGACGGTGGTGGGGCTTTGCAGGTTGATGATTTGGATCTTGCGTTCGGCCGTTCCGACGACCATCAGGTTGCCTCGCACGTCCATGGCTAGGTGCACGAGGTGGGAGGCGTGAGCGGAGAATAAGTTGGTGCGACACGATCAACGCGCGGGTGCGACGATGAGTGAAGAGGAAAGGTTAGACCTACTGTAGCACCTCTCGGCCAGTTGTACCGTTCCGACGGGGTTGGGTGTCCTCAGGTCCCAGTACTTGATCGTTCGATCCCATGATCCAGTAGCTGATCTCCGATCCGAACTCGATTAGCTCAGCCCTCGCGCGGTCACGTCCACAGGAACGGCCCCGACGCCTGCTACACGCACCCAACAGTCCGTTGCCCTGATCGATCCACTTGACGATCCGTATAGGTTGTTCATGCTGCGCGACCTGGGTCGCCTGTCCCGTGTTGAGATCGAACAACTTGGCCTTGTTGTCGCCTCCACCGCTCAACACCTTGGTCCCATCCTTGCTCCATACAACCGACAACACGGGCGCGTCGTGATCGAATTCGGCCTTTCCTTGTGCTTGGCCTTGGGCATCGACTTCGTAGAGACGCACGTGGGACGACCATGATGCGACGGCGAGCAGATTCGCGACGGGCGACCAGGCCAGCGAAGAGGTCGAATCGGGAGGGAGGTTGCCGACTTCGACGTCCTTGGGCTCGGTGTTGAGCAGCGATGGCCGAGATACGGACGAGTTGGATCCGAAGAAGGCCATCGTGCGGGCCACCTCCTCTCTCCGGAGTACACTGTACGGATTGGAGGGAGGGCAGAGTTTCGGCGCGAGTAGGAGTCGAACGTCATTTTCTGGGCGAATTGCGCCAGATTGCGCCGCGCGCGCGCTCACGTGACCGCGGTTGGCCCCGTCCGAGTCCGAGTCCGCGATCGGCGACGACAGGTCATCATCATCCAGATCCAGTCTGCGCGGATCAGTCTTTCCTAATCGTTCCTTCTTGTCTTGGCCCTAGCGTACACGTGCGATACGACGCCGAGCTACACTCGAGATTGTCGTGGAGGGACTCAGCGAGCACTTGCCCGAAGCCCTTTTCCAGAATACTGGAAAAGGGGGCATGTCGGTCTCGATCGATTCGCTGTCAGCGACTATACATTACATACGACTCTTCAGGCGGCTAAGATATGATTGCCCGCTACGTTTTAAGTTTCAAGTCATAAATTCCAACTAGTCTTGTTCAAAGACAGAATCTAACAAACGCTAGATCCGCTGGACCACCATAGCATGTGCCATATATCATACACCCATATTGTATACGGGCCATTACCTCGCTGGGATTAGGACTGATGCCCCCAGTTCTCAGGGCGTACATCAGTTTTCCCTCCTCCTCCTCAGCACCCGGCTCCTGAGGGTAGATGGGGCAAGTTTGCCACCATCGCCTCCACCAGTGAGGTATGCTACTCCATATTCTTTTGGAATGTCCACCACTTTCGCATTCGGCCGCCCCATATTCGCCCAGCCCCTTTAATGAGCTCATGATGCCATGCTCGGTCCAGCCGCGTCCGCGATCGCTCGTCTAGAATCCAGTAGATGTCCGGTTTTGGTATCATTGGCATCGCCACCACGAATGTGCCCTCACCAGTTTGGCGGCGATAGCTCCTGTATCTGCAGGTCAGTCCATCCTTGTTGCCGCGCCTCGAGTTCGCTTCGCGTAGCCCGATACAGGTCCTGACCAATTCTGTCGCGAAGTTCTTGTCCCGATGGGCACTCTCCATAAGCGTGTTTCTCTGTTTCTTACTCTGCTCCACATGTCACACACCCAGGGGAGGTCCCCAGTCTCTCCGAGCATCGCGAAGCAGTGGGCCCGGGCAGCACATGGGCCCGGATTTCCAACGTAGCCGGAAAAAGGGACTCCTGACGAACCTCGATCGCCGAGTTAGCGCGAGTACATCAACTCAGGAAACCTGCGAGGTTTTTGATTAGATTGCCGACTGACGAGAGTGGCGACGTTTGAGTCGATGATTTCTCGGAGATGGAAGACATAGACAGCTCTCAAAATTAGAGGGTGCGTATCAACCTAATCCGGGGCGGTCTGCAAAAGGCGACCGCTGCAAAGAGAGGAGACCCTGTCATCAACCAGGCCCACAAAAGCGGCCGGTGAACCCCTCGCAAGAGCTCGAGCAGTCACGCGATCGGCATCGACGCTTCAAGTCTCGGTCACATCACGTTGTATTCGACTTTGAGGTCCCGCTAACTCCGAAGATCGATCTCGCTATCTTCGGGGTCGCCGGTACCTGATCATAGCGAATCGACGGAAATCTTGATTTCGACGAGAAACACCATGAGGTCTCGTTTAGTAACCGTAAACGCCCCTGAATTTTCTGGGAAACTTGGGGAGGGGAGCCTTTTGATCTGATCTTGATTTGCCGCCCGCCTTGGATGATAAATGCGGTGCGGGAGCGAGCCAGGAGCTCACATCAGGTTCGGGGAGCAAAAATGGCCCCCGAGCGAGGACCGAGCTTGCACGCGCGGAGTGGACCTGCGCCGTGGGCTTTGCCAGCTGCAGGGCTTGCCCCACTTGTTTGGAAAACGGACGAGCTGCCGGGCCAGAGCCTGTGCTCTCTCTCCCCTACAGCAGCTGTCACTTCTCCGCGTCGACGGGCAACGGCTTGATCGAGACCTGCCGTCGGCTGGACCCGGAGCTGACCATCGACCGTCAACGGCCAGCGTAACTTGAGTCTTGAGCTGGGTCGTTCCATCCAAAGAGCTAGTAGGAATCCAGTCTTGCGCGCGCGAGACGTCATGGCCGATACCAAACGCGCATCGACGAGTGACAAGGGTGCGAAGCGGCGTAGGATCACGAGGGCGTGCGATCAGTGCCATGCCCGAAGCATCAAGGCGAGTCGTCCGTTCTCGTTATCGTTCGTGCTCCGTAGGGCTGGCTACCCGGGCTCCTGCTCAACGCTCAATGCTCGAAGAAACTATCTCTGTCGCGAGTCGTGCGCCGACCCTCGCCGCCCCCGCCAGAGACACTTTATGTGGCCCTGACCTCAAGCCCGATTTGGGGCTTCAGCCCACCCACTCACAGCCCTTCACGGGAGCTGACCCATCTCTTCCCCGCACAGTGTGTTCAAAACGAAAACGGGCAATGTAATGCGTGCGAGACCACCCACAAGAGCTGCACCTACGACCGACCAAAGTTGACCCGCGGCGTACGTCGCCAAGCCAGAGAGGACATGCAGCCTGGTCCGCTTCGGATCAATCTATGCCGGCGCTTAGAACTGACCCCCACTTCGCTTCCTCGGGATCGCGTTTTCCCCACTTTCCAGCCGACACCCAAGTGTAATGATCCCGGACGGTCACCCGCCAGCTCTTTTGGCGAGAGCCCTTCCTCGATCAATAATATCTCGACGTCGAGCTCGAACCCACATCCGAGACAGGCGCCGACGAAGCAGCCGTCGTCGGGGGCAGCAGCAGCAGCGGCCGAAAACGGCGTCGCCGCGACCGCTTCTGCGTCCAATGCCTCCACCTCGGCACCACCTCCAGCTACCTCCTCCTTGCCTGCATCCACGTCTTGGCAGCCACCCGAGGTCGCTCACAGCGGTTCGATCCCTCTCCTGTGCGAGTACTACTACCAGACCATATACCCGTGCACCCCCTTGTTCCACTGGCCGACGTTCGTCCCTCGAATCCGGTCTCAGGAGTACCTCACCAACCGACCTCTTTGTGCCACCGTACTCAGCTTGTGTGCCGTTGCCTCCGCTCGGTGGCGAGAGTGCGGGCCTTCGACCATCTTCGTACCCCCTCCCGAGTGGTCGCATCTCAATCGACCGCCGCCGGACGTGCCCGAAGAATTCTTGGACGCGGCTCGACGAACGATCCACATCGGCCCCATCTCGGGTCAACGCCATGCCTTTGACGATATTCGAGCATCGGGGTTGCTCACCATCGCTGCCGTTCAATTCGGTCTGTTCGACGAACTTGCGTATTGGATGGGCGTCTACTTTGCCATGGCGGGGCAGAACAACTTGCATTCGGAGCAGATGTGGCCCAACGATCTGTCTGTCGTCGAGCGCGACGAGATGAGACACCTCGTTTGGCTCATTTACCAACACGACGTCTATACCTCCGTCGTTGTGGGGGGACCGATCCTGCATCGAGAGGTCCAGGTCGATGTATCATACCCGACCGAGATGCCCGACGCACCTTCGTCGTATTGGATCGAAGGCTGGAACAAGACCTCGGACGTCTATCGCCTCCTCGAACACGCCTGCAACGCGTACCGCAACGTGTCCCACGCTTCGGCTCTGACCCGGCCTCTTCTCGTCAGCCCGAACCAAGGACATGCTTCGACACTGTTGACAGGGGCTATCGAAGCGTTGCGCAAGTCGCTACCGCGGTGGTGTACCCAGTTCCGTCCCGTTCCCCCCGGTCAAGAGATCCAACTCCATCGCCTCAATTTCACGGCTCTCAATCTTCTTCTGACATTTCAAAATGCGAGCATCATATCGCTGTGCGCGAGGAATGGGTTCACGACTGAGGAAGGTGTCGCGGTTGCATTGCAGCTGGTCAAATCGTTGGATCAAGTCCCTGCGGAATACCTACAGGCAATGAACATGCCCTTGGTCGGTCCAGCATCTTCCCCGCGAGATACAAACCTCACGTTCTTTAAAGCTGACATTCACTTACGATCGTTCCCCACCCGTCCTCCACAGTTCTACCAACTGATCGGCGTCGGCATCGTCCTGCAAAGCGGAGCCGCCCCCGCCGTGACCTCTCAATCGACGCTCATCTCCGTCCAATCGATCCTGCGTGACATGTCCCGTATCATCAAGCTTCTCGCCGCGAACGGCGGCACCCAATCGAACCTGATCATGAACGCCGCCTTGGTCCTCGACAAACACGTCGCCGATCTGGACCTCCTCATCCGGCCTAGTAGCGTCAGTGCGGATGCGAGTGCGTTGTTGGGCTTGCCGGCGCATTTGTTCGAGTGGCCGGCGAATATGCCCCAATTCGAAACGCTGTTCCCGGATTTGACGATGGGGTCGTTATTGGGTTCTTGAGAGAAGTTTTAGTTGCTCGCGTTTGCAATGTGTTTTATACCCATGTGAAAACGTTGTTGAGTTCTTGAGAAGTAGTTGTTGAGTTCTTGAGAAGTAGTTGGTGGCTTGATTACAATGTGCTTTTATACCCATGTGAAAACGTAGTTCTGGTACCTTCGAGGTTTCGTGTGCTTCGCAAGCCTTTTCTCACGAGACCGCAAGCTTCTTTTACTGGTTTGCGCACTTTCCATTGCACCCAACTCCAAGAAAAGAAATCGACAAACTCCCTTTTCGCCTTGGCTCCCATTCCATCCCCTATTTCGGGATCGCCCACTCGGTCCTCCTCGCGATCAAAGTCAGCACGAACACCGTCAACATCACCATCGCGACGCTCAAAGGTTTCTGCAAGAGATCCCTGTACAAGGGTAACGTATATTCGACGAAGATGGGCGAACTGTGACGGTCCGAACAGGAGCGTTTGTACAGTCTCACGGTCGGTCGGCCCGTGGAGTCGAGGTAGCCTTTTGAGAGGGCGTCGATGGTGAGCGAGTCGACGGGGAAGGGTGGGGTGACTTTGATGTCACTGTCGAGTTCGAAGGAACGGGGATGTAAAATTAGGTGGAAGTTGGAACACCGAACGTTAATAAAAGGGCTCGGAGTACTCACGAAGCGCCTTCGGGTAAACGAATCTCGACCGTCACATCATCCATGGCGACGTCCTTGAGAGGGGTGACGAAAGGCACCGCGAGCAAGAAGGTCCTCTTCCCATCGTTCCTCTTCAAAGCCTTGACCGAATCACTCAAAGGAACATCGAACCCAATCGTGAACGAATAGTTCCAACCTCCTTGAAGCGGGTACCTAGGCTTGAGTTCCAACAGAGCCGGGGCCGGAGCCTTTCCTTTACTCTTCTGCGTCAAAGTCAAGGGAGGGGAAGGGCGGAAGTTGGAGGTGGAAACGTTGCCGACGAGGTCGTAGTAGTAGGCGTTGGTGGCTCCCGCGGGGAGTTGGATCGAGAGGTCGGTGATGGAGTTGGTCTTGGCGCGGTTTTGCATCATCAGACGCTGGTGCTCGAGGCGCGAGAAGTGGCCTTGGAGTCTGTGGACGGGGGAATGAGGATCAACGCGGTCCAGAGTTCACACAGTCTTCGCAACAAGGACTTACTTTGGTCCGGGGTTGTACAGGTCAATGTTGTCTTGGAAGCTGGCCTTGGCGCCCCAGTGACTAACTTCGACGATGCGTTCCAATTTCCTGACGCTCGGGATCGCTTCGGACAGCTGGTACACGACCGAGGCGATCTGCGGTGCACTACTAGGGACGACGATATCGTTCGGCGCACCCTTGCTCGTGAACGTAACGGTCGCTCCGCCCTGAGGATGCGATTCGTCAAACAAAGGTGGGGTCTTGACTTCGTTGATGCGAGGAGTGGGGCACACGACCTTGATCTTGATCGATTCGAGCGCTGTCACATCCGCGGGGTCGAGGCCGGCGAGCAGGTGCGAGATGTCGGAGGACCATTGCATACGCACACCCTCGGTGACTTGGGGACGGCTTTCCTCGAAGGGTTTGTTCAGGTGCGCGGTCACGGTCTCGAGGGTGACGACCGTCTGCGCGGACTCGTCGGTTGGCTTGGGTACGGTGATGGCGTAGAAGGTCAGGCCTCTGTTGGATGGAGGAGTACGGGCAGAGAGAAACCAGGCTCCGGGGTCAGTCCCCGGGAGCAATCGATTGGTCGAGGCCACCTTTGGGCGCTACGTAGCCCCACTTGGGCGAGGAGCCAGAGCACAGCTGATGTTTGCCGCGGGCACTCGGGGTCCCTCCAGTCGCCCGAATACTATGTTTCCAAAGCTGTCGATTCTTGGGGAGGATGTCGATGTCGACCCTGGCTCGACTGCCGAGGCCCCCGCGCAAGAGCTTGAGCTTGGGCTGACCGCGAGCTCGCATGCTCGCTTGCTCGCATGCTCCGCAGTATGCCTATTCGATCCTGAGCAAAGAACATCGAGCGGCCTGACCACGGGTACTCACTCTTGGCCAACACTGCTCTTGACCTCCTCGACGTCGAGCAACGCCTTCTGCTTGTGCGGGCCCCTACCGATCCTCGCCTCGACAAAGCCCGGCCGGCCCTCGACCCCGACAGTCCAATGCGAATCCTTCTCGTGCGAGCCCCCACTGTCGGCGTGGGGTTGATAGTTGAGTGTGTAGGAGGTGAACGTCGTCGTGAGCGATCCGCCGAGGTTGACGGTCGAGACGATCGACGAGGCGTGGAAGGGCGAGGCGGACACGTAGGACGAGCTCAGACCGACGACCGAGGCGATTGTCGACGACAGCAGCACCTCGACGCTCGTCCACATCGGTCGTCGTGCGGAGAGGACGACGCGCATCCTGGACAAGTTGTGGCGGGCTACGCTGGGGGCGCGGTGAGGTGAGAAGGTGCGAGGCCGGGTGGGGCGTGTACACTGTACGGTCGTCGTTGTGGGGGCTCGGGTCAAGCTGGAAATGGCGCGGGCCGGCCGTCTCGAATCGTCTCCGCCTTGCGCTCTCGGACCCACTCAGGCCCTGCCACGGGGTAGGCCACGCGCTTTCGGTCGGCGCCAACCAAATCATTCATACTCGGAATGTGTTCCCTTCAAGCCGATCATCCCCGCCTCACTGCGCCCACTAAAAGTGGCACCAAACGCCGCTACTTCGGCCTTCTCCAACGCCTCGAAGAATTTTCATCCCCAAGTGCGCAGCGTGCCCTTGTCCATCTGCCCAGTCTCATGGAAGCGCTCGCGCAAGGAAACAGAGGTGTTGGGAAGCACCCAGTGTCCATCGGTCATTTTCACCGTTCTCCATGAGGTGCGAGTCGGGCTCGTTCTCCCGCTTCGCGCACGCTGGATGATTGTGATCCGGTTTTTCGGGCGCTTCCGACTCTACACAATTTGAGGTCAGGGATGGTAGAGTCTCAGAGATGAGCCTTGCCACCCAGACAGTGGTACCTAGCACTCTTTAGAACAGCGCGAAGAGCCTCGAGTCCATAGCGCCTCGGCTGGATCAAGCCACTACCGCTGGGCTCATACCCCTGTCTCTTGCGAAGCCGCGAGCGTGCACGCAGCTGGGTCTCCAATCTATGCATCTCGTTTTGCCTCGATTGTATACCAAATTCTAGCCTAATTCGCGGGTACGAATCCACAACCTTCAAACTCCTTGGTTGCCGTCTCTATGATCTTCTTCAAAGTCGCCGCAAAACGCCGATACTCGCACACCGTTCCTCCGTACGTGAGCGCATCCTATACCGTACGCAAGACAAGAAAGCGAGTCAGCGATCGGTCTACCACGCGCTTCAATCCTTGACGATGAGGCGGAGGATTACTGACTTTGGTGCACAGTTTACTGAGATCCATTCGCTTATCATTCACCAGGATCCTTACGGTGTCATGCCGGAGCCAAGACATGTGTTCCCAGATAGGCGAATGAACTTGCTCAATCACCAATCTCCCCGCGAAGGGCACCATCTTGCTCGCGACAAACGTGCGCATCGGGCATGGCAGTGTCGTACTCAATGCCGAATCCTGGAAAAAGCCCAATAGTGTGAGGACCGCGAGCAGCTGATCGTCGTGGGTGAAGTCGGCGTGCATGAACTTGGCTCGGAGCGGGAACGTTTTCGGATTCGAGTCGACGGTGTGGTTGACTTGAGTCCGGTCTGCGTTGACATCGTCCCGATCGTTTTCCAGGCGCGCCAACACCTCGCTGAGATAGCCCACGGCTTGCGATCGAGCGAGTCGGGCACCGTACGAGTGCTCGTAGTACTTGTCCAGGTCGGCATCGTATTCGATGTACTGCAGCTCTGATCGGCGGAACAATCCGCAGAAGGGAGAAGTGGCGTTGATCGCGAGGGACTCGAAAGCGCACATGTAAGAGAAGTGGACGATATCCTGCGCAAAACAAAATATTGTGAGCAAATCCCGGGATCCATCACTGAAGACTAGCTGGTTTGAACATCTCACAAGACTATCGAGTCCAAAGTCCTCGTCCCTCTGTAGCCTCTCAATGATAGCAGGCGTCCACACGGCTCTCCATTCTTCCTGCGCCGAAGGGAGGGAGCTGACGAGATTGGGGCAGTTGTCAAACAACGTATTGTTGCTGCCTTTGGTTTCGGGGAACGTGACCGAACCCGAGACACCATACCCAGCCTCACTCATGAAACCCTTCAACCACTGTTCTGACGATTCTTTGACCCTGGCTGATGCCTAAGGTGAAACAATATAAGTCTGAGTGACCGTACGGAGCCATTTAGGATGAAAAGCCGACGTTTAAACTCACCGAAGATCGAATAAAGGGTTCGCAGTCGTCGTCCTTCTTGCAGCCGTACCTAGTCGAGGCCAAGACACCAGCAGCATAAGATCTTCACGATCCGAGGCCAATTACACAATCGGCGAGTGGTCAGTGTTACTGCGTCCCACTCTTACTAGGGCCAGCAAGACTCACTCGGCCCTTCCATACGGCATCAAAGCTCCCTCACTGCCGAGAGTATAGGTGTAGTTGGACAGGAACTCCATCTCCTTTAGACTGTACTTGGGTCGACCAGCGACTTTTCTGACCGAGGCCTGCATCGCTGCCGATAATTTCGAAGTGGGGTCGCTCGCTCCATTGCTTTGCAGTATATTGACCTGTACACGCATCATCGAAGTCTTCAGACTCTGTGCAACTATGGAGAAGCGGCTGCGGGATCACCAATCTTACCTGGAGGATCTTACCCACCCACTCAGGGGAGCCCGAACCGTATGTTGCGCTCGGTTGATATGGCGAGCTGGGGGACGATCAAAATGTGAAAGGGGAAAATTCAGACTTCCATCCATCACCGAGTTAAGTTACCTCGAAAGGGGCTCACTATTGCCCAAAATGCGTCAAACCATTCAAGTAGGAAGTCGAAGCTGCTCCTTGGGCTTGGGCTGCGCATAGAATCAGGGCGGCAACGATCGCCCTCGTGGGAGGGCCGGCGGTGTTCAAACGGTGCGGATTGGGATGCGATATCGGATCCGTCGACGTCCTCTCCGCACGGTGTTGGGTAAGCCTTCGTCGTGTCATGACACCAGCGGACTCAGGAGCAGGTAGCAGGAGGAGAAGAGGAAAGGCGGAAGCAGCCAACAAGTGACCACAGGTACACACCTTCCCTGAGCTTCTCAACTTATACTATTGATCCGAGGGGATGATCGGCGATCGCGCCGGCGGCCACGTTCTCCGAGATGCGGTGCCGCTCCGCGCCGGCTCAATCAGCGAGTCATCGCGCATCCAACTCACAGGCGCGGACTGCTAAGAAAAAGACTGACTAATGTGCGATGCTACTATATTCTAAAGCGTCTGATCGTATTCGGATCGTTGCCGTCGGGTGGAACCGTTTAAAGGTACCGACGCGCTCGGTTTCCGAGTCGCGAATTCGGAGGTGGCGCACCGTGGGAGGCCAAGAATCCCAAAGAGGCAAGGGGCTGCGCAGAGTCGCCACGCGCGCGCCCGATGATCTTCTCCCTGGTTCGCCCCTAGAGCATGAGTGTTGAGCCTGGTGCACCGCTTCACTAACAAAAAGGTGATTGGATCTCACAAAGTGTATCAAATTTCATGAACCAGTAGGCAGCTCTTTCACCAGCCGCCGGGGGAAGCCCACGCGTAGTGGTTGAATGCCCTCATCTAAGCCCCTGTTCAGAATATTCAGAGAACTCGAGCTAAGTGGGCAATAGGACCCCTCTTTTTCACTGGGAAAACGAAGATTTCTTTTTCGAACTGAAGAACCATATGCATACAAACTGTCTCAAACATCTACCCCTGTGACGCAATAATCGGTACTCCTGGTCTTGATTGCCGAAGTCAGCATCTTTTGAATTCTTCAGCCGCAGTGTTGGCCAGGCCCTCCATGACGGAAACGAACTGCCACATGCTGCAATACGTTCCCTTCTCGAAGACGTTCGACTGCATCGTCGGGTAGATGATACGAGTGTGCGTCAGTACCATGCTCTTCAGAAATCGAGTGATGTAGGTTGCCCTCGACGACACCCATGTAAGACACGAAAACTCACCTTCCCGCACAGCTTCTCAAGATTCATCACTTGGTCGTTGACCAAGATCCTTACATACTTATCCGACATGATCTGACTCCAGCCTTCGACGAAGATGCCTTGTATGCGTTCGACGACCAAACGGCCCGAGAAAGGGACCATTTTGCTCGCGACGAAGGTGCGCATCGGACACGGAAGCGTCGTGCTCAGCGGTCCATCCTCGAAGAAACCCAACAGAGTCAGAACAGCAAGAAGCTGGTCGTCGTGGGTAAAATCGGCGTACATCATCGAGTCGTGGCGCAAGGGGAACAGGTCGGCGTTTGAATCGATGGTATGATTGACCTGTGTCGTGTCCTGCTCGACGTACGATCGATCCCGGGTCAAGCGTGAGAGCAACTCGCGTACCCATCCCACACCTTGCGATCCAGCGAGATTGGTACCATATGAATGCTCGTAGTACTTGTCGAGATCGCCATCGTATTCGATATATTGATGCTCCCACGTACGGAAGAGGTTGCAAAAGGGAGAGATGCCACCGTTCGCCAGAGACTCGAAGGCACAAAGATACCCAAAGTGGACGATATCCTGGTAAAGAGACGAAATGGTGTGTGCTCAAGTTAGCCGTAGCCATTGAACTTCAGGGCGAAGGAGCCCCTATCGGGCGGTGCGCTCCCCGATGAGGATCAGAGCCTCGACTCACTAGGTCAGTCAATCCGAAGTTCTCCGAAACTTGCAACCTTTGAATGATTGCCGGTGTCCACACTTTCCTCCATTGTTCTTGCGCCGACGGGACCGAGCTGACCAGATTTGAACAGGTGTCGAGCAGCGTGTTCTTGCTGTCCTTGGCTTCCGAGATGACGTGGATGCCGAGTTTGCCCGCTTCGTCGTCGGCGTCGCGTTCGTACCCTGCAAGCCATTGTTTGGCAGACTCGACCACCCTGGGAGAATTCTATCGAGAACGATTACCGAGGTGAGCCCTGAACTGAGCCATGGCGGTATCAGTACAACAATGGACGCTTCACACAACGTACCGAAGCTCTGATGAAGGGCCAGCAAGGCCATTCACCCAATTTACTTTCGCCGCAATCATACCGTTTTGAGGTCGAATATCCCGCCTCGTTGGATCTGCACACCAAAGAATTGGTCGGAAGATGAAGTCAGCTGAACGCCGTCGGAGAAAATTATTGGTGTTCAACGTTGCAGCGTCCATTGCGGTCAAGGAGGTCATGCGAAATCCTAGGCCCCGTCCGCGCAAGGCTCAGTTTTTCATTCCCGTACTCACTGTGTTTTCCCAAAAGGCATGATAGCTCCGTCACTACCCAATTTATAGGTATAGTTGCCAAGAAAACGCATTTCCGGGACGGTGTAGTTCGCTCGTCCCGCGACTTTCTTGACGGAGGCGTGCATCGCCGCTGATAGGCTCGCCGTCGGGTCACTTGCTCCGTTCGTTTGGAGGATATACACCTGGGTTATGAGTCGAGAGAGAGGCAAGCCGGATATAGGATTAGATCTGAAGTCACAGAAGAAATTATACTTGACTGGGATGCTCAAGTTCTCTCACGCACCCCTGTGATGTCCACGGTCTTGCCCGTCTTCTTCCATCCCTCAAGCGAGTGAAAAGGGGAGCTGCAATCGACCAATGTCGCTCATCAGGACCAATCACCAAAGCCAGCGTCATCGAAGAGTTTTACGACCACTACGTACTACTGTGCCATGTATTCCAAGCCGTACCAGTACGGTTTGAGAGCAGCGGCAGCGTTGACGCCCGTGACGGTGCAGAGACCGCCCAGAATAGCCAGGCCAATCGCTGCGGCAGGCGCCCTCCTGGGTCGCCGAGTCTTACGGTCGAAAAAGAGCATCTTGTGGACGATGTGGGTGTCTGAAGCAGCCGAAGAGAAGGAATAGAACCAACCTGTCGCCCTCGCCAAGACAGGACACTCACAACAACGGACCCGACTTCTTCCTAACCGCCATCAAAGTCGAAGTCGGAAGTTCTTTCATTCTCCCGACGGACTCGCATCCCATGCCGATTCGGGCATCATCGATCATCGATCATCGGAAGCGGGGGCGATCGCGCACGCGCCACGCTCGACGAAAAGGGCTCATAGCCCCGATGAGGGGTACCGCCTCACCTTGTTTCTTGGCTTTTGGGGTGGCGTTGCGGTTACTTGAAAGGATGCTGTGTTGTTGAATGTGTAAGGAAATGCCGGGTTTTACCGAGTTGCGATACCCGCATGGACAAGATTTAGGCGACGAAGCCGAAGCCGAACCGGGGATTTTTCGTGGTTTTTTCGCCGTGGCTTGATTTGGCACTGGCTCCGCGCCGAGCCCGATGCATCACGTGCCCGGCCACGATATTCGAGAGCCCCTGTGTTGGCGAAGACTCATGCTTTCTAGACCTTCCTGAAGCGGTCTCTCCTACAAGAACCACTCTCATCCTTCAACCCGAAATCGTATGGCCAGTCACACCTCAATTCCACCCCTCACCTCTACCTAAGCCTCCACCACCACCGCCAACGGTTCCTTGAACCTCGTTTCCAAACCCGTCGCCAAATCCACCATCCTCAACTCGTTCAACCGATGCGCTCCCGGACGAATCGCCAAGAACCTCAACGTCACACTCGCACAAGACCTAGGCAACAACGGCCCGATCCTCACATCATTCTCCAACGCGACCAAACTCGCCACCGGGGTTTTGGTCCTCCCCCCTCTTCGAGCTTGCGCGGCTTGAAGGGCCGTTGTGGTGGGCGTATTCGGGTTGTCGAACCAGGCTTTTTTGGAGGCGTCGTCCGCTTCGGAAGCGGCCGGTACTCCAACGGTGAACCGTTTGACTTGGTCGCTGCGGTTGACGACGAAGACTTCGACGAGGAAGACGTCCAAGAGGCCGACACGGGGAGCTCGATAGTGGGGACCGTCGATCGTGTCGGGAGTTGGGGAGGATGTCGAATCGGGATTGGGACTGGAGGTATCTTGGAATTGAGGTGATCCACCCGAGGGTGAAGGGGATGTTAAAGGTGAAGGGAACTTGAAGGTTGTTCGACGTCCCGTCGCCGAGGGCATGGACGCAACCTCATCATCGAGATCCTGATCGACCGTATTCCGATCATCTTGATTCGTGACCGCACCTTGACTCGGTTTCTTGATCGCTCTCAACGGTAGCAGCGTGACCGAGACCAGTATCTGCCCATGATCAATCGTCGTCGTCGTGAAACCCCTCCTCGGCGCCACGTTCGTCGACGTCAACGTCGAAGCGCCAACCCCGTTCTCTCCACCGGCCGTCCCTCCAACCCCCGTCAAGGAAGTCGGGAAACTCGCCCTCCAACCCGGCGGTGGCGTCTCCCCCCTATTCGTAGGATTGAACGGACTCCTGGGTCGATTCGCGAACGCGTTCGTCATCGGTGATCCACCACCAGGTGGTAAAGAGAAGTACCTCTTGGCCAACGAATCCTGTTTCTGGGGTACGGAAGGTAAAGCTCTATTGATCTGCATCGAGCTCCTCGGTGAATCGGTCATCGACATCGACTGATGTTGCTGATGGTGATGATGCGCTCCATTCCTCGCCAACACAGGCGACCGAGCCGCCATCGCCGCCAGCGAAGCCATCGTATATTTTTTACTCCCGGCAATAGTCTCAGCCTCCATCGGGGCTACCTGCGTTGAATTGCGTAGATTCTTCTTCCCTTCTTTATTGTCGATCAAGGATTGTCGAGCTGCGCGTGCGGTAGCGGCTGCTAAGGCCGGAGGGAGCGCGAAAGGGTTCACGCGTTCGCGATGCTCAAAAATCGCTTTCCGAGGTGGGGCACGATAAGCGAAGGAGGATATGTCCAGTGTCGTGTTCCATCTAGAAGCGAAAGGTGCAGTAGCCGAGACGTAGTCCTCGGTTGTCGAATCGGGTCGAGGAGCCTCGTCCTCGATGGTGTACCCCTTCGACTTGTTCCTCGAAGCCTGTACAGGTCTCCCCCTCACCACGATCGTCACATTCCTCAACGTCGCCGCCGTGCCAACCCTCACAGCTTCTCTCGTATCCCCTTCCCTTGTCCGTTCGACCTCACCTCCCTCACCTTCCCCTACCCCAGCTCCGAACCTTGACGCGAACCTCTGACTCGGACTCGTAGCCACTACGACAGGTATAGGAGGCGGCAACACCTGGGCGGGAAGCGTTCTAACGAAACCTACGTCCACGTCTTGCGCTGCGTCGGGAGCGACGGTGATGGCGTAAAGAAAGTTGTGTTGTTCGTTCGAGCCTATGATGAACGGGAAAACTCGGTCGTCCTCTTGTCCGATCGGTTTTACCAACACATCACTCCTCATCAAGCCTTTACCCATCCCGATCCCGAGATCCAGCCCATTCCCCTTCCCGCTAGTAGTGATCGCACTAGACGTCGAACCGGCAATCTCCACTTGAACACTGAGGATTTCGAACCCTTCCTCTTTCGAGTCCAAAGCCGGATCATGCGGTGTGGCTCCCGTGCCTTCGACTTCGACGCACATCACCAATCCTCTTTGCTCATTCGGGTCATCCGAGCCCCTACTCGAAATACCACCACCTCCGACAAAGCGTTTCGGGACCGATTCGCCCGCCGAGGAAGGATTGAGACTTGTCGGAGGAGCAATGTGTATTGGACATGGTACAGCTCTCATCCTTACGATGATCGGCGATCGAACGGGTAGAACCCTCTGTACGGCCCTCCGAATCGAGGGGTGTAGAACCCCATCCGTCAAACCCATATTCGGCGCATCAACGAGCGTCAAAGCTCGAGAAGGGCGTCGGGAAGTCGTCGGTCCTAATACGGGGGAAGAGAAAGGCTGGGGTAGTCGAGATGCGGGTAGGTGTAGAGGTGCTTCGTTGCCGTTGGGGAAGGAGGAGGACAGGCCTTCGAGTAGGTTGACGTCTGTGAATGAAAGGTGGGGGGCTCAGTCATCTGCAAGGTTCCATCATTGCTGGTCCGGACCCAAGCTCCGCGCACCTTCAAAGCTCTCGACGAGATATTCATCCGGGTCGTACGTCTCCTCTCCATCGAGGTGTTCAACACCACCTGCAGCTGCGCCTTGCCGCCCCAATTTCCTCATCATCTCCCCCAAGCCGGGATCATCCCTGAAGGCGACGTTGAGGGTCAGACATAGCCTCGGTGCGACGAGGCGTGATCGTACGTAGGCTGCACAAAGCATGAAGTATGGTCAGTTCCGAGTAAAGTCGCAATTGAGTTTCCGGGAGAACTGACCGACGTCGCCCCTAAACTCCCAAACCCCCATCCACGGTCCGTCCCCTTGCTCTCCACCCAGTCTGCCCACCCAAACCCTGCCACCGGACTGCTTCCTCTTCCCCTTGGCCTCCCTGACCCCGAATCGTTCCCGCTCGTGCTCACTCTGATCGCCGCCCGTATCGAACGTGCAGCTCCAAAGCGGCACGCTCTCGACCTCTTTGACGTAGCCCAAATCCTTCTCCCTCTTGGTCGGCAACGGACTCGGTGTCAGGGGAACTTTGGGCCCTCCCAGCATGGAGAGACTGGCCGTTTGGAGCGAAGGGATCGAGGTGGTTGGACTTTGTCCGATGCCGAGACCTATGGAGGTCGAGTTGGCAGGGGAAGCGGATGGGTGCAAGTGGGGTCGGTGAGGATCGTCGTCCTCGTCGTCTTTGGGATCTTGGACCGTTGTTTCGGGCCGGAGGGAAGGCCTTGGTTGAGTTCTCGAGGTGGAAGAAGCGTTCGTAGTAGTAGGTGGATCGCAGCCTTCTACGAAAGAGGCGTCGGCGGTGAGGAGGAGATGAGGGGCCAAAGTAAGATGGCCGGAGGGGCTCGAGGTGGAGGTGCAAGGGAGGAAGAAGGCCGCTGCTTGAGCTCTGTCCAAGACCGGTTGACGAGGCAGTTTGATGACGAGGTAAAAGGGAAGCGATTCATCTGACGAGTGAACACGGGTATCAGCTCCAGCAGGGACAAACCACCCGCTCCGAGCCGGAGCGCTTCTTCCCTCGACCGCCGACGGCCGACTGCGCCTGCCCGTACCGTACCGTACCGTACCAGCCAGCTTCCCCTCGGCGATCAGCCCACTCTACACGCCCCACCAACTCACCCAGATACGCGCATTTCCTCTCCTCACCCTCGGCAACCTGGCTCACCCACTCGTCCACGCTCTTCCTCTCCTCCGGCCCCAGCGGAGCGATCGAACTGGCCGAGGTCGCCGGTGGGGGCGACGACGATGATCCGTCGGGCGATGCAGCATGGCGGGGTACGTGGAGCTGCAGCGAGGCAAAGTTGAAGAGCGTGGCGGGGTCGAGCTCGTCCGGGTTCGGGTTCGCAGTCGAGGTCGAGGTCGACGCGGTGGCCATGGTCGGAACGCCGACGCGACTGCCGGGCAACACACGACCGGCAGAGGCAGAGCTGCCGAGAGAGAGAGAGAGAGAGAGAGAGAGAGAGAGAGAGAGCCGAGAGGGGCAACTCCCCCGTTCTCCCCCGCGCCAAAGCTTGAGCTTGAACTTTTCACTCGCTTTCAATTAGGTTAAACTCCCCACACCGGAATTCATTCATATTGCAAGGGAAAAGAAAAGAAAAAAACATGGTGTTACACAGAAAGGAAACACGCGGACGCGCTAATCCTTCTTGAGCGCTGTCAGAACCACGGACGATCCTCACCCCAAATCAGCAAGCCCGTCTCTGAGACCGCGCAAACAGGTCTCTCCACTCACGGATATGACGATACTTGATCGCCTCCCCTTTCACGATCGTAAACACGTCCAACCCATCCCCGACCGCGATTTCCCTCTCCGCCGCGCCCGTCAACGCATCCGTCACCAACGCCAGCACCGTTTCCAGCGGTTGGGCAGGTCGCTCCCCCTTGGCGAGAGCGGGCAACGCCGGGTCACGCACTTGGTTCTTGCCGTAGACGAGGTTGTCGAGGAAAGGTTGGACCAGCGATTGCGCGGCCCCGGCGGCGCGACAGGATTCCCTTTCGTACGAACCGACCGGGTCGAACGAGTAGACCGCACCTGTTCCGTCCCGGTCGATGCCTCCGACTGTGGGCAGAGCGGAAAGGTTGTGAGTGGAATGGCAGAGAGCGTGAGAGTGTGGTGGCTGGACGATGCGGATCGACGTACGAATAACCCAGGCGTAGTAAGGGAAGAAGCGCTTGCCGTAGAGCATCGTCTGCACCAACCGAGCGATCGAAGGCAACGACGGCTTTTCACCATGGGTGTGGTAGTACCACTGTTGAGAGACGCTGTATCAGTCCATGCCTGTCACCCCCTCCTCCCTCCTCCTCCCCCACTCCACACCTCATCCCACAGATCCCACAGATCCCACAGATCGATCGCACGACTGACCTCCAACCTCTGCTTGATCCTCTTGACCAGGTTGCTCGCATCGGCCTGGAAGCCGACGGTGGCGATGACGACCTGATCGGTCAACTGGTAACACCTCCTCGCCGTGCGGGTCTGGATGTTGTAGCCCTCCGCCTGGCGCGTGTCACTCGCGACGATCGCGAAATCCTTGGACGAGATGGCCAGGATCGTGCCTGCGAAAAGGCCGCGTCGCCGCTGATGAGAAAGTGCTACATGGGACTGCGGATCGAGAGCCGACTCACCTCCGTTGTCCTGTACGACGGTGAGCCGAGATGCAATGAGCCACGGGGGAGGCGTCGTCAGCGTCCGTGGCCGGAGAACTCGTCATCGGTTCACTGTGGTGATCGTACATGGACGTACAGAGTAAGGGTTGAAGGCACGCTGCTGCGGCTTCTCGGTCAGTCCGCTGAGTAATGCGCCTTGCATGGTGTTGGGAAGCAGCGTTGGTGAGGTCGATGGAGCGCGTCGAGCTGAGAGGTGCAAAAGCGGGGCCAGACTGACAGCCGACAGCGTGAGCTCGACCTGAGCCGGACTAGGCCGGACTGAGCCGGAGCGGTCAGCGCGGCAGCCTAGAGCCTCCTAAAGCGCGGCCGAACACTTGGCACTTCTCTGCTATGACGCCATTTTGGTCCCCATCTTCCTTTTCGTAACATCACAAACCAGCTTCCATGTCAAAGAAAATCGCGACTGCAGCGTAGCCAGCTGATCAGCTCGTCGGCACTCCGAGCCTTGAGCTTTTAGTAAGGCCACAGCAGCACATGTACAGGGGCGTGGGGATTGTATTGCGGTATCGTTGGTACGTTCCTCCAAAACAGCCCGATATATTGCAACAAGTTAGATGGAAAAAGGAAGCAGAAAATTGAAGAGTACGCGGTCTGGATTTTTCTGTGGTAAACTGCCAAATGCCCGGCAACCTGCAAGAACCTGCAGGGCATGCAGGGCATGCAGGGCGCACACTGGCTCACACTGGTCCGACTAAGCAGGACTAAGCGTGGCCCGTGGTCCTTCGTGTTTTGTTCGACCGGAACCCCCACCCCAACCGCACCGCACCCGCAACGGAGGACCCGCGCCGTCGCTCGACACATTCTTTCAAAATCCACGGGGTCTCTTACCCAGAGTGCTCGTCGAATCTTATCTTGGTGAGTGACGCTGCTTTGTCGGCGGGGAATCTACAAAATCGCGCTCGGTCGATCGTCGTTGTCGTTGCCGATCGCGTCGGAGCCGGTGCACGACACTCACCCGATGTTGCAGTAGCCGGCATGATCTCGCCTAATGCGGTCCCCCCCCCCACGTCCTGTTCATTGCGACCTTCTGCCTCGTCACTGACCCATGTGCCCCGCTCTGTCCCAGATCCGCGACCATGGACGAGGCGGGCCCCTCTCAACAGCCCTACACCCAGGCCATTCCCACGCCTGCTTCGAACACGACGAATGAGCGCTCTGAGCTGTCGGCTCCGTCCTCGTCCGCGTTCGCTGCTTCAGTGCCCGCTGAATCTGATTCCCAACAGGATACGACCAGTAGCAGTGTAGACCCTACTGTTGAATCGTCGTCGTCTTTTCCGGTGCCTTCGACCTCGATCGATATTGTCGTCGATCCACCGCGTTTGTCGACCGTCGGAGCTCCGGCTGCACCGTCCTCATCCTCAACCCGCTCAACCACCTCAGCCTCCGCAGCTCCTGCTGCAGCAACGCAGGATGCGCTCCGATCGAGCACTTCCGACCGTGCTCCTACTGCTTCCTCCGCCGCGGCCTCTGCGGTGGACCCCGTCATCATCACCCACAACCCGGACGGTTCGCGCGCGCCCGTCGTCGCTCACGTGCTTGGATTCGCCGCCGTCCGAGCGATCGCGAACGCGCACCCCAACCCCCAACCCTACGTCGAACCACCACCGTACGTCGCTCCGACCCACGTCGATTCGGCCTCGACGGGGATCGCCAAGAATTCGCACCCGGTTCGGATCTCCTTGACGGAGGAAGAAGAACGCATGCGTCCCGAACAACGTCACGCGCTCCAGGTCGCTGCTGCTCGAGCGGCGAAAGCTAAAACCCCCGAAGTGATGAGGGAGGAACAAGTCTTGCGCTTGGATGCCAAGACGCTGAAAAAGATGGGCTTGGGCAGGACGCCGAGCGGGTATTGCTATTCGAGTCGGATGACGATGCATCAGCAGTTGCCGGCTGTGGCGAGGGGGGAGTTGCACCCCGAGCAACCGGCGAGGATTACGGGCATTTATCACAAATTGAATGGTCAGTGCAGTGCACGTAAAGTGGGGCTTCGAGTGCGTGGTCTTGACACTCCTTCTTTTGAAACAGGCACGGGCTTCCTGGGAAGGATGGAACGAATCGCCGTTCGAGAAGCGTTGCGGGATGAAGTCACGTTGGTACACTCGCAAGCCCATTTCGATCGCGTCCGAGCCCTAGGATGTGAGTGATACCGACCTCGAACTCGACTTATTCCCCCGCCGTGTTGACCCCATATCAAGCTCGCATCACTCCCAGTTCAAACACCCGAATACCTCGAAACCTGCTCGGAATACTTTGATCGACTGTCGCTTTACGTCAACCCTGATACGGCGCTTTGCGCACGTTTATCGTGTGGTGGGGTGATTGAGATGTGTGGTGCCGTCGCCGAAGGACGGATCAGGAACGGATTCGCTATTGTCCGGTAGGTGCTGTCGACCTCGCGGGAACCGCTTCATGCGTCTAGATACTAAGCAGTCCGGAACGAATCCCTACAGCCCACCGGGTCATCACGCCGAACCCGAAGACGCGATGGGATTTTGCTTCTTCAACAACGTTGCCGTCGCCGCGAAATGGTTACGCACTATATACGACGACGGCCAAGGCGCTGCTTCCCAATTTGACGCTAATTCAACCTTACCCTCGACGACGGGTACGACGCGCGTCAAAAAGATGAACAAGATCCTCATCCTCGATTGGGACGTTCACCACGGCAACGGGACCCAAAAAGCCTTCTGGGATGACCCCAACGTGCTCTACATGTCCCTCCATCGCCACGACGGTGCCTTTTATCCCGGAGGAACGTACGGAGCCGCCGAAACCGTCGGTGACGGACCCGGGAAAGGGTTCTCGGTCAACGTCCCCTTCCCTCATACAGGGATGGGGGATGCGGATTATATCTACGCGTTCCAACAGATCATCATGCCGATCGCGTACGAATTCGCACCGGATTTCGTGCTCGTTTCGGCAGGGTACGATGCTGCGGAGGGGGATGAATTGGGGCAGATGAAAGTCACACCGGCTGGGTTCGCGCACATGACGCACCTACTTTCCGTTCTCGCCGATGGGAAGCTCGTCTTGGCTTTGGAAGGGGGTTACAACGTCGAATCGGTCGTTAAATCGGCTCATGCTTGTGTGGAAGTCTTGGTCGGCGATGAACCGAGGAGGTTGGAATTGGGCGCCGCGAGTCAGTCGGCTACGAATGTGTGTCATGAGGTGATGAAGGTGCAGAGCAAGTATTGGAAATCGATGGGCTATGCGTTGGAATCGCCTGAAGAGGCGAAAGATGCGGGGAGGATGATTCCGTTGGCCGGTGAGTCCGAACGGTGGCTCATCTTTGTCCAAGAGGGTTTCCTGTGACTGATCAGGAACGATTGGCATTACCCTGGCTAGAAATGCTCAAGTCGCATCGGGTGTACGAGCTGTACCACGACTATGCGATGTACAACATCGAGCTTGCAGATCCTGAATTGGAGGAGGCGTACAAGGATCAAGTGCTGTGCTCGTAAGCAAAGGTCGGCATCTTTCTCGAACGGCCACAATCGTTGACGATCCGCTTTGTAAACCCACAGTTCGGATGTGTACGACTGCGAGACCCTGATCATCTTCATGCACGACATTGGCTCGATGAAAGCGTCCTTCACCGCCGCGAACTTGGACATCGATCTCGAACGGACGACCTTGATCGACACCTCTCGCGAAGTCTTGGACTGGGCCATCACCGACAACAACTTTGGTCTGATCGACGTCAACTTTCTCGCGCATACCGTAACGAACAAAGGAACGATCATCCCCCCCGATCTCGCTCGAGATGCTCGATTGGAGAAGGAATTGGCGCTGTTCGTCTGGGACCAAATCGCCGGTTTATCCGTCGCGACCAACATCGTGCTCTTCAGTATGGGTACCGGATCCCGCGCGATGATGCACGTTCTACAAAATCGCCAATCCGTACGGGAACGGGTTCGCGCGTGCATCGAAATCCTCGGCCTCGAACACCCTCCCGAATTAGGCGCCGAATCCGGCATTCGAGGTTGGTTCAAAGAGAAATCGCTCGTCATGTTACCCTCGACTCACCCGTTGCACGAGGATTCGAGGAAGGCGGGGAAGCATCAGAAGAAGTATGGGAACGTGTTCAGGTCGATGCCGGACGATGAGGGGAGACCGATTCATTTGTTGAGGGCTTCGATGGGTAAGGTCAAGGAGTTTGTCAGGGATAGGTTACCGGTTTCGACTAGGCCGCCGAAGGAGAGGGGGAGTGAGGAGGAGGAGGTGGTGGAGAAGGAACGGACTATGGAAGAGGAGGTGGGGCAGAATGGGTCGGGTGCTGCGATTGGTGGGGAGGCGACTGCTCCGACGACGATGACAGGGGACGCGATGGAGCTCGAAACGGGCAAGACAGAAGAGGTCGCTGCTGAGGTCCAAGAGCCGAAACCCGTTGCGACAACGGAGGAAGCTCGAACAACTTCCACTTCCATGGCCGTCGATGGCGTTCCGGCGGAAACTTCGGCACAGAACGTTGAGACTGGAGCTGTGAATGGTGGTGCCGATGTGACGATGGGGGAGGACTAGGTGTCGTAGCGGTGGGCTTGAATTTGGAAGCAATAAGGACTTTTTGAGATGTTGTGTTGTTCCTCTTTTTCGATGGATTCACGTGAAAGAGAGCTTGTGAGTTCGTGAATCGCGATTGGCCAAATTTCTGAATCACCCAAGATCTCCCCCTGTCTCGTCACCTCGCACGCGCGCGCTCCTCCCCTCCTCCCTTCCCTTCCCTCCCACCCACAACCAACTCCGACCGGCCACCTCTCGACCTCGAAATCTACCATGCCGACCGCCCGCTCCATGCCCAAATACCGACCGGCGCCCACCCGTCTCCCGCCGGCCAAACTCCCAACGTTCCGCTCCGTCGTTTCGCACCCTCCACCCCCTTTCGCCGTCGCTCAGGCCGAGGCACAGGCACAGGAGGGGGCGAAGAAGGGGAATCAGGGTGTGCAGCAAAGCGGGAGTACTGTAGTGAGTTTTGAAGGGACTGGGCTGGCGTCTGGGGTCACTCTTAGGCGGGATGAGGGGCCCGCGAAGGGGATGCGAGGCAAGTGGGGGTCGGGATGGAGCGGGGTTGGGAGAGCTGGAAGAGGGTACGGATGGATATCCAGTCACATCGCCGGTATTCTGCCTCGGCTTCTTAGAGCACACGACGATGATGATGCTGGCGAAGTATTCTCGTTGCAATCGCGCGAGCGACTCACGCGACGACGGCCTCCACAGCCTTCAAAACGAACACTAGCACAAGATCGAACGAGTCCGTTCACTGACACCAACATCCACCTCTCACCCCCGCAGCCACCGTCCGGCTCTCACCAACTGTTCTTCTCCACCGCGCCCCGTTCGCTCATCCCGCTCACGACCTCCCCCTCGAACCACAAGCTCTGGAACCCGCCCGCAGCCGACTCGAAAGCCGGACGAGCGGTCGAAAGGGACGAATCAGGTCGACTCGCCAAATTCGCTTCAAGGTTCGCTGGCTTGTCGATGCAGGAAGCAGAGGGGGGTACGGGTCGGCGTAATGGAGGACAGTTTGACGTCGAGAGTGATCTGAGCTTCTTGGAAGGGGCAACGGTGCAGAGTTCGGGCAAGGCTTTGGGGAAGAAGGAGATCGTGTACGTGCACCCACTTTCCAGCGATCTGTGCTCGAATACGTGCGGTGTGGTGCTTCCAATGGGGGCTGCAAACGCTGACCCCGAACCTCTTCTGAATCTTTGAGCAGCGGCGTCGTCAAGTCCGCCAAGAAGGGAAAGAAGTAAAGGGACACCTCAGGTCACTGCATTCATGTATTCGTATAGACGCCAATCCAACGCACAGTATTATCTATCTGATCTCCTCGGCGCGAGCAATAAAACGTGCGTCGTCCCTCGGCACAGACTCGATGATCAAAAGTCGACAAGGCTCGAAAGCTCTCACAAGGGTTGAAACTGCCATTTGATATCGATGAGATAAGACATGGGTAGAGGTCCCAACCCTGAGGCCTTATATCCCATCGCCGAGAGCACGGGAGCACGGACCGCGCGATCGGATCATTTTGCCGTGAGGGACAACTCCACGCTAATATACAGCTCTCAGGGCCAAGCCCCGTTTCAGTGGTAAAGAATCAGAGCCAGGCCTTCTTTTCTTAAGAGACAAACAAAACTGCACCTTCACCTCAGTCGCCCGGAGCGTCGCGGTCGTTCGGCCGTTTTGTAATGCAATTTATCCCAGCCGCGAAGAGGATCGACGCGCGCGTGGCTGGCGATCTGGCGGTTCCGGAGTTTTTCTCGGTCGGTGTCCAGCTTCCGGTGTCTGGTGCCTCTCGTCAGTCTCTTATTGAGGGCAATTCCTTTCGTGCCATCTGCAGGGCGTCAAGCAGCGCTGCCGAAAGTCCGGATCCCTCGATCCATGGATCTCAGGCCGGCATCGGCCTCGGCTCCAGCGCTGAAGCTCTGAATTGTGAAGGTCAAGCCATTAGGCACATACGGCCGTAGGTAACTTTGGTTCCAAATCTGCTTCAGGTACCGTTTCCTGGGTTCTTTCCTAACAGCGATGGGATCTACGAAATCCTCTCTTCTTTGCACTTTCAAACATATTTGCCCCACTCGAACGACATCCACTGATCCGCCTGCAAGATTTTCTCTCCCTTTCGCGAATTCCAATTTCATAGGTGGGGCGGGGCCCCTTTGGACCCGGGTGCGGGCCTCGACTCGAAGCTTGCAATGAGCCCAAGTGTCCGAGTCGTGATAATTTCTTCTGTGCTCGTCCGGGCCTGCAGATTGTAGATTGGGAAGAACACGGTGGGTGTGGTTGTGTTGCAAATGTTCCGAGGCAATACTGCGTGTTCGACCCAGTCGAATTGAACGTTATTGTGAAACACGGTCCGAGGGTTCGCCCTGCCGTCGGCCGGGTCAGCGCGGCACCATGCGCTCATTGACGCAGGCGCGCGCTGCCACCCTCCCGCCAAGTCTCCCAGTCTTACCTCCTCACACTGGCTAGCACTGGCTAGCGGTGGTTCTTATAGGCGCGCCCTCCTTTATTAGTAGTGCCCTCCTCTCCACCGCGCCCTCGTTTCGAGACAGGTTCAATCTCGACCTCGACGCTTCGGTCGAATCTTGGTCCCTTCCTCTCGCTCCTCACTTCTCGCGCGCTCCATACAACCTACGCCTACACTCGTAATCGATTCCAAGGTTCTTTTCTACACCCGCTCACACCCACCTTCCGACTCGTTTCTCTCTCTCTCTCTCAGCTCTCGACCCCAAGCGTGATTTGCGACGATGGGTTGCGGTGGATCGAAAGCGGCCGAGCAGGACTACCACACCGCGGTGCAGGCGACCAAGAAGGAGGAAGAGAAGGCCGTCGCAAAGTAGGTCGGAACTCGGAACGAACTGAGCTGTTCGAGGAGTGGTGAAGCTCGTCGTGGAGCTCGTCGTGGTATACGGTGCAGGGTGGGGTGGAGTCCAATTCAAGGTCGGGTTGGTCTGACCAGTGACCACTCGCTCCGAACTCGGTCATGAGCGGGCTGGGCTAGCTCGTTCTTTGGCTGTGGGATTGCGCTGGCCCCGCCCGCCGCGCCCGTCCCCAGAGCGCCAGCGCGCCAGTCCACGCTAACGGTCGGAAGGGGAGAGTGGCATGATTCGAACGACACTCATCCCCGCTCACCGGACGGTTCAGCTCGAGCTGGCTCACCGGGGCCACCGGGGCCACCGGGGTTGGATTTGCAGTGAGGGAGTGTACTGTGCCCTTGGTCCAACCCAGTGTCGCCCTTGGCGCCCTTCACACTCGCTTCCACAGCGCATGGGACCGCCGAAGTCAGTCACGGTCCTCGTCTTCGTCGTCGTCCGCGGAGTCCTTCCCGCCTCGCCGCGCCGCGCCCGGCCGACCCCACCAGCCCGCTCTGCTACCACCACTACCCCACCCCACGACCCACACTCCATCGCCGATCGAGATCAGCCCATCTCTCAGCGCGAACCCATGAACTGACTCTTGGCTTACTGCTTTCCACAGGCGAGATGTCAAACTACTCTTGTTGGGAACCGGTGAATCGGGCAAGGTGCGTCATCCTTCCCCTCTCAGCTCCGAAGGCACCGCATTGACCCGAGAGAGCGAACTCGGCTCTCCGTCGGGTTTCTTTACTGACGCTTTTGCTCATGCGAACGTTTCCCATTTCCTATAGTCGACCATCTTGAAGCAGATGCGACTGCACCATGTCGGAGGCTACACCGACGAAGAGCGTGATGGTTACAGAGAAATCGTCTACGCCAACTTGGTAAGATCGCGATCCCCGATCGACATCACCCGGACTTGTGTAGTTCGATACTGACGCACATACATATATACCTCCCACCCTCTCAGATCCAATCGATGCAAGTCGTCATCGAGGCCTTGCACGATCTCAACATGCCCCTCGCGCCTCACCTTCGCGACAAAGCGGCCTACGTCATGTCGATCCGCGTCTCGGCCCACGACCCTTGCCCGCCCATGCTCGACCGATTGGTCACCCAGGCCCTCATTGCCCTCTGGGCAGAACCGACGACCAAAGCCTGCGTCGCCAAGAGTCGCGAGTTCCAACTCAACGATTCGGCCAGCTAGTCAGTTCCGGGCTCGGTGATTGCTCGAAAACCCAGCTCTTTGGCTGACGTCCCACTCTCTTCCACGTGCTCAGCTACTTTGACTCGGCAGCTCGGATAGGCGCAGCCGACTACGTGCCGACAGATCAGGACATTCTCCGATCGCGAGTCAAGACAACCGGCTTGACCGAGGAGCGCTTCCAAGTCGGGATGTTGCAATACGTCGTCTTTGACGTTGGAGGACAACGCTCCGAGCGGAAAAAGTGGATTCATTGCTTCGAGAACGTCAACGTGCTCATCTTCCTCGTCGCCATTTCCGAATACGATCAGACGCTCTACGAGGACTCCGATATCAACCGTATGAATGAGGCCGCGGGTTTGTTCGAGTCCATTTCTAATTCGCGTTGGTTCGCCCAGTCGAGCGTGATCCTCTTTATGAACAAGACCGATTTGTTCAAGGCCAAACTCATCACCTCGCCTATCTACGAATACTACTCGGACTACGAGGGACCCAGTGATTGTGAGTGGTGCCACATGCACCGATCCGCTCTTCTAGAAAGTCGTGACTGACGGATTGGATTGTGATCGCACCCCCTCAGACCCGACCGGCTGCGCTTACATGGAGTCCAAATTCCGACCGCTCTACCGCAACGGCCACAACCGACCACTTCACGTCCACTTCACGTGCGCGACCGATACCGAGCAGTTGCGCGTCGTCTTCAATGCTGTCGAGGAGAGTATCATGGCCGCTAGCATAGCAGAATTGGTGAGGACAAGAAAGCGCAGGTTCGATCCTTTTGAGGCTCGCATGCTAATTCGTATTTCCATTTCAACAGGGTCTGCTCTGATCTGATCCCCCTTCGCCTCTTTGGTCCCGAAAAGCGTCTTTCTGCTTCATGTTCTTAAGTCTTAATTCCTAAATCCTAGCTCGTCTTGTTCAAAAACATGACGTGTGACCATGCTTGTGCCAATAGCTTTTTACCCCGCCCTGTCTCCTATCCGAAAACCAACCCTGTGTCCTCCATTTCAATATTTCGACACCGGCTCCGGCCCACCCAAACCCCCACGCTGTACATTCCTCTTCGTCTGACACTGTGTGTATCCTCCACAATCGTCCCATCGATCGAGTATTCGAACATCTTCCTCTTCCTCTCACTCGTTTTCTTCTTCCCCATGTCTGTTTTGGTATCTGAAACTCCATCTTCATCACTCGTAATCAATCACTCGTAATCAAATTAAATCGGCTCACATCGATCATCGATCGGTCTTCGTTGGAGAGAGATGAGACTTGTCTCTGGGATTTGCCCTGTCTTCTCGGGGTCTCAGCCGATTCGGCGAGAGCGAATCTCCATGGGGGATCTGATCAAACCATTTTAAGACACGTGTCTTGGAATCCGCGGTGAACGTCTTATGGAAGCACGTTGCCGTGTGGGATGTTTTAGCTCGTGCCGTTTGGGATGTTTTAGCTCGGAGGTAATTGTGAGTTCTTCTAAGGTTCAAGTCATAAATTCCAGCTGGTCTGGTTCAAAGACAGACTCTAACAAACGTTAGATCCGCTAGACCACCATGCTTACTGTGAGACGAATCTCGCTAAAAAAGTAGACCCCTGATTTGATCGGCAATCAACGCATCGGGCCATAAAAGCATGACGATAAGAGCATGCATGCCTCGGAAAGTTGAGAATGCCGTTCCTCGGCAATGCAATACCCTACTTGCCGAGTGGGCTCTCCACGTTTCCGGCTCTCGGATAGTCTAATCACCGGAACGTTCAAGTCACTTCGACTCGACTCCCCGAATGTCGTGTCGGCTCCGAGTATCTCGTCGCTTCCGAGTTGGCGATTGGCGAATAAACAGCAGCAAGCTGAGCCTCAGGAGTCGAAAGCGAAGCTCTTGGGCCCGAGCGCGATAGGCGGGGAAGGGGCCTTAGCGCGATATAGGGGGAGGACCTAAAGTGGACCGAGCTCTGTCCGTCGCACTGCTTTACTTGCTACCAGTGATCCCGAAGTTCAGCTCGACTTTGTCTCATAGAGGTACTACCACGCCGAATGGCTTTGGGGAATGAAACTATAGCGATGGAGTGCACCGTGTCCGAGTGTTGATGTAAGGGGATGCCTTACAGGAACAGCCCCATAAGCAGCCTCTGAGCAGCTAGAGCTATCGAGTTCTAGTTACGACTTGCTTTTAGCCTAGCGGTCAAGAACGATAGATTGTATTTTATGCACATCAAAGGCGCATACCTTACAGTTGACATGACCTAGGTATCTATCTGGAAGAATGTGGGGCAACTCGAAGAGCGAGTCGCTGACTGTAATCGTCCCGATTCGACTTCAAAACCGAGTAGGTACCGATGCCGAGACGCGGCCACATTGGAGAGATCGGACTCACTTTCCAGACGCGAATAGGAGACCAAGGGGCGGTTTTGAGGCATGACATTCGGCGGCGCACGGGAATTGAGGATCGAAAGCTGACTGCGTCGATTGCCTCGAGAGCTTCGTGTATTGACTCGGTTCGTCGTCTTCGCACTGAATTACCTTGTGCTTCGTCGTTTCACTTGCTCCTGACTCAGGATCTCGGAGTTCGCTTCCTGTCCGTCCACTTCACGACTGCTGCGTTCTATTCCGCCGTTCTTGTTTGTCTCCTGGTCTGTCCACTGACATCATTGCATTCGAGGTGAGCCTGTTACTATGGCCCCTGCCGCTCTGTCCAGAACGTGAGACACCTCCGAGCCGATCGCAGAGTCCGCTGCGCAAGCGCAATTCGCACTCTCGGGCTCGGCTGTCCACGTCGACGCTGATTTCGTCTCGCGCACGTGTGTGCCTACTATGTCGCGGCTAGCGCACAGTCTCCTCTTGCTCCCCATTCTCACCCAACCCCTCCTCTGTCCCGAGACGCGCCACGCCACGTCACACCACGGTTTCTCTTGAAGTACTCTTGACTTCTTGCCCTTCCTCCCTTTAACACCCTTCATAACCGAGCAATCCACCTCCCCCATCTGTGCGCTCAAAGTTTTGAATTGAGGTTGGCGCGCGCTTTCGCGACTTAGGAGACAGATCGTCGTCGGTTGCTCGGACCCTGTTCCACACCCGAGCCCCAAAATTTCACTGCGGCCAGCTCCCGCCGTACGACCTCGGCTAATCCTGGATTTAAAGTTACTTGGGGACCTCAGCCACTCTCCTTCCCTTGTATCTTGGAGAAGAGATTTTTTCCGAAAGGATGGGCTGCAACTTGTCCAAATCCGGCGGGAATGGGAACGGGAACGGGAACGGGAACGGGAACGGGAACGGGAACGGCGTTGGGATCAGCAGTGGGATCGGTAGTGGTCGACGGACGACGGACCTGAAGGTGCATCAGGCTATTGAGGCTAATCTGAGGAGGGAGAGACAGATGATGAAGTGAGTTTTGGGGTATTCGTGGAAGTGGTCGGAAGCTTGTAGATTGGTCAATGGATCTCAATCTTACGACCATCTCGTGCCTGTTTGTGCGATGCCGAGAAGGTGGAGGTGCAGCTCATGACTGGTCAGGTAGTGCATTGGTCACGGTATCGATGATGCTGACTTGTGCGCTGGTGTCCACAGCAAAGAAATCAAGTTGTTGCTCCTAGGTGCAGGTCAGTACATCTTCCTCGTCACGGACATCTTCCAGTCCTCAAAGCTTATCTCGTGTGACAACTGTATGCAGGGGAGTCGGGCAAGTCCACCGTCGTCAAAGTGAGTCGGATGTGAGACGAGATGTTTCAGATGTTGCAGAATGAGATGACGCTGATTTGTCCGTCATGTTCTCTGTACCATCAGCAAATGCGACTCATGCAAGTCTATCCTCTGGGCATTGGACTGCCGCAGCAAGAAGCTGATTACTAGCAAGAATCCTTCTCCGACACAGCTACCGAGAGACGTTCACCCCTTCCGAACGATCCGCCTTCCGAGAAGTCGTGTACACAAACACAATTCAATCCATGGAGGTAGGCAATGATTTGTCATTTCAACCATACGGTTCAGAACACCGAGACTCACGCACCCTATCTCCCCCTCAGGCCGTCCTCCACGGCTTCCAACAACTCTCTTTCGACCTTCCCCCTGAACTACAAGAGTGCTCGTCCGTAATCCTCCAACTCGACCAGGACGACGTACATTGGCAAGATGGCGATCTATACCCTTCCGTTGCTCGAGCGATCGAGACGTTGTGGTCACATCCTGCGGTGCAGCAAGTCGTCGCCTTGGGGCCGGACTATCAATTGAATGATTCGGGTTAGTGTTCTCGCACCAGTGTGGTCATGGGAATTGTGCTGACATAGTTTCGAATTTTTGACGTTTCAGCTCCGTAGTGAGTAGTCTAGGTTGACACGTCTTAGCAAGGATGCTCTGCTCACTAAAAATTCTCTCCTCCCGCCGGTCACACAGCTTTTTCGACGCTATCGGACGTATCGGGAGGCGAGGGTACGTGCCGTCGGACCAGGATATTCTACGAACGCGTGTGCGCAGCACCGGTATCGTCGAAGAGCGTTTCACTGTGAGGGTGCGTAGGAGTGCAGGGGTTTGATGGAGATATCATGAAAATAGACCTTTCAAAGCAACGCTGACCCGATTCGGACGTGGTCGGGAAACACACAGGGGTACTCACTCCGTGTCCTCGACGTCGGTGGCCAAAGGTCCGAACGTAAGAAATGGATACATTGCTTTGAAGACGTCAAAGTACTTTTATTTGTGGTCGCTATCAGCGAATATGATCAGACGTTGCGGGAGGATAACGAGGTCAATCGTATTACCGAATCGAGAACGGTTAGTTATTCTCTTCGAATATCGGGTTCCCCTGAGGGCGAGGGAGAAGGGTGCGTTACTCATGCATTCTGGCTCATCTGTGTTCAGCTGTTCGAATCCATCGTCAACTCAATCTGGTTCCGAGAATCATGCTTTGTCCTACTGTGAGCTCCTTAACCACTCCTTATCCACCAACAAGCTCCCGCTGACCCCACCTCACGAAATTCCCCGCCGCCAAAAAAGCCTCAACAAATGCGACCTCTTTGAAAGCAAGTTCAAATCCGGCACCGCACCGTTCTCCCAAGCCTTCCCCAAATACACGGGGTCCGACACCGATGTACCCGCGGCGAAGGAGTATTTGCGCAAGGTATTCATCGGGCTCGATAAGCGCAAGAATCAGCAAATTTATACACATTTCTCGACGGCGACCGGTGCGTTCGAACTCGTGTGAGGGGAGGCGTGGACAACGACTTTGGATAATGATGCTTTCTCAAAATCACAGATACTTCGCAAGTCAAGGTCGTCATGGCCGCCGTTTTCGATACGGTAGGTAACAAGGAGGTCGGCCACCAAAATTTCTATTCATAGCTGAGCCCAAGAGTTTTGCCTTCGACAGGTCTTGAACCAAACGCTTCAAGAAGTCGGCTTGCTTTGATTGTTCCCGTAGCTTTGAGTACCTAATATCTTGCGTTATTTCTGCTTCGTACAACAAATTTTGCAAAAGTACCAATAATTCTTCCGTGATGATTGTGTCGAGGTATGGGCCTCGTGTAGAATTTTTCACCACGATCTGCGGCCAAATCTATCTATCAACCGTACAGAGCTTTAGTATCTAAATGAAGTTGTTCTTCTCCAAGTACTCGACGATTTGTTTCACCCCGGCCTCGATATCCGATTCGGCCGTCTTGATGTGCAACTCCGCCTTCTCCGGTGCCTCATAAGGTGCCGAAATGCCGGTAAACTCCTTGATGATCCCCGCACGCGCCTTCTTGTACAGACCTTTGGGATCGCGTTTCTCGACTTCTTCCAAGGGGGCGTCGACGTAGACTTCGATGAAGGGGATCTTGGCTTCGTCGTGAATCGTGCGGGCCAATTGTCGGTCCGCGAGGTAGGGGGAGATGAAGGCGGTCAAGGTCGCGGTGCAGGAGGATGCGATCAACTTGGCGACCTAACGAGATTTTGTAATGGAAGATGGTCGTCAGTTAACGATGGTAGCACCAATGGACCGCCGCTATCCCCGACCACACCGAGTGGGGTCGAAAAATTCCTGAGCGAGACACTGACCTCTCCAACACGACGGATGTTCTCCTCCCGATCTTTGGGGGAGAACCCCAGGTCTTTGTTGAGTCCGAAACGAACGTTGTCGCCATCCAGGCGGAAGGCCCTCTTTTGCCGTTGCAAGAGCTCGAGCTCGAGAGCGCAGGCCAGGGTCGACTTGCCCGAGCCTGGGTTGTGGGGGAAAAGTCGCGAGGCGTCGTAGCAGGTGGGGTTTGGACGATTGAAACTCAGTATCTAGCCACAAGTAGGTAGCTCAAACACGAAGTACTCACCCGAAAGACCGGTGAACCAAATGGTGACCCCCTTTTGGGAGACGAGCTGCTCGCGCTGCTCCTGCGTCACGCCTTCATGCCAGACGATGTTCTTGGAAACGGGGACGGAGGATGACCTGCCGAACCCAAGGAATACGGTCAGCCAGAGTTGGAGGTGGGACTGTACGGGTCGGCTGGTCTGTGATCGAGCTCCGTCTCCTGGCCGTCTCTCCGTCTCTCCATCTCTCCGTCTCTCCGTGCTCCGCGATCCAGCAGCCGGCTTGCGCTTGCGCTTCGTTCGGGCACGCCATCGCCAAGAAGCGGCGCCGTCGACCTCGGCCGAGTTGAGCGCAGCGTGGAACGAGGGGCGGAAAAAGTCGTCCGGGGCGTGGCCGACAAATGCGAGTGCCTTCAAACTTACATGGTTGACTATGAGACAAGATGTGAACCCGGGATGAGTCGACGGAAGCCAAGCACGACGGCGCGAGAGAAGCGGGTCCGAATCGACAAACTGCGGAGTGCGCTTGCCTGCGAATGAGATCATGAATCGTCACGTCACGCTGCCTCCTCCACACGCGCGCCTCGGGCATCTTCTTCGGAGCCAAGCGCGTAAGGCAGGAGGTGCCACATCACTCAAGGGTCGATCTATAGTAATGCATACGAGTAAAAACAAAAAACGGCACGGGCTAAAAAAACGGGGCTACACTTACGAGCAACAAAAAAAGATTGGCCGAACAAAACAATTGGGGACTCAACACGAACAACGTAGCAGGAGAGGGAAGGTCAAATCATGTCCAAACACGCCGCCAAGAAGATTTGCGGGAGTGCGGGTCGTACATCATCTTCATGTCGCCATTGATGAAGGCGCATTGGAAATGAAACTGGCGTTGGGATAAGACGCGCCCGATCGAGAAGGCAAGGGGGATAATTGGAAAGCTGAGCCGTTCGCCGACATGGGCAGGGGTGCGGTCTAGTAAAGCCATAAAGATCGTCAGTACACATCATTCCTGTTCCTGAATTAACCCAAGCGCGACTCACCCCTACTCCAGCACCAAGGAAGCTCAACACGACGGGAAGCAACGAGTTCTGTTCCGTCATGAGGACCAACTCCTCGCCCGTCTTGGTATAAGGGCTCGCGCGCAAGTGCTCCAACGCCTCGGCCTCTTTGCTCTGAACCGTCGGTGAGCCAATGACGGGCGAACCAAGCGCCGCGACGGCAGGTGAAGAAGGTTTCTTACGAGCGTTGTCGGGGTGCAGATCCGCTTCGATCTTGTAGTGCGCCGCGTAGATCTTGCTGACCGAGTTGGACCGCACGAGCACGCCCGCATTTGTCAACGCCGCTCGGGTCGCCGATGTCGGTGTGCCTTGTCGACTTCTCGAAGCTCCTCGGTTTCGAGGGGCAGCCGTGTTGGCTCGAGGGGAAGCAGCTGAGCCAGCCGTGAGCAAAGGAAGGAGTTCATCGGGTGCGATTAGTACATCTTGAAGAGCCTGCACGGCTACCGCTTCGGCGGCCAACAGAGCGGGCGTAGGCGCGGGAGGTGCCGCCACCGCAGCGGCGATTCGTTCCCGGAGATGACGCAGCCAAGCCGTCTGCAATCCCGCGTTCAACGTCGAAAACATGTACTTGCGTTTGACGTTGAGGTGGTTCGTGAACGAGACTTGGAATTTGTGCTGCATGAACGCGCGTTCGATCGAAAAGGCCTTGTTCATGGGCAAGCCCTGGTATCGAGGCGCGTTCGCTCCCGTCTTGATCAAGACCATCGCTCGAACACCCAACGCCATTCCCGTAACACGGAACGTCTGCGTGCGCGACTTGGCGAACGACAAGATTGGCGGGTCGAACTTGAGATCCGTGCCATGCAGCTTGATGTTGAACTTGGGATCGGGCTCGGGAATCGTGATCGTTATGGGGTCGGAGGGGTCTCGATATGTCAATGAGACAGGTAATTTGGAAGGGGTCAACGTCGCTTCAACATCCGGCGTCATGCTGAAGATCGTGTTGTCCGAAGCGTGCTCGATGCGTTCCTTTCGGATGGATGCGTAGATGCGCGTCAACAGATCTTCAGGTACGAGCGAGCGAGGGTCGCTATAGCGAAAGCTGGCAATAAAGTCGTCGACCGAGAGAGACGGGTTGGGGCGCGAGAACAAGTGCCCTTCGGTCGAGTTGGCGCTGTGCAAGGCGTCGTTGAGCTTCATGATCGCGACGACGAGGTTGAACGTCAAGCTCGGGTCGAAACCCGTTGCGCCATTCACTTCCGTCCACGTCATCGCCAAAACACCCAAGACGTATTCGACGGACTGGCGACTGTGCGGCAAGCGAACGGCCATGAGGAACATGCGCAGCGCGTCGTCGATGCGAACCCCGCTGAAGCGGAAGCGCTCGATGTAAACGCGCAGGATGTGGCGGTTCTCGGCCTGCGTAAAGTATGCGCCGACCTGACTGCGGTTCAGATCGGGATTACGGTAGACTGCAGAACAAGAATAGGGCTATTGAGTATGTCCTCCAGAACCAACTTCGAAACCAGTCATGACTCACTCAGGTTCGCGATCGTCGCTGCATCGCTCGACAAGCCACCCTTCTGGATGAGTGTCGCGATGGCGCGCTTGGGATCGTTGGCGAACCGATCGACGAACTGAACCAAGAAAGGGTGACGCTTCTTTGGCGGCGCCGTATCGTCGTGGAGTTCGTCCTCAGCCTGCAACTTGAGTTGCTTGAGTTCGACGACGGACTTGACGACGAACTGGCTGGCCAAGGTCGAGGGCGTTGGCATTCCCGTCTTGGGATCATCGATAATGAGCGGCTTGGTGATCAATAGCAGGTCGGTGAAGAGGAACAGATGTCGATCTTTGACCGTGTGCGCGTTGACGACCTGCAGCACGGGGGTGTGCAAGAGCAGCTTCCTCGGAGGTTGATCGAGCGGCGTCGGCTGCTCGTCCGACATGAGGTGTTCGGTGCCTAGCAACGAGTCGAGCTTGGCGATGATGCGATTTGCGGGTAGGTCCTCTTCGTGCATAGGGGCATGACGAGCCTCAACGGTGTAAAGGGACAGCGCATCGAGCGTACTCGAACCCGATCCTTCGCGACTCATAATTGCACTCGAGTAGTCACTGCCATCCGAATGGCTCGTCCCCGGTCGTACGAGATCATCGGGCGAAGCAGAGGTCGTCACAACGAGCGGTGACGGCGTGTCCTCCTGCAAGAGCTCCAACCGCAACTTTCTTGAATTACTGGAGCGACCCGAGGTCTGTCGTCGCATCTCGGCCGAAGGGGAGGCGGGGATAAGGGCGGGGACGCCCGCGCTCTTGTACATCGCGGATTGGAACCACTGCGCCTTGCTGGCCTCGCTCGAGTCCATCCTCTCCAAAGGCGGGGTCGTCGAGGTCGGCGCTGGCGGTTGAATGCTCTGCGGCGAGAAATGGGACCCCATCGGAGAGACGGCGTCGGCGTCGGCGTCAATGATGGGCGAACCCACGGAAATGGGCAGAGGATGATACGATACGGAGAATGGCGAAGGTCGTTGGCGCTCGCGGGGAGAGACGGCGAGCTTTTCGAACAAGGCCTTGGTGCTGTCGGTCGAGTCTTCGCGATCCGGTCGTTGCCACGGTAGACTGGCACGGGGTTCCGAGGCCGTGCCCGTGCTCTGCTCGTACATATGAAATTATTCCCGTTAGTACGCAACTCTTGCGAAGGCGTAACAGAGCTTCGCGAGACTTACAGATGCCGTAGGGCTCGGGAACTGATAATTCTCCTCCGGCGGCAGGAAAGCACCATTCTTGCTCCTCGTCATCCCGGCCTGCCTCTTGCTCTCAATCCTGGCCGTCATCCTCTTCTCCTTGAGGACCCAATCCGGACTATCGCCTTCCTCTTCAAGGTGCTCGGCTTCGTTGGTCGTAATTCCAGGTCCCTTCATGATGGATGCGATCGAGGGTGGGACGCCCGAGGGCGATGCCTCGGCGTTCACGACGTTCTTCTCGTTACTACTGCTGACGCTACTGCCCTGCCGACTCGACGGCCTAGTCAAACCAGGCTCCTGCGTCCCGGCAAGCGGTGAAAGGCTCGGCAAGTAGTCCGTCAACTTCGCCGGCGATTCGTGCGGTATCACAAAGCTGTCATTGCGCATTGGCAAGATCGACCCCGCGTTGCTGGTTCGTTCTGGCAGCTCCCTCACACCTCGAGTCAAAAAAGCGACGCTCGAAGAAGCCGACGAGCCGCGGCGTCGTACCTCGTCTTCAGAGTCGTCGTTCGCGGTGTTGAAGGGTTGGATCAGGCTGAAGCCAGGTGCGCCGGTGGGCGCTGCTGCCGCCGCCGTCGCGTGGAGACTCGATTGGTGAGGCGCGTGTCGCGATGGGCCTGGAACGAGGTGCTGTGGGATGGAACTGCGCCGCGGAGTCTGGGTATTCCGAGGCGACGAAACCGCGATCGGGAAGTTCTTGCGCTGATATGCTTGCGCCTGTTGACTTTGCGAATACTCGAACCCGTTCCCATCATAAGAGACCTCCGAGGAAATGGCGGAGTCGTCGCTGAACTTGCGCGCCTCGGAATCTTTGCGAGCGATCAATGATGCCGTTGGTGACGGTCCCCTCTGCTCACCCTGGTCTCGTTCGCTTTCCCTAATGGCAGCAACGTTGCTACTCGATAGTCGATTACCTTTGAATTGAGGTGGAGCTTCGTACGGAGGTCGCGGAGTGAGAATATCGTATTCTTCCGGCATACGGGGTGTCGCATCCTCGACCTGGTAGACATCAGGATGCCGCACATGCGGTCCTGCTTGGTCGATCTCGTACACGGTCTGGTATTGCGATCGAAATGCCGCCACATGCTCCGACACGTCACCAAAACCCCGTGAAAGCGTCTGTCCATGAAGCGAGTGCAGATTCGCTTCGTCGAAATCGTGAATATCGCCCCGGTCGCCTCCCCCTTCGGCCCAGGTTTCTCGACTCCAATCCTCCGGCCATCGAAGGGGAGCATCCTCCACTTGCACTGGTATGGGTTCAGGTCGATGACTCTGGTACAAAGGTGTCGCGGCTGGGACTTGGACGAGCAGAGGGGACCGATTGGACCCGTTTGCACGGCCGCGTTCCGAAGCAGCACTCGCACTCCGCGCTCGAAGTCCAACCACCGTCGCCTGGGGCAATTTGCTAGCGAACTGCTCGACAGCCGCGTCATCGACGTGGGCAGCGGCTACTCTGTCAGTCTGCGACGGGGAGGCCAGTTTCCTCGACGAAAGCTTGCGCATGAGATTGATCCTTGCCGCAGCGCGGTTCGAGTCGAGCGCGACATCGTCCTCGAGCGAGGCCGTCGTCGCAGCACGCGAAGAGGAAGGCGCAGCCGTGCTTCGCCCGAAACCGGATCGAGTGGAGGCTGAAGCCGACCGAAGCACCGCTGGCCGGGTCGAGCCACGGAGATCGTGCGGCACCGATGAATCGACCGACATGCCCAATCCGATGCCAAGATTCTGCGTCGAGCCGCCGACGCCGGTCACGGTGTGGTTCCTTCTCAGCGAGGGCGGCATCGTCGGACTCGACGCGTTCGGCGAAGTCGAGTTCGGGGGTGATCCGTCGTCGTTGACGAGTCGAGCGCGAGCACGTTCCCTCAGCGCATCGAGGCTGGGGAGGGGTGCATTGATGGGGAACGGAGCGGCATGATAGTGCGAGGGCACGGGTGGGGGTGCGGTGCCCGTCAATTTGGCCATGGCTATTGACCGAGCGAGTAGCGAGGCGGTCCGTTCCAGGGAAGCGGCGTGGACGAGAGGAACATCCTCGGACGCGGTATGACGATGCATACTCCCCAGTACGGGAGTCAAATAGGTCGAGTCAGTAGGGCTGTCGAAATGTGCGTCCGACATGGAGGGTGAGCTCAAAGGCGAAGGTGATTCACGAGTCGAAGCAGCTCGTCTCAGTCTTGCGATCGCAGCACTCCGTGAAGACGTTGGTGATGACGAAGGGGAGGCTTGGGCCGATGACCCCGACGACATGGCCGGGGAGGTGCCCGAAGGCGGCAGACTGGACCCGAGTTGACGGTCAGGAGGCCGATACGGTGTCGAGGGGTCCATGGGCACGACGTGACCCAGTCACCCGTGGAGCGAGCGCGCCTGCGTGTGGAAGGACAATATATCTTGATTAGCTCAAGAATGGTTCACGTTCTACGTGTTGTTGGGTTGTGTTCTGGTTGGTTATGCCGACTCGACCTAATGAGCCAGTCGTGGTCGCGTCGGTAGGCCGGACTGGACGGAGAGCGCGTGGATCGATGGGCCAACCGTCACCGATCGGGCGGCTGAAAGCTGAACGTTGAACGCCGAGACCAGCCGTCGCGCCAGGACCAGCGAGCGATCCCCACCATGCCCCTAGAATTCGTCCTGGTAATTTCCGATGAGACGCAGCGTTGAGAGGGTGTGTGAATGCGCAGAGCAGAGTTCCGCCTCGAGGCCGCTTCCGGATTGCAGTCAGGTCGAAGTCGACGCGCCGCGTAGACCGCTTCGCTCGAGGAGCACCAGTACGATGCGCCAAACACCCATACGAACAGGTCGATACGATCGTGACAAGACTGGCTCCAAGGTAAGTCCACATCCAGTTGGTTCCAAGGCGATGCTGAGCCCAAGGTGGAGGTCGAGGTCGAGGTCGGCGTCGGGATCGGAAGCTGAAGTGGGCTGGCGGACTTACAGAGACACAGACACGAACACACACCTATACACGCACGCGCTCACGCACTCCACAATCACCGATCCAAGCCGGAGACTATTGAGTTCGGTGCTGGGAGAGAGCGATGCACACACACACACACACACACAAGTTCAGTCGGCGATCGGGGATGGAGACTCCGGGAAGACAACGGTCGCTTGCACGGAGACTCGCGAGAGCCCACGCGTGCGCGCCGCGGAATCCAGGCGGAATCTCGGTTTGATCGCTCGACGACGATGAGCGGCGCTATTGGCAGAGTCTAGATCGACCGACGTGGTGGCCGCCACGATCGAGCGATGAAACTGAGAGGTCAACAAGACCTACAGCAGCGTAAAACCGGGATCTAAGAAGAAACAGCCTCGACATTGACTCCGCATCACAGTTGTCGAGTAGTCGCAAGTGCCAACCGGATTCAATGCTGCTTTCGAACCACTAGGGTAGCAGTGTCCTCTACAGGAGGTGCACGTTCACCAGTTAGAAACGTGACTTTCGACAAAGCCCCTGAGCCGCAAAAAAGCGCGGCTGACCGTGTTGGCACTTCACACGCCGTCGTTTGAACGAGCTTGTTCAAAAGTATAGGCCTCGTTCGAAAGAGAGAAGTGATTAGAGCCCACATCGAAATGGTATATTCTTGCAAAGTGTAATTTGTGGAATCCACGGCCAGTGACTCGGAGAATCGCTTCCTGGTCGGAAATCAATGAGCGCATTTACTCAGACCGGCGCGTGATTGCACAAAATGTCGAAGGTCAAGGTAGCAGGTTCCATTGCGCGATTAGCAGGTTCCATCCCGATCTGAAGAAGCTAGCTGTACTTCGAAAGGAACTGTTGCATTGCAGAACATTCGAAACCGATCGTCGCGTAATTTCGCCATCCGAGCCCGAAACGCCAAGTTGATCATGTCCTCGCTTACGAGTGTGCTTGCCGGTGAGATCTTTGCCAATGAGGAGGCACATGGCCACTGCATGATGGAAGGGGGCTCCGATCGCCATTCAGGGATGAAGTAGAGGAGTTTTTGACTGGTTATAGTGAGGGGTCGGAGGAGCACAAGTTGAAAGTGCAAGGTTCACTATCTATCAGCTGCAGTGGATGCAGTGAGGGGCCCGGGATTCAAGACAAATAAGACGGTGGCTTGTGATGCCTAGAGTCTGAAGAGCTTACTTGAATGGAGAGTGATATCTTTGCTAGCAGCATCAGGAACCAGCACGGCGCCGACGAGGTGAAGAAGAAAGCTGGATCGACTCGCAGAGGCCAGAAATTGGGAGGAGAATGAGATGAACGACCTCATCCTCCGGTTCGGATCCGGATCAGAGAAGATGGTGGGGTTCTCACACTTGAAGCCAAGGTGATGGAAGCGCATGATCAGGGTCACGGCCAGCAAATACATCTCGACTTGAGGAGAGGCACACCGCTCTGTAAAGTGTCCAAGCGGCCCTACTATTTCGAGTTGATGTGGATGCACCAGCACGTGCAAGACGAGGGGACGCGAGTGGGAACGCGAGTGGGAACGCGAGTGGGGATGCCAGGGCAGGGAAGTGGCGGAGGTCGGGCGCACATCGAGTGCGATTGAGCGCAAACCTCCAACGCGAGGGACGCGCCAAGAGTCCGAGGCAGCCAAATTCAGGAGCATTTTCTGAGGGTCTCCTGTGGCATGGCGATGAGGTCAACTTGATGTTCCTCAAAAGGGGTCCCCGCGAACAGCTTTGCACAGTATTTGGCGAGTAAACTGGAAAAACCCAAGCCTACTTCGCTCTTAGCCACGAACCTTGACCCGTCTGTTCGAGACACGACCACTTGAGACCCGGGTGCAGTGACTGCGTATGCGGAGATTTATCTTTGAAAATCAGGCAATAGGTTCAGATGCAGAGAGGATGACAGGTCTTACGCAGGAAGAGAAATATGAAAAAGCGGAAAATTATCGATATGAAGCTCGTCTGTTCTACTGTCGACTCAGGTCGGGAACGCCAAGTCCGCATGCATCGCGCCTAACTCGGAGGAGTCGCGCTTGTGAACCGGAATACCGGCGTGTGAGGTTCTTCTCACGCACGAGCGCCTGGTTGGTAACACAAGAAACCTCGTGCAAGAAATTTACGAAAAAAATGAAAGAAGAAACATACCACTGTCACTAGTATGAGGTAGTCCACGAGGATGAGGAAGATAGCCGCCGCGCTCAACACCGCCGAGCCCGACCCATCGAGTGCCCAGACTCTCGGTCATCCTCCCTCATCCAGCCCAGATGTGCCGCTCACTGATAATCTTGCTGGTAAGAGCACTTAAAACCACTGCATAAGAGAAACCGGTTCCAATGGCGCGTTGCGGGAGGCATCGGAGGAGCGGTTGACTGGACGCACGACTGAACAAAACGGTTTAGAGTTCATGATCAGCCGAGAGCGTGTGGGCTTGGGGGTACCATGGCAGATAAGATGGTGGATTCTCATACTGAGTGAGAAGAGTTACCGGAACACAGAGGTGGGATACACAGCCGCGGCGACGTGAGAACGGACCTCCAGTGTGGCCACGCGTCCATGTTGGATCGTCACAAGTCGAAATATTTCCTGAGGTCCGAACCTCCAGAGTGATCATGCCATGCGGAGAGGACTTTCAACTGTGGGGTACAATAGTAAGGTCACAGCATCGCAAAACCCATGCCAGGTCTTATTCTTTCCTTCGACTCTCGCCCTTCTTTCCCGATCCAGACGACACCCTCCGAACCGAAGCGGCGACTGCGCATCGGTTTTTGCGACGGTATCACCGAGCAACGGCTCGTGGCATGGAGAGAACATAACCTCAGCTTCCCTACCCTGTTGAGCCAAGATTGGTTGGTGAGTGTCCAGAGTGGATGAGAGCGTGGTAGAGCCCACGGAAAACGCGCAAAATAGGCAGCTTTCGTTTTTTGCGATCCTTCGGTACAAGGGCTGGAGGCCGCCTTGTTTTTTAGAACTTGTTCATATTGCCCCCGGTTCATGTTCCCCCTATTTGGCCTACGACAAATCGGGATGCAAGCCGCTTTTTTTTATTTTTTTGGTAGAAACTGTTCATCATATTGCCCCCAAGTCCTGTTCCCCCCGATTGGCCTACGGAAAAACTAGATGGAAGTCGACGATGATAACACAAACCGCCCGCAAGATGCGAGAAACGGGCCAAGTCCACCAATCCGATACTTGGGATTCAAGTGCACCAGCCAAGCGGTTGCTCCCCCCCAGGAGACTAATGAGAGAGAGAAGGAGAGAGAGAGAGAAAGAGAAAGAGTAATAAAACGATTTACTAACGACAAGAGGCCCACCCCGCACCCACTTCCCAACTCGGTCGAGATAAAGACAGGAGAGTAATTGCGCAGCTACCCTGACCCGCGAAGCCCCAAGTCTATGCTCGGTCACAACAAGACGCGGTGGAGGCCCCTCAAAACCTCCACCTCAGCAGTCCCTGGCCCCTCAAAGCCGACTTTCTGCCTGTGTCTGCTGATCCCTCCCTTAAACTCAGAACCCCGAAGCCAAAGAGCGCGAGCCACCGTCGAGTCAATCCCAAAACGCGAGCCGGTCCATGAGCAACGGAGGCAGACCTGTAATAAAAGAAAGATGAAGAAAAGATATTTAGTATACAGTTTTTGTATGAGGATGTGCCATGTGAGGTGTGTGTGTGTGTGGAGTGGGGTGGGGGGAAATCGAACCCAGCCTCTACTGCCCTCGCCCGCCTCTTGCTCCTCCCGCCCTCAACTTCATCCTCTCCTCCAGTACCACCCTCCTCCTCTCCACGCTTTCCATCCTCGTCCCGTGCTTCTGCATCCTCCATCTCCCACTGCTGATCATCTCCAAAACCATCCCCGTGAAGATCTCGATCGTCCTGCCCGCGCCTTCCTGTGCGCTGAGCTTGGCCTTGAGCTTGGGGAGGCCAAAGAGTCGTTGAAGCGTCGTGTACTCGGCGCCCTCGATCGTGTCGCATCCGAGCGCGTCGCAGAGCACGCCCCTCGCCGCGATCCAGACGTTTCGCGAGTCGAAGCAGCCGAAGAAGTAGTGATCGGTGTCGTCCACCGGCGCTTCGCAGACGAGGCACGCGAGAGAAGTGTCGTGCTTTTGCTCGTGCTGGAGCTTGCGCGTCGGGGTGAAGCGGAGGATCAGCTTGAACCAAACTTCCCTCTCCCTCGCCGTCAGTGCCTTCGAGTTGACTGCCTTCCAGAAGCTCCTGAGGTCGTCCGGCTGCGGTGGTCCCTTTAGCCCGAGCGTGTTGGTAAATGCCTTCGCGTTCAGGACCCGGCGGATGCGACGGACTGTGTAGGGGCGAGCCATGTTCAGCAGCGTATACTGGCTCGCCTGTTGTGGAAGCACCGGGTCCGGAAGGCGCTGCTCCATTGCGAAGCGGGCCACGGGCTTGGGGATGATCGCCTCGAGCGGTGCGCTGGTGCCGATCCGGGGAGGCACGTTGAGTCGTCCCGCCGCCACCGCCGCCGCCAAGGGGGTGTTCTTGTGTCGATCGACAGTGAACCGGTACCAGGCCGCGATTGCCAGTCGCTGCGGGAGCCCGCGTCGATCGTATTCGCTGTTGTCGCCGAGCACATTCGCCGGCGGCGTCCAGAGGTGAAACCCCCCACCCGCATACAACTCGCGTCGATAGAGATCCGCCACCTTCGGGTAGCCCTGGAGACGAAGGTAGTCAGGTACATGAACCGCGTCGATGGTCTGTCTCCCTCTGATGGGGGTGTGGAGGCTGCCGAGCAGGGTGGGCAGCGCGAGCAGGTTCGCGGTGGTCAAGGCCCTCGGGTTGACCTGCGCGTCGTGAAGTTTCGGAACGCCCAGTGCGGCGTGCCATCGGGGATGAAGGTCGTTGGAGATGGGAGTGGATGGATGTGGCCAGAGATCGGTGGCCAGGTCGAGGTCGGGCTGAGCTCGCTGGAGTGCTGCGCGCGCAAATCCTTGCCAAATCGCGCCGGAACCGCCGAGAAGAACGTCCCAGAGCCGTGCCGCAACCGCGTCCACAACGTCCCGCATCCTTGTCACCCCGAGTCCCCCCTTGTTCTTGGCGGTGAACACAATGTCTCTGCCGTAGCTGGTCCTGCCCTTGCCCCCACGGACGAAATCGACGAGCATGTCATCGAGCTTCTTGACGACTTCGGGCGGCGGGATGTCGGCTGCAAGGAAATGCAGGATCTTGGGAATGGCGTACCGATTGACGTAAAAGGCACGGGTGTGGTGCGTGAGCCAGCGATGCTGAACCGCTTCCAGCGTCGCCTCGAGCCGTTCGATGAGATTCGCGTAGGCGAGTTCGGTGTCGCCGCTGGGGTCGAAGGGGAGGCCGATCCACTCGAGCGACTCGCCTGCGGCCTTGACGACGATTGACCGTTCCCCAGGGTCCCAGCGACGTCCAATCGGTAGGACGACCGTCTTGTCCGTGTTGAGCCGGCCATTCGTTGCATGCCTCCAGTCGAGCGCCAGGTCGTCGAGCAAGTTGAGTGACTCCGAGCCCGCGACGGCGACGACGACGTCATCGGCAAATGCAAGTGATGTAATGGCGCGGCTCTGTGGGTACGGATGAAGTGCAGGTATGGAGAGATTCAGCGCGATGTTTCGACGGTGTAGAGCATCCAGGAACGGCTGAAACACGATGTCCCAGACCGACGATGACGCCGGGTCCCCTTGGCCGAGCCCACACGTCAGTCGCACCGGCGCCGTCAGGAACCCATTGATGATGTAGCGCGCCGAGGTCGAGTCACCCGAGTAGAGCATCCTCAGCACGCGAAGAAAGGTGGTAGGAGCGCCCAGAGCGTCGAAGATGGCAAAGATCCAGTCATGCTCGACGAGGTCGTAGGCGGATGATTGGTCAAGAGACAAGAGCGCGGCCGCGGGGAACTCGGTCCTGCGCGCGCCAAGTTCCTCGATCAGGAGACGAAGGTGTAGTGCAGCGTCGGCCGATCGGCGGTCCTTGACGAAGCCGTGCTGCTGCGGCGGGAGGAGATCGGGCAGAATTTGGTTCAATCGGGCGACGTAGACCTTGGTAAAAATCTTGTAATCGCACTCGCGCAGGGTGATGGGGCGATACGACAAGAGTTCGGCGCGATCGGCATTCTTCTTGTGGCGCTTGAAGATGAGGCGCACGAGTCCCTGGCCCTGCTTGGGAGAGAGTGAACCGCGCTCGATCATCGCGTTGTAGGCCTTGGTCAGCACCTTGGACCACGCCTCCGGTGCGGTCTGATAGAGTTCGTAAGGCACGCCCGACGGGCCCGGCGATCGCCCCGGGTGCGTCGTCCCGATCGCGGCCACGACCTCGTCCTCGGTGATGGGTTGCTGGAGGAGATCAATCTGCGCTTCCGAGAGTCGGCGCAGAAAGAGCGGATCTGAGCGCGGGTCGTCGCAAGTCCGTGCCGCCCTGATCGGCACGAGGAGTTCGTCCCGAAGTCGGTCGACGCGTTCCGGATCACGAGGCTCGATGTGGTAGAGGCGCTGGAAATGCGCCTGCGTGTGGTCAAGAGCGACATCAATGTCATGCGTTAGCTCTCCGTTGCCCAAGCGCAGTGCTGTGATCTTGGAGTCCGAGTTCCGCGCCGCGAGCTTGGCGTGGACCGGCCGCGACAGTCGTTCCTCGGAAGCGATCTCGGGGACGTGGGCTCGGATCCGGAGTAGGCGCGCGCGCTCCTCGACCGCCCGCTTGAGTTCCTCGGACGTCCTTGTCCATTCTGCCGTTTCCGCCTCCCCCCATACCGGTAACGCCTCCAGATCCTGCACCCTCCCCACCAAATACTCCATCCGTTCCGTCCGCTCCCGATGCAGCCTCCTCGCCATCTCCCCACCCCTGTCCCTGCACGCCTCCAGAACCTCCTCAAGCTCTCGCACCGGATCCTCCCCGCTTGCCCCTTCCAACCATCCTTCCATCATCCGCTGAAATTCCACCGTCTTGAAGGTTGTGGTATTGATTCGATGTAGTTGGTTGGATGTGGTAGGTAGGCTGAGCTGTGGGAGAGCCGCATCAAGATCGTCTGAGAGAGCCAGCACAATCAAGACCGGTCGGTGATCAGAAAGATCCTTGGGATAGTCGTAGATCGTCGAGGCCTGGTCGAGCCTTTTTTGGTGAGCTCTCTGTAGGAGAAAGTAGTCAAGCCGGGAGAAGGAGTTGGGTCGCTTGCGATTGGGATTAGGTCGAGTGAAAGATGGGGTGATGGGGTGCTTGTAGCGGATGCAGTCCGTGTAGGCCGAGTCAAGCTTGCCCATCAGAATCGGCCAGTGGTGGCCGCGCCGACTTTGGTTCCGCCGATCGACTTCTGGGCGCGGGCAGTCGTTGAGATCGCCGCCAAGGAGTCGGAGGTGGGATTTCTGTGTTTTGTGGAGGATCAGTTTGTCGAAGAATTTTGCTCGTTGTTTTGGGGCAACGGGCGCGTAAAGGTTGTTGATTTCTAGAATTTTGATGTCACCCCGCAGACGAAAGGAGGTGACGAGGAGCCGGCCGTCGAGTGCCGAGTGGGTGCGCAAGAGCTCGGCGTCGATCAGGGGCGAGTCGGCCGGGATCAGGGTCAGGCAGTGCTGGTTGATGAAGAGCTTGCCCTCGTACTCGTCCTTGATGAACTGCCAGAATTGTGGTCTGATGAAATGCTCTTGTAAGAGAATCGCGGAAGCTTTGAATGTGGAAAGGTAGGTGTAGATATGACGTCGTTTTTCCGGGACCCCCATGCCCCTTCTTACGTTCCAGGTGATGATGGTGTGCTTGATCATTAATGGGTAGTCGAGGTCGAGGCGCTCTTGGCGGTGGTGACGTCCTCAAAGAGGGGAAGGGCGGGCAGGACATCGTCCTCGGGCTCGTGGTCGGACCATCGTTTTTCCTCAGCTACCCCTCTTCCTTTCCCTCTGTCCACCTTCGTCACCTCGACCTGCATCGCCGCTGCCGCCGACATCGACCTCGTCACCCTCCGCCCCTCTATTCCATCCTTCACCACGACGCGGCTCTTCCCTTTGATGATGACTCGCTTGGCGTCGGTCGGTTCGTCACTTGGGTCACTGAGGTCCGCAGCAGTCTGCGACCTCTTCATCACCTGCTTCTTGAACTTCGCAGCGGTCCCCCTGACGTTGATGGAGCGTATCTCACCGTCCTCGTCCCACGTGGCAAAGTTGTGACGCACCAAAGGGGTTTCAGCGTTGAGCCTCCTCTCGATGCTTTGGTCCCGCTCAAGTCGTGCCTGCTCAACCCAGTTAGCTCTGATCCTGTCCCACTCCTCCCCCTCGCGTAGCGACTTGGCGAGAGTTTCGGGTGACAGAGGTGGGGTTGGTTCGTGCGGCGTCGATTCGCGGGAAGCGGTGGCGGCGGTTGCTGTGGCGTCGCTGTCGTCGTCGTTGTCCAGCCTGTTCGTTTCCCCTAAGTCCGTCGCTTCCGCATTCTCCGCTTTCGTCGATCCCCTCGCTTCGTCCACATCGCCCACCTCCGTCGCCACCTCCTCTTCCTCCATTTCCGTAGCCACCTCTCCTTCCGTTTCACCTCTTTCATCCACCATCACCTCATTCTCATCAATCACCTCTCCATCGGATCCGCTGCAGTCCTCCAAGACCGACTCGTCCTCGCTTTCAATTTTGATGACCTCCGTTTTCGCGGCCGCCTCCGATTCCATCTCCGAGTCCTCCGAGTCCTCGTCATCCGCCTTATCACCAGCGTCTTCCTCCCCCGATTCCTCCGGTCCCTGTTCGCCCTGGCCAGTTACCTCTTCCTCCTGTCCCTCCTCGACCTCGAGCCCGGCGAAGTGATTCTGTGATGCGATCCTGTTAACAACCAGCACAGGAGTGGGGGCCTCGGCCTCCGCGATGTTGGTGTTGTGGGTGATGGTGTTTTTGTTGCTGTTGATGATGCCGTTGTGAGCCTCCTTCCGCTTCCTCTCCTGATCCAGTCCGCAGGTTCCCACGTGACCCACAAAGTGGCACCTACCGCAAGCCGCCTCCTTCTCATAGTCATGGCGAAGGGCGGTAACCGGGATGCCTCGAGTGGGAAGGTCGATCCTCGAAGGTAGAATCTCCTTCAAGGTCGTGTTGGGGCGTTGGAATAGGGAGTCGTCATCGAAGTGTAGGAAAGCCGAGTAGTCTCCGGCAACGTGGGCGAAGGCCGAGGCGTTGTCCACGCTGATAACGCGCAGAACCTGCACAAGTTGGCATGAATGTCCCTTGCCTGACAGGTCTTGCACAAGTGATTGGAACGATTTGATGATGGCATCCATGGAGGGCACTCCTTGAACACCGACGTTGATTCGAAGCTCGACCATGTTATGGTGGAACCTGTGAGACTTCGCGAAGCGGGCCTTCGCCGATCGCCAAGTGAGAGCGGGGGGCGTCGTGAGCGCCGCGTCACGTGCCTCGCCGGTGACGAACCCAACCGTAACGCGATGGTGAGCCGCCCCATTACGCAGGATTGATGAATGTTGTACGCCTAAGATCTGTGGTTGATAAGCCGCAAGATGGTCCGGCAGAGGAACTCCAGGCTCAAAGCAGATAGGAGAGATGGGCGATAGCAGCCTCGTGACGCAGGCCACGAGATCGATCTTGTCGGCATGAGTCGCTCGCGAGGCGCTCTGGTGAGACAGAGTCACTTCAAGGGCGTAATCGAAGATGTTCTCGACGGACCGGTTCGCGTTCAAGGCCGAAAATTTCAGCGATGTGGCGGTGGCGACGGGGTAGAGTTCGGCGAAGTAGATGGCCTGGACCCAGCGATCCATGCGGTTTCCGGGTACAGCACCCATGGCTTGTAGGAGGCTGCCCAGAGCCTTGGCACGCTGTTGTTGTTGTTGCTGTTGTTCAGGTGTTTGAGTCGCCATCTGACTCGCAGCGGCAGCATAGTTGGGTGCGGCGGTGGCGGGGCCCGTGACTTGCGTCTTCTTCGAGCTTATCGGGATCCGGTCGCGGGGGGCCTGGACGCTGGTGGCGGATACCGGTGGTGGCGGTGCCGGCAGTGGGGACCCAGGGTCTCCGGTAGACATCTTGTCGGTGTATCACTTGTTAACTCGAGTATCGAAGGCTGCAGTAGGGCGATAGTGAAGTGAAGTGAAGTGAAGTGAAGTGAAGTGAAGTGAAGTGAAGTGAAGTGAAGTGAAGTGAAGTGAAGTGAAGTGAAGTGAAGTGAAGTGAAGTGAAGCGCTTTTTTTTTTTTTTTTTGTAGAAAACGTTCATCATATTGCCCCCAATTCCTGTTCCCCCTGTTTCGGCCTACGGAAAAACTAGATGGAAGACTACGATGATAACACAAACCGCCCGCAAAAGTGCGAGAAACGAGCCAAGTCCACCAATCCGAGATTCGGATTCAAATGCCCTAGCCAAGCGGTTGCTCCCCCCCAGGAGACGAATGAGAGAGAGAAAGAGAGATGAAGAGAAAGAGAAAGAGAAAGAAAAGAAATGTACTAACGACAGAAGGCCCACCCCACAGCCACTTCCCACTCGGTCGAGACGAAGACAAGAGCACGACTGCGCAACCACCACGACCCTCGACGCTCCAAGTCTCTGCTCAGTCACAACAAGACGCGGTGAAGGTCCCTCAAAACCTCCCCCTCGGCAGTCCCTGGCCCCTCAAAGCCGACTTTCTGCCTGTGTCCGCTGATCCCTCCCTTGACTCAGAACCCCGAAGCCGAAGAGCGCGAGCCACACCGAGTCGACGCCAAATCGCGAGATGGTCCATGATCCGCAACGGTGAACCTGTAACAAAAGAAAGAGGAAAGCGAGCTATTTAGTGTACAGTAGGAGAAAATGATGTCACGAGAATTTGGTGTGTGTGTGTGTGGTGGTGGGGGGAAAGTCGAACCCAGCCTCTACTGCCCTCTCCTCCCCCAAGCTCCTCCCGCCCTCAGCTTCAACCTCTCCTCCAAGATGATCCTCCTCCTCCCAACACCCTCCAGCCTCGTCCCCCACTTCTGCATCCCCCACCTCCCGCTGCTGATCATCTCCAAGACCAGCCCGGTCAATATTTCGATCGTCCTCCCCGCTCCTTCCTGATCGCGCAGACTGGCCTTGAGCTTCGGAAGTCCGAACATGCGTTGAACGGCCGTGTAATGCGTGTTGTCGATCGTGTCGAGCCCCAGTGCGTCGCAGAGCACGCCCCTTGCCGCGATCCAAACGTTCCTAGAGTCAACGCAGTCGAAGAAGTAGTGCTCCCGATCGTCCTTGGGCGCTCCACAGACGAGGCACGCGGGCGAGTCGTCGTGCTTTTGATGAAACTGCAGACTCCGAGTCGGGGTGAAGTTCCTGACGAGCTTGAACCACACCTCGCGTTCCCTCGCCGTCAATGCCTTCGAGTTGACCCCCTTCCAGAATCCCTTGAGATCGTCGGGCTGCAGCGAGTCCCTGAAACCGATCGTGTCGGTGAAGGCCTTTGCATTCAAGACTCGGCGGACGCGACGGATGGTGTATGGCCGATCCATGCTGAGCAAGTTGTATTGTGTTGATTGGTCTGGGAGAGCCGGTCTCGGAAGGCGCTGCGGCGGGTCGATCGGATGGGGCAGGATCGACTCGAGCGGCGTGGTGGGGCGGACTCGGGGAGGCCCGTTGATTCGTACTGCCGCCACCGGTTGAGCTATTGGTGTGAACCTCAATCGATTGATCGCATGTCGGTACCATGCCACGATGTGCTCTCGTTGTGGGCGGCCCCGTTGATCGTATTCGCTGTTGCTGACGACCACATCCGTCGGCGGCGTCCAGAGATGAAAGCCCCCGCCCGGGTACAGCTCGCGTCGAAACAGGTCCGCTACCTTGGCGTAAATGGCAAACGCAGCATAGTCGGCGTCGTAGGGTGGTCGCGACACAGCTGGTGCTCCCGGTAGGTAGTGAAGGGTGTGCAACTTGATCGGAAGAGCGAGAAGGTTCGCGAGCGTCAACGTCCTCGGCTTGACTTGCGCATTGTGCGTCGATGGTACCTTCAGCACGGCCTGCCATCTTGGGTGTAGATCGGTTCGGATCGGAGTGTAGTCGCAAGGCCACGCATCGGTTGCCAAGTCAAAGTCGGGGGCGGGATGGGCTCGTACAATCGCCGCGCGCGCAAGTCCCTGCCAGATCGCATCCGAACCGCCAAGAAGCACGTCCCAGACGCGTGCCGCAACCGAGTCGACGACGTCCTGCATCCGCATGACCCCAAGACCCCCCTTGAACCTCGGTGTGAAGACGACGTCCTTGCCATAGCACGACCTCCTCTTGCCGCCGCGGACAAAGTCGGCGAGAATGCGATCAAGCTCCTTGACGACCTCGAGCGGTGGGATGTCGGCGGAGAGGATGTGCAGAATCTTGGGAATGGCGTATCGGTTGACGTAGAACGCTCGGGTGTGGTGTGTGAGCCCTCGGTCCCGCTTTTGAGGCGCAAATTGCATAGCAATTTATGTATTACATAACCGCACTGTCAGTGCTCGTTTGCCCCGCTAGCTCAATTGGTTAGAGCATGCGACTTTTACGTTGCTCCAAAAACATCGCAAGGTTGCGAGTTCGACCCTCGCGCGGGGCTGCCCAATTTCTTTTTGGGCAGCTGTAATCGCTGGTGACTGGTCACCTGCCAACGTTAGTGACCCACCTGCAAAGATTCTTATTTTGGTTTTGGTTGGACCAAACCCGGTGAGTTAAGGCACTCTTTCGGTCTGCTTTGCATCGGGTCATCACTTAACGAGCTCGAAGTGCCAGGCGAACGCCTGTCCAAAAAGAGAGGGGCCAGGTTCTAACCATCTCGAGTCTGTCCCGATTGCGTGCACAGGTGCCGAGCAGCAGAGAGCTAGATCCTCTTGAAACTACGAAAAGCATAACGCACCACCTCGACCGCCACAATCTCCCTGGAATTAGGAAAGGTCTCAATATCGTGAATGAGAACGCGATCTGGCCGGGTCACGAAGTTGACGCTCCTATGCTTCGGGTTTGACGACAATTCAGCGCTGTGCATCACAATTTTGGAAGGAGACAACTGGAACTACGCGCGCAGCAAAGGTCCCTTATCTTTCCACCCCTAAAGCAGTCTGCAGAGTGCTTGGAAAAGCTTGCTTCAGACAGGGTGGGGCCGCTCGACTGGGCGCATCATTAGATCCCTACGCTCTATTTCAGCCATGGGGTTTCTGCGCGAAGATTTTCAGAGTGCTCTAGCAGCTCGCGGCGCCAACGAAATATCCTGGGAACGTGTAGGGCGATCGGGGATCTGAAATATCCGGGTTCGTGTAGGAGGCACGAGAAGCCGAAGATGGGAAGGACGAGTTGGAGAGGACGTAAACTGAGTGCCACTCCGTCGACTCAGCTCGCGGTGTCGGCTATCAATAACGTGATCGGTTGATGAGCATATCATGATCAGATGAGGAGATGGGGGGGCCAAAAGCGAGTTCGGGAAGGATGGACCAAAGCTCTTGATTGTGAAGTAGTGCAAGTGCAGGCCGGGGCAGTGTGGGGGTGGGGGATCGGTCGATTAGCTCGGCAACAGTCAGTCGGAAAAGGGAGGCATGACAGCGCGAACGATCCACGCACTTCAAAGATGAAAGGTATTGGAAACGGGCAAACCATTGCATCTGAGCATTCGAGACCTGAATAGGAGCCAGTTGCGTTTTGAAATAATGAGGCCCGCCGCGAGAGTCCTCGCCGCCGGACGCCGATAGTCACGGTGTCAACGCGACCCCGGGCCGTCGCTACCTTGAAGGTTCAATTTGATCTATGACCGAAGTTGTGACAGGGTTTTTGGGAAGGAAGAGCTCTGTCCTGACCCCTGGTACAAGACAGTGTGAACGAGACTTGCAACTTGTTGAAGCCAGACTTGAGGCGTCGACTCAGCCACACCGCGTTCCCGGCGTTTTGAGCGCATGGTAAGTGGCGGTCACCGATGCGACGTGCGTACGACGTGCGTAGACGTGCGTCACTGCATGCGGCGCGCAGGCGGGCGTCGCCGCTCTTGCGCTAACTCGACTCAGCACGTGCCCATCTCGAGCCCCTTCGTCGTCGCCTTCGACACCATATATACGCCCGACGGAGGTGCAACCACCTTGCGACCGTGCGACCCGGGCTGCCCACGCGCTATTGCTGCCAGTTGCTGCTTGTCCTGGCTCGCCGATCGCGCTTGTGACGTGCACGACTCGCTCGGGGTCCTCGATCAGGTCGGTGTACCTGCTCCTGCTCCTGCTCCTGCTCCTGCTCCTGCTCGCACTCGCACTCTCGAGTCTCGACGCACTGGCTCTCGCCCTTGGACAACAGCTTCGGTTGCGCAGACGGACAGTCAAGTCGTCAACAAACGGTCCAACAAGGAGATCCTCAGCCCGAAGCTCGGCTTGATTCCCGCTCGGTTGTCTCGGCGGCTCGGCACGGAACAACGGCCGCGGCGACTCGGGCTTCCCAGTCGGCTATAACCTACACCGACCCACCACCCGATATCCCACCTTGTGCATAGTCGGGCCTCTATCGTCGACAGTGACCTCACCATCGCCTCGACTCGACCGGAGAGATGGCCGCGGCGGCGACCTCGGCGCTCGACGGTGCAGCGACAGGTTTCCCCCCACTTGTAGCTCCCCTCGACGCCCAACACAGCGTCAGCCTCCTCGATTACAATTCACCTTCACACGACGACCCCGAGACAGTAGGTGATCGTACCCTAGGTGATATCGGCATCTCCTCCCCGACGACCTTCGAAGAGCCGCTCCAGGACCGTGCACGAGCTCACAACGGGAAGGGGAAAGGCAAAGCTAGGGCAAGCTACGAGGAGCAGGAGCAGTGGTATCATCAAGAGGTTGACCAGAGTGATCAGGAGCAGGAACGGCCAAGTTCGGAACAGCAGCAGCTGGATGAAGAGGAACAGATCAGAGAGGAGGAACGTAGGATCGCAGAGGTACGTTCCCCGTTGCTCCCTGGATGGTGACAGTGATACCTCCTCCAGCGCTGATGCTGCGCGACATTACGTGCGACTTCTCTAGAACCTGGCAAAATGGTCCTCTACGGAGGCACAACGGCGAGCCGTCGCAAGGCGCGCTCAAACCGTGCACGTCCTGCCTCCAGCACCTCCGATCCCCTCCGCTTCCGAACTCGTTCGGCGGTCCTCGGCCTTGATTCGATCAGGTTCCAAAAGGGTTTCGAGGGTACTGGGGCCTTCCTCCGAGCTTCAAGACGTCTCCGTTCAGGATATTGAGCTGCACGAGGACGATCCTCGAAGCAAGAGGAGATGTCTCAGTCAGCGTTTGAACAGCTTCGACGAAAACTTTGGCTCCGAGGATTTCAATCCTGCGAGGGGGACGTCGTCGCCCAAGACAGTCGAGAATGGGGGCAGTGGATACGCGAACCCGTTTGATACACCCCCTCTTTCACCTATGACGCCGAGCTCGAAGCACCCGGGTCGGATTCGGACGACACCGCAGAGAGGGTCAAGGTTCATGGAGGATCTGCCTCGCTCAGCGACGTCAACTGGATCACCACTCTCGACCGCTTTCTCTCACGGAAGTCAGGATGAGAGCCAGGATGACAAAACACCGAGACCATCGATCGATTTACCCCTGTTGGAACGACGGACTCGATTACGCTTCACCGAAGAAGGAAACGAATTCATCGACGACGACCCGACACCTCGGAAACCACGACCGAGTCGAAACCCCTTCGACGACGATGCAGGAACTCTACAACCCGCCGCTCCGATCCATCCGAGCCCACGAGATCACTCCCATCTCGATCGACCGTACCAAGATGAACCCGATTCAACGGCCTACGAAGAACGCATCTATTCAAGCGGCGATCATCGACGCTTCTTGAATTTCTCGTCGTCGGATGACCATGAGGTGGATGATCGGTTTTCGGGGAGGGGATGGGACACTTTGGAGAGGCAGAAGAGGGTGAGGGCTGAATTTGGTTTCTTGGATTGGTTGATGTGTGGGTGTTGCCTTGGAGATCAGGCGGACGAGCACGATGATGAGCAGACGGGGAGGACCAATCCGATGGAGTAAAGGGTAGCGGGTGTAGTTTGGCTTGAGCAATTTTTTCTTTATCTTTCTTGCAATTTATTTCAGTGGCATACCTGAAGGATTCTGGCGTTTGGTCATTGGTTACAGTGAATTACTGTGCAAAGCCCTACAAGGAATAAATATCCTCTGGGGGACGAACTTCCTCGCCAATTACTAAAACGAGAACGAGACTCCCAAACACAGTTCCCTGGGACCCACAAACTAATTACAACAATCCCGCTCTCTGCTTCGAGATCTCCACCGCATGTTCGACCAACACGCCCTCGACGAAATCGTTGAGCAGGACGACGAGGCCCGATTGTTCGAACTTGTGCGATTGGAGCCAGGGGTAGGTGACACGGTCCATGATAGGCTATGGAGGGGGTGAAGAGGGTCAGTGGAGGTTTTTTTGGGGGATTTGGGTGTGGCGAGAACTAACTTTGACGTAGGTCAAGAGGGACGACGAGTCGGAGTAACTGCCCGGGAGAAAAGCGTCACAATGAAGCTTGAGCATTCGGCCCACGGGTCTGAATCCGAAGACGGGTGCTTACGTCAATGAAGCAAAGACGTCACTCATCAGATTGGCCGTCGGGGTCGCTTGAAGTTGATAAATCGCGCCGGGTGAGGGCTTTCCATCGACTTTGGGCGTCGGTTGGGATGATCGAGCGTGCATCTTCTCAAGTGCCGCGATGATCGTCGAAGGGTCGTCGGTATTGTACGCGACGGGGTCTGTGAAGAGCTTACAGTCGCATCAGGCAAGGGTGAAGTCAGAACGTGAGAAAGTCCTAAGGAGACTGACCATACGAATCATCCCTCTCCCACGACTCGGCGTGATGAACCCGATCAATCATGATCAACCTCTTCTTCTGCTCGAGCAAGCTCCCAATCGTCGCATCAAGATCGTTCGGTCCGCCCAACACGATTTCCCTCCCAAGATCGGACTTGGCCTCCGCTCTCGCTTGCTCAAGCACGGCCGCCAACTCCTCCTCGCTAGGGACCATCGAATAGACTACCAATTCTTCCTTGCGGTACTTGTCCTTCTTGATCAGAAATCCATCGTCCTTGAGTTCAACGACGACGATCTCCTTCGGGTGCGTGGCAAGGAAGTTGAGTATGTCGAGTAAGAATTGCTTGTACGATTCTCCCGGGACGATCGCATGTTGGTGGTAGAGCTCTCCCTTCTTGGTATGTATGACATCGTGGAAACAAAACCCGGGGCGGAAATCGAAGAAGCGGACACCGATACGGAGCTGGTTCACGAAGCTGTCCTTTTGCGTCATGGCGATGTTGGCGAGGGCCCGATTAGGAGACAGGCGGATCGATTCGAGGATGTCGACGAGCGTGCGCACAACGGGACTGGCCAACTTGGTCTCGATGTTGCCTGCCAAGGCGTGGCCGAGCTCCCCTTCTTGGATCAGGGATAATAGGCCAGCATTGATGGGGTGACCGAACATGCCCGCATCATGGGCAGCGGCTAGAGCGAGGCGCGAGAAGGGGACGTCGAGCCACTTGTCGTTCGCGGAGATGAGGTCTCCGAGCCAATTTGATTTGCCTGGCGTCACGTACACATAGATCTGACTCCTGCGACCTTCGCCTGCAAGATATGAAAAATCGGCGTCAGACCTGCACTCTACAAAAGACTGAAGATTCCGGCCTAGCCAACATACCTGCGTCGTGAAATCCATAGCAAATCATGGCATCGTCTTCCTCTCGGAAGATCGCCGTCGTTTCGCTGGTCCTATTGAAACTAACGCCCGTTGCGATACCAGTGACGGGGTGTACCCGGATATGACCCTGGAACCAAGGCTCGATGTTGTGCTCGACAAAGACGCCGACATAGCGCGACGCGATGCCGGTGATGCGATGCTTGCTGGATCTCAATTGTCCGATACGATGGCCCGGACTCGGTTGCTCCATTTCGTGGTAGCGCGCAGTGTTGCCGACGATAACCGAGATTCGACCATGGTGGTACGACATCCACGTGTTCGTTTCGATTCCCTTCCCACCTGCAAGTTCCGCCCGGAGCTCTGCATCAGATGACAGTTCCCACTACTGGCGATGATGCCCGAGCGTAAAGACTCACGGACGTCGATGCCACGCTTTGTCGAGTCGTCGACGATGTTCTCCATGTCGACTACGCTCTTGTCAATAACGTAAGTGACGAGCCTCTTGCCTGGATCGACAACGACCGAACCGGCATCACCGGACGAAGTAGGATTGTCCTTGGTCGAGTCGAGATCGGTCCGCCCGAGACGAGCCGCGACGACGCCGTTCCAGTCGAGCTTGACGAAGGCCTGGAGATGCACCTTGCGTTCAGTTGTGACGAGATCAAAGTAGACCCAGACCCATCGGTCGCGTAAATCAAAACGCCGAGGCCCTCGGGTTTGTCCGAGTTGGAAGTCGGGGTCCGTGAAAATTGTGCCCGAGACGGGGACGGAGGTGTGGGTCTTGGCACCGCGGTAGGTCGAGAGAGCAAAGTCGTCATCTTTGGAGCCTTGGCTGGGCCATCCGATCATCTGCATCATAACCATCGTATCCGTCGCGTATCAGCTCAAGCCAGACTCGAGGATTGGGCCCGCGCGGCGTGTGGGGTAATCAACAACGACGTCAGACGAACCTGGATGGGAAAGCCCGTCTCGTTCTGGATCTTGAGGATGACAATGCGATACGCATCCGCATCGTCTCCACCATCCTTTTCATCCTCGTCATCATCAGAGTCCTGACCATATTGCTGTACGCCTTGATCGGTGGCGAGCGTGGCCTGGTGCTGCTCAGACTGTGGACGCGTGGGGACGAAGGCTGTGAGCACGAGCGGAGCAGGGCTCGGTGCAGGGTGAGACTCACGACGTCAGAACCAGGTGACTTGCGACCCAGCTGCACCTTCTCAAGCATCGACGAGAGACCCATAGCTGTAGAGAGAGTCACACGGTTAAACCGGCGACCGGCGACTTCGGGGTGGGGTGACGCGGTGACAAGTCACCACTCTGACGGGTCGGAGCGGGGCGGTGACGTTCAGAGGAAGTAGATCACAGTGCCCGACGTGAGTGACAGCCGTACGCCGAAAGGTTCAGAAGGGTATCCCAGAGCACGGAGGAGATGGAGGAGCGACAGCAACCCGGTCAAGCATCCCATTCCGCGGGGAAATCGCCAGCGCCTCCGAAGTCAGCACAGCCCTCGCTGGCACGTGACGCGGTGACGTGGCAAGGTCGGAGGGTCGGAGCCTCTCCGCAGTGAGACAACCAAACTTGATGCTCCTTCAGTAACTTGCTCAAATATCACAATCACTACAGATCTTTCAATTCAAAAAGCCGTACAAAGAGTCTACTTGTCATCCTTGCCCTTCTCGTTGTTAGCCATGATCTGTATCAACTCAAGTCGACTCGGTCAGACTTTTTCCAGCTCCGATTCTGAGCTTTTGGGACCGTGCGCCATCAAAAGAATACCACTGACCCATTTCGAGGCTTCCTTGGCCATCTTTTCCGCGGCTTCGGGATTGTTCTTCCACTTGGGCCTCTTGTCCTCATCGGGGATGTTGTAGCCGCGGTTCGTAGCGGCGCGCGCCTCGATGCGTTCGACCCAGGCGTTGAGTTTGGGGTACTCGGGGAGCGGGACGCCGGCCCATTCACCCAAGCGAACCCTGCACAGTGGCCAGATGACAGCGTCAGATCGGGTCATGGAGGGAGTTGAATATTACGCAACAGGCTCACCAGGGCTGGGTGCACATGTCGGCGATGCTGTACTTGTTGCCGACGAGGTAGTCGTTGCCTTCCGAGAGATGCTTCTCGTAGACCGAGTACAAGCGTTTCGTCTCGTTCTGGTAGCGGTTAATACCATCTATTGACAGTTAACAAGCGTGTGAGTCTTCCGGTATGTTCGCATGTACCAAGTTGCTTCTGACCATCAACTCACAGGGGACCTTCTCGGGCGCTGAAAAGTGTAAATGTGGGGCTCAGCACGACTTGGTCAGATTGACTTTCTCACGGGTCGATAGCTCCTGGTGTTATGAGACATGGCATCCCGATCCAACTAACCGTAGCGGAAGAAGTGGTTGGCTTGACCTTGCATAGGTCCGACACCTCCTTGGCTGTTGATCGATGCACGACACACACCCGTCAGTGAATGTATGCGTCCGCGCACTACCCATCGCACGTCATCGATCCTCCTCGGATTCGTAAGCAGCCGGACCGGCCCCACGCCGAGGCGGCAGCCGCGAGGCAGCGCCGGCGACAATGAAGCGGAACGGCACGAGTACTCACACGAAGAAGATCCAGTTCATCATCTCGGCCTGGAGATCAGGGTCCTCAAAGTGAAATTCGTATTTGGTGTCGTACGTGCGCGCGAGGTAGAGCAGGATCGAAGCCGACTCCCACACGTTGATCGGCTTCTTGCCCTCGCGGTTGTCGATCAGCGCAGGGATGCGACCGTTCGGGTTCACTTCCAGGAACCTGTCATCCAATAACACTACAAGGTCAGCTGAAGGCCCCCTAGTCTACTCTTCGTGAGTCGATCCGGCTCGCAGTCATCGTCGTCGCTTCCGAGACCGGAGAGAGTGGGGAACTTCCGGCAGCTGATGTCGCACATGCTCGCCCATACCGGTTCGAGAATGACCAGCTTCCTGGATGATAGCGTCGAAATCATCACCCGACCCGAGGACTCACCAAGGTTCCTTCTGCTCGTTCTTGGCAAAGCTGATCGCCTTGAACTCGTAGCTCTTGATGGCGCCGATCTCGACGAGCTCCTCGAGGTAGACCGACACCTTGTGTCCGTTGGGCGTACCGGCTGTCAGCAAGACGAGGCCGGGCTTAGAGAGTACGTCGGTCGACATGGTCGAGAGGTGGCGAACAAGTTGGGAGGTTCGATTGATTGCCGAAGAGGTCATCTCAATCTTGGCCGCGAGCACGACAGGCGCGACCCGCAGGGGGGGACAAAAGGCGGACGTGGTGACGTAAGCACGGCCGAAGAGGGGTCCGTGCGCGCCCCGCCTGTAGGCGAAACGGTTCTTGGTGCTCCAGCTCTCGGCCTCGGCGGCCGGGTGCGCTCGGCTTCAGAGCCTTCAGTTCGCGTATCCGAGCAAGGTGTGCTGCTCTTTACATACGGGAGCTTGTATGGACCTACCTACCTACCAATGCCTACTTTCAAACTGTTCTTCACAACGCCCTGCGTCGGGGACTGGTCCTCACAGTGACCTGAGGACGATCTCGCCGCCGCGCGGGGCGCGTCCGAGACGGGATAGATTCACGCCCGCCACCTCGAGGGGCTTAGACGCGGCGCAAGCCATTCTTCCCAGGCGAGCATAACGCCATCAGCGCATCTGACCCAGTGCAAAATAATGCGCCGCCAAAGTGGTAGTGATCTGAAAACAACGTTTGTCATATCTTGGCCCAAACCTTGGGTCATGCAGTAGAAACCCTGCACCCACTTCCAAAAAGGCGGCGTTCAGTGCCCAGCGTCGCCGCAATTTGTCGGATCGAGCTCGTCGCGTCGGATCGTCCTGACTGAACATCCGGATCGACTCGAGCAGGTCCCCACTCGTTTTGGTTATCTCCCTCTCTCTCTTGCTTCCCCTACACCTGCTCATCTTCATCCACCTCCACTGGCCTCCCGTCTGATTGTATTATTTACACCGTCTCCACCGGCGCTTTTCGAAGAAAACGTTGATTGTTTCTCTCACTTCGACCTCTTCCCGGCTCATCACCACGGTAAAGACTGACCGACCAGCAACCACGTACGGCCACCTTCTCAATCTTCACCTACTACGAAACAATCATCACCATGTCGACAATTAACACCCGAGCTGTGCTCACCCTTGTACTCGTCGCATCGCTTCAAGCGCTCGCCTCGCCCATCACCGTCGGACCCGAGCAGGCCTTGGCAGTCCGTGCGCCGGCACCCGCCGTTGCAGCCACCTCGCGATCCCAACAAGGTGCAGATCGATATGCACGACTCACGACTCTTCACACTCGCGACGAAGAGCATCTTTTGGAGGCACGACTTCTCAATGACATGATGATCGAGCAAGGATTGGCTGTCCGAGGTGCTGAAGAATCCGAGGGCGAGGACACCACGGAGGCTGAGACGGACAACGAAGCCGAGGTCGAGGAGACAGCCGAGGAGGTCATTGAGCGCCGCAGCAACTCACGGGTTTTTGCTGCGTCGGCTCGCCCCATTCTCGCTGGAACGAGACCGTAAGTTCAGTTGATTCCAGCAGAGAAGCTACCCCAGCCCACTTAAGCTAACACCGTACGAGCCCCGATGCTACTCTCTTTCAGCCCTCGCGTCATACCCAACCCGAAAGATCCTGACTTTGGCAAGCCTACGGCCACGTCGGTGCGCACAACCATCACGACTACGTCAACCAAGTCGACGGCGACGACTACCCCAAGAGTAACGATCGCTACAGGGACCACTACCACCACTTCCACAGCCACCACGTCCACCAGGGCCACTACCACCACACGAAATGCTGCCCCCGCGTCGATTCCGACCGGGCTCGGTTGCTTCCCTAGCACCGTCAGGACGATCCCGACCGGTGTGAACTACACCGCCGCTGATCTCGCTGCCAACTGGTGGTGCGCCGACTCGACCGAATACGCTTTCATGGGCTTCTCCTACTCGGTCGAAGAATGCCAGTCCCCTTCGACGTTGCTCGCTGACTTTACGCGCATGCGCAAGCAATTCGGCGCTCGCTACGTTCGTCTCTATGGTGCGTGCGACGCGGCCTGGTTCAATGACGCTCTCGTCGATGCTGCTGCTTCGGCGAACCTCGGTGTCTACCATTTGATATGGTTCGGCTTCGACGGTGACGACCAATGGAAGACTCCCTACAGCGCCTTTGTCAAGACGATGCGCACGAACCCCAAGGCGCCGTTCGTCTTCAAGAATGTCGCTATCGGATCCGAGCCGCTGTACGACGGGGTACTTTCGGCCACCGACTTGGCGACCGAGATCCTCAGTATGAAGAGTAAGATGGCACCGTATGGAACAAAGGTCACCTTCTCCGAGATGCCATACGGGCTGCAAATCAACAACGGCGCGCCGTCCACTATGGCCGCGGCCGACTTCGTCGAAGGCAACGTCCTCCCCTTCTTCGACTCGCAGGCCACGACCGGAGCAAATGCCTGGGGGGTCGTTTCCTGGTCACTCAGCTACTTTGCTTCGCTTGCACCGGGCAAGATCATTCGGTAAGGTCGATTCATGCCGTCATTGGTTGCGATCGGCCCTAGCTCACCCTCCCTGTACTCTTCGTATGTGCAGCATGACCCAAACCGGCTGGCCGTCTGATCAATCGGTGTGGAAGGCCAACACCCCAACGGCCGTTTCGAGCATCTCGAGCGAGGCATCTTATTACGCTTTACTCGACTCCAAGTGCTCCTGGTTCAAGGCGAACGGGGGCATCGGGTGGTTCGCGCACATCTACTCCGACGACTCACTCCCAGGGTGGGGCCTGCTCAACAACGGCAACCTCAAATTCCCATTCGCGCCCAAGTCTTCCTGCTAGATATTGCTATCATCTGGACTGGCCTTAGTTGTTGGTAGCTGTCAATGCAGACCAGTCATCACATTCTGTGAAGGTGTCACTTCCTCATGATCTTGCCCTTAGAAGACCTAGATAACTTATTCCACTTGGTCATAAACCTGTACCGGCAGGAAATTTCAAGAGAGCCGCGGCAGGGAACTTCGGGATAGCATCAAATCGCGATATGGTTCACTGGCAGCTGAAAGATGATGCCTTGTTGGAGTCACCGGCCATGTGGTAGCCCATTTTGGGCCAGGAGCAAACCAGGCGCTCAAAGGCCACACCCTGTCGCTTGTCGCCGTTGACGTAGTTGACACCGACGAGTGAATCGGGGGCCTGGTTTTTCTCGACCCATGCGATGAGCGCAAGGATCATATCGTCCTTGGCGGTGAAGGACGCGCTCTGAGCGGAGCCTCCGAGGGAGATGTCGCGTTGGCTAGCCTGGCCGAGGTGGTAAGCACCGTTGCCTCCCCCGCAATGCAACATGCCCGGGACAGCGAAGTGACGGAACGAGTGGTCGACGTTGCCGAGTTTCGCCTTGACACGGTCATGGTACAAGAGCGTCGTGCCCGCGGGGATGAAGTTATCGGCGAGACCGACGTAGGTCATGAGCTTGTTCCGCTTGAGGAAAGCACCGATGTCAGGGTCGATAGCGTTCGTCTGTCCGGGGTCCGTGTCGTCGGCGATCTTGAGGAGCTTCTCAAGCTCGGCTTCCGTGACATTGAAGGGCTGCACGCTCGTTTTGTTCAAGACTTGGTAGCTGGGTCACGGTGGGAGACACACAAGCGTCGATCAGAGAGTGTGGGAGTACGATGTCACGGATGATCAGGCTCACTTGAAGTAATCGGTTGAAGGGCCATAGGGCGTGCCGGTGACGGAGAAGCCGGGGTAGCCCTCGGCTCCAGGCTGGAAACCTGGGAAGTAGTTTGTTCCGCCTGGTCCGGTCGCAAGGCCGGTTGAGCTTTTCCAATCGGCCCAGATCGCGTACATGGTCTTGATCTGGGCTTGGGACAAGCAGGTCGTCTGGTTCGCGCCCTCAGCCGAGCACAGCAAGCCCTCGAGCTTCGGCGAGCACTTGGTCTGTTATGATACCAAGAAGGATAGGAAGGAGTCAAGCGGTTGTGCTTGCCCAGACAAGAAGATGGGAGACAACTTACAGGGTCCGTGATAATGCCGTCCTTGAGCTTGTCCAGTCCGAGGACATCACACTGGTTGAGCACTTCGGTGCCTATCGTTGCGTAATTGGCTGCGGTCAGGTAGCCTGGCGATCCGATCTTGTTGACGAAGGTGTTAATTCGGTACGTTTGACCGCTGCATGACGCAAATAGTAGGAGATGTACGTCGAGCCGTGTTCGTCAATCCATGGCTTTCTTCAAGGGGCAAAGTTCCTATCCGGGCAAAGAAAGACTCACTTGAGATCTGAAATTCACGAGCAGGCCAAGAGGGGGGCGTTCCGAGATCAGTACTCGTGCAAAGTGACTGCAACCGGGAGGCTTCCGACTCACGTGGCCACCATTGAGCTGCGGCACCGGCAAGGACACCGTCAAAGGTGTCGGCGTTGAGCTGGATCTCCTTGAGCCCCTGCCTGCCACCGGAGGAGCAACCTGAGCGGTTCGGAGCGGTTATTACATTCGAAGGACCGTCAGCAGCTGAAACAGGGGGCCCAAAGTCTTTTATCCAGAGCAATTCACCAATCCAGTAGCTGTGGTTGGCTCCGCCCCCACCGTAGTAGGTTCTGATGAGACTCTTGGAGTAGGTCGCCGTCAGGTGTACGGCTCGGTGGCCGAAGTCGATCTGGCTCTGAGGGTTCGAGATGGCGAAGGAGCCGTCGTTGCCCCAGCCGCTGTGACCGGTGTCGGTGGAGGCAACAGCGAACTTGTCTGTAGATAATTACACCGAAGAACATCGAAGAGAGGAGCTGTCAGTGCTGACCGCGTGGAGAAAAGGGAGCGGGGCCCGTCAAGGGGAGGGAGACTCACATTTGGTCAAGGGGACGCCCATGTCGGGGTAGTTGACACTACCGGCGTCACCTCCGTTTCCGACCATGGCGAACCGGCCGGACCAGTCATCGGGCATCCAGAGTTCGAACTGGACCTGCAAAAGTTCGCGAGTGCCGGAGAAGCGCGAGAGCCGGAGAAGTAAGCCAGCGTCCGAGAGGTGCCAATCGCGAGCATGTGAATACGCGACGTACCTTGGACTGGGACGAGGTCTTGATCTCGGCACCGAATCGGCAGAAAGCAGCGAGTCCAGGTACGGGGTCGTTGTAGGAGCGGGAGGCTGTAGAGACGGCCGAAGCGACCAGCTTGAAGTGTCAGCTGAGGTATTGTGCAAAGGTAGTGCAGGCCAGGGGTGTGCGAAACACGGGTGAAAATCCTGCCGGTCTGTCAACGGCCAATGAGTCAACTCACGACCAGAGGGGCTGAAGGTAGAGTTGGCGCCGTAGTGCTCCGTCGCGTAGATGGTCATGTCGGGCATCTTGACACTCGCCATGTTGGCGCATCGAGTGCTGAAGTCGGTGTCCGCGACGCGAGCCGACCTGCCCTGACGCCGAGTAAGCGCGTTGACGCCGGTGAGGCAAAGTGCGGCCACCGCCGTCGCGGTCAGGAAACTTGGCGAAGTGCCAAAACCGACCATGATTATTTGTCGAATCGAAGCGGATCTGGGAGATGGAGAAGAAAGAGAGGAGGGACTGGTTCATCTCGAGTCAGGTCAATCTGCTCTATTCGTTATCCTCAGACTATGGCAGCTATTTCGAGCGTCCCCTCTACCGACGGCGTTGGCACGCTCGCAGAAGGTGCAGTGGAGTGTACCGGGACCTTGTGTGCGGACGGACCGCCCATTCGTTGGCGGAGAGAAACAAGCTATTATTGGCGTACTCTGAGACTCTCCGTTAACGCGGCTGTGGGGGGCGCAGTCTCCGCGAACGGCTGTTTCATAGGGGATCGTCACGGCCCTCGTCACGGGATCGTCACGGGATCGTCACGGGATCGCCACGGAATGTCACGGGATCGGGCCTATGATTTTTTGAAGCTCTTTATTAGAGCTGAAGGTTTCTTTCAAGAGTTGGTGAAGGAGGGGGGGGGAATTCGTCCGTTCTCAACGCCTTCATTGTCAGGAGATGGCGCCGCTGCCCCTCAGGCCTCAGGCCTCAGCGCCTCAGCGCTCAGCCACCTATCCGTCGCTAGCGCAGTTCAGTCGAATAGGGGATAGGGGCAGGCAGTTAGGACGCGTGCCCAGAGGTATCGCGACGCCTTGCTCGCCTTTTGTTTTTGTTTTACTGGGGCTCATAAATTGGGATCCTTCGGGTTGGCTGGGATCGCTACAAAAAGAGCTAAGAGGGGTTATAAAGCAACGACGGCAAGCAGTTGGATGAAAGTCAAACCCCTGCGCGCAAAGAGCGCTGCCCGCGCGCCCAAATGCCGCCGACTCGCCCCCGCCGCGCCTGGCCGTCGGGCGCAAGGGCGACCGCTAAGCTCATCAAATCCCGAATTCTCTGGGTCAAAAAAGGGTGGTTTGCTGTATCATGGCAAGCATTGAATAACTTTTCACGACAGTGAAGTACTAACCTCTTCTAGCTTCAAAAACATCATGTGCCAAGTGGCTAGTCTTGTGATGAAATTCAAGTCAAGCTGCAGCAGCTCAAAGTCTGGCTCGGAAATGCCTAAAAAAGTGGTCCGAGCGCGCCGTTGCAGCCCTTTCGACTCTGGCACAGCGAGCTCACGCCGGTGGCTCCCGCTTCTTCTGCCGCGATCGTCGCAACCACTTCCCATCGTCAGCAATATCTCAACGCGCCAAGATGAAGTCTTCGGGCCACCAATGAGATCGAAAAGGAAATACGACTCTTCATCCCGTCAAAAGCAACGCCGCGAGGCCGAGGTAGACGAGAAGCTCCGTTCGCTCAACATCTCGCTATGTCAATACCTCCAGTGGTACTTCAACCCAGACACGACAGCCCTTCAGGTCTTGACGCATCGCCCAAAGCTTTTCAACGGTCATTGGCCCAGCTTCGAACACGTGCTCAATCTGATCGTAGAAGTAGGCCGACAAAGTAGCAGCAATGGACGAGATCGCATCAATACGTGGATTGCCAAGCAGGTAGGTAATGCTAGCCATCTACCACAATTTCACAACCCCAAATGATCGACCCCCGAGATTGTAGCTGACATCGCGTTATCTTGGAACGGTCTGACTCGATCATTGTTCAGGAGATGAAGAGATCAAAGCCAACTTATGTCCCCAGCCACGAGATGACACCCGGCCATCTGACATCCGAATGCATCGACGAAGGGCTCGAAAAATTGCAGACGACAATCAGTTTCTTTTTGGCCGCATTCAAACCTACTGTCTCGGTGCGCAGATACTGCCTGGAGAGAGCCGATCGATGGCGTCGATGCCAATCGTACCGCACAAGATGAGGTCATGGAAGATACCGATGGCCATGGTGTGCAAGAACACGGCACTGAGTCGCAACATCGAAGGGAAAAGCACTTGTTGTTTGTGAGTTCTCACCGGTTGTTTGTCTTGGCGTGCTCACACTTCAGACTTCGCAGCTTTCACGCACTCTGATGGGGCAACTCGAGTACGCTTGCAGTCGTCGGAGCAACGCCATGCAACATCGTAACGGTTTTTTCGCCTTGGCATGCGGCGCAAGCGAGCGCTTGACAACTTTTCTGCAAGAGTGACTCGAAATACTTGAAATCCTCGCTTTTGTCGAGCAAGCGGAGAATCGACCGTGACTTCGAGGCCCCAACTTTTGTGCAGCGCAGAAAGACCGATCGATGTTTCCTCCCTGGTGTTGCAGTACACGATTGATTGAGGGATACTACTTGAATTGGATCGGACGCTGAACATTCTGGGAATATCTGTCATTGTAGCCTTGGTATGAGGTGTCATTTCGACGACGATGTTGCGTAAATTAGGGCGAAACAGGTCGGCTTTGGCAAAAAAAGTTCGCGATTTAGAGATGGTGGCAACCGCTAGAATTTTGTCGATTTTGTCGGGTGGCGCACCCGCAGTAAGGAACAAAGTTTGACAACCAATTCGGAGACGTTGTTGAACAATTTGAGCATACTCGGCGCGAAATGGGTTGGATCCCTCGGTGGTATGCGCCATAGCGCCGACTCGGTCTTTTCGTCCCGTGAGTCCCCACTCGGCGATCTTGATCGCCTCGTTGTAAACCAGCAATTTGATCCGCTCTCGGAATGAGGAAGTGAAAATCAATTCACTCCAACGAACGTTGCGCGCATTCATTTCTGGAGACTTGCGAAGTCAACAATGCCGTACAATAGACCATGTTCAGCCAACTTGAAGCAGAAAATGCAAGGTCACAAGGTCTTGAAGCTTACAATGAAGATGTATTCGACTTCGCAAAGCCGATCTTTCAATTGCTCGTATAATTTTCCGTCTTCCCACGTTTTCTTGGACACAACAACGGCCATCTTGCCCCTCATGCATAGCTTTGCGGCCTGTTGAATGCTCAGAGCGTGACCGTCAGTAGACGCCCGACACATTGGCCGGCAGGAGTCTTGCTTACCTGATGCTCACTCAATGCATTTAAGGGACTGATGATGATTGTAATTGCTCGCTTACCGAACACGAGACTCATTGCTTCAAAAAGCGTACTTTTGCCGGACCCTGTTGGCGCGGCGACGAAGACTGCGTCGAACGTATTCGTGCATCCGCGCTTCCTGTCGAGCTCGAGGAGACCAGCGATTGCATTGATCTGAAACGGCCGCGGCTCGAAGTCGTCACCAAACTTTTCGAGAAGCAGCAGCTTGACCTTGATGCGTAGCGAATCACGGTCCATTCGATCCTCCTTTGGAATACGTGAGTTCCATCGAACGATCGAGGGGGATTCGGGGGTCGGGGGTCGGGTTGGATGACGGCTCTATACGGCCGATAGATGCTGTTAGACTTGCTTTGCTGGCTGAACGCATAGGAGATTCTCTGATTTCAATTGAGGGATGTCAACGAGGTAGTTTTTTGGCTGGTGTGGTAGCATTTTGGGCTGACATGCTTGAGGTGAAGAGCCAAAGCCTGGTTTGGCCTTGCAGCCGCTCGTTCGAATTCGAGCCCTCCTGGTCCGTGCGTGCGAGTGCGTCTAGGAAACATTCAGGACTTTGTTCCGCTGTAGCACCATGTAAACGGCATGTGTTCGCTTGTCCTTTTGCAATCCACCTTTTCAACTATCTGAGTATAACCCCTTCACCTGTCGTAGAAAGTTATGCAATATTTGCCATGAAAACAGCAAACCACCCTCTTTTGGCCCAGGGAATTCGGAGGGCAACCGGGCCTGACGCGCCGATAATGCGCAAGCCCTTCCCTCTGGGCTCCTCTGGGAGGTCGAGCTTAGTCCCTCTGTTGTCTGCCCGAGGTGGTCGAATGGTGCAACCCTAAGCTCAACTAAGCCCTCAAAGGGAGGGGCGTCGAGCTTAGTGCAACCCTGCGAGACGCGACTGCGAGCGTTTGGTACAAAGCCCGCTAGCCACGGACTCTCAGACCTCTGGGCATGCCTCCTAACTAACTGCCTGCCCCTGTCCGATTGAAATGCGCTAGCGATGGCTAGGGCGGGGAAGGAGCACGTGGCTGGGGGGCAGCAGCGCTATCTCCTCGAAATGAGGGCGTTGACAACGGACGAGTTTCAGGGCTGGGACCCCCTCCCCCCCCCCCCCCCCCCCCCTCCTTCACCGACTCTTGGAAGGAAACGGAGGATCCCGTGACGATCCCGTTTCAGGGCGGGGGGGGGGGGGGGGGAAAGGGGGTGTTGCTATGAAACGGCCGTTCGCGGAGACTGCGCCCCCCACAGCCGCGTTAACGGAGAGTCTCAGAGTACGCCAATAATAGCTTGTTTCTCTCCGCCAACGAATGGGCGGTCCGTCCGCACACAAGGTCCCGGTACACTCCACTGCACCTTCTGCGAGCGTGCCAACGCCGTCGGTAGAGGGGACGCTCGAAATAGCTGCCATAGTCTGAGGATAACGAATAGAGCAGATTGACCTGACTCGAGATGAACCAGTCCCTCCTCTCTTTCTTCTCCATCTCCCAGATCCGCTTCGATTCGACAAATAATCATGGTCGGTTTTGGCACTTCGCCAAGTTTCCTGACCGCGACGGCGGTGGCCGCACTTTGCCTCACCGGCGTCAACGCGCTTACTCGGCGTCAGGGCAGGTCGGCTCGCGTCGCGGACACCGACTTCAGCACTCGATGCGCCAACATGGCGAGTGTCAAGATGCCCGACATGACCATCAACGTGACGGAGTACCACCGCGCTAACGATCCATTCAGCCCAGCTGGCCGTGAGTTAACCTCTTGACTGTTGACCGGCCGGCAGGATTTTCATGCGTGTTTCGCACACCCTTGGCCTGCACTGCCTTTGCACAATACCTCGGCTGACACTCCGAGCTCGTCGCTTCGGCCCTTTCTACCGCCTCCCGCCCCTACAATGACCCCGTAGCCGGGTCCGCTGCTTTCTGCCGATTCGGTGCCGAGATCAAGACCTCGTCCCAGTCCAAGGTACGTCGCGTATTCACATGCTCGCGAACACCACCCCCCGGACGCTGGCTTACTTCTCTGGCACTCGCGAACTTTTGCAGATCCACTTCGAAGTCTGGATGCCCGATAAATGGTCCGGACGATTCGCCATGGTCGGAAACGGAGGTGACGCCGGTAGTGTCAACTACCCCGACATGGGCGTCCCCTTGACCAAGTGTCAGTCTCCTCTTCCGTCCACAAACTTCTGGGCTCCATGAGCTCAGCACTGACAGACCCTCTCTTCGGTATCCTTCCCTGTAATCGCCTACAGACAAGTTCGCCGTCGCCTCCACCAATACCGGTCACAACGGCTCGCCCTTCGACGGTACCTTTGCTATCTCGAACCCTCAGAGCCAGATCGACTTCGGCCACCGAGCCGTACACCTGACGGCGACCTACTCCAAGAGTCTCATCAGAACCTACTACGGTGGGGGCGGAGCCAACCACAGCTACTGGATTGGTGAATTGCTCTGGATAAAAGACTTTGGGCCCCCTGTTTCAGCTGCTGACGGTCCTTCGAATGTAATAACCGCTCCGAACCGCTCAGGTTGCTCCTCCGGTGGCAGGCAGGGGCTCAAGGAGATCCAGCTCAACGCCGACACCTTTGACGGTGTCCTTGCCGGTGCCGCAGCTCAATGGTGGTCACGTGAGTCCAAAGGCTCCGTTTCAGTCACGATGCTCAAGTACTGATCTACAAAGGCAACTCTTGATCTGTTTGTGACTTTCAGATTACAAGTGCGTCTTTTTTCCCACGCATGGAAACCTCCATGAGGAGACAAACACCTCTGACTCATCTACTTCCTACAGCGGTGATGTGTTCCGAAATAATGCATTCGTCAACAAGGTCGGATCGCCAGGCTTCCTGACGGCGGCCAATTACAAGACGATAGGTATCGAAGTGCTCGAACAGTGTGACGTCCTCGGACAGGACAAGCTCAAGGATGGCATCATCACGGACCCCGTAAGCTATCTCGCATCTTCTTGTCTCCGCAAGAGCAAACCGCTTAGCTATTTCCTCTACTTTTGTATTATAACAGACCAAGTGCTCGCCGAAGCTCGAGGGCTTGCTGTGTTCGGCCAAAGGCGCGAACAAGGCGACCTGCTTGTCCCAAGCCCAGATCAAGACCATGTACACGATCTGGGCCGACTGGATAAGCTCAACCGGCCTTGCGACCGGACCAGGCGGAACAAACTACTTCCCTGGTGTCCTACCGGGAGCCGTGGGCCCCCCCGGCGTCCCCTATGGCCCTTCACCCGATTATTTCACGTGAGCCTGACCTTACCCTTGTCGTTGTACTTCCACACTCTCTAATCGGATCTGGTGCCTCCGACCATGACCCAGCTACCAAGTCTTGAACAAGACGAGCCCGCAACCCCTCACTGTCAACTCGGAAGCCGAGCTCGAGAAGCTCCTCAAGATCGCTGACGACACGGACCCCGGACAGACGAACGCCATCGACCCTGACATCAGTAAATTCCTCAGTGGTGGCAAGCTCATGACCTACGTCGGTCTCTCCGATAACGTCATCCCGGCGCGCTCGTCGCTCTTGTACCATGATCGCGTCAAGGCCAAGCTCGGCAACGTCGACGACTCGTTCCGTCTTTTCGCTATCCCGGGCATGTTGCACTGCGGGGGCGGCAACAGTGCGTTCAACCTCGGTCAGGCCAGCCAATCTGACATCTCCCTTGGGGGGGGGCTTCAGAGCGCGACCTTCACCGCCAAGGACGATATGATCCTTGCGCTCATCGCATGGGTCGAGAAAAACCAGGCCCCCGATTCACTCGTCGGTGTCAACTACGTCAACGGCGACAAGCGACAGGGTGTGGCCTTTGAGCGCCTCGTTTGCTCCTGGCCCAAAATGGGCTACCACATGGCCGGTGACCCCAACAAGGCATCATCTTTCAGCTGCAAGTGAACCGTATCGCGATTTGATGCTATCTCGAAGTTCTCTGCCGCGGCTCTCTTGAAATTTCCTGCCGGTACAGGTTTATGACCAAGTGGAATAAGTTATCTAGGTCTTCTAAGGGCAAGATCATGAGGAAGTGACACCTTCACGGAAGGTGATGACTGGTCTGCATTGACAGCTACAATACTACCCAACAACTAAGACCAGTACAGATGGTAGCATTATCTAGCACGAAGACATGGGCGCGAATGAGAATTTGAGGTTGCCGTTGTTGAGCAGGCCCCACCCTGGGAGTGAGTCGTCGGAGTAGATGTGCGCGAACCACCCGATGCCCCCGTTCGCCTTGAACCAGGAGCACTTGGAGTCGAGTAAGGCGTAGTAGGATGCCTCGCTCGAGATGCTGGAAATGGCCGTTGGGGTGTTAACAGTTCGATTTCGACTGCGCCTTCCTCAACGGCAAGATGACCGAGGATGTCTACGTTCGATACCCAAAAGGATGGAATGGTCCTCAATCCCCTGTCAATCTGGCAAGAGTAGAAGTCAAGGTGGCCGCGCATCAGGCCGGCGGCGGTTCTCCATGTTGCGGCAGTGCAGACGCTACCAAGTTGGGAATATGGGAATTCCCGGAACTGAGTGTTACGGAGAACAAAGAAGGTTTGGCTGAACTGAGAGTCGAACTCAGGCCCATTCCATTAATCAGAGTTGCTCTGATCTCTGAGCTACTCAACCAGTGGGAATATAGGTCAAGGCGGCGGCGTATATCAAGCCGCCCTACGGCTGCCATATTTGCGGGGTTCGACGGACGTCGTCGCACTCAACAGGGGGGGAGGTTTTGAGGGACCTTCACCGCGTCTTGTTGTGACTGAGCAGAGACTTGGAGCGTCGAGGGTCGTGGTGGTTGCGCAGTCGTGCTCTTGTCTTCGTCTCGACCGAGTGGGAAGTGGCTGTGGGGTGGGCCTTCTGTCGTTAGTACATTTCTTTTCTTTCTCTTTCTCTTTCTCTTTCTCTTCATCTCTCTTTCTCTCTCTCATTCGTCTCCTGGGGGGAGCAACCGCTTGGCTAGGGCATTTGAATCCGAATCTCGGATTGGTGGACTTGGCTCGTTTCTCGCACTTTTGCGGGCGGTTTGTGTTATCATCGTAGTCTTCCATCTAGTTTTTCCGTAGGCCGAAACAGGGGGAACAGGAATTGGGGGCAATATGATGAACGTTTTCTACCAAAAAAAAATCAACAATATCTACGCTCCGGTTCAACCCGCCGAGCGCCTCCTCTTCTTCACCTCCCTTCACTTACGGGCGACCGTCTCCTCTCACATTCGGTTCATCGCGGGCGATCTCAACGACTGCCCTATTCCCGCGGTGGATCGAGCGCAACAGGTGGACCGCCCGAACACCCACCACTGGCCCGTGCTTATGTCTCGGCTCGACGGGGTGAACACGGATGCCATTCGGCTCATGCACCCACTGTCGCCGGCGACCACGCGCCCGCATCTCAGATCTCAGCAAGGACGGTCGGCTCATTTCGCGCGCGCGCATCGACTTTGTGATGGTGCAGCGGCGGCACGAGCGACGGATCGTCTCTGCTTCTACTTTGTACAATATCTCTCGATCCATGTCGGATCATCGACCGGTTACGGTCACATTTCGGCTTCGCGCAAGTGGTGCCGAGGTCGAAGAGGAGCTCCGCCTTCCCGAGGCGGCTTATTTTCTGACCCGCATCAACTCGTCGACCTTCAAACACGCCGATTTTAAGGAGTTCGTCACTCCTCTCCTTGAGCAAGCACCGTCTGGGGATCCGGTCGCGGACCTTCAGCGCGTACTCTCGGAGTCTCGGGTCCAAGCTCTCGAGCTGTCTCGGCGTCTGTATCGGGAGCGCAACGCCCTCGAGATGATGCTGGTATCTCGACTGCAGGATATTGAGTCTCGTCAGGTGATGAGCCCCTTTGACGTCATCGACTGGACGAACACCCACGACGCTCTCTCCAAGCTTGTGAACGAGCGAGCAAGGCAGTCCCGGATCAGGGCGCATGTGCCCGAGATTGCATCCGAGGAACGTCTCAGTCGTCCGGTACATGCCAAACTGGCTGCTCGGTCTCGGGATGTGAAGTTTCAGAGTATACGGCTCGCTGATGGCGAGCTCACCACTGACATTGAGCGCGCGCTCGAGCACACCCATTCTCATTTCCAGCAACACTACCTTGTCGAAGCGAAGGATCCGGAACAGGTCGCGACGATGCGGGATGAGCTCTTGGGACCCATCAGATCAGCAAGACCTTGTGACGACCCGCTTTCCGGCGCTCGCTTCCTTCGGCGCTTCTCGAATTCGCACGTCGACATTCTGGCCGAGCCCATCAGCGAAGCCGAGGTGCTCGCAGCGATTCGAACCACGCACGAAGGTCGATCTCCGGGGCCTTCAGGGGTCCCCTATGAGATGTATCGAGCCTGCCCCTTGCTTTGGCCCCCTCTCTTGACTCGAGCCTACAACGAGCTGATTACTCGAGGCTCCCTTACTACACAACAGAGCCAGGCCAATGTGCGCCTCTTGTTCAAACACAACAAACCTGGTGCAGCGCGGTGCGACCTCAAATCGTATCGTCCGATCACCTTGCGGGAATGCGACTACAAGATCTTCACCAAGATCTACGTGGCTCGTCTGAACCGGATCCTCCCCGATGTTCTTCCGGCCGGACAGCATGGGTTCGTCAAGGGGCGAAGACCAGCGGACGCGGCTTTGCATCTGAGGCTCCTGATCGACGAGATTAGGGGTCGTGGGGCAGAGTTCCCGACAGCAGCGCTCCTCTCCCTGGATCAGAGCTCGGCTTACGACATGGTCGAGCACGATTGGGTCTTTGCGGTGTTTGAGGCTCTCGGCGCGCCGGAATCTTTCCAGCGCGTCTTGCGGATGCTCTACAACGGCGAGACGTCCACAGCGCGGTATATTGTCAACGGTTTCCTCACCGAGACGATACGACTCCTGTGCGGTCTTGGCCAGGGCGATCCTCTCTCTTCTTCTGTCTGGGATATGGTGTTCCAACCCTTTCTTGATTCTCTCAGTCGGCGCAACATTGCGCTGACTATCACTCTTCCGGAGCTGGCTCCTCGTCCGCAGACTCGATGCATCACCAATTTGGCGTTCGCGGATGACGCCGTCGTCGCTGTCGCTGGACCGGAAGCTATTGCTTCGCTCGAGGCGTTAGCTCGGGATTGGCGACTCGCGACGAACGGCCGTCTAAACACCGACAAAACCGTGGTGATGCCATTGGGCGCGACGTTGTGGGATCGCGCGGACTTGTCCAAACTGTCGTTCGTGGCACCGAACGAGTCTCTTCCCTGGATCGGTCTCCAGTTTGCGCCTGACGGCAACAACAGGCTGGGATTCCATGATCTTGAGCGAAGGGCCGATCGAGTGATTCTATCGGTGCGCGACCGATGGATGACGCACCATACCCGGGCTTTCTATCTCAACCGCTACGGCATTTCCAAGGTGCTGCACTCTCTCTCCGCCGACATACCGCCATCCGACGTGATCAAGGCGATCGAGCGCAAGCTTGCTGACTTTGTGAAGGGAGGACCGCGGCGCAGCGACTACAAGCAATCGGTCGTCTTCACGGCACGGGCGCGAGGTGGTCTCAGCGTCGTGAGCATCCAAGCTGTGGTAGATTCAGTCTCGGTACGGATCTGGGACGTGCTGGCCGGCGGGTCAACTGCGATTTGGGGCGATCTGGCTCGGAGTTCCATCCGGCGAGCGCTTCCGACCTTTGACCTTGCTGCGGATCTGTGGACGTGGAGGAACGCCGACGCACCCCGGGAGCTACATCCCGCTGGCGAGCGGTGCTCTCGGTCGCTGAACGCTACTCTGCCGTCGTCGATCCTGCCAAACTTTCGGTCTCCAATTTTCTTTCTCTTTCCCCCCTCCAACCGGGTCTGCATGACTCGCGGGCGTCCTCGGAGCAGGATAAGCGTTTGGCGAAGCTTTTCAGTTTCGAACGCACCATCGCTGACATCTATGCTCGAGCCCAATACCCCGCAGCTCCAACGGTGCCCTGGACCCCTGAGAAGCATCCCCAAGGCGACGGCTCGGAGCTGTCCAACCTTTGGCAATGGAAGCGCGATCAAGTCCAGGCGTGGATCCAGGTCGCAGGCGATCGCTTCATCCCGCCGCTTCCGCCTCCTGTTCCCGTCCTCGCACGTCGACCACCCTTCATTCGTGTCGTTGGAGCACCTGGAGCCCGGCCCGGCGGTCCCCTCGAGCACATCTTGCCCAGAGCGACTCCGGTCGGCATGCCTGATCAAAAACTTCCCCTCCCCTCCGCCCCCTTGCGTGCTGATCAGTGGAGAATGTTGAGCTTGGACAGACCTTACACCATTGCGCGACTTCGACGTGTCATCAACCATCGACGTTTCGACGACACACAACGCCCTGGATCACTCGCCACACCCAAAGAAAGGCGACTCTTCTGGGGGTGGTTCAATACCGGGCCCGCCACGGCTCGCGAGCGCGAGGTGCTCTTCAAGCTGGCGTACCACTTCACGCCAACGCGGAAGCGTCAGTTTGTGCAGCGGCATGGCGACTCAGCCTGCTGCCTTGTGCAGGCATGCAGCCTGGCAGGGGTGGAGGATGACTTTATTCACTTTTGGCATGATTGCCCTGACTCTTCTCAATTTTGGCAAGCAGCTAGGTCCATTCTCTGCGACGCGCTGGGGGTCGTGTCGATCCTCGACCTCGACTACACGGCACTTCAGATCGAGCACGGCCTCCCTCGACTGCGCGCTCGCCTTCCGGCGTCGAAAAAGCGCCCAATCCGCGCCTTCATTGCGCTGGCGCTCGACACTCTCAGCAAACGACGCTGGGATCTCCATCGCCACGCCAGAGCGATGTCGAGCATGGACAAGGAGATGGCCGGACTGAAGGAGAGGTTGGAGCTCAGATTGGCACGATGAAGTAGACGGCGCTCCCTCCCTACCCAAGCAAAGACCAAACCCAAAAAATCGCAACTCCCCTTTCCCTCTTTCTCAATCTCTCCAATGTCTCCCAAAAACGCCAGCATACTGAACCTGTTTTCTCTCGCTCTTTTTGCCATTCCTCCTCATAGGCTTCCGTACTCCCCAGGAGCCTCGGGTTCTTTGCGCCGGCGGGCATCGTCGCCCTTGGTTCGAGCTTCTGCCACATCACGATGACACACAGTGAAAGCGGATCCCCTTGGCCCTCTCCTGGACTCCGCCGTGAGTTTTCCACTCCTCTCAAGGGCCGGGTCTGTTTTATCTTTCGGTCGAGCGACTCCGTGATCTCCTGTTCAAGGCCGGCACAAACTGCCTGCGTGGCTGGCCTGTTGTCTAGGTGGTAGGCCATCGGTAACGAGGCGCGGCGCGCGCGCAGGGGCTCGATTGGTTTTAAGGCAGTGGATTAAACTTAGTGTCTGAGTGGATTATATTCTTGCGCGTGGGCCTATGCCTTCGCAATGCGGACTCCCTTGTTTAGCTTTTCTTTAATCACTTGTTCCTCAACTATCGGTTCTGACACTGCTGCGTATCGTCCTACCGCTGCCACCTCTATAGGTGGTGCACTTTTACTTCAGGTTATGAGCTCGACGCTCTACGTCGAAACAGGCGATGGGGACGCACCCCCTGCCGATCTGATCTCCTACCACTCGAGATCAGATGTCAACCGAGTACCGATACTCAAGACAGGCAACTACCATGCCTGGGAACGTGGTTTGAAACTCGTTCTGGTCAACCACGGCTTATGGGGAATAGTCAGCCTCGGCTTTTCCAAAACCGAAGCCTCCGCCCTGGGACTTGGCCTTCGCACCGGTGCGGGCCCTCGTCTCACAATATTCGATCTGCTCCTGGCGCCCGAACTGCTCACCGCGCGCCAAAAGGCGTTACTTAAACAAGACGCCAAGGCTCAATCCCTTATTTTGAACTACCTCGACTCCGACAACGCTGTCACCGCTCGCGCTTGCACGACTGCAAATGAGATGTGGAAGAGTTTACACGACAACCACGTCGGACTGATCTCTGATCAAGTTCGATTTTTAACGGCACAACTTCGCAATCTTCAATTCTCGAAAGGAAAAGAAATCGTGAAGCACTTCACCGGTATACAAGATCTGTTCACTCGACTCGACGAGCTTGGCCAATCTTTCGATGACATTTACAAGTCGAATCTGATGCTGGACTCGGTCACTCATCCCGCCTGGGCTTCGACTTTGGACAATCTTCGTCGTCCGCTCGCTCCACCGGCGGAAATCATTACCTACACTCGGTCCAAGCTGACTTCGCTCGAACTTCAAGCTCGGTTCTCACCTCGATCTACTCCACCTGTCGAAAAACTTTCGGATATTTCGTCTACTACTCTCGCCGCTCGTATTTCGGACGCGAGTCAGGGAAATGGTGGAAAGCGGGGGGGCTCGAAGAAGAACCAAGGACCGAAGCGTAAACCCGACTGCGTCTGTACTGCTTGCGGGGAAAACGGACATTGGTCCATCGACATGAAGTGCCCTCAACACAAACGACACTCCGAATGGAAATCCAAGTCTGGTAGTTCGGCCGTCGATGCAAACGCGGTGACTGAAATGTCAACAAACCATACCATTTACTCCATCGGTGAATCTTCGGATGCCGCCCCACTCCGAAACACGTGGATCGGCGATACTGGCGCTCATCGTCACTTCGTCGGTGATCGTTCACTTTTGCGAAACTTCACTCTCGACCCGGTCATGGTCCGTGTAGCCAATGGTTCCCCGGTTCTCTGCAAAGGCTATGGTTCCATTACCGTTCGCACGAACAAGAATCATACGCTCAACATTCAGAACGTTTATCATCTCCCCGGCGCTGAACAAGGTCTAGTCTCTTTCAAGGCACTCCGTATCACCGGAGCTAAACTATCGTTCGGAGATGACGGTTCGACTATCAACGTGCATGTTGGCAATAGCATTGTTGCCAGCACCGAAATCGACACCGATTACAACTTCAACTTCACTGTGGTCCCTGAAGAACCTGTCGATGCTGTCACTCGATCATCGACTAGCGCTTCGCTCTATTCTTGGCACTTGTTTTTCAACCATATTTCGCAACTTTCGCTCCTCGCCCTGCATCGTGCGGGAGCGGTCACCGGCCTTCGCTTGACTGACACAACCGTCGTCGACTGCGAATCGTGCATCCTTACGCGAATGACGGCAACTCCTCATAATCAACAATCCCGGGGGGCAGATCACGTTCTGTATCGCATCTCTATGGATTTGGGATTCGTCGACTATGAAGACTTCCAAGGCCGATCGATCTATCTTGTTATCGTCGATCAGTTCTCAAACGCGAAGTTCACCTATCCGCTTGTCTCCAAGACAGCCGCCGTCGTACTCGAAGCATGGAATTCGTTTATCACCTACGCCGAACGCCTGACTGGTCAAAAGGTCAAGTTTGTTCGTTCCGACAATGGTACTGAGTTTGTCAATCGACTTCTCGGTGATGAGTTCCGTCGTCTTGGTATCACACACGAAACTACCGCACGTTACACCCCGCAACAAAATGGTCAAGCCGAACGAGCTAATCGCACCCTCTTTGATCTCGTTCGTGCAATGCTCAAGTACGCTGGTCTTCCCGGAAAGTACTGGTCTTACGCTCTCGCATCGGCCACGTTTGCTCTCAACCGCTCGCTTCATCCTTCTAAGCGCAAGACACCGTATGAACTCTACACTGGTCACAAGCCCGACGTTTCGCATCTTCGCACCTTCGGTTCTACCGCCTATGCACTACTACCTAGGGCACTTCGCAAGAAGTTGAGCGATCATTCACAAAAGGGCATCTTTCTCGGCTACAGCGGTGAATACAACTATCTCATCCTTGTCGATCGAAACACTACACCCAAGGTCATTATTACTCGAGATGTGACATTTTCGGACATTCCCTCGACCTCGTCTACTCCGATCATTGACATCCAGTCTGATCCTCGCGATTTCGTCGTCGAACATCTTTACGAGTACGAAATGGTTCCTCAGCTTCGACCTGATCAAAACTTTATCGAACTTGAGGATGATGTCCACCTTCCTGTAGCACCTCGCGCAGATGTACCTGGTCCTGCTGTTGCACCTCGCCCAGTAACACCGGTTAGTCCCGCTCCTAGCACTCTAGCTGGAGATGATGATGATCATCCTTCTAGGCCAGTGACACCTGATCCTGGGTCCGATAATGAAGCTGACAATCTTGCTTACCCTAATGATGGCCATGAATATCGTCCTTACAACGTCAGTCGCAATCCGGGTCCTCTAGAAAACATCAACGAGGATAATATCTTGCCCGCTGGTTCCCGCCGTCAACGTCGCCTCGCTGCTTACTCGGTCATCGATACGAATCACATCTATCTCGATCCTCCTGAACTTGTTGCCCGTGTTTCACCCACCAACCTCGCACTACCTCGTACTCATGAAGAAGCTATGGCCTCCATCGAAGCTCCTTTCTGGAAAGCCGCCGAAGCCGCCGAGATTGCGAAATTCGTCGAACTCAAGGTTTTCGCTTCCGCTATTCTTCCAACTGGTATGCGCGCTCATGGTGTTCGTTGGATCTACACGCGTAAAGAAGATGCACAAGGAAATATCACCAAGTACAAGGCTCGTCTCGTTGTTCAAGGCTATTCACAAACGTACGGTGTCGATTTCATCGACAACTTTGCTCCCGTCGCTTCACTTTCTACCATCTTATTCCTCATCGCTATCGCCGCTGCCCAAGGCCTCGTCCTTGAACAGTTCGACTATGATTCAGCCTTTCTCAATGGCACGATGACGGAAGATGTTTATATCAAGGTTCCTGATGGCTGGCCGCTTGCACACAAGCCCGGTTCAGTCCTCAAACTCCTCAAGTCGATGTATGGAACGAAGCAAGCTCCTCGTCAATGGTATGCCGCGGTCGATGACCTCATGAAGACTCGTGGCTTCCATCGCTCTACGTCGGACGCTTGTCTCTACATCAAACGCAAAGGTCGCCGGTTCATTTTTGTATCACTTTACGTCGACGATGGACTCGTGTAAGGCGCCGCTCCGCTTACGCCTCACGACGACCTCGAGCCAACCTCTGCGGCCTCACGCTTGCCCTCGCGCGCGGCGCCGCCGCGTCTCTTGACCTTAGTCCTTTTAGTAGTCTTTCTTCGCCTGCGAATTACACCGTTTGATCCTTTCAGTTTGGACTCGGAATCAGTGAAAGGCACGAGAAGTGAAAGGCACGAGATCGCTCTCGAGCCTCACTGATTCCGAGTCCAAACTGAAAGGATCAAACGGTGTAATTCGCAGGCGAAGAAAGACTACTAAAAGGACTAAGGTCAAGAGACGCGGCGGCGCCGCGCGCGAGGGCAAGCGTGAGGCCGCAGAGGTTGGCTCGAGGTCGTCGTGAGGCGTAAGCGGAGCGGCGCCTTACAACTCGCTGCTTCGAACGACCAACAGTTCCTCAATGATGAACTATCTGCATTCAATTCGGTATACTCGCTTAAACGACTCGGTCCCGTCAAAACTTTCCTCGGCCTAGAGTTCCATCGCACTTCCGAATACATCATGGTACACCAGAGTACGTATGTTCGTGGTCTCCTTGAGACTTATGCGTTCGATTCTGTCTCGAACCGTCCGGTCTCATCTCCTATGGAAGATCGGAACGTCGTCGAATCGAATGAACCTTTCACGGATGTCAAACTTTATCAATCGGCCGTCGGTGCTTTGCAATATGCGGCTCATCGCACTCGTCCGGAGATCGCCAACGCTGTTCGTTCTGTCGCTAAGCACGTCGCTGCGCCTACCATGACGAACTGGATCGCTATCAAACGTATCCTTCGTTATCTCTCTACGTCTGTCGACCTCGGTCTTGTCTTTCGTTTTGGCGCTTCTACCAAGTTCGAGATCTACTCTGATGCGTCTTGGGCCGACGACTGGGACAACGGTAAATCGACCGGCGGCTATGTTGCCATGTGCGCGGGTGGTCCCGTCTCCTGGCAATGCAAACAGCAATCTATCGTCGCTACGTCCACAACCGAGGCTGAAACTCTTGCTGCGTCTGCTGCTTCCAAAGAGGCAGTTGGACTTCGCTCTCTCGCCCTCGAATTGGGCATCGATCAAACCTCGTCGACTGTTCTACATGAAGACAACGAAGCTTGTATCGCTATCGCCCGCAATCCTGCTCATCGTGGTCGCACTCATCACTGGAACGTGCACCATTTCTACGTACGTGAACGCGTTGAATTCGGTGACATCACCCTTCAATACTGTCCGACCGCTCTCAACACGGCCGACATGTTCACAAAGGCACTGCCTAAAGCACTCTTTCTCAAGCATCGCGCTGGACTTGGTATGGCTTCTCTCGCTACCTCGACCAGGGGGAGTGTTGTCTAGGTGGTAGGCCATCGGTAACGAGGCGCGGCGCGCGCGCAGGGGCTCGATTGGTTTTAAGGCAGTGGATTAAACTTAGTGTCTGAGTGGATTATATTCTTGCGCGTGGGCCTATGCCTTCGCAATGCGGACTCCCTTGTTTAGCTTTTCTTTAATCACTTGTTCCTCAACTATCGGTTCTGACACTGCTGCGTATCGTCCTACCGCTGCCACCTCTATAGGTGGTGCACTTTTACTTCATGGCCTCTCCTTGCTTTTGTTGCAAAACCATCCTGGTCGCCTTAACCAGTACACCAAAAGTGAAGGCACCTTCAAGAGATGCATGCGCCGAATCCTTTTTCAACAGCTTTGCTGCTCGCTCGGAGTCGCGGTCGAGGGAGGCCGTGCTCGATCTGAAGTGCCGTGTAGTCGAGGTCAAGGATCGACACGACCCCCAGCGCGTCGCAGAGAATGGACCTAGCTGCTTGCCAAAATTGAGAAGAGTCAGGGCAATCATGCCAAAAGTGAGTAAAGTCATCCTCCACCCCTGCCAGGCTGCATGCCTGCACAAGGCAGCAGGCTGAGTCGCCATGCCGCTGCACAAACTGGCGCTTCCGCGTTGGCGTGAAGTGGTACGCCAGCTGTCATCATCGTGCATACTGTTGGAATTTAACAATGATCCCGAAAATGATCAACAAAAGAAGAGAAAACGGCTGGACCAGGAATCGAACCTGGGTGGTTTCCATTAATCGGAAAAGCTTTGACCTCTAAGCTATCCGGCCCCTGATATCAGTGCAAGGTCTACTAACACCTTCAATACATACTGGGAAGCATCTCCTTTAATGGATGTGGGTTCAACTCTCCAAAAGCCGCTTGCACAGTGATTATAGCGCGAGAGGGGATGTCATGTTGCACCGAGGCTCGAGAAGCCGAAAGGGACCGTGTCGTAACTAACAACTACGGATCACGAATAGTAATGATATATATAAAAATAGAGAAGAAAAAAAAAGATATCCTGGTGAAGGCAAATTAGGGAAGGCGGGCGGGAAGCTCAGAGGACAAAGGGATCGCTTTGCGAGGCGTAGCGATCGGGGATGATAAGTAAACAGGGGCAACTATGACAGAGGTGCAGCGTAGCATACCTTTGCGAGGCGTAGCTCGGGCGTCAAATGCAAAGGGGCTGAGCGTCCGGGAAGTCTCGGCTGAAGGTGGCCTGTAGGATGCTACGCGTCAGTTTGGTGCGCCCAACTAGGGCGTTCCAGGAGAGGATAGAGGTCGTACAGAGAAATCGCGGAGAACTACTGCACAGCAAGTGAACCATGAGTACGTCGTGCAACTAGCCGAGCGTATTCGGAGCACTTACCTCGAGCGCGTGGCAGAGGTGCGTGCGTCGAGGGTTTCTGGAAAGCAGCGGGCCGCTGTAAGGTCCTGTTGAGGAAGGAGACTTCCGAGTGAGCGACGGATCGCTTGGATGAGGCTCCAATGTTGGAGGACCAACTAACCCTTGGCAGAGGGTGGCAGTGCTGGAGCAGCAAGCTGGTTCCAGGAAGCGTCGACGGTGCGGGACCGAGGAGAGGGTAAGCGGCGCGGCCGCGGAGCACTCGAAGAGAGGTTGAGGGCTCTGAGGACTCACAGAGAGACCGAGGACGCTGAGCGCTCCAGAGAGGCTAGGGATACGCTGAGCGCTCCGGAGAGGCTAGGATCGGCTGACGCTGAGTCAGGATTAGAATGCACGGATGCGCGCTTGAACAATGAGCGTGGAACTCTTACCGCTAAAGCTGAACAGACATCGGCTGGCCTGCGCGATCGGCTTCCAGCGGCTGCACCTGCTCCGCTGGCGCGTTCATCAGCGGTTCGAGCTGGACAACGTCGTGGCCCCTCCCTCGCTTCCCAGTGCGCTCAGAGCGTTCGAGCGAGATTTTCTCTCTCGAGCGGGTTTTGTGCCTGGGGTTCGAGATTGGGAGGTGTGATGACCGAGTTAAGTCCTTCCTTCCCATTTTCCTCCCCTCCTTTCCTCCCTTCCTTTTCGGAGGTCGACTTTTCTTTCAGAAGCTGACTGTCTTGAAACTTGTTGCGCAGTGGAAGGCTGCGCACCTCTCCCTCTCTCTACTTTGTGCAGTAGCGGTTTTCGTTCTTGGATGGATCGGCAAGCCGGGTCGATCGTCGTTGCGTTGGAGGCTTTGTGAAGTTCTCCCCTCTCTTTCCCCCCCTTTCTCCCTTCTCTTCCTCATCTCGTTCCTGTTGCTCGGTTGTTGACTACGCTTCAGCCACTTCTTCTTTTATTCCTAAGCCGTGTGTTGGATTCCGTCGAATAGATCGTTCGTTCGCGTTGGTCAAGATCTACGGCATGGATCGGGAAGAAAGGTCGCTCGTTTTTTTGGTCAATATCCTCGCGTCAAGGCGAGGCTCGTTTCGTTGTATTGGATCGTTTTCGCTCGGCGACGGCTCAACAGCCAGCACTCGAGACTCAGCCAAGGGAGGACATCAGGCGCTGTCGGGGTGACGAGTAGCTGGGGCTTGGCTGCGGCCTGTCAGTCCCTGGGGACCTCTAGCTCTGGCTTCGACCCCCTCCCTTGGCCCCTCGGGTGTGTTCCCCTCCTCCTCCCCTCCTCTCTGTCTTAGTATTCCTGGTTCTCCGTGTTTCCAGTCGTGAATTTTTGTATATTCTCCCCTTTTCTTTCTCTAGGCGCTCTTGCCTGGTTTTCGAGTATCTTCGCTCCCGCTCTTGGGACGTGAAGCGGCAGCAGTACTCACCGCCCGTTGGAGTCCGCGTTAGGTGCTCGGCGGGTTTTGATCTGCGCAGCGCTCTTTGCGCGCAGGGGTTTGACTTTCACCCAATTGCTTGCCGTCGTTGCTTTATAACCTCTTTTAGCTCTTTTTCTAGCGGTCCCAGCCAACCCGAAGGATTGCAATTTATGAGCCCCAGTAAAAATAAAAAAAAGTTCCGTAGGGGGTTTTCTCGTCTTGCAAATTAGCGATGAGTTTCATACCAAAAAAAAGGCTAGCACGTATTCGTGCCCTAGGGGCTGGCCATATATGGCCCATATGGTTATTCGCCTAAATGATTAGGAAGGCCGTATGCCGGGGCCATATGGAGCCGTAGGGATGCCTTATGCCCTCCATAATTTTCGCGCGCGCATGTGTATTACGAAGTCAGGACCTGATTCTGGTCAGCTTGAAGAGTAGGCGCCTCAGAACCATGGTCCACCGTACGACGTCCCCGCGGGCACCGATCTCCAGCCTGCAAACAATCAGTTTTGAATACGTATCACATACCTACCGTAGTCACAGGTTTCCTCTGCACTTCAAGTTGGTCCGAGGAAAATTAATGTCAGAGTTGTTTTCTCGGGGCGCACGCGGACATGTTCGATCTCGGATTTCGCCCGAATTTATGATCACCTCCTCGGGCGTGGTCAACTCCAGAGCGCCCTGGTTGAGCTGGAGCATTCCAATGGGCACGAATGCCCATCCTGTTGCAGACAGGCTTGTTTGAGCGTTTCCCTCTACCTGGAAATCGAGCGAATGCGCCACGGAACAGACCAACTCCAGACATTCTCTTCGGGTTCATGCTCTTCCATGCTCGGCAGTTGCGTTGCGGAGCGTTGAATAACTTGAATTTGATTGGCTTTTCATTGGGTGATCCTACAGAGCGATAGCGCCGTACACTGTCGCCCAGATCTGTTGCGTGCAATTGAGCTGCGAGTGGGTGTCGTGTCGTGGCTTGAACCTTGAGTTTTTGACCCTTACAAGATAGTAAGACGGAGTGAGTACTATAGTAGCTCGCCGGCGGTCGGCGACGGCGGAACTTGCGCCGGCCATGAACTTCGCACAGGTTCTGCTCGCACGCGACGCGTCAGTGGGGGCGGCAATTGTCTCCTGACGCCACCCTAATCTCCTGAGTCGTGCCCGTTTCATAGCAGTTGTCTCGGGTGACAGACAATCTTTTCTGCTTTCTCGTCGTTCATCCACTCTGCTGCGTCCCTCTTCCGCTTCCAGCTCGTGTCTTTTCTCGCCCGCCACTCGCTGTCAAGTGGAGCCCCAACCCTCGCCCCCTCGACGATCGCCAACTCTTACCACTTTAATAGCCGCTGCCTCCTAGCAAGTGGGTGTAACGAATACCCCACCGCTCTACCTTAACTCATGGCGACCCCAAGTGGTGAACCCGCCGACGCGTTCGCGAGTTATGTCGCGTTGCAGACCCAGGCCCTCGATATCGTGCGCGAGGCGTGCTCGGGCCGGGAAGAGCTCGTGCAACGTATTGCCGATCTCGAACTTGAACTAAACGTGTGAGTAGAATCAGTGCGGCCTCAGCCCCATCAGCTACCGCGTCTGAATCTGTTGCCGGCTGCCTCTGCACAGCTGGAAAGACGCCCAACGCAAAGAGGTTGCGCTTAGAGAGAACGCACTGCGAGCTCTCCATGCCCTAGAGGTAAGCCTTTCGATCGTTCCCACGATTCAAAGATGACTCGTGCTGACTCGTCTCATTTCATCAGGACAGCGAAAGGCTTGCCGTCTGCCTGATCGACGGGGACGCGTGTCTCTTCAACCGTCAACTAATCGCCCGAGGCCGAGACGGTGGCCGTGATGCCGCGCAAGCTCTGCAGAAGCACATCGCAGAACTCGCATCCAAGACCTCGACGGGCAATGGCAAGCCGACTGTGATCTGTCAAGTTTGGTTCAATAAGCAAGGCCTGAGCCGCGTATTCCAAGAAATGGGCATCGCCTCGGACGCGACCTTCTCGGCCTTCATCCAAGGGTTCAACCAAGCCCACCCCCTCTTCCTCATGACCGACGTCGGAGGACTTAAAGAAGCATGCGACGCCAAGTTCCGCGAGACGTTGCGAATGTACGCCCGCATGATGGCGTGTAAGTTGCTCGTCCTCGGATGTTCGAGCGATGGTGGTTACGCGCACCAATTGCAGTCGCTCAAGACCGAGGCGCTCGACTGGAAGGTGCACCTTATCCGTAGTAGCGAAGTGGCGTTCGCGATTAAACAATTAGCAATTCAGGAGGTCGAATTCGAGGACCTCTTTGAGAGAAAGAAGCTGATCGTCTCGATGCCGCATACAAGTTCGTCGTCGTTGTCATCGATGCCAACCGCCGTTGCCGGGCCAAGCGAATTGAAATGGTCGGCTTCGACGCTCAGCAGCGTACCCAAGACGCCCAAGAAGGGAACCGCCGCTGCTGCTTCGAACGCCACTCCTTCTGTTTCGACGGGAAGTAATGCGGGCGTGGCTTTCACCCCCGTGACGGCCACCAAACGGGTGAAGGACAAAGCCCCGATTAGCGACAAGGAGAACGGCTTCATCAAGATCACGGGCAAGTTGAGGGCCATCGACCCCAAGAAGCCGCTTTCGAGGCAGAACGTGAGGGGCTTCGTTCACGGGCCTGCGCACTTAAATATCTTCTAACTTTGCCACCCTTTTAAATATCGCAGCCACCTCCTTGCAACATATTCTACCTCATCGGCGAATGCACGCGAGGCGACTCGTGCCCCTACGCGCACGACTACCGCCTCTCTGCACAGAACATTGCGACCTTGCGCGTTGACGCCAAGAAGAGCGCATGCTACACCGTGACCAAAGGACGGCCCTGTACGGATCCCTTGTGCGTGGCGGGGCATGCGTGTCCGGCCGGGTTGGCGTGCAAGTTCGGTTCAACGTGCAAATTCCCGGCTTCGATGCACCCGAATGGCAAGTTCATCAAAAAGGGCACGCGCTCACCCGAGTCGTCGGGGTATGATACCGAGTCGGAGTGAGACGTCTTCGTGATGCCCATGAAGTTGATCTGTCGAACTGCATAAAAAGGTAATAAGGATCGGCAGAAGAAGGGAGTAGAAAAGTTCATGCCGAGGTAGATCATTATAGGCTCCATGAGCAAACTTTCGAAAAGGGTGGAAATCCCTGAAGCTCGTTAGAGCTGAAGGTTTCGTTTCGAAAAATGGGGGGGGGGTCCCAGCCTCGAAAATGATGCTATTCTGAGATTTTATTGGACGAAATGCCCGAAATACCCCGCACGCGCGTGGCTGTCGAAACCCCAATAGGAGACCCCGATATCAGCGCCGATTGGTGCGAACAATGCTCCCCCCGATGGGAGGACCCTGCCTTTGAGCACAATAGGAGAGTCCGACTCGGTGTCAGCGCCGATCGGTTTGAACAATGCTCCCCCGGATAGGAGGACCCGGCTAAGCGCGCCGATCATTAATTTTTCTCAATGGCCAGTGGCCACCAGCCCGGTTGCTAACCTAACCTGCCGAGTCGGCGCTCTCAGCACACAGCTTGGGCGTCATCAGCCTTCCCGAGTTCCCGCGCCAGAGCGCACTACATACTAGTGCAGACAAGCGCAAGCTAGCGCACTCAGGCTGGCCTCCGTTAGCAAGTTGCCACCGCCCGGCCCTCTCCTCTCTGTACTGCCTTATTCTAACTTGGACCGAGTTTCCTCGCATCTCTAAGACAGGCTATCACACAATCGCCGTCATGTCACTGCTTTCTGATCTTGTACACCTCCGCACCATCGAGGTCAGCCCACACCCACAGCGCTCAACGCCTCGAATCTCCACAACGTGTTAAGCCCGCGTCCACCACTAGCGACAGCCGATCCTCCCGCCGCACCGATCGAGCACAGTGTGTCTTCCGGTCCGCTCCTACGCAATAGTTGAGTGTCAGTACTCGAAGATGTGGTTGTCAAATGCAGTCTTGGGCAGCTCGTGCGCAGCAGCATCAACTTCAGCATGGGTCTCCTGAAGGAGCTTTGTCGGGCGCACCACGTGGAAGGATACTCCAGGAGGAACCCGCTTGGAAAAGAGCGATTCCTACGAGTACTCGTCTGGTCGTGCGATCCAAACTGTGATGCTTGTTCAAATGAGTATGTCTTCAGAAGACAACAAGCCGCGACCCCCGTGACTCCGCCACGTCGACATTGCTTCCCCGACCACAGAGCATACGCATCAAAACCTGTTGACGTGCTTCGAGCCTGACTGAACGAGGAAGTCCAGAAGAAGCGAGAACGTCTCGGCGACTACCTCTAAACAAACGATGCACAGACGTCCACCGCTGCATCCCAAACCCGAACAAGAAGAACATGGTAAAGTGACATCGCATTTTGCGCCAGCATCCGATCAGTTCAAGACCGAGCACCGTTCTGAATGGAATGATTACTTCACCGACGCTTGTTCCCGTCTCTTCTGCTGCCTGGTGTGCTCCGAGAGAGTCTTCGGGCATAAAGTACGATGGGTGCCTGAACACCGCATCAAGCGTGAGGAATCAGGGATTTGGAAGGTATTTATCAACTCTAGACTACGTACGGACCTCCGACCACCGACTTACGATTCTTCAGCTTGGCGGGGCGCACTCATCCATCCCCGAGGTCTTCAGCGACCGAAAGATTTAATCGATCAGATCGCGTACTCGCCCATGAACAACACGCTTCAGTGCTCACTCTGTCCAGACTGCTTCAAACGGTTGTTCCCTACCACAGGGCCACCGACTAAGCCCCCTCGGTCGTTGAGCAACGGATTTTATCGCGCACTGGATCATGTCCCCGCTGATGTCCGAGTATGCTTCTCCTACGCGAGTCAGCTTGAGCACCTCTTCACTGCGCGCGCCAGAGCCTACAAGAGCGTGTACAAGCTAACTCGTTTCGGAGATCCCAAAGTTCAACAAGAATATACGCGCGGAAACACCCTCATCTTCAGCCAGAACACCGCTTCGTTCACCGATGTACTGTCCATGTCAGGCGAGGAACTCGCTGACAGTGTGTGCGTTCTATTCTGCAGAGGGAACCCCAACCTTGCGGAGCTGGACAAGTGTCGACCCATGATCGTGAAGCAGAGTCGGATCCACTGCAAAAGATGCTCAGGTGATTGATCAACGAAAGCAAGAATTCGGCTTACTCTGCCGTCTCCTTTGATGGCCATTGCACAGCTCGTTCGACGCAGTTCCGGTGCGCTCAACCCGACCTCTACAGCTTCTACGGCGGTTTCAGCTTCGACTTCGACTTCGGCTTCCGTCTGCGTTGCTCCCCAAGTATCGGATCTACAAATCGCCGATGGAAACTGTCTCGTGCCCGACGTAGTTCTGGCGAAGGTGGTGACCGCAGAGACAGTGGAACCAACATCATCGCTCTTTGAAGGCTACGCAACAGAGCATAACGACTTTGATGAACCAGTATTCGAACACGTACATGTGCCGCCACCCGCTACCGACGAACCAGTTCACTCGTGGCAGTTCCCTGAGAAAGCTCTTCGTTATTTCAACCACTGCAAGACCAGAGCGCCCCCCCCCCCATGTCATTCCGACAGGCGATGACCCTTTGTGGGAATGTTCGGATGACTTCCTGCTCTCAAAGCTGCAATGTGGCCACACCTCGATCCATTCGGTCTCGTCGGTGTCTGTGTCGAGCGCGACGTCAAGATTTCTCTGGAGGAGCAAGTGAGTCAAACATTGGCTCAATCTATACGACAGCGAATTCGGAGGCCACCCGTCTCGAACATTCATCGTCTCGAACATTCATCGTCTCGAACATTCATCGTCTCGAACATTCATCGTCTCGAACATTCTCCGCCGACGAGACGTGTTTCACCACCTCGCTTTTCGGGTCCCCAAAGAGAAGGTGGCTCGAATCGCCGCAGCACTGCTCGAAATTTACCGCATATCGACCGTATTCTGGCGTTTCGTCCAAGCACGCACGTACTTCAACCAGGCGAGGCAGGCCCAACACGCTCGCTTTCAGTTCGTGCCGCATCGGATCCGGGTACATGCCAGGAACAAGCCCCTCTTCATGCAAGTCGCGCGTACAATCAACTAAATTCCTGTATGGGTAAGCTGATCTGACAATTCTACGGCATCGTCATCATTACAGCCTTGTCAGTAGAAGTCAATGTGGCCGTGCACCAGTCCGCCCGCCGCGGCTGTCAAAGCAGCGGCGCACCCGGGTCAAGCCGCCGGCGGTTCTCCCTTGTCCCCCTCTTCTCACCGACCGTCCACCGTCGCCCAAGGAAAAGCTATCACCGGTCAAGAGTTCCATTACCGTGGCATTGACCTTGCCCCTTCCAAAAAAAAACGTAAGTCGCTCCCTGAAGTCCCGATCTCTCAACGTCAACTGAAACCACTTCTTATAGCCAAGTTCGGTGAAAGGGCGATGTGGGTCCCCGGCGCTGACGACCACATGCATACACAAAGTTGGAGTCGGACCAGACACGGACTGTGGCATGGGCGATGTCGAGTGATCTCAACTTATGCATGTACACCCTGGCTCTGGCTCGATCTCTTCTTGTCTGCAATGTTCATTAATGTTTGGCACATACTTACACGACTCATTGATGTGGATTGAACCGACTCGCCAACTTGGTGCTGCATGCCCGATCCTTGGCACGTTCTTAGTTATACTAGCTGACGTTGTCAGTCGGTGTTACTCCGTCAGAGGTTCAGGGACCCGTCGCCCCCTCCGGGGGCGCGTTAATAGCAAGTTAAAAGGCGAAAGATCGATGCGCGCATGAGCAATGGAGTCACGCCGAGGAAGCGAGGGGGGTCCGAGCAGCTGGCGGGCGGATTTGGCAAAGTTTGTCTACTCTTTGGCTCTCTGCGGGTTCTATCGACTGCTGCAGGGGGCGCATACAGCGAGCTTGCTGGTGTCCCTCCCCCCTCTATATTACGGACCCTGCTCGACATCGACCATTCGCTCCGCCTACGGCCTCATCGCGGTTCGATTCGACAATCTCCACACTCGGATAAGTCGCGACCTTTGGAAGCACACGACTGACCTCGAGTCTCGATGGCACCACCTGGCTTCTCAGGGGCAGCCGGGGGGGTCGGAGGGATGGTCAATCGCTCGACGAACCGCTTCTCGGCGCTGCAGTCCCTGGCCGCTGAGCAGGTGAGTCTGATCGTCAAGCTGGTGGCTTGGGCTTGGGTGTGGAGGAGGTCTACACGAGTGCAGAGTGCTCGTGGGAGTAGCGACGTGCAGCGCGATCCCGGCCGCGACCGAAGCATGCCTCCTGCTCGCTCTGGTCACGTCTGTTTGGGGTTGGGCGGTGTGGGTGGGGACCGTGCACGCTCGTCGCGTACGCGCTTCAACACGGCGGCCCGGGGGACCCAGCTCTACAGGCAACAAGACGCGCTGGAATCGTACCTGACTCGATGAGCGGTTGGGGTGCTACAGGATACCGAGATCGAGGACGAGTTGGCCAGGGGTGAGTTCGTGTTTCTGCGATTCAAGCGGCGTTGGCGACGAGACTCGGGCGCGTGCCCGAATCCACCGCCAAAACAGCAACGGCTTGGCGGCCCTGTGGCATGATGCGACAAGTGAAGCAACCGGCAGCACAGCAGACGGACACACACACCCGCGATCGTCCTAGCCGCGAGGTCGCGATCGTGTTAGCATGGTGCAGGGTGCAGGAGGTTTGCTGCTATCGGAGGCGTGGTCCGAGCGCGGATGTACGAATTGTCGCCCGTCTGTCGATTCTACGATTCTACGGACAACGCTGGAACCGAACGGCACTACAAGCATATATGTTCAATCACTGTCGAGATGATCTACAAGCTGACACCATTGGCTTGACTTGTCCTTCACTGCGTTGTCGCCCCCAGCTCAAAAGCGGTTGCGCGACCTCAAGGCCCGGATTTCGAATCAGTCCAAGAAGAACTTTGTCTTGGAACGCGATGTCCGCTATCTCGACAGTCGTATCGCTTTGCTGATCCAGAACGTCAGTGCCTGACTCTGGCGGTCCTTACCAGTCCGCGCTCGACCGAGCTTGGGCAGAGGACTTCCCTGACGACGTAACTGACTCTTGGCCTTCACGATGCCGAACAGCGCATGGCCCTCGATGAACGCGAGGAAGTGCGAGAACATTTGGAAGACGTTGATGAAGGAGCGGATACACAGCTCGGCGATCGGAAGACGCAGGTCGGTCCCAGGTCGATGATGGAGACTGATCCCGGATGTCAGACTGACGCCCCTTTCACCTTCGATGATTTCACCAACAGCAATACTCGAATCTCTTCTTCCTCCTTCAATCCGAACCACGGCACATCGCCGCACTGTGTCGACTCGTCTCACTTAGCGAGATCGACACGCTATTGCAAACCGTCATGTTCACTCTTTACGGGAATCAATACGAGTCACGCGAAGAGCATTTGCTCTTGACTATGTTCCAGGTGAGTGGTCAACATCGTTTCGACCGCTTCAGGAAACTGATGATCCTCTTTTCCTCCATGACAGTCCGTGCTTTCGGCCCAATTCGAGACGGCGACCGAATTCGGATCCCTTCTGCGAGCCAACACACCCGTCTCGCGCATGATGACGACCTACACTCGACGAGGTCCAGGACAGAGTTATCTCAAGAGCGTGCTGGCCGAGCGGATCAACAGCTTAATCGAGCACAAGGAACTGAACCTCGAAATTAACCCCTTGAAGGTGGGTCGACAAAAAGCTGGCCCGCGCAGATCGCGAACACGAACGCTAACCAAGCGTGCTGTTGTCTTGTGCTCACAGGTTTACGAACAAATGGTCAACTCGATCCTCGACGAAACGGGCGAACTGCCCGAGGACTTGCCCAGATCGGTCGCTCCCGAAGTCGCGGCCGCGAACCCGGATGTGCAAAACATCATCGCGCCTCGCTTGACAATGTTGATGGAGATCGCCAATAGCTTCCTCTTGACCATCATGGACAGCATCAACAGCGTGCCGTACGGGATAAGGTGGATCTGCAAGCAGATTCGGAGTTTGACAAAGGTCAGTGCATGATAGCTGTGGACGAATCGCGTTCGAATTGGCTGACGCGACAGTCCGTCGACAGCGCAAATACCCCGAGGCAACGGATTACGCGATCTGCTCGTTGATCGGCGGTTTCTTCTTTCTGCGATTCGTCAACCCCGCGATCGTCACACCGCAAGCCTACATGCTTATCGACAGTCTGCCAGCCTCCGCCAAGCACCCGCGGCGGACACTGACACTCGTGAGCGGACGATCGCCGAGATGTTCGTACAAGGCTTCATCTGACCTCGCACTCTGTCCCCTGTTCCCAGATCGCCAAAATGCTGCAAAATCTCGCCAACAAGCCTTCGTACGCGAAAGAGGCGTATATGATGTCGCTCAATCCCTTTGTCGACAACAACAAGACGCGGATGAACCAGTTCCTGAACGCTCTGTGTGATGTCGGAGATTTCTACGACACGCTCGAGGTGCGGTTGCATTCGATCTGAACTCGTACGAGCCTTCTAACTGACCAGAAGCGGTTTTGCCCCTTGTGCAGATGGATCAATATATGGCACTCTCCAAGAAGGATTTGCAGATCAGCATTACTTTGAACGAGTTGTACAACACGCAATCGCTGCTCGTGCAGCATATCGATTCCTTGGTAAGTCAGCCAGTCGGCGAGCTCTGGAACCGGTCAACCGGTGACTCGTGCTGATTGTTACTTTTCTCCTCTCACAGGCTCGGAACGACAAGCAACATCTCCGAATCCTCCTCGACGAGCTGGGACCTGCGCCGGCGCAAGTCCCACGCAAGGAAAACCGCACCTTGGAACTCCCCCTCTATTCACGATGGGAGATGCCGATCCAAGACATCACGACGGCCTTGATGGCCGAGAACAACGTGACCCAAAACGACATCCTCTACATGGAAACCAAATCGATCTTTGTTCAACTAATCCGTTCGATCCCTCGATTGGCCGAGCGTAAACCCATCCTACTCCCAACGGTCGCTGAAACGGCCGCGACGGCAAAGGACGCGACGCTCGTTCGCAAGGGTATCAAAGTTAAGGAGATGTTGCGCGAATTGGAGGAACTGCGGCTCGTCGATCGTAAAGACGGGTACAAATTATTGACGGACGAAGTCTCGAACGAGTTGATTCACCTCGGCAACTTGAGGGAAAAGGTCGTCCTCGAGACACGATCGCTCGAAGCGGTCTACAAGACGATCGGGGACCATAATGCGTATTTGAGGTCACAGTTGGAGCAGTACAAGGCCTACTTGCAGAATGTGAGGCAGACTTCGGGCGGGAAGGGCAAGAGCGCTGGAGTGGGCGTTGTTTCCGTGGCCGGGAAAGATCAGAAGGCGGCTAAGAGTCAGGCGCTGGGACCGTTCAAGTTCACGCATGCGCAGTTCGAGAAGGATGGTATCATTGTCGAAACGAACGTACCCGAGATTCGGTGAGTCTGGTTTGGTCTAGGGGGACGCCTGGGCGAGGAGCTTACCGCTCCCTTGCGTGATTGTGCAGACGTGCAAGCATCTTCTTTCTCGTCTCGTCTCCAACACCAGGAGCGTTTCTTATTGCGTTGCATTACAAGGGACGAGAGAAGGCGATCCTCGAGATGGATCTCAAGATCGACGACTTGTTGGAGAAGGTGAGTCCTGTCCACGAGCACAGGGGAACTCTCAGCAATCAAGTGAGCTAAAATTTGCTCTGTTTTTGTGGGTACGGCCTTGCAGCAAAAGGACGGTGTCGCACTACTGGACCTCGAATATGTCAGCCTCAACGTTCCCAAGGTGTTGGCACTGCTCAACAAGTGAGTCGATCTGTGCTCTCGGTGGTGGGATCCCACGTGCTGATGGGGTGTCGCCTGCTGCAGATCTTTTGTGCGGAAAAAGTGACAGCGCGTTGGCTCGGAATATCTTACTTTGACACTTGCTTTGTGCTCGTTGACGAGTTGGTCCTTATGGCTTTTCTTCTATCTTTACTGCTTGCAGTGCCATTTTCTCGAACGCACGCTCTGATCGGGGTCCTGTGTGACGATATATCGTCTTCTTTTCCTTCTCTAGCTTTCTTTCCCACTCCTATTATCTTGCTCTTTTTCCCTTCTAATTCGTGGGTGGCTCGACTTTACTCCTACCTTATATATCCCGTGCAACCTAGGTTCTTGTTGACCCGGCCCCGGCCCCGGCGGCGTGCATGGTTCGGGCGAGGCGGACGTGACCGCGGGCCGAGACGGTGAGTTGCGCGTGTCGTCCGAGGGCGAGTCGATGCCGACGGCGTGCGTCATCGAGCGCATCGAGCGCCCAGGCGGAGCAGGGCGGAGCGAAGTCGAGGGAAGTCACTGGCAAGTTCGACCGTCTTAGACCGTCTTTCGCCTCCGATCGCCCCTCGTTGCACCCTCGTTGCACCCTCGTGGCGCTCCTTCCTGCCTCCTACCTGCGCATTCCCCCCTTCAGCTCAAACCGCACACCATGTGAGCCCACGCCCCAGAGCCTCCTCAAGACCAGCACCCCAAGCTGACCCAACCTCGCCCTCCTCTTGCACCAGGTCCTACGCCCAAGTCGCCTCGCACAACACCTCCGGACCCCAGGCCGTGCCTGATCCCAATTTGCTCGAAGGCTCCATCTCGCACGCTGGAGCGGGTGCAGGCCAGGCCACCGTCGATGAGGGCGACAAGGTCCATGGTCAGTACGACAAGAGTACACTGGAAGTAGTGTAGGATCGTAAACTGAACCCTTGACCGTTCTCTTGATCCCGTCGCGGCTCACTTTCCCCGCCTCCTTCTCCTCCTCCTCCTCCTCCTCCTCCTCCTCGTCCGGGCCCATCCCGTCACCCCCCCCCCCACCTGCAAGTCGTCGACGCCGAGGCGGCGAGAAAGATGCGAGAAGCGATAAACCACGCCGACGAACACGCCTCGCACGAGTTCGACGATCACCTCGCCCAAGCGCGTCGTGAAACCGAGCGCGTCACCGGCCAGGCTCCAGCCGCCCAAGTCCAAGCCCAAGCAAAAGACTCGGCCAAGACCGTCGAACGCAAGTCGCAAGAGACCGCTGACAAGGTCGAGCGGAAAGCTTCGGATGTGGCTGGGAAAGCCGAGAAGAAGGGCAAGCAAGTCGTCGATGAGGCGGAGAAGGACGTCAAGAAGGTTCAGAAGAAGGGGGAGGAATACCTCGACAAGGCAGGGGACGAGTTGCGCAAGGCCAAGAAGACGGGGGAGGAGTACCTCGACAAGGCGGAGAAGAAGACGTCCGAGTATGCGGACAAGGCCGAGAAGAAGGGCAAGGAGTTGTACGGTACGGCCGAGAAGAAGACCAAGGAGGTTGCAGCTGAGGCCGAGCAAAAGGGCAAGGAGATGAAGGGCAAGGCCGACAAGGAGGTGAGCCACCCGAAGAAGGAGTCTGAGCGAGACAGGCAAGAGAACTAATTCGAGGGTGGATGAACGCAGGCCAAGGAGCTGGCAAAGAAGGCGAAGCAACTCGACAAGGAGGGCCGAGAGCTCGCACGAAAGTACCCGATCGCAACAAGCGGGATCCTCGGCTTGGGTGAGTTCGAGGGTTGTGGAAGTCGTTCAAGCGTGCCGATACTGACCACCCCGATTCCCTTGCCAGTCAACCTCGCCGCGGCTGGTGCGGCCGGTTTCTCGATCTACAACTCGTGGAACACGCCTGCTCAAGCACGAACGCTCGCGACCTCGCTCGTGTCCTTGTTCGCGTTCTTCGGTGCCGAGGCGGCGTTGGGCTACCACGAGTACGAGGCGGACCAGCAGGAGCGTTTCAAGAAGCTGTAAGGACGATGAGGAAGGAGTCTGTTGAGGCGTCCGGAAATCTTGATGGTCCCAGGGGCGGGATCATCCCCTCCCCGGGTCCTGTTAATTATTGATCGGAAAATGTGTTCTGTTCCGATTTTTGCTCTTTCTTGTGCGCTGTGAAGTCTGTGTGAGATACAACCCTTTTGTCATACACGTTCAAGGGTCGGACGAGTGTATTCTTTGTGAGATTGAGCGAGTGAGAGTAATCGTAGGTTTGGGAAATTCATGTTCTGTGCCCGTCGCTCTCGCCCCACATCCTGGGTGTCTCCTTTCGCCTTCGTGCGCTCCTCACACGTCATCGCTCGTTGTCCAAGCGTCGTCGACAGCCTCACTCAAAGGGGACTGCTTCAAAGACGTATCTTGCCACCCATAGACTCTCTATCTCAGGCCCTCGACGTGGAGAAACGCGATTGTTCGCACGAGCTCCGAGTTGGCCGACGACTTCTCGTGTTGTGCGGTGCTCGAGCCGGTGACGACGGCCCCCTCGCTGGCCGCCACGCACCGTAAGCAAGGGCGGAAGGGTGTTAAGCAATCACCGGTCCAATGCAGTCCACCTCGGCTCCCTTGACCCGTTCGCGAACGAACCTCTTCCTCTCCTACCGCGACTCGGCGATCCGACCCTCCCACGCGACTCCCTACTCGCACTACCTCGACGATGAGCCGACCCTCTCCGAATCCCAAGCACTCATGAGTGATACCGTCGATGGACCGGGTGGTGGCGTGGGAACGAGCACGAGTCGCAGAGGAAGTGCTGCAGCGGGTCGGACGGTCGAGCTGTTGCCGCCGAGATGGGTCGATTTGAGCGATCGCGTCGATGAGGTGTTGCAGAGGGTCAAACCCAAGAGTGAGTAGCGAGATTCGTGAACTGGTGATGGGCGAGACTGACGGTGTGGCGTCCCTGGCAGTCGCACAACTGGACAAGCTGCACGCCAAGCATATCCTTCCGGGGTTCAAGGACCGATCCGCCGAGGAGAGGGAGATTGATGCTTTGGCCACAGAGATCACCAGCGTACGTTAGACTCAGATAACGTCTGTGATGGGCGACGTGCAAGGTGGGGCCTTTACTGACGTTTGCACCTCACCCCCAACAGGACTTTCGTACCTGCCAGAGGTTCATCCGTCAAATCGCCGAAATGTCCCGCGCACTGCTACAACAACGCGTCACGCATGCCAATGCCGAATCAACGCGCTTGGAGCTCATCATGGCCGCGAACGTGCAAACGGCCCTCGCGACCAAGGTGCAGGAACTGAGTGGGACGTTCAGGAAAAAGCAGACCGCTTATCTGAAGCGTGCGTGAATGGAATGATGTGCTCCGCGTCTTGATTCGAGCGAAAACTGACTCGAACTTTTGCGATCCCGTATTCAGACTTGAAAGGGCACGAATCCAAGGCGGCGGATCTTCATTCCCAAGATCCTCTCTTCTCACTTGGCGAGGACGAGTCCTTCGTGAGTGACGGTCGTTAATCTATGCCGAGCGGAGCTCGAGATTTTTTCAAGCTCATGTAAGCTCCATCCCCTATAGTCACAGAATACGCTTAGATCCTCCCAAACGACGATGTTCGCCTCGTCGCACGGCGTCGACATCCAACAACGTGACGCCGAGATCAACGCCATCGCGCAATCGATCGTCGACCTCGCGGACCTGTTCAAAGATCTCAGTTCAATGGTCATTGACCAAGGCACCCTACTCGATCGCGTCGATTTCAACGTCGAACAAATGGGTGGCGAAGTGCGCGCTGCGGTGGAGGAACTCAAGACGGCGACGCAGCACCAACGTCGATCGGGGAAGTGCCAGTTGATCTTCTTGCTCATACTGCTCATCGTTGGGTGTATTGTCGTGATTGCGTATCGACCGACGAAGGAGTCGAGACCCTCAACGCGAGTGAAGACTCCACCGATAACGGCGTTACCGACCGTACCGCTGGTGGATAATGATGTCGAGGATAAGAGGAGGAGGAGAACGGAGGGGAGGGGTTTACTGGGGTCATTGAGCGAAGGAGTAGCCGCGGCGCAGCCGAGGGACGGGATGAGGTTCCTCAAACCTGGGAGAGGACCCTCTTTACCTGATATCAGGGTTGGGCAGAGAGACAAGATGGGGAAGCTAGAGAGACGGAAGTTGCGGCGGTCCTATATGGTTGATGATCGACGGCGGGGCTGAGTGCATGCATTCTGGGTGCGCGTTCTGCGGGATTTTTGTGCGCTTTTTGCCGTACTAGACGAACTATATAATGACGCTTTTACGAAAGACGAACCTCACGTACGATTCCGATGAAGTGTCTTCCAAACTGTACTTGAACACCACGAGTTTCGGCGGCGTTTTGTTTCCGGCGGCGGTGCCGAGCGCTACTCGATCCGCGCTCTTCGCTCTTCGACCGTTCGAGCAACCAGCAACTTTGTCTTGTGTGCGGATCTGGGACAGGGTTCAAGATGGCCTTGCTGCATCGTCTATCATCCGGGGCTATGTTTTCGACACGCTCACTCTGCAGGACTACAACCACCGTCTCATCATCAACACCACCCAACAGGAGCTCATCCACATCGACCCAGCAGGCCACGCCCTCGTTCTCCCGTCGTCATCATCCCAGCTCGTCCTTTTCAAGCTCCGCAGGCATCGGCTTCGCAACAGCCGCCGCAGTCGTCACCGGTGCTGGGGTCCTCACGCTCGCAGGGAGGAGGTACCTGAGTCGTTCGAGTATGCTGTGCGAGGAGGCTAAGGGGAACGGGAAAGAGGTGAGTTGGGCTGGCAGTTGGTAGTGGGAGAGGGCGATCTTACGGCTTGTGGAGGGTGTACCGGATGCCTTTCACGTGCCTCCCGCCGGCCGGATTGAGTTGAAATCAAGGCGCTGGGCGTGCAGGAAACAGCACGTCATCCGAAAATAGATCATTTGCACGCAGCATCTAGATACTACCAAGTCATCCTGCTGACATGTCTTGCCGCTAGACCCCCTCAAGCACCGGTCTCTTCTCCCTCAACTCGTTACCCTCCCTACCCTCCCTCCCCGATATGCCCGACATCCCCTCCCTCCCTAAAGACCTCATCAACTCGCTCTCCTCCTCCTCCTGGGTCAAAGCGTTACAAACCCTACGCGGATCCCTGGACCTGATCCAAAAAGAGATCGAAGGCGGTGAAGATTCGGCTCGAGCGGCGATCCTCGCCAAAAAGGATGACATCACCATTCATCCCGAGTTAGGGTGGGATGCTCAAGTTCGATTGGGGACCGAAGTCGGTATTGCGGAAAGCGCTTTCTTGAGGGAACGGAAAGCGAGGATGAAGGTTCATTTCGCCAAATTGATGGATCTGCACGAGGAAGAAATTGACGTGAGGGATTTGCCGGTCATTGCTATGGCGGGGAGTGGGGGTGGCTATAGGGCCATGGTCAATACGCTGGGGAGTGTCAAGGCAGCTCAGGAAAGTGGCGTGTGGGACGTCGTGTCGTATGTCTCGGCCATAAGTGGAAGCTGCTGGGTAAGCGGGAAGGATCATCTCAATCTCGCCTCTAGACTTTCCGGCGATTGACGTATGATTTATCTCAGGCTATCAACACGTACTACTCGATCGGAGAAGGTAATATTGATCGCACTTTGGACCACATCAAAAAGAGGATGCAACAGCACTTTCTGGATCCGGCAACGCTCGAATGGCTCATTCAACCGAGGACGAACCAGGTGCGAATCGTGGCGACCGGTAATGTACAGAGTTCAAACCTTCGACCGCTAATTTTCGGACCTTGCCTTTTCCGCAGTACGTCCTGTCAGGTGCGATTTTGAAAGGAGCCAGCAAAGCAGGAACACTTTCCCTCGTCGATGCGTACGGAACGGCCGTCGCTTCTCGCCTTTACGTCCCTGACGACCCGGAGGCCAAACTCTCGCTCGATAACCTCAAGATCTCGCACCAGCGAGTCCACATCGATTCGGGCGAGCACCCCCTCCCCATCTACTGCACCATTCGCCATGAGATCCCTCGGGCCGCTGAAGTCGACAAGGCCGATTCGGAAAGTAAAGATGAGAATCGCACTGATGCCGAGAGGAAAGGAGCCACGGAGAAGAAGGAGGAATTGCTGCTCGAGGGGAGATGGATGTGGTTCGAAACGACACCTCATGAAGTTGGGTGCGACGAGTTGGGCGCGTGGATTCCAACGTGGAGTTTGGGTAGGGCGTTCGAGAATGGCAAGAGTGTCGAGCGGGTACCCGAGCTGTCGTTGACGATCATGTCCGGGATCTTTGCAAGCGCTTTCTGCGCGACGCTTTATAGTGTGAGTCTGAGGAATGGTGACGAAGGCTTATGATCCAAGTGCTGACTGGAAGAATGAGTGCTCTGCGCAGTATTTCAAGGAGATCAGACCCGTCTTGAGCACGCTCCCTTTCTTTGACACCATCAACAGCTTTGGTCAGTTACTTATCCAGAAACGCACTTGCGAAGACACTCCAGAATCTCAGATTCCACCTCCTTCCTACAGTGATGGATCGCCAACCCCAACTCGACTCGATCCACCCCTTACCTCCCGCCGAGCTGCCCAACTTCCTCAAAGGTCTCGGCGGCAAACTCCGGCCCGGTGCACCGCAAAGCATCACCGAACTCACCTCTCTAGGTTTCATGGACGCTGGAGCGAACCTCAACATACCTTACGTCCCTCTCTTTCGTCGCGACGTCGATATCGCGATCGCTTTGGATGCTTCGGCTGATTCGCAAGATCTGTGGTTCGAGACGGCGCATCAGTACGCCGAAGCGAGGGAGTTGAAGTCGTGGCCTAGGGTCGATTGGAAAGGGCTTTTCAAGGACCTCAAGGAAGAAGCTTCTTCGGGTTCCAGAGAAAAGAACGAGAAAGAAAAGAAGGATTCTTCGGATCAGGCGGCTTCGAAAGTCGATGCGGCCAAGTTGCAAGAAAAGGAAGCCAAGTTAGCGAACGGGGGGAACGAGCATAAGGAACAAGAGATCAATCCGCAGAGACCACCGGTGGGTTCGGCACCGCATAGTATGAAATTGAATAATGAGGGGGAGAAGGTGAGGAAGGAAGGGGAGGAGGAGACGGTGGATAAGTTACCGACGAGTCAGGAGGGGGAACCGCCTTTGGGGAAGTGCAAGTGAGTTGGTCGAGGCATTGAGGCTTTGGGGCACGAATCTCCTGCTGACCACTTCTTTCGCACACCCCCGCAGTATCTGGATCGGTTCGACCCAGGACGAAGATGTCCCGTGTCGCAACGACAACCCAACTGTTCAACAAGTAATGGAAAGGGACGGTATCTCACTCGTCTACTACCCTTTGACCTCGGGCCCCGAATTGGAGAACGTCAGCGAGGTGTGGTCGACTTGGCGCTTTGAGTACCCGGAGGACGAGACGGAGCGATTGATTCGGTTGGCGAGAGGTGAGTGGTAACATCCGATGAGGCGGAACAAGACGTTGGCTCGAGGCTGACGTTTTCTCTATTTCGTGCAGCCAACTTCCATAGTGGAGACGAGCAGCTTAAGACCTTGATCCGAGGGGTCTACGAACGCAAGAAGAAGCAGAGGCTCGCGAACGAAGCGTCCGAGAAAAAGACTCGAGCCAAACTTTGAAGAAAGAGTCGGCCACGATCATTTGGACAAGAAATGTGTTGTATTAGTAGGGAACGCAGGAAGAGTGGACTGCTGTTTCGTCCGTCGGTGAAGGTAAAGGGACAGAGTGGGTCTCATATACATAGATCGAGCCCATGGCCTCTCCTTGCATCTGATGTAATTGATGTCTCCAAGAAGTTGGAATAGTAGGAATACAAGAACGAAGCATGACTACACCCATGGAAGTGTACAAAGAGCTCTCGACGACCCTATAACGGTTCCCACTTCATCGGTTCGGTGAAGGCTAACCAATCGCTTTGATGTGTTGGTAGGAGGCCCATCGAGTTGCACTTCCACAGACCAACGCCGAGGAGTCCGATTTGGCAGAGGATGAAGACGGCTTTTTGGTTGAAAAGCGATGGGGCGGCCGAGGTCGAGGTCCCGGTCGTGGTGGGCTTCGAGGCGAAAGGGGCGAACACTTTTTTATCGAAGAAAGAGAAGGCTGATCAGAGCAGAGGTCGCGGCATGTGTTGTAGGACAGCAGACTCGATAGACTGACCTTGCTGTACCGAGAATATCCCCTGTACTGCACCCTTGAGCAGGAACCATACGCTCATGACGGAGAAGATTTGCACCCCACCTCCGGTCATGTACATCATAAAAGCTGGCAAGGCGGGAGCGGAGACACAGGCAGGTCAGAAAAGAACTCATGCAAGACTGGGTGTAGGTGTCCGAGTTGCTGACCTTGCATGGGCACGTTCTTGGCCGGGGCGAGTGCGATCTCCCATGCCTTTTGTTGGCGCAACCCGGAGAGATCGCTGGTCTTTATCATAGCTGAGTGTGCGGATGACTGTAATACATTGCGAAGCGCCTGATTAGTTGCCACAACAATACGGAACACCCGAGATGCAGCGTACTTCGAGCGAGGACGGTGCAACGTGACCAGGAGGGTCGAGCGCCGACTTGGACATCGAAGGCGTGCTGTAGGACCATATGAGCGGCGATCAGTGTCTGTTCACACGTTCCGGAGCTCAAGGGTGGGTATACCTTACGCTTGTGTGTAGTCGAGTGACCAGAATGAGGATGCAGATGCTGCGTGGGCCATTTCTGGATTGGGTTTGGCGTGTCGTGTCGGGTGGGGGTGAGGCAGACCGACGCCAAGTCCTCGATGCTATTTGGTATTAGACCGTGCGAGGCTGCGGGGCACTGCCGGGGAGTTTCGAGCTAATGCCGAGCTAATGGTCGGTGCGCCGTGAAATCCAGCTGCATAATTCGCGCGGCGGAACACTATGTTCGTACGAGACCATTCCAGTACTCGCTGTTTTCATTCAATCAAAAGTGGGCCAACTTTGTAACCCGAGGTCAGAAGTCGCACGCCTAGCGGCATTGCTTCGCTGGGGTCGAGGCTCGGTGGCAGATATGATTTTGGCCTCCAGACAGTCATGCTCCCAAGACTATACCCCTGACGGACCAGGTTCAGAAAACGCTTGAAGATCGCTTTCTACTTCTGAGCGTCTTGCGGAGTCATTCTCATGCTGGGCCTTTCCGAGCCAATCTGATTGGAGAAAGCCCCCGGGCCTGGTCGTCATAAGGGCTAAAATGGCCGCGAGTCCACTTGCGAAGCAGAAAGTTTGAGAGCTCTAGATCACCCGAAGAACATTCTCAGTAGCAGGTTTTGACGCGCAGCTTAGCGTTTCCCACCGTCTGATCGATTATTGCCACACTATCGGTGCTCGCTTTTCGACGACCCTAACGAGTCAAAGCAGGGCGGCGAGAAGCTGGGCCATTGCGCCAACGGGAATGCTCTCGTCTCGGCCTACAGCACTGACTGAGATGGTCAGTCAGAATAAGAGAATGGGATATTACTTGCCGACGCGGGTCCTACAGCTTCGACTAATAAGACATGGACACTGATCATCCAGAGACTCCGAGAGTATGTCCGCTGCGCGTGCGGCTGAGGAGGCGGCAGGTTGAGGGCGGCGCGCGTTCAGCTCCGGGCCGTCTGACCTAACCATCCGAACTCTTCTTATCAGAGCAAATCCACGCAGGCGGGCATCATTCTTCCCCATGTTCCTGCCTCCTCAATAAGAGGAATCTCCCGTCCCCCTCCGTGCAACTTCTGACCTTCGAGTCCTCCGTTGATGAAGGCTTCTCGTTGATTGCTGCGAGTGCCCTCGCAGACGGCATTGCTACCATCCACTTGATGCCGTCCTGGACGAGAGCTGAGAACGCGATCCGGGTTTCTGATCCAGTCTATTACATCCGCGTTGGGATGATTTTCGCCGGGCTCGGAATGACACGCTCCCTCTCGATCGCGGTGGAGCCAAAGGAGTCTCGCGGGTACGAGTGATGCGACCGTGACGTAAGTGGAGGGATGCTACTCCAGTTTTTCTAACGCGTAAGAGCGAGATGCTAATGCAAGATTCTAAGGGGAAGTGTGAAGATTGTTGTATTTGGGCGTTGGCGCATCAAGGCATTCTATTGTCAGTGGGGTATTAGGGAATTAGGGGGTGCGGTCGGCGCGCGCAAGTCTTTTCTGTAGCCTTTCTTCCTCTTCAGCCGTCCGAGATGTTGTACAGTTGGAACCTTCTTCGACCTTCCGACTTAGAACCGTCTCCAGAGCCTCCTAACCCCTTCAATCCCCTTTATTACTTGCCTTATCCCGAACAAAGTCTCCGATGGTACGAGTCCGTGCTCGATCCGAATTAGTCGCGTAGTCAAAGTGGGAGTGTAAACCCCTTCGACCGCAGAAATCACATACCCCTTATGCCCCAGTACACTGCGCCAACGCCGCGGTGCCAGCCCTCTTTCTGGTAACCAAAACCCCGCCGCCACCCCTCACAACCAACTAACCCCAGATCACCCCCGTCCAATGACTGCAACTGCGAATCACGGCCTACTCCGCACAGGCACACGGTCCATAGATTCCCGCGGAAGGTCACGGGGAGCATGTGACAATCCAATGGACACGCAGCCGGGGCTCGATTTGTTTATCTTTGCATAAATTGCAATCCTTTGGGTTGGCTCGAGCTACCGGAGCGGGAAGTGTTGAAGGTATTAGTAGACCTTGCACTGATGTCAGGGGCCGGATATCTCTTAGTAGGGCAAAGCTTTTCCAATGATGGGAGGCGACCCAGGTTCGACTCCTGGTCCAGCCGTTCTCTTCTTCTGTCGATCATTTCGGTAGCATTGTTGATTCCAACACGAAGAAGCACCGCTTAAGAGACGATCGAGGCGATCGAATAGGAGTTGAAGAATCGATTGGTCACGTATAGTGTTTGCTGTCAGGCTAGAGGACACGGGATGATGCTTCGGGGACCGGGGTACTCGGCGTCGTTTCTAGCCGTCGACTAGTAGCCGTCTCGTCAATTACGTCACCTGCTCACCTGCACCCCTCAATCGAACCAAAACTCGGCAGGTCACCGGAATTTTTGATAACACCTCCTTGTTTATATCAGAATCGAATGGAGCAGGTTTGAATGACGTCTGCGAATGTACGCGTCCGCTCGGACCTCCCACACTTCGTCGTCCCTATTTCTACATTGGTGCACTCCCGATTGTGGAGCACTACAGCACGATACAACCCTTCGAGGCTCTGTGATGCTCTCTGTTGCAAACATCTTCCCTTGAACCTGCCCCTCGCACTAGTGCGTTTTTTCTTGGCTCCTGAGGAAGATCCGCGCACAGCGGCCTATTTGGAGCTCTCGATGAGTGCCTGTCGACTGTCGGCCGTTACGCTTTTCCTCGCTCTTCTTTTCGCTCTTCTCTTCCTCCACCACTCGCACGAAGCTCACACGAAGTCGTTATCAAGGTGAGCGTTGCCTGATCATTTTACTCCATCATAGAGTGATCATATTTCCATCATGGAGTCGAGTCATAGCCACCACAACTTGAAGATGCTAGACTCGTACTGACCGGTCGCTCTCCACCTCACCTCGTCTCCTACCATCGCTAAACGATCTCCCCGGCATCCACAGCCACCCTAGCTTCTACACCCTGCCCAATACTCCATATCCCCCCATCCCCCCTTCGATCGACGCTAGCACCATGTCTAGACCTGCGATGTCATCACACACTGCGATTGACATCGGTGAGTGACTGACCCCACTTCCCCCGCTTCCCCTGCTCAGCTGTCGATGCTCGTTTCCGGGTTGGATCGTCGTTTGATCATCCTTGACTACCTCGCAGATGATACGAAGGAGGAAGGTGGGAAGGATGGTCTAAAAAAGGAGGAGGTCGGGCTTGAGGTCCCTACAGAGGGGGACGACCCGTGCGAGGACGACGACGATGCTCCTGTCACCTTGAGTGCGTTGGCCACATATGAGTAGCCTTTCCGGGGACGGTCAGCTGACGGTCTCCGAATGCCTCGCAGTGGGGATGATGATCATCTCTTTGATCGTTTCGGGGACTGGTGGTCTCTTATTCTTTTTTTATTGGTACCACTCCGACCCCATCAAGTTCGCACAGGTCGGGGGCTCGCTCGTGATCGGCGAGTTTGGGTTAGCTGCCGCGTTGACTAGCCAGCGACGGGAAAAGACTATCATGTCAGTGATGAGCCTGGCCCAAGCTCATACTACGCTGTATGATCTAACCTGTCTGATGTGTATGCTTACAGTAACGCCATGATAGCCATGACGATTCCGATTGGCATCGCCGTCACGGGCTTCATCTTCCTCGCTCTCCCATTCCTCGAGCTGTCCCCTCTAGCCATTATCCTCGACATACTCGCGTTCTTCGAGCTGTCGCCCCTAGAGCCGCCGACGAGGACGACTAAGCTCACCCAGACCATGTACACGAGCTGGTCAGGGCGCTGACGGTGGCCTCCGGTATGTCGAGGATGATGGCGAGAGGGGACAGCTCGAGCAATGCGAGAGCGAGGAAGATGAAGCCCGTGACGGCGATGCCAATCGGAATCGTCATGGCTATCATGGCGTTACTGTAAGCATACACATCAGACAGGTTAGATCATACAGCGTAGTATGAGCTTGGGCCAGGCTCATCACTGACATGATAGTCTTTTCCCGTCGCTGGCTAGTCAACGCGGCAGCTAACCCAAACTCGCCGATCACGAGCGAGCCCCCGACCTGTGCGAACTTGATGGGGTCGGAGTGGTACCAATAAAAAAAGAATAAGAGACCACCAGTCCCCGAAACGATCAAAGAGATGATCATCATCCCCACTGCGAGGCATTCGGAGACCGTCAGCTGACCGTCCCCGGAAAGGCTACTCATATGTGGCCAACGCACTCAAGGTGACAGGAGCATCGTCGTCGTCCTCGCACGGGTCGTCCCCCTCTGTAGGGACCTCAAGCCCGACCTCCTCCTTTTTTAGACCATCCTTCCCACCTTCCTCCTTCGTATCATCTGCGAGGTAGTCAAGGATGATCAAACGACGATCCAACCCGGAAACGAGCATCGACAGCTGAGCAGGGGAAGCGGGGGAAGTGGGGTCAGTCACTCACCGATGTCAATCGCAGTGTGTGATGACATCGCTGTGGTGACATCGCAGGTCGAGACATGGTGCTATTGAAGGTGTTAGTAGACCTTGCACTGATATCAGGGGCCGGATAGCTTAGAGGTCAAAGCTTTTCCGATTAATGGAAACGACCCAGGTTCGACTCCTGGTCCAGCCGTTCTTCTTCTTTTGTTGATCATTTTCGGGATCATCGTTGATTCCAACAGGTGCTAGCGTCGATCAAGGAGGGGATGGGTGGATACGGAGTATTGAACACGGTGTAGAAGCTAGGGTGGCTGTGGATGCCGGGGAGATCGCTCAGCGGTGGTAGGACACGAGGTGAGGTGGAGAGCAACCGGTCAGTACGAGCTAAGCATCTGCAAGTTGTGGTGGTTATGACTCGACTCCATGATGGAGATATGGTGAACAACACTCACCTTGATAGCGGAGTGTGAATGAACGAATGATCGTGTGGGCTTGATGCGAGTGGCTGAGGAAGAGAAAAGAGCGAGGAAACGAGAGAGAGCAGCACCGGCACTCATCGAGAGCTCTGAGTAGTAGGGTGCTTTGCGCAGTTCCTCCCCGGGAGCCAAGAGGAAAAACACCGTAGTGGCTTGATCGAGGGGTGCAGGTGATGTAATTAACGCGCGGATAATCGACCAAAAGCCGGAAGAGCCCCAGGATGTTCGATAATACATCCTTGGTGTATCAAAGTCGAATGGAGCAGATTTGAATGACCGCTGCGAATGTACGCGTCCGCTCGGACCTCCCACACTTCGTCGTCCCTATTTCTACATTGGTGCACTCCCGATTGTGGGGCACTACAGCACGATACAACCCTTCGAGGCTTTGTGAAATACTTTTTTGCAAACACCAGTGGGAACCCGTTAAATTAACGGGAGGACGAAGTTCAAATAGAAGGAGAATTGAAGAGTATTTATGATTTCAGCAGATGTAAAAAAGTCACAGTGAGAAGAATCAAATGGTATGGTCTCAGTGGAGGTAAAAGACACGATACGAAGTACAACATAGAAACTATTCTCCATTCATTGCCCTGAGAACAGAGCGGAGTACTGGGTTTGGGGTCACGGTGGTTGCGGCTGCCGTTCGATCGACGGCAGGTAGGTCGTCGTCATCATCGGCGGGGTCGCGAGAGGGCAGTAGCACCTTGATTCGATCAACACTCATGGCTCGAGACAACGCCACATACAGCTGCCCATGAGTGAAGACGGGATGCAGGGAGAGATCGACGCCAACACGATCGAGTGATCGTCCTCCTCTTCGTCTTCGTCATCCAGACCGAGACCGGCAAGTACCTCGCGCAATTGGACACCATTGTCGATCTGCTCTCGGTTTCTAGCGATTGGTGGCCCGGCTTGGTGGAACCCGCAAAGAGGAATGTTGGGGTGGAAGAGCCATCTTCCCCCGCGGGGAAGAGTAGGGGGTACCGGAGAGGCATCGCAGACGGATGGAGCGAGCTAACGATTTGGTACTTGGGCCGACCGTCGGGACATCGATCGCCGTGCACCTGGAGAATAAGGTCTTGCGGTCCACAATCTCCCGTGTTGGTGTCGGAATCGCAGATAAGCATCGCCATTTCCGTGCTTGACGTAGGAAGGTTGTGGGTGCGTCGGTCTCGGCCTGGCGGGAGGCAGAGGCGCAGGATCCACTCTTTGGCCGTATCCCAACCTACGCGAGCTTTGGCCGATGCGAACTCCCTCACAAAGCGATTGCCGGTACGCAGGATGGACTCGAACTTGGTCAACGTTGATCTTTGTATGCGACTGTCTGCGCCGTCGCGTCCAAGTCGAGGGTCGGTGGCCTCGGCCGGGTCGATCAGCCATGTTTAAGCAAAGGCTGGGCGTTGATTCACGGCAGGGATCAGGGCGTCGAGTCGATGGTAAAGGCGAACAAACACGCGAAACACAGGGGATCCTAGCGTGCCCACTTGAGTTTGGTCCCAGTGGGCAGCGAGCGAAGTAAACGACAACGCGTTGTTGTACGACCGGCCGTTCTCGCGGAACGCTTTAGCTTCTGTGTGCGTGGGAAGGTTGTCGCACAGTTCAGCATGTGGCTCTACTGCAGACGAATGTTGTTGGACGGTGCAACTGGCCGCTATTCGAGCCTTCAAGTAGATTTCGATACTCGGGATTGGGCTGGGGAGGGGGAGGTAGCCGCATCTTGCCCTGCGAGCAGCACGTGCTAAAGTGTCCGGTCGACTTCGACCTTTCGCACTCCCAGTGCCGAGCCTTGCAGTGGGTGCACACGGCCGTCTGGGGGCTGAGCTAGTCGCGGATCGAAACGTGGGGCTTGAGGGGTTTGAGCGCGATTCGAGCCAGTTCGAGCCCCGCGCATTTGCGCATGAGGAGGTGGTGGTGGGGCGTGGGGGGCGTGGGGGTCGCGCGCGAGGCGGGCGGACTGGCGAGGGCGAGCCAGGCGAGTCGAGGCAGGTCGAGGCGAGCACTTCGCCGAAAAGCAGGTATTCGCACACTTCAACTCAGGAAACAGTCGCGTTCAGCGTCGGGTCGGCCATCGCGCTGAGTCGCTGACCACGCTGTCCGTTCTGCACAGCCGCAGAGCGGGCTCGTATATATGTCGCAATACCAAGATCGGTTGGGTTGTTGTCATGACGTGCGGGGGGCTGATTCTGTTGATCGGAGCGGGACGAAGAGGAGGGTCGAGCAGCGGGACGCCCAGCAGCAGGCGCTCGAGCAGGCGCATGGTAGGGCGCTACCGCGCTACCCTCGCGCCCAAGACTTGGCGAGGTTGCGATGGCCCTCCCTGACGACCTTGGGACCGGGGCATAGTGCCGAGGATTTGTCCTTGAATGAGTGTCACTAAAATTGGGAGAGAGGGAGGGAAAAAGAAAAGGTTCGAGGGAGTGGCGCGGGTTTGTTCATGGGGTGTGATTTGTTGTTGTTCAGCCCCTAATGCCGCTGGTCGGCTGCCGGAATGGACACTTGACACCGCTGGCGCGCCGCATCACGTGACAGACGCCAGCCCTCGCCCCGCCCGTCAGGCGGAGTTCTGCTGTAGAAGCAATATCATGCAAAGCCACGCGCTTGCGGTCCATTAAATACAGTATGAGTGTAAGCACTGTTTAATGTCAACGAAAAAAGGAAGGAAAATACTGGGATTGCTGTAGCTTCGTTAGAACGGCGCGAAAAATACAAAAGTTGCCACAGAGCTTGTACATGACTTCTGATCGCAACATGAACACCACAGGCAAGTGCGGCAGACACAATAGTATGCTGGTACATCCACCACATGCGGCCCTCCGGGCCGCAACCTAGTTAAAAACAGCGATTTTAGGTACATTCCTTAACTCACACTTTTTTTTTTACTACCAGTGGGATCCCGTTAAATTAACGGGATGATTCCAAATAGTAGGAGAATCAAACGGTATTATGACGAAAGACAGCAGAGAAATTATTTTTCACTTAGGACTTGGCCCTCCCTGGCGACCTTAGGACCGGGGCATAGTGGAGAGGGTTTCTCCTTGAATGAATGTCACAAAATTCGATGAGAGTGGGAGAGGAAAAGAAAAGGTTAGAGGGAGTGTCGCGGGTTTGTTCACGGGGTGTGATTTGTTGTTCAGTCCCTAATGCCGCTGGTCGGCCGCCGGAATGACACCGACACCGCCGGCGCGCCGCATCACGTGACAGACGCCAGCCGCCCTCGCCCCGCCCGTCAGGCGGAGCTCTGCTGTAGAAGCATTGTCGTACAAAGCCACGTGCTTGCCATCCATTAAATACAATATAAGTGTTATCACTGTTTCACGTCAACGAAAAAGCGAAGGAAATTACTGGGAACGCTGTAGCTTCGTTGGAACGGCGCGGAAAATACAAAAGTCACCACAGGGCTTGTACATGACTTCTAATCGGAACATGGACACCACAGGCAGGTGCGGCAGACACAACAGTATGCTGGTACATCCACCACATGCGGCCCTCCGGGCCGCAACCTAGTTAAAAACAGCGATTTTAGGTACATTCCTTAACTCACACTTTTTTTTTACTAGTTAGAGCAAAGTTAGAGTAAACTCCTCTCAAACCTGTTCCTCGCATTAATTCGACGCATCCGCATACCGTCTTGCCCCCTATTTGTGAGCGCGGTAACGTTCAGCACCTCTCGCCGACCCAGGGGTGGCCGCGGATGGGCCAATGCCGACTTGCCGTCGGATTGATCACATCACTTGCCCCTCTCGTAGTGAATCGAGTCGAATGATCACCGAGTCAACCCCCAGAGCTTGTGGGCTCTTGTCGGAACTCAAGGCAGTGTGACCGTATGCAAGCGCTCGGACACACCAAGGACCTGTGAGAAGTATGGAGGACTGGATCCCGACTCAAGGGGTTGAGTACGAGCGCAAGATCGAGGATGGAAGATGGATCAAGCATTGCAAAAGGACTGACCTGGATCCCGACTCAAGGGGTTGAGTACGAGCGCAAGATCGAGGATGGAAGATGGATGAAGAAGGAAGAGAGACGAGTGCCCGCGAGGCGCGCGACTTCAACCCAAGCCAACGTGTCAACCGAGTCTCGATCAGGCGCTGGGATCCGGCGTAGAGGGTAATAGGCTAAAGAAGGAGTGCAAAGTAGGAGTGGAATAGTGGCATGAGAAGTAAATAGAATTAGAAGAGAATCAGTATGATTGGGTTCTGACAGGACCTGCACTTGAACGCCATGACTTCGTCTTCCTTCGATAGTGAATCGCGCCTGCCCTTCCAAAATATGTCTGACCTCTCCAGGTCTTCTGATTCTACTTATTCAACCCTCCTAGGTAGATGGTGATCCCCTGGGTATCTTGCACCTTTTTGTCCTCGGTATTGACTCCTGAAGGACATCCCCGCACCTGACTCGTGCGGCCTTATTCGGAGGACCGGGCAACGGCCGGTGTGACGGCTGCTGCGAGATCCTTGACTTCTGAAGGTTCCCCCCGCCAGGACCACCCACCCGCTGCTTCTCCGGTTGACACACGCACTCGCCTAGTACTCGAAAGCATTGTCGACGTGAGTATCTTCTCATCATGCATCCATATTCACGCGTCTCGCTCAGCTCCTCCCACTGTTAGAGGCCATTCGTGCTGATGAATCCACTGAGCCGCTGCCGCTACCGATCACCTCCTTTCAATAGACTTGCACACAGGAGCAGCCAGGCGCCGGGCTTGCAGTAGGCTCCGCCCCCGGCGCCCCAGCTGTTTTACGGCTGGACTGTCGTGGCACCACCAGAGAACAAACGGAGCAGAACAAAGCATCCACGCAAAATACGAACGCCACGAACCCCACCGCCTCAAGACCACCAACGCTCACCGACCAGCCGTATCATCATATCCTCGCACGGACTCAGCTGTATCATCATGTCCTCGCACGGACTCAGCTGTTCCAAGCCGAGGACGCAATGCCTCCCAAGGCTTCAGCGTAACAAGCGTGCACACTGTCGTCCGTGGGTTCAAGCTCGTCCTCCACTCGATTGTGGTTCGTCGTTGGGTGGTCAGCTAATCTGTTGTAAAACCCATCCTGGTTGCCTTAGCAGTACACCAAACGGTATCTCGTGCCGAATCCTCTTTCAACACTCCCATTGATTCTAGCATGACTCACACTCTTTTGCATGCTTTGCCTAGGCCCGACTAGGCCGCTGCAGTGTGCGGTTGATTGACCCCTCACTGCATGTACTAGCACAGGGAGAGAAACTTTTTTTCACCGCCTCGAACTAGTGCCTGATACGCTGTGAGTGATAATGTCTTGCATCTTGAAGCACTATGACAGAGTAACGATGCTATTCGTGTGCATTACCACAGGATGGATTGGGTTTGGGCGACCACGCAGCTCCGCCAGTGTGCTGTCTCGCTGTCTCGGCGATCGTTGTCACTGCGACGTCGTGGCTTGGCCTGTCGCAAATTGACAAGCTTAATGGCCCAAAGCCGAGCTTTCAGCCACAATGAATCACATCCACATAGGCGCATCACTTCTACAGCTCGCCATTGTTAGTACTGCCCTTGTGTTCATGGATATCACAAACACGGGGGGCAGTATGGACATTGGCGCGCTGTAGAAGCGATGCCGCAATGTAGATGGGCTTCATTGCGGCCGGAAGCTCGGCTTCGGGAAGGCCGTTAAACTTGTCAATTTGCGCCAGGCCAAGCCACGACGTCACAGCGATAACGATCGCCGAGACAGGGCAGCCGCCGAGCAGCGCGATTGGCACCCGACGCTAACTTGTCCGACTTGGATGCACTCGCGCGGTCGATGCGCGCAGTCGATGATAGAAGTGGTAGTATAAGTATACGGATCCTCCATAAGCAATCAACATGATGATAGGAATCATCAATGTATTTGCGAGATGATTGAAGAATATCAGCCAAGCATTCATCGAGGCGCCTTCTCCTCCTGTCAGTCTAAGGGTGTTGGGTGGCCAACGCACGAATGCGGCTCGCGATTTGATCCTGGCGGCCGTCTTTTGAGCCGGCCGACAGATCTGTCGCGGTTTGGCCGCACTTCGCGGAGGTCATATCTGCGAAAACCAAAGCAGATTAGCTGACCGTTCTACGAGGAGTCACAATCGAGTGGAGGACGAGAACAACCCATGGACGACATTATCGCAGAAACGGTGCAAGCGCGGAAGATAGACTTCCCGCGATAGGAGAGAGGTAGTGACGCCGAGAAGTCAGGACCACAATATTGAGCGAGTGATGAGAAGATCTCTGCAGCAGGTGCGAGTCCGCTCAGGAAGGCGGGAAGGAACGCTACTGGGTTCGGAGGGGTATCGTAATGCTCAAGTTGGGCGCAACCTTGGCCGCTCTTGACCGTCTCGTGGTGAAGAACTAACTGGCCATGTGCGAGGAGGAAGTGCTCAAATTGCGAGGAAAAAACGATCAAAGTGCGGGTCGGACGCCTGCCTCTGCTGAGGTCGCATCATTATTGCTTTCTACGTCGACGACGGCTCTGTCGCGTCTCAAGAAGTTCATCCGCAACTTTGCCACTTTGCTAAACGCGACTAAATAAATCTCAAACCGCTAAACCGCTAAAAGTGCGCAAAATGGCGCAAAATGCGCTGAAATTGGCAAAGTTTGATGAACTTAGCAAAGTTTGATCATTTCTACCTCGACCCTGTCGACTGCGTTCTAGTCGGGCTTCGTGGGTCTCGGTGTGGCTGCAGTGCTGTGCGCGGCGCTGTACCCCCACCACCCCACGATCCTCAGATCAGACAGCACTGCAGTACCCTGTGAGTGACGATGCCGTGCCTTGTATGAATAACGACGCGGTACGCTCGATGTACGCGCCTGCACTTCCAAGATAGAGACCGAAGAGTACCGAACTTATGAAAACGACCGCGACTCCAGGATGGCCGATTGGAGGAACGAAGCGGCGATGAACCTCGACTTCAGACTGTTGGGAAGTCGGCTTTCGGGAAGTGCAATCAACTTTTGGACGTGCCCTTCGCCCATGTATGATAACACGGCGAGGAGCGTCGCCGAGACAGCGCAGGCCAATGGACTATCATAGAGCATCTGACATTATTCATCTGCATCATCACAGCAAGCTTTGGGTTTCGACGACCGCGCCATTGGGCTGCGCTGTTTCGGCGATGCTCCTCGCCGTGTTGTCCTACATGGGCGAAGGGCACGTCCAAAAGTTGATTGCACTTCCCGAAAGCCGACTTCCCAACAGTCTGAAGTCGAGCTTCATCGCCGCTTCGTTCCTCCAATCGGCCATCCTTGGAGTCGCGGTCGTTTTCATAAGTTCGGTACTCTTCGGTCTCTATCTTGGAAGCGCAGGCGCGTACATCGAGCGTACCGCGTCGTTATTCATACAAGGCACGGCATCGTCACTCACAGGGTACTGCTGTCTGATCTGAGGATCGTGGGGTGGGTGTGACGTGGGTTGGGGTGGGCGCAGTGTGCGGATGTGAGGTTGGGGCGAAGACCTCAGGAGAGGAGGTGAGGCGGTGAGGCGGGGAGGGACAGTCCGAGTCGTTCGAATCGATCAGCACGAGTTGCTTCGAGTTGGAGGCGGTAGGAGCCGTGATGATGGATGCATGCTCAGAGAACACTCACCTCGAAGGTTGATGTGAGAAAACGAGCACAACTGTGACCGTGGTGCGTGTGGATGATGCTGGGGGGAGGGAGAACAAGAGAGGCCCAGCCGCCATGACAGGGCAGCCCCCCAGCTCGGCCCTCGGCCGTTCAAAGCGTCCGAATAGTTAGTCCGAGCTCACCTCCTAAGTATCACTTACGCTTGGCGGGGATGTTCTTCAGCAGCCTAGGAGAGAAGAAAGTTTTCTAGTGCGATGATGATGCCTAGTGGGAGATAACTGCCAAAGAGAGAACTTGTGTGCTGTTGTAGCTCTACGAACGGGGCGTGCACACTGCAGATTCTGACGGTCGGGACGTCGAAGCTTGAGAGGTCCGAGCGCACACATATCGCGCACTGCTGGGAGCCCCGCTGCTCAACCCTCCTCTTCGTCCCGCTCCGATCGACAGAATCAGCTCCCCGCGCGTCATGACAACAACCCAACCGATGTTGGTATTGCGACCCGTATAAGCGCCCGCCGTGGACCAACAGCATGGTCAGCGCAGTGCCCGACGCGACGCTGAGCTCGCCCCACCACCACCTCCTCCTGCGCAAAGGCGAGTGCGCAGGGGCTCGAATCGCGCTCAAACCCCTCAAGCCCCACGTTTCGATCCGCGACTACCTCGGCCCCCAGACGGCCGTGTGCACCCACTGCAAGGCTCGGCACTGGGAGTGCGAAAGGTCGAAGTCGACCGGACACTTTAGCACGTGCTGCTCGCAGGACAAGGTGCGGCTGCCTTCCCCTCCCCAGCCCGATCCCGAGTATCGACAGCTACTTGAAGGCTCGGACAGCGGTCAGTTGCTCCGTCCAACAACATTCGTCTGCAGTAGACCCACATGCTGAACTGTGCGACCCGCCTACACAGAAGCTGAAGCCTCCCGCGAGAATGCCCGGTCGTACCACAACGCGCTGTTGTCCACTTCGCTCGCTGCCCACTTTGACCAGACTTGACCAGGCACTCAAGGACCCCACGTGTTTCGCGTGTTTGGTCGTCTTCACCATCGACTCGGCGCCCTGATCCCTGTCGTCAATCATCGCCCATCCTTTGCTCAAACATGGTTCATCGACCCGGCCGAGGCGACCGACACTCGACGGCGCAGACAGTCGCATACAGAGATCTACTTTGACCAACCTCGAGTCCATGTTGCGTACCGGAAATCGCTTTGTGAGGGAGTTTGCACCGGCCAAAGCTCGCGCAGGTTGGGATACGGCCAAAGAGACGGTCCTGCGCCTCTGCCTACCACCAGGCCGAGACCGACGCACCCACAACCGGCCTACGTCGAGCACGGAAATGGCGATGCTTATCTGCGATTCCGACACGGGAGATCGTGGACCGCAAGGCCTTATTCTTCAGGTGCACGGAGATCGATGTCCTGACTTGGTCGGCCCAACCAAATCGCTAGCTCGCTCCATCCGTCTGCGTTGCCTCTCCGTTACCCACTACTCTTACCCGCAGAGGAAGATAGCTTCCACCTCAACATTCCTCTTCGCGGATTCCACCAAGCTGCGTCGCCGATCGTCAGAAACCGAGAGCAGATCGACAATGCTGTCCAATTGCGCGAGGTACTTGCCGGTCTCGGTCTGGATGACGAAGGCGAAGAGGAGGACGAAGACGGCGACGATGAGGATGAAGACGGCGAGGGAAGGGGACGAAGAAGAATGGTGATGGTGTACGTAAGCGTCTTCGCCTCTATCTCACTTGTTCCATTCTGTTGGGACGCAAGCACAGACTGACATAGAATGTTTGGATATCTAGAACGAGGGTCAAGACAAAGGGGACGAGGTGGATCAACCCGAGTCTCGCGTTTCCCGCATTGCACCCAGCGTTTCTTCCTCGAGTTCGTGATCGACGGATACTCCCAAACTCCCCAGCCGAGACCGATCGGCGCAACCACATCCGATTTCATCAAGAGAGCCTGCGCCTCACCACGGCCCAAGGCATCACCGACGCTGTTGCCAACGGCTTGACCCCGGATCAAACTGGACGTTCGGTGATTTTGGGCTCCACGGTCAAGACTATCCCGCGCGAGATCACGCAGCGTTACCAAGATGCGACGGCGTGCGTTGTCGAACATGGTAATTCTTTGCTGTTCATCACGGTGACGTGCAAACCTGGTTGGCCGGACATAAAGGCTGCACTGGGGCCGAACGACAAAGCATGCGGCCGTCTGGATCTCATCGCACGAGCGTTTGAAGCCAAGTTGAACCGACTCTGCCATGACGATTTGGCAACAAGCATCGGGCAGGCTGTTTCGGCGATGAATGGAGAACACTTTCTTTGCTCTACTTCTATTGTGGTTTTATACCTCTGCTGAACTCGTGTATACTGTCCAAGTTTCCTGCTATTTGAATTCATCATCCTGTTAATTTAACGGGCTCCCACCAAGGGGGAAGAGGGGGTTGGGGAAAGGGCCCAAGGGCCCATGGTCTGGCTTCATCGGTTTGTCCAACATCCGGGACGCAGCTCAGGGACCAAACAGCCCTTTTTTTTGGATTTGTCCCACTTTGAGTCGCAATTTCGGGTTCAGAGGGTCCATTTTGTCCATTTTCGAGGCTGCACATGTGGCCGATCACTTGCCTTCACTTGCACTGCCTTCGCTTCGCTTGCAGTGGCTTGCAGTCATGCAGTCGCTTGCAGCGTCGCACGGGCTCGCACGGGGCGTTCCTCATCGCCTCATCGTCGCCTACTTACAGACCCACGCCCCCGCCCGGCCTCCACACTCTCGGGCTCTCTGCCTCATCGGGGCGAGAGGAAACACATCAACGCGTCACCGAGCCAAGGTTCCGACTTCCGACTACACCCTCCCCGCATCCTCATCTACCAAAGCGCTGGGCCGCACCGATGGGCAGCCCCTTGCGGGTGCTTCTCGACAAGCACGACCGCTTCATGCCCGCGACCATCTCCGCTTACTACCGGTTCCTCTACGAAAATCGCCATGGATGTGAAGCTGTCCACTACCCCGAAAGCGAGACTATCTGGCACGCTGTCTCGGAAGCGACTTGGATCGAACTGGAAGCCTATCTCGACGCGTTCGTGCAGCGACGAGGTTCGACGCAACTAGAGCTACAACCTCTTCTCCGCCGCAGTACGCGACGACTGGAAGGACCTACGGCGATCACATTACGTGTACGACCCTCTGGTGTACCAGATCGAAGAATGGATTCGTTTCTGTAGGTTCCGGTGTCGCGAAGCCCCGCCACCGATCCCCTCGCGTCCTACCCAACTTGCTGATCGTGATCTCGTGGTTCGATTGTTCGGATTCCTATTACAACAGGTATACACGCAAATCGAAAATGGTATATCGAATGGTACAACAAGAAGTATCGCAAAGTCAGACCTGCCTTGCACCTGTCCGACAACCTTGTGGTCAAGCTCCTTCCCTACGGGGGCCTGCGTTCCTGGGCGGACCCCCGAAGAGACTGGTTCCGAAGCGGTGGATCAATCCTGAACTTCTTTCACCCCGGTCACCTCTCCAATGATGAGATCAAGCATTTACGAAGTGAGTTCTTGCCTCTGCACTCACCGTCATCGCTCGTTGCTCGCCTTGGCCTTCGATTCGCTGACTCCTGGGTGACCTCGGCTGGCGCGTCTACGAAATACTTGTGTTGTCCGGTCGTGAAATTTGCAGGAAAAGGAGTGCACTTTGGTCTCGACCCCGTGGTCGGCTTCGAAAAGATTGTCGACACGAGAGCCGAGTCCAGCACGGAGGTCCTGGGGCTGCCGGAGTTGCTGCCCGACTCGAAGCCGGCAGAAACGGCCAAGGCCGAGGACGACCTCTCCAAGAGCGGCCAACAGCGTGCGCGTACTCTTCCCCGCTTGTAGGCATACGGAACTGCCAGACGTGTGTTGTACACTTTAGCGCGCAGCGAGTTCTCGGTGACCCAGGGGTACGCAGCCTCTTGATCGGCGTTGAGGATCCGGTCAAACGCAGGCTCTTCTCTTGCCATCAGTCGCTAATGAGCTATCAGTTCGGCGAGTCCTCGGTCTGCCCAGTCGTCCCTAGTCGGGCATAGTCTTGCCAGTCTTGCCTATTGCGACAAAACTGTGCAAATTGCTTGGTGAGGTCTTGCCCACACGCTCCGATCACTGGGTGACGCGATTGTGAGTTCACTTTTCGAGCCTCTTGTCGGTTTCCCATGATAGATCTCGCTTGTAGTCGTGTTGGCAGCCACGGTTCAGATTGGAACACCGGCTTCACCTTCGCGCTCACGGCGACCCAACTGGCGCTGATCGAGGTGGAGCGGCGGCGCAACAAGCAACCGTACTGGCTCTGGCGATGGATACGAATAGAGAGAGAGCCCTTCCTCGTCACGCACCAGATTCTCATCGCGGCCTACAGCGCCCTCGTCGCCGCGGTCATCAACATCTATGTCGTCTTTGAGTGGCGCATGGTCCTCGATCACGACTCGCAAAAGACGCGCATCGCGCACAGGTCGACGATCTATTTCCCAATGGTGCTCGGTGGTCTGCTGTGTAGCTTCTCGTATCTGCAAGCATTCGTCGTCGTGCTGAGCCCCGCGCCGGATGTGGTCAAACTGGACGCTGCGCCGCTGCGTCGTCGCCTATTTTCTCTGCACCGGCCTCTTCACAGCCGGTATTGTCGTTATTGCCGTCAACGGAGAGAACGCGTAAGCTAAGATTCATGGCAGTGATTTACACTAGCTGTTACGAATCCCGTTTTGCTTGGTGATTGACACTCCTTGACCTGCAACACGGGTGGAACAGATGTCGAACCTTTCCTGAAATGATCCGAGTCGATTTGAAGCGCTTGTACCGACTTGGGAGCTCGGGACAAAACCACCAGCTCCCCTTTTTATATTTGATGAATCCAAGCGCCTCCGGCAAAACGCTATCATTTCCTACGGAGCCCAAATTGCGAGCAAAACGCTTGTTACGATGTTAATTTAATTTTCTCTACTTTGTGATGAGTCGTCTTAAACTGACGAATACCGGACCGTCGTGCTTGGAAGTGCGAAAACTTACCATTCCTGCGTTGGTCTGGGCAAAATTAAGCTTGCATATCTCTGCATGATAACGTGGGCAGTGATTCAACATGCGCGGTCGGGCGACGACAGGGCGACCAGTCGCTTGGCTGCGCAGCACGTCCAAATCCCCAACTCCACAGCAACCGACAGCGTACTCGAGCTTGAGGTACCACGCAATCCCGCCCTCTCGACGATTTATTATTTAAGTTCAAGCAGGTCATCGTGCGCGCGCGAACCTGGATTCGAGCCCGCTCGACCGCCGACAGCCTTGCAGCACGTTGACACGGCCCTGTGCCCCGGACAAAGCCAAGGAAGGGCATGGAGCTCAGGCGCTCGAGCGAGTCGGGTCGTGGGCTTTGGTCATGAAATGTTTCACAATGATCGCATCGACTCTACGCGCCGGCGTCATGCTGTTAAGGTCGAGGACCACGCGAGAATGGCCCTTGAGCGCCATCCTCGGGAGCACAAAGCCTACCGGGTGCAGACCGAGCTCGTCAACACCTTGTTCCATTGGGTCTGGGCGGCGTTAAGCCTTCCCTTTGGAGCCACTGACGTGAACTAAGCTTGGCTTCGCGTCAGTCTTACGAAAGGGTTATCGATCTTTCGAGGACGGCAGACGGCAAAGAAGTTTGGCTGCCGACCATGACCGAGCGAGTCTGAGGTACATCCGAAAGGCCCATCAAGTTCTCGGAGAAGTTGGAGGTGGCGAGAACGGTGACCCAGTCTTCTAGCAACAAGGAGCCACTGAAGGCTTTCTTTAAGAGCTTGGAAACTCGGCCAATCGGTCAACTTTCGCCGGCAGAGCAAGTGCCGGAGGTCATAACCCATGAAGCAAAAGACGCATGAAGAGCGCCGGCGCCGTCGACAATCCCTCCGACGGTGGCTGGATTGAATTTGTGTGTCCTAGTTGACCCTTGTATACCTGTTGTACCGCTTCTTGGTGAATGGTGACATATTCCGAAGTATCCGATGTTAGTCCTGCACCATGTTGTACTTTGAGCTCAGTCTGTGCGATCGCGCCTGAGCCCGAATACCCATAGCAGTGTTCGAACACTTCCAGACCCCGAGGACAGCCGTGGGTTCCTGCGGAGCGACCTCCACTGTCTATGATGAAGAACGCTTGGCGAGTGCACCACAAAGTATCTTGTATTTATCATCAATAACCGGGGCCCCATCGAGTACTAGGACCATTTTCGAGTTGTCCCAGAAGCTGCTGCACCTCACAGGCACTCAAGCTTACTTAACGCCGAGGTCGCCAATCACGTGGGAACGGCAAGCAGTGGAGCCGAGACCCCTTTCGGTCCGAAGTTTTCAGATGTGTGCTAATCCCGCGTTAGGTTATGTTTGATAGTATAATCCAAAAGGTCGATTAATTAGGAACTACCCGATCTACCCATTCCTGAGGGCAGGAGTGTCGCCACCTGAAAAGCGAAAACTGCGGCCACGATTTGCTTCAACGGGATCAACCGATTGAGGTTCTCGGAACGATGAAATAGACTCAAATGGGGAATCTCGGAGCTGATCTCCCAATCGTGGTCTCCTTGTTGCGCTATTCGAAAGGCCTTCCCCTTATACCTCTGATGGTGCGACAGTAAGGACTTTCAGCATTGGTCTGGTGCCTAGCTGAAAATAGGCACTCCGGGGTATCCGCGGAGTCGACAAATGAACTGACTGCTGGAGCTAAAGTTACTTCAGGAACGATCGACGGCGCCTCAGATGCCTACCTAGGCATGTACCTTACGAGCCACGTTCTTGAAGACTGATGACTTCCACTGAGGTGACCAGTCTGACGTATTGGATCTCATGGTCTGATGAGAGATCTCATCGTGCCACCCGCCGCATCACGGGTAAGCTTGGAAGACTTGGCGTCCCCATCGGCTGGAATCGGTGCCAAGTACCCCGAGAAGCCGGCGGCAAGGGGGCATGCGAAGATAGAAACTCGCCCCGTGCTAGTGAGCGGGTGGACAAACAAATCTAACAGTCGACGTGTCCCACTCCAGATTGAAGAAAAAGGGGGTTTTCCCTCGAAACTCCAGGGTATAACAACCATCATTGCTACCTACCTCTTGGCGTTTTGGGCAAAAACAAGGAATTGACTGCCGGGGCCCGCTCGGATCCGTCCTCCATGGTATGAGAACTATCAGTGGCTGATCCTCTGGGAATAACCCGGTTTAGGGCTGGAGAGGCGCCCCCAAAAATTAGGTAGCTACTACTACCTACCTACAAATCTAGGTGAAAACGACTCTGAGCCCTGCGTTGTTTCGGTGCCGGATTTTAACCGGGCTCCTCGGAGCACCAATGCCCCAGGCCGGGACGAGGACGTCACTCTCAGGTCCCGAGCCCGAAGCGGTTTTAGGTTCGGCGGTTCTAATGAGGCTAATCGGCAGCGGCGCGGGTCGAGATCGCGTCTCGACAGATGATACAAGACTCCCTCCTTTCAAACCAAGTTGAAGACGTTCAGTCGACGCTGCTGCTGGGCCCCCGGCTCCAGCCTACCATCATCAATAACTGTCGTGAAGACGTCGCTGGCCCAGCCTGGCATCAGTGTAGACGTCTACAGAACAGCGCGCTGCTGCTCCAACGTAGACGTCGCACGGGTTGGGTTGGACGCGGTGCATCGTAATTTCGCAGGCGGGCGACGCCAAGCTTCGTAGTGAATCGAGAGGCCCAGGCGGTTCAAGTTGTCGGGTTGAGCGCCACAAGCCGCGAGGCCATGACGGACCGCACGTTTCGCTCGGCGTCTACGCAAGAACTAAATACCTACTTCAGTCCCTGTACCTTGGTGTCGACCAACACGTGGCAATGCTGTGAGTGGCCTCGATTGTCGGGGTTCGACGACATGCGTGGTCGAGCTTGCGCAGCGCGCGTGTGCTTCGCGTCGCCCGGCGGCGGCCGCTCGTGTCGGGCAATGAGCATCTTGGGCCGAGATGACTTGGCGCGGGTCGCACCGTGACTGCGCCCGTCTGTCGCCGGATATTCATGAAGTTGAACTTGGGCGGGAGTCATAGCACTGATACATCATTTTCATGGCGTTATGGCAGATTTGGACCGCTTGGATATGATGTTTTATCCCGCCCCGCCCGACGGGTACAAGACGCGGCTCGTCGTCCTGCTCGTCTGCTTCGGCTTCATCCTCGCTCTCACGGTAACTCAGCTCGTGCTGGTCGAGACAGAGCGGCGGCGCAACAAGCAACCATACTGGCTGTGGCGATGGGTACGAATAGAGGGAGAGCCCTTCCTTGTCACGCATCAGATCCTCATCACGGCATACACAGCACTCGTCGCCGGTATTGTCAACGTCGCCTACATCGTCTTTGAATGGCGGATGGCGCTCGATCATCGCTCGCAGCGGGATCGCATTGCGCGCAGATCGACAATCTACTTTCCGATGGTACTCGGTGGCATGTTGTGCAGCTTTTCGCTGCTGCAGGCGTATGTGGTCGTCTTGAGTCGCAAGGGCCGGACATGGTCAAAATGGACGCTGCGCAGTTGTGTCGTCGCCTACTTCCTCTGCATCATCCTCTTCACATCGGGGGTGATTGTCATCGCCGTTATCGGGAACATTGGGTAAGACTGGATCAATTTTTTCCCCACTCTCCTGGCCCTGTACTGACCACGCTCGACCGATCCGTGATCCTTGCACCAGGTGGGGAAGACTCTGGACGCTCTATCAAATATTGCGGAGAGACATCGACAATTCTCTGCCAACTTGGCAACCAGGGACGAGGCCGGCAATCCCGGCGTCTATGTACGCCAGGTTCAACCAACTTCGACACAGCGCAGAACTGCCGCATCGCACCCAGACAACGAGCAAAGCTCTTTACACGACTGTCGCCTTCATCAATTTGACGGTGAGCCCCAGGGACCTGGATCGAGCCTCGCGTTCAGCTCCCACAAGTTCGGAACTGATATCGCCCATTCTGCTACGCTCCTCACGAATCAGCTCGCTTCGCTATGCATGGGTCTGTGGGCGATGATTCGACATCAGCTGTCACGGCATGACGAATCGATCAGAGGCATCGTTGCGCACCGCGACCCGAGCGCCATACCCACCGACACGACGAACGACGTCTTTGATATTGACGACTCGCGGAACGTCACACGTTCGGCGATCCATACGACATCCCGGACGAAGTTCTCGTGGTCCTCTACACCCTCTTCGGAAGATGGGAAACTCATGTTCCCTCCATCGTCGGCCGATCAATCGAATCCACTCACGCTGTTGACCGATTCTTGCCCCTTTTCGCAACCCGTCAAATGGCAGGGCGCGCAAGATCTCCGACGAGCGGGTTCGTGGGTCCTCCTCATGGGTGGTTTCACGATGATCGCTTCGATTTTATTCGCCTGTGTGCTCACATGGAGTTCGACCGTCGTCATCCTCCCGTTCATCGTCATCCCCAGAAGCGGACGCTTCTCGACCGAAGCCGAGGTGATCAACTTTTTGTTCCTCTGGGTCTGGGTTTTGCTCAGTATACCCTTCGCACTTACAAATACCTATCAAGCGTGGCGACTAGTTGCGTCCAAGAAGAGGGCCAGAACCGTTCGCAATGGCCAAGCCCTGGGTCCCAACGTCGTGAGGGTGATGGATGGAGAACGAACGTTGGGCGGGACGAACGCAGCTGAATCGTCGGCGATGGCAAGATCGGTGACGCAGTCCTCGGATGGCGCGTATGATTCCTTGGAAGCCTTCTTGAGGAGTTTGGAACCTCGGAACGAGGAGGTGCGAAAAGAGGCGAAGGACGAGGAGAGTGTAGCGGGCGATCGACGAACGCAGCGTGTGATGCAGATGCTGCAGGTGTCGAGGTAATGTCCACCTTTTCTAACGACGGACGTGGTTGGATTCTTGTCTTTCGGAAGCGTTGCGGAAATCACTGTTGTATGTATGCATATCAATCTTTGCTTACTTTGGCGTTTGAAGCCCCCTCCTCATGTTGTCAATCAAACACCAAGTGTGTAGCTTTAGCTCGAAGAAGTCGATCCCGAGCTCTCTTTGTCCTCTCTCGCGAGCGGTGTCTCGACAGCCACCAGCGCAAACGGGTGGTACAACAGGTTGGGATTTGTTGTTCTCTCTCTCTCTCTCTTCTCGCTACGTCAAAACGGCAGTGGTGGCTTGGTTAAAAACGTCTGCACCGCGAAGAGATCCCCCTTGGTCAACACCCGCCGTATTTTCTTGAGGACGAAGCAAAAGAGTCTACGCACCAGCACTTGCTCCAAATCAGTTTGAATCCCTGAGACCGGCTCGCTAAGGGTTGATCTTGTCCCTTCAATCAGCCCCATCGCCGTTCGGGTCAGGTTCTGGAACAGAACGTATTGCGATGCGAGATAGCTCGATTTCTGTGATTCGGTCGAGGTGGGATGGAAGTGAGCAAACGGGGCTGCGACAGACGAATCGCTTCGGCACTGACCGTTTCATTCAAGCCAAAACAAGCGACTCGTTCGACTCGAGGTATTGCTATAGGGTCGCCTTGATCATCACTTTTGGTCGGGGTCTCCCAATGTATCGAGATGTAGGCCTTCATGACGGATCGGAGGACGAATTTGATCTCGGTCGTTTCGGGAGCAGAGTCGATGCCACTTTCGTCGATTTCGCAGTGCGGTACGTTGTCGGCATGCCGCACCTTCCACCCCTGCAGTATGGCGTGTAACTGGTGTCGATTCTGGGGTGGGGCAAACGTCGCTGGTTCATGCGGGTAGGTTCGTCGAGACGCTCGCGGGTTCGAAAGACTGCCGAACCCTTTGCCGATCTGCTGTTGCTGCTGCAGGTGCTTCTGTCGCTGATGTTGTGCCAGCGCGTCCAACTGGATCCACAACGTGTCATCGCGCGCGTGTAGTTGCTGAGTGTCGTCCACCCTGGCCTTGACGAGTATGGCCGTGGCATCCTCCGCTTGGCTCTTCTGCGCTCGGACGAGGATCGGGTCCAGCACGGTCAATTGATCGCCTAGCGTTCGAAGCGCAGCGGCCGCTTCGACGGACGAGCTGCGGTACGCTCGGGAAAGGGCTTCGATCGAATTCGAGCTCGTGGACGAGCTGAAGGAACGCAGGATCGTGGGCAGCGCTTGGCGCGCTCGATCGAGGGTCGCCAGCAGGGACTCGAGCGAGCTGATGTCGGACGGGATCGTGTTCGAGGAGCCTGGTGGAGGTGCGGGAGCTTGCGAGGGGAGTTCTGCTGTGGTGGCCATGGTGGGGTCGAGCTGTTGTCGCTCCCCGCTTGACAGCACACGAGCACGACGAGCAGAGGGAGACAGAGGGAGACCGTGGGCCGGGCCGCCAGGGGCAAATGCTGAGTAGCACGGCCCGGGGGGTTCAGTTAGTATTACCACTTCGGCTCTAATCAACATTTTCGACCGCGCACGGGGACTCCCCCCACTTGACGCGCTGGCTCTCGGGCTTCTGCACAGTCTCACGCTCTTTCCCACCAACACCGCCCGCTCCGACCATGTCACGATGACACTCCAAGTCGAGGACTACAACCTCGATCACTCACCCACGCTACACACCGGTGGAACGCTGCAAGGCTCGGGCGTGCACGTGATCGGCTCGAGCGTGGCCCCACTTGCCTCGGGACCGGCTTCACGTCACTTTGTCGCTTCCCTGTCACAACCCCTCTCGGCTCAGATCGCCCGAGACGGGGCTCAGGACCGTATCGCCATCAAAGTGGTGAGCCGCCTCGAGGCGCACAAGCGGAGACCACACCACATTGGCAGCGAGATCAGCGCACTCGCTTCGTCCCCGCCGCACGCCAATGTAGGCCATCGCAACTCATTACGGTCTGCTCGAGTCATCTCTGAACACCTTGAGAGTTTATATACGCAGGTGCTCACGCTGTTGAATGCCTACGCGTCCTCGACCCACTACTCGATCCTGACCCCTTTCTACCCTTACACCTTACGCGCCTTGCTCGACAATTCTTCGTTCGTACCCTCCTCACCCTCGTTCCTTCCCCTCGTCCTCGCTCTCTCCCACCAACTCGTCCAAGCGCTCGACCATCTCCACCACACCCTCAATCTAGCCCATCGCGATCTCAACCCATCCAACATCGCCATCGCCTCCAACGGCCGTCTCAAACTGATCGACTTTGGGTGCTGCATACCCACCGCCTGCCCTTCCTCCGCGTCCGATCCTCCCGTTGTCGATGGTCCCAAAGGCCTAGAACACGATTTCGGTACTCTCCCCTATCGAGCACCCGAGTTGATCTTTGGCTCCAACGCTTACGATCCGAAAGGATTGGATCGCTGGATGTTGGGCTGCACCTTGGCTGAATTCTGGACGCCGTTCCAAGACCCAACTCGGGAACCCGACTCTGACGACTCGGATTCTGATTCTGACCCGGACGCCCAAGATGGATACTGGTCCTCACCCCCCTCACCCCATTCCTCTCGACCTTCACAAAATCCCGCACCTCGACCACCGAACCGTCAAAGACTCTTTACCCTCCCCTCGCGAAACCCCACCGATTTCTCCCTCCTTGCTTCCATCTTTTCCACCTTGGGAACGCCGACTTTACAAACTTGGCCGGAAGCGAGGGCTTTGCCGAATTTCGGTTATTTCGTCTTTCAGTCGCATCCGGTCGATTTGGAGTGGGTGAGCAAGAGGTGTACTTTCCTTGCGGAGCTGGGGGAGGAGCGGCGAAATCGGTTAGAAGGGTTGGAGAAGATGCTCGCTGGATTGGTTAGGATCTCGGAGGGTGAGCGATGGGGCGTTGAGAGGTGTTTGAAAGAAGGTGGATGGGATACGGTGGAGACGGAAGGTCTGATTGTACGAGGCGAATTGGGGAGGTGGTTAGAGGAGTATTGGCAGTAAAGCACTATGTAGACGGTCTGAGCGCATCTTTCCAAGAAGTTTGTACACAGTAGAACGATGTTCTCCCTCCAATTAGTGGAAATTGCACAAAAAGGATATCAACATCGATCTGGGACAGCTCTTGGACCCGATGAGATCAAGCGAGCATCTCCTTGAGTTCGCCATTCTCGACCATCTCCTTGACGACGTCCAAGCCACCGACGAACTCGCCCTTGATGATGAGTTGGGGGAACGTGGGCCATTCGTTGAGGTCCTTCAGCTCTGTGAGGGGTGGGTGGAATACGAAAGAAGGACGGTGATCAGCAGTCGAGTTTCGGGACAGGTCTCGGCTAAGGAGCACCCCTACTTTGTCGCACCGCATCATCGGACAAGATATCAAACGTCGTAAATTCGACATCCTGCTCGTTGAGGATATTGACGATCTTGCTCGAGAAGCCACACCTCGGGGTCTTTCGGTCCCCTTTCATGAAGAGCACGACGTCGGATTGCTTCATCAACTCATGACACCTCTTCGTCAGATCCTCGTCCGACTCGTCCGAATCGCGTGTAGCTGTGATGTCCCCAGCGGGGTACGGCGTTGTTCTGGGAGGGGGGAAGAGGAAGAGCTGGGGTCGTAGCGCGTTTGGGCTTGGGTCGGTCGCGCCGAGGTGGTCGATTGCCCTGCGAGCGCGGCCTTGTTGTTGACGTGTAGGGTGATGGCCGATGCGAGCACCGAAGGTTGAGCACCACTCAGTCTTGTCAACAAGGTGTGGCCCTGATGTGCGATTGCGAAAGGACGGTACGGAGGAGGAGAAGCGTCAGACGCGATCGACAACGACTCTTGCCTGGGCGAAACATGCACAGGGACTCAACTCGTAGTAGGATAAAGTAAGGTACGGCATCAACTTCGAACGATTCTGAAATGTCGGGTAACGACTCGGCCTCGATCTGTGTACAGGCAGCAAGCGATCAAGCGATCACCGTCGGCGCGCAATCGACCAATTAGCGATCGAGCAAATGGCGCGCGCGTACAGGCCAGCACGAGCCACGACCGCGTCGACGAATCGACTCGCGAGTTGCAACGTACAGAGAGGAACAACACCTTGTCCCATCGCTGCACGAGCTGCTGCACGACCTGGTCCATCTGCTGGCACGTCTCAGCCCAGTCGGCGCGGAAGTAGAGCACCGACACGAGCGTCAGGTCCGTCGACAGCACCTGCTGCAGGTGTTCCGGCGACGTCACGACGTGGTAGTTGGAAGGCGCCATCGTGCAAGGAGAGCGGGCCGCGGGAGGGATATGATCGAGCGGTCCGGAGGCTGTGGAGAAGGTTTCAGTCGTTTGCGATGGGTTGTTTGGGATGAGAGTCTCGACGGCTTGGTGTTTGCGAGTCGGGGCTTGCGTGCGCAGAGAGTGAGGAGAGCAAGCACGCCTCCTTCACGGCACGTCGGACCTCAATACAAATCACGCTATGCCACCAAATGCCACCAGCAGTGTGCTCGGTCAATCGATGAGCTGCTGTATCGGACTTACCGAGTCCTCACCTCACTTGCACCCCGGCAAAATCACTTTAGCATCAGACATTGTATAAGATACGGACCTCGTAGATCAAGGTAGTCTGTCGGCTAAGACTGCCGAGAGCCAAAATACAGGGTTTGCTAGCGACCAGCCCGAACAGCGAGTGTGATCGGTGAGTCTGATTCGTTAGGCCTTGCAGGATCGGAACCCCGAACCTGATGATCGTGGCCATCCTCTCATAACTAGAGTCTCAATTGTGAAGAAACTTGGGGGGCAAAGCTGGCAGATGATGCAGACTTCCACACTCCTGCTAGATATGGGAGAGTGGCGTAATGAACGAAAGCGAAATGAGAATTTGGTGTCGTCGCTCGCAGGAATAATCAGTGGAGAGGGAAAATGAACCAAGTAACGGCGAGCGACGCAAGATCATAGAGAGGGAGGGAGAGGAGGCACGGAGTCGCATCTGAGGCACGTCGAGAGCTCTCGGCTAAGATTAGACGCTCGAGTCAGTTTAGTAACAGCGTCTCCGATCGACGTCTCCGGGCCGCGGTTGGTTGAGCACGGAGAAGTCGAGGTCGTGCCGCGCCGCACCGCACCAGAGCTGAGAAAGTATGGTTCCCTGGCCCTCACTCGACCCAACACACTCCACCACCCTTTGTCAGACTGACCTCGAGCCATCGACACTTCGGGGAGAGAAAATTGGCATCGCCGCCTGGTCACACCGATTCGCTGTAAGGCCCACCGCCTGCGCCCAGGTAAGCGGTGACGAAGGCGAAGGTCTCGTTTCGAATCCTTCGGTACCATGGAGGCCCCGACATTCGGGGGAAGGTGAAAACACAATATCGGCCAGCAGGGAAAAGACCCAAATCAACGGTTGCCAGATATTGCTCGGACTCGGACGAGGCAGTACAGCCGCATTTCGCAGGCTTCTGCACCGAGCGACATGAATGCGAGAAGCTACTAAAAAAAACTCGCCATCTCCGCCGGAAGGGTCACGTTGCAGCTGCGCGCACGGCTAGCCCATGATTGCTTAGCACCTGCGACGTCAACAGCTCAAGAAGTGGAAGCAAGGTGAATGCACAATCAGCAAACAGACACAACTGCTCCACCGCGTGGTCGAAACCACCCGTCGGGACCCGAGGTTGCCCGTGAGGCGACTCGAGAGAATAGACCTGGACCTTGCTCTTGGAGGGACACACCAGCAAAACGAAATCGCAGACACTACCGTTCGCCTCGGACGATCAAAGTGGTGTGAAGCTTCGCAATCAAGTTCACCTGACTGTGTAACGGCCAAGATCGCAACCGGCTCTGATGCAACGCAGATGCGAGCTCGACACGGTATGACAAGGTGGCGAGGTCAGGGGAGAGAGAGTGTACGGAGCGCGTGGAGCTGAGCCCGAAACTTGACGAAAGAGTCGAAATAGGCAAGGATGTGCAAGGCTCCTCACTACTAGGGACGACTTGGCAGCATAAGGGCTTGACGGAGTAATATTTCACTAGCTACTGATGGCAACAGAAGAATCTGCGTTTGACCGAAAAACTCGGGCGATCAGGTACCCTCGTCATCGAGCACTTGCTGCGCGCTGGGGCCTGACAAGGAACAACTGGAAAAATCTCGCTCATATTTACAACACATGTCCGACATATGACTACAAGCGGGAGGGCGTACGCATGCATGTTGGCCCGTCTTGGGGAGGTCGTCTTCGGCCTTGGCCGTATCTGCCAGCTTCGAGTCGGGCAGCAGCTCGGACGGCCCTAGAACCTCCGTGCTGGCCTCGGCTCTCGTGTTGACGACCTTTTCGAAGCCGACCACGGGGTCGAGACCAAAGTGCACTCCTTTTCCTGCAAAGTTCACGACCGGACAACACAAGTATTTCGTAGACGCGCCAGCCGAGGTCACCCAGGAGTCAGCGAATCGAAGCCCAAGGCGAGCAACGAGCGATGACGGTGAGTGCAGAGGCAAGAACTCACTTCGCAAATGCTTGATCTCATCATTGGAGAGGTGACCAGGGTGATATTTGTTCGCGATTGAAGAGCCAATTCCTCGAAACCATGCTCTGCGGCGTTCCGCCCAGGAGCGCAGACCTCCATAGAGAACAAGCTCAACCGAGAGGTTGGCCGACAAGTGCAGGGGGGGTCTGGAATCACGATACTGCTTGTTGTACCATTCGATGTAGCGCTTCCGACCCTGATGTATACCTATTGTGGCAAGGAACCCGAATGATTGGACCATGAGATTGCGATCAGCTTGTGTTGGACGCGAGGGGACCGGTGGCGGGGCTTCGCGAAACTGGCGGCACCTACAGAAGCCGGTCCATTCCTCGATCTGAAACACCACAGGATGTTCGTCGAGCTGTGATCGCCAGAGAGTTTTCCAGTCGTCGCGCACCTCGGCGGAGAAGATGTTGTAGCTCCAGTTGCGTCGAATCTCGTCACACCTCTGCTTGCGACGCTCCTCAAACGCGTCGAGATAGGCCTCCAGTTCGGCCCAGGTCGCTTCCGAGACGGCGTGCCAGATCACTTCGCTTTCTTGGTAGTAGACAGGGATGCGTCCGCGGTGTCGATCTTCGAGAAATCGGAAATAATCCGAAATGGTCGCGGGCATGAAGCGGTCGTGCTTGTCGAGAAGCACCCGCAAGGGGATACCCATCGGTGCGGCCCCCGCCCCGCACTGGCTTAATGCGGATGCGGAGAGGTCGACGTCTCAAGTCGATATCTTTGCTCGGTTATGCGTTGACGTGTTTCCGCTCTCCCCGACGAGCCGAGAGACCCCGAGAGTGTGGGGGCGGGGCGGGGGCCTCAATAAGTAGGCAATGATGAGGAAGGACGCCGCGAGCGTTCGGCCTCGCCGGCTGGCCAGGGCCGGCTTCACACTCTCTCACACCGCTGGCCGGCCAGCTGGCAGAGCTGGCAGCAGACACTCAGCAGAGTTGAACAATGGACTGATCCAATGCAGAGCCAAAGCCCCATCAGCCCATCAGGGCGTTGGCCACCAGCAGCCTTAGCGCACCGCGGTGGAGAAAGGCACCTCGGTGACTGATTACAGCCGCCAAGATCGAAGCCTCTCCTATCGGCGAAAGCATAGGGCATGTGTGAGGTCTCAGGGCGTGAGGGAGAGCTGTGCAAACAAAAGTGACATTTATGTAATGACAACCGAGAAAAGCAAAACTACTATAATGGAAATGAGAAAAGTAACTCTGCTGTGATGGCGGGTAAAGAGCACACCTTGTAAAGGGAAGCAGGAAGTCCGTCGAGTCGGCCCTGTCCGTTGGGGAGCTGATTCAGCGCATCCGCCGGCCGAGGGGCAGAGGCCAACTCGGAGTTGGGTAAAATCTACAGCACATCACACGCTCCTCTCGAAGAGAAAAACGGCGGATGATGGCGTTTCGTAAGAAAAGGTCCTTTTGTTCACATTGGGATGTAGCACATTCGATTCTCCTGCCATATCATCATCCGTTAATCTAAATCTAACAGGTTCCCACTGGTATCAGGAAATGAAGGAGCAACCCTGTAGACATACCATTCCGATCATGAGAAGTGATTGGTCACCAAAGACAATCTTATTTTGCAATTATCGAGTGAAGCCGGCTCAAGCCACTGGGTTGGCGTGCTTAGATTCGATTTACACTCCCTCAGGCACTACTGGGCGATCCCCAGCTAGTAGGAGCCCCTGAATTCCGTAAGCGGCAGTTTCGATGCCATTCTTAAGCCTGATTTGAGTTTCCTCACCTGATCGAATATTCTCGCGTTCAGTGCCAGCCACTTAAGGTTTTAGGAATTGACGGTCCTTGTCACCCATGCTAGCGCCGGTCCAAGAACTTGACGCGTGGCAACGTCCCACTGCACGCAATGCCACCGTTGTGTTTTACCCCGTGCGCGGCCACTTTGCGATTGACACTGGGCCCTCCGCAATTGATCTGGCAGCACCAGTCACCAAGAAATATCAAGGCTTCTCACTGTTCTGCTCAAGCCATCTTTCTGACATCTTGATCGGACCAAATGCATCGCTCTTCACTATTTCCAGCGCAGATGGCGCAGTGTCAACTCTTTCCTCAGCAAAGATCGGCCAATCGGGACCGTAATATACAATATTGCGCGCGGTAGAAACTGTAATAACCTTCCTGTTGCCCTCTCCAACAGAAGAACGATTCGAGCTGCCGTGTGACAAGTGGAGTTCAGAATCTTGGCGACAGACCACCAGACACGGCGCGGCGCAAGCAGCAGCGCTTCTTTGATATCAGATATTAAAACCCCAAAAGCTATGTATGGTCATCCTCTGAGCTCATGTGTTACACAAGGTCGGTACTGCGTCTTACATCTAGATAGTCTACATGGTTTAGATCCGTAAGCACTGAAAACTGCAAACTTACTAAAAGTCCACTGAAAGTCACAACATACTGCATCCAAGCAAGTCCATGAACTGCAGGCTACCCCCTGAAAATTTCCCACATCCGATGTAGCGAGTTGTACTCGTCAAAGGCTGACGAAAGGCCGACCTCTACGCATCCGTGTACGAGAGGATCATTTTGATCGGCCAGAGAGGTAGGGCGACTCTGGCTCGCTCCTGGTCACTTCGCCCCGCAAAGACGGCGGCATTTCGGCTCGAAGTTGGTTGGATTGCGGTTCCAAACTTCGTAAAAACGCGTCCAACGATTCCTCAGCGCCGCTGAAACGAGCCTGCGCCCTGATTGCGCGGGCCGGTCTCCAGGGCAGCATACCCCTGGTCCCAGCGTCTGTCGCCAGATTCGATTCTGACTCGTCGAGTGCAGCGGTCGCATTGGTGTGCGAAAGCTTGCACCAAGCGTGATACGCGTTTGTGGCGGCGAAGGGAAGTGTGACGATCGCCCAGACCCAGGAAATTGACCATCTCCGTAATCGCAGCAAAGCGGTCATTCGTCGGAATCGCCGCGCAGGGCACGACGATCAACGTTGAGCTCCAAGTCAGAACAGCCGCCAGTAGAGCGGAGGTGATCATAACCACGCCTCCCATCATCAGAACCCAATCTTTTGCTTGTCGTAGCTCCCACGCGCCCTTCCATGGTTGGGCTGCTGATGCTTGGAACGCGCTCCGAGGTGAGCTTTGCTGATCGGGGACTGCCTCCTTCTTTCCCATGTAGTCCTGCCCGTCCTCGGATATCGGGCTGGAAGTGTGAGCGAAACTGATGTGAGATATCGTATGCATATTGGTGGCTGTCTCTTCTTGTGCGTCATCAAGCTGGTTCGTTTCCACCTGGATGCTCGAGATGAAAATCTCGCCGTCACTCGTGACGCGGCCCATGTTCTCGGAGTGTCTCGAAAGCTGTCGCCGCATCATCGCCCACAGAGCCATGCACAACGATGCGAGCTGTGATCCCATCCAATGATAGAGTCAGAGATTCAGATAATGTGGGACGTCGAGGGAAAATATCCAGTCTCTTCTCGCGAAAGAAGACCAGCTTACCACGAGATTTAGGAAAGCCACGGCGGTGTAGAGCCACTTGGCTACGAATTGTTGACGGAACGACGAGGCGACGGTGGCACGGAGCTGTCTGAACTCGCTGGAAAGCGCGGGTGTTATCGGTGGAGTTGTGCCCGGCACCCAACTGGGGACCAATTTCATGATGTCCTCCCGAAGTCCTTGGTAAAGCAACCAAATATTGGTCCACCTGCGAGTCGTGCAAAGCAGAGTCAGCGGCCCGTCAGCGGCTAACACACGCGGGGCGGCACCAGATTGTAGGGAAGGGGGCAAGAGGGTGTACTGATGCAAGACAAAGAGAGAAGAAAATGAAAAACTCACGATTTGCTTCCAATGACGGCGATGACGACAACCCCGGTTGTGAAGAGGATGATGCAGAGAAAGTAGGCGATGACGCAGCTGCGCAGCGTCCACTTTGACCACGTCCGGCCCTTGCGGCTCAGCACGACGACGAACGCCTGCAGTAGCGAGAAGCTACATAGCAGACCACCGAGCACCATTGGGAAATAGATCGTTGACCTGCGCGCGATGCGCGTCTTTTGCGAGTCGTGGTCGAGGACCATGCGCCACTCAAAGACGACATAGAAGATGTTGATGACCGCGGCGACGAGGGCGCTGTAGGCCGTGATGAGGATCTGGTGCGTGACGAGGAAGGGCTCTCTCTCTATTCGTATCCATCGCCAGAGCCAGTACGGTTGCTTGTTGCGCCGCCGCTCCACCTCGATCAGCACCAGTTGGGTCGCCGTGAGCGCGACGATGAGAGAGAAGCACCCGAGGAGGACGATGAGCCGCGTTTTGAAACCGTGGGCTGGTTCGCTGAAGAAGAGTTGGTCAAGCCGGTTCAAATCTGAGCGTTATTAGGGATCAGTAATTGAGTCGATGCTTTACTGAGAGAGAGCGTGTGCCAGATTCGGACTGCGGCGAAAGAAGAGAGGAGACGCCGTGGAACACGGGCGGGGCGCCGAAGCCTTCCGGCCGATTGGCCGAAACGGCCCCGCTCCGGCGGGCGGCCAACCAGCGTCGTAGGAGGTCGCAGGCGGCCTGCGTCAGCCTGATGGCCTGATGCGCGGTCGGCAGGCGGTCTGGGGCTGGCAGCTGCTCGCTGGCACTGTGGTGCACTGCAATTGCTTCAAGTCCCTGCACCGCTACTCACAGCATGTCCAGGTATTGCTAGAGGCCGTGGTGGTGCATGGCAAGAAATAGGTCTTGATTTCGTGAGGTGTCGCTGCAAAAGGGCTGCGTGATCGTAGAGCGCTCATCCTCTCTAAGTTGGGACTCGAGGCTGCTGCCTTCGTTGATTTGTGGCAGGCTGCTTATATGCGCGCTCCAGGTGCCTGCCGACGGTGCCGGCTGGCGTTGCGGCTGCTGGAAAGTCGTTCAAGACGGGCACGGCAGGGACCACGGCGCGGAGAGAAGTTGAATGATGAAGATGGTGGGGTGCTAGACGGCGGCTGGTAGTAAGTGGCAGCCCTTGCTGATGGTAGCCTTGACGACGTGACTTTAGCAGTGACGGGAGTGAGGATATCCACCACTGCTCACTTGGGCTGGTTCAACGATGATCAACCAGCGGCGATCCCTTGCGATCCAAAGATTCGTCGAGATGCTTCCGACTCAGGTTCACGTGCGAGGGGCGGCTTGCCAGGGACCAGCTCGCGCTGGGTCTGAGACAGAGGCAACCGGAGAATTCGGTTTCTGCCGGGACATGAAGCCAGGCAAGACTGACTTGACGGAACATGGCAAGCTCACACCTAAATAAGCAATTGCGTAATCAACTCTCAGTGTATTTGGCCAAGCGCATCCATAATGCATTTGTTCAATGTCGCTTTGCGTCGATTGCAAGCATCTTTCGTCTGCGAGGACTCCGTCCCAAATAGGAAGTCGGGCGGCCCGCAGATCCGCGCCCAAACCTGCCTTACGAGGCAGGTGCGCATGCGCGATCGAGGCGGTCGAGGCATCAGCCAATATCCCGCGGTAGATGGTTTCTCGACCCTCGGGTTGGAAATCTTTACATCTACAGAATATATCTTCTAGCAAAGACTTTTGAGCTACGTAAAGTGGTATGTATCCGTGATCTTAGGCGACTCTGCCTTGTACTACAAACCTGCTTACCTCGTCACTGTCAGAAAAGTCCTTTCCTGTACCGCCCTGGGCGACCTGCCTGCCAAACTGGCTGGGACCGGCTGACCGTTGAGCGTTAACGAACTTAACGTTGAAAGCGCTCAGCCTAAACTGATCCTGCACTACTACTGCCAAGCGCTCGACGTGCGCCTTGACAAGGGACACCACTACCTACAAACATTCGTGATCGATCTGCTGACATAACAGCTCACAGAAAGCTCCAGAAGAATTGAAGGCGCAGGTATATCCCCGACGGTCTTCTACCTGTGGGTCAGCAACAGCCTGTCTGCTGCCATTGCCCAGTGACTCGGAGTCAGAGGCTCGCCAAGTTCAACCGATCGTTTCGGCGTCATTTTGACAACGCGGTCGAACGTCAAGCGAGCGCGGCGACCGTGGCACGGTCGCGTCTTTGCCCGCTACAACACTCGCCTCTGAACTCAGATCAAGGTTCAAGCTCTTTCAAACAATGTGGAGCGAGCAGAAGGGCCATACGAAACATCTGCTGTCTATTCTCTTGTGCCTCACGCTCATACACGGAGGGAGAGCCGCCTACAAGAGCACGGACCTGCTACGTGCACCACGCGTCCCCGTGCAGCTCTATCAACACCTTCGAAGAGAGGAGCAGGCCCAGATTGCAACGGCCCAGCTCTATTCTACCGCTGGTGACCACTCGACATTGCGCTTCTCCACCCCGGTTGCTCCAGAGTACCCGGCTTATACGTTCGACCAACGCGTGTCGCACTTCGACGATGTCCCCGCGCCGGTCGAGAATGAGACATTCAAGCAGCGCTATTGGTTCAATGCCGAGCACTGTAGGTCATCGTAAAGGCTTGCGTAGCTTTTCAACTTTTCAATTCCACTGCAGGCGCCTTCCCGGCCCATTAACAACCCTTTTTCCTCCGAAACGGATGTTAGATAAACCTGGAGGTCCGGTCTTTTTGCTCGACGGTGGGGAAACCAATGGCGAAGACCGCTTTCCCTTCTTGCGCCAGGGAGTCCTCGAGATCCTGAGCAAGGCTCACAACGGTATTGGGTGAGCTACGACTCCGTGAGAGCGGCAGGATGGTGTGATATCGGTCATTCTACTCACAGCATTTTTAACTTTTCAGGATCATTCTCGAACATCGCTACTATGGAGAATCCTTCCCCGTTGAAAACCTGACCACGGACTCGATGCGTTTCTTATCGACCGAAATGTCATTGCTCGATTCAAAATATTTTGCACAAAACGTCAAGCTCCCCGGAGTTTATCACTTCAACAACAGCCTCGCTCCCTGGATCTACTGCGGTGGATCGTACGCGGGAGCCAAGGCGGCGTTTGCGAGGAAACTCTACCCGGATGTGTTTTGGGGCGCGATTGCCTCGTCCGCGGTAAGTTCAGTGTCATCCTCCTGCGCGAGTACTTGGTCTACGGCGAGAGTAGGAGAGGGAGGCTGAGCCCTGTGCTGTACTTGGGCTCTGGAAACAGGTGACCAAGGCCATCGCCGAGTTCTCGGAGTACTACGAGCCGATTCGCAAGTCCGCACCTCAGCAGTGCATAAACCTCCTGATCAACCACACGAACCTGATCGACCAGCTTCTCGACCTCAATAACTACGCCGTGACATCTTCGCTCAAGTCTTTGTTCGGCCTACCCAACGTGACGATGTCGGACGATTTTGTCAACACTTTGGCCGCCGCCTTGGGAAGCTGGCAAGGACAGAACTGGGATCCGGCTGTGGGGAGCCGAGAGTTCGACGAGTTCTGTGATGCTCTCACGAATGCCGAAGTCGAGGTTTCCTCGGAGGTTCGAGATGCGCATACCGGTCTAAAGGATGGCATCAATCGTTTTGGCTGGAGCTGGCCGAGCCCGAAAGCTTTTGCCAAGTTGGCCAAGTACGCTCAGTACATCCGCACCAATGTCGCGAGCCTCTGTCCCGCCGAGATGAGACAAGACGAGTGTTTTGGTCACGAGGGTGTGGACCTGACCGGGTTGGAGCAATCCTCCTGGCGGTCGTGGACGTGGCAATATTGCACCGAGTTCGGATACTTCATCACCGTGAGTTCGCACCCGCGGAGGCCACTGTTGGATTGCACTCCATTCTGCGATGTTTTCCAAGCTCACTCATTCCTCCGTCCTCCTTCCCAGTCGTCACCCGAAGCGAGTGAACGCTTGGTATCGCGCCGCATCGATGTCAAGTACACGAGAGCAATCTGCCAAAAAGCTTTCCCTGACGGGACGGTGGTGCGGATGCCGACCTGGCCGAATGTCGAGAAGATTAACAAATGGGGCGGGTACAAGATCCGTGCTCCGAGGTTGGCATTCGTGGATGGGTCGAGGGACCGTGAGTCCCGCTTTGTCTCATCGATTCCCTAAAGCGAACTGGCTGACCTCCGTCTTGGCATGTGCGAACCTTTTCCAGCGTGGCTGTATGCCACACCTCATTCTCCCCATGCAAAAGATCGCAAAGACTCACTAGAAGAGCCTTTCAAGATGATTGAAGGCGGGGTCAGTCCTCAAGTCTCACGCTCCCAGGATTGCGTAATTTGCGTCGGCAGAACAGCGACCTGCACTGACTCTTAGGCGTGTCGGTTTCCACCGGCAGGTTCATCATTGGGATCAGAATGGAAGACCGAGAAGCGAGCCCGGCCCCATCCGCGCTATCCACTCCCAGGAGATTGAATTTGTGGGGCATTGGCTTCGCGAGTGGGAGGAGAGAGGGAGGTGGAGGCCCGAGTAGTCAGCCCACGCAAGATTCCTGATTCTATGCTATAGTAAAGCGGTCGATCAAAGATGATTCATGATAAGATAAGGGATAATTATGACCGAATGCTCCTAGGAGACCCGAGGTGAGAGGGACGAGAGGGGTTTAGAGCCGAGGCACAGGGTAACGAGAGCCGAAAAACGAGACTGAGACGCTAAGATCGGAGACTGGAGAATGATGCCGAACGAGACTTGAGACACGCGGAAGGTGAGAGCCAGGTAAGATGCTGTATTGGATCCTAGAAGTGGTGTACGTGAGAGATAAAGTGGTGAACAGGAAGCCAAGCCCCCCCCCCACACGTCCTGGTCGTTCACTGTAATAAGGGTTGGTTTGATCCCTCAGATGTCGCGAGAGCTGCTATAATCGGCTGTTGATGTGAGGGGTGTGCCCCTCCCACGGGCCTTGCCCACACAACTGAGACAACTTGCTCTCCTCTCGTTTGAATAGATTTGTCACAGTACATACCTTTGGAAAGAAAGACTATCCAAAGGCGCGGGCCAGCCCTCGCCCCGCCCGTCAGGCGGAGCTCTGCTGTAGAAGCATTGTCATACAAAGCCACGCGCTTGCCGTCCATTAAATACAATATAAGTGTTCGCACTGTTTCACCTCAACGAAAAAGTGAAGGAAGATACTGGGAACGCTGTAGCTTCGTTCGACTGGCGCGAAAAATACAAAAGGTGCCACAGAGCTTGTACATGACTTCTGATCGGAACATGGACACCACGGGCAGGTGCGGCAGACACAACAGTATGCTGGTATATCCACCACAGGCGGCCCGGAGGCCGCCACCTAGTTAAAAACAGTGATTTTAGGTACATTCCTTGACTCACCTTTTTGTATATATATAGAGGTAGTAAGGTAGTAAAGGAGAGTATAGGCCATTGCGCCCCTTTTCCCCTTCGCGCGCCGAGCTCTGCTCGCTCCTCGCTTTCTGCCATACCCGACCCGGCCACCAAAAATGACGTTGCTGCGCGCCACTCGACACACCGCCAACCTGAGCTGGAGAAGCTTCTCCTCGTGTTGCTCGTGCCGCTCCCCAGCCCCGGATGGGGTGGCGTACAAGGCGCCGATCGCGGCCGGCCGGTTGCCCGCGTACGACGAAGCGCTCAAACTGCTGCAGGCCGACCGCGACGACAAGCTGCAGCGACTGGCCAAGCTCAAGACGCAGGGCGATGTCGAGCAGAGCGTGCTGGACAAGCTCGAGGTCGAGGCATGGGTCAACGATCCCGAGACGAGGTGGAGGGCCAAGCACGGCCACGGTCGGTATTCAGTCTTCATCTGTTCTGTGGGTCTATGCTCACACACTGCGACCACACTACTGACCATAGCATTCCTATGGCCACAGGCGATCCCACCAAGGCCGTGTACAGGCATCTTGCTGAGATGAAGTGGAGGAGAGAAGGCGCATTGGCGATACTCGTCAGTGGGATCGCTCGTGCGCACCACGTCGCAATCTCAAGCTCACACTCGCCTTCTCGTTCCCGCCGGACGCGGATAATCTAGATGCAACGCGTCACCCAAATGTCACTCGTACCCGACGTACTGCCCGAGTTTGATCCCGTGCTCGACGTGCAGATCAGCGTCGCAGAGCACAGTCAAGAGCCATTGCAACCGGGCGTATTCACCCTCCCGCGTCAGGTCAGTCGGCGGGAAGGACGCTCGAGGACCAGTCTACAGACCACGTTCATTGACTCCGTCTTCATACAGACACGAGAGCCTTTCAAAATCTCGGCACAGGTCTTCCACCCCGAGGAGCGACTTTACACACTTTTGATGGTCGATCCCGGTCAGTTGTCCCGGTAACCTTTTTCGACAATCGTTTCAGCGACTGACGTAAAGTCTTTTTACCGCCCCCAACAGATGTCCCCGATCAACTGAACCGAACATTTACCACCACTCTCCACTGGCTCGTGTAAGTGTAGGGCTCGCGCACAGGCTACCGACTTGCCTCGGACCTGATCCCTTCTCCTCACTCCCTTTCCAGCCCCAACATCCCCTTATCCTCCAGCAAAGCCGACCTCTCCCCCTCTCCCGCTCTCATCCCTTACCTCCCGCCCCACCCCCAACAAGGCACACCCTACCACCGGTACACCCTCGTCCTCCTCGAACAAAAGCAAGCACTCGGTCTCGCACCCGAAGCCGTCGAACGGACCGATTTCTCTGTACGCGAATTCATGCGACAGAACGACTTGACTGCGAGTGGGATGAGCTTCTTCAGGCAAAAGTGGGGCGAGGACGTTTCGGCGATCTACAGGGAGATCCTGGGTCGGTTGACCGTGAGACGTGGTCGGGTGAGCGCGAGGAGCGGGACTGACTTGGGCTCCTTTTTTTCTTTTCCATCCTTTCCTTCCCTTGATCAGGTGCCGAGCCACCACGATTTGCTCGACCTCTCAAGATCGATACATACGCTGGCCGTCCGGCGAAATACGACCTTCTTTAGAGCGAGGAAGCATCGGGCCCCAATATGCAATACCCAAAAATCTCATCACCAAAGCTGTTCCCGGATGCGGTTGACGTGCGGAGCATGCTCCCACTTTCTGAAATCATTGTCGGGCAGGTAGCCATATTTTTACGACACGGGAGTGAGAGAGTTGATTGGTGATTCTGGACGAAAGAGTGGGGAGCGACGGGGGATAGAACGACATCTACTACACACGAAAATACACGCTGCGGGAGGGTTTTGCGAAATGGGGTGATGGGTATCTTCATACAGACACGAGAGCCTTTCAAAATCTCGGCACAGGTCAACATTTACCACCACTCTCCACTGGCTCGTGTAAGTGTAGGGCTCGCGCATAGGCTCGGACTTGCCTCGGACCTAATCTCTTCTCCCCACTCCCTTTTCAGCCCCAACATCCTCTTATCCTCCAGCAAATCCGACCTCTCTTCGAATGGATTCGACGCGAGGTCAAATTGAGTTGTGGATGAAAAAATTGCATGACCTAAGCTCGGTTATAAACCTCACTGCTATAGGTGCTTGCCCAAACACCAGAATCCTGAAATATGAAAGTCGTGCTAAATAAGTCTCGCGGATCCCAAGTGATCCCAATAGGTCCGTGAAAGGCCAGCCCCTTCGTAACTGGACTATACAGCCAAAAAGGTTAACAATTTCAATCGATGCAGATTGGAATCAGAAGGGAGCTATTTAAGGCGCAAGGTAACTTTGGTCCTTCACAGTCCGGCGGGAATGGTCCCGCGACCGAAACGCAGGAATGGCCCCGTGTGGGATACGAGTCGTCGGGCTTCCCGGCACACAGACCTAAAAAGACCACTTCGATCAACAAACAACGCGACACGCTAGGCTTCAGATGAACTTTCTCTTCTTGACCATACCTTCTTGATTTCCTTTCGTATTTCTTGATCCCAACAATGGCATCCCGATCTCAAGGTCCTCGGATGCATCAGACGCTCTTTTTGCTCCTCGTCTTGGTCGCGTTGTACGCGTCGAGCGCGTTTGCCAGGTTGACAAGCCGCACGCTGCTCCGCGCGCCGAGCGTGCCCGTGCAACTCCTCCAACACGTCCAGCGCGCTGAGCAAGCCCAAATCACGACACACCAATCCCCTTTCATCGTTTCGCGTGATGTGGCGGTACGATTTGCCCCGAGGGACAAGCCCGAATACCAAGCGTACACGTTCAATCAACTTGTCTCGCACCTCGACAGTGTGCCTGCGCCGGTCAAAGGCCAGACGTTCAAGCAGCGCTACTGGATGAACGCCAAGCACTGTAAGTTTGCCGGCGACTCTTGTCTAGATTTTGAATAAAAATACTTTGCTGATCGCATCATTGAACGTAACTTGGGTGTAGACAAGCGTGGGGGACCCGTCTTTTTGCTCGATGCCGGTGAAACCAACGGCGAGGCTCGTTTCCCTTTCTTGCGACAGGGGATCCTCGAGATCCTGAGCAAGGCGCACAACGGTATCGGGTGAGCCGTTGCCCTTCTTGCACAGGAAGCCCAAATAATTACATCTGATCGTATGATCTTCTCGTACAGAATCATCCTCGAACATCGCTATTATGGTGAATCCTTCCCCGTTAAAAATCTAACCACGGACTCGATGCGTTTCCTTTCGACCGAGCAGTCGCTGCTCGACGCGAAAAACTTTAAGCTTGACGTCAAGCTTCCCGGCGTCGCGGAATTCTCAAACAACCTCTCACCCTGGATCTACTATGGCGGATCTTATGCCGGTGCTAAAGCGGCGTTCGCGAGGAGGAAGTACCCCAGCACGTTCTGGGGCGGAATCGTCTCATCCGGCGTGAGTCCTCACTACTTACCCGATCCTCTGCTTCTACCCGTCTGACCCTTGCCTTACAAGACAGGTCATTCAACCCATTATCAACTTCCACGAGTACTACGAGCCGATTCGCAAGTCGGCTCCGCGAAAGTGCATGAAGCTTTTGATCACCCACACAAACCTCATTGACCAACTGCTTGACCTCAACAATTACACCGTCACCTCGACACTTAAGGGTTTGTTCGGTCTACCCAATGTATCGCGTTCGGACGACTTTGTAAACACGCTCGCGCTCCCTCTCGGTAGTTGGCAGGAACGTAACTGGGACCCTGCCGTGGGGAGCAAAGATTTCGATATCTTCTGTGACGCCGTGACGAGTTCGAAACACGTGCCGATCTCGCCTAGACAAGCGGCGGTGCTACAACCCCCGATCAAGAAGATCAAGTGGGCCAGTGCGACCGAGCTTGACGACTTGGCCAAGTATGCACGCTTCATTCGCACCCAGGTGGCCAGCAGTTGCCCTGTAGGCGCGAGTCAGAACGATTGCTTCTCGCAGAGCAGTGGTTTAAACGCGACCGGCTTGGACCAAGCTTCGTGGAGGTCATGGGCCTGACAGTATTGCACCGAGTATGGATTCTTCATCACGGTGCGTGACGTTGATTTCTCCTGCGTTCAAAAGAAAACAATCTCAGCTCATTTGCTGAATCCTGCGTATCTTCCACCCTAGTCGTCACCGAACGCGAACCGTCGCTTGGTCTCGAAGCGCATCAACCTCAAGTACTCGAGCGAGATCTGCCACCTGGCGTTCCCTCCCGGCAAACTGGTGTCGGTGCCCAAGACGCCGCAGATCAAACGCATTGAAAGATATGGAGGGCTTGCCATGAAAGGGTCCAGGCTGGCGTTTGTTGATGGGTCCGAGGATCGTGAGTGGATGCATTGAGCCTTTTTTTCCTGGTGAACGGATCCGGCCTAACTTGCTGATTCGCGGGTTCTTCCCGTGTTTAGCGTGGCTCTACGCGACGCGACACTCATCTCATGCCAAGAAGCGCCCGGATACGCTTTCGGGTCCCTACAAGCTGATCGAGGGTGGGGTCAGTGATAACGCCTGAGGCTTGGGAAGAAAATCGGTGCGACCGGCGTGAGTTACTGACTCGCGCTGATCTTCTCTTGGCCAGGTCCACCACTGGGATGAGAATGGAAGACCCAAGGGGGAACCCAAGATCATTCGTGAGATCCATGCCGAAGAAATCAAGTTTGTGGGCCACTGGATCGATCAGTGGAACGCTAGGGAGTGAAAAGTGCGTTGTACGGATTGAGGCTCGGCGGGGTGCGAGCCCCTGAGGAGGGTGTTTTGCGCCGGCAGAGAGGCGCAGAGGCTATTTATGTTTTATGAGCCCCCATCTCGATGGTGATTTTCTCTCGTTTTTCTGAACGCGTACCTTTAGTCTGCGAGTCTTGGCTTGGGAAGTGCCACACGGTAATATTGATCAATAGGCCATTAGGTTGGTCCGAGTTACGCATTGTTGAACAAGCCCACTGCGCCCCTTTTCCCCTTCGCGCGCCGACCTCCCCTCCTCCCCTGCTCTCATCCCTTACCTCCCGCCCCACCCCCAACAAGGCACACCCTACCACCGGTACACCCTCGTCCTCCTCGAACAAAAGCAAGCACTCGGTCTCGCCCCCGAAGCCGTCGAACGGACCGATTTCTCTGTACGCGAATTCATGCGACAGAACGACTTAACTGCGAGTGGGATGAGCTTCTTCAGGCAAAAATGGGACGAGGACGTTTCGACGATCTACAGGGAGATTTTGGATCGGTTGACGGTGAGATATGGTTGGGTGAGCGCGATGAGTGGAACTGAATCGGGCTCCTTTTTTCCTTTCTCTCCCTCCTTTGATCAGGTGCCTAGCCACCACGATTTGCCTGACCTCCCAAGATCGATACGTATGAGATCGATACGTATGTTGGCCGCCCCGCCAAATACGACCGTCATTAGAGCAAGGAAGCATCGTGGCCCTTTATGCAATACCCCCAAAATTTCGCATCACCAAAGCTGTTCCCGGACGTCGGAGCGTGCTCCCATGCTTCTGAAATCGTTGGCGTGCAAGTGGCAAATTGAAATCTTCGACTTGCAGGTAGTAGTACAACACGGGAGTGAGAGGATGGACTGGTGGTTCTGGACGAAAAAGTGGGGAGCGAAGGTTGAACTGCTAGAACGACATCTACCACACACAATAGAATACATGCTGCGGGAGGGTTTTGCGAAACGGGGTGGTGGGTATCAGAAAATGGAAGGAGAAATTTTGGAAAGGATCAAAGCATGATTTTGGCGAGGAGGTGTACGATCGTACTGGAATCGGCATTCTCGGCCACCCTGATCGGCGCCGAGATCTCTTCAAACTGCTGACCGTCTTCGAGCGTTGGTAGGACCGGTCGGGGTATGATGACGATCGCGAGCTCCCTCTGCGACGAAGGTTCGAGCGTGAAGGAAACGGATGAAGAAGACGAGTGGGATTCGGAGAGGACCTTTTTGTTCTTGCCAAAGGAAGAGGCGGGTACTTCGGTAATTTTGCTGTTCGTTGCGGGAGTGGTGGCGACGGCAACGATAGCCGAGTCCAAAGCTGTTGCAGTGACTGAAGGCTGGGTTCGGGTCTCGTCGGGTGCGCCAATGACAGACGCCATAGGAACGAGAGCTCCCTCGGTCACTTCTTCACAAGGTGTGGTGGCGGTAGAGGGCCCAGTCGATGTCGTCGTTGGCGCCGTGGTCGCACCAGCTTCGTTCGGTGGGATCCCCACACCGAGCAGCTTCAATCGCTCAATGTACTTTTGCTCCTTCTCCGGTTGCCCCTTCCTTCGACTGATCTTCAGCTTCTGCAACACCCCTTCGACCTCTTCCTCCTCTTCGACCGTCAGCGGCCCCCTTACTTTCGAAGTCGTCTGCGAGGGGTCGAGAACGACATCTAGCGCGGCTTTGCAAAAGTAAAAATCGTTCGAGTCCAACGAGACGGTGAAGGTCCTTTGGTTCTTGCTGACGTTGGTGATGGAGATCTTGAGAGGATCCGAGATCGAATGCAAGGCGCATTCACCAAAGTCCAACGTCGTCGTCGAAACGGCGAACGTCGGAGGGCGGAGAATGAAGGCCTTGACGCGGATGGTTTGACTGTCCGTCTCGTCCTCGACGTTGTCGACGTGGATCGTTTCCTCGAAAGCGCCAGCGAAATGCGGCTCAAACACGATCGAGACGTCCCGCTTGCCGTACCCGGCAATCACACCATGTCGTCCTTCACTGACTCGCAGATCCCCGGACGCAATCGATCCCGATTTGCGAACGGCGTACAGCAGAGGTTGTGCAGAGTTGTTGGCGATGATCACCTTCTTGGTCTTTGATGCCGAGCGTTCGAGTTGACCAAAGTTGATGTGCGACATGGCGAGATCCATCGTGGAACGGCATGTTGTCCATCGGAGAACGACCTCACGCACGGGGACTTCGGTCAAGGGGAGACAGGAAGGAAGGAGGGTCGCATCGACGTCGCTCGTCGCGACCTTGACGAGGTTGATGGTGATCTTTCCGTCTTGCTTGCGCGAAGACCCTTGGATGTTCGCGCGACCACCAGTGGGATGAAGAACGATCTGTTGTGACAGGCACAGTCCATCATCAGACTCTGCGTCACCAGATGAGCGCATGCGAATCGACCCAGACTTACATAAACGGTCTTTTCGCTCCCTTTAGCCACTTCCAACGCCGAGACCTTGATCAAGTCGCCCGAGGCGATCGCATTCTTTAACACCTTCTTGAGTGCGACATACCGTCTAACATAGGCGTCCTCCAACTCCCATGTGCTCAACTCGGCCGAGTCAGGATGGCCCGAATGATGTTCCAATGCACTCAAGGCTTCGTCGAGAGACAACTGGTTCGGGTCGGTCAAGAGGGGCACGATCTTGCGCGTCCTTCTTCTCCCCGTCAATGCGGGCGAGTTCGTCGATCCCAATGCGGTCGAAGCATCCGATCTCGGACCGCTTTTCCTCCTACCCGGGGTGGTCGCTTCGAAAGCTTCAAAGGCGGCTAATTTTGGCGAGTTCACCAACGATAAGCCACCCGTCATCGATCCTTCCTCGGCGACCGACGGAGGGGTTTTACTCGTCGCCACGGCGCGAGGTGGGAAGACGAGCCTCGTCAATCGGCTTTTGGACTGCGAGCGATCCTTGGGCCCTTCATGCACTTTGCGCTTCGTCCTCGGTGACCCCTTCCGGATCGAAGGGGGTCCAGCCGCAAGATCGAGGTACTCCGCATCGGCGAGAAGAGAGCGATCCTTGAAGCCGACACTTTGCCCATACTGTTGTGTCGCTTTGCCCTTGTCGCCTTCTTTGAGCTGGACGATGTGCGAGTCGATCTCGGCTTTCTTGGAGGCACCGCTTGATGAGTTGGACGAAGGTGCACGCGGGCCGATGGTCGTCATTGACGGCACTTTGGAAGTTGCTTCGCAATCAGGGGACCCCTTCAGGATCGTCGGATTTTGAGCAGAATTGGTCGGCGACGACGGAACGGAAGCAAGCGATGACTCTGAGGTGGGCTCCTTCGGCATCGCCTCCCCTCGCCGAACGTACAAAGAGTAATCGTCAGGATACGAAGCCGCAAGTCCAAGCGCCAAAGTCGAGTCCGAAGTGTTCTGAATCGTGAATGCTCGCAAAGAGGACGAATTGATAGGCGCGTTCCCAAACTCGATAAAGTTCCCGCCCGTGGAAGTGAGCAAATGGTAGAACAACGAGTGGAATGCGACACCCCGGGTATCGACGTTTGAAGCTTTGACAAGGCAGACCTGGGAATTTTCGGGGTTGAGCAGGTTGTGAACCGATACCTGCTTTTGGTACGACGCATTCGTGCGCCGTGGGACCATGTCGAGTTTGAGGTCAACCGATTTGCCGACACCGATCTCGATTTCGTCACGATAGGCACTCAAGACCTGAACACGAGGCAGCAAGGAGGAGAAGCCATCAGCGCGTGCACAAGAGCCAGTAGAGATCTCGCACACATACCTTTGAGATGAATCGCAAATCAACCCTTGCTGGGATCTCGGACAGATTCGTGATCGTCAACGTCCCTTGAGCGCTCGAGCCCAATTCGACATCACCAAGGTCGATCGTCGCCGGTCGGATCGCAATGAACGACGAGCACACCCTGGCCTTGCAATTGATCGAAACCCTCTCCTTCGGCACTGAAGCTGCGGCGCCACGAGCACCCCAGGGTCTCCACCCGACATGGACTCGAAACGTAGTTTTGTGCAAGCGACCTCCGTCATCGTCGAATGACGTCGCGCGTGTGGGCCGGAACGAGACGACAATGCGATGGACGACACCCGGTTTGGCGTGCATTTGGTCGACGCTGGCTTTGAGCCTTTGCTCGAGCACCTTGAGGCGGTCTTGCACGCGGAAAACGCCTCTTTCGGCTAGATCGGCTCGAACGGTCGTGGGTCTGGGTGGATCCTCGATGGCCGAGTCGAGGTTGCTGTGAGGTGGCAGGGCACTGTCCAAGCTCCCCGACGCCATGTCCGAGAACAAGCTCGTGTTGAGCCCCAGCGGGGAGTGGAACTCTCGCAAGGGTTGTGGCGAAAATGCACGAGCGACCGACCCTTCCGAGCTAGAAACTTGGGAATCGGCGAACACGTCCGACGATGGTCCCGAAGAGGCAAAAGTGTGATCCGACCAATTCGATCGCGTTGACCGATTCCCGAACATGGCGTTAAGGGATGAATGCTTCGCCGTGGCGACCGGAGGCGGGGACTTGGACAACGAGGCGGAAGACGTCGTGCTTCGCGCCAACTCGTGGATGATTGTACGCGACAGGGCAGGACCCGCATGGTCGGAAGAGGCGAGCTCGGTAGAGTTGGCGGCCGAGACGGGTTCAACGGCATTGGCACCGATTGCGGAATGGTCCAGGAGCAAGGGCGTGCTCGTATCTTCACACGCAGCGACGCCTTCGAGTCGGAAGGTGACTTCATACCCTTTGTCGACGCTGAAGGTGACCTCGAGGGGTGCATCAGACGTGTTGGTAAACGCGAACGTCTGCTGAGACCACGTCCCGGCGCACGAATCCCCAAAGTCCAGAGACGTCCCTGAAACGAGTCGCAAAGAATTGTCGAGCGGTGCAGAGGTGACGGCGCCATGGAAATGGCACACCACCGTGTTGTCAGGGTCGGCAACGTTCTCGAACGTCATTTCGGCGTCGATCTCGTGCGGTTCGTTGGGTCGGAAGTGGATGCGCAGACGCTTGTTAGAAAATGGTGGGACCTTGGCGATGACATCCTGTCCGATCCATTGGCCCATCTCGATGTCTTCGACTTGGAAGTTCTGCGTACTGTTCTCAATGCGCCAAAATAGCTCGACGGCCGAGCGATTCGACAATTCGCATTCGCGCGTCTGCAGCTCACCGACCCGACAGGCGCCAAAGTCGACGTACACCTCATCGTCAGAAAGATGAGAGCCACCACCGACGTCTTTTGCGGCGACGCGAAAGCGCGAGCGGCAACAGGTCGCATGGAACTTGATCGAGACTTGCTGCACCGCGACAGCCGAGACGGCGGCCGCATTCGACGAGTCGGCTCTGACATCGTTTTGCTCCTCGGGCAGCAAGGACGCGTCAAAGTTGACGTAGCCGTCAATGACAGCGAGCTTGAAGGTCGACGCGGTGGGGTGGTCGACAAGTGCGCTTGTCGAAGATACACTGGACTCGGCGATCGAGATAGACGAAAGCCCTTGCTCCGAGTACGAGTCGTTGGTCAGCTTGGATTGGGGCGGCGGCTCAAAGTTGACAACCGAAGGCTGGAGATGAGTCGAGTCGGGCCGGAAGACGGCGATGATGTTCTTGGCCTCGTTAGGCAGCAACGTAATTTCCGAGATGAGTCCTACGGCGTCGAACATGGCGTTGAACTCGGGAATCTCGTTCGAGCACGACAAAGCCGCGACGGTGTTGGTCGGCAAACGTTGCTGCTCCACGGCTGCAAAGAGGGAACTTGTGTGTCAGCTCGGAGTTGCAGTCACATTTTTTTCTGGATCGCTCTGGGTCACGCACGCAAAGATTCGAGATTGTCGTTGCGCAATTGCCACCGTAGCTGATCGCCGACGGTTGAGCCGAGACGAACGATGAGCGCGCCCCCACTAATGTTGCGCAAGGTCAATCGCTTGAGGGAGCACATGGCATTGAGAAAGACGCCCTCGAACGCGAGTTTGCCCTCGTGCAATCCTTCGACCTGGAGCAGCCGGGCCGGTATCGAAGCCAGGGAGGCGGCGGGGTTGCCCGGGTTCATTGATGCCCAGTCGTTCCGAGGTAATGAGCCGTCCTTGTTCACGAGCGTGCGGAAGGAGGCGAACGGCTGTGATCCCATCAGTGGACTGGCTCTAGGTTGACTGTATGGATTGTCCCGGATCGGTTGCGGTTGCGTTGGTGGGCGAGGGAGGATGGCTGTAGTGATCCTCGGTGTGCTGCTGCTGCCCGGGCTCGACTGAGCTGCCGCTGCTGCCTTGCCGTCGAGCTCCGAATGGCGCCCCCGGTCGTTGTCCGCGTACGACGCCGACGAAGCAGCAGCAGCAGGATCCATTCCGAACGAGCTGTCAGGTGCGAGAGCGTGCCCAGTAGTGCGCCACACCGACATTGACGTGGCGTCGGGGGCAGCGAGACGGTCGTCCAAGGCTAGCTAACGTTGCATCGTGCGCTGAGGTCGAGTCGGCGGTCGTGGGCTGGGTCGCGTGAGTGTGCGAGAGCTGCAGCGCTGCAGGGCGAGGCTCCGGAGCAACGAGTGCAAAGTCACGCCCTCACAACCGCGTCCAATCGCGTCGACCGACTACAGACAGCAGTGACCACCAGCGAGTCCTACGCGCGTGATCTCCTGCTGGGATCGACCCGTCTTGGAAGCAGAGACTTGAATTGTTCCTGGCGCGGCCCTGTGGCTCGGTCCGGGAGTTGGGGTGCGACCTGCGAGGTGGTGGGGCAAGCAGCGCTGCAGAGACCGTTCAGGCAGCTATTAGGGCAAGCAGCGCGCGAGCTGACCCAAATCGATCCGATCACAAAAGCCTTTTCTCGAAAAAGACAAAGGACGGGCCGGGCCAAGAACGCACCGACTATTCATCCGATGCTCGAGTAACAACAGCGACTATTTCGTCCTTTTTCCAAGAGTGAAGCGTCTAAGATTTACATGACCGCACGCCAGCCCAGTGCCTGGCATGGTCATTTCCGTCACTCTACTTGCGCTTGAAAAGCTTGCTACCCACCGCGACCCCACCGGCAGCAGTCGGTTGCTTACTCGGTATGACCACCTTGGATGCGGTTACCTGTTGTCGTGCTCCGTTCCGCACTTTTCGCTTCTTGCCTGCGCGCGTGCGCCGTTCGGTGGGATGATCATCAACTTCCCGGGAGAGGGAAAACATGAAGTGCAAAAAAACTCACCACTCGACGGCTGGCGCTCATCAAAATGCTTCGCGACGTGCGCCGACAGCGCCACCTCGGACCCAGCAAAACTCTTGAAGCACACCGGACAGCTCAACTGCTTCTTTCCCCTCTTCCCCTCTGCCTCCAACCCGTCCTCCGCACCCTCGCCCTCACCATCGCTATCACTGAGAACCAAGACCTCCCTCTCCGCGAAACGCAGCTGATCCTTCTCCGGCGCCGGGCCTTCCCTCTTGGCTTCCTTCTTCGAGTTCAGACTCTCCCCTGCCGTGTAAAAAGGCTTGTATGTCGTATCGACCGGTCCGTACTCCGAAGCAAACGCGTCAATCTCAGAGAGAAACGCTTCTTCTCCTTCGTTCTCGTTATCGTTCAGGTCGTGGTCAAAAGATGCCCACAGCGGGTCCGACGAGGCCGGTTCCTCATCCTCCATCTTCAGGACATCCTCCTGAAGGCCATCGCCGTCGTCCATCTTGCTCTCTTGGTCGATCCCGACGGTTTCTCTATAGTTCGATAACTTGCTCGTCTTTTGGCTCTTGCTACGCGCTTGCTTCCCTCCCTCCTCAGGCCTCTTCCTCTTCCCCTGCCCAACCCAATCCTCAATCTTCCCCTTCCCCTCCTTGAGCGCCCTCGTATCCCTCAAATTCGATACCCTCAACCCAATCAACCTTAGAGCAAACCGGTTCCCACCTTTCGTCTTGTTCCCCTTGGCCCGTTCCTTCTTCCACCCTTCGAACTCCTTCTCCAACAACCTCTTGCCCTCGCGATACAACGTCCTCGCATCGTCGGTGTAGATCGAAGGGCCCAACGTCGTCGCTCTGGAAATCAAATCGTAGTTATCATACTTGAGCTTGAGCGTGATCGTCCTCCCCGCAAACTCGGCCTCTTGACAATCTTCCGCCAACGCATCGGCGATGTTCTTCAATCGCGCGTAGAAACCGGGGAGGTCGGCACTGGCCGAAAAGGTTCGTTCGACGCTGATCCCTTTACGGTCCTCGCGATTCGCGTGCGTGATTTCCGTACGACCCAAGCCGAGGTAGGCGTTCAAGAGGAAGTTTAGCCCAATTTTTTCCCGGACCAGGAACAGTTTGCCTCGTTCCCTGTAGACATCGGCCACGGTGTGGACCCCGACCGCATGCAGCACCCGTTCCGAAACCCTCCCAATGCCCGGCACTTGACGAATCATCAACGAAGAGGCGAATTCACGGCAGGCTTCGGCCGTAGGGGCGATAACGCATTGACCGTTCGGCTTGTTGCGGTCGGCGGCCACTTTGGACAGCATCGCGTTCGGTGAGACGCCGGCCGAGACTGAAAGACCCGTTTCCTGGAGAATTTCGGCGCGCATCCGTTCGGCCGCTTCGGCCGGCGAACACTTTTCGCGTTCGCAATAGTCCGTCAAAGAGCAGTCTGCGAAATAAAAGAGCGATGAGTGAATCCCAAAGTGAATATCGGATCGCACCTGTGTGGTGACGTACAAGCTTCGTCGAGCGAGGCTGGCGAGATTTGACCGTACTTGGCGAGGATGCAGAAAATCTCCTTCGAGCATTTGGTGTAGAGCGAAAAGTCGGGTTTGACAAAGAGGATGTGGGGGCACAGTTTCTTGGCGACGAATCCCGCCATCGCCGATGAACACCCATACCGTCTGGCCTCGTACGACGCCGTCGTCAGGACCCCACCTCCACTGCCGCCGCCTACACCAAAGGCTTTGCCGGCCAACGAAGGGTCCTCCCTCTGATGACACGACGCATAGAACGCATCGGCATCGACGACGACGATCGTCTCGGATAAAATTCTCGTTTTCTCCATCTCGGCAATCATGGCATCCGCCAAGGCTTCCTCGGCACTGAGGTTGCCTCTTCGCGACTTGATTTCTCGTTCGAGGCGGGAGACCATGGCGTCGACCTTGAGCGTTAGTTCGGCGTCACGCTTCTCTTGCTGCTTGAAGTACGCCGATCCTTTCGAAGCCTCATAGATGATTTGTTTAACCTGGAGAATATAAGAACACCGTTCATGCACCGTTCATGCACTGGTCAGCGCGCAGTCTCGAATCAAGTCGAGCGATTTTGACATTGGAAGCACGGACCTCGTCCTTGTCGCGTAACAAGCCCGCCTTTTGATCGCTCGGACCGGCAAGTCGACGCATGAGGGATATCGAGGGTTCGTTCTGATCCGATGCCTTGGCTTTGCCTTTGCCGTTGGGGTCAGGGTTGGGTGCTACGACTTCGGTAGCGCGTACAGTTGCCGGGGACGCGACCTCCCCGTCCGGTGCCATCAACTGAGCTCGCGCAGGTGACCGTGGTGAAGGACTCTTGTGAGGCGAGACCCGTCGCGTCATTGATGGCAGCGTGTTGGTCTTGGATGTCGATGCGATAGGTACCGATGCGCAGCAAGGTTGACCCGCCAGCGGCGACGAAGTTGAAGAGCTCGACGCGTTGGCGCTGGGCAGGGTCGTGGGAGCCAGCTGTATCCGCACTTGCGATGATGAGCAATGATGACCATCGTGGGCCAGCAGTTGCGGAAGCAAGTCGGCAGCAGTGGTGCTCCTGGACGGGGTGGAATGCCCGGCGTCGGGCATGCTGTCTGCTCAGGAGGACGGCCGCAGGAGGAACCTTCTCCCGGCAGTGGCACGCGTCGCACGTCCCCAAAGGACCGAGCTCATCACGTGACCGGTCGATCGAGACGAGGCAAGCTACACGAAGTTCCCGAAGTGTGGCACACACTAGTACTACCCACTAAAGTTCGCCTTGTCTATCACCCGGCAAAACCCGTTGTACCTGTACCGCATTACAGGGGCTTCAGCTGACGGCACGCTCAGAACGTTCATTGAATGACATGATGATGCGGCATGATGAGTCTCGAGTGGGAGGGACAGGGGCTGTCGAAATCTTGGGGTCCGGGCGCCGCTGGCCCCGTGCGGGAGAAGAGCATTGTGTGCGCCTTTTGCCTGCCCAGCGTCGACTTGGGGAGATTCATTCTTACCCCGAACCAGGTTCTTGGTCCACCGAGTCGTAGGTACCGAGATCCGATGGCGGCGTACCGACTACCTTAGACTGCCGTCGAATCGGCAGCGTACATACTGCAGAAGTATACTGAATGGCGTCTGCAACGCCGTCTCCTCGACGAAACGGCCAAAGAAAGACGAAACCCGCCCTTGCCTCGGCAAATTTCGGTCCGAACCGGCCTGATCTTCGTTATGGACTCTTCAACAACATCACCGAGCGGATTACCAGACTTACAAAGCGGAGGCCCGCCGACTGGTTGCACACGCGCCAGATGAGCGATCGTCACGGAGAGCGGAACTCAGGGAGCTCTACTTGCTATGGACCAGAGGGAATTGATTCGGCTTGTTCCTCACATTCAGAGTGTATTGCAACGATGACCACTACGCGAATTAAACATTCAAAATACATCTGATAAAGCAAGTGAAGTGGATGTTGAGCTTGCCACGGTTGATGCAGCACGATTAACCCGATAGACCAAAAGGCGAGGGCAGGCATCCGTCGGATCTCTCAGAACATTGACCGCCGCTTGCGGGACTGCCAGAGTAGGTAGTGGACCAGTTGCCGTAAAGAGGGGCCGCGCCGGGTATAGACGTCGAGGGAGAATATGTACGGTTGATTCCGGGTTTAAAGCGAATCGGGGGAAGTGGGAACTGCGGCGCCTCGTGGCTCGGCAGCGCGTTGCTCGACGATACCGGTTGAAATGAGAGGCGATTGATCATTTGCCTGACGCGGAGATCAATCAACACTCCCGCGGCATCCAGGAGTAGCACCTTCTGGATGTCTTGCGGAGTCGGCGTGAGAAGAGCATGATCGGCTAGCAGGAGAACATCGTCTGCTTCTAGGCTGAGTGTGCCCACTAGTTTCGAGAAGTGGGTCAGCCTCTCTGATGTGGTGGCGTTCTGAAGGCCGGCGAGATTGGCTACGGCGTCTTTGAGCATTGGATCGTCTTGAAAGTAGGTAAATCGCTCGCTATTTCCACGGCTCTCGCGCTTTGCCTTGCTCCCACCGTTGCTGCTGCTCGTAGCCGATTCCGAAGACTGGCACGGGTCGAGCGGATTCAGCAGCGAAGCGAAGGCGGCCTTTGTCTACGGGGCATAATGCGAACGGATCAGTGGCGCAGAACATCACAGGCCACATACTTGATGTATATTCCCGGGTTGCGACGTGGGGAGAGCTCCTGACAATAGGTACTCACGTGCACACGAGCTTGCGCGCCAGCAGCAGGCGAGGGTGACCAGAAGGGACGCGACAAGTCCTGCACGCCCAGTCGGGCGAGCGAAGGGCCTGGTGAGTCTTCGCCCTCGTTTTCCGCGTCTTGGCCTAGGTCTGCTCCAGACTGCTCAGATTGTGGTGAGTGCGCTCGTTTCTTCGATGAGGAAGCGGTCTTCTTCCCGGGGTTGAATAGCGCGTTGATGTCGGTGATGTCGGTGCCGCGAGCGTAGCTGATACCAATGATCTTTGTCGCGTCCCAGTACCACGGAAACGAGCCTGAGTGCACCTGACTCCACTCCGGGTCCTTTCCTCGAGCTGATGAAGTACATCATTCGTACGCACGTTTATCAGTGCGTCCGAATTGACGGGAGCTGGGGCAGGGCCAGGGCCATTCGGACCCACGGCAGCCCATCGTTCGTCCGAGTATGCCGGTCGATGGAGCACGTGGTCCCAACCACCGCCCGTGAGATGCAATCTATTGAAACGTCTCGTCATTTTCTGTGTCTTTTCTACAAAACCAGAGAACGACAGGGTTAATTGAAGTACATGACGGACGGATGCGGTCACTGGCGACGCGTCTCCTCCGACTCTCCTCACGTCGCCACACGGCTCACCTTGAACCAGAGAGCTTTCACTTGGTCTCGGCTACAGTTCTCTTTGCGCTCGGGGTGTTGCTTCACCATCGCAGCGAAAATGATGTTCCAGGCCGGAAACTTCAGAAGAAGCTCGGGGAACAGCATGTTCTTGCCATAGAGGTGGACCAAAAAAATGTGGTCTGCGCAACGGACCAGTTCTCCGCTCGCGTCCCTCTCGACTTGCTCTTGCCCTTGCTCTTGCCTGTTTGCTCTTGTTCTTTTTGCGCAGAGTGTTCGAATGAGCGGAGTGCTCCGTGTGGTTCTCGCTGTCGTCGTCGCTTGCTGAATGTGATAGGGCGAATTTCTTGGCCATGGTCGACAGCGCACGACGTGATGCGACGAAGGCCAACCGACGCACCCGTGATCCAATGCTGCAACCGAGGCCAGCTTGAGCGGTCCGAGCGCGTCCCAGGCGCCCCGCCAGCCTTTATAAGCGGGTCGAAGCTCAGAGTGCGTCCCTAAAAGTGCTAAAAGTGCCCTCGGACCACCTTTAAGGAATGGTCCCTAAAACTCACTTTGAGGGACTTTTAGCGACGCAACCGTACACGCCACTTTTAGACACTCTTAAGCACTCTTAGGGAGGCTTTCAGAATGGCTGAGGATTTCCCTAAAAGTGGTCTTAAAACTGCTTAATAAAAGTGCAGCCGAACACGCACTTATTATAGTGTAGATCGACTCGGAACGGAGTCGGATCTAGTCGGATCTGCGCTGCCGGCATATTCAGTGTGGGCACGGCAGAAGGTTGTCCCGAGCGGCCGCGTACTGGCACCCGCGACCGATGCCGGCCGATGGAGGCCGAAGTCAGGCCGAAGTCAGGCCGATGCCGCGGACCCGGGCGGTCAGCTGCTCTTACGCCGTCGCTTTTCCTTCTCCTTCTCCTTCCTCCTCCTCTGCCACCTCCATCCTCACCAAGTTACCACCGAGAGGTACCTCCCCATACTACACCTACTACCCTCCGCATCTACGCTCGCTTCGACCCGAGCTTTCCGTGATTAACCCCCTTCAGAACTTCTCCGAGCTAGACTTCTCATCCAAGATGACGGCCGCTTCAGTCCCTGTACCCCAACAGCAATACGAGTCAGTACACCGCATTCACTCTCCAACCCGCTGTGCGGATCCTAAACTGATGCTCTGTCCCCACCATCCCTTCATTCCGGGTTCCCCTCCTTTGCGCGCCTTCGGCTTGCCGAAAATCTGCGCCGATTCGCTCCCGGCTCTCGCCTCTCGGCTGTCTCGGCCACGCTCTCCCGCGATCGCTCCACTCGATCCCGCTTTCCCCACATGCGCCCTCCTGCGCCCTCCTGCGCCCTCCTGCGCGCCGACTCGGCTCCGTTCCATCTCGCCCCGTGCGTGTCCATCTTGCACCTTGTCGTCACGCAACGCGCTCCACTACTCGCCTATGACGTCCTTCACCTCACAGTGTCGTGATCGTAGGAGCCGGTCCCGCCGGTTTGATGGCCGCCTTGTGCCTCACCACCTACGGATTCCAAGTCTTGCACATCGACGATCGTCCCGAGCCGACCACCGCCGGTCGCGCCGATGGTCTGCAGCCTCGCACGATCGAGGTGCTGCGTAATATCGGGTCCGTCAAGGGGAAGACCGTGGGTATGGCCGGCTTGGCCAAGCGCATGATCGCCGATGGTGTACGCGTTTACGAGGTGGCCTTCTGGGTAAGTCGTCCGTGGTCGGGCCCACATACCGAGGCGGTGACCAGCGGTGACCAGCGGTGACCAGCGGTGACCAGCGGTGACTACGCCGAGTCAGTCGGGAAACGAGACTCACCCGCATCGTCGTACGCACTCACCACAGGACCCTACCGAAACTGAGCAATTGGCTCGAACTTCGCGTGCCCCTTCGTGTCCCGAGTTCATCGACGTCGTCGACAACTACACCCTGCTCCTCCACCAAGGCCTGATCGAGAACGCCTTCCTCGATGAGATCGAGAACCGTCGCGCCCACCTCCCTTCGGACAAGTTCGTCCCCGCCCCTCACGGAGGTTGTTTCCGCCCTTACCTCTTTGAAACGTGCTCGACCGACCTCGAGGCCAATCCTGAGTACCCCGTCTCGTGCACCCTGTCGCACGCCGACACCAAAGAAAAGTACACCGTCAGGGCCAAGTACTTGTTCGGCAACGACGGCGCCAAGAGTTTGGTCCGACGCGCCATTTCAGGCAGTAAGGTCGGTGATGGCGAATGGCAGGGCAAGATTAGGATGCTCGGTGATGCGTCCGAGTTCATCTGGGGTGTCATGGATGTCGAGGTGTGAGTGTCGGGCGTGTTTCGTGCGCCGTCGGGATTCGGGAACTGATGCGCTGTTTCCTCTCATTTCTTCGCGAGGACAGTAAGACCGACTTCCCCGACATCATGAGCAAGTGGTACGTTGATCAAGTACCCCTACTTGTGCCCGAAATTTACTGACTGATCAGTTCCTTATTTTTCCCGTCTTTAGCTTGATCCACTCCAGGGATGCGGGATCGATCATGGTCATCCCGCGAGAGAATGGCCTCGTCCGCCTCTACGTGCAATTGCAAGAAGAGGGCACAGGCAAGCACTACGAGCGAAATGCGGCGACCGAGGATATTTGCAAGGCACGAGCTGCCAAGATCTTCGAGCCTTACAAGATCGAATGGGGCAGGTACGTTGGGACTCAGAGATCGGTCAACGGTGGGGAAGAATCGGGCTGACATTCGATCGGGCATCGGTTTGGCAGGATCGACTGGTTCTCGGTCTACCAGATCGGCCAGCGTATCGCCTCCGCTTACACTCTGGATGAGCGAGTGAGTGAACTCAAAAAGAGCTCTTCAATGTTTTCTAGGCGCAGTAGCTGATGAAACTCCGATCTGTGTTTCTTTCAGATCTTCCTCGGCGGTGACGCGACCCACACCCACTCGCCCAAGGCCGGCCAAGGCATGAACATCAGTATCCTCGATATGTACTCGCTGTCATGGCGCATCAACCTGGTCGAGAAGGGGATGGCCGACCGCAAGATCCTTCTTCCTACCTACGAGATCGAACGACGAGGCGTTGCCGAAGAGCTTTTGGCTTTCGACCGAGCCTACGCGGCTTTGTTCTCGGGCAAGTCCCCCAAGTCGGACCAACTCACGGCCGATGCCACAAAAGCCAAGGCAAAGGGTGCCGTTGATGCCGAGCTTTTCATCGAGTGAGTCACTTGTCTTGTTTTCGAGGCGGTATTGGGGTAGCTCGCTGACGGTGAGCTTCCAAAACCCTCGTGTCGCAGGACTTTCAAGAAGCACGCTTTCTTCACTTCCGGGTGCGGAGCCGTCTACGGGTCCAACAGTATCCTCAACGCTCTTCCCGACTCGCCGCTCGTGCAAAACTACGCCAAGAAGGGCGTCTTTAACCCCGAAGGCACAAAACTGATCGCTGGACGTCGCTTGCTTCCCGGCAAGCTCACGCGTGCTGTCGATGCGAACCAAGTTCGTATTCAACAGGAGGTCAAGATGAACGGTGCCTTCCGGTACGTCGGTTTTGCTCAAAGCTCATCTTGCTCGATCGTGTTTCTGACCCGGAACTTTCATCGCGAACAGTATCATCGTCATGGCAGGTCAATACGAAGCTTCGAAGGCCTCGCTCAAGGCCTTTGATGAATTCCTCTCCTCATCGTCGTCCTTCTGGAACGTCCACCGACCCAAGCAAGGCGTCCAAGCCGCGCAATTCTACAACAGCTACAACTCGCGCAACATCGAGACCGAGACCCGTGATCCCAACTTCAATCCTTTCTTCACCTTCGTCACCGTCCTTGCGGACCCGCACACTGAGTGGGATATTGAGGCTTTGCCGTTCAACTTGAGGGTTTACCGCAGTCAGATCTACTCGGATGATATCTTTGATAAACGAGTACTCGAGGCGGGAAGTAACGCCCCACTGCACGCAAAGTACGGTGTGGACGTCAAGAAGGGCTCGATTGTTGCCGTTCGACCGGATGGCTACGTCGGAGCGATCACCTCGTTGGATGCCGATGGGTTCGAGGCCCTGAACGCTTACTTCAAGAGTTTCTTGATTTGAACCTTGCGATGACCAGTCATTTCTTTCTGTTTGCTTTTTTTTTTAGCTCGTGTACTGTTGAACTAAAAGCTCTACCCAACCAAAGTTGCACCCGACGAAGCCTCTCAGCTAGGAGTCTCGAACAAAGTTCGACCGATGAGCCATGCAGGGTTCGACTCAGCCGAAGGCCGGGATCTCTCTATCGTCTTTTTTTACTCTCGATCTGGCTCCGAGGTCTTCAATCCCCTTCGGCGCGCAATTGTCTTCCTTTAGGAGAGCGAACGAAGCGGATCATCCTGATGATAATGCCACACCCCACAGGAGCCCTACATTGAACCAGTCGCGAACTAATGGCTGAGTCCTTGCCGTTGCGAACCATGCGCAGATGCCACCAAACGCTACGACGAGGAGATCAAGCGAGTCTTCGCCGTTCAGGAATGAGAATGAGAACTCGAATTCCAGCTAGTCTACAAAAGAGTTGCCGAAGAACGCTAAAGGAGGTTATATCTGACTGGGGGCAAGCTCACCATTGCGGACCTGTCCTTTCTTACTCGGTTCTGCACACTTAATCTCCGTCTCACACCAGGCCAGACCCATTTCTCTCAACAGGAACGAAACCACTATCATCGCTCCTCACATCGGTCCCGTAGCAGACTCCCCCCGAGTCTTCGAGTGAATCCACAAGCTCAAACAGCCTACCTGCGTCGCGGAGGCTTACGCGGAGAAAGCAGAGCTGGTCACGGAGAAGTAGGATGAAGACCGGCGACGATTCTCTTTTGGGTTGAAACACAATATTGTGTTGATGCATGGACCCCCGGCGTGTCAGGGGAAGTCTATCCGTTCGCCATAGTTCCAATGTACGGCCTTTACTTGGAGGTACGCGTCGAGCCCGTACGATCCGAGTTCCCTCCCAATACCTGAAGCCTTGAAGCCACCAAAAGGGGCGTTGCTGTGAGATCATCAAATTCACCCAGGTCAGTGCCCGGCAGAGGCGGTTTTGTAAAGCTCTTGAAGGACTGGATGTAAAACTCACTTGGACGTATACGAGTACTGATTGATCCACACCGTCCCCGCCTGTAACTGCGTCGAGACCCTCGCGATCTGATCCGCATCTTTGGAATGCACGCCCGCTGCAAGTCCATAAGGGGTGTCATTCGCCAAATGGATCGCCTCCTCTTCGGTATCGAAAGGGATCACGGCGATGACGGGACCGAAAATCTCGTCTCGGGCGATGACCGACTTCGGAGAGACGTCGGTGAATATGGTGGGTTGGATGTAGTACCCTTCGGACCCGTGACGTTCCCCACCGTAGAGGAGTTTGGATCCGTCGTTTTTCCCGATTTGTATGTAGGACATGACGCTGTCGAATTGGGCTTGGGAGACTTGAGGGCCTTGCCATGTTTCGGGGTCGAGCGGGTGGCCAATCTGATCTCGGAAAGAGTTGCTCGAATCACCTAAACTACGTACCGTCTCGAATAAGAGGTCCCACAGCTCACCTTGATCTGCTTGGCACATCTGATCAACCTCTCCTCGACCTCCTCCTTGATGTTCCTATGCACCAAAACCCTACTCCCCGCCGAACAAGCCTGTCCACTGTTCTCGAACCCGCCCAACGCAGCCCACTTGGACGCCTGTTCGAGGTCCGCTGAAGGGAAGATGATATTCGGTGACTTTCCTCCGAGTTCTAGAGTGACTTTGCGGTTGTATTGAGCGGCGATGAGGGCGATGGACCGACCTGTTGCCGTCGAACCGGTGAAGGCGATTTTATCGATGTCGGGGTGAGACACCAAAGCGGCGCCCGTTTCTTCGCCGTGCCCTGCATCCCGCAAATTGCAACTTCAGAAAAGGGTCGAACATTTCGATGATGCTTTGCCGGACGAACCATTAACAACATTAAAGACACCCTCGGGATAGCCTGCCTGCCGGAATAGGTCCGCAAGCAAGAGGGTTGAAAGTGGTGTGTTTTCGGCCGGCTTGAACACGATCGTACATCCTGCGGCCAAGGCAGGCGCTACTTTCCATGCCCACCTGTCGAAACATCACCTCGTTCAGACAATTCCCCCTACTTGGACGGGTGGAACCCTAATCTCGGACAGTGCTTGGCGGAAAACTCACATCAAAATCGGGTCTGTTGATAAGGGCATAAAATGAGTCACGCTGAATTCGTAGCCCAAATCAGTATCGAACTTACAATTCCACGGTACGATTTGGGCTACAACTCCGACCGGTTCATGCTTGGTGAAGCAACTGTCATTGTGGGACACGAAAAAAAAATGACGAGCAGGGTTTTCTTGCGTGAGCTTCAGCTGAACACCGCGAAGCTCATACCTCCGAAACGGGCGCGACTCAACTGCTTGGTCCTATAGTTCAGTTCCAACGACTGGCCTACGATCTTGTCCGCATGTCCAGCATAGTACCTCAAGCAAGCGGCTGAGTCCTGCACGTCGCCACGAGCCCATCGGATCGGTTTCCCCGAATCGCAGCTCTCCACGAGCGCGAGATCTTCTTGATTCTGCTCGACGAGTTGGGCAAGTTTGTGGAGGAGGTTGGATCGTTGGGTTCCGTTGGATTTGAGTCCCCATGCTCTGGTGAAGGCTTGACGGGCTGCTTGGACGGCGGCGTCGACGTCGGAGGAGGAGGCGGTCGAGATGGTCGATGATGACGGTAGCAAGGGCTGGCCGTTCGATGGGTCGATAGTGGTCCTAGCATGAGCAAAGTGAAGCGTTCGTTGAGGGCTTCCCTGGAGCCTGATCGCTCAATGAGAGTGCAAGTGGATTGAACTGACAGGGGTGCACCTGAGCCCTTCACAAACCGGTTGTTGACGTAGAGGCCTGAAGGGATCGGGAGGGACCGACCAGCTATCCGCATAGTTGAAGATAGTCCATGGTTGGTGGACATGAAGTACCCAGTGGTGTGCACTTTACGCAGAGGGTAGGTAGCATCGAGAGCGTTCGGCTCGTACGAGGGGTGTCGACTGGGCGTCGTTTTGCCAATCTCCCCGCCGGTCACGTGTTATTCGCCTCGGCTTCCGCCGGCGGGATTCGTCGCCACTACAGCCTCTGGCAGACAGTGGAGCGGCCTCGGTGGTAAAGACAGGCTACAGCGTGAGTGCACAGTACAGCTGAGGCTCCGTCTCGATCTCCTACAGTGTGCGGCTATGAGGCGCAAGTTGTCAGTAGTCCCGAGGTACCCAGCCATCTTACGAATTTCAATCAACTCATTCAGTTCTCGCTATAAAGGCTGGCAGACACATGAGTCATGACTCCCGTCTCCGCTAGCGCCATCTGAGCCTTCAATGCGATGAGGTCGTCGCCGCCTGTCGCTGGTGCTCGTTCCGGCATCGGCTCTTTGGCCTTCCCGCGCGGATCATCGTCGTTTCGGTCCCCACCTCCGCCTACACCACTCTTCTCTCCCACTTCTACGGAGATAAGTGCGCTATCCATCCTCTAGCACATGCCCTCCCCTTCAGCCGTAGACGCGCAACAACGACCCCAAGCCGAGATGAAAGCGCTGATACTCGAACAGACCGCCGGCGACTTCAAACCCGGACCAAAGTGCTACCACCCGGCCAAGGTCGCCCAGCTTGCGGTGCCCATCGCCGAACCGGGGCAAGTCTTGATTAGGATCATCGCTGCTGCTTTCAACCATAGGTGAGCCGGGAACTTTACGCGGCGGGATTTGGTTGAGGCTGAGGTTGACTTGAATACTATGGCACCGCAGGGATTTGTTCATTCGTCAGAGTGGGTCCTTCAAGTTGTTCCTCACCACCGCTTGCACGCGTCCCGGACTCCCGACGAATTCAGATTCTGCGATTCGAGCTGTTAGCAACGCTACAGAGGCCCTAGACAACTTTGGCTTGGCCTAGGATTCACGATCGAAAAATTCCAAACTGACACTCGCCTTCCTGATACTCCACACTCCGACCAGGCCTCTACCCCGGTGTCATCTTTTCGACGCCCGAGCAGCCCTCTATCTTTGGGGCCGACGCTGTCGGTATCGTCAAATCCCCGAACCACCCTTTGCACAACAAAGCGGTCCTAGTCGCCCCAGCCGTGAACTGGTTGTCGTCGCCCCTCGGACCCGATCAGAAGCTACCGTTCGGTATCTTGGGCAACGTTCGTCAGACGGGTGGAAGGGGCACTTTCGCCGAGTATGTCGTCGTCGATAAGGACGATTTGATCGAATGCCCCGCTCATCTGACCAAGGGCGGTAAGCAAGGGTGGTGTGAAGCGGCGGCGGCACCGTTGGGTGGATTGACCGCGTACCGGTCAGTCAGGACTTTCGAAAGTTTGATCGGCGATTGCCCAAGCAGCGCTCTAACGAGATGTTCCTCCTTCTCCGCCAGCGCCGTCTTCACCAAAGCCAAGGTCGAAAAGGGTCACAACGTCTTGATCACCGGTATCGGTGGAGGTGTCGCCATCACGGCATTGCAATTCTGTGTCGCCGCCGGTACGTAATTCGCCTCTGTTCAGCACCGCTTCGACGCGACGAGACGAGGTTTAGAAGCTGATGCGCTTGTCTCATCTTTCTGGTGTTTAGGTGCCAATGTCTGGGTGAGTGGGTGGTGTCTTTCGGTGCGTTGCAGTCCTCGCATCTGAGATTGACTTCATCTCTGCCTCTCGACGACAGGTCTCCTCCAGCTCTGAACAAAAGATTCAACGTGCCGTCGAACTCGGAGCCAAAGGTGGCATCAACTACAAGGACGCTACCTGGCCTAAACAACTCCAAGCTCTGCTCCCCAAGGACCGCCCTTATCTCGACAGTGTCATCGATTCAGGCGGAGGCCCGATCGCGACTCAGGTCAGTCGCCTCCTCAAAGACGGCGGCACCGTCTCCTGCTATGGTCAAACGACGGGCCAAGAAGTCGGCATCAACATGGGCTTCGTACTGAAGAACCAAGAATACAAGGGTTCGACGATGGGTTCGAGGGAGGAGTTCTTTGAGAGCGTCAAGTTTACGGATCGTCATGGGATTCGACCGGTCGTGGCGGATGTTTTGGACGGGTTGGAGGAGGCGGAGAAGGGCTTTGAGATCTTGAAGAACGGGTCGCAGTTTGGAAAGGTGAGATGGGCCGTTGTTATGCGGGGGGGTTAACGTATCGATGGAGCTGACTCTTGCCTTTCTCGCCCGGCACAGATTGTGATCTACTTGGGGGAGGAGCAGAAGCACAAGTCGTAAAGTGCAGGATGCGCTGCCGAAGCATTTTACGCTTTCAAGTGTGTTTTTGCTCTGTTGTATGACTCTAACAGTTTGTATAAGCGGTGGATGCAATGTGAATATGAGAAGAATCCCGCTTATCACCGAGAATTGACTCCGAGCGACGTTTTTCTTTTCTTTTCGTGAAGACGAGGGTGTAGTGTAGCAGATAGAATGATTTTAATCTGGTATCGCGGTGAATTTCTGTGGAAATTCGATCTTGCGGAATCGGTAATCGGGTGTGAAGACCCCTCGACGCCATAAGTGTCGTGAGTCAGCCTCGGAGAATTCGGCGATTCGGGATTGGCCGAGTCGGTCTTGGCGGCGGCGCCTGGTTCCTCGGCTGCTCTGGCTTCGGCATCTTCGCCTTCCGCGCTCGTACACACTACATCGTACGTTCATTGCCACCGTACACCGGCTCCGTGCACTGGATTCGAGCGTTCCCTTTACCACTCGTCATCATACACCTCGCACCGCCCGCAGCTCAGCTCTACGCTTCATCGCCCGTGGTTGTCGCCACCAGCAGCAGCTGTCCACGCTCGAATCACCGCCTTCTTATCCCCTAAACCTCACTCGCCATGTCACTCTCGGCTGGACTGGTGAGTTGCATACTCTCACATCACTCCCCTGTTCTCTGAACCCCCACTGACAGTCGTTGTCCTCGCCTACCCCATCTCTTCTCAGACGCTGACCGATCTGAACGACTACCTCGCGCCTTCGCAACTGTGCATCAAACCCGTAGAGATGGTCGAGGACACCGATCCGCACGAGGAAGACGCCAGCAAGCTTGCGAATGATCCTGCTTCTAAAGCCGATGTGAGCCGCAGCGTTTCGTCGGACCGATCGGAACGAGCTGCTGACCAATCCCGACGAGCGTGCGAAGATGGAAATCATGATCGATGCTTCGACGCTTGCCTACTATGAGAAAGCGAGCAACGGAACCAAAGTCAAGAAACTCAAGAAAGCGGAAATCACACTCAATGATTGTCTTGCCTGCTCGTGAGTCGAGCGAAGACGAGAGCAAACTTTGCTTTCCACCGAGCTGACGTCATGACTCGATTCTCATACAGTGGCTGCATCACCTCCGCCGAATCGGTACTCGTCCAAATGCAATCCCACCAAGAGGTTGAGCGAACGATTAAAGAGAGACCTGTGAGTCACCACACGCTCCCATTCTTCTTTGGGCCGAAATTGACAAAGTCGAATTCTCCGTGTGCAGGACCTTACTCCGATCATGTCCATCTCGCCACAAAGCATCGCCAGTCTGGCGGCCTTGCATGACTTGTCGCTAGAAGATACTATCAAAGGTTTACGTCTGTACTTCAAGCGACAGCTCGGCTTCCGGTGAGTCTATGACCAGAACGTGTACACACGATCGCCACCCTGACCAATACCATCCGACCGCGTCGACCAGCCTCGTCTTCGATACCACATTCGCCCGCTCCGTCTCGCTCCTCGAGAACCGTCTCGAATTCCTCGAACGTCGAACCCACGCCGAACAGAACCCCGCCAAGCCCTCCCCCTCCGTACTCGCCACTTCTACAAATTCGCCAACCTCTTCCTCGACAGGTCCATTACCGATCCTCAGTTCGGCATGTCCTGGATGGATTTGCTATGCCGAAAAGACGCACGGAGAGTTGTTGCCTTTTGTCAGCAACGTCAAGAGTCCACAGGCGATGATGGGGACTTTGGTCAAGGGTGGGAGAGTGGCGAAGAGATTGGGACTTGGGTGAGCGATTATTCTGCTGCTGGGTAGGATTGTCGGAATCCATGCTGATTGTTGAGTACAGGCCGGACCAGATTTACCATGTTAGCGTCATGCCCTGCTACGACAAGAAACTCGAAGCCTCCCGACCCGACTTTGCGACACCTTTCATCCTCGACCCTTCGTCGTCGTCGGCCAAAGCCCCAACTTCTCCCGTTCGTGACGTCGATTGTGTACTTACGACGGGAGAGGTCAACACGATGATCACCGCCTCTGGGACGAACTTGAGCCGATTGGCGAAGGAATCGGCTGACTCGGGAGCATCAGAATCCGAGTACTTCCCTTCGACCCTTTTGTCGCCTCGCTCGAGCGATCCATCGACCTCCACCTCCTCGGGTGGTTATTTCCAAAACGCCATCCTCGCCATCCTGTCGAACCTTCCTCCAGAAACCTATCCCGAACTCCACGTCGACCTCAAACGATTACGCAACGACAACTCGGTCCAATCGACGCTCTACCGCAAAGATCGAGTGCTCGTCAAAGTGGCCAAATCGTACGGTTTGCATAACCTTCATACGATCGTCAAGAAATTGGGACGAGAGTTCGGTATCTCGGTTAGTGCAGGAGCGGCGGGGAGAGCTCCTCCTTCGATGAGGGGTGGAAGTGGGTATGGGAGTAAGACCAAGGTCGGGGTAGGGAAGGAGAAGGAAAGGGACGTCGAGTTCATTGAGGTCATGGCTTGTCCGAGTGGGTGCCTCAATGGGGGTGGACAGATCCCGACGCCGTCCAACTCGGCTGCTGCGAGGAGGTGGGAAGTTGATCAGGAAGGGATGCCGGACGTTGCGTTGACGCAGATGAAAGAGGAGGAAAGAGATGGGATGGATTTGGATGGGGGAGGGGAAGATCGTAAGGTGTTGAGCTCCGTCGAATGGGTCAACAAGGTCGAGCAGAAATATTGGAGCGTGTCCAGCATGTCACCACCCGCACCACCAAGTGACAAGGAAGCGAATTTGGATCCGAGTATAGTGCCGTACATCCGACATCTTCGAGACCTTCAGGAGGAAGAAAAGGAAGTGAGAGCTTGCTTGGAGGAACTGGTTGAAGGCGGAGGGAGTGAGCGGAGGAAGGAGCTGCTGAGGACGAGTTATCGCGCTTTGGAGAAGGAGGAGACGAATGGGTTGGCGGTGGTGTGGTAGGACGGTCTCTCGCGTTGTCTCGCGTTGTCTCGCGTTGTTGGAATGCATACTATGAGACAGAACGTTTCATGCGCCGCACAATTGCTTCTCATGGTCAACATCAATACAATAAATTGGTTAACGAGACAGAATATACCCCACGAGAGCTCTTTGTCCCAACACGGGAACCTTAATCAGAACCTTTCTAGCCAGCAATCCAACACCGCAGACCTCTTCTCCTCCTTTACGACCCTAATGGCCTCCTTCATCTTCTCCTCCAACTCGTGCGCATACTTGACCTTGGCGCACCAAGCCCCACCCGAAGCTTGCGCGATCGCTCCGTAATCGGGGTTGAGGTCGTCCGTGGGACCGAAGGAGACGTTGAGATCGCCGGCTGTGGAGCGGGATCCGAGGCCGTTGGGATGGACACCTATCATGGACAGGGTGGGGGATTTCCAGCCGCCGTTGTTGAGGACGATGGTGAGGAAGGGCTATGATCGAAGCAGCAGGGAGGATGATTCAGCCACCGGAATAAGCTTTTTCTCGTCTCAAAAGTGCACTCACAGCGTCATAGCGCCTACTAATCCAGTAACTCGCGCTGGGTACACCAAAGACGAAGCTACCATCACCGACAACGACGGCAATCAAATCCTTTTCGAATGAAGAGTCGGCATCACCCGCAAACTTGGCGCCGATCGCGGCTCCGAGGGACCATCCGAGCGAAGAGGCACCAGAACTGAGAAGCGATCCGGGGACCTGTCGGGGCGGCAGATTGTCAAGGTAGACGGGGTGGAAGTCAGAGTCTGCGGCGCAGGTAAATGACGGCTTTGGCTAGATCAAAACGTACCCGAGGCTTGAAGTGGTTCCAAACATGAGGATAGTTCGAGATCGCCTCGTTACAGACCAACGTCTTTTCAGGGTTCGAATTCTTCCTCAAACTAGCGACGATCAAAGGCGCAGTCAGGAGATCTCCCTTGCCGGGGGTTTCCAAGCTAAGCAGCTCGGCATCGCGCTGTTGTTTCTTTTGCTTCCATTCGGAGCGACGCTCTTCAATCAAGGTCGAGTCGAGCGCCGAGTTCGGGGACGAAAGGTAATCGATGAGTTGTTGGCATGCTAGACCGACGTCGGCTTTGGCTCGCAGAAGAGCGGGGTACGAATACGCGAGCATCTTCTCCTTGAGCGGGTCGCAGTCGATATGGAAGATCTCCGCAGACCTCGAGGGCTTGGTATGCAATGCCAACCTAGCAGAGTAGTGAACTTAAGTGGTAGGAAATCATACCTCACGGGATTGAAGAAATCAACTCAGAGCTCACCAGGGCACGTCACAATCCAGAATCAAGATGAAATCCGCCGGCTCGACCAAAGGGTTATGTTGACCAAAGTTGACGCCCGCATGGAGGTAATGGTCGAAATCAAGGTTGACTGTCGAGGGGCAGCTCGAGAAGACGGGTGAGGCTGTCAACTCGGCCAAGCGAGTCAGGGGTTCGACAGAAGAAGGGTTGCGGCCGGCGTAGGTCGAGATGAACAGAGGCTTCTTGGCTTTGGCCAACGACTCTGCGATGCGCTTGACGGCTGTTCGGAAGAGCTCATTTTCAGCACTTGTCCTGGAGGAAAAGTTGGCCTGAGCCTCATGGAACCTATTTACCATTGGGCCCCAAAGGAGACGGCTCGATGGGGGTCCACACTTCGCTCGCTCGGACATCCTTGATACCTGTACAGGACCAGTCAGCTGGTCAGTCCAGAATTCGTGAGATTGGATACACGAGCACATCGGCCAACTCAACTCTTGGGGTCCAGTCGTTCCTCGGTGACTTCCCTCATCGCCCACAGGTAAACCGGTCCCTTGGGTTCACTCATCGCGAACTGAAGACCTCGCAAAATGGTCTGTAACGAACGCATCCCCGCCCGAAATAATACCTTGGAGTTAGGGCTGGGCACCCCGTTCTTGATCTTTCTGGCTGGGTGTCGGACTTACGTGCTGCGCCGTCGCGCCGGAACGAATCTCCCCGACGTGGCGCATGTATTGGCGGACGATCTGGGGTTGATCAACGGCATTTTGAAGGTAGTGAATGAACTAAACATGAAGGATAGTCGAACATCAGTTTGGACCGAGCTAAACCTGCTTCGGTGATTCAAGCTTCGTGCTTCGCTGTTACCTCGTTCCTCGAGCCGGCGTGCTCGCCCTCTTGCGAGAAAGGTGAAGCCTAGAGGGTACGTACCGGCAATAGTCAGCGCAGAGTCAACATTTCAGAGTTGTCTCGCGATTACTCACTCCAGCATATATCAACACAGGGGTGCGGCATGCACAGACATTATGCACTACACCCGCTAAAGCCTAGAAGGAAGCGAGGAAGAATTTTCAGCATCGGCTTGAAGGCGAGGCCCCAGGCCAGCTTGGCGCTGCACTGACTTGGGTGCCGCAGTCCTACAATAAAAGCATTAAGGAATGAGACTTTAGCACCAGAATACGGAGACAGTCGAATACGTCTTTGCAAAAAGCGACGGGACTTACAACGTGGACGATTACGGCTGCGGGTTTGCCGCAGACTTGAGCATAGCCTTGAGCGCAGGACAGTGCGACCATCTATAAATAACGAAGGGATTTGAAATGTCGAGCTTTCAGTGGATGTTGTCCCCGGTGATCAACCGATCGACATCAAGGTAGCGCACCTCGTTCGGGCACGTGACGATCTTGACGGACTTGGCGCCATCCTTGGTACGCTGGATGAACGCTTCGAGCAGGCTGGGATGGTCACTACGGCAATGCGAGAAAGAAACGATTCAGCTAATGGTGCAACACATTCGGGCATGACTCGTCGGCCCCCGCGCAAAATTCTCCTGGCGCGCGTGGGCTTGGACTCAGCCGGGGGTTTCGGTCGTGCCCTCGCTCCGATTGGCCGACGGACGCCGCGCAGACGGGCAGACTCACGAGCCGAGATTGACGAAGCAATGCGTGATCCCGGCGTCGACCAAGGTCTGCAGCAGCACGTTCGACGCCGTGAACAGAGCTGGCGCAGGTTCCTTGGTAATGTTTGAGGGGATGATGGGCGTCGTCATGATGATGGGTGGGTGGATGTGACCGGGGTTGAATCAGGTCCAAGTGGCAAGTGGGGACGATCGCCGTATTCCGTGTGGGGGAACACTCGGCAGTGCCAGCAAGGAGCGACGCGAGCCGTTCGAAGGTATAAAGGAGGGGTGTACCGTCTCTGAGTTGGAGCGGATGTGTGAGAGATTTCGTGTTTTCGTCTCGTGGGAGGTCCAGTGCCAAGAATCAAGGCTGTAAGCGCGTCAGGCACCGATGGCAAGGAGCGAAGTTGATCACGGAGTTCCACTCGCCCGGTGCGCTCGCCCTGCCAGGCCTTGCCATGCCTTTGTGCCGACTCTCTGCCTGCCGGGCCGCGGCAAATGGCAAAACGAAACGACCGGCGCCGACCGCTTTCCTCGGTCCTCCCGAGCATCCCACATTTGTTTCAAAATTCGACAACTTTTCGACCAAATCCTACACGGGTGTTTTCGGTTGATTTCGAGAGAGTCAGGGCATTGGTGTCGGACTGTCGGACGCTCAACTAGAGAGTTCCGCTTCAGGTTCGGAACTTGGAAAAGATCGTTCCGGAGCGTCACAAGTCACCTTAATTGTTCATGCTGGTAAGCTAGCCCTTTGGGCTCTGCCACTGCCCTCTCATCACTCCTTGCGCTCATTGCTTTGCTGATGATACAAGACTGAGATATATTGGTCACACAAGAAGCGTCGCATGGGCGCACAAGAAAGGAAAGAAAGAAAAAACGCAAAATCAAGAACGTCAGAAAGGTACCCATCAAGCCGGTCTCTCTACACGAGAAACAGCAGCCCAGACCATTCTTCGTCCTTCGTCTAGAACATCATCACATCATCTCCAATCATGGGCCCTTGAGTATCTTCCTCCGGCCGCAGGCATTCGCTCCTCGGAAGCACGACGAGCTTAGTTAGACGAACTCGGCAGCTTTCCCGCTCTGAACAGAATCAAGTGTGTGGATGGGCCATGCATCAGTTCGAACCCGTTCAATGAAGGGGAAGATCAAGAAGAAAGCACGTACGACGAGCAGCCCAACGATCAGACCGAACAGACCCAGAATCGACGAAAAGACCTCGATGACGAGGATCTTGACGAACAGAGCTACATCGACGCCAACCAAACATCTCATCAGCACCCTTAGCTCCCTTGCTCGGCCTGACTCTAACAGGTGCACGAGGCGAACGCACAAGGATCGGCGGCATCACCCAACGCGGCGTTACTTCCCGAGATCCCGACGGCGATACCACAGAGCAGGTTGCACATGCCCATCGTCACACCACCCCAGAATAAGGCAAAGCCCGTGTAGTAGTTTCCAGCCGTGTAGAGTGTTATTTGCGTCGGGGAAGACGCGAGCTTGGCGGAGAAGACGATCGCTACAGAGGATATGGGAGCGCAGGTCAGCACGCGCTTGGCCTTGCAACATGAAGGCGAGCTCGATTCGCAGGAGATGCATGACCCACATCCAATGACGCCTATATTGTATGAAAGAATGTGCACAGTCAGTTCCAAATTCTATCCTGCGTTCAACACTTGGGATCGCGGCCGGTTTGGACGACGAGCCCGAATAGAGGAGAGCGCAACTGGGGCCTACCATAGACGCCTGCCACTTCACAGAAGATGACTCTGTTGTAAACGTCGGGCGTGGAGTGTTCCCCGTGTCAGCTCTGGTATACTGATCGGCGCTGCCAGCTCGAGCGTCCGCATCGGCTTGGACAAAACGACTGTCCAGCGATGTAGCGCTCTTGCACAGCAAGCCGACCGCATGCGATCGACATCGACAGCGACGAGTTGTAATGCGGAAGGACTTGCGAGATCAGGTTCTTGCTGGTGATCCGGGGTGCTCGTACTCCGGCACCGATGATGGTCGAGCCCGTGATCCAGATTCCCCTGTGGCGCACAGTGCGGAGCCAGCGATGTCGATCGGAAAAGAGCTTCAGCCGGCGTTGCACGCTTCGTACGATACATCGGGGCAAACTGACCATCCTGCTCCGACGACGGACAGACCGAGGTTCAATCCGATGCCGAGCAGGGCCCAGGCGTAGGGCGACGTCTGTTCGAGAAACGCCCCCGGGTTGAACTGTTCACCTATAGTTGACAGCCAGCTAAGATCAGTCGGTGAACCTCGAGACGTGAGACACCCAGTACACCGCTCACCTGATCCTGTAAAGAGGATGTACAGGCCAGCGACGAGCCCGATCGACTGAGACGACGACGACGACGACGACGACGACGATGAGCAAACACAGTGGCGTCAGAGCGGTTGCAGCGTACAGATCGTCGCTCCTCCCTACTCACGACGACGGAATACGGCACGAGCCATGATGTTGTGGAGTAGCCCATTCTAGCGCAGCAGACGACGGCTGTGAGCACGATCAAACGGGTGGTGCGGAACCGGAGCGCCCTCAACGCGTCACCGGATCACCAGAGCGCCTCAGAGCGCTTGCCCAGCATTCAGATTCGCCATTTGGATCAAAATTGGTCTTTACAACTCGCCGAACTGATCTTTCTGATGGGCGATCTCGAGCGACACGGCCTTGCCCAGGACGGTGGACCGCACTCAAATATTTGCCTACGGGGAAACGGGGAGTCCTCCTCTGCCCCGTGTACTGTATGGTTGCATCACCGACTATTCTTACGCCGCGTCGCGCTCGGACTCAGGCGTGGAGACTTCAAGCTTCACATCTGTGGCCAGCTCCTATCGAGGGGCGACTTTTTTCTCAAACCAGAGACGCACCCCCTCGTAAGAAAATGTTGACGTTGCACTTTGTGACTGAGGCGTTCCCTCTCGGTCCTTCTCACCTTCTGAAACTTGTTGCGAGCGAGCCCGATTGTTACAATTAAATCAAGCTATAGGAATCGCGAACTCAAGCTCGAATTGCTTCGACTCCGAGTTCCCTCCCCAAGTCGGCGCTCAAAAATATGACCAAGGGTGTCCTACTACACCATTGCTGCTCTTCGCAACCCTTCCATTCATCAACACTTGACGCACTTGGTGCCCAAGGTGCGGTAGCCTCGCCTGCACTTGGTCGACACCGAGGCAGACGAACAGGCGGTCGCGTACGGGTCGGTGCAGCATCCGCTATCTGTGAAGATTCGAATCGACGGCCGAAGACATAGCATGATCAGTGAACAGAACTTGATCTCGAAAACTCCAGGGGCAATCTAGTAGAGTTGACGTACCGTCTTGGGATTGGACGTAAGGCGCCTCACACTTGGGAGGCACGCAAACCCCTTTGCCCAAACGTCGGCCCTTTAAGCAAGCGGTCGACTTGAAGTCGTTGAAGCAGGCCGTGGCGTAAGGGTCCATGCAGCAGTTGGAGCCCGTATCTACGAAGATGAAAGAAAAAGTAAGTGAAACTGAATTGTGTTGAAAAGTGGGGTGAGAGCCTCGAGGACGGCGGTTGTAGGCACTGACCGTGTCTGGGCTTGTAGGTCGGTACAGGGCAAACGGCATTCTTGGTGCACACGTTTCCGTCCACGTCAAGGAGATCGGTGCAAGCCGTTGCTACTTCGGGGGTCGAACATTTGGTTGCTTGCGGATCGAAGCAACATCCCGTGTCTTCGAGATCATCATGGAGAGAATGGCGCCTATTGGGTCAGCCATGTACGAAATTTGCCGCTAGGGTATAGGAGAATCACTCACTGTCATCGGAGACGACCGATTGAGGGGCTGTGCATACGATGGCTTTGCATTCATTGACGTCGAGCTTGTATCCAGCGGCGCATGCTGTCGACGTGATGCGATCGGAGCACTTGGTGGCGTGGGGATCGAAGCAGCAGCCGTTCTCTGTGACAACAGATATCGAGCCAGGGCGTACTGGTCAGTCGTAAATCGAGACAGTCTCTCCTCGAGATGTTCCTGGGACCTACTATCGTCAGAGTAGACAGAAAGTGGAGGCTTGCAAGTGCGCGTCTCGTCGACCTTGCACTCGTTACGATCAAGCTTGTACCCGACTGCGCACGAGGTCGAGGTGATTCGGTCGGAGCACTTTGTCGCATGCGGGTCGAAGCAGCAGCCGGTATCTGATCGTAATGGCCCAAATTACGTGGTGTAATCAGGGGATGTTGTACTTTTCGCAACCGATCATGAAAACTCACTATCGTCAGACACGATTGCGAGCGGGGCCTTGCACACGATGAGCCTGCAGAAGTTATTCTTGAGCTGGTAGCCGGACTTGCACGCTGTCGAAGCTTGGGTATCGGAGCAAGCCGAAGCGTTGGGGTCCAAGCAGCATCCGTTTTCTATCAAAATGTCAAGAAGAGGCGATAAGATTTACGCTCAACTTAGGCTCAAAAGAAGGCGGTTCTCAGGGTCAAGGTGACCAAATGGGCTTACGGTCTTGAGACAACACCTTGGGCGGAGTGCAGGTGACCTTGACGCAGACCCGCTTGTCCGATAGAAGGTAACCCTTCTTGCAGTCCAACGACTCTGTCGCAGTGCATTCCGACGCACCCTTGTCCTTGCATCGCAAGCACCTTCGGCCTGGAGAAAGAGAAAGTGGCTCTTCAGTCTCTGGCTGAAACCAGCCTGCAGGCTGGCGAAGACACCGGCCTAGATGAAGCCCAAAGCTTACCATCGTCCGAGAGGTAGGACGCGCTCTCAATCTTGCACTTTGCGAGTTCGCATTTGCCCCCCTCAAGGTTACCAAGCTTGCACCCCAAAGGTCCGTCCTTGTTGCAGGCCGAAGCACGGGGGAACGTTTTTGAGCAATCTTGAGACTTGTTGGCTTGAAAGGGGGTGCAGCACGCGAGGGGTCAGCTCCGGAGCGGGAGCAGTTGGTGTGGAGAGCAGTCAAAGGTCTCAACTTACTCTTGAGATTCAGGAACTGACTGTTCGAGCACTTGGAGGCAGCACGAGCCTGCCCTTCCGAGGGGTCTCGGACGTGCAAGGCGTTGAGGCCTGCGGCAGGGGCTGCCGAGGTGAGCTGAAGAGCCGAAGCCAGGACGGAAAGGGGGATGAGGAATTTCATAAGGGGTGCGAGAGAAGTGATGAACCAAGTGAAGCGAAGAAGAAGAAGAAGAGAAACAAAATGCTACGTAAGGAAGGCATGGGGATTTTGGGGTGAGAATCCAGGTGATCGACATCGCTATTCCATCCGGCCGGGATGAGAATGGCAAGGCTCTCGTTGAACCGAGAGCTCGCAGATTGGCTGTGCCGAGCGGCGCCTTCCGCTTAGGGCCATGGAATCAGTCTGGAAGAGGGACTCCCTCGGAAAATACGGGATCCGGATCCACTGTATCGGTCCCATTCGGAAAACGATGACTGGTACAGCCACCTAATATAAGATCTTCTAGCCTGAACCCAGAAACTAATGACATCAGCACTTCACAGGCATTGAAGCTACACAGCGTCCACACTGCGCAGCACCATTCATGGCTCCAGCAGCGGGCGCCGGCGGTGTGGGGGCGTGGGGTGGGGGTGAGTGCATGCGTGCCCACGCGCGCGAGCCGTAATTACTGACTACACAAGGCTCATCAAGCCTATAACGATCGTCGGCGGTGTTTGATAAAGAGTTCGCTCGCCCTTGCATCGGGATTTGGCGCGTCTCACCGGAGCACAGGCCACTGTATCACCATTGCTGCCGGGCTCTGGGTCGGCGTGTTGTTTGCTGTTGAGGTGAGCCTGAACGTGCTTTGTTTGTTGGCCTTCTCCCACTCGACGCAGCACCGCCCCGAGTCTCGGCCGACCCACGCGGTGGACCACAACACCGAACAACCACGGACCACCGCATCCAGCAGCACACTACGCTCGGTCCGGCTCTGCGTACGAGATGTGGTCTCATCGAGTTGAAGGACGCCACCCTGCTAGGAGACCCGCCGTCGTGGACGCTCCAAGTCTCGCGAGGCCGAGCTGAGGCGGTCCGTCCCCCAACCGGCCCCCACACGCAGAGTCGACCCCGAGTGACCCAACGCTCCGCCGCCTTCCCACAGAGCTACATCGCCTTTACATCCGTCACGTGGACACGAACAAGACTCACTGAACTGAACCCGTGCTTGTGGTGTCGGTCAACTAGATTCGTCTACTCGTAGGAGCTGACTCGTCAATCTTCTTGGGGCTCAAGACCGAGCGAGATAAGCCCCCCACCTCGACGCCGAGCGACTTGACTCTGTCCTCGTTCGCCTATTCGAGACGTGAAGGATGGAAGGTTCCGCTCCTTCGTTCCCGTCCCACGAGAGGAGATCTTCGACACCAAATGCATCCTTTTCCAAGCCGGGGCCACGCAAGGTCCGCTCTCCGTTCCTCTCGGCCTCCTCCCCTCGTACCCTACCGTGCCCCGTTCAGCCGCGTATCACTTCGGACGATGTCGTCACGGCTTCCTCCAAAGAACGCAAGCAGCCGCTATCCGAACAGATGTCCCATCCTGAGCTGGGTCCCCGGCCTTCGTTGGATCATCTGCCCTCGGCTTCGACCGCGGCGACGAGCGACAAGGCCGGCGCACCTGCAATCGTCAAGCCGCTCAATCTGCTCAAACTGGCCTCGTCGGTCGTCCAATCCCGCAACGGATCGGTACTCAGTCGAGGTTACATCGTCAAGCGTGATTACAGACCCGTCCATGATGTCGCTTCCCCTTTGAGTGTGACGACTATGTCCACCCGGCCCGATCAGATCCATCTCACGGGCGCCGACAACTTTCGGGGAGTCGACGACTGGGGCGTGTATGGGTTGGCTCAGCCGACTGAGACGGGCCTAAGGACGGTCCTATCCATGCTGAGGGCTCAAGACATACTCGTTGCGCCCACATCATCTGGCAGCGCCGCCGGCATCTCGAGTCTCCCCCACTTGCCCGCCAAGAGAAAAGGTCGTCACGTCGTCTGGTTTTGCACAAGGGAGGAGCCCATCATCTACTTGGGTTCACAGCCTTTCGTTCTCAGGGACGCCGCGCACCCGACCCGGACGTACTCAATTTCGGATCGAGCCGAAAATTTGGAAGAGATCGAGAAGCGCCTCAAGGCCGATATCCTCAAAGAGGCCCAGCGGTACGGGGGCGTCATCCTCGTGCAGGAAGAGGTTCGACCACTCGAGATCGTCAACTCGTGGATCGCAGCCGATTCGGTCCGGACCGTGAGGGAGGTGTGGGAAGAGGTCATTGCGGCGGGGTACAACCTCACCTACCACCGGACGCCCGTAACGGCTGACCAGTCGCCGGAGGACGGGTATCTCGACACGTATACGGAATTGATCAGGGACGTGCCGACGAGTAGCTTGCTCGTATTCAACTGTGGTATTGGCGTCGTGAGGACGACGTTCGCCATGACCACAGCCATCCTGGTCAGGAGGATGCAGAGACTCAAAGAAGGGCAATACGACTTGATCGACTCGCCGACTCGACCTCAAGACGTCATTGCAGAGTCGGGTGGTGGACTTTCGGTCACATCGGGAGGTCAGGTGCAGGACCCAAAGATGCTGGGCCTAGGCAAGGCGAGAAGCCTGTTGAAAGAGCGGAAAGACCAAGCCGAAAGGGACAAGAGTCTGTTGAGACTGATGACGGTCCTGCAGACGGGCTTGGCTACTAGACCAGCTGCCGGTGGTCAAGCCGCGATGCTCGGTTTGCTGCTCGCTCAACCCCAGCTCTTGGAGAATCTGCGGTCAGTCCTGGCTCGAACCTTTGCGTCCACAGCTGAGAGGTCCGGGAGCTGAGCCCTCGTTAACCCTTGCAGAACGGCTCTGGTCGGCCAGTATGACCTCATCCTTTCGCTCCTCTCCGTCATCGACGACGCGCAGCACCTCAAGCAGGTCGTCGACACGGTTGTCGACCGCCTCGACTTCAAAGTCAACCTGCGCGAATCCATTCTCGAGCATCGCATCCGATACGCTTCTCTGGCTCTAGTCGACAACCAACGTCCCTCGGCTTCTCACGAGCGAATGAGCAAAGCGCTGGCAGCGTTGGAGCGTTATTTCTTCTTGATCGCCTTTGCGGCCTTCATCAATGACGCTTTCAGCGCTTCGTCGAGCCCGGTAGCTCAAAATGCCAGCGGTAAGCCGTCTACAGAACGTAGAATAGGCGCACCTCTCAAGTTCTCGATGTGGCTCAAGGAACGAACCGAGATTGGCAAGATGCTCGCCCGGCTGAAGAAGACGGGGCAAGGGCACTTTTGGGTCTTTTCACCCATCCAAGATTTATCGGCGATCGCTCGGGGCGAAGCAGGGCAGCTCACTTTGACCGACCACAACCTCCAGGGAGAAGGAGATTTGAGCGAGAAGTTGGCCCACGTGCAGCGCAAGGGGAACCAGGTCGTCGGCGACGAATGGGCGCAGCAGATCGTCAGGAACCGTGCCGGTATCATCTTGAGACCGGGGATGATCTTGAAGAACGACCAGTGGAGGATTGCAGCAGCCGATGCGCCGGCTGGTGACGATGCGAGTTCCTCCGACGCCGACTCGGGATCCACGATCCGGGGAGCGATCAACTTTCGCCGAGTCCCAAACTCCTCCCTCTACGGACTCTCGCAGCCTTCGCAGGACGGCATCGTCAAGGTTTTGGAGGAGGTTCGTCAGGGCATGGTCGACCCTCAAGCCGCGATCGTGTGGATCAATCTTCGCGAAGAGCCACTCGTCTACATCAACGGTACGCCATACGTCTTGCGGCAGGAATCGATCAGTCTGCGCAACGTCAAATCTTATGCGGGCATCTCGAGCACCCGCTTGGAGCTGCTCGAAGACCGGCTCAAATCAGACATCCTGAGCGAGCTGAAACTCTTCGATGGGCGATTACTGCTACACACTGAAGAAGGAGACGGGTCGGTCCACCCCGTTTGGGAAGTCGTACAGGAACCCTTCGAGGCCTCCGTCAAGACGCTGCGCGAGATCTTTACCGAGTTGCAGCACGACGACAAGAGGCGGGCCCTGGTCGGCCCAGCGTTCGAATTTATGCGCATCCCGATCACGGCCGAACGACCACCCCATTTCCAAGATGTGCAAGAAATCGTCGAGATCGTGGCCCGCCTACCTGTCGACGAGACGGCCGTGATCGTCAATTGCCAGCTCGGGCGAGGGCGGTCGACGCGGGCTCAGATCATCATCACGCTGGTGCAAAAGTGGATGCGATCGAAAGGGCAAGGATGGTCTAGCGATGGCGCCAGGTCGACGCGGTACTCGTATACCGTCATAAACAACTTGCTGCGCACCATTCGCTCGGGTCAAGAAGTCAAAACCGCGGTCGACGAAGCGATCGATGCGTGTCGGGAGACGTACGATTTGCTGGAATCGATCGAAGACGCGAGACAACAGGCCGAGGATGCCAAGGATCAGTCCGAATTGCGCAACAAGTTCATAGCCAAAGGTCTACAAAGTCTAAGGTGAGGTCGATGAGGCTCGCACTTTTCGAGACCTTGACACTGACTCTTCCTTGTCGGACACTCCAGGTCATACTATTTCTTGATCATCTTTTCATCGTTCCTCAACGAATGCAAAGCCGAGACGTGGAACGAGCTCCATTCCTCGGCGAACTCGTACGAAACCTGGGTTCGAGAGCGGCCCGTGTTCAAGACGATCGAAAGGGAACTCGATTCGGCGGGCATTGAGGCTTTGATGCCTTTGGAGAAACCTGTCGGAGGTACCGAGGGCCACGCTCTGAGCGACGAGGTCGAGGCTTTCGTGGCCAAACGGTCGGGGAGAATCTTGTCGGCGTTCACGCTGCTCAAGTCGGATTTCTTCGTGGGTTCACCTTCAAGTTTGTGCCTAAAATCACGGTACTGACACCACGTTCTCTACCCCGCAGTCTGGTCTGCAAAAAACGTCTCTGGCCGAGCGCGTCGAAGGCGCTCCCAATTTCCGCCGTGTCCGCCTTTCGCTCGACACCTCCTCGGACCAGTCAAGAGATTTGACGGGCTCGGTTTACATCGACCCTTCGACCCCGTTGGTATATGGGTCGGGCATGCCTACGGTCGAAGGCTTGCGACGGGCTCTGGAAAGGATGGGGGCCAAAGAGAAGCCGATCGTTTGGACGTCGATGAGGGAGGAGCCCGTGATCTGTGAGTTTGAACTGAGCCAGTATATAGTGAGGCCTGTGAATGTGCCCACTGACATATGTCGCGATGTTACCCCGTAACAGATGTAAGCGGGGGACGACCCCATGTCCTGCGCCTCATCGACGAACCCCTAGAGAACGTAATCACGACAGGCGTGACAGCGGCGACGGTGGAGGCGATGGAAGTTGCCCTGCAACTCGATCTGCGTAAAGAAGCCGAGGAGAACGACGGCAAGATCCTATTGCACGACGAGGTGGCGGAAAACGGAAACTTTATCGTCACGGCCGTCTGGGAGTCGGTGCACCACAACGAGTTGAGTGGAGCGACCACATCCCATCCGTGATTCTCATGCCATGTTGCTTATATTCAGCCTGGCTCACAGTATCCTGACGCCTAAGGAAGTCTTCGCACTCATGCGTCAAGAAGGGTTCCAGGTCGACTACGAACGGCTGCCCGTCACGGACGAGCAAGCGCCGTTGGCGGGCGTGTACACTCGATTGGAGCAGCGCGTCATCTCTGGAGTGAACACAGATGCCAACTTTGTGTTCAATTGTCAGATGGTAAGTGATCCATGCCGTGATTGTCAGAAACGGGGCTCGAAATCCCCACTAATCTGATCCTATGTCTCCTTCCGCAGGGCCGTGGAAGAACGACAACCGGGATGTCAGTCCTTATGAAGGACAGTCTCCATCTTGTCGTGCCGCTGACAGTGAACGTTACCGACGATGTACAGGGTTGCGGCAAGGCTGGTCTACAACATCCTCTTCGACGACTCGCTCGCTTCCTCACACCTCACGGGATCAATCTTGCTCGAGGCCCCAAACGGCGCGAACGATCCCGAGATCTCGGTCACGTGGGACGGCCACGAGTCGGATCCTTACATCTCCGGTGAGTACAAGATTGTGCTCCAGCTCGTGTCGCTCTTGCAGTACGGCAAGCTAGCCAAGAAGCTTGTCGATCGCGCCATCGAGTCAGTACCACATGAACAACGAACGGGCATGATCACACGTGACTAACGTACTCCTCTCCCACGGCCTTACAGTACATGTGAGGGAGTACAGAACCTGCGCAGAGCCGTGTATGACTTCAAGCTTCGCGCCGAGGCGTCGGACGAGGGTTCAAAGAAGCACCGCAAAATCTTTGGCGTTGCGGTCAACTACTTATACCGGTGCGTCCATCGGCCACTGATCTGCCGCGCTCTGCCAGTGCTGACCGAATGCGTTTTTTCAAATGCCCATGATACCCAAAAGCTACGCAAGCTTAATTGTGTTTGCCAGCTATCTACTGGAAAAGGTTGTCGAGGACGAAGATACCCATGGCGAGTCCTCGATGCAGGCGGGTCAATCGTTCAATGCCTGGTTGGCCGAGCGGAGGGAAATCTCATCAGTACTTTCCAGAAGGTCGTTGGAGTAGTATAGCATATTTGCAGTATGTACATCATGTACCGCTTTGGCGATGTATCCCCGCCCTTGCTTGAGCACCCCGTAGTGGTGCAGCAATGTCGACTTGGTCGTCGAAATCCAGGCCGCTTCGAAATTGCTGCTCTTGCCAATAGCGAGGATTGTATCCCAGAGCACCACGATCGGCGAGGCCTTGTCCGTCTATTTGGTAAGATGGAACGCTGTCTTGTCTTCCTTGCTGGTGGCCTATGGACGAGCCAAAGGCAACGCAGATGCCACCTGTCGCTTGGCGAATGCAACGGAGCAAATCTGTGCTCATGACGATTTCTCGAGCTGGCTCGGCCGGAACGACCAAGGTGGTGCCATCTCTTTCGACAGTGAGGTTGTAGTAGATACCGGTGTTGTTGAGGCAATCGAGAAATTGGTTCGCCGTGGTGATGTTCAAAGGTAGTCGATCAGGAGGCGGGGGGCCCAAGTCGGCATTGTCCTCACCGGAGTCGGAAGGGGTTTCCGGGTCACCGTAGGGCGTGTAGGAACCATAAGGCCAGGTCGAGCCGAAGGGGAGAGTGCTGCCACTGGCGCAGATAATTTGGATGCTCAGTAGGAGGAGCCGGAGCACCGATGTGTTGACATGCATCTCAGGGCATGAATCGAAGGGGATCTGAAGGCTCGGTTGGACAGGTCGATGACTTGAGTCAACGGGTCGGATCTGAAGACGACTTCCTCGCAGTGACGCGCGCCGGCGAGTCAGCCTGCAGTCGACTTGGGCTTGAGGCCACTAGTATACCTATTACTGCAGCGATTGAAAGGTTAGGCACCGAAAGCTAACTGAAATAAAAGCGCCTGGTTCGAGGACCCAGGGTAGCAGTCTCATACACTGGTACCTCACTCAGCCGGTCGGCAAGACTATATGCGGTCCTCAGGCGGGCGGGCAATTTATCATCTGGTCCAATTTGTGATCGGCGGCCTTCGCTTGCAAGCTCCGCTTCCCCGCTCTTTTGTCACTTTGACTTCGCGCCGTCACCTCGCCGATAACGGTCGAACAATCACTCGCACCCACTAACAGTATGCTCACGCGTGCCAGAACTCAGCCCTTGGTGGCTCCCCTAACGCCACCCAAAGCAACTCGTAGTGGGAGCAAGCGTGCCTCGCCGTCCACGAATGTCATCACACCGCTTGCCACCCCACGGACCCCACCGCCTTCGGCTCGTAAGCGTCGCAAGACCGACGAGGCCCCTCCCACTGCAGCACCAAACAATACTATGGGATCCGAGCCCGCTGCTCGAGAAGAAGTTTCGACGGTGTTGCTGCACCCGCCTTTGGCATTCTCGTTCGAGGAGGCCACAGCACATCTGCACTCGATCGATCAGCGCTGGGGTCCGGTCATTCAGTCCTTGCGGTGCAAGCCATTCCAGCCTTCGGAAGCAGAGGATATTTTTGATCCATTCAGATCCCTGGTGAGTTGACTTGAACCATTTCCAAGATTATCGTTCCTATTCTCCCCATGCATGGATTTCTGACAAAATGTTACTTGCCGGATGCGCTTGGACACGCAGGTCAGCTCCATCATTGGCCAACAAGTGTCATGGCTCGCCGCTCGATCGATCCTCCACAAATTCCAGCGCGTCTTCTTCCCTACTTTGCCGGAGAAGCTCGAGCGGCCCCAAGCAGGTCTTGAGACCGAAGAAGAGCTGAGGCAACGTACTTCGCCCTTCCCGACCCCGCAGCAAGTCATCGATCTGCCGAACCGCACGGAAACCTTGCGTGGCGCCGGCTTGAGCGGGCGAAAGGCCGAATACGTCGTCGAGCTGTCGGAAAGGTTCGTTGATGGTCGACTGAATGCCAAAGAGCTATGGTCGATGGACGATGAAGAAGAAGTGGAGCGAACGCTTGTCGCTTGTCGAGGGATCGGCGTGTGGACGGCCCACATGTTTCAAATATTCTCGATGAAGAGGCCGAACGTCATCCCCGTGGGTGATTTGGGTGAGCGGAATATGATGGCTATCCATGTCCTTTCAAACCGTGTTTAGGCTAACCAGGTGACGTAACGTTTCACTCGATCAGGCATCCAAAAAGCGCTGTGCAAGTGGTATTCATCGGACCCGTTCACGGCTCCACTCTTGCACCCGAAGAAGCTTTCCGGCGCAGATCCTTCAACTCCCAAGCCCGAGCTCGAGTCCGAGTCCACGGCTGCCCTTCTTTCACTGCCAGTGATTCCAGCTTCTCCTAGCATCAGCGCCGGTAGGGCGCCTGCAGATGGGTCAAACCCTTTCGAAACGCCCAAGAAACAGCCGGTCAAACTCGAAGACGCTTATCCGAGTCCCCGAGCGACCCCCCTCAGAGCTTTGGCAGCGCCCATCACCACACCATTCGTCTTTCCTCCAACAACCTCGGGCTTGACTCCGGCAATCCTGAAGATGCGTCTGGCCGGCAAAAAGATCAAGTGCGTCGATTCCCCTTCACTTTCCTCACTCGGAAGTCCATTGTGCGAGATATGCTGATGCCGCGCCTTGGACCTCGCAGGGGAGCATACTTGACTCCACAGGAAGTGCGAGAGCTGTGTCAGCCTTGGGAACCGTATTGTAGTGTCGCCATGTGGTATCTTTGGGCTGTCCTGTCCGATGTCTGAGTAATATACCGATTGAGCCTGGTCGAAGCTATCCGGTTGGTTCCGATTGCGAAGAAATAAGTAGGTTGTACAGGAATAGTATCTACACGAAAATTTATCATTATCGCAGTCTGGCAATGACTGCCTCGGTAGAAGTAATGACCTGTGAATGCCGCAACTTCTGATCAGCTCGGCGTCTCGACGGAGAAGGGCGGTCCAAATGGTGGCTGACCTGGTGGATATCAGGCCTCTGCTTCGGGTCGACCTTCAACATCATCCTAATCAAGTCTCTGAACCCTTCCGAATGCCGACCTTCGCTTGATCGAGGAAAGTCGTACTTGCCGTTCATGACGGCCATCGCGATCGAGCCACCATGTTCGGACTGCTGGGTCGTCTCGAACGGGCTGGTTCCGTACGCCATCGCGAACAACGTCGCACCGAGGGACCAGATGTCGACTTTCTCGTCCAGTGTGATCCCCGTCTTGACGTCGAAGAGCTCGGGGGCTCGGAACGGCATCGAGCAGTGCTCAGCGGCGAGGTCCTGTTGGAGTAAAGCGATTTGTCGATTCGGGATGGGGATGCGAGCGGGCAAGGCGGAACCAAAGTCCATGAGGATCGGTCGCGAGTCGTCGGTTAGCATAATATTGGCCTGCGTGTTCCACAAGCAATGGACCTGTTAGCAAGGTGTCAAGAAGCGTGCGTCGAGTATGCTCGCTGCATGGCAGACTCACGGGTTTGATATCTCGATGTGCCCAAGGCTCGACGCCGTTGTTCGCGCCGCCACTCTTCTTCCCCGAAGCCGTGCCCAGCTTTCCCAGCGCCACCGTCGAATCACCGAGACCAGGAAGGCCCGAATCCTCCCGTTCCTGTACGACGGCGCCCTTGATCGCTTCGACACCGCCGATCAGGGCCTGCCCCTCCGTTTCTTCACCAGCTCGAACAAGGCCTTCGTCCTCTTCGTCCCCGTCGTCTTCGTCTTCCGTATTCGTTGCCTGACGCGACATGGAGCTCGTAGGTGGGTACGACGAAGGGTCATTCACCGACGCCGAGGACGAGGACGAAGGATCTGCGGCGGCCGAGGACGAGCGGGACGGCGTGTATGTATGCATCGCTCGTACGGCCAAGCACGTGCCGAGAAACAGCTGCAGTGTGTCCAATTCGGTCGAATGCGATCCGTTAACGGCGTTAGAGGTGATGATGTCCTGACATCTGCGAGACCACAATCTGAAAAGGTGAGCTCCGATTTTTCGCTCGAGGCAGGGGCGGGCTAGTCGACTCACGTTCCCTTTTGGTAGAAGGGCAGGAACAGGTAGATGATCTTGGATCCGTCGGGGTCTTGAACGACACATGAATCGAGGCAGCGAATGATGTTGGGGTGGCGGAAGCGCTTGTACGCCTCGACCTCTTTCAGCGCCTGCCGTACCGAATCCGACCCCAGCGGGCAGCGGATCTTTTTTAGCGCGAATAGGCGCGACGAGGTGAGATCCTGAGCTAGGTAGACCTGTGAACCGGATGGGCGTAGCAGATTAGGGCCCAAAGGAGCGCGCCGTTCAGTGAGGTTGACACGTGAGCTGTCGCGCGAAGACGACGTGCTCTTCGCGACGGAGGAAAGGAGGGTTGCGCACATAGGAGAAGCCTCCTTCGCCGAGCAATTTGATGATTTTGAACGAGCGTCCATTCAGCTTCAGTGTCGCGTCTGTTGCCGCCCATCAACAGGCTTGTGAGTAACGCTGGTGCGACGTTGCGCAACGCGTCGAGGCGCATGTTGTGAGCTCGGACTGACCTTGCTGGCAGAAGCACGACGTGAGGGCGTAGAACGTGTCCTTGAGCTGATCCATGTGTGCGCCAGTAGGACGAGCGGTGTTACTTGGGCGACAGGGGCGGAGGGGGGCGGGAAGGTTCAAAGAGGAGTCTCTGTCGCAGTGCTCGCTGCCGACGATGGTCGTACCGGGCGAGGCACTGGCGAGGCGAGGCGCCGTTCACTACCTGCCGCAGTCTACCGCAGTGCCGTCTTCTGCCGTCTTCGGCACGGAGAAACTCGCCCGAGACCACGCCCGGAGCGATGGCTTCTTTGCCTGCACACTTCCGACGGTAATTGAGACTTGTCGGTGGGCAAGAGCTAGCTGGGAGCTCCTGTACCGTAACCGCCTGCGCTCCTACACCGGGACGCTGGCTCCGTTCGATCCCCACGTCACGCCGCGCCAGCTCCCCAGCCTGTAGCTCCCCCACTCCCTTAACCCCTCCGATCCACCCCCACCTTTCCCATCCTCCCTCTCTCCCACTCTCCCTCCCTCCGTGATCGGCCTCCCGCTCGCCGCCTGTTGCACCTCACCCAACTCTTATCAAAGCGGAGAGAACGGATGCTCTACAACCATCTGCGGACGCACCTCATCGTCGCGCCTTCGACCTCGGTTGGCAAGTCCATCTTCTCGACCGGGTTGTGTCGAGCTTCGCTGGCCCAAGGCGAGAGGGTCGGCTACTTGAAGCCGATCGGCACCGGCACCGGCGACGGTGATGACGAGCTGTGAGTCGCTGGAGATGCACCCCTACCGCTTCCTTCCCATTGTTGCAACAGGTGACTGATCCATCTCGACGACGATCCAGACATTTGAAACGATTTGCCCCTCGGCTGAGCTCGACAAAGTGCCTCTTCCACTTTGACGAGCCCGTGTCACCTCACCTCGCCGTAGCACGGTCCGGTTCGTCGAGCTCGGCAGCATCAAAGTACCCCACCGATGATGCATTCGTCAGGGCCATCTCGCACCACGTTCATCAATTCGCCCAGGACCCGGCCAGCGCGGTGCGACAAGCTGCAGGCCGAGGAGCGTCGCTTTACATCGAATCAGCCGGAGGTGAGCTAGCGTCGGGACGCCATGAAATGGAAACCAAAATACATTGCACCTGACGCGTATTCTGAATAAACAGGTGTCCACTCCCCCGTGCTTTCCGGATCTTCACAGATCGATGCCTTCCGACCGCTCGCTCCACCTTCGACCCTACTGATCGCTTCCCATGCCCTCGGCGGCATATCGACCACACTGTCGGCCTACGAATCGCTCTTCATCCGCGGTTACCGGATAGACTCGGTGCTCGTCTTCAAAGAGGATTATTACGAAAACTACTCGTACTTTCAAAAATGGTTCGAACAAGAACGAGGCATCAAGGTCGGGATCGTACCATTACCGCCATCCGTAGCGGAGCCGAAAGAGCGCGACGAACAAAACATGGATACCTACTACGCGACCCTGGAAGAAAATCTCAGCCCCATCATCGACCATCTGTGGGACACGCACCAGCGCCGCCTCGACGAACTCGCCTCGATGGGCAAAAGGTCGAGGGACGTCTTTTGGTGGCCTTTCGTGCAACACAACCAGGTCGCGCGCGATCAAGACGTCATGGTCGTCGACTCGGCCCACGGTGATCATTTCGTCACATTTGACCACGCGGTCGATGCAGCCTCCTCGAAGGCCCTTCTGAGCCCCACGTTCGATGGGTCGGCGTCGTGGTGGACCCAGGCTTTGGGCCATTCGAATCCGACCCTGGCCCTCGCTGCTGCCCAGGCCGCCGGACGCTACGGCCACGTACTGTTCCCTTCAGCCACGAACGAGCCTTCGCTTCGATTGGCCGAAAATTTGGTCCGAGGTGTGGGCCAGGGGTGGGCCGAGCGCGTGTTTTATTCCGACGACGGATCCACGGGGATGGAAGTCGGCCTCAAGATGGCGCTCAGATCGTACGCCGTCCGAAGGGGCTTGAACGCCGAAGAAGCGGGCCGATTAAAAGTGTTGGGCTTCAAGGGCTCCTACCATGGTGACACGATCGGCGTCGTTGATGCGTGCGAGAAGAGCATCTTTACCGAGCGTATCGACTGGTACAACGGCCGAGGGGCGTGGCTCGACGGGAGCCAGGTCATGCTCGAGCAGGGCAAAGTCGTCATTCGGGATCGGAAGACCGGTGAATCGATCGGGACATACGACACACTCAAAGAACTGTACAACGTCGATCAGCGCTTGACAGACTGTGATCCCCTCGTCGAGCGCTATCGCGACGAGATCGCCGCGTTCGTCCGAGAACACCACGAGGCAGGAACCGAGTTTGGCGCCTTGGTCCTCGAGCCCATCGTTATGGGTGCGGGAGGTATGATCTTCATTGATCCCTTATTCCAGCGCGTCCTCATCGATCTCGTTCGCGGTGACTCGACCCTCTTTCCCTCCCGCGCGAGCCTCAACGCATCGACGGCAAGCTCGAAAACTTGGCAGGGACTGCCCGTTATCTTTGACGAGGTGTTCGTCGGTCTGCACAGGATCGGGCCCTTGACGTCGGCGCGACTTCTCGGCTCTACGACCTTACCCGATATCGCCGTCTACGCCAAGATCCTTTCGGGAGGATTGGTGCCCCTGTCCGTCACGCTCGCCTCGGGGTCCATCTTTGAGACCTTCCTCGGACCGGGTAAAGTCGACGCCCTGTTGCACGGGCACAGCTACACGGCCCATCCCGTCGGATGCAACGTTGCTCTGACCACCTTGAACACCTTGGAGAAGATGCGAAAGAGGGGTGATTGGGATGCGGCAAAACAGGACTGGGGGATCCAAGCCAGCGCCGCGCCTCCACATTCGTCAACCACCTCTGCCCAACCTTGGTCATTTTGGTCCGCCGACTTCGTCGATCGAGTCTCGCGCTTGGAAGAGCGAGTTTCAGGAGTGATGGCCCTAGGGACCCTGCTCGTCGTCTACCTTCGAGCCTCCTCCGCCGGCTACGACTCTGCGGCCTCGGTCGACCTCCTCGCTCGCCTCAAGGACGCCAAGGTGCCCGGTGGACCAAGTGCGAAGGGCTACAACGTCCACGCCAGACCTCTCGGCAACGTGGTGTATTTCATGACGTCGCTCAATTCCAAGCTAGACGATCTGAGAGCACTCGAGGAAGCTCTCTGGGAAGCGCTACAAGAGTAGACAGAGAAGAAGCCACACGCATGTACCATCATTAGTAGCAAATTTGCAGTAGAACTATTAGGAGGCTGTCGTCCTCTTTTACGCAATATAGAACCGACTCGGGTATGATACCCCCCCGCTTCAGATTCCCCCTCATCACAAGTGTTGCTCCGTCTTTTTCTGCCGTTCATCGTAAGCCCATTTTTGGATCGTGGCGGCTAGGTCCCTCACCTCTTGCTTCGTGTTGCCGGCATGCAAGCACACGCGCACTCGCTCCATCCCTTTGGGCACAGTCGGATGAAAGAGGGGCCGGACGAGGAAGCCACGCTCAATCAAATGTAGAGACAAACGACGTGGGGAAGCCGTGAGCAAAGGGATGATGGGCGAAGTCGTGAAGAGCGGGACGAGCGTCGTCGCCATGGGAGAGGTCGTCGGGTCCATCGGTGGCGGGGGTGCAGGGAAGAGGTTGAGCGTTGAGGGTATAGAAATGGGGAACGAGGTCGGACTGAGAAACGTCGAGAGCTCGTTCAGGAGCATAGTCGACAACGAATGAACTCGGTTCGCGGCCTGTGGTCACTCGAAAAAGTCAATATCTGGGTGCTTCGGAAGGAGGGCAGCGCTCCATCCGCCAACTCACCAAATCGCCCTTGCCCGAGTCGAGCATGTCGATCGCCTCTCGCATCGCGATAACGTTCATGTAGGGCATTGCGGTCGAGTAGATGAGAGTTCGAGCATAGTTGATCAAATACGACCGGATCAATGAGGATGCGAGGACGACCGCTGCGAGGATCGATAAAAGGTTAGCTCGGCTCGGATTGCGCTACCGCAAAACGACGGCAATGAACTAACCCCCACTGCATGCCATAGCCTTGCCGAAGGTGTGCAGCCGAACGGCGATTCGGTTCGCCAATCCCAGTGCACATACGATGCCGCGACCTTGGGGGCCATACAGACCCGTGGAGTGCGCCTACGTCCTCGGACATCCCCAAAGGGAAGGGAAGGGTCAGCATGCCAGAGAGGCTGGGCCGAGGATGCTGCTGCACTGACCTCGTCGACGATTATCTGGCCGTTCATTTTCGGTAGCTCCTCTTCCACGGCCATGACAATCTCCTTCAGTGGCGCCAGATCCCCGTCCATGGAATACAGCGTTTCGACTCCGATCCACACGTTTCGCGTGCCTTGCTGGACCTTGGGGTCCCCCCCAACGATGGCCCTGAGGACATTCCTCAGATCGCCGACCGAGTTGTGACGGAACGCTCGTCTCCGCTGCTTGGGACATCTCGAAGCCTTCATCCCGTCGTGCACACTCGCGTGAATCAAGTCGTCGTATACGATGTAGTCGTCCGCGGCCGGGAGGCACATCCAAAGCCCGACATTCGCGTCAAAGCCAGAATTGAACAAGAGCGCCGACTCGCCGCGAAAAAAGGTCGAAAGGCGCGCTTCAAAGTCGAGGTGCAAGGGCGAGTTACCATCCAGTAATCGCGATGCAGGCGGTCCGTAGGGGGATGGGTGGAAAGCTTGGATCGCGCGGAGAAAGTTTTGGCGAAGGAGCGACGATCGGCCAAACGAAAGGTAGTCGTTCGACGAAAAATCAATTGGTGGAGGCCGCGAAGGCCCAGGGTCGGATGCGGGGTCCATCAGCGATCTTGGACTGGTTCCAGAGTTGGCTTGCGTCGAGGACGTGCCCGATGACAGGGGTTCGAGTGTCCGCAGCATTGACCGTTCGCGACGAGACTTGAGCGCCGCTGTCAGGCGTCGATCCAAGAACGACATGGCCGCTACAGTAAGGTGGAATCTTATCGTCAGTTGATTTGACTCTCCGGAAGCCACTTGTGATCTGGTGCGACTCACCGAGCTCTGTAGCGGGGCGACCGTCCCCCAACGCTGCTTGCGAAGACCCCCCCATCTGACGACCCGACTGTCTGATCAGAGCTCTGGTACTGTCTGATACGGGCTTCTGGCCTAAGAGCGGCACGTGCCGATGTGAGCTTCAACTATTCGTGAGCGTACGAGTGGCTTCTCCCGATGCTCGACGCAGAAAGCCGGGACGAGGCAAGGCCGGGAGTGAGCGAGCGTGAAGCGATGGGGCGATGACGAAGAGCCGAGTCCCCAAAGAGCCCATCGATCGGTGGGTAACCAACCACTGGCAGTACTCGGAGCTCCCAGGCGCTCCCCACATCCCCGAGCTGCCCCATCATCGCAAAGCAAGGCTAGCCGGTCAATCAATCCATATGCTTCACTGGGTATTACTTGAGATTCATGGGCACAGATTACTTCGTTAGGTGATAAATATAGTCGTACGCAAGCTGACACTGGTAAAAAGATCGCCTGCAGTGAACGGCACGGGGCAGGCACCCGCACAGCTCGGAGTCCATAAACAATCATACTGCAGACGGAACATTCTACGCGCATCTTTGATCAGATGGCTTCTTCCACGATACCTCCTTGCCAACTAGAATTGGACGAACAAAGAGAGAGTCGCATGTCGCTGGTCAGCATCTCGAGTCTGCAAGGGGGTGCTACAGGCCAGCAACTTCTTCGGAGAAACGTACTACTTAACCCGCGCCGAGGAGATGTGCGAGTACGTCGATCTCGGGGTGCCGACAAAGCTCTGTCCCCGAGCTAACAGCGCAAAGTCGAGCATCTGGTTGTGCCATCGTCCGAGCTTCTCGGTGCCCAACTCCTCGTGGTCGACCACGAGCCAACCCAAAGCCTTGACCTCCTTGACGAAATCGCTGTCGGAAGCTTCATCGGTCGACACGATCACGCGGTAGTCCGCCGCGGAGTATCCAGGGTAGACTTTAAAGTGCTTGCGGCCAGGACCCACGAACCCCTCCGGATCGTCGATCCTCTCCTGGAGCCGTGCCCGGAGTTTGCGCAGAGCCTCGGTGTACGCCTCGAGGGGGATGAAAGCGCCGAGGAACTCTTTGAAATCCCCTCGCCGCATGTGCATTGTAATGAACGGCGGCACGTCCGAAATCGTCTTGACGTTGAAAAGCCGGACAAGAGCGGCGTCGGCATGGCCCTCGAGCGCTTCGTTGAAGTGCATGTGCTGCCCGGCCTCGATCCATGACAACTCCTCCCCGGGAACGAGCGCCTCGAGCGGCAAGTCGTGAAAATCGGGCCGCTGAAAGCCCAATGGCCCCACGAACATCGTGTTGTCCAAACAAAACATTTGGTGAGTGGGCACCACGGGGGAACGAGGATCGAAAAGGGTCTTGCGATTTTTGTAGCGCTCTTCCACGTGGTCGATGGGGATCGCCTTGCCGTCGGCCAACGGCTCTTGCGGGAGCATCTGGGCGCGGACAGTGTCGAGCCAGCGAATTTTCGCCCCTTGGTCGTAGTCAAAGATGCGCAACGCATCAAACGCGAGGTCGAAGCCGCCATCACCGCGCTGCAGTGGCGGAAGCGCCCAGGGCGTGACCTTCATGCCGTGCATATCCATCGAGGGCACGAAGGAGAGGCCGTGGCCGACGGTCGCCTCGTGCACAGACCAACACGCGATGTCTTCGGTCACATTGTCCGTCAGTGGCTTTACCGACGACCACGTCACTCCCGGGATTCCCGAGTCCGCCACGAACCGGTCCAGATCGTAATAGTCCGTCAGGTCCTTGGAACCGCCTTGCCACCAGGTCGGCAGCAGCGTCGGGCTGCAGGGATCGAACGAGTTCGGTAGCAAATGCGCGCACATTCAGCACGCGTGGGACTAGACGGGGCACAAAGCGATAGCTGTGAAACCGGTGGCTCACATGATAGCGACCCGATTTGTCATCTTGGCGAGCAAGAGTTGGCGCGCGATGCTGATCATTTGATTTGCTACGAGAGGGAATGGGAACCAGGAAAGGGGCGTCAGTCGCGAAAACGTACAAAGTGGATGGGTCGAACTGACCATGGCCTCCGTATGCGATGCTGGTGATGTATCGAACACCCTTCTTCAGCTGCATTTCCAGAGTGGGCTGGGGCGTGTCGTGGTTGAAGATCTGAAAGTAATTCGACCCCAGTCAGTGCCCCGGGACGTGCGAACTCAGTGACGCAGAATACCCTCTTTAATTTGCACCTTTTTCATGTTGAGCTTCTGGATGTCGGCAGCGGCCTCTGGCCGAGTTGCGGGTGTGGCCGCCGTAGGCCCGTGCACATGTCCGAACGAACTCAAAAGCTTCTTGTTGGCTTTGTTGAACTTTTCTTGTGCTGACAGCCAGGTTTTGGACCCCCAACCGGTCACCTCGTGCTTCCACCGACCCGGCGCATCGGACCATCGGTCGGTCCCTGTGGCCGAGGCGTCGCCGAGAGTCGACGCTGCCCCCGAGGTGGAACCGCGCGAGGACTGCGATTCGGCCGTCGCCAACTCGCCGGATGTGTCCTTGAGAATGACCATGACGACGAAAAATACGAAAAAGATAGCCATGAGAATAGCCGAAAGGATGCGGCGATTGACATACGACGTGGGCGAAGTGGCCCCTCTCCGTAGTTTCGGCGCCCGGTCCCCTTTGCTCCACGCCAGCGGCCACGACGACGGCGCGGCGCTCCGGCGTCGCTTGATGCCATGGATGTCACGTTCGAGCCCTTGCAGTGGCATGGAGGCCTCCCATTCGGCCTTGTCGACGTAGCTTGTCTCGATGGGGATATGGGTCGAGTGGCTTTCGCGCCTCGCGGAAGCAGTGATGACCTCGTCCTCGTAGAAGTGATCCGGGTTGGGCGAGCCCTGATACGTGATTGCGGACTGGATGCCAATGGAAGTGGCGCCCTTGTTGAATAGTGCCTGCATCATGTTATGCGTTCCAGAGACGGTATCTTCTGAGCTGTAGTCGACGCGATCCGAGCGGCGAAGGGGCTTGTGGTGAACACTCAGTCCTTGTGTGGGAACTGAGTGATCCGCGGACAAGGCGAGAGCGGAGCCCGAGACGACCTGAGACAGCTGACGTCGAGTCGGGAAGATGAACCAACCTTGGCCGGGGTTGTGCGTATAGATGGTCGCACTGCGACAGCGGCAGGTGAGAAGGGTGGGGGGCACGGGAGTGCGAGAGTGGGAAGACACAGAGGGACGTGATGGCCGAAGCAGAGGTGATGTGTTTGGCTTTGTCAAAAGTACAAGGGAGGACGGTCCCGAAGCCGGGGGATCCGAGGTGCGACTACGCCAAGGAGGGCAAGTTTCAGCCGTCAGCTTGGGGCTTGTCCCTGGGCTCGTGCGCGCGCCTCACTACTTACTTGGGCGTTCACGCGCTCACGCGCCAAAATCCAAAATGACACTCATGATGAATTGAGCTTGTTGTATGTGGGCACTTTCCGTCAGAATCCAACGCATCCGTGTTGAAAATTAGGTGGCCAACATTCCGAGTCCCAAATTACCTGTCGAAGGAACCCAACGAACCAATATAGGCAGAGACTTGCGTGCACATGTGACGGCGAACTTTTACTCGTCAATAATTCCAGCAGTGCTTCCCAACCCGGAGGCCCGGGACTCGCTTGATCATAAAGATCATCCGAGCTGTGAGTACTGAGTTGTTGAATTTCATTGACCCAAGCCAGGACACCTGTAGAGGTGGAGGCACCTGCCGTGAAAATTCAAACGCCGGGCTTGACGTCGACCCGGTCGAGGCCTAGCCGTTCAACCAACCGGACGAGCTCCGCGGAGATACAAGCTGGTATTTGAGAACATACAGTAACTCAACGTTCCACCGCAATGTTATGACTCCGAGTCTTTTAGCAGACGGGCAGAAATTTGAAGGTGGATTGGCAACATTTGCCTGGTCCCCGTGCGCACCTGGCAAGGAATGCAGGCGCAGGCGCCGTCGGTACAGGTTGCACATCTGGACGACGGTGCGGTGCTGGGCTTGGCCGGACGTCATGAACCGCGACGTCAGCTCCCTGCCGCCCAGACTGCAGAAAAACATGTCGCACATATGTGCTCGATTGCTCGCTGCAATTGAGCCGTTGGCGAGTCCTTTCATTACCCAAGCAAGCGCAGTTGTACCCTACCGATTTGTTTCCTGGTTTTCTCATTTCCCAGACAAGCAAGTCTGACATGCAACTGTGACCCCCCTAATTGGCACAGAAACCATCGACCGGCGGACGGCGATATATAGCCTCCCATCGCCCGCGCCCCTCGCCCCTCGGCGAAAGGGCGTGGACAGATGAGTCTCGCTTTCCTCATCGGCTTCTCGCGATTCTTCGCGCGGTCTTAGATGGCTGTATGCATGCTCGCCCGCTGTTCTGTAGCCCGTTGGTATTTGTTTCCTGACTTTGCCTTCCTCTTCTAGACTCATGCATCCGTTCGTCGTTCAGGGCTCCTACTTTTCGAGAGGGCACGTCCCCTTCGGCGGCAGTCACCGTCGGCCCGAAACCCTTCAGTGCACGCCCCCGCGAGTCCCCTGTCCCGTCTCGAACGCAGATAATTTTCTCAGCGGCTCCCGGGCTTGTTTGTTCCGTTCCCGATTGTCCTGCGCCTGATGTCTTTTCCCTTCTGTGCGCACGGCTTTGAGCCGATACTATTCCTGCCAAAGTTGCCGGGCCGGCTGCCAGCTGCATGCTGCATGCTGCATGCTGCACGTGCCAGAGCATCACACTTTCCCCCCCCGGATAGGTGGATCGACCGCCAACTGAAACTCTGGCAATTACAATCCCAGAAACACTTTTGCTTAGTTGCTGTGTAGCGTCCTTTGATTTGGCACATGTTGCACTTTGGGGTGAGAAGCTCCCGCTAAGTCGGGAGGCGAAATGAACGATGTCTGAAACGATCGCTCGAGCTGAGACTGCTCGACATCTGAAACCTGCCAATTGTTAGCAACCCCGCGACTCGGCGAACCGGCGAGCGGCCTCGACGCCGTCGATTGCCTCTGGGCCACGACAAGTGCGCAGTTGACTTCGTTCAAGAACGGGTGTTCACTCCGTTCAAGACATTCTTGACCAAAAGTTGACTCTGCTTGGGCTCGGGCCACCAGCCGGTGTCGCCGGCGGCAACGCAAAGTCAAATCGACACATGAGCACGAGCACGTGACTTGTCGGCAATTGGTGGGGAGCATGCTCGGACTCGCTGCTTGTCGTCACGGCTCAGGTACTCCTATTTAGGCCTGTCACTCCGTTCCTGAAGAGACCTGTCATTTCATACGCCTTGCTGTGATAAGTCTCGAATCACCATCTCTTCATCCTCGTCGCCCTCGTCCACAGCCTCGACTAATTCTTCTTGCCCCGATCCAGCGCCGAGCCCTTCCTCGCCGGGAACTGCAAAGCATAGTTCCATCTCGTCGGCTTCCTCCGGTGACACGTCCTCCATGATCTCTTGAGCAAGGACTGTAAAGAGGTCTAAACATCTTTAAGTCACTGCTAGAGCAAAGCCCCGGGGTTTGTTCAAACGTGCTTACAGCTCAGCCGGATCAGCTCGTCCCCCTCCGGTGTTTCCTCGGCCCACTCGGGCAAGTTCCCAAATGCCAACGTCCCGAAAGCGACGTTGAAGCGATCATGCAATCCCGAGTAGGCCGATTCGCTGAACCATTCGCCAATCTTGATCGTCGACCCAAGGGCGCACGTCAAATAGTGGAAGATGTGCACCGTCGCCGAAAGCCGAGCGGCGATCCTGCAGAGACGGAACCCCCTCGAAACGATCGTTAGCGAGCGAGACCTTCTCCCCTCTTTACTCTGTTGGGCGGTCATGGTCTCACCTCTTGAGTCGAGCGCGGGTCGTATCGCTCAGATCACTTCCGTCGTGGTCCCACAAGGTACGCGTGTCCTTGAACAGTTTATCGAGCAGCTCGGGGATCAACGACGCCGAAGTCGAAATGATGACGAGCACGTCGTCGTGCCGGGTCAACAGCGTCGAGAGGAGAGACAAAACGACCATGTGAAGCTTGTAGGCCGGTTGTAAGGGGTCGCGTGTGCCGTTGAGTTGCAGTAGCGCGCCGAATCGGTCTAGAATCGGCACCTGGGTCGAACGAGGATCCGGCGTCGTCTCCTCGAACTTGACGTCGAGGATCTTCCGGAACAAGGAGGGCCGGCACGCGAGGAGAGCGAGCGCCCGGGTCGTGCTCAGGAGCAAGGCCGGGGGGTGATGAGGGTCGAGCAGGATGTTAATCGCGTTCGGGGACTTGAGCAAGTCGATGAATCTGGTGATAAAAGATAGTCCGAACGACGGAAGTGTCAATCTTTGTCATCACACGCGGGGGCCCGCGACTACTCAAAGGGGGTACAAAGTCATTTCCCGTTGCTCACCTTTCTTCTCCCGCTTCCGACGCCCTCCAAGCGAGGGCCTCGACAAAGTCGGCGATGGCAAAGAGCAGCGCGTTGCGTCGGGTGGCGTCAAGTTCGACGCGGTCGTCATCCTGCAGGGTTGCGAGGGCGTTCGAGGTTCCGTTCGCCCGCATCGCGATTCCTCGTACGCGCTTTGACCTCTCTTTGGCCCTCGAGCGAGATGAGTGCGAGTCGGTGGTGCCGCGGGACGGTGGCAGAGGTCGTCCGTACCGACGCAGAAAGGACCCAACTTTGGACAGCAGGTCCGAAGCGGCGTCGTCCCCGACGTGGCGTGAGCGAGCTCCCGGGGTGTGGGCCTCCCGGAGGTAGCTGTTGGCAAATTGTTGGAACAGGAGCACGAGATGACCGATGAGGGACAGGAGGTTGATCAACGGGCCAACGAGTCCCGCCCGATCGAGCAGATCGAGGAGGCCGTCAAACACGGCGACAATGCCGTCGGCGAGTTGTTGGGTCGCATCCTCGGACGGGTCGACCAATGGGTCCGCCCGTCGCCCCAAGAGGCCAAACAGTTCCCGACATCGGTCGTCGTAGGCCAGCGATAGGCTCGGGTCGAGGGTGGAAGGGAAGCGGATGATGGTTATCTCGTGCAGCGTCGGTACCGGGTTCGTCGGGGCGACGACGCGGTCGGGGGTCGCACCTATGGACGCGGCCGCCGTGCTGCGGCGCAGTGTCGAGCCGTGGGATGTGGCCATAGGCCCTCTGGCGGACAGTGTCGAGGTGGAGAAGCGCTGCGTCGCCGTCGAGCCTGGAGGAGCCATCGCCGATTCCTGATCAAAGCGGTCGTACGTGACGTGGTTGAATAGCGCCGAGATGATCTGTGGGGCGGAGTGCACGTGTTGGCGACGGGGCACTGGGTATGAGCAGGAGCAGGAGCAGGAGCACGGAAACGACGGGGGCCAAGAGGCTACGTACCTCTGATCTCCAATCTCGTTCATCGTTCGTAACCAAGGGGTCTTCGTCCAACTGCGGTTCGGCCGCCTCCAATTCTTCGGCTTCGGCCTCGAACCGGCTCTCGAACCGGCTGTCCTCCCCGTCCAGCGCCATGCTGTCGTCCTCGTCCTCGACCAACATGCGACTCTTGCCCTTGTCACTTCTTCCTCGCGCGGGACTCGACATGAGCGGGAAGCGACCAAAATCGAACCGGGCCGAGCGGTCCGTCGAAGGCGGTACGAGTGGCGCGGGGGAGCCCTCGAACGAGTTGTGGAAGCCGCTGAATTGCTTTCGCGGAGTCGGCGCTGGCTTGGGTGCGTGTGGACCTGGTATCATATATTCGGGACCCGGAGTAATCAACGAGCGTGATTCTTGTTCGAGTCCAGAAAGGTGGCACAGACTAACCTCCTCGACTTCGATTGAGCGAAGGGCTAGAGGCGAAGGGCAAAGGTGGCGGCGGCATCGACCCTCGTCTTTGCGACGCCCCAGGTCTCTGCGAGGAACCCATCCGTCTCGACGTCTCTTGTTCTTGCCTCTGCAATAGAACGGATGTCAGCGTTGTGCGTTCTCCAAAGACGGCGATGAATGAAAACAGGGCAGTACAAAGCTCTTACCGAAAAGGCTTGCTCGACGCGTAGCCGCTCGATCATGGCCCGGTGCTCCTTTTCCTTGGCCTCCATCTTTTCATTCATCGAGGTCCGGAGCTGCTTTTCTTGCAAGGCCACCGCCGCATGAGCACTTTCGGCCTAGGGAAGGCGATGAATAATCAGCGTCAGTACTTGCTCCGATCGCCTCCCAGTAACGTGGTGGATTTTAGGTCGGCCGGCTTGCTTACTCGTTGCAATCGCGCCCGTACCACCGAGATCTCGCCTAGTCTCGACTGTACGGCGAACTTGGCCTGGTCGATTTCCGCCTGCTTCTGGCGCAGGGTGTTTTGGAGCTGTGACGAATCGAACGCACCCGTACAGCAGCACGTGCACCGTTCCAAGTTGATCAGTGTTGGCCCATTGAAACCCAGCTATATCCCGTCCTTCTCCAAACTCACTTCGAGCTTGTCCTTCCTCAGCTGGGCCAATTCGGCCATTTCTTCCGGCGAGAGCGTCGTCGTCTGCACCTCTTGCATCGGCGATGTTCGAGAGTCATTTAGTAAGACCTTGTTGGATGACCTTGCCGGACCTGCTGCTGGTGCTGGTGCGGCTACCCTGTTGGCCGTGGACTCTGACGAGATATAATTTGGGGGCATCGAGCTCGTCTGGCCCCATTTTTGCAGAGCACTGAGGTCGAGGTTTGCACTCGGACCAGAGCCCTGACTCGGACCAGGATCAAGGTTCAGTGGTGCTGGAGGGGGATGGGGTACGACAGAATAGCCTCCGTCCCCTCTGACTTGTATGGTCGGCATGTCGTCATCGTCGTCGGCGACAGCGGCCTCGGCCTCGGCTTCGGGTCGACCTCTTGGCTTGGACGTCGACGAGATCGAGGCCGAGGTCGAGGGGTTGACGAAAGGGTTCGGATGAGCCCACTGTTTCTGCTTGCCGTTCAGCACCGTCGTTTGATGGTTGCCATTCGTGGTCGCCGACGTTGTGGCCTGGCCATCATTCGCCGTTGACAAGCGACGGTTGGACGGCGCCGAATTGACGACGCCAGCCTTGAAGCGTTTCCTTTCGGGCTCGCCATCGGGTGCCCTCTTCTTGACGAGCAGCGAGTCTGGTCTGCGCAGTATTGTCGATGGTCCTGGACCGATTTGCATCGACTGGGCCTGGGTAGCGAGCGAGGCCTTGGGTCGGGCGGTGATGCGAGCCGACGACGACGGCATCGTGAGCGCGGCGTCGGTCGGGAAGAGGAACAACGAGTCGTCGCCATCGTCGAGCAACGAATCGTAGTCGAACGAGGTCTCGGCCATGACCAGATCCGATGTGCTCGTACAGTGATGAAGGGCGTGTGCCCGAGTGGGGGTGGTGCGACCGTCCAAGTCCCAGTTCAGTCGCGTCGAATAGCAGCTGAGCGCGTTGCCAAGTCGAGTTGAACGAGTCCCAAATCAGTCCCGACCTGATAGTGGGACACGTGCGGGTGGCGTTCACGTGGCGCCGTGGCTTGAGGGGATATCCCCGCTTCCACCACCACTGCCGAAGGCTGAACAGGTATGCTTTCAGCACCAGCTGGGTAGGTGAAGAGGCCGAGAGCCGACGGCGCGGCATTGTGGAGGTGGGGGTTGGCCAACTTTTGCCAATTCGTGGCAACCACGCGGATGATACCGGACATCATCCAATCATTGATTTTATACGACTAGATTTCCTGATACTGAAAATTGTAAAGCACTATTGGATCCCACACGTTCGCGTTGATCGAACTCGCTATCTTGCCCACTCCTGGCAGGTGGGGCGGCGGGCGAAGGCGAGTTTTCACATTACCCAAGAGCTCTGCATAAAAATGTCTCAAGATGGTCCCTCTTGATTAGATTGTGCCCCATAGGTAGTACCCTGAGCGGCGAGTCGGATCTTGACCGCCCCCACTTTGACTCGTTCGCCTGCCGCCAAGATTCTCAGCACCTAGAGTAACCCGGGGTAGGACAGACCCTCGGGTGATGTGAGCACTTCAGACAGCTGCTTACATACTTCGAGCAACTTCTCCGACTAACCTGATCGACCTCGACGAACCAACTGAGCCCCTTCACTTTGATCAAATGGGTGCCCAACTGTGCCGCGTGAGCGGTTTTGGTTTTGGGGATTGCAGGGCGGTATTTGAATGACCCGGGGAAAGGAAGAGGTGTCGATAGCAAGTGTAGATGCAGATGATTGACCTGTACTTCCCCAACAGAGCGGGGGGTTCTATCAGTACGCCGTGGCCCCGTCGAGGGACAAAAGTTCGGCGAGACCTCACCGAGAAGAATCTATCCTTCGTTGGGAAAGCGAAGCCAAGATCAGCGCCTATCTGCAATCTCAAATAACTCTTCTCCAATGAACTTGACGTACGGTGGTATATGGAAGCCGAGCCTATCAACACTCTCGTTGATCAGTCTCTGTGTCTGGGCCAACGGCTGAGCTGCACATGCGAACCCGAACGAACCTCCGCTGATGGGGTGCCACGCCGGCTTGTTGCAGCGCTACGTGCCCGACCGCCTTTATCCGTTCCACTGTGGTAGAGTTCTTCAAGGCCGTCAGGGTGCGCTGATACAGTCGCACTGGGTGTCGCGACGGCCTACTAGGCAGACGAACCAAAGTCCAGGTCCTCCCTCAAAAGCATCTTGACATTGTCTAAGAGAAAAGTCGGCATTAGGATCTTAAAGATCTGGGCTCCGTATGCAACGTCAAAACTCACCGACATGTGACTTGGGTATCGCGAGCAGATGCACCTTGCTGCCCGGTGATCGATCTCTGAACACGACAAACTCGTTGTCCTGCAATCGCGTCGCATTCACGTGTCAGCGCATGCAAATGGGCAAACCAGTTCATGATACAGCTAGGACTGACCTCGTACACTACTTTGAAGGCAGAGTTGCTCTTCGTCACGCCACAAAAGATGCAATCCTTTACGGTGTTTGGTGCCGATGACGTTGCTGGGTCGCCGCAAGCGAGCGTCGGTGTACCAACTCGCGTCGGCGGCGCAGTCGGATGGTCCTCGATCCTCAGAACCGATGTAGACGTGAACAAGGACCCAAGGCAGGCGATGACGGAGGCCAGGGCAGCGGTGATAGGTGAGGGGAGATCGGGGTGGGGGAACAACACGTCACGTGAGCCGGACGCGAAGCGAGTTCAGAAGAGAGGCTTGCAGCTGCTCTGGGGAAGAGGTGACAAATGCTCGATATATGGTAGATGATTTGGTGGTCCAGCGGATCTAGCGTTTGCCAGATTCTGTCATTGAACAAGACTAGCTGGGACTATGAGTTAAACTTAAACTTGCACACACGTGTGGGAGCCTGCTCGGGGGGCAAACGTGTCCCGGGTCCGGCCTGGTCCGGCCGACAACTGACAGGCAACGTCGGAGGGGATGACGATGACTACACGCGAGAGACGAGGGAGAGAGCGAGAGAGCGCGCGAAAGCGCGAAGGAGCGAAGGGGGTGTCGACCGAGGCGGCGGCAGTCGACCGAGAGGCAACCGCGGAGGATACGCGGCTGCAAGGCTCGCAGCAAGTCCAGTGTACCGAACTATGGTAGCCAACGAGGTCGGACAGAAGAGGGAGGGCAAACGATCCAAGAAATAGCTGACCAGGCCGGTGGGAAGGTCGAGTCGGCTGGGCGGCGGAAGTCGACCGAGAGGCAACCGCGGAGGATACGCGGCTGCAAGGCTCGCAGCAAGTCCAGTGTACCGGACTATGGTGGCCAACGAGGTCGGACAAAAGAGGAAGGGCAAACGATCCAAGAAATAGCTGACCAGGCCGATGGGAAGGTCGAGTCGGCTGGGCGGCGGCAGTCGACCGAGAGCAACCGAGGAGTGGATTCGGTCGGAAGGCTTCGCAGCAAATCAAGTGTAACGGACTTAATTGCCAGCGAAATGGGTAAAAAGAGGGAGGGTACGAGTCATGATAATGAGTGGACCAAGCTCTAGGGGAAGGGTGGCAAAAGCAAAAGGAGGGAAGTGCTCCGAGCGAAGGAAAGACTGAATCAAATAACTACACCACGAGGTCGCTTCAGGGGTAAAAAGGATTGCCTGCAAGGCACCGGTAAAAACCCCGAAGCCGGGCCTCGGATAACAAAAAGGAAAAGAAACCAAAAGGCAGATCACGCTCCGGGCGGATCGAACCCTCGACCACTGAGTGCGCGCCCGCGCGCCCTCACGACTACACCATCGCGCCGACAATGCTTGCAACGAACAAACCGGTAGCTGATGTCGACTCCGGCCGCAAACTTGGGAGACTTCCTTCGAGTATTGATGGCAGTGCAGGCTGTGCTCCTGACACTATCCCCCCCAGAAGGAAGTCTACCGTGCGGCGAGGCGGTGACGGTGCGGAATGAGTTGGGCGGCGGGCGGACTTAGGCGGTTTCGCGCGGCCGGGTCGGTCGGAGTTGGCCGTGCTCGGCCGGGGTCGGATTGGCGGAAGGGGACGGCGGGCCGTCTTCGGCAGCGGCGCAGGACGTGTCGCGCTCGGTGGCCATGGCGATCGCTCAACACGACAGTCGATGATTCCAGGACGAACGAGGCGGGCACGAGGCGACCATGCAATAAGGCGGCGGCGGTGCGAAACGAGTGTGGTGGCAGGCGGACTTGGGCGGGTTCGCGCGGCCGGGGTCGCGGTTGCGAAGAGGCGCGGCGCGCTGGCTGCGGCAGCGGCGCGCGACGTGTCAACAACAGTCTACGACAAAACTATGGACAAAAAAAAAAGACGAGCGCGCCAATTTTAGTACTTCTGCCAGCTCTGGACAAAAAGAACCAAAAAATTCCCCGGATTGGTCAGCGCCAGCCGAGGCAGTGAGACCTTCGAGTGCAGCTGTTGGGCTCACACATCAGCAAAATGGGCACTCGGCGCGCACCGCTTAAAGAGGCTTAAGCCCCGCTTAAGGACGCTTAAGACGCTTAACAAGACGTCCTTAAGCCCCGTAACAAGACGTCCTTAAGCCCCGCGTCTTGTTAGGCGTCCTTAAGCGGGGCTTAAGCGCCTTTAAGCGGTGCGCGCCGAGTGCCCATTTTGCTGATGCAGCGCCCACACGCTGATTCACCCAGTCTTCAAAGGAGGTCGAGAGAACATCCGATGTTCAATAGAAACGTGTGCCATAATCAAGACGTTGACGATGATGATGAATGACGATGACGGCGAATGGTGATGGAGTCCGCGGCTCGGCTCCGATCCGCGATCCGGGCCGGCTTAGCACCAAGTGGGGGTGGGGGCTGAAAGGATCGAGAGTGAAGCGTCGGCGGGCTTGCTTGAAGCAATTGGGGCAGGCTGGGTAACCCATCGAATGGGTTCAGACGTTCGAAGATGTAGTTGATATGATGTTGGGATTTGATTGATGATCTTTTGGTTCGATGACTCGGGTGCCATGCCATGTCCAGCCACCAGCGGTATGACTTTCATGGACTAGTAGTGACTGGGAGACCTCCCCAAAATGGCGATCACTCATCCTGAAAGCGACTTGACGCGGGCTACAGCTGCCATAAAGCCCAATGACCTTCTTTAATGCATCTCCTGCAACGTTTCCGGTGATTTCCAGTCCTCAATACAGCTAGACTATGGAATCCATCAGATAACGGAAGAACCTGCGCGCATCTATAGGCGCGCTGTGGAAGGCCGGCGGCGCGCGTGAGGCGAAGCGAGTCACCGATTGCCCCCAGGTGAGTGCCATCGACAGCAATACGATCCGGAGTTCATGTTAAACTTTCACTATGTTTGTTACCTAACCAAAATGAAGTAGTGCCGCTGGGGCCGCCCGCGGCGCGGGAGTCGATCGTGGCCAAAGACATAAGTAGCGGACGGCGATCGCTGCGAGATCCCTCCTGATCCGTGGCACTGGCAGTAGCCTCATGGGAGTTATGGGTGATCCGGAATTCCCGCTACCGCCGGGCAGAAGCATGACACGCTCGTGGTGAAGTCTTGAGAGCGAACCCTTGTACGTCAGTTCCCTACTTTAGAAACTTCTCTGCAGTGCGGGAACTGCGAAGAGCCGTCGCGAGGTCCAGAGCTTGCAGCTCCCTGGCTCCCAATACCGTTCGCGCGCACGATTTGCCTGGTGCGGAAGGTCGAGCCGGATCCGATCGCCCATGGCGCTGGCTCCTCGCCCTCGCATGTAGATCCAAGCCAGCGTTGTAAGGCGCCCCCCCTTGAGATCAGGCCTTCGACCCCGTGGCCGACGTCAAGACTGACGCAGGCGCACAGGCCTCGACCTAGCTTAATTGGGAAGCCCTTCCCCATTTCTCTTTCTCTCTCTTTCTCTCTCTTGGTAGTTTTACTTCGAACTGAAACCCAGAACGAGGCTTAACAAGTATCCCTATCTCGCCTATTACTCCATCGAAGTCGATCTACGAACCCTCGCGACCTTCTGTAGGGCAACAACCCTTACAAGCGTCCAGGGGGTTCACGGCTTACTCGCCAGCGCTCTTTGCGGATCAAGTAGTCCAAGCATTTGGTTTGGATCCAAAATCGGGGTGCTGCACTCGCACCGACTTTGGGGTGGGAAGAGCCCTCCCGAGAGCCGCCGACGCTAGTGGAGGTCTTGCTTGCCTTTGCCGCACCCGCATGCCGGCAGCTCTCAGGATCTCAGGGCCGAGCGAGCGAAGTTTCATCACTAAAGGGCCTTCCTCCCTTCCTCCCCTTCTTCGTTGACCATCCCGTCAAAAGTGTATGAGTGATACCCATCCTCTGCAACAATTCTACCAACATGGCCTCGCCACGATATCTCGCGCCCGCTCTACGTTATGGCGCAGTCGACCACTCGCCTCGCGTTCACGCGGCGCCCCTTTCACACGTCGTGGTGGCAGCGGCAGCGGGCTCGGCGGCGGCCTGCGCGCGAGCATCCCCCGAGGGGTACGACTCGGGTCGCTCTTCGCGTTCAGCCTCATCCTGCGCGCCTTCGCCCGAGGGCTCCGCCGCGTCTGGTGAGAGCACGCCTACAAGTGACGTCGATCGACGCTCTTCGGCTTCTTCGACCTCCTCGTCCTCGTCGACCGCATCGAAATCGTCGTGGAACTCGGGCCGCTCGTCCGGTTCGCGTGGCTCCTTCGCCAGCAACCCGCTCGCGGCGCAGTTCTCGCGCGAGTCCCTGTCGGGCTATTCGGGCCTCGACCTGACGCTTGACATGGACGAAGAGGACGGGAGCAAGACGGAAAAGTCGCCGATGAGTTCGCGGTCTCGCTACCTCCCACCGCGCTCGCTGGCCCACTCGGCGAAACCGTCCTGGCTCGAGAGGTTTCTCCGTCGCCTCAACTTGCACGCGGCGACCGCTGGGGGCTTGGGTAAAATAATCACCTTGCTTGTGTTCATGTTCATCGTCCTCATCGTCCTATGTACCAACTCGCTGGGCGCGAGCGAGCAACAGTACCACGCCCCTAAGCCCGTGCGACCTTCGTCTGTCGAGTCCCTTCCGCAGGGTCACTACCGACGCGCGCAGCTTGTAGGCCCCCACCCAACGAGCTCTTTTGACGACTCCGAACACAACCTCCACCCCGAGGATGAGTTAAGTGCGGCTGCTCTGTCCTCCGGGTCCAAGGGTGTCTCGGCCAAGGGGCAACCGCAGTATGGCGGCGACGTGCTCTACCTCAACACCAAGCCCAACCCGCCGCCCCACGAAGTCGAGACCAACTACCTGGCCAGCGACAAAGTTCCGCTCCGATTCGCAAGTGACGCGGCCGACCACGAGACGCAGGAACACCTCTTGAACGTCAAGCTCGGACGACGCGGCGGTCAGATCCCTCTCGGTGGCGGCCGATAGGCGCAGCAGGATTTCCGGGGGTTCGACGACGTGCAGGTGCGTCGCGCTCCGACTTTATTGCACTCCCTTTTAGCTATGGGCAGATTTTTTTTCGTAACGAGACAGTTCTCGGGTGTAAGCCCACTTGTTGCAATTTCATGCATGTACACCTTACACAGTATGGTGATTCCGGCGCTAGGCGAGCAAAAATTATGGTGCGGCGGATATCTTGCCTCCGTCCGTGCGGACGGGCGGTGGATTCAGGCGGCGGGCCTCGGGAGACGAGCCACGCCCGCCCACGTCCGTCGCACATGACCTTCCTCGAGTCTCTCTCTCTTTCTAGTGGAAGTCTCGATACTTCTTCATATTCTGACACCCTTTCGCCAAGCAACCGACCTGCTCCATCACCATGCGCGTGTGCTGCCGGGAACTCGTCGTCTTGGGAATCGCGGCCCAAACTGTCGTAGGCGAGTGCCTTCGGGTCGCAATTGAGCAAGTGAGGTTCTGGCTAAAACGAGTCCTCTCTAGCTGCCGACAATTACTCCCTCAAGAACCTGCCAAAGACGAGCCAGAAAGGGCAGACAGGGTAAGGAAATGATGACCCTGTGCAGTGGTCGCCGCCTCCTTTGAGTCTCCATTACTCACCGTACGGGCGCGGGAAATCTGTGCGCGACCCGACAGAACCAATCGATGCGGTACATTGAGCTCGCAGACGTCAATGTGCCAAAATGTATTCGTCAACTCTTTGGATGATTTCTGCTTTTTTGCACCTCCGAAAGCGGGCTCGACGATTGGTGACACGGAAGCAAAAGTGGTGAGCAGGTTTCAGTTGCTCAGGCTGAGCGACTGTACGGAAGTTAAATAGGGATCCTGTACTCTTCGTATGTCAGGTCTCTTTCTGCCTGAAGACTGGCTACGGAACTCGAACGGTTTCTGCGGACATTTTTAAAGGGGCTCGTGGGTCGAGCTCCACACGCAGCACTGCAACCGCTACTACCGGAATGCCACTCACTCGTCGCATCACTTCGTTGCACAGACTACTTGGTCACCCCTCATTACACCCAGATCACGGCGATTGGCGACTTTACCCGAGTGAACGTCAAGCGCGCAGACGAGGTGAGCCCGACCTGCGCAGCCGATCAAGAATTCCCTAAGGCTGATCAAATGTGTGCTCACCTCTCAGGGCGGCGAGCTCGACCCGCACGGAGCTACAGGTAAGGACTCGAGCTTGGTTGAGAATTCATGAAAGAAACTGTCTACTGACACGTATTGCCCACCTCTGCAGGTGTAGGAAATCCTATCGGCGGTCTCGTGTACGCAAACGGACAACAAGGTGGGGCATCGTCTGCCGCTCCAACGTTCGATTCGGAGGCTACAGTGACTGACCTCGATAGTATTTTACGCTCTCGAAGTATTTGAATGGCACCAATTCATTTCCGACACTGAGCTCAGCCTCCGAGTATGCACCTCCGACGATGCCAAAGCGAACCAGAAATGGTGCCCCCACATATGTGAGCCGGTCGTGGCATACCCCTCGGCCCATAAGATCTCAGCAAGAGTTATACCGCTGAATCCGTCTATCCTATCCTTATCTGGGTGCAGATGACGAGATGGGTAGTCGATGGAATGATCCCGGATCGTTTGCTCCCGGCTTCACCTCGTGCGAAGGGGACGGATCCCCTCTGCCGTCGGGCATCTACTCTCAGGGCGCTACCAAAAAGACATTCCATCAAGGCGACCATTACAAACCCCTTGCTCCATCTCCTGGAACCTTCAGGAACTGCGAAACGTTCTCGAGCCTCCAAGCAATGGCCGCCAAGAAGGCCGGCAGGCGCTCGTCGCGCGCGGGGGGGGGGGGAGGGGGGGTCGTTCGGTCTACTGAGAGGGTCGTCTGATTAAGTGGTGGCGCCCACGAGAGTTGTACGACATATAGTTGGTGTGCTGTGAATGAGGGTTAGCAAGAACGCGGCCATTTTCCATTTGACCAGAACCGTGCGCCGTTTGCCAGTTTAGCATTAAAGCCTGGCCGCCGGCAATGCGCACCGATTACAAGCACATGCCAGTACGAACAGTTAGCACTACGACTACTAACATGTGCAGTTAAATGACGGCTGCATTAGCATTACATACTCGTCAGTCTCTTATTCATCTTCATAGCAAGAAACCGGCGCGACATCGTTGGACCCCCCAAGTGACAGTGACCGAAGCAAAATGGCCACGCGCGCGAACCCGCTTTCAAGGATTCGCCCGAGATTACGCGCGCTTAACAGCGCTTAACGGTGCATAAGGACGCATACGCGCGCGGCTGAATTGGGCGAACCTCATAATCCGCGCATAGCCAGCGCTGCGATGACTTGCCCTGCTTAAGGATCGCTTAACGCGCGCTTAACGTTTGACCTCGCTTACACTTCGCATACGTAAGTGCGAAGCCTGTACTTGCACACAAGCGGCGGATTGCTTTCTTGACCCCAACAAGTTTCTGTGCTAAAATTCCATCAAAAAGCGCTTCACTTGATTTTATTCAAACCGCCGTCAGGAGATGCTTGGAGCGGCGACACGACGATGCGCATCATTGGTAATTTCGGCATTGGTGCGAGTAAGTGCATTCCCTCCGGCTGGGGTCGTCATACCGCAGTAGAGGCGGAAGACTGATTGACCGTGCGTGGGTACGGTCGAGAGTAGGCCCCGGGGCGGACAGGGTACTACAGGTGGTGTAGGGCATTTATGGGCGTCTCTGCCGGCTTTATCATGCTCTACCAGCTTCAAAAAGTATGCATACGGCAAGGGAAGACGATACATGCAGATTAGCGGAAGCTGTAGCAATTTCATTTTTTTCGGGGCGTACCGCACATTTGTTGGCGGAGAGTACGCCCCAAACGGCCTTCGCTCCGCCTAATGGGGCGTACTTGGTCCGAGACCGGTACGCCCGGGGCCTACGTGAATTGGCACACGTACGCCCCAAAACTTTAGATCGCATTTGTGGCTGCTACAGCGCATTGTATATACTCTGACAGTCACCAGTTCGGTCTAGAGGCACGGCTGCACAACCCCCTAGCAGATGAAGACATACAAGTCGATGGTCATAAAGTCGGAGCTGTGACCACCGCGCAACGACTCCCGAGTCCAAGCCAGTGTCATCGCAAAAGACGAGGTCTGAGCCTCGAGCGTCCGGCGTCCAGCGTACGGTGCTTCCGTTGTGCATGATGGTGAAGCACATGGGGACTTGAGTGAACGAAAGCAACGTTCTCTGTCCCCCTGCACAACATCGGCACGTACTGACATCCATGACAGAACCTATGCCTCCGAAATCGTGCGACAGGACGGACTGCAAATTCATATCCGCACCTTGCGAAAGCTTGAGAGGTGCGCAGTGCAGGAGTGCCTCCAGGTCGAGAACGGAAGAACTCGTTGGCATCTCAGGCGAGGACGCCCTTGCGCATGCACAATACGTAATTGTGTGATACGTTGAACAACCCACTTGCTTAGAGATACGTCCAAAACCCAGTCACTCTCGGCCATTCGGGTCGACTGTGGCGGCAATGTCGTCTTAGAAAGCTTGAAAAGTGATGAAGCAAGATATTGCCACCATTCCTGTGAAAGCCGACTCGGAGGTCAGCTTGCTTGCGTCTAAAAGTGCTGGAAGCTGGAGACTACGGACCACAGCGTTGGCGTATCCTGTAGTTTTATGATCTCCATGACCAAGGGCGAGCAAGTTCGCTTTGATGAGCCGGCGCAATTCATTCCTTGGAGCGACGTCATTGACCTCCTCGATTGTAACTAGAGCGCCCAAATGGTCGATTTGGGTGGAACGGGCCATGGGTGGAATGAGCCATCACGTCAGTTCAGAAATGGCCCCTGACGATGGACAATGAACGGGCAGCCGCGACCATGGGAATGTCCGTTTGCTCACCGAGCTGTAGTCTACTCGTTGGCGAATCTGTGGCTCGTAAAGCTTTTTCTCCGATCCAGGAGACAGGTCCACTTCATTGATAGACTAGAAGCAGTACATAAAATTAGGGGTGGAAGTAACGACGGTGACTGACGCAGTACGCACCCTTCGCAGTCTGACGGGTGAACGTGAATGGGTCGCGTCAACGTCGTCGGAGAAGCCTCGCTGGGATGACCCCGCGGGCTCAACATCCTCAAACACGTCTTCGAGGCTCGATTTACAATGAGGTTTTGAGCTCGATTCATGTACGTGTGTTGGCTCCAGGGGGAAAGTAGCTGAGAATGCCGGTGGCGACGCAGCGGCACCGGGTAGTAGGTCGAGGACTTGAAGACGCGTCCGACGCGATTGAAGTCTTGCTTCTCGCTCAGATATCGGAGGTGGGGCATGAGCCTTTGGCGTCCATTTGCTTCGTCTTCCACGGGCCATCGTTGGTGGCCTGTGTGGTCGACTCAAAGGAAGCACCTTCTGTCGCGGGCCTGCAGATGGCCGCGTTTAGCACTGACGCCAAAGTGAGACCTAATTTGAAAGTGAGACCTAATTTGTCGGACAAATTAGTACTCTTAGTCAAGTCGCGACGGTTGACTTCAATCTGTCACGGCTAAGTAGGACTTTGCAGGGTTGACCGTACTCAATGCTGGAACTAGGTATCATCTTACCGCCTTGTTTTAAACCAGCACACATACACATATCAACGTTCGTACGTGAGGCCGGCCTCACTCGGGAGTCGTTGCGCGGTGGTCACAGCTCCGACTTTATGACCATCGACTTGTATGTCTTCATCTGCTAGGGGGTTGTGCAGCCGTGCCTCTAGACCGAACTGGTGACTGTCAGAGTGTATACAATGCGCTGTAGCAGCCACAAATGCGATCTAAAGTTTTGGGGCGTACGTGTGCCAATTCACGTAGGCCCCGGGCGTACCGGTCTCGGACCAAGTACGCCCCATTAGGCGGAGCGAAGGCCGTTTGGGGCGTACTCTCCGCCAACAAATGTGCGGTACGCCCCGAAAAAAATGAAATTGCTACAGCTTCCGCTAATCTGCATGTATCGTCTTCCCTTGCCGTATGCATACTTTTTGAAGCTGGTAGAGCATGATAAAGCCGGCAGAGACGCCCATAAATGCCCTACACCACCTGTAGTACCCTGTCCGCCCCGGGGCCTACTCTCGAGGTGACCGACCGTGCGTGGGTGATTCAAAAGTGCAAGCGATCCAGTCCTCTGACGACGAGCTGCTGGTGAGACAGGGCTGCCTTCGGTGCCGAGTCGAGACCCAGAATTCTGACACGGGGTCACTTTGACTTCTTTGATATACGGTATCACTATCTTTGACTGTTTCAGAGTGAGTCGTCGCTTCTACCATCGATCGCTAATACATCAGAGAGACTTCGCTGATTGGCTCGTCATCCCTGTCGAATGACCCCTATCTCGGCATCGGGAGAAAGTGTGAGTACCTCGGCATGGAGGCGCAGAATGTGCAAGCTAACAACCGGCGCTACTCAGTCTGGACAAGGCTCAAAATAACCCGCTTATGATCGATGGGCATAGTGCTTGGGGTAAGTTTATCCTTTAGGGCCCGAAGCTGGTCTGCGCTCGGATGATTGCTCAACTCTCCCCTTGCGCCCCGTAGGTCTCATCTACAAAAATAACTTTCCAGCAAAATCTAGGAGTCCGCCACTGGAGGCCGTCGAGCAGGCCGCAATGTGCCCTGCAATGCTTCACGTAATAGATTTATGGTGAAATGACGCCCAAGGTGACGAAAAACATGTTGATCCTGGGCGAGATTCACCACAAACTCCCCATTCCATTGATCCATCACATTCCGAAAATCCAGGTCGGGTGCCAATTCCGCATGGCCTAACAACGGCTGAACAAATGCGGGGCGAGCCATCGACGTCGCAGTCAGGCCAACCGTTTCTGAGGTTCTTCTGTCGTCTGCGGCGTCGGCGAAAGAACTCTCGGCGAGAGCGCTGTTGTCTAAGAACTTGGAGGTGACTTCTTTCAGCAGCCGATGACGTGGGTAGTACGCGGTCGAGCGGTCGGGGCCTTTCGTGAACGTGCAAATGTGCTTCGAGATTGCGCACATGGTGGAATGATCTCTGACAACCAGCAATGTTGCATCGGAATTGACTCATTTGCGAACGAGAGCCTTCATGTTCAAGCGACATCCCGAAGGCCTGTACGACGAGTCTACTGTCAGCGAGAGTGGACTGAAGCTGGAGGAAGGCAAGGGACGCGCGTAAACACAGCCTGAATGCAGGCGTATTTTCTCGAAATGCGCTAAGTTGTCCAAAACTACACCGCGCAGCTGGCGCGTTGCGGCGCGACGTGGCAGCATAGGGGCCACTGCATATGTTGGCGCACGCTAAACCGCGCCCTAAAAAAAAACACCGGACAACAAATGCGACGTGTCACGCGCGCTCGTTCTGTTTACCACCTTTTGACTCCCTCCTCACTCACTCACCGTCCCTTCCTCGCCTCTCGTCTTGTCTCGGTCGTATCCCTTCCACCCAGTGCCTGTCCAGCGATCTGTTCACATGTCTTCTCGACCTTCTCGAACGAGTGCCACCGCGTCTGTGCGCCTTGCTACAATGCGGGACCGCGACACGCCGGCGGACCGACGGGAGAGGGCGCAAGCCCAGCAAAAACGAAAGGCGGCGAACACGAAGGAACAAGCGACGGCGACTCGACGTCGCTGTCGGTGTGAGCCAAATCAACGCAGCGAAGAAGCAAGACGCTTTGCAACGCCACAAAGCCGAAAAGGAGCAGAAGGAGAAGTACGTGCAAGTGTGATCTCTTAACTCTACTGTATATTTTCTTGAATGTAGGTGAACTGAGGCCTCGCCCGTCCTTGTTTCCAGTGCACCCCCAGCAGCCCCTGCACACGCGTCCAGGCTTGCGGTGATACGCACCTCTTCTCTTCACACCGTTCATGCAGATACCACACGTCAGCTTTTCCGTGCACAGCAGGCTTCTGTTGAGCCATACAGTGACGAAGATAGCGGCGACGAGGACTCCTATATCGATCCTGCTATAAAGGACCTTGTGTTGGGTGGACAAGCCGAGGACCCCTGTGACTTTTCGGACAACGGTCAGGACGAGGCAGACTCGGACGAGGGCGAAGACTTAGTCGGACCCACGGTTGTGGATGGCGCCGATGGGGCCGCAACTGTCGCCATTGTCAACAAGGTAGCGAGCAGCATCATGGACGATGATGACGAAAGCGTCATTCCAGGCGTAGTGAGTAGCATTCAAGCAGGTTTCGGTACTTGCGTGCAGGCATTCAATGGGTCGTATCAACACTTGCAGACGCCCCAGCCCAAGGCTCAGGCTCTACAGTCCTCAATCGCCGGACAAGCTTTAAGACGCAATCCACCGCAAGGTAGGGTTGCCAGTCGTACACCAGGCTCGTCTTCGTCGTTTGCGAGATCGTCGCCCCTGGTCAAAAGGAACCTCGATGTCAATGCCCCTACGACGGGGCGCACAACCGCAAGCCAATAGATCAAGAGACTTTGGATTCAAAGCCCAACCACCGACAAGCATCCGACTTGACTCTAGATCAGAAGATGGTCGCTGGCGCCTGGTTTCAAACTATTTTCATGCAGAATATTCTCGACGGCCAATGCCTGTGGCGAACAAAGAGATCGCTTTACGCCCAGTCTCAGCCCGCACCTTCCCCGAGACTCTTACCGATCATCGGTACTCGAGCAATGCGCCGGTCTTCCACATCATTGGCACCGACGTCCTCGCCTAGCGTGTACGTGACTGTTCGTCACCTAACCCTTCTGAAGCCGCACTAATAAACTTTCTGAACTTTGTCAGTCTTTTGGGAATTTCAAGAAGACTTTGCACAAAAATCGCGCGGCCCGGATCAAGGCAGTTATCACCGAGGCGGAGGAGGCCCGAGTGCGCCATGCTGCCTGGGTCAAGTGGCGCGCCAACCAACTCAAGCTCGAGCCCGTCGACGTCATGGGAGTGTGGGGCAACGTGCTACCCGGCGAGGATTGCGAGGACCCCGTGCTTCAGGAGAGCATCCGCGAACTGGTGCCCGCAGATGTTGGCGATGCATGGAAAGCGCACAAGGGGTACTCGAAGCTTCCCCAGGGTCCGTTGACGCTTCTGGTGCAATGGAGGGCGGTCCTGCTGGGTGGATTCCGAAGGGAGTCGGACAAGGAGGGAGGGGGTAGCGTGGCCATGGTGACGGAGTGGCGCAGCCGCATTTTCGACTACGATCAGATCCTCGCCCACTTTCTGCGTCTCGGAATCGACATCGCCATTCAGAAGCAGTCGTCGCGCCTGGACGCTTGGACTGCTCGTAGAGCGGAAGGATCACCTCGGACACAAGGCGCGACGACTGCTTCTGAATGGCGATGTCGATTCCGAGACGCAGAAAGTGGGCGAGGATCTGATCGTAGTCGAAAATGCGGCTGCGCCACTCCGTCACCATGGCCACGCTACCCCCTCCCTCCTTGTCTGACTCCCTTCGGAATCCACCCAGCAGGACCGCCCTCCATTGCACCAGAAGCGTCAACGGACCCTGGGGAAGCTTCGAGTACCCCTTGTGCGCTTTCCATGCATCGCCAAAGCTCGTAGCGGAGGTCTACAACGAAAACGCTGAGAGGCCTATCGAGTGGTCATCGAAGATCGCCGACCTTGTGCGGCATTCTTCCCCGGCTACGGTGATACCTTGCCAGCGCTGACAACACCTGTGTTTCCTTCAAGCAGATCGTTTCGAAGAATCTGGGAGTCTTGAATTTGATCAAAAGGACGGCGCTGAAATACACCTACAAAGCATACAAACTGGACCCGGACAGGCAACGTGAGGCATCGACCGCCAAGGCCGTACTCTATCTCCAACCTACTAAATGGGCGGCAAAAGAGTTACGTTGCGGTGCGGGAATGGTAAGCCTCTCACGTTGCCTGTCCGGGTCCAGTTTGTATGCTTTGTAGGTGTATTTCAGCGCCGTCCTTTTGTTGATGTGGAAGCTATCTTCCTCTGCGGGTAAGAGTAGTGGGTACCGGAGAGGCAACGCAGACGGATGGAGCGAGCTGATGACTTGGTACTTGGGCCGACCATCGGGACATCGATCACCGTGCACCTGGAGAATAAGGTCTTGAGGTCCACGATCTCCCGTGTTGGTCTCGGAATCGCAGATAAGCATCGCCATTTCCGTGCTCGACGTAGGAAGGTTGTGGGTGCGTCGGTCTCGGCCAGGTGGTAGGCAGAGGCGCAGGGCCGACTCTTTGGCCGTGTCCCAACCTGCGCGGGTTTTGGCCGATGCGAACTCCCTCACAAAGTGATTCTTGGTACGCAACATGGACTCGAGGTTGGTCAAAGTAGATCTTTGTATGCGACTGTCTGCGCCGTCGGGTCCCAGTCGAGTATCAGTGGCCTCGGCCGGGTCGATGAGCCATGTGGGCAAAGGCTGGACGTTGATTGACGGCAGGAATCAAGGCGGCGAGTCGATGCTAAAAGCAACCAAAAACGCAAAACATGCGGGGTCCTTGAGTGCCTGGTCGAGTCTGGTCAAAGTGGGTAGCGAGCGAAGTGAACGACAGCGCGTTGTTGTACCACCGGGCATTCTCGCGGAACGCCGCAATGCCTTAGCTTCTGTGTAGGTGGGTCGCACAGTTCAGCATGTGGGTCTACTACAGACGAATGACGTTGGACGGAGCAACTGACCGCTATCCGAGCCTTCAAGTAGCTGTTGAAAGTTGGGATTGGGCCGGAGAGAGGGAGGTAGCTGCACCTTGCCCTGCGAGCAGCACGTGCTGAAGTGTCCGGTCGACTTCGTCCTTTCGCACTCCCAGTGTCGAGCCTTGCAGTGGGTACACACGGTCATCTGGTGCCGAGGTAGTCGCGGATGGGAACGTGGTACTTGAGTGGTTTGAGCTTGATTCGAGGCCTGCGCACTTGCCTCTGCGCAGGAAGAGGTGGTGGTGGGGCGAGCTCAGCAGTAGCTCAGCGTCGCTTCGGCCATCGGGCCATCGCGCTGACCACGCTGTCCGTTCTACAAAGCTGTACGGCGGACGCTTATACGGGTCGTAATACCAAGATCGGTCGAGTGGTTGTCATCACGCGCGGGGAGCTGATTCTGTTGATCGGAGGGGGACGAAGAGGAGAGTCGAGCAGCGGGGCGCCCAGCGGACCTAGCAGCGGGCGCTCGAGCAGGCCCATGGTCTCCCATGGTACGGCGGTACGCTATCGTACGGCGCTACCCTCGCGCGAGAGACTCGGCGCGGTTGTCACGAAAATTCGATGAGAGCGGGAGGGAAAAGGCGAAAATTAGAGAGAGTAGCGTATTCACAGTTTCTGGAACCTCACGTTGTTGTTGAGCCCCTAAAACCGGTGTCGGGATGCCAAAAATACGTCACGTGATCGACGGGGCATCGCGCAGCGAGACCACGCCTGAGATCTGTAGAAGAAGTGCCATGCAAACCCACGCGCTTGCTATACATTAAATGCTACACAAACTGATCAATAGTTCCCCACCATATCAAAACTCGACGAAAATTGTAGTCGGGCTGTAGCTCGACTTTTATGGTCCAGAAAATGCAGAAAGGGGCGTACATGACTTCTGATTGGGACGCCGATACCACAGGCAGGTGCGGCAGACTCGACAGTATAATGATACATTCACCACTTGCGGCCCTCCGGACCGCAACACAGACAAAAACAGCGATTTTAGGTACATGGGTCGCGGATCGATACTTTTTTTTTACTAGTTAGGGTAACCAGTTAGGGTAATTTTCTAGGCTCTCGAATTCCGGCCGCCGCCGCCTGCCCTGGTAGGCAGGATTTTCGCCAGGTTGCTGTAAAAGTTTCCCTTCGGACAAGGTTTCCACTAGCAGTGGATGTTTCTCTTTCTTTCCCCGGGAGGAAGAAACCGCTTTACGTGAATCGTCTCTGCCAGAAGAGTGCGATCCAATTCTGTCCGCGACTCCGCGCTGGCTCGCGACTCGACTGCCGAGGCGAGTACCACGTTTCCAACTTTCCCCGAATGAGGTCGATCGGGGGATCGGCTCAGGCAGGCGCCCGCAACCCCGGCACTGCCCGGCCGCACTAGGTCTCCCGCAAAGCGTCGTTTTTAGTGTAACAGTCTCGACGTTGCTTTTTATCACTCCAACTCCAACTCCACCTTCTGGCGACGCCCAACTCGAGTGTCATTTTCGGCGGGCAGAAGTAGGTAGCTCGCCATGGAAGCGTCCAAACGGTCTGATGTTCAGCCCAAACTCGTTGCATCGGTCAGTCACCCACCAGCTCCCTTAGGCCTCGTAGGGAGATCGGCGCGAGCTCGGATCAGGATCACACGCGTGTGCCAAAGTGGACGATGCCGAGTTGCTGCTGACACAGGCGGCGGCGCGCTGGTTCAACGTGCGATTCAGGCCCCGGCCGTCCTCGTAGCCCGTCTACAGACCTTCCTGTCCTGTTGTACGTACCCATGGGCCCTATGCATCATCTTTGCTTTCGGCTTACCTCTCGTGGCTGGTCTTGCTGGCCTGCGCTGCAGTCGCTTTTGCTCTCGCGCTCGGCATAGGCTCGGCGTTGCATTTCCAGAGGATTGTGAAGAACCAGGCAGGTCACTCCTACACCGTTGACCGCTTCACAAGAGTTTGGTGCTGACCTTCGGGATCTTCCCCTGCTCTACACGCCTGTAGTGGTATACCTGGCCCCAAGAATGGTGGCCCTCCGTCTCGGCGTAAGCCCCCCCCCCCCCCCCCGCACAAAGCCATTCCGAGCCTGGGCGGTTCTGCTTTGCAAAGAGCGGATCCCAGCTCGGATTCATTCCTAAACTGCCCGTTGTCGTTCCGGAGCGGGACGGCACGTGATCACGTGGTATGCTGACCCCTCCAGAACCTTGGCATTGACAGCACGATCGGCGATTGGTACCCAGAGAGGAACCTTTTTCAACTCGTGATTGCCATCGTATCTGGTGAGCTCAGCCTGACCTGGGTCAAATTCACGACTCCAGGAAACCTCGAGCTGACCTGGGTGAGCGAACACCTCTTCGATTACTACCACCAGGCCCGCGATTCGCGATGATCGGAATAGCGTACCTCTTGGTTCGCGCCCCGGGGACCTCTCTCCCAGGCTTCGTCGCCTGGTGCGGCTTTTTGCGGACCCTGCTGTGCGGCGGCTGGGTTTTCATCACAAGCTCGGACCAAGGCGACATGCACGATGTGCTCATGATCAGGTACGAGGACGAAGATGTGGCCGCGACGCGGTTCGTACTGACCCTCAAAAACGCAATGCTGTCCAGCTACATTGTGATGAATATACCGTGGATGCTGGGCACGCTGCACTTTACGTCCCCCACGAACCCGACGGCTCGGCGGTGGAGAATGATAACCGGAACACTATTTTTCGCCTCGCTCGTGCCCCTTGTCTACTACTACATCCAACACAAAGTCCATCGCCTCCCTGGAGGTAAGATAGTAGCACGCGCACGGTCTGGTAGTGGCGGCGTCCTGCCGCCTGAAGGGCGGAAACTGATCGAAGCGCTCGTCACCTACCCTCTGGCTCGCAGCCTACTCCAAGTACGCACTTTTTGAATGGGGTCTGATCCTCTTGGATGTCGCTTTCGATGCGGTCTCGATCCTGGACGTTGCGAGACTCGAGATCAAGATCGTCGACAACGGAGTCGACGCACCCGCGGCACGGTACGTGCAATGCACCGTCCGGCTCGCCCTGGCGGCCGGCAGCACCAAGCTCACTCGCTCTCTTTGTCGTGCACAGCCCTTACCTGGCCCCGCCTATCCCGAGTGCTCATACACGAAAAACGCCCGCGATTGAACAATGGTACATTTGGTTCGACGAGCGAACGTCGGACACGCGTCTATTTTTGGCCCACTCGTACCTCGGTGAGTCTCGAGACGTTTCGCTTCAGTATCGGGACCCGGGGGTTAGTGCATTGCTCGGTACCAACGGAACCTTATGTTGCCCCTCACCCGCAGCCTTTGTTTTCTGGTCGAATCTGACCGTCTTGCCCATCATGATCTTTTACTCGTCCGTGTGGTCGATGGGGTCAGTCCTTGCTCCCGGAATACTCTCGAAACAAAAGCGGCGGGGCCGAGATCGCTGGCTAATGCGCTACACTCTATGTATGCATCACAGCCTGTCGGGCGAAGAGGTGCTCCTATTTGTGTCCCTGTCACCCGCCCTCCTCTCGATCCGGCGGCTCCGTGAGCTCGTGGTCGGCCACCAAACACTCTTTCACTTGGTCACGTTGATCGGACTGGCCGCCTACCAGATCGACGACGAGGGCGAGGTGCGCCTACGGGTTCTGGCCTTTGCGGTCGGCGTGGGGTGCCTGCTGTACCCCGCCAACTGGTGGGAGGCCCGAGCCCACAAGGCGGAGCTGCAATACCGCACCGTGTCAGTGATTTTCACTGGTCTCGTGCACCCACCAACCTACTCTACAGGCCGAGGAAACATGCTGACTCTCTTCCCCTGGGTCCGGCCATGCGGGTAGTACCTTTGGCGTAGGGCTCATCTTGACCTTGCTTCTGCGCTTCGCCAACTTTTCCCTCAACCCCGTCTGGCCAATCATGAGCGACAAGACCGGTCCAACGGCGAACGGAGGCCACAACTTACTCGGTCTCGTTCTTGGTCTCGCTTCAGTGGTCGAACTGGCCAAGCACAACCTGCCGCGGCTCACACCTCCGACACTGATCGTGCGGCGCTCGTACGGTTCCTTCGTATTTGCGGCGTTCGCGACGGGAAGCCTGTTCTTCCTCCTGCACCTGCTCTACACTGATTCCGGTACGATCATTGCCTGGTCGTGGGAGGGGTACCCCGTGCGGGGCCCCATGGCGATGCCTCACGGGCTGTGGACCATCCTGGCCTGCTCCGTTGGGCTCGCCGCCGCTCATCTGTCGTTCGTGACCCGCGCCCCGTGGTTTCTCGTCGCTTGCTTCGGCTGCAGCCTGCTCTACCTACGAAAAGGGTGGACTGCTTTCCTTGGCGGGTCCGTCCTGGGAATCTGGGCCTTTTCCGTCTTGCCCGCGTTCATCGGGCTGGCTGTCGAGAATGCCGCGACCCCAGGCCCGGTCTTCTTCTTCGCCTTCTTGATCTACGGCGTTCTCGAGCTCGCGGCGACGTGGACGGTTGCCTACGCCTTCGTGCCGGGCGGTCCCTTGTTGCGCGAAAGGACGGACCTCGTGCTGGTCGCGATGATGGCGTGCCTCGCCCTCGGGATCGTCGAGCTCAGCATCCGCCCGCGCGCCGGCCCGGACAGTGCTGCGCAAGTCTCGGCGGATCAGCCGCCGATGGCGAGATCGCGACAAGAGTTCCACGCCAGATTGAGGAGTGTGTTGGCCATCGGGCTTGCCGTTGGCACGGTCGTCATTCAATACCGGTCGCAACTCGTGGCCCCCAGCCCTCACCGTCCCGACTCAAGGCTCATCACGGCGGGTATCTGGACGGTGCACTTTGCGAGTACGTCGTAGTGGGGGCGTCGGCGTGGTACATCCTCGAGATGTGGTCAAACTCTTAACTAACCACAAACAACCTTTTTCGCGGCTGCTCTTTCTTCGTCGTCAGTGGACGGAAAGTGAGTGACGGGCTGGCCCGCGATTCGGCACAGCCGGCCCGCTGGATGTCACTCACGCGCTCGTGCTTCCTCCCACCCTGCAGGATGTGGGAGTCCCAACGACGCATGGCCGCCATCATTCGCGACGCCCAGCTCGATGTCGTGGGGTTGCTCGAATCCGATGTCCAGCGACTCGTCGGAGGCAACCGCGAAATGACGCAATACATTGCGTCGGAGCTCAACATGTATGCCGACATCGGCCCTTCGCCTTCCGGGCACACATGGGGCTGTGCCCTGTTGTCCAAGTTCCCTATCCTCAACTCGACCCACCATCTTCTGCCCTCGCCGGCAGGAGAGCTCGCCCCCGCGATCCATGCGACGCTCCTTGTCTACGACACCCTCGTCGACGTTGTCGTCGCGCACAACGGCCAGGAGGAGGATTCGTTGGATCGCGAACTGCAGAGCAAGGAGCTGGGCAGGATTATGAGCGAGGCCTGGCCTCGGCCGGTAATCTTCCTCGGTAAGTCTTCCCTGCCCTACCCCTTTACCTTTTTGTTTTGGTTCGGCGCCAACAAAAATCCCGGGATACTGATCATGCTCGCTTCTGAAAATCCCATCCCAGGGTACGTCGTTACCCTCCCCCACGCGGCGAAGCCGGCACCTTACCGCTACCTCGTCGAGGACGGTCGCATGCTCGATGTCGACCCCACGGACATGGACCGCTGGTGCCAGTATATCCTCTTCCGCAATCTCGAACGAGTCGCCTACGCGCGCTTGAATCGAGGCTCGAATCCGGCCATCACCGATACCGAACTCCAGCTGGCCAAGTTCGTCGTGCCGGACAACACGTCGCAACTGCTGGACCCCACGGATTCGGAGAAGCCCATCGACAACACTCGAGCGAGGAGAGTGACCCAGCTCAAAATCCCCGACCAGCATCGATTCCCCGACATGTTCTACGGCGAAGGGGTGCGTGGCCATTTCTACCACTCGCTCGAGGACACGGAGGGCAAGAACGCACCGATCTACTACTTGAGCGAGGAGGAGGAACTGAAGAGGCAGAAGGACTGGGAAACGGTCTTGTCGAATCGTCCAGAGTGTCAGCAGATGTGAAGAATATCGGATTGTAGCATGCTAACTCGAAAGCGATGGGTCTCGGTCTAGTTTTTTTTGGGGGAACAACAATCAAATACGTGCTTGCCTACTCATTGCAACGTGTCATACAGTACGAGAGAAATTTGCGGGTACGGGAAGAATATAGAAAAGTACGTGGGCTGTATTCGCGACCGCTCACACCGACGCACCACCATCGACGGGGATGACGGCTCCCTGTGGAAGAACCGGAGAGCACACTTCGTCTTAGCTCGAAGAAGACGCGGGACGTGCAGCCAGAGACGCCCGGTTCTGCTCAGACGTACGGTGACGTAGCTACTCTCCACGCTCAGTAGGAACGCAATGACGTGGGCGACCTCCCGTGCTTCTGCGATCCTCTTCATCGGGACCGAGGCGGTGGCTTCGGCTTCGGTCTGGTCGACGATGTCGCTAGAAAAATGGTCGTGGAACGAAGGCGTCGAGACGAACCCAGGTGCGACGACGTTTGTGCGGATGTTGTAGGCCGCGTATTCGAGAGCGAGTGATCGGGAGAAGCCTAGCAGAGCGTGCTTGCTGGCGCACTGTAAAAGTGCCCGGGCGGGGGTCCCAGGAAAGTCAGCACAAGGGGCAAGAGTTAGCCTCGCGCCTGGGAGCTCACATAGGCCGTGGACTGGACAGTCCCCCGCAGACTTGCCGTCGATCCGACATTTCTTAATCAACAACAGACGTCCAACACTTCAGTATGACCGAGGCACGACCCCACAGCCGAGCAACGAACGCCTCCATTGCTCACACGATAGAATAACCCCCGATGGGGGCCTGCCAGTCTTCTCCCTGTTGCATGATTGGCGCGATGAAGGCTTGACAAAACGAGTAGGCCCCCTTGACGTTGATGTCTAGCATTTTGGTCATCAGATCGGCCGGAGCTTCGTGGGCCAGCGGCGACGGCAGTTGGACGCCTGAAAATTGAGACGGCACAAATTGAGGTTCAGTGTCCGATCAGAGCACTTTCGGGCGTCGAGAGCCAGTTGATAACGTACCAACGCAGTTGACGAGCCCGTCCAGTCTCTTGAAGGTGCCGTAGAACTTTCTCACCAGCTTGACGACGGCCTCGTGATCTGTCTCGGATCCACCACGAGCGATCGGCGGGGAGTGAGTTTTCGGCAAGTTTTGATCGGGCCAAGCTCGGCAAGAGCAGTCAGCGGCGAGGTCAAGATATACCGGGTGACGCACCCGTGACGTCCATGGTCGCGAAAACGACGTCGATCTTGCTTCCCGTAGCCTGGATCAGCTGACACGTCTCGGAGCCCAGCTCGGCGTCGATGTCGGTCAGCGCGAGATGGGCGCCGAGCGAGGCAAGATGGATGGCTGTTGCTCTCCCGATTCCGGACGCCGCCCCTGCAGTAGTAGCTCACACGTGGGTGAGCTGGTCATCACTCCACCTCACATCGTACGCACCCGTGACGATGTAGGTCCGTCCACGCAGCGAAGACGGCGGCCCCACCGACGTCGCCGAAGACCAGCCCGACTGCCCCGTCGCCCCGGACGATCCACTCGGGGTAGGTGCAGGCGGTGGCAGTGGCGGTTCAGGTCCTTCGTTCGTCATGGCCGGTCCAGCAAAGAAGTTGTAGATGCTCGACATGGTTGCGGGGGTTCGCGGTGGTCCGGTTTCGGCGAGACGACGACCGGCGCCAAGCCTCGCGCGCGACGAACGGGAATAGCCGACGCGTCTCCGGGGAAGGTCAGTAATAAGTGTGAGATCTATTGCAGCTTTTGCCCGCGTCAAAATCAAATAGCAAGGGCCACATTTGGAAGGTCTCCCAGTCTCCCCAAAGTTATATCGCTAGTGGCTGAACATGGCGTGGCCATCGATCAAAGCTCAACATCTGGTCTACTACATCTTCGAACGTCTGAACTCGATAACCCTCCCCTTGCTTCAAGCAAGTTCGCCGACGCTTCACTCTTGATTCTTGCAGGCCCCCACCCCCACTCAGTACGAAGCCGGCCCGGATCGCGGATCCGAGTCGCCGTTGCGCCTCAGGGCAGCCGAGTAGTACGGCCTCTGTCGCCCCTGCATACGAGTCATATTACACAGCCAGACCTGGCGAAAACAATTACAACTGGAGCCCTTTGCCTTTTTCTTGGTCCATAATTCTCATTTTGCCGCGATGTTTTGACGTGCCCCGGTTGGCCGCCGAGCAACCTCGCTTACGACTTTGTCATTCACCCCGATAGCCGGCTCAATTCGCCTTGATCGGTGGGTACTCCAGGCATCGAGCAGGCGGCGAATATCCGCCAAGAGCAAGGTAGCCGATTGTATTCGAATGCATCCCGCGCAGGTGCAGACACGTTGTTCACGTGTACGGGGACGGTAGCTCCTATCAACCGCAGAATATCCGGGAGCTTCTGGCGCAGAAGCATCACCGTTCAATTTAGAATTAACACAAAATGAAGGTCGAAATCTTCATGACCTGTTTTCAATACATAGTGCTGTGACTAATGTCCATGACCACGTCTCTTCTCCCACCTCCATGCTCGCAAGAGAAAGGACTCTGCGTGCGAAATCTAAGCAAGCGCGGGTCCGGAACGGAGCGTGCCGAGGTCATCGCCGTAGTACGACCCGTTGCCTTTGGATTGGGGCTGGACGCCGTTCTTGAACGTACTCCAGTCCTTGAGTATCCTGTGGGGTCGAAAAGGGAAGCGTTAGCATCATCATCATCAGATGTACGGCTCGTCTCGAAAGTATCGAGGGAAGCGAGCCCAGCTCCGAGCATAAAGGGGACGGACATATCAACGACAGGCTTGCCGGCGATGTACAGATTCTGCAAAGCCGGCTCAAAGCCACCTTGATCTGCGACAAAAGCATCGTAGGCGGTCACGTTGCCTGATTGGTGCACCATTCTCTGGTCAGCGACACTCAAACGGCCGGGGCCGAGGCCTGTGTAGACTGAGGCAACTGACCTGGGGGAGCTCGGTCAAAGTCGGAGCACGTGCGGAGGATGATGACGCGAGCATAGTCCAGAAGACCGGCCTTGGTGGCTGCGGAAGCACAGAATAAAGGGAGAGCGGATTCAAGGGGTCAGCCCGGAGTGCACAGGCCCTGCCGTCCACGACGACCGGAAAACCCACCTCGGACCATACTCTCGAGCGTAGCGTTGTCCTCTTGAGCCGTAGTGGTGTACTTGCCGGTACCGTTGGTGAGCAAAGCCGTGTAGTTGCCAAAGCTCTCGCTCAATAACGTTCCGGCATAGTAGACGTCGGACGTCGCGACGTCGCCGAGAATGACCTGAGGGGACTGGTTCGCCGGAGCGTAGTCGAATTTTTGCCGGTACGCCTGCGCCGTGGTCGAGTCGTTGAGCGTGACGCCCTTGGCCGCGTTGTAGGCTTTTGCGAGGAGGCTGGTGCAGGATGCACAGAACCGATCGAGTCAGCGATGGGGGCTAGGGAGGTGAGGCTCGACCTTTTTCCTCCGGGAGGGACTCACTTCGTGTTGACCTCAAAGAGTTCGGTGCCGTACAGGTCCTTGGTCGCGGACAGTTGACCGGGGCCAGCGGTGTTTTGCATCCAGTAACCCGTTGTCCAGTTGCTGGGCATTTGACGGGCGTCCAGCTCGTACTCCAGAGCGACCTGGACGGCAAAGCGAGCGAAAGCGGCCGATCCGAGCGTGCCCGCATAGGGGTTGACCCCACCGATGCCGGCGATGAGGAAGTACGTCTGCTGCAAGCAGAAAAGGGGGGAGAGCGCCAGGGCCATCATACTGGCTGCGGCGTTGATTTCGGCCTCACCCGTCGTCATGATGCAGACGTCGTACTCGTCGTTGCAGGCGACGTAGGGGTACAGCGGGGACAAGCCGACGACCGAAACGTCTGTAAGGGCGAGGGGCCGAAGCGACGATTAGAAAACGGAAGAAATGGGCGAGGGGTGGGTCTCATGATGGAACGCACTGTGGACAAGCTTCATCGGTTTGATCCACACCGCGCGCTCAGGTGCAAACTGTTTTGGGAAGTGCGAAGATTCGGCGAAGCCAATGCGGCAAGGGTGATGACCGGTCAGCACCGGACTGTAATCGAAATCGATATCTTCAAGGATCATGTCGAGACTCACCATCGAAATGATCATCACTTTGGGCGTGAGGAGATTTTGCTTGCCGTGACGGGCCTCGAGCGAGCTTTTTGAAACCGGTGTCGGGGCAGCGATCGCGAGGCCTGCGAACAGGAGCGCGGCGGCGACCGAGACGTTGCGCAGCTTGGACAACATGGCGCGGACGATAGAATTGGTGGGTCTTGAGCAAGACTCCGGACAGGTATGGGACGAAGGTAAAGAAGGATCAGCGTGCCCCCACGCTCTGTCCATCGAGTAGATCCTCGCGCCCTCACTTATCGGTGCGCGATGGAGCCAGATGACCTATTTTGGGCACGATCGTCTTTTGCGACCACACCGGCCTATCTGACCGGGGGCTGCGGCGCGCGGGTGCTCGCCGCGTGGGATCGCCGCCAGTAAGTCGACTCGGTGAGACATTTTCTTTTTCGCCTCCAACGCACTTGCGCTTTTCGCACGAACAAGACTTTCGAGATTTTCCCTCCCTAGGTGTTCGAGTGCACCTAGGTGATAGCAGTCTTGACAAACTCAAGTAGACGCTTGGTTGCTCAGGCTTCGTCGGAGCCGTGAATAAATTTGTGTGACGGGCGCGGGACGACAGCGCGACAGCGACCCATCTGCATTGGGACACTGTCGCCAGCTTCCGGAAATTCCCCTTATCAAGACGGACTCGTCCCCGAGATTTCGATTTGTGATCACGAGCGATACCTGCCCGACTTGGTAGGCTAGGTAGGGAGGTCAGCTCGAACCCGCGTTACTGTCAAGCTCAGAGTCATGCTATCCGATCAGATCGTGAACCAATCCGCGGTGGGCATCGGAGCTGGGCCAATCGGCCGACTTTCGTCGGAGGCCGAGGTCATGCAGGCGCTCCTGCGCACCAATCTCGGTAGAAAACGAGGCGCCTATACCTACCTACCCAGGTAGCCATCATGACCACGGTAACACTTCCACATGATAAGACACATTTACTCTACTCCATCCGAGCAACCAGAGAGGATTGGTTGCTCGAGCTCGATAGTCTCCACCGACTCGCCGTCAGCGCCTCGAAGAATTGGGAGACTCGAGTCGGCCGAGGTACATTGCAGTCATTTTCTTTCCGTTCACTTCATTTGTCGTTCTTTGATGCAAAATCTGCGGAGAATCTTTGATGCTATAACGGTTGCATATTGTGTGCTGTCCATCATTCAGGCGTGATCCTTGGCGAAGCCGGCGAGGGCGCGCTGCAGAAGCCGAAAAAAAGTGATTAAAGAGGCGGTGGTTAATTCAATCGAGTTGAATGTAGTACCGTCTAGGCACATCGACTCGCCTCGAGAGCGGCATAGTTGTCGCCCTTGAACTCGGCCTTGACTTGGCCGTCCTTCAGGAAACGGAAGGTGTGGTTCTTGACGCCCGATGCCATGCCGATATCCTGCAGAGACGGGAGAATAACTAAGTCGCATGTCATGGAATCTGATACGATGTCGCAGGCGTGTCGTACCTCGTGATCATTGATATCGACCTTATAGAACTTGACGTTGGCAAAGTTCTTGGACGACGAATAGCCGTCGAACTTGGGCGCCAGCGTTTTTCTGCCGAGCCGCACGTCGAGGTGAAACAGACTTAGCTCGCTTCCTACTCCAAGTTCTGCGTGAACTGGCACTAGTCGTGATAGACTTACGACGCCTCGTCCCAGGGGGCGATGAACTGGATCGCCGTCAAGCCCGAGGCACCAACCTGGTTTGCAGCCGAAGTAGTTCAAGGTTTGTCAGCACCGTGTTGCTCTTGGAAATTCGAGTGGATAGGGGCGATGGGAGAGCCCAAAACTGACAATCTCCTTGTACTGGGCTTCGCTCTTGATCGATTGCACAGGCATCTTTGGCGGCGTGAATTTGTTTTGTGAAGTTCTGAGATGGAGATACCGATCGCCATCGAGGCGAAGAGGAAACGACGCCGACAAGATATGGAGAGTCAGTTGTTGTCACTCGAGGCCGTAGGCGTTGCTGTGGGACAAGATCGCTGGCGAGTCGAAGTGGGACCCGGGCGGCGTCTGGCGCGGAAGGGAGCGCACACCCCCACATTTGGGGTCCCCACGTCAGCCTCCTCCGCCTGCGCCAATAATCGATGTGGCGCAGGCTCAAGGCAGTGGCCAGAGTAGACCCTGGGGTGCACGCTCGTCGGAAAGTTTTTTTGGATGTTTGGACCCATTCGAAGAGGTCTGCGCGGCCTAGTCACTCAATTCGAGTGTGGCGCATGACGTGGTCGCGTGACCCACTTCCGCCAACCGTGGCGCATTCGCCCAGGTTCCACGGCCTACGGCGCGTGCCAAGGCTGTGTTGTGGAAGGGCCACGTAAAGCGAGGGCCCAGACTTAGGGCGTGTTGACTCACTGGGTGGGGTGCGTGGGTGTGCGAGGGGAGCTTGGCAATGAGGGCAGGGGTGGATCTAGGATACGTGTGGTGGGAGGAGTAAAAGCCACGGCCGCGCTAGCGGGGTGGGGAATGCGTGCGTGTGTGAGGTCATGTGGGGCGAAGGGGGCGGCTTGCTCGGCACGACGGACTGACAGTGCATACACGCAGGCGCTGAACGTGGTTGAGCAACCATTGGCGGTGTCGTCCAGCTCAGGTAACCGCACGCAACACGCAGCACGTAGGCACAGTTACTTGAGTTCAAGTATTTCTTTGATTGCAGCCATCACGGATACCGGCGCACTCGAGGCTAGGACGAATACTGAACCGGTCCGTGCTCGGCCGACCGCGCCCCAGACGGAGTTCAGCGGACCATTACACGATCGCCACAAGTACTAGTTCATGGTCGAGCAAGTGGGACTTGTTCCTCGCCCTCATTCTCCTTGACCCTCATAGACACGATACCTGATGAGCTTGGTTGACTGTCTGAAAGGTAAGCCCTCTTGCCCTTCCGCCCCTTCAGGCGTGACGTTGCTAGTCACCTCCACTCGAGTTTGCTGCAGGCCGATCCGCCGACGGAGACCCCTCGCACCAGCAGCGGCGTCATCGCGTCCACCAGCAACGGCAGCACCATCACCACAGCGAATCACAACGTCGCCCTCGACCGAGCTCAAGACACCATGCCCGCGTTCCGTCTCTACGTACCCTCTGTTGGACGGCAAACCGAATCTATCGCTGAATACGACCTCGAACGTGTCGCCGGCAGAGACGAGCACGACTCACCGGAGCGCGTCCCCTTTCCCAGAAGCGGCAATGGATGCACGGATACTGCACCGGCTACGCAGGTACATCCTGTGTCTTGCCATCGTCGAGTTTGATATCGACTTGGGCGTGAGTCTTTCCGAGCTGTCGTCGCTATTAAAGCCCCCGGAGAGTGGACCGAGCTGACTTGACGTCAACTCTGTCATGGTGCCCCACGTTCGGCCCTGCTAGCCCGCGCTGAGCGAGGTGTATCCCCCAACGCGGTTCCCCAAGTCACTGCAATCCAACATCGCCTTCTCCTCCCTCCCCGAGGGCGAGGATCAACTACCCACCGCAGGCGCCCACATCTTCTCCTGGAGAATACCGCTACCCGGGCGCCCGACCTCGACCACGTCCGTCTCGAGCGGCAATGCGAGTGCCAACGGCAATCAAATCGTCGACGACCCTTTCTTGGCCACTTTGATGCACACGGAGGCGACGACGTCGAGATCGACCTTGGGTAGTGGTCGAATGAGTAGCGAGGTCGGCCAGGATGAGGATTCTGCACAGGAAGACGATCAGGGTGCCGGCGACCTGGGATCGAGATCGGATGGGCATTTGCACGGTTTCGTCTACTTTCTCCAGGAAAAGGTGGGGGCGCATTGCGACACGTTCCAAGCAAAAGGAACCTCGAGCTGAACGAAGATTGACGCTCTCCCAGAACGATTCGGTACGGAGAGGTTACACGCAGCGATCTCTAGTTCTCGTACGTGCTCACTCGAGTCTCATGAGCCTTAAGAGGGTCCGACTGAATACAATAATCGTATCTGCGCTCGCACAGATCACACATCGCCCTTCGCTCGTCGGTCTCTTCTCGAGCACCATAGCGACTCTTGGACCACTCCACTTCAAGCACAGCTCCCAGGGAGGCGGTATGGTCGAGACTGCATGCTACAATATCGCTTCCTGGTGCGTCAGTGGTTCGAGACCCGGGTTCGAGTCGCTCGCTGACACGCGCTCCTACGTACAGGCCAGATCTTCTACCCGGCGCCACTCTCGACTACCCTTTCCTCGGGGTCGTACACTCGGTCTCGATACCGATTGACTCGCAGCCCCAATGGCTCAAACCTCTAGCCTCGACATCGGCCAAGGGCACGCAACTCAAGTCGCCCAGTGTGGGCGGCCCTGTACCTATAGTAAGGCGCAGCACAGGTCGAACCTATCCCTGGATCAAATTGACATCGACTTCGTATTGAATGTTCACCAGATCCCTGCATCATCCCCTCTCACACCATTATCAGTCGCATTGCATGACACACTATCGTTCTCCAAGATCCTCTTGCTCTGGGAACTCGTCCTCCTCGGCGATCCCATCCTCATCTCGACCTCGGATCCTCGCACCGGCTCCGAGCTTGTACATCATCTAAAGAATCTCATTCGCCCCATCTTGTTTGAAGGGGATTATCGACCCTATTTTCATATTCACGATACGGACTTTGCTCGGATCGCGAGTCCTGGCAAAGTAAGGGTTCGAACAGACGTGGCATAAGTCTGAGGTGCGAGAGTCGAATTGACTCTGTCAAGCTTCGTATTCACAGCCAATACCAGGATCCATCCTCTCCTCTACCAACCCACTCATTTTGACCCAACTCAAAAGTCGACCCCACATCCTTCGGACACACATCGGCAAGACCGAATCCACATCAACTGCGACCATCGGTTTAACGTCGACGCGCAAGCGGCACGTCAAAAAGGACCCCGTCGTTGCTAAAGCAGTCGAAACGGCGTTCAAGGGCGGAGATTACGTGACGTGTGATGCTTTGATTTTCAAGCATCTCGCGGCGCTGACGGAGAGCTTTATCGCTCCTCTGAACCGTTACTTTGCGTCGGCTGGGGGACCGAGTGCTACCTCTCAAGGCTGAGTTTCGCTTGAGGCAACCTGGTACCGACACTGTAGACTGATGTGGCCTTGACTCGCAGCTCGGCACTCAGCCCGGCCCATGAGAAATCACTCTCCTCGACCATCTCCTCCATCCCTTCAACCTCGGCTTCCTTCCCAACCTTCACCCCCTCCTCCTTCCTCGCCTCCCTCAAAGCGCACGGCACACCCCTTCCCTTCCGTGCTCCAACAACCTCGACCCTCTCCTCCACGATCGAGCGCTTCTATTCGCGGTGAGCAAGAGCCTCTTATTGTGGCACGACGACCGGAGACAGCAAGAGGGGCACACAATCCCCCTGCTCCGATCTAGACATTCAGATCGAGGAGTGCTGGACTGGAGGCCTGTGCGGAACAGAAGGGCCATCAACGACGCTGGGCCTCAGATGTCCAGCTCACTGGCTCAGGGGCTAGCAAAAGGACCGAGCGCCGCGGCTCCTTTCGCACGATGACGACGGGTCATTCAACTTGAGTTCGCCGACGCTCTTAGCTCTCAACTCAGTCGCACACATTTGCACGCCTTACATCTACACAAAGATAGCTGATCCTACAATTCCCATGGCTACCTCACCAGATAAGCTCAAGGAGCTCGCCCCAGTGCGAGACGAGCGGGGCGGCATCGAGGGCGGACCGCAACGAACGATCCACGCCGCACGATGGGACGACCTGGTCGGTTGTGGACAATGTCGCGCTGTTTCCAGCCAGCTTCTGGCACATGAACACTGATACTTCCCTACATTCCCCTCTTTAGGGTGGCACGTCGACCCTGACGCAAGGACTTCGCGCCCTGCAGACCCTCCTCGCCTTCATCCTGCTATGCATTTACCTCTCCCTCGCCGGCTTCCAACGCGACCATTCCGTCGGTCCAAGCTTCCTCGTCATATTTGCCTTGATGATTATCGTCTCCGCCACGCTGCACTCGATGGTACTGCGTAAGTCTCAGCACGTGCCCGGACTCGAGCGTGCAGACCTGGGTCACCTGTTCAAGGCTGACTTGCGAAGTGGATGCCGGGCAACGATCGCTCCCGGATCGCAGTCGGGGTGGCCCTCTACTCGGACAACGTACGCCTCTTTCGGTCCATGGCCCGTGGGATGCGAAAAATTCGAGTCGCCATGATCGTCAACACGAATCAAGTCATTTGGATCTTGATGGCAATGTAAGAATCACCCTTCTCACTTTGGCCCACCGCCTGCCGGCTGACCCCTCCCCATTCCCTCCCACCCGACGGCCACAGGGTTTCTGCTACGGCATCGACGCGGGCAGGCGGATGCAAGAACCCTGCTCTGGACGAACATGCCGGTGATGAGGCCTACACGGCCTTGTTGCCACCTTTTTGCCGCAACAAGCGCGCAGGCGCGGTTTTCTTTTGGCTCCTCTTCAGTTGAGTCTGACGCGGCGGAGTCGCGGAGAGGAGCCTGAACCCCTAGAGGCTGACGATTTGGATCTTCCTTATTTCCCGGTCATGATCTAACCTTCTTTCAGTTTCGTGGTGCGCTTCCTTGGGCATTACGATCGCCTCTTGGTATCGAGCTCGTCGGCGCCCGCAGAGTCAAGCTTTCACCAGCGTCCCGGGCGTTCACGAGCCGCCGATCGACCTCGAACGAGAACCTCCCTTCGAGTCACCGTACGACGTCGCTATGATGGAGCGGCAAGCCGTGATCCAAAGTGATGGAACTCCGGGCACTGCCCGCGTCTACGAACCCAATCGCGACTACCAAGTCCTTAACGGCGTGTACGAAAGCTCCCAGGTCGTCGTTCCGAGTGATGCGGGCCATTCCTCGATGACGGCTATTACCAACACTGGCATGTCCAGGTTCGAGAACAGCATGACGAACGTGACGAGCCCCGGGACGACGCTGGTTTCGGGGCGTTTGAGCTCCCAAGTGTACGGCCGTGGAAAGGATCCGTTCGCGGATCAAGCGAGGGAGGAACGAAGTCATCTGACTTATCAGGATCCGTACGAGATGGCCAGAGCCTCGATCGACATGACCGAGGGTCTTCATCAGCATAGGACTCAATATTAAAGAAGGAGAAAGATGAGGAAGGCATGAGATGGCCGATGGAGCTTGACTGGGACGAAGAAGACCCGATTATAGATACGTTGTAGTGCGACCGAGCAGTGTCAAGAAATGTTCACGGCAATGGCGCGAAGTGTCCCTTGATGATCGTCCTCTGCCATAAAATGAGGGTTTTGCCCCCAGAATTACTGTAATCATACTTCACATCTAGCGGCGAACGACGTACAACTTCGAGAAGAAAAAAGCAGCAGCGCCAGGTTGAACTGTGTCGAGCGAGGGGTCCCAAGCCGAGACCTGCCGAGACCAGTCACGTGCTCTTCTCGGGCGGCGCATTTCGCAGTCGCGCCTCCGCTGCCGACATCCTTTTGCCCATCAGCATCGCCGAGACACGGCGCATACTAGCTCCCACCTGCTTTTACGGAGGCACTCTAGCAAAGTCGAAACAAAGCGCCTTTTCTCGGTACCTATTAGGTTCTCGACCTTTTCATTTGGCTCAATACGATGGCCCCCTGCGCCTTGTGCCCTCCTGGCGATGCTGCCCTTCCGCGACGAGCGATCCTGCGACGTCCCAAGACGCTGCAACCCGTCTGCAAGGAATGCTTTTTCGTCGTCTTTGAAACCGAGATCCATCATACGATCCTCGGATACGGACAGGCCGAACGTAACGACAAGGGCAAAGGGAAGGCCCTTTTCAAGCGAGGCGAGAGGGTCGCCATCGGCGCGAGTGGTGGCAAAGGTCCGCTCCTATACCTGATTGCCGATGCATTAGTTGATACCACCTTATGTTGTAGCTTACTGCTTTTATCCCCTTTTCCGGCCCAGATTCGACGGTGTTGGCGCACATCATGAAGGTGCTCAACGATCGCTACGACTACGGGCTCGATTTGTGCTTACTCTCGATCGACGAAGGAATCAGTGGATACCGGGATGCTTCCTTGGATGTGCGTTCTCAGCTCATCTGATCATAAAGATATCAATGTGCAGCTCTGACGACCGATGGTCTGGCTTGATTTCCGCGAGCGAGCAGACCGTTAAAAGAAATGCCGTACAGTACGAATTGCCCCTCAAGATTCTCTCTTACAAGGAGCTTTACAATGGTTGGACGATGGACAAGGTGGTCGCTGAGATCGGGAAGAAGGGCAATTGTATGTTTTCTCACAAACTTTAACCCTAGTCCCAGAAGTTTAGGACCTAATCAGAGAGATTTTCTCTATCCTCCGCCGTGCAGGCACCTACTGTGGAGTGTTCCGACGCCAGGCTCTAGACCGAGGCGCTCATCTCTTGACCGTCGACCATGTTGTAACGGGTCACAATGCCGATGATGTCGCCGAGACCGTCTTGATGAATGGTTAGCTAGACCAGACGCGACGTCAACGCCTAACTCCCAGCTGATTGCCGAAACCCCCGGATACTCATAGTTCTGCGCGGCGACATTGCTCGAGTTGGGCGGTGTACGGCGATCACAACGGGTGGTGATCCATCTTTATCAGCTGAAACCACGGACGATGATCCGAACGACGACGACGGCGAGGGCGGCAAATCGCTGAGCTCGCTGCTGCCTTCGACAATCAAGCGCTCCAAGCCGTTTAAATACACGTACGAGAAGGAGATCGTTTTATACGCCTACTTCAAGAAGCTGGACTACCACTCGACGGAATGCATCTATTCCCCGACGGCGTATCGTGGGTATGCCAGGGCGCTGGTCAAGGATCTTGAGGCGGTGCGCCCGAGCAGCATCGTCGATTTGATCTATTCGGGTGAGATGATGGCGCAGAGCATGTCCCTCAATGGGCGGCGTGTTGGAGGCGATTGGAGTGGGAAAGAGGGGGAGCTGATGGGATATAAAAAGCTCAAGGGATGCGCGGGCCGACAAGTGCAACGTGAGTCGACCGTTCGGGATTTCTGGTCTGGCTAGAGCGTGCGTCACGAAACTGATCAAGGTGTCGTGCTGCTGCGATTCTGCACAGAGAATTGCTCCAAGTGCAACTCACTCTCCTCTCAGCCGTTATGCCAGGCCTGTCTGCTGTTGGAGGGTCTCAATCAAGGTGTCGCCAAGGTCAAACTCTCGGACCGGTAGCTCCGAGGTCTTTCAACTTCTTCAAGCTGACTCGGTGCCCGATATGCAGTGGTCACTGCATGTCGCAGCACGCCATTAGGGGCCTTAGATATCGTCTCGACTTTGGCTGTAATATCGAAATCTTGTTGTTCAGATCAGCGTTAGGGAAATCGATGACCGCTTGTGAAATGCATTGCAAATTCTTGGTAATCGACCCGCGCCTGGGTTAAACGGTGAATTTGAGCATGATTTGACATTTCGGACGCGACTGGCGCGATGGCAGCCGCACTAGGCCGCACTGGGGGGGGTGTGACGCGTCGCGACCCGTGCGACCCAACTTGACCCCAACTTCACTCCAACTTCACTCCAACTTCACCCCTCTTCCACCACCTCTCACATTCGACCTCCGACATCTCACGCCCTGCACTCGAACCAGGACACAGAACATGTCATTGCTCGTCGACAAGCACCGGCCCAAGAGCCTCGATGAGCTGCAGTACCACGCACAGCTTTCCGATCGATTGAGGTCACTTGTACGCGCCCTTCGCGACGTTCTGCGCTGTGCTGGCAGCATCTTCTGCGACCATCGAGTAACCAAACTGATTCATGGTCTCTGATGTCCTTGACACTCCCACTGCGCAGGCCCAGACAGATTTCCCTCACACGCTCTTCTACGGGCCCTCGGGCGCGGGCAAGAAGACCCGCATCATGTGCTGCCTCAGAGAGCTGTACGGACCAGGTGTAGAAAAGGTGACTGAGAAACTCTCCCTTGTCTTGACTTGCGACTGCTTGCGGACACTCCCCTTCCGTGCGGGCCTTCTCAATCTCCTGTGCTAAACGTCAGGTCGACCCCTTTGCTACGCCAGCTTCGAATCGAGCAAAGGACCTTCCTGACACCGAGCAAGCGCAAGATCGAGATCAACATTGTTCAATCCAACTACCACATTGAACTGACACCGAGGTCGGTCCCAAGATCTGGCCCTCCATCTCGAGCATCTTTATTTGACCAAAGACTTTTCGCTCCACAAGTGACGCTGGCAACTACGACCGGTCCATCATCCAAGAAATCCTCAAGGATATTGCCCAGACGCAACAGGTCGATTTGAACGCCAAGAAGAGGTTCAAGGGTGCGTACAAGAAAGGGATCCACCAACCTCCCAAGGGGATTATGGCTGACTCCCGAGTCGAACCTGTTCTTAGTCGTCATCATTAACGAAGCCGACTCACTCTCTCGAGATGCGCAATCGGCGTTGCGTCGCACGATGGAGAAGTTCACCGCCAACCTGCGCATCATCCTCTGTGCCAACTCGACCAGTCGCATCATTGGTCCGATCCGTTCGAGGTGTCTGCTCCTGCGCGTCGGGGCACCGTCAGAAGATGAGGTGAGGAAAAGGGTGCAATGTCTCATGGGGCGGAGACTATGACGGAGCTGACTCAGTTTGGACGTTGTGCTCGACTAGATCACCAAATGCCTTGCCTACGCCGCCAAGAAGGAAAAGTTCACCCTGCCTGCCCACGTTTCGACTCTGCTCGCCCGGATCTCGGAGGGCAACCTCCGCCGAGCGCTGCTCTCCCTCGAGGCGCTCTACGTCCAGGATCCTTCATTCAAGACCATCTCCCCTTCCCACCCTTTGCTCAAAGGCCAGACCCCACGGCTCGAGGATCTTGACTCAGTTCCGCGGCCGGATTGGGAAAAGTACACAGCTAAGGCCGCAGAAAGGATCCTCGGCGAGCAGACGCCGGAGCGATTGTTGGAGGTCAGGGGGATGCTGTACGAGTTGCTCGTGCATTGTATCCCCGCGCCACTGATCATCTCGGTGAGTTCGGGCCGTTCCACGGGTTAGAGCTGCGCTTACTTATCGAGATTCTTTTCGGATGCGCAGACCCTGACGAGGAGGATACTGGAGCGCGTCGATGAGCCGCTAAAGGCCGACGTGGTCTACTGGGCTGCTTTCTATGAACACCGACTGCGGTTAGGCTCCAAGGCCATCTTCCACCTTGAAGGTGAGCCCCCGCCCTTGTCTGGCAATGGCCCAGCTCGAAGGCGGAACCCGACTAATCTCGATTTTCACCCGTGTCGCAGCCTTTTGCGCCAAGATCATGAGCGTGTACAAGCGTGAGTCTAGCGGATAGACTGTTGAGTATTCTAGGCCCGCTGAACTATGAAAGTTGACAACGTCTTCGCCCTTGCCACAGAACACCTTCTCGGATTTACTGGGCCTTGAGCATGGCGACCAGGGGTCCTGTCTATGCTGCACATCTTGTATTCGTACCGTACATCGCTTTATCCCCTTTCGTAACACGGCGAGTTCCGTCGCAATTGACAGTTGACTTGTCAAATCGGTTGTATGGGTGGGCTCGCGGTCAGAGTTTGTATCCATGGGCACGAGGTCGATCGACGATCAGCACTTTCCGGGAGACTTTCTGGCCCTGTGGGTCTTTGGCACCTATGCACCTTCGGGCTTTTGATGCTTCCCCGCAAGAATGATTTGATCTGCCGGAACGATAGTAGAGCGTGATTAAGGATCCGGGGCCCCGCTTTCACATGAGCCACGTCGCGCGAGATGAGTCAAGCGGCCATGACAGGAACCCATTTTCTAGCGTCAAGTGATGATGACGGCAGCAAGTCGTAACTGAATTCGCACAGGTAGATATGGAGCAAGCCGTTCGATGGTTACCAAACCGGCGCGGCGCGTAGTATATTGCGGCGAAAGCGAAAGGGGCCACCAGCGTCCGATCCGGCTAAGTTCCTTTCGGCATTCGGCACTTGGGCTGGCCCGGTGCCTCGGACAACTTGGAGCTCGTCGCCTCAATCATGGCACAGTCTGAATCGCAATCGTCCCTCTGCTTCTGCTTGTCTTTCTCAGCTATTTCTATCCGAACCCCTCACGCTCTCGTCCTGGTACTCCGGTGCGCATCCTCCTAGGCTGGTGAGTCACTGTCCTCGTTACTTAGCCAGAACTCGATCGCAGCCGTCGGTCGGCGACTGGCAAGAATCAGTCCGAGCTCGTCCCGGGAGTGTTCGTTCCGATCTCAAGCTATCCGCGTGCAACTGACGATTTCCTGCTCTACTTCATTCCCTCGTTGTAATCGTCCCCAACTCGCTTCCTAAAAATAAACGGTCGACCTGGCACCCCCCCACTCGTTTCTCGACCTCATCGTCGCGGAACTGTTGGGTTCGATTTCACCCGCCTCCTCCCGGTCTCTTCCGCCCGACGCCCTTGACCTTCGATCGTCGGTTCGGACTCTGTTCTTGGATGGCAAATGCGTGTACCGTCTTCGGCTAAACCCCAAATACGAAAAACCATCTCAAAAAACGGGCGAGCCCTGCCCAAATATCTCACCGCAACGTCATACACCAGCGTCTCTCAAGCAGCAGCAGAAAACCTCGACTTGAGAAACTTCGGACTTTGTCACGCTCCACCGACACGCGGACCGAGCGCATATCCACCCACCCGATCGCTCCGACGTCTCGTCGGATCCTCCACGACCGCGCTGCCCTGCGCTGCGCCATTCCGAGGCTGCCAGTCCTGACCCCGACCCACCGACCCTGTTCGCCCTTTCTTCTTGCCCTTCCGTCCACCATTCTCGCTTCTAGCCCCCTGTCGTCGATCGTTGCTCGCACTCGCGGCTGCGTACCTTCAGCCCTTCGTCTTCCGTCCACCTCGTTCTCGTCGCTCTCGTCGCCGAAGCTTTTACTCGCCGCGGCCCAACCTCGCAGCTACCACTCGACCTCGGCAATCTTCGCCCACCCCAGCTCTGCTACTCCCTCTTCGTTGACCATGTCGACCGCCAACGGCAAAATCGCGCCCAACGTCGGCCTCCAGGGCGGTGTCGAACCTTCCAACGTCGGCACCAAAGAAGTGCTCGTCGGCCGTGCTCTCGCCAGGCTGAGGTCAGTACTCTCTTTTCTCTCCTTTTCTCTCATCCCATTTGGGTGCCCTGGCTCTTTGAACGTTCGAGCGGGTCGACGCTACAAAACATGGGGGTACGCCGCAACACATCCCTGTGCCGGGAAGCGATCGCGGTTGCCAGTCATAGGCTATCTCAACTGCGCGATCGACGTCACGGGGGAGGCTCTGCTCTGGCTGCGACCGGCGAGTGCGCGGCGGGTGAGCGGCTGCGATCCGCTCTGCCCGCCCGCTTCGTCCGCTCTCTTCAAAAGACTGCGAAATACACGCCGGACGAAAGCTCGAGTGCGCATTCATCGCTCGGGAGTGTTCGGCAGGTGACCTCTCCAAAGGACCAGGTCATCGCCCTTCCTCACCTGTTCTGGTTCCGCAAATGATCTGACTGTACTTTTGCTCACTTGTCCCTCATCTCCGACGTTGCTGCTGCTGCTTTCAACGACGTGCGCCAACGCGCTCCATGACCTACGCCTACTCTGGTCCTACGATGTTGCTCCCGCTACGACCTCAGGACGATCCCCGGAGACTTGGAAAAGTACACCTTCCTGGCCAGTCTCAAGTCGCGGAATGAGAACGTCTTTTACGCGCTTGTCGGATCCCACATGAAGGAGCTCTGCGTAGGTTCTTTGCACCCTTTTCGATGTTGCACAAGGAAGCAGCGTACTGATCCAACGGGCAATTCCTGCGACCTACAGCCCTTGATCTACACCCCCGTCATTGGTGAGCCTCTGGACTCCCCGGATTCACCGAAAGCAAAGAAAAAGGGGTTACTGACCATGATCCCCGGTGGCAGGCCTCGCATGCCAGAACTTTTCCCTGATCCACCCTCCCCCCGACACCAACACCAAGCCCGCCCGCGCGCTGTACCTCTCAGCGCCGGACTTACCGCACCTCCCCGAGATCCTCGCCAACCTCAAGACGCGGCTGCCGCACGACCAGATGGAGATTGCGGTCGTGACTGACGGTTCGCGGGTGCTGGGTCTCGGTGATTTGGGCATCGGTGGTATGGGTATCTCAATGGGCAAGCTGTCGCTCTACGTCGCTGCCGGGGGGGTGAACCCCAAGGCGACGCTGCCGATCGTCGTCGACTTCGGTACCGACAACGAGAAGCTCCTCGGTGACCCGCTGTACGTCGGCATGAGGCAGCGGAGGATGAGCGATGCCGACTGCGAGGCCTGGTTCGAGGTCTTCATGAAGGAAATGCACCAGACGTTCCCTAACATGGTCAGTTTTGTCTCAGATCCGCGTGGCCTGTATCTATTCGCCTCGGCTGACCCTGTGGAGTCCACTCGCGTCCGCCCCTAGATCATTCAATTCGAAGACTTCCACACGACCCTCGCGTTCCCCCTTTTGGAAAAGCACCGTGAGCGCTATCCGTGCTTCAACGACGACATCCAGGGCACAGGATCTGTCATCCTCGCCGGTGCGATTCGCGCTTTCGCGCAAAACGGAATCCCGCTCAAGGAACAACGCATCCTCTTCTTTGGCGCGGGTTCGTCCGGCGTCGGCGTCGCCGAGACGATCAGCAAGCACTTTGAGCTCGCTGGTGGCATGACCGAGGACGAGGCCCGCAACCGTTTCTGGCTCGTCGACTCGAAAGGTTTGGTCGCCAACAACCGAGGGGACAAGCTGCCGACACACAAGCAGTACCTCGCCCGACGGGAGGAGGACGCGCCCAAGCTCAAGACGCTGCTCGAGGTCGTCAAGCACGTACGCCCGACGGCGCTGATGGGTCTGTCGACGCTCGGTGGGGCCTTCACACGCGAGATCCTCGAGTTCATGGCCCACATCAACGCCAAGCCGATCGTGTTTGCGCTCTCGAACCCCGTCGCGCTCGCCGAGTGCACATACGAGGAAGCGGTCGAGGCGACGAACGGGACGGTGCTGTACGCGTCCGGCTCGCCGTTTGACCCCGTGCAGTTCGAGGGCAAGACGTACGAGCCCGGGCAGGGCAACAACATGTACATCTTCCCCGCCGTCGGTCTCGGTGCGATCCTGGCGCAGGTCAAGACGATCCCCGAGGCCATCATCCACGCCGCCGCGAGGGCGCTCGCCGACTCGCTCAACGCCGACGAGAAGGAGCGTCGCCTGCTGTACCCCGACGTCGAGCGGATTCGGGAGGTGACCATCTTTATCGCCTTGAGGGTCATCCGTGCGGCGCAGCTGGCCGGCGTCGACCGGAACGAGAAGCTGAGGGGCATGACCGACATTGAACTCAACAACTAGTGAGTGCAGGTTACGCGCTATGTGTTGTGGTGCTGGGCACTGATCGTCCGTTTTCCGTGCTACCTCGCAGCATCCGAGGCTCCATGTACCAAGCCATGTTGGAACTCTAAATCACGTGACGTGTCCCCATAAAAAAAGGCCGGGTTCGGCCGGTCCCGCTGCTCGTCTTGCAGGTCTTTCACTATTTTGTCGGTTCGGGCTCTCTTGAATGCTTGAAGCAGTTTCACCCTCTCCGTTTTTACCCTCTCTCTCGGTGTTCTTGATTGCAACGTGAACCTTTCGACCCAACTTCTCTGCGAGCAGCTAAGGAATTGCTGAGGACGGCTGAGGAGGCCCCGACTTGCAGCAAGTCAATGCGCCCATTCGGGCTCGGCTCTTATCCTCCCGAGCGCCCGAGTCCGAACACCCCCAGCCTTCACTACCCGATTCACCTCATTGCACGATCCGAGCATGACGGTAGCCGTAGCTTCCACGAGTGCTACTATGGGACTCTCATCCGAACCACCCAACCTCGTGCTAAGGCCGACGACCGACGCCGAGATCGAGCAACGACTTGCGGCGCTCGAGGGCGTACTGCGCTCATTTGGAGCGGACCATGTCACCCAAGCCAGTGCCGAGCAGCTGAGGAGACTAGTGAGGTTTCGGGCATCATCGGAAGAGATGGAGTGAGTCTGCTGGGTGGCAGGAGGTAGGAGATGGCAGATGACGGTGTGTGGTGGGCGCGGGCGGTGCCCCACCTGCTGGAGCTGATGCGTGCGTGAACCGCATTCACGGACAGATTACCCAAGCAGATCCTTGCTGGCGTATTGATCTTGCTACATGTTTTGCCGAATGGGACACTAGGTGTGACGGTGGGTCCTCGCTCGGCGTGGACCGTGTGGGGCTCAAATCTCCCGAAACGTCCGGGGTCTCTGATGCTTCGTCTTGCAATTCCCCCTGTACAGCTCACTACAAGAAGTGCCAAGCTTCGGGCTCACCCGGGGGACACGGCATTACCTGGAGGCAAATACGACCCGGGTGATGCGACGATTGAAGACATTGCCGTGAGCGCTCAGTTTTCTCAACCTTGGCCCGAACGTCGTGACTCCCGACTTGAACCACTTCAATAACTGACTCGTCACCTTACGATGGACTATCTTTGCAGCTCAGAGAAGCAAACGAAGAAATTGGCTTGTCCCTCGCGACCCCTTCAGATCTTTTGCAACTCACGCGGCTCCCAAGTTTTGCTTCGGCCAGTTTGCTCGTCGTCGTCCCCGTCGTGTATCTGTACACACGCAAGGGACCGCTACCCGAGTGGGTCAAGAACGAGGACGAGGTCGAGCATATTTTCACACTGCCGTTGCATAGTCTCGATCCGACAAGGAGGACGTTGTCGTGCCCAGTCGAACGCGCGTCGACAAAGGCACCGCTTGATACCGATGCACCGACCCAGCCCCACGACGCGGCACATTCGGATGTGGATATTACTCTTGAATACACTTATGTCGACATCCCGTGGTTGGACAACTGCCCGTACCGCCTCCGATCGTTCGACTCGAACGCACTCCCGTCAAAAATTTCGGGCTTGACGGCCGACATCCTCTTGCTCCTGCTGAGGATCGCAGACGACCGAGTGGGGTCCGATCTCGTCGCACCTGGGGAGGGAGGCGGAGAAAGGGGTGGGGAGGAGGATTGGCATGCCTTTGCCCCGGGGCAAATGGAATGGGAGGACCTCGTCAAGAGAGCCATCGCCGAGCCGAGGGGCCCGAAAGCGGCGAGGATCAAGTATAGTCGGATTGTGGCGGGGAGTACTAGTCAGTAGTATTTAGCAGGTTTAGTGGCGAGGTACATGTGCAAATCATAGACCAATCTATCACTCGTCTTTTGATCCGCGGACTTACGAAAGGCATTTATCACCCTGAAAATCTAATCGTTGTACCGCACCCAGGGGGCTTTGGGAGCGGCTAAGGGCGTCGATTTGGGCGAGGAGGGCTTGGAGGTCGGAGGTCGGCTCGATAACTTGGAGGGCAGCCAGAGGGCTGTTTGCGGCGATGGGTGGGGCGACAATCGACTTTGATCGGGTCATGATTGTGTGTGGCGAGGGCGGAGGATGGCTCGGGGAGGGAGGAGTGGTCTCTGAGCTGGGGGACTCGGAGGATTTTTCAACGAGGGGAGACACCAGATTCCGTGGGATGGAAAAGGAGATCGACCTTGCAAAGTGTCTTACCCACGGTAAGACGCGTAGCGACAAGCTGGCGCAGGTCGGCCTCTTTGGAAGCGAAGGCCGCGTTGTCCTTTGATGACAACTGGCATCGCACCGCCGGGTGCGGCGGGGAACTGCTTGCCGAGCGCAGCAAAGACCGGTTCGGGTGACGAGCCAGGTGGGGTTTTCACGATAATGCAGTTTGCGATGTCGTGGAGGAGAGGGGCTCGGAGGCGGTGGTGGCGGTGGCGGTGGGGCCGGTGACTCGGTGGCGGTGACATTGGTGGCTTTCGCAGGCGACGTGGCGGCAACGGTGGCCGAGTAGGATTTGGTAGGTAGGCTGGCAGGCCCGATTAGGGAGGGAGGTCGGGAAGATGGTTGGAGGGAGGTCCAGTGGATCTGGTGTTGACGTTGTTGGTGTTGTTGTCACTTATGGTTACTCTAACTACTAGTAAAAAAAAAGCGTGAGTTAAGGAATGTACCTAAAATCGCTGTCTATAACTAGGTTGCGGCCCGGAGGGCCGCCTGTGGTGGATGTACCAGCATACTGTTGTGTCTGCCGCACCTGCCTGTGGTGGCCATGTTCCGATCAGAAGTCGTGTACAAGCTCTGTGGCGACTTTTGTATTTTTCACGCCAGTCGAACAAAGCTACAGCGTTCCCAGCATTTTCCTTCACTTTTTCATTGACATAAAACAGTGCGAACACTTATATTGTATTTGATAGACGGAAAGCGCGTGGTTTTGTATGATATTGCTTCTACAGCAGAGCTCCGCCTGACGGACGGGGCCAGGGCTGGCGTCTGTCACGTGATGCGGCGCACCAGCGGTGTCAGTGTCATTCCGGCGGCCAATTAGGGGCTGAACAATAAATCACACCCTGTGAACAAACCCGCGACACTCCCTCTAACCTTTTCTTTTCCTCTCCCACTCTCATCAAATTTTGTGACATTCATTCAAGAAGAAACCCTCTCCACTATGCCCCGGTCCTAAGGTCGCCAGGGAGGGCCAAGTCCTAGGTGAAAAATAGTTTCTCTGCTGTCTTTCTTCATGATACCGTTTGATTCTCCTACTATGAATCGTCCCGTTGATTTAACGGGATCCCACTGGTGTCTGAAAAAATCAAGTCACTCCGGAGAGGGACGTAGGGAGAGGGGAAATATTAGACTAAGAGCGTTGGCGTGCATCAGTGCATCAACAACGGCGATTAAGTAGAAGGCTAGCCTGTGGTCGATACACCGCTCAGTAGCCGTAGAAGGATTGAATTTGACATAGACCGGTTCAATGTCATCGTAGTGCTCAGCCTCAGCAATTATGTTGAGCCTCTTGCCGGCCATCAACGGAAACTTTTTCTTGAACACAACATAAGTTTTCTTTAACACCGCCCCCTCCCCCAACACAAAAGCCTCGGGTAAACTCAACGGCACGCTACGCCTACCCAAGGTATGAGATGGTAGGTGAGGCCGTGAATTGGGCCAGGCCATTCATTGGGATGCAGCCGTCGACCACAGTCTCCCCTGAACCGGCTTACCATCATCTTGTCGCCTGAACCCTTGCGGAACCCTGCGTTTGACGTTAGGGCGCAGAAGACTCTCCGACTCGGCATCTTCGCACTAGCCATCGGGCGGGCGGGGTGGGAGACAGAAGACAAGTACTGATGTCCCAAACCCATCGGGCGTCATCCCGTGATCAATTCAAATGGGCCGAGCTCTCCTAGGCTTTGCGGGGATCTCCCTCACGAGCCAAAGAAAGTAAAAGATCAACTACATGGTGCAAGAAGCATGCGCACCAAGAAAACTGTGCGTTTCAGAGACAGAGAACAGAGAACACAACCAACATAAGCAAGAGGATGTCAAGTGCTGTAGCACCAGAGAGGCGGCGGGTGGCTGGAGAAAGTCTTCCTAGGCCGTAGATCGGAGTCTCTCCTATCCTGTCGGTGGGTGGTTCGTGTGACGGGTAAGAGCAATGGTGTGCAGATAGGGTTGTGCAAGCGGCGAGTAAAGAGTGCCCTTGGGCCTGAGGCCTGAGGAAGATATCGTCGACCGCAGTATATCTTGGGACAACAAGCGGCCAAGCAGACCCCTCGCATGCGCTAGCCGTCTCGCCCCCTGTCTAAGAGCGCGCCAATGTTCAGCACCTCCGGTCCGCCGGCTGGCGACTGCCCATCGCCTGCTGATTGATCACATCACATGCCCCTGTCGTAGTGAACCGAGTCAGATGATCATCGAGTCATCCCTCAGAACTCGTGGGCTCTCGTCGAGCTCAAAGGTGGTGCGACTGTATGCATGCGCTCGGGTCCACCCTGGACCTGAACCTGAATAGCGTCATGTTCTCATTGACCGTGACCCTCGCTGGACGTATCTACGCAAATATGTCAGAGGTCCTCAGGTCTTTTTGTTCCACTTAGTTAGCCCTTTTAGGTGGATGGTGATGACCTCGGTATCTTGCACCGTTTTATCCTCGGTCTTGACTCCTGAGGGAGATCCCCCCTCGTCACTCGTGCGACCTTATTCGGAGGACCGGCTAAAGGCCGACATGGGGCCTGCTGCGAGGTCCATGAGTCTCTTTCCCTCCCGCCATCATCCACCCGCTCCGGGCTGACACACGCACTCGCTTACTTGAAGGACAGTCCAGGTGAGTATCGTCTCATCATGCACCCATATTTACGCGTCCCAGCTCCTCACGCTCGAAGAGGCTCGTGCTGATCGAGCCAAGCGGCTGTCGCTGCCAACCTCACCTCCTCTCCTTCGTTTGACTGTCAAAAAGGAGCAGCCAGGCTCGCAAACCACATCCGCCTTCAAACCAAATCACGGCGAGTACAAAGCGGGTGCGTTATCCGGCTTCTGCATTTCGCAATGCTTCATTGCTGGGTGATTCGCTAAAGTTCTCTCGATCCTTTTACAGCTGGACTGGCGCTGGTAGCGTTTATGGCCGCTGCAACTGCCTTACGCGTGTTCGTGTTCTGGTGGTGCTACCACGACTTGGTGTATCGAGCGTGCCTCGGTATCCTGATGACGGGCACGGGATTTACCATGGTCGAGGTCTTCGACATTGGGGTGGCGTTTGACGGTGACATCAAGCAGAGCAGCGATTGGGTGTGAGTAACGTTGCCGGCCCCAATAAAGCTGATCTTCAGACCGATCATTGATATTTTCTTCGCATGCTACCAGACAAAACTTGGTGGAAAAAACCCTCTCGACGACGTTCCTGGTGGCGTTCGCGTTCGACCTGGTGTCGTCGAGCAAAGAGCGCGGAGTCATCTTCCGCGTTCTCGACATACCCGACGCCAAGTTGTCCAGCGGATTGAAGATCCTGCTTGGCGGCTTCGCCGTTATCGACTGGCTCGTGGTTTCCGCCTGCTTCACATATTGTGGCATACTGTTCTTTTACGTGCCGACATATTATATCTACACGAATTTTAAGAAACCAATCAGAACCGCCGACTCTACACCCACATCCATCGTCACGAAGCTAGGGCGGACTCAGGACATCCTCGTCAACATGTACGACTATGGCGCCTTTGCCGCAGCGCTCCTGATTTCGCCGGAACGAATTGTGATGCGTCTAGTGTTGAGGTTTTTGAACGTTGACCTTGAGAACGTGAGTAATCTATCGACTGTGCGGTGCAAAGGCGGTATGGGCTGAACGCTGGCTGACGCGTTGCTACGACAAACCACCAGTGGTGTCTACGAGATCCAGCACTGGAGACGCCGGCTACGAATCCCCATCCTCCCGAGCCTCCCTTACCGCACCCACCTGGGGACCCATCCTCTCGACGCCAAGCTCAGTTGGAACTACTTCGATCGGTAAGTATCGCACCGCTCGTTCGACCGGGAGCGGCTTGATTCGATTCGCCAGCTAACGCGGGCTCCGGCGGCTCCGACTCAGGGGTCAGCTTCGTCCTCAACTCCAAGGCCAGCGCTCCCCCGAAGGGTAAGCATCTGACAGCTCGTCCGAGAGGCAAAAGACAGGCGAGAATCAACCCACCAACTGACTGATGAATGGTCTCTCTACACACTTTGCGATGGCGATAGCACTCTGCGCCAGCTGCAATATCGCGGGAGATGACTCCGATCCGGCAACCCGCCGCCGCCTTCCTTACGGGCTCTACGATTCCGATCCGAGAATCATCTCTCGCGGCTCCGACTCAGTCGTCAGCCTCGAGCCCAACTCCCAGTGCAGGTCGACTCGCGCGAACACCTGGTCGCTTTCGATTGGTAAGCATCTGAGAGCTCGTCCGGGCGGCAGCAACGACGAGCGAGGACCAGTCCACCGACTGATTGGCAACTGAATGACCTCTACACAGCCTTCTCAATGGAAAAGCAAGTCTTCTACGCCACCCGAGTCAACGGGATCCACGATGACGACTCCTCCGTTCCAACGACGCCAGTCGACGATCATCAACATGTACCCCTTGACGCCACCACCTGCCGCCTCTACGTCCGCCGAGATGACCCGTGAACAGCCGGCGACCGAGGAACAAGGCGAATTCAGAACCCCGAGAAAGAATTCATCAGTGATGGCCGCAGCGCGAGAGTCTTCAGCAGCGTCAGGAAGAAGGACAAGAAGAGGGATTGAGTCTGTGCATGGCCCGAGGCCTTTGCCCGAGGTCCCATGGAAGGTGATGGAAATGGAGTTTAGTGCAGTTAGCTCGCGCGCGCCTAGAACCTCTCTTGGCATCCGCCAGGTCACTGACCCGAGGTTCTAGGTGCGTTTCTCTTGTTTGTGTAGTATCGCCAGGTCACTGACCCGAGGTTCTAGACGTGTATTACTACCGTTTGATCCTGTCTATCGTTCTGGAGTACGGTTGCACGCGGTGCTTCCAGTCTGTCACTAAGTTGACATCTCTTTACTTCGCCAACTCTTTTCGTTCTTCATCTCCCTTCCCAGACTCATTCCTTCTCCATCTCTTCCCGATGAACATCGCTACGTCCATGCCTCAAGCCCATTCAGAAGTACCATACCCATTCACACATCATCTCCCAGGTCAACAACTGTCAAAGTGCCACTGCTCTGCATGTCTGGGACCCCAAAATACATGAGGTCGAGAGTTGTTGAATAGCAGGTTTTACATGATCGCAGTAGATTCATGTCAATCACCCAGTAAAATGGTGTTTGTAAAAGCTAGTGTAAAGCACTGCCATAAAGCGTAGCTAGCTCGTTATTTCCGATGACGGCAATGACGACAACCCCGGTTGTGAAGAGGATGTTGCCGAGAAAGTAGGCGCCGACTCGGATGCAGCTACGCAGCGTCAACTTTGATCACGTCAGCCTCTTGTGGCTCAGCACGACGATGAACGCCTGCAGCAGCGAGAAGCTACACAGCAGATCACCGAGCACCACCAGTGGGAAATTAATCGTTGACCTGCGCGCGATGCGCGTCTTTTGCGAGGCGTGATCCAGGACCATGCGCCACTCAAAGACGACGTAGAAGATGTTGATGACCGCGGCGATGATGGCGCTGTAGGCCGTGATGAGGATCTGGTGCGTGACGAGGAAGGGCTCTCTCTCTCCATTCGTATCCATCGCCAGAACCAGTACGATTGCTTGTTGCGCCGGCACTCGACCTCGATCAGCACCAGTTGGGTGGCCGTGAGCGCGAAGATGATGAGAGAGAAGCACACGAGGAGGACAATGAGCCGCGCTTGTAACGCACGTGGGGTGTAGCCGGAAACAACATCACGGCTAGACGAGCCACATCTGTTGGAAAGTCGGCTCCCTTGGTGTCAGGATTAAGCCCGTTTTCCAATTTGGACCGTGGCTGCCAACACGACTACAAGCGAGACCTATCAAGGGAAACCGACAATGGGTTCGAAAAGTGAAATAGCGCTTCAGCCGCCGGAGATCCCTCAAAGCTCCCAGTGATCGGAGCGCGCGGGCGAGACCTGACCAAACTTGACGAAAGCGAGTCGCAAAAGGCAAGACTGTGCAAAACTATACACTACTCGGGCCGACTTGGCAGAAGGTGGACTCACCGGACTGATGGATCACTAGCGACTGATGGCAATAGAAGAATTTGCGTTTGACCAAAGAACTTCATCGCCGACCACTGGATCACCGAGAAGTCGCTGCGCATTAAAGCCTGACAAGTAACACTGAGAAAGCTTCACTCTTATTTACAACACATGTCTCACAGGTTCGTATGACTACAAGCGGGAGAGCGTTCGCGGGCGGCGTTGGCCACTCTTAGCGTCGACGTTCTCAACTTTGTCCGTCTCTGAGTTCGAGTCAGGCAGTAGCTCAGGTAGCCCCATGACCTCCGTGCTGGCCTCGGCTCTCGTGTCGACGACGCTTTTGAAGCCAATCACGGGGTCGAGACCAAAGTGCACTCCTCTTCCTGCACAACGCCGCGACCGACCGACGTAAGCATTTTGTAGACGCGGCAGCCGAGGTCTCCGAGGCGTCAGCGAAGCGAAGGCCAAGGCGAGCAACGAGCGATATCTGTGAGCGCAAAGGCAAGGACTCACTTCGGATATGATCGATTTCGTCGTTGGAGAGATAACCAGGGTGAGAACGAGTCGCAATCGTACACCCAAAATTTTGGAACCACTCTCTACGGTCAGGCGCCCAGGACGGCAGCCCGCCGTAAGGAGCGAGCCGCACGGCAAGGTTGTCGGACTCGCGCAGGGGTGGATCGATACTGGGGAAGTTCTTGTTGCATTGGAGGATATAGACCTTTCGAATGCGATGCATGTCTGTTACGGCGTGGACGATAAATGGTCAGGTCCGCGTGCGCATCGGCGGTATTCTGCACGTACAGATACCGGTCCATTGCTCGATCTGACACATCAGGGGACCATTGGTCGGTGCGAATCGCCACAAGTCCTTCCAATCGTTACGCACTGCGGCGGAGAAGATGTTATAGCTCAAGTTGCCTCGGGCCTCTTCCCACCGCTGCTCGGAATGCTCCTCAAACGCCTTGATATAGGTGTCCAGTTCCTCCCACCTCGCTCCCGAGACGGCGTGCCAGATGACCTCACTCTCGTGGTAGTGAAAAGCCTCTTGTTGGCGACCGAGGAAGCAGTAGAACTCCGAGATCGTCTCCGGCAAGAAGCGGTCGTGCTTGTCGAGAACTACCCGCAAGGGAATGCCCATTGGTGCCGCCCAACACTTTGGCAGATGTTGGGGAGAGGTCGAAGCCTAAGGTCGGAACCTTGGCTCGGTGGCTCGGTCGCTCGGTGCTACTGATCGGCGATGACGCGCTGAGGTGTTTCCTCGCGTCGATGACTCAACAGTCGAGCGCTTGGGATGCAGGGGCCAAGGTGTCAGCCGGCGGCGGCGTAGTATCCACACACTCCAGCTTTTTATTGTCCTCGCGCGCGAGTTTTGGACTGATTTCCGCCGCCTAATTCGGCCGGGCGTTTCGGCCTCCCTGGTTCGTCGCCACAGCACGTGACCAACGCCAGCCAACGCCCGGGCGGTCCAAGCGCAATGTTTGTAGATGTTGCCCGCGCGCATGAATAAATAGCGCTGTTCAACCAGATTCTCTCTTTCCTTCCTTCCGTGCACTTGCATGGCCTGAACCATCTTCACCACACCAACACCATGACGTCAAACCCTTTCTTCGACTCATGAATGTCGTACAAGACTACGCGCCCTCTCGTTGCACCGCCTGACGCCGAATCGATACAAGCAACATTCGTTGCCGTCGACGAGTTCCCCGACTGGCTGGCGAGACACCGTGCGACGATCAATTGGCCGCGCCACATCAATTAACGCCCAGCGTTTGCCCAAAGATGGCTCATCGACCCGGCCGAGGCGACCGACACTCGACTTGGGACTCGACGGCGCAGACAGTCGCATACAGAGATCTACTTTGACCAACCTCGAGTCCATGTTGCGTACCGGAAATCGCTTTGGGAGGGAGCTCGCACCTGCCAAAGCTCGCGCAGGTTGGGATACGGCCGAAGAGACGGTCCTGCGCCTCTGCCTACCACCAAGCCGAGACCGACGCACCCACAACCGTCCTACGTCGAGCACGGACGTGGCGATGCTTATCTGCGATTCCTACACGGGAGATCGTGGACCGCATGACCTTTATCTCCAAAGGCACAGTGATCGATGTCCTGACTTGGTCGGCCCAAGTACCAAATCGTTAGCTCGCTCCATCTGTCTGCGATGCCTCTCCGTTACCCACTACTCTTACCCGCAGAGGAAGATAGCTTCCACCTCAACACTCCTCTTTGCGGGTTCCACCAACCTGGGCCGCCGATCTGCAAAAACTGAAAGCAGAATCCACAATGGTGTCCGCTTGTCGGTTTCGGTCTTGATGTCGAAGGCGAAGAGGAGGACGAAGACCGCGATGATGAGGATGAAGACGGCGAGGAATGAACGTAAGCGCTTTCGGCTCATTTTTACGTGTTCCTTTCTGTTGAGACGCAAGCACAGACTGACATAGAATGTTTGAACATCTAGCACGAAGGTCAAGGAGAAGGGGTCGAGTGGATCAACCCAAGTCTCGCATTTCCCGCATTGCACCCAGCGTCTCTTCCCCGAGTCCGTGATCGACGGAGACTTCCAAGCCGACACCGATCGGCTAAACTACATCCAGTATCACCAAGAACGCTTGCGCCTCACCACGGCACAAGGTGTCACCAACGCTATACTAATCCTAATCGAATTGGACGTTCGGTGAATTTGAGCTCGACGTTCAAAAACAGGCCGCGCGAGATCACGCAGCGTTACCAAGATGCGGTAGCGTGCGTCGTCAGATATGGAAACCTTCGATGTTCATCACGGTGACGTCCAACCCCGAACGGCCGGATCTCAAGGCTGCACTGGGGCCGAACGACGAAGCACGCAACCGTCCGGATATCATCGTACGAGTGTTTGAAGCCAAGTTGGACCGACTCTGCGACGACGTTTTGGGCGGCAAGCAACGGGCGGCTGTTTCGGCGATAAACGGTTGATCGTTTCTTTACTATACTGTACTTCGTATTGTGTTCTTTTACCACTGCTCAATCCACGTCTCCTGCTATTTGATTTTCATCATCCCGTTAATTCAAAGGGTTCCCACTGGTAATAGATAAAATACATGGTGCACGAAGCATGCGCACTAAGAAAACCGTGCGTTTCAGAAACAGAGAACAGAGAACACAAAGAACATAATCAAGAGGATGTCAAGTGCTGTAGCACCAGAGAGGCGGCGGGTGGCTGGAGAAAGTCTTCCTAGGCCGTAGATCGGAGTCTCTCCTATCCTGTCGGTGGGTGGTTCGTGTGACGGGTAAGAGCAATGATGTGCAGAGAGGGTTGTGCAAGCGGCGAGTAAAAAGTGCCCTTGGACCTGAGGATGGAGATAGCGTCGACCGCAGAACATCTTGGGAGGACAAGCGGCCAAGCAAACCCGTCGCATCCGCTGGCCGTCTCGCCCCCTGTCTGAGAGCGCGCCAATGTTCAGCACCTCCGGTCCGGCGGCTGGCGACTGCCCATCGCCTGCTGATTGATCACATCACATGCCCCTCTCGTAGCGAACCGAGTCAGATGATCATCGAGTCAGAACTCGTGGGCTCTCGTCGAGCTCAAAGGTGGTGCGACTGTATGCATGCGCTCGGGTCCACCCTGGACCTGAACCTGAATAGCGTCATGTTCTCATTGACCGTGACCCTCGCCGGACGAATCTACGAAAATATGTCAGAGGTCCTCAGGTCATTTTGTTCCACTTAGTTAGCCCTTTTAGGTGGAAGGTGATGACCTCGGTATCTTGCACCGTTTTATCCTCGGTCTTGACTCCTGAGGGAGATCCCCACTCGTCACTCGTGCGACCTTATTCGGAGGACCGGCTAAAGGCCGACATGGGGCCTGCTGCGAGGTCCATGAGTCTCTTTCCCTCCCGCCATCATCCACCCGCTCCGGGCTGACACACGCACTCGCTTACTCGAAGGACAGGTGAGTATCGTCTCATCATGCACCCATATTTACACGTCTCGGCTCCCCCCCCCCCCCCCCCCCCCCCTTCGAAGGGGCTTGTGCTGATCGATCCGAGCCGCTGCCGTTGCCAACCTCACCTCTCCCTAGTTGACTGGCAAAATGAGCTCGCAAATCACATCCGCCTCAGAACAAAAGCGCAGCCACTACAAACCGGGTGCGTTATCCGGCTTCTGCATCCCGCAATGCTTCATCGCTGGGTGATCCGCTAAAGTTCTCTCGATCCTTTTACAACTGGACTGGCGCTAGTCGCTTTTATGGTCACGGCAGCTGCTTTACGGGTGTTCGTGTTTTGGTGGTCCCACCACGACCTCATCCTTCGAACGTGCCTCGGTGTCCTCATGACGGGCACGGGACTTGCCATAGTCGAGGTCTTCGACCTTGGGGTGGCTTTTAGTGAAGACATCAAGCAGAGCAGCGATTGGGTGTGAGTGACGTTGCCGGCCCCAATAAAGCCAATCTTCAGATTGATCATTGATGTTTTCTTTGCATATGCTACCAGACAAAAGTTGGTGGACAAAACTCTCTCGACGATGTTCCTGGTGGCGTTCGCGTTCGACCTGTTGGCGTCGTGTAAAGAGCGCGGCTTAATCTTTCGAGTTCTCGACATCCCCGACGCCAAGTTGTCCAGCTCTTTCAAGATCCTACTTGGCGGCTTCGCCATCATCGACTGGCTCGTCATTTCTGCCTGTCTTACCTATTGCGCCATTCTATTCTTGTACGTGCCGACGTACCATCTCTATGCGACAACATTTAAAAAAACAAGGATCCTCGCTAGTCAAGCTGGCGGTTTGGATTGTTTTTCAATTATTGTCGCTTAAAGATGGTACGTCGGCACGTACAAGAATAGAATGGCGCAATAGGTAAGACAGGCAGAAATGACGAGCCAGTCGATGATGGCGAAGCCGCCAAGTAGGATCTTGAAAGAGCTGGACAACTTGGCGTCGGGGATGTCGAGAACTCGAAAGATTAAGCCGCGCTCTTTACACGACGCCAACAGGTCGAACGCGAACGCCACCAGGAACATCGTCGAGAGAGTTTTGTCCACCAACTTTTGTCTGGTAGCATATGCAAAGAAAACATCAATGATCAATCTGAAGATTGGCTTTATTGGGGCCGGCAACGTCACTCACACCCAATCGCTGCTCTGCTTGATGTCTTCACTAAAAGCCACCCCAAGGTCGAAGACCTCGACTATGGCAAGTCCCGTGCCCGTCATGAGGACACCGAGGCACGTTCGAAGGATGAGGTCGTGGTGGGACCACCAAAACACGAACACCCGTAAAGCAGCTGCCGTGACCATAAAAGCGACTAGCGCCAGTCCAGCTGGAAAAGGATCGAGAGAACTTTAGCGGATCACCCAGCGATGAAGCATTGCGAGATGCAGAAGCCGGATAACGCACCCGCTTTGTATTCATCTTCGAGACAAGGATTCTGCATGGTTGAAGGAGTGGGATTTTACGTTTGTGATTGATGTGATGCGGAGGCGGAGGCGGATGATTTGCCTCCTCTCGCGCTGGCACTGTCTGCGACGATCCGTCCTCATACAGTGACACCTCTTTGTTGCAAAGGTAGGCTGAGCCGATCTATGGACTTGTCCAACAGTAGTTGCAGCCAACTGACATCTAGAAGCTTTGTTCGCAGACTCCAAATTGTGATCCGATCCACCATCTCGAAGTTGGTGTGTTGGGAATGAGGGTTAGGAACCGCGCGTTCTTTGGTAATCTGTTTAGAAGCGCTCGTCTGTTTAGTGAAGCCTGGCGATGCGCACCAACCGTTGTCTTCTCTCCACGGTTGGATTACACGCTCGTCAGGTACGCATGTTTAGCTTCACAGCCACTTTCGTTGCAATTAACTGACGGTTGGATTACACGCTCGTCAGTCTCTTATTTGGTAGCGTCTGTATTGCCGCAAGGCACAGATCCGCACGCAGAAAAGGCGCAGCGCATATCCAAGATGGCTACGACCACGGTGGATTCCGGGTCCGCCATTCATCGCGGCCTTATGGGCGACTTGTATGGCAACGTCGACGCCACGAATTGGGGAACGGCCAAGGATCGACTCCAACGGGTGTTGGAGGGCGATGGCCGGTTCAAGCACGTCACCACCGAACTCAGCGTTGGCCCAGAGCCCGAACAGTCCGAGTTCACCCGTACGCAAGGTGGCTCCACAGTGGCCGACGTAGCCACGTTCCGTACACAACATCGGATCTACCGTCATGACGTCGACGACCTCGATCAAGCCTTGGCGCAGGCCCGCAACATCTTGTTCGTGTGCCTGGGGGAGGCCACGTTCGCGCGCATTGCAGATCAGCCAACGCACGAGCTGTGGGCGGCCCTCGATAAGGATCTCGGCGCCGCATCCCACGACTTCGCACGGTCGGAGAAACTCGATGCCCTGTTTTCGTACCAAGCCTACGTCGACGGAGACCCTCTCGACCCTTGGTTGTCGCACTTCAACCGGTTGTTCACCGATCTCAACGCCGCGCACGTTTCCCGCGACAAGGCTTACCAGCGCGCCAAGATCGACGGGGTCAAGTACACGCAAGCTGAGTTTGACAAATGGGTTCCGCCGCCTGCGTTGTCGGAAGGCATCCGCATGGACCTCTTGAAGGCGAGGATGCCACGGCCTATTGTCACGGTTATCGACGCCCTCGGCCCTCTCCCGTCGCTGAGTGATGTGGAGGGCGCGATTCGTCGCGCGGCGATGTCTCGCTCTTCCGGCACCGACGTCGCCGAAGCCCTCGCGGCGAAGACTCAGGGTCGTCGCAGGCGCCCCGCTCGTTCGTCCGGCAAACCGAAGTCCAGTTTTCTCTCGGCTTCAAAGGTACCGGGTCTCGTGGACAAGTGGCCGCACGGGGTTGCGCAGAACGGTCGCCTGAGGCTGGGCCCGTTGCAGTGTCGGAAATGCTACGAGCAGGGTCATCTTGGCGACGAATGTACCGTCCCCGCGACCGAACTGTCCCGTCGTCGGGTTGCCGTCTTAGCCAAGCACAACATCTCCATCGGCGCGGCCGACGCGATGGCGCTCGTGGCTGAGTACGGTCCCGACCCATCGGTTGACGACGACTCTTACGAGAATTTTTTTGCCGACGTCGCCCTTGACACCGAAGTCTCTGCGCTGTACTTGCACGACGGTCCCCGCTACCTCCTCGACTCGGGGGCGACGCGCCACATGACCACTCGTCGGGATCTCTTGGTCGATTTCCAGCCTTTCACGACGGAGCGTGTGCGCGTAGTCGGCGCATTCAAGTCCAGCGCCATGGCTGTCGGCAAGGGCACCCTTCGCTTTGACGCCAATGGGGTGCCTCTCGAGCTCCGCGACGTCCTTCTCGTCCCGGGTCTGTCCGCCGAGCTCGTCTCTCTTGCCAGTCTCATGAAGGGCGGGTACCAGCTGTCTGGGATTTGCGACGCCGCGGGCGAACACTCTGGTCTCACCGTCTCGGGTCCGGCTTCGAACCTCACCTTCGCTCTCGATCGCAACCACTACGTTCTCCAGGCGCGTCCGGCCTCACCTCCTCTGGCGGATCACCAAGCGCTGACAGCCACCTCCTTGCCTACAGATGTAGTGCTTTGGCATCAGCGTTTGGGTCATCTGTCCTGGGGTCGTTTGGTAGAACTTGCTAAGTCGGGCGACATTTCCCTCGACATCTCTGCTGTAACCCGGGATCAACTTCGTCTCCTTGATCAGTGCGATGCCTGCTGCTCCGGCAAGGCCGTGTCTGCCCCCAGTCGTGAGGCTGCCCACCACCCCGCCGACGCACCTTTCGCTCGGGTCTTCGCCGACGTGTGGGGGCCTTCCCCTGTCCCTGCTCTCTCCGGCGTCCGATATCTGTGCGGTATCACGGATGAATACTCACGTTTTCGCTGGGTTCGCGGCATTCGGCTCAAGAGCGAGGCTTCGTCCGTACTCAAGGGCTTCGTTGCGATGTCGAAGATCCAGTACGCTGGCCCGGGAGTGGCGACCTTGCGCACGGATAGGGGGGGTGAGTTCGTCAACAACGACCTCCGGGATTGGCTTGCTGAGCGGGGCATTTTTCACGAGCTATCCACGGCATACGAGCACGGTCAGATGGGCATACAGGAGCGGAGTTGGCGTACGATTTTCAACTCTGTTCGGGCGTGGCTTCATCGTTCGGGACTGCCGTCATCGCTGTGGGAAGAGGCTGCGCAGGCGGCCATCTACGTTATCAACCTCCTCCCGTCGTCGCCTCTGCAGCAGCGCACCCCTGATGCCGTTCTTCACGCCGCTGCGGGTCCCGTTACGTCCACCCGTCGTCCCCGCATCGATCGTGTCAAAACCTGGGGCTGCGCCGCCCAGGTACCGTTTGCTCCCGAACAGCGTTCCAACAAGTTGGCTCCGCGTTCGCGCCTGTGCTACTTTGTCGGGTACTCTTTGCGCTCTAAGGCCTGGCGCTTCTACGACCCGGTTGGCAACAAGGTCTTCGAGTCGTCTCAGGCCAAGTTCTTCGAAGATCGCTTCTTCCCCGCCGCGGCAAACCCTGTACCTACTGTTGTTGCGCCCGCCGTTCTGTCCTATCCGTCCGCCCCGCGCAGGGTTCCTCCTCCCGACCTTCCCCCTGACGACGACGATACTGTCAATCCTGCGGGCGTCGCACCTGCCGTCGCTGCCGCTCCCGCTGTTGCCCCCGCCGCTGCCGTCCCGCCCGCGGCTGGTCCGGTCGACGTTGTGGCCCCACCTGTTCCGCCCTCCCTCGTGTTCTCCAACCCGGGTCCGGCGAACGCCCCTCCTGTGGGTGATCGTTCCACTCGTGCTCGTCGCCCCCCTGACTACCTGGGTTTCGCCCGCGCGGCTCACGACTTGGAGTTCGCCGCGCACGCCTCCGTCTCGATCGAGGACTTTGACGAGGACGATCCCGAAGTCCAGCTGTACTCGTACGAGGAAGCAACTGCCTTTCTTGCCAAAGTCGACAAGGACGACGCCCCTTCCGTTCGCGCGGCACTCGCTGGTCCGTTCCGCGACTACTGGCTGGCGGCCATGGCGACCGAGGAGGGCGCACTGGCGGCGAAGCAAACATTTTCCAAACCGCTTCGTCCCCCTCACGGGGCTATCATAATCGGCAGCATGTGGGTCCTCATGGTGAAGCGCGACGCCGAGGGCAAAATCGTAAAGTACAAAGCTCGCCTCGTTGCGCGTGGGGACATGCAGAGGCGTCGTGGTGAGCAAATTGACTCGTTCTCGCCTACTGGCCGCGCCGCCTCCCATCGCCTGCTGCTCGCCCTTGCCGTTGAGAACGAGTGGGAGACCCGGCAATTCGACGTCTCGTCGGCATACCTCAACGGCAATCTCGGTGGGACGGAGATCTACATGCGCCTGCCCAGTGGGCAAGTCGTGCGCCTTCAGCGCGCGCTGTACGGACTCGTCCAGGCGGGTAGGGAGTGGTACAAGGTCTTCACCGAGTGGATTTTGTCGATCGGCTTCACGCGTACCGACAGCGATCATGCCGTCTTCATTCGCAGGGAAGGGGACAAGCGCTGTTTCCTTTCCATCCATGTCGACGACGGACTGCTCACGGGTGACGGCGACCTCGACGGCGTTCTCACTCAGCTCAAGGCGCGTTTTGAGGCTCGCAGCACGGACGAGGCGTCTTTCTTCCTGGGTCAGAGTATAATCCGTGAGGGCAAAACGGGTGCGGCCATCGTTACTCAATCTCATTTTGTGGATGCGATTCTCGAGGAATACAACATGGCCAACGCCTCCCCGCGCCCCACCCCGCTTGCGGCACCGTCGACGCTGAGGAACCGTGTGAACTCTGATTTCGACCCCGCTTCCATACCGTACCGTGCCATTGTCGGCAAGCTTCTGTATCTGTCCGGCACTACTCGGCCCGACATCGCTTTCGCCGTGTCCAAGGCTGCTCGTTTCTGTAACAACTTCGAGGCGGAACATTGGGAGGCGCTCAAGCACATTCTCCGGTACCTCGTCGGCACTCGTAACTTTGGCATTCGATACCAGAAAACCCATCAGCCGATGTCAGCCATTTTGGAGGGTTTTGTCGACGCGGACCATGGTGCCGACCCTGTGACCCGCCGCAGCGTCTCGGGTTACGTCTTCACGTGCGCTGGCGGGGCAATCTCCTGGATCGCCAAACGTCAGACTCTTGTCACTCTGTCGAGCACCGAGGCCGAATATGTGGCCATGTCGTACGCTGCTCGTGAGGGGATCTGGTTGCGTCGGCTGCTGGCCGATCTTGGTTTTGAGCAGACATCGCCGACTCGTCTGAGGGGTGACAATCAATCGGCTATCACTCTGGCCAAGCACCCGGCTTTCCATGCTCGCACCAAACACATCGGGATCCATTTCCACTTCATCCGAGATCACATTGCGGAGGGCACAATCGAGATGGTCTGGGTGCCCACGGGCACCATGGCTGCGGACGTCCTCACCAAAGGGCTCGGGACTCAGAAGCACTATCAGTTTGTACACGCGATGGGGCTTATCGATTCATCGCGTGAAGGGGCGAGTTGGTGTGTTGGGAATGAGGGTTAGGAACCGCGCGTTCTTTGGTAATCTGTTTAGAAGCGCTCGTCTGTTTAGTGAAGCCTGGCGATGCGCACCAACCGTTGTCTTCTCCACGGTTGGATTACACGCTCGTCAGGTACGCATGTTTAGCTTCACAGCCACTTCCGTTGCAATTAACTGACGGTTGGATTACACGCTCGTCAGTCTCTTATTCTCGATTCACCAGGAATTCTGAGATTCTTTCTTTTCATTTCTCGAGATCTAATCGTTTGATCGTGGCTCTAGTTTGATATTTTTTGTATGCGCATTTTGTCCTTTGTATTGCTGCAAATCGAACCACTATTCCGCTTAACAGCCCGTCATCGATTTTGTAATACCTGAATACTTTATAACAGCCTAAGTTTATCAAACGTCGGAAGAGATCATCTAAAGCACACTGGCTAGGCCAGTAGCGTAGGACTTGATCCTGCAACAGAAACGACTATACCCACCAAAACCCCCTTGGGTGTTGTTACAAAGATACAAGGCGACCATTGGACACCTGGGTAGACACCCGTAGATCCTCGAAGGCCGTTTCGATGAACGGTTCCAAAGTTCCGATGAGATTTGGCGGCGAGAAAGCTCCCAGATCGAGTGGAAAGAGGAAACACGTAAATTGACCAGTCGACGCTTCGAGCGAGAGACAACAGGGCATACGAAGTCGGGAAAAGCGGGGTGAGGGCTGGTGAGGGGCCGGAGAAAGAGTGTAAAGCGGCCATCTCGCTCCGTGTAATTAAGGCGGCCGTCTCCTGCCGTCTCGCTAGGTCTCGACGTCAACCTTCCGATTTCGATTCCGTGCGCAAGATGGCCTTACGCCCGGATAGCTCTCGTTTTATTATTTTTTAGGCTCTCGGATCATCCATCGTAATAAGAGACTGACGAGCGTGTAATCCAACCGTCAGTTAATTGCAGATGATAGTAGCCGTAGTGCTAAATGTACGTACCTGACGAGCGTGTAATCCAACCGTGGAGAGAAGACAACGGTTGGTGCGCATCGCCAGGCTTCACTAAACAAACGCGCGCTTCTAATCAAATAGCCAATAGCCGCCTTCCTGCTAATCCTCATTCACAACACACCAACTATCGTTAACTAGACTCAACCCCTCGCCGAGTTACCGATCCCTCTCGGTACACCTCTTATCTATCGACTGTAGCTGTATCGTCCCCTGCAACTAAACTCAAGCGTTTCACCGTCTCTTCTCGTCGTTCGTCGAGTTCGCCCTGTGATCAACGCTCCGCAATTTCGAATTGCGTCTGGCCCTTAAAAAGAGCGATTCAAAGACGCCGAGCGAGCGGGCAGCCGACTGAAAGATGTGTCAGAGACTCGGGTGCGTTCGTGAGGCAAATCACGCAAGGTGTGGACCGATTATTGACCTGGGCGTAGTTCGGGGACGCAAGCTGTTGTCAGTTGACCTGGATGGAGGGATCCCAGGGAGAGGAGGTCGGCGCACTATTTCCCCGGACCCTGGATTCGCGTAATTAGCGCCCAGGCGTTCCCAGGCGTCCGGTACCAGTAGTACGCGCCGCGACGTGCCAAGGTCGAGGTTCTAGTTGGGCTTTTGATTCTGAGAAGCAGTTGACTCCGACGCCACAGTGGCAGCACGACCTTGGTGGCTGGTGCAGCCCCTTTCGGAAAATCATGGACGAACTACCGACATTGAACTGCGAAGATTCTACTACTCGGCTATGGGGTTCAGACATCTGCACGCTGCGCCATTGCGAGGAAAAATGAGCATTTGTCCGACCCAAGTCCGAGTCCGTCCGGAGTCCGAAGTCTGGACTCCTTCGAACTCAAAACCGTCCGAAAACATACTGTACGCGCCGAAAGCAAAGGATACGCCAGGATGAGAGGGATCAACCAATTATTTGGTCCAGCAAAACTTCGAGTGGGGGTGTTTACTATATTTGCATTACCACGACAGCAACGCCTGCCGACGGTGCTTATTCGATTCGGCGAAACCGCTGGCGGGAGCAGTCGAGGTTGGTTGATGTACGAAAAGGAACGCGACGCGCGCCTCGGAGCCCACTCGGGCGCGTCCCGATCAAGCTCGAATGCCGTATTGACGCTAGAAAAGGCTTCAGCCGTCACCGTATCTACTCCTGTGCTACCGTCAGGAATCAGTTGTCCTCCCCCGTTTCTGGAGGTTTGCTCCCTTGCGGTATCCTTCAACCTCCACCCTCTCACTTGCCCAGCAACCCGACCACTCCGAGGTTTCGTGGGACGGACCGACGACGACGACAAGGATAGCTTCTGTTTATTCGACGGCGATGATGACGGCAGAGCGGCCGCCGGCGCGCTCGCCATCGCGTTGTGACCAAACGACAACGGGGCATCGAAGCCTGCGAGCTCGGCCGGGGCGGCGGCGGCCTCCGCGACGCAGCAGCAGCCGTGTTGATGCACTTCCACACTTCCAGACATGGCTCCTACTCATCGTGCTCATCGCATCCGTCATGTCTCTAGCCCGGGCGTCGGACGTGCACCATCGTTCGCCGGCGCAGCGGCAGCAGCGACACTTGCTGCACAAGCGTGAGGCCCAAGCTCGGACCACCCCGATCGCCGCGACGACCGACGCGGGACCGGTCCCGACGACGACCCCGAACATTGCACCTACCACAGCACCGGCCACGACAACCGCCGTCACTACTACACCTACGACGCAACCTGCCGCCACCACAAACGGTCAGTTGTGGTGTCTTTCCCAGAGGGGCCTAGCCAGGCCAAAAGTCTCGGACGCGCTCGCCGAATGCGAGATTAGCGGTCGGGGACCAGAATGTTCAAGAGAGAGTGTCACTGATGCAGTCAGATATCTAACCGCCCGACTGCTTCTGCTGCTGATTCAGATGATGTGACGACAACAACAAAGAAAAAGAAGGCCCACTCGTCCGACACGACGACTGCGGCGGCCGTCGCGACGACGACGCCGACGACGACGACAACGACGCCCCTCTCATTGGCGGTCGCCCCCTCGAATACGACAGCGGCGGCGCCCCTCGTCGTTATCACGGTGACGTCGATCGTGACGAACCCCGACGGATCGACGTCGATAGCGGCGGTCGTCAACCCCGCCGCGACGGCGGACTCGGCGACGAGTCGCACCACGTCCGGTGGATCGTCGGCGTCGCGGACGTACGCGATCATAGGGGGTGTGCTCGGCAGCGTCGTCGGATTGCTGCTCCTGTTGATCCTGCTGTATAAGCTCGCGCAGCACCGCGGCTGGGGAGGCGACGGGCGCCTCGGTCGCTTCATCAACGAACCGTTTGGGGCTGGACCGAACGGCAAGGAGATCAAGTGGCCCGAATTGCAGCCCGACGGCCAGACCGTGTCGACGGGCCTCGCGACTTTGAACCCGATGGGGACGCGCAAGACCGGTGGCGCCGGGATCAGCATGGGCGAAAAGGATGACGAGGACGAGTTTTTGGACAACGAGGAAGAAGAGCTTAGCGGTAACGGCTCGTGGGACGAGATCAAGATGCCCGACGGGTCGATCGTGCGGCGGCCGAGCACCAAGTGCGGCGGCGTTGGCGGTGCTGCAATCCAGCGGAGCGTGACGGGAAGCATGAGCAGCCACTACACCGTCGGGGGCGCGAACGGACCAGGGAGTAGGACCAGTCACTGTCAGTCGTCCTATCAATCGCTGCAACTGGATACGTCGCGTACTGATGAAAGCCACAACCCCACCTTCACACACAGATGACTCGTACCGGTCGCCGTCGCCGGCCATGTCGTTCCACCGCCCGCAGTCGCCGCAGATCCTCTACCCCGTCAATCTCCACCGCGCCCCTTCGAACCCTCACCTCCACGGACCGTACGCGATGCACCCGCCCCCGCCCGCGGTGCTCCAATCTTACCCCTATCCGCACCCGCACCCGCACGCCGCGCAATCGGCCCTGCAGAGGTACCGGACCCTCGCCCTCGCTCCGGTGAACCACGGCCCACCGGCCGCTCCACCATCGCAGCCGCGTCCTCGTTCGCTCATGCATCGACCGTCGAGCATCAGTCTATTCCCGCTCTCGACCTCACCGGCACCCCCGAGCCCGCTCCCGAGCCCTTCGCCGACGAGCGGGGGTTCGCACTCGTCGCACCATTACCCCTCCTCGCCGCGCATGGAACAAGGGTCCGTCCATCCCGACCGGAGCAATTCCAACTCGTCGAATTCATCGCATGGATCGTCTTCGTCTTCGTCGGCGGCGCGGCGCAAGCAACAGCAGCAACAGCAGCGGTATCAGCAGCAGAAGGAGCCAGCGTTTTTGGGCCACGGGCAGGGGTTCTCGGCGGATTTGTACGCGCCGCGGGAAGGGGTCCAGAGGCAGTTGAGCGTCAGGAATGTCTGAGCGATCGAGTATACGAACACAAATCGAGCACGGGCCGGGGGCGGTGAGGAAAGGAATCAATCATGCGATAGGAATGTCGTTAAACGGCGAATCCGGTTGTTGGACAAATGAGATACCCTGTATTACTTTACTTTGCACGGTGTACTGCTTTGATCTATATATTTCTCTAGGGAACTTCCGCATGGAATACTAACGAAACCTCACGATTACCCCTTCTCACAATTTCCTCGCGAGAAGACGATCGTTAAAAACTCAAGCGACCGTCACGTCTGGGTCGTCGTTGTCGCCAATTCGGTCCACTTTTTTTCCTCCCCCGCCGCATCGACGGCGGCATCCCAAAAAGCAATCTCCAATATCGTCGCCGTCTTGAAAGTCTCCGCCAATTCGACCAACCTCGTACTCGAAACCGGTGACCCGGCCAATGAGCTTTCCAACAACTCCGTCCCCGTCCTCACGGCTTCTTGGTACCAATCTCCCGAATACGTCTCGATCCAACTCCAGTACCGATTCTTTTCCCCATCGCTGACTCTACCTTCCCATGCTTTGAGGTTTTGACCTACTTGACCGTAACCTAGTAGACAAGGGAAGGTGACGATGCGCGCGTCGAGGAGGTCACCACGCGAGCAGGTGTCGAGGACGTAACGATTGTAGGCGAGGTTCGCGAGCGATTCGGGGATGGAGAGAAGGGTCGAGCGCGAGATGTTGTACTGTTCGCAGTATTGCACGTGCACTGAAGGGACAAAAAAGCGGGGGAGGGGAGGGGAGGGATGGGGGGGCAAGAGTCAGCGATTAGGCATAGAGACGGCGTTCGTTCGCACAAAGATTAGAATTCACTCTCGGTCTCTCTCAGTACGGTCTCGACGATCTTGCTACTACCTCTCATATCCTCGACGTCCAAACCTTTGTACCCCATCAACGCGTTTGTCCTCGCGTAATGGATCAAGAAGTGATAATCCTGCGTGATGAACTCTAAAAAGCTCGGCAGGGGGCAGGTCCCGTCGGCGAGGGAGCGAGGAAAGGGGTGGTTGACGTAGCGGGACCAGGTCGAGGGGGAATACGAGGTGAGGAAGTCGACGAGAGGGGTCGGAGAGAGTGGGGTCGGTCTGTGGGAAGGGAGTGTACAGGAGGTGAGTTCAGGTCGCTTTGCTCGGTAAACGACGAGGTGCTTTTCGCTCACAGCGGTAGTGATCTCTGGCCGAGGGCATGGAAGTGATGAACGGGGCCAGAGCCGCTCCCCAGCGGGTACGACGTCGCAATCGCCGTAGCGACATAATCCGCGGCGACTTTGACCGCTTCGGGGACTGCGGAGGAAGATACCCGAGCAGAAGGGTCAGGTCACGTGGTTTCGGCATTTCCGAGCCGCTTAAAACTTGCCAGAGAATCCCTTGGCGAGGTACGATGCAATCGCGCTCGAGAGCGTACACCCCGTCCCGTGGGTGTTTTTAGAGTCGTACCACCTCCGCTGCGCCAACACCTCCTTGCGCTCGACCGAGTCCCACAAGAGATCGACGACGAATTTCTCGGTGCCCGAGTTCCCGTTCGTCAAGGGCATATGCCCGCCCTTGAGATAGACCCATCGTACGCCCAATTGACCCAGACGGATCGCACAGTTTCTCATATCGTCGACGGAGCGGATCGAGCCTGGTTCCGAGGAGGAGAGCAGCTCGGCTTCGGGTATGTTCGGCGTGATGATCGTCGCTAGCGGGATGAGGTGCTTCTTCAGCGAGTCCAAGGCGTCGAATGGGAGCAGTTGGTGGCCCGAGGTTGCAACGCATACGGGGTCCAACACGAGCGGCACGGTAGGATGGTCCATCGTGGGGGTTGAAGTCGAGGCTGAGCTCGACGAAAATGTTGCACCGAGATATTCGGCGATCGCCTTGATCGTCTCGGAAGAGTACAGCATGCCTGAGGAAGACGCGAAGAAGATTCGTTGGTGTATTCGTTCACCACTTTTCCGGGAATCAAGCACGGTCCCTCACCGGTTTTGATCGCATCGACGCCAATGTCCTCGACGACGCTCTTCAACTGTTGCACGACGATCGCCGTCCTCACACCCTCGACGGCTTGCACGCCCAAGGTGTTTTGCGCGGTCAAGGCGGTGATGCTGCAGGTGCCATAACAGCCTAGAGCGGCGATCGTCTTGAGGTCGGCTTGGATCCCTGCGCCTGCACCCGAGTCGGAGCCGGCGATGGTCAGCACTCGAGGTGGGCACGAAGCGTGACGTCGGGCCGGTGCCGGAGGAGACGAAGAAGGTGGTGGTGGTGCGGAGGGTAGGGGCATGTCGGTGGTGGTGGGGAAGGGTGAGGAGGGGGGAGGGAGAGGCGAGGGCGGAGGGAAAGAAAGGGGGACGGGAGAGAGAAGCAAGGGACGCCATGAAACAGGAGCTGGGTGCACGACCGAGCGAGTCCGAGACTGGTACAGGCACCGAGTGAGCTCGAGTGAGCGACGCTCAACCGATCACACACACCGAGTGCTCCGCGGCGAATGACGATCCAACCCCGGCATTGGGAGGTAAATATTTTGAGTTTGCTCTTTGTTTCCACAAAGCGGATGCTTTTCCTTTGAGAGCTCATGGCAACTTGCCGAAAAATCGCACGTTGAACTTGGGCCAGGTCCGGCCGGTTCCGCACGCTCGCGCCTTCACTGCTCACGACATTCATCGACCTCCGAACCACTGCTCACGGGCTCGACAACCGTCAACGCTCCCTGCGCGCCGTTCACCATTCTCGTAGGCTCACAACTTCATCCTTAATTTTGCCCGGTCGCGATCCAGCGCCATTTCCACTCCAGCCTCGCGTAGCCGTTTTCGTTCGACGTGGCTCGACGCGTCGCGTGAACCCGCGTGGAACGCTCTCCCGTTCCTCTGCACCAGGGCAAAGTGAGTCGTACCTTGTCCACGACCCAATGGCAGGAGCTTTTTACCCCAGCCAACAGCTCATCCCGCTCCTCACCAGGAAATCCCCCTTGAACAGCCGCACGGATGCTAGGCGATCACGCGAACCTGCTCGTCCTCGATTCGCACCGATCGATCCAAACGCGTACCTTGCAACGCTACGCCGAACCGACCCTACGTGCGCTGATCCGAGAATGTCACCACCTCGCCGATCCGGTCGAACGTGCCGTTAGGATGTACGACCCTTCCCAGGCGTCCCCGAACGCGATCCCCGAGATGCCGCAAGACGTGTTCGCGGAGATGAGGTTACTTTCGCTCGCGTTGCAGAGGAATCGTAGAGCTTTGGAGGTGTATGCGTTGCAGAGGATCGAGATTCTCAAGACGAGGTATTGGGAAATGGGCGGTAATTTGGGTAAAGCGTTTGGAACGGGCACGGAGGTGAGAGGACATATGGTCGTGGTCGATGAGGCGTTCGCCAAGGGGTATGCGGATTTGTGCCTCAAGTTCAAGACGGGCCTTTATAACGATCCGGATGATGAGGACGACGATGAGCAGGAGGACGGGGACGGGGATGAGCAAGACGAGGAAGGCAATTTGGAACTAGACGAAGAAGAGGACGATTATGAAGGGAGAGAAGAGAGACGGGCACACCGACAGCAACGACGACCACGTCAACGACCACGACGAGGGGGAGCGGTCGCCGGCGAACCAACCAGTCTGATGGACGCGATCGACCTCTTGGGAGGAGGGATCGACCAAGAACCGCCCAAGGATTTATTCCTCAGCGTGCGCGTGCTCAAGGACGTCGGCGATGTCGAGACCTTGTCCGGTGCGAGGTTGAGTCTGACCAAGGGTAGTCAGTACTTTTTACCGCGCGAGGACGTCGAACAGATGGTCGTCTTGGGCGAGGTCGAGGTGATTAATTGAAGGTTCATATACTTTGCAATAATGCTACGAGTACACGTGTTGTTTCAAATCACCGATGCGATGCGGATGGGTATGGGTACAGCTGCGAGTGTTGTCTCGTTCTCAAAAGGATGAATCGCCCCCTCCTTGGCGTTGGGCTTCCTGGTCGGCTTCTTGTTGATCGTCCAACATGCCGACGACGACGTTCATGACCCTCTCCATCTTGACCAAGGCTTTGGCGTCGTCGGTGCCGACACTGAAGCACGGGATGCCGAGCTGGAGGCGAGTGCACGATGGTCAGGTCCGGAGTCGATTGGCATGGGGGAGCGAGGACGGGTTTGCGTTTAAAGAGGGTGACTGACCTCGACGAGTTTGGCCTGTTGTGAGAGTTGATACTCGCGCCAGCGCTGAAGCAAGGCGCGATCAAAGAGCTTCATCCTCGCGACCATGCCCGGTGCGCTGTCGGGTTCGAATCTGCCGGTCAGCTTTGTTCGTTCTGAATCGCACACGATGAAGGAATTCTACCACGCACTTTATGCCCTTCCTCTTGCCCTGTGCCTCCCATTCGTTTCGTTCTAGAAACCACTTGCGTTCGACGGCGTGTTGCTCCTTTTGTAGGGTCTGGAGCTGAGCCAACGTCGACGGTTCGTTGACGGCGATCTGGCGAAGGAGGGGCAGCGATTCGGGGAAGGTGAGGCGTGAGAGGTCCTTCTTCGGCGGTGGTGGAGCTCCTGCACTCGGAGCGGTTCGTGCGGAGGAGGTAGAGCTGTACGACGAGGAAGCAAGCGCAATTCGCGGCCGAACAGCTTCGGGGAGGACGTGATCCTGCGTCGAGCGCAGTTGGGCCAGGAGGGCATCGAGATCGGCTTGGTTCTAGACGGAAAGAGAGAGTGATGTCAGTCAGTTCGGTTGAGCGCCAAGGTGGCAGTGTATGGCGTAGAGTGAACCGATCTGACCATGGTCGGTGCACTGCAACACTCGATGCTCGATGCCAGACGGGTTGCTGGGCAGATTCGACTTGGGCGATCATCAAAGACGGTTTCGGTCTGGCAGAAGATGGCGAATGTACCTTGAAGGCGAGCTGCGACTGAGCGAGCCGCGCGGTGGCCACTGATTGAACGTGGGTCATGTGACAGCGACACACGCTTGTCCGCTTTCAAACTCGAGCGCGTGGCTCTAACTAATGACTAGTTTGTTCTAATCGGTTGCTTGGTGCGGCTTAGTGAGGCTTAGTGTTGCTCGGCGCGGCTCGGCCTTGGCGCGGCTCGTTGGGCGATCAATTCGATCTCGTTGCTCTTTCTCCCCTCCCCCCCTCCCACCCTCTACACGCACCATGGCGCACCTAATCAAGCTCGACGAGCCTTCGCTCTGGATCGCCACCGCTTCCATCATATTCGTCAGTCACTCACACCCCGTTTCCCCACTCTGTCTCACCCTCGGCTCCCATTTGCGTGTGGTGGCGAGCCGACCACGCGCACGTCATCACACCACCGGGAACGACGACAATCCACCCTGCGCAAGCCAACATAGAGACTGACACCCGCATCACCCACCACAGAACCCACTGTTTTGGAACATCGTCGCTCGCCAAGGTAACCTGCACCACAACTTGCTGGCCTACCCGGAAAGGCGGCTTCACTGACTGACCCCACCGCACTGACCCAGAGCACAAGAACAAGATCCTCACCAAACTCGCTTTCGGCAAACCTTACCTCGGATGTTATGCGTTGGCCCTGACCATCTTTTCCCTCGGCATCCTCCGTGATCATCTGTAAAGCGACCCTGCATGGCCGAATACATTTCCCGTCAAGGCTGACCTGACCGTCCGCGGTTCACTTCCCGAACGCGCAGGTACGCGACCGCGCTGTCCCAGCAACCAAAATGGTACCTCCTCCACTACACCGAAGTCAAGATCGTCGCCGCCCTCGCCTTTCTCAGCGGTGGCGTCCTCGTCGCGAGTTCGATGTGGGCCCTCGGCGTTACGGGCACCTACTTGGGCGACTACTTTGTACGCACTTCGAAGCCGACCGGAGTATAGCTATAGGAAGCTGACTCTTGAAGGGCCCCCTTTTTTTGAGCGCAGGGCATCTTGATGGATGTACGTCGTCGCGACGTCGGAGCCGTAGAGCCTTGGCTCGGGGTGAAGGAATTTTCTTTCAACCTCCCAACTGACCACATTCATGCGCGCCGCGAATAGGAAAAAGTCGAATCGTTCCCCTTCAACGTCACCGACAACCCGATGTACTACGGCTCGACCCTCTCCTTCCTCGGCACCGCCCTCTGGTACATCACACTCTCTGGCTTACAAAGTCGACCCAGACCAAAAACTGATTCTCCCCCGCGGGGCAATGTACAGGTACGAATCGTTCGCCGGACTGCTCTTGACCGCGCTCGTCTTTGTCGAGTACAAGATCGCGTTGACCTATGAAGAGTACGTGTAGCGTCTCCCTCGCCGCGAGTCCAAGCCTCGGACGCAGCGCTCTTGTCGGCAGCGCTGACGGCACCTGTTTCCTAACCCCGCCTTGTGTCAACAGACCTTTCACTGGAGCCATCTATGCCGCGCGTGAAGCGGCGAGGTCGAGGAAAGGATCCAAGACGGGCAGCGCACACAAGAGCATCACCGCTTCGGGGTCCAAGGACAAGGAGCTTTGAGGATCGCCACCAAGGCGCGCGGAGACGAGGCTTGGGAGAGGCAGGGAAAAGAGGCTTAGGAGGCGGATGCAGTTGACTCGTGTGAAGAGGCGGGATTCGAAGAGGGTGTAGGGAGGAAGGAACGGGGTGATTCCCCTCGAGTCCTCGATAGTCGTGAGCCGTGAACGGACGATGACGATCATCCGACAAAGCGAAGTATTATTCTCAAAAAAAGTTGCATGTTGTACCAAACCCCCTACCATGATGGTGATCCTTTTTCAACAAGATGCCCATCACGTATTCCCTGTATTTAGTTATTTCTCCTTTACAGTACACATGCAAACCTAGCAAGATCAACTCTGGCAATCATCACACTGATTCGGGTCGGACACCACTCGCGGGGGGCCGTGGGACGCGATCGGCACGAGCGAACCAACCAGAGCGAACCGAAAAAGCGAGCGCGTCGCAACGTGTCGAGAGAAAAGGGGGGACCTCTCCTATGGACCTTGCACCTCTCCATAACCCACCCGTCTTCTCAGACCCACGCTCTACTCGTTCGTTACCACCTCGTCACCTTCGGCACCGGTCGTATCCGCTCGTCCCACCTTAGGACGGCCACCAGAAGCTGGGTCTGTAAGTCGCGTTACGCGGTCGACGGTCGTCGTCCTTGTGGTCGTCGTCGCCCCAGCCGGCCGTCTGTTCCCGGGCCCCTTGCTTTCCCCCCCCCCCCCCACCTTTCGTCCCCGCCTCTTCATTCTCGCCGTCGGGACGTGCATCGGGTACGATGGCGCAGTTCCAGGGTCGACGGATATTGACGCTCATCGCCTTGGCCGTGCTGGGGCTGTTGCTCTATTCGACGCTGTCGAGTCACCCGAGAACATCCGCCTACGTCGCCCAGAGATGGGGTCAATCCACCGAATCCTCCACCTCACCTTCCTCGAACGACCCCAACCTCAAGGATCAATTCACGACGCCGCACATCGTGTCGACGTTCATGCACGACCCCACCAACTCGCTCGCGTTCCGCAACCACCTCGAGTTGACCACCTCCCCCGAGACGCAGATCAAGCATTCCCCGACCATGACCTTTGACCACATCTACGTTCTGAGTTTACCGAATCGTTCAGATCGCAGGGAACAGATGCTCGAATTGGCGAAAGCGCATGGGTTGAAGATCGTCTTCGTCGATGCCGTGTCCAAGGATTTGGTCTTTATCAAATGGATCGCCGAGAGGGCTTCCGAAATTCGCAAGGAGCGGCTCAAGTTGATCGTGAGTCGAACGTACAGACGACCAAACAAAGGCGACTGAACTAACCTCTGGGGACTCTCACCCGTGTTCTCTCCCCAGGCCGCGGCCAAGGACGTCGACATTGATTCGATCGGTGGCTTGCACGTCGGCAACGACTGGTTGACCCCGACGCCCTCGGGCACGTCCGAGGACGAATTCCCTTCCCTGGCGGGTACGGACCCGCGTTGGCTCCCTGACGACGACTGGGTCCAATACCTCGAACGCCACGACCGCGAAGGCAAACTCAACAAGCTCGTTCCCAAACAACGTAACCTCAACGTCACCGAGATCCTCTGGGACCAGAACGAAAAGATCGACGGCCGCCAGGTCAACGAGGGGGTCATTTCGACATTTTGGGGCCATACGAGGGCGATGCAGTTGATGATCAAAAATGGCGACGAGTCGGCTCTGTTCTTGGAGGACGACGTCGATTTCGAGTGGGATCTCGAGAGGATCTGGGCGCGCATCGAAAAGAGCTTGCCCAACACGTGGGATTCGACCTTTTTGGGCCACTGTTGGGGAAGGGAGTTGTTACGTGAGTTGCATAGAGTGCCATCGTACTGGCGGTTCCTTTGGCTCTTGTCGGCCAGTGCTGACCCCCTTCTTCTTCCCTCTGTCTGCGCGCAGGCCCGGCGTACCGTCACCCCTTGCTGCACCCTTCGGTGCAACCCCTGTGCCTCCACGGCTACGCCCTCTCGCGCCAGGGCGTCAAACGCGTCCTTTCGTTGCTCAACAACCCGTGGACGGCCTACCAAACCGCCGTCGACACGGCCGTCCCTTCCTTTATCTTTTTCCGCCTCTTGACCTCCTTCTCCGTCGAACCCCCGATCATTACGCAACGCAAGGACGGGCCGTCGGATATCCAGGAAGGCGTCGGCAGCGTATGGAAGGGTTTGTTGATGGATTCGACGGTCGAGAGGATCGCCAGGAGTAAAGGCGAGGAATGGCCCGAGGAGGTCTACGACGAGGATAACCTCGACCCTGCCACGGTCTATCGATATGGCAAGAAATGTATCGGCGTAGGCGGATAGGAAGCGGAAGTGAAGGTTCTGATAGAGGGTTTTTTTCTTTTATCGTGTCTGTGCAACCTCGTTCATTTAATATTTACGTAGGTTTTCCCTGTGTGAGCCGGGGTGTTTTTTTGCGGTGGGCCGCTCCTTGCGCACGGACACAAAGGAGGCACCACCGTTGCATGGCCGATCGTAAAACCGGGGCCCTGCCGATGGACACCGAACGACTACCCGCGGCAGCCGCCGAGAAGGCCACACTCTATCTTCGATGAAGAGTTGCGGTGCGGTGCGGTGCGGGAACGTTAAGTCGGTCATCAGCTATCTGTTTGCATCGACGCAAAGCTTCGGCCGGCTTCGAGTATTCAGAATGCTAAGACCACATCTTCCAGTCCGACCTGGATCATTGCGCCTTCGAGCCCGAAGAGGATCTGCAGAACCGATCTGCTCTATCACATTTTGGTACAGATCGTTGCGGGCATCATGCGAGACAGATCCGCCGCGTTGCAGTGGCCAGAGCAAGGTCTCGATCCCAACAACGATGATCATCGCGAGCAGTTGCATTCGCTCTAGTGACTCATGCGCATGCAGGAGTAAGTCCCTACTTTGTTTGCGCTGCCTCCATGTTTGAATTGACCTGACATTTTGCGTCCTCCTCATACAATCGTCGAAACGTTAGATTCGATACGCCATGCAATTGCTCACCCCACCACCACCGATCTCGGGCTCGTCTGACAGGGGTGCAAAGGAGACGAAGCAGACCGTCTCGCTGTGGCACGAATTCTCAGCCACGCACTATCAAGGGCATGTCCAATCTATCCTGCGACGACGTCGAGGGGAAGGACGCGGGGCACCTTACTCAGATGCTGTGCTGGTTCGAGTTAACTAATCGCGTGCAAGGAAGCGTGGCAGTTGCGATTTTGGGTGAAGCTCCTGGTGGTGCTGGGCGGGGAACGACGCCCCGAACCGGCGTCACCCCGGAGGCTGCAAACCTAATGAGGATGACTGCTCAACGGGCTTACGATTTTGAAGAGTCTCTTTTCGATTGATAAACGTTTATGCAATGGAACCTAATGGTTTCACGGAAAGGTGTCGCAATTTGGCATTGCATACCAGTAGCGCTGAATCAGCTTACAGGGCGCCAGCACCGCATAACGCGCCGGCTTACGCGGCGCAAGCACCGCACAACGCGCTCGTTCTTAAAGCGGTCGCTATAAGCACTCTACGATCCGTAGATAACGCCGGGTTAAAGGCGCGCACCGCTTAGAGGCGGTTAAGGCCGGGGGGTTAAGGACGCTTAACAAGACGTCCACGAGCTTAAGCGCGAGTGCCCATTTTGCTGATGTCCCGAGCTGACATATCCCATGTGCTGCCTATATGTGGGTCCCTCGTCTAATCCGGCCATGTTTCAAATCTTAGCATAGGGTGCCTTGTGTAAACCACCAGATGGCCGGCGGCGAAGTGAAGGACGGCGTTTGAAGACCTGCAGGGCGGGTTCAATTTCAACCTGCAATTCGCCCCCGGCTCAGCTGGGCTCTCCGGGTCACGCGCTTCTCAAGTTTCCCCGGGGATCCCGAGGCGAGCTGAGGGCAAAGATGACTCGAGCTACAGAGGACCGGATTTGCGAAATGTCACCAGACTAATGCTATTACTTAGTAAGCGCTCTGCAAGTGCGAATCAGGCGGCATTAGTACGTCGCTTGACTTAAATGACGTCGACCACCGCACCGATCTCGGCGACGTACGAAAAAGGTCGCCGGTGGTGAAGAGGGGGGGGCCCGTGCCTCAATTTGCCCGAGACCTCAGCTGGCTTACTCTTCATATCGTCCTTTCCCACCGACCCACCGCACACCCAACAAGCAGAAGAAGAAGACTTCCACGATCCTATCCGGAACGACAACTCATACACACCTTACACCGCGAACCGCAAACACACACCGCGCCCCCATCATGCTGACTCGAGCTACCGCCGCGACGCAGGCGTTCCAGCCCGTCGACAAGGCCGCGCACGTCGATGCGGCGCCACTCGATGCCCACGGAGGCGGCGCCGAATCGGATTCGGATTCGGCGTCGCTCGCGTCGAGCCACGACTCGGAACTCTTGATCAACTATGCCGTGTCGAGGATCCCGGAAGAGAACGTAGGGGTGAAGTCGTTCGCGACGACACGCCAAGCCAAGGATCGACGACCCCCGTCCACTTTTTACCTCAAGAAGCGCTCCGAGATGAACCTCGCCGAAAAGCTATGCCAACTCGCCGACACCCCCGTCGAGATTCATCGCCTCCAACCCGCCGATCTCGACCGCGGCCCACCGCCGTACCTGAACCCCGTGTGGGATATTTGGCACATCTTCTGGAGCTCGCTGCCACCACTCGTCGTGCAGGAGGTGTGCTACGCGATCTGGCCCGACTACCGATGGCCGTGGATCGTGCAGTACCCCGTCTTTCTGGTGGGTCTGATCCATTTCGCCGTCCAGGCCGTGCATCGACTCAACCGTGAGTGCGCACTCCGAGGGGTCTTGAAAGTGAGGACATAATGGAAGCTGATGGAACTTTGAATGGAATGTCACGCCAGGCTACGCGCTCAAGTACGGCACCCTGGACGAAAAGGAGATTGGGCGGGATCGCACCCCGGACAAGTCGGTCCCGCATCTCGCCATGGGGATCGTCGGCTACGTCTTTGTACGCATGGCCCTACCCTTCGTCCTGCACTATGACCGCTCGGTCGCGCACCCGCTCTTCAACTTTACGTGGACCTTCCCAATGCGCTTGATCCTGTGGGAAATTGTCTTGGTCCGTTTCTCATTGCGCAGCTCGGTGCTAGTTTGGGGGTTTCCATTTTTCGCTGCATGGCTGACAACGTTCATTTTGTAGGACTATTTCTTTTACGTCTACCACCGAAGCTCGCACGAGGTTGATGCGCTGTGGTTCATGTGAGTGGTAGAGAGTCGCGTTGGGGCTGTTCGCCCGCCCAGCCCGCCCACAGTTAGCTTTAACTGATTCCTCCTCGGGCTCCTATATCGGCCCGTTTGCACTTGTTACAGCCAGTAAGTGGCACCCCGGAGCGGAGTGTAGGGTGTCTGGAAGAGTGGTGCTGATCTCGAGCTCGCCTGCACTCCCTTTGCAGCATGCACCACCACACGACCAAGCACCCGACGCACATCCTCTCGATCCTCGCCGAGGAGTACCAGGAGATGCTCGAGGTGCTCATCGTGCCTTCGATCGCTTCGTGGCTCGTGCCCATGACGCAGAGCGAGCTGTACGTCGCCCTCGCCGCGACGATGTGGGTCGAGATGCAAGGTAAGCTCCGAGAACCCCTGTTTTCGCCTCGTGCTCCACCCTTCCTCCGTACAGGTGCTGAGATGCTGGTATCGCCTACTTGCTCTGAACCTCGACTCGGGAATTTTCCTTTGAATCTGCACTGGACCTTGGTTAGGACATTGTGGCGTGCGAGGTGAGTTTTAGTTCTGGTCAGCATTGCACGTTCGCGAAGGACGTCGGGACTGACGCGTGCTCTTTACTTTACGTGCTTCTACATTTTGTCTACATACTGAAGCGCACTGGCGGCAACCAATTGCGTCTTTCATTTTGAAATATTTTGACATGGATCTCGCCGTGGAGGATCACGACATGCGTAGGTTTATATCTCGAATCGAGTATCGAGCTGTCGCTGGCCACTTTGTCCCAAACGCTGACAGAGTCCTCCCCGCCCTTCTCCTTTCATCCCCGTATTTTTTGTTACACATTGTACTTTCACATCTTCAGATCATCGTGGAGGAAAGAGCGGGTGCGTTCAAATCGCTAATGTTCGAATAACTGCACAGATAATTCACGATCGCTGACAGTGTCTCTTTGACCTCCCCACAGGCGAAACTACGGCAAGCAAACTCGAGTTTGGGACAAACTTTACGGCACCTCGGCAGAACGGATCGAGACGTACGGGATGTTCTGAACGAGGCATTTTCGTGGGGGGGGTTGCGTCCAAGGGTCAGCGGTCCTCAGGGACTTGTGGAGACGGGGAGTTGCCCGGTGCCAGATCGAGGAAGATGGCTAAGCGCGAGGTGTGGTGTCTGGATTGAACTCAGATTGATGGCGTGCACGCGGATACTGTCTAAGGCCCGGTCTCGTTCTCTCTCTCTCCCGCTTCCTCAACACACATTCGCCCATTCGCTTCGCTACAAGTTGATTGTTGGCCTGGGCGAGACAGGTCACTCATCAACGACACGTACTGCCCGCGAAACTCCATTCATTTGGTACATCAACCCCGAGATCACAACGGGGACATATCATTATCATCGAGTCTGCTACGGGAGTAGTCTCGTCCTTGCGCGCTCTTTCGAGATCGCATCCAGTAACGATTGGCAAGCTTTGTATATATTGAATGGCCCGGAACCGTCTTGTATTTGCAATCTACTTATATTTTCGAAGTGCCTGATTCCCTCGTACCAACTACCGGAGGGGGAGGTGCAGCGACACTGCGCACGCAGGACAGTGTAAGACAGGGGTAGTCAATATCAGCTTGCGACAAGGATTTCACGGGCGCACCGTACTGGATTACTCAAAACATTCGGAGTGGCAGAACAAGCGCCCTCAAACGTAATCTTTCAAAGTCGCGGGTATCGGCCTTCGAGGTTTTATCGGTCTCAGCAGCTAAAGGGAGGTTTGAAGCCAGTGGTTCGTTCGCTGATCGAAAGACCACGTTGACAAGAATCGCGCCTGTCCGGTCCAAGAAACAAGTCGTGGGGCCAAGGCTGTTGGTGATTGGGACTTTACTGTGACGTATCTCTGTGGTCATTTGAGAGGTACGAAGGTTCTGGAATTGGACGTTCAAGGCATGTTCAGCGTTCCTCCTGAACACCCCGAACGAAAAAGGAGACCTGCAGTGGTCTCATCGTGTCGCTCGACAACGTCGACGCCCACTTAAGTTCAAGCTGTGGCGCAGATGTTATAGCGGTCCTTGATGAGGCAATGAAGGGAGACGAGCTCCACCTCAAGGCCCGGACCGTGAAAAGACGTCGTGGAGGACCATGTCCTTGTCATTCGTTGAGAAGCGCAGGGAGCCGGTGCCACTGGCGGAGCCTCCAGAACCGAACGCCGCCTGCCGCTCCTTCCAACTAGGCTCAGACGACTTCCTGGCGAATCTTTGAGTACTTTGCATGCTGTTTCGAAATCAGTTAGAAATACTTGGATTGCAGCAGCCAGTATACGGAGTTTTATTTTGTTCAGTCACGTGAAGACTCCTGAGAACGATCTTGGGGGTGAGACTCTTTTCAATATATCCATCGAGGGAAGCCGTATCATAGATAGGTGTGGGATGGTAGGGATGGGACAAAGAAGGCTCAAGACGTGCGGTCCAATTACAGTAAAATTAACATAGCGGTGAAAAGTGGACGGGCGACTACGATGTCGAAAGGTCAGAAGGTCGAACAAGGGGGCGAGGGTACCACAACGACCCTACAACATATTCCACCTGCTACTACATCCCCAATGTCTCGATACGTTCGCCAACTGCAAATGGTGCAACAATTTGTAAGTTTAAAAGGAACACATGTTATACAGAAGTTATCTCACTTACCGGTTACGAAGATCTGATCCCAGACGCGGGTTTGCTTGCCGTAGTTGCGCCTGTGGGGGAGTCGGAGAGACACCGTCAGCAATCGTGCATTCTCTGTGCAGTCATTCGATCAACAGTGATTTGGACGCACCCGCTCTTTCCACCCCGATGATCTGAAGATTTAGAGGCGAGATATACGGTACAGAAGAATCCGGTGTGATAGAAAAGGCACGGAGAGTCATCAGCCAGCCAATTCGGCAAAGCGGCCACCGACTGCTCGGAAGCTGCGAGCTTACGGAGGTCGTGATCCTCTACAGCTAGTTCCATGTTGAACATTTTGAGGAACGATAGGATAGGATGGGACCAGTAACAACTTTGTCCGATTTAAAGAAAGGAAAGTATGTCAGCCGATGAGGGCAGATTGTGAAGAGGAGGGATTTGCCAGTTGACGAGCGCGGCGGATCGCGCCATCACTGGTCTCAGTGCTTACCGAACGCCCGAGTGTCCCATCATCTCGACGTAGATGGTGTAGCAAAAGGTCAGGTACTGTTCGGCGAACGATTGCTTGACGACCAAGGTCGCGGCGAGGGGTACGAGCAGGACCTCGAGGTACTCTTGGTAGGTCTCGGCGAGAATGCTGAGGATCGCCGTTGGGTGCTTGGTCGTGTGGTGGTGTTGGTGAACGAACCACAGGCTGTCGACTTCATGGGTAGTGCGGTGGTACGCGTAGAAAAAGTAGTCCTGTGGCGATGCAGTAGGAACAGACCCGAGACGCGGTTGGCGAAGCAAGAATGGGATAGATTGGGGAATAGGAGCTGCCATCAGCTAGGAACCACTTTATCCGCAAGCCCTCCCAGATTCTGGAACTCACAAAGACGATCTCCCACGCCATGAGACGGAACGGGTAAGACCAGGTGAACTGGTTCAGAGGGGCAACCTCCTTGTCGTAGTAGAGGAAGAACGCGATCCCGGTCCGGACAAACATGTAGGCTGCATGGACGCAGATGAAACGAGCACCCTCACGTGCTGGGTTAGCAGATTGGGGTCTATCAGAGTGGTCAGCCACGTGTAACTCACCAAGGATGCCGGCAGCAAGATGATTGACGGCCTAACAGGAACGAAAGCGTAAAGAAGCGTAGCAGAAAGTCAGATACCATCAATAAAAGCCAAAATTAGGAAACTCCTACCTTGTCCGGGGTGCGATCGCGACCAATTTGCTTCTCGTCAAAGGTACCGTACTCGACGCAGGCTCGGTTCAGACGGCCCAAGACAGCGACGGCAAAGCCGATAAATGACAAGAGATAGAACGGGTAGGCGACGTAAAAGGGCCATTTCGATTCGGGGTAGTAGTGGTACGCGGCCTGCTGAATGACCATGGGGGCGACTCCACGCGTGATGATAAAGACGTTCTCGAGCAACAAGCTGCGTGTCGGAATAGGACCGCGGTCCAACGACTCATCCTGCGGGTGATGGGTGAGTGACCGACTCGGAACCGAGTCAGCGCGTCGCCGAGGGATGGAGAAACCACAGGCTAGAGGCCCCGAAGCGTGTGGGCCCTACCTTGAGCTCGTGCATGACATCGGGGCAGGTGGCGATGTGGCACAGGTTCTCGGCTAGCGTCATTTCCGTACGCTTTTTCTTGTGCTATGGCATCGACCAAGAATGAGGTGAGGGTCAGCACCGTCGATTTGCAAAAAAAATCGTGCGCGGGGGAAGGAGGGCCGGGGTTCAAGAAGGACCACTACCCCAGGCGACGGATAGCTGGCCTGGGCGGCCACGAGCGAAGCGTCCCCTATTGTGCTCCCAATCCCACAACATTCAACACCCGCAATCGAAGAGTTATACCAAAACCAACGTTATGGCATTCGGCTGCGATGAAAGCTGGGGAAGCACAGGCCTCCCGGCGGGGAGAACGGCGGCCCAGGGCGTTCGGACCTGAACTTGCAAAGAAGTGACGTACGAAAGTGGACGGCGGCCGACGATCGACCTTTTGCCGCGTCGTTTTGACGGGCTGCTCGGACTGTACGACTTCTTGATCATCGTATGAGATGAGGGACGATGATCCGGAAGAGGACCCCGAGCTGGAGCGTTGGCGGGTGTGCCTGTTTTGTTGCAACTCCTCAGAGACCTGCGACGAGTTGCCGGCGTCGACGACGGCCGCCGCCGCGGAGCTGAGAGCGGTGATCATGGGCGATTCGGGGGTTAGTGTGTTGTAAAGTAATGGGTACTGTCGAAGTTGGCGACGAGGTGCAAATTTTCTTCGGTTGTCGTTCTTGGAGTTGAGGAAGGACGAGGACACAAAGATAGTGAGGATTGTCCGGAACGCCAATGATCTCAGCTGGACAAGAAACTCGGATATCGGCGGGCGGCGGGCGGGCGGCAAACGAGGTCGCCGCCGCCCCGGCGATACCGATCCAGAAGGCAATAATGCGAGCCGCGTCTGGAGCCTTTCTCACGGTGTCCGCCTCGCACGTGATCCAAGCCCAGCACGGACGTACCTACCCAGTGGGCCTGCTTCACCAAACGAGTCGTCTTCCCGAACGCCGAGACGCACTCTGATCCGAAAAGCCCGAAAGGGGTCGACCTCCGCGGATTGATAGGAGCTGCGGCGCATCCACTCGTGGCAGCGCCGGCGGGAGCTGTCATCCTGTACGGCGCCAGAGCTGATGCGATGACGCCGCCCAAGACCAATCGCTTTCCGGGACTGTGAACCCATAAGAAAGCTATGTAGAGGTCAATCGTGACAGCTCTCAGGCTTGAAAGCATTGTCCTTGCATTCAAACGGTGGAACGGCCTCGGCGACTCTGTTGAGTATGAAAATTTGTCTGGTCGCATTCGTATGAAACCTTTCCAAACCTTCTCCAAAGCCTACCTACCCAGATGGTCGATCATCGGGTTCAAGTAATCACTTTCCTTCTTGTACGCATCGGTGGAAAGCATTGGACACGCTTCGCGGCCCCGGGGTATTCAGGCTGCAGGCTGTTCTATTTCAGTGCCGACAGGCGCGAATGGTGACCGGTGAACCGCGTGTCGGCGTGTGATGAGCGCTTGATGCCGACTTCAAATGAGTGCGCCTGCTCATCGGGTACTGTGAAAGTAGTGACTTGTAAACCTGAATACCTCAATATCTCACTTTGAGCTTTATCTGGGCGTCCGAAGTTCATGGTCGTCGTGAGCTGTACTTCAACGTGAATTCGGTAGACGTTCCGAGCCATGCAGTGGTCGCTCGAAACCGTCGCGGGCGTCACAAGTGACAATCATTGGCAGTGCCATGCCAGTGGCTGCTACCTTGCATAGGTGCCTACCTAGGGAGTTCCGAAGTTCCGAGAGCGTCTGGTCGCGCACACTTCCATGTGACACGTAGGGAGCTGTTGCGGCTCTCTGCGGCTGAATGTATGGAAAAGCGCGCCGGGGCCGTTGCCGGCGGGGGCGCAAACGGGTCGAATCGCGGATGAATCTCATGTCTCAGGAGCTCTTTGATAATGGCGCACCGCGCCCGGAGGAGCGGCAGGGACCTCCCACCGATCCACTCCCTAACCCGATCGATACAATTTTACGGGGTAAAAAAAGGGGTTGTTCATCTGGGGGAAGTTCAACACACTGCTGGTTCCATGAACCTGAATTTATAGGTACCTACACGACTTGGTCCCAGCGTCCTTACATCGTTGGACGGCAGTAACGGCGCTGCAAGCGCCCCCCCACGGAAGTAGCGGCCCAAAGCGGGTCCCCCCGTTCGAAAGTGATCGACGTCGTCAACGATTGCTCCATTCCACGCGGCGATCTACACTCGAGGGAACACTCGTTGAGGCTTCCTCTCCCTGAGAACTGTGCCTTGGAGTGTCGGAACAATACTCAAACCTACGCAGTCAATATTCACCGACCTGCTGTAGTTGTGCGTACCGCCGGGCGGTTGCCAGCTGCTCCTGACGGCCCGACGTGCCAGGCCGAGCGGCGCAATGGCGCGCCGAAAGGCGCCTGTGGAAATCACCACCTGAAGCAGTGCGGAACAAATGAAAATTAATCAGCTGTCCATGAACTCCCCATGGAATCGGTAGTAGAGAAACAGCAACGCGAGTCGTCGGCAGTCGGCTCGAGTGGGGACCCTCGCGCCGTTTGATTTGAGCGAGGAGCTTTCGCTCAAGCGGGATCGATCAGGGACCATCCAAAGATCGGGCGGGCGAAGCGGCACGAGGGTCCCCTTCCCAATGTTCACGCGCACGATGAAAGCGTGCCGTCAGCCAATCGCAACGTTTCGGAAGCTTCTACACGGGATCCGGTCCTTTTCTCCACGTCCCAAACTCGACACCCTCGGAATAGTTTCGTAACTGTTCGGGAATTATACACGGCTTGGGAACTGATTGCAACCGTTTCTTGAGTGGAGGAGCTTTTGGGTCGTTGTCTCACCAGCTTTTCAATCAGACTTGATCGCCGCCATGCCGAGAATGGAGTGGGGGAATCGGAGATGACCCCTCCCACACTGCTCTTTCTCCAAAGCCCCACCCTTGTGAAGGCACCTTCTTCTCTCCGAGGCTTTGTTCAATCACAATCTGACATTCCCCCACTAGCTCGATGATATCGGACTCCGCCCTATCCCCGGCTTCGTCACTAGTGTGAAAAAAATGCGGCGAGCTCGGAGAAAGCGTTGCACCGCGGCCGTGATTTTTGACAATTGCGCATGCTCGTTTCTTACGTACGTAGGTGTTCGTCAGGTATGTATGTACTTGCAAACTGCTGCCTGTCGAAGCACGGTACCTGACTAGCTAACTATCAAAGTAGGTTCGTACTCCCTGCTTTGCAAATCAAAAAAACGATTTCATCGGTCGCCGCCGCGCGGTTTGCGGAGTTTGGCGACGGGTTCGGCCAGCTCCGCGCCGGAAATTTGACACCAGCCGAGCGACCGCCGCAGCTTGCGATCAGATATCAGATACTGTGTTTTAATCCGAGATTATGCGATCCCCATCGTCTCGATTTGTAGTGAATGCGAAAAAAGTCGACATGCCAGGGGCGCGACTGGCAGCCCGAGGCAGCGTGGGCGGAAACTGGACACCGGTGAGGCGTCAGGCAGCTCGAGGCCTCTCGAGGCGGGCGCTGCGCGGGCGGGGCTTATTTAGGCAGCGCCTCGGGCAGACGGCACGTGACCTGTGGTCGTCTTCCTTCCCGGTCCTCTCAGCCGCGGAATCGCCTCCCCCTGCAATCAGAGGACCGCTTCTTCCTACACAGGGAACTATACATGTGACATGGCCGAGACCAAGGTGGAATCGACCGCATTGAACTCGTCAGTCGGGACGACCTCTCACGGTGTATGTACTAGCTCATCATCTCCTGACTCACCGCCACGTCGGACGGACGCCCACAGTGGCCGCTGACGCGGTGCATCTCGTACGGTACTACAGAGGCATGACAATTTGGCGACAACCTTTGTTTCATTCTGTCCGTACTCGACCTTGCGTTCGACCTGCCCCGACACGTCGGCGTGCCCTTTGCTCCATTTTGAGCGCTCCGTTCGCCCCCACACCCAAGTTGGTTTGGGCGACTGCTCCTACCTCAACATGTGCCACCGCATGAACAGGTGTCGTTATGTGCACTACACGATCGAGGACCCGTTGCACCTGGTTCGGGCGCTACAGGGCAAAGATGTTTGCCTTCGGTCAGCGCTGAACTCGACTAGGACGAGACCGAACCGGGATGACGAACCGCCGTCGGGGCCAGTAGTGAGTTTGTGTTTGCCCTGGCTTTTTGTGATCAACACTGATCCGATAATGTGCGTCTCCCTTCAAGCCACCGGAGGAGCGTGTTTATCCGGGCCAATGGATCAACGCCGACTTGCGCGTGCTCGACTTTTCGGTCTTGGGCAAATTTGATGTGCTCGTCGCCGACCCACCCTGGGCCATCCACCAAGAGGTAAGGTACGGGACCCACAAAAACTGTGGATTGAAATGTAGCTCACATCGACTTCCTTCCTCGGTCACTGCAGCTCCCCTACGGCACCTTGACGGACGACGAGATGTTGCGCATGCCCGTCGGCTCGCTCCAAGACCAAGGTGGCCTCTTGTTCCTGTGGGTCACGGGGAGGGCGATGGAGTTGGGAAGGGATTGCCTCGATGCGTGGGGGTATGAGAGGATCGACGAGCTGGTTTGGGTCAAGACTAATCAGTTGCAAGGGCTGATTCGAACGGGTTAGTTCGGGTGGTTGTCGTCAGTGAATTGTCATTGAATCGAGGTTTCTGACGATCCATTCTGGTTCGTATCCAATCGAGACAGGCAGGACTGGACACTGGTTGAACCACTCGAAAGAGGTGAGCTGCTCCTATCTCGACTCATGCTTGGCACCCCCTCACCTCGTCTGCTTCCATTGGACCCACAGCACTGCCTCGTCGCTATTCGTCGATCCCCTACCTCTAGCTCATCTTCCGGCTCGACCCCGATCCCTCCCTATTTCAAACAAGGACTTGACACCCAAGTGATACTCTCCGAAGTAAGGGAGACGTCGCGCAAGCCCGACGAGCTTTACGACATGATCGAGAGGATCGTGCCGCCTTTCCTCGAGGTTTCTCCGGACGAACACGGAGCTGGGACTGTCAGGCGGAGATCGAGAAAGGCTGAACTGTTCGGCCGGATCCATAACGTTCGGGAAGGATGGTCAGTTTCGCGCACCGGATGTACGGCGGACTTGGGCGACTAGAAGGTTCTGATCCACAACATTCGCGCCCACGCAGGCTAACGATTGGGAATCAGCTCGGGACTTCCGACCAATTATACGAAAAGGAGTTGTGGGAGAGGTTGAACTTGGGGTACGAGCATTCATGTCGTCTTGGGACCGACAAATGCCATACGAAGCTCACACGCCTTTGACCGTGACGTCTTCGTGATCAGCTTCCCCGAGCGTCATCTGCAGCTCCTGTTCGCAGAGCAAACATCGTGACCGCAGCAGCCATCTCACCAAGCACAAGAAAGCACCGCAACCAGCATCACCAATCTCATTTACCTTCGCAATGTACATACACTTTTTATCGGTTCCGCATGCTATTGCAATATATTACAACATCTGGTCAGACTTGTGCTATCGTGACATCGGGCGTTGAACTCAAATCAATTCGAGGAGATCCTTGGCCAACAGATCGCGGATCGTCGAGTAGCGGAGCATGTGCTGTGACCCCTCGTCGAAACTCATCAACATTCCACTATTATCATCATTTGTGGTTAAAGAGTCAGAGGGTGTTGCCTCGCGCGTTGGCGCATTTGTGCCGGGGACTGACTCTGGCAAGACGACAGGTCCACACGCTCGCCGAACCCGACAAAACACGGCACTCGACAAATCCGGCTCGGCCACTGTGTGATCAAGGGCTTGCACCTTGTCAGTGGTACGTTCATCGAAGTTACACAAACCACTTGCTCCCGGCACGGACCTGGGGCTCCATGGACCCTGATCCGTTCCGGCAAGGCATCGACGGCAGAATTATTTAGGTACTCCCTCTTCAACGCATAATACCTACGAACCAAATATGGTTAGCTGCATGTCGTACCTACACCGCCGCAAGGTAGGTAACCAGTTCACGCACCCTTCGGCGTGGGCGAGCTCGTTCGAGTACAGCCGCTTTCTCCGATCCTCGAGAGGCAGCCCAAGGTAGTACTCGACGTGGGCTTCGAGCTGGCGGTGTCAAGAAGGGAGGAGGATCCGACGATCAGACTAGGCTCAGACTAGGCTCAGACCAGTCCTCAAGCCTCTCAACGAACCTTGTGTATCCTCTGACGGGTGTAGGCCTTGAGGACGTGCGCCGCTCGCATGTTTTCAGTAGCGACGAGCGACGCCTGGAGGTACAGAGCATCGTCGCCCGAGGCCGTCGCGTTGACATGTCGCACCAGCGTTTTCTGTGAGCTCGTCGCTCCCGAATCAGCATCTGTGTCTACCTTCTCCTACCTCCGTATCTCCACGACTGACCCTACTGGCCAAATCCTTGACGAGTCGCTCGACCAATTTTCGCGGGAACGGCAACAGCTCGGGGCTACCGCTCTCGTTGATCCAGCACCTCATCAACTTGGCAACGTTACTCTCCCTCTTTCCCCGGTCCAACAGGTCCATGTCGTCGCCCTCGTGTGCGAGGATGTCGTGCAGTCCGGGAGAGTCGCCCCTTCCCCGGGACGAGGAGGCGTGGTACCTCGATGATCCGAGACCATTCGCGACGGACGAGTGTCGTGCGCCGCGGATCGAGGTGCCCGCCGCGGGGATGTAGGACGAGGTCGACAACGAGTCCGCTTGGAGATCGAGATCGAGATCGTCGTTGAGCTGGTGGTCGTCGTCGTGGTTCCTCTCTTGCAGTAGAGGCAACGCGGGCAGTCTGTCTGCAGCGGCTGCGGCTGCGGCAGCTGGTATGTCCTGCTGCGGTGCTCGATAGGCCTCGTAGTCCTGGTCGTCGTCATCGTCAAAGAAGGAGGTCGACATGACTTGTACACCGTACTTTCGCGAGAGAATGAGCACGGCGTGTGTGAAGCTGCGGCCAAGAGTGTTTTGCCGGTCCCGTGTCGTCTCGCGCCGACCCGACCGCGAACTACTGCGAAGGCGCGTCAGGGCGCGTCAGGGCGCGTCCGCAATTTCCCCGACTTGACGCGCCGCGACGCGTCTCCCCAGCGGGTGGCTGCTCGTGGCGACAAGTCCGCGCCTGTCCCGAGCAGAATTGCGCTGGCTCTTGAGCTCACACCCTGCCTCGGAACCAGCCTGAACGAATCGACGACATGCGGATACCTCTACGACCAACTCTTGCATTCGATCTCGCACTGCTGCAACGCCCCTCGTCCGGCTCGGCGCCTCCGCTCGTCTTTATCGACGAGGAGCCCTTCCTGATCGAACTACAAGGCGCACTCGAACTACCCCACACTGGGCAGGAGGGCACGATGGAACAGCTGGCAGGGGCCCATGTTGGCAAGATCGACATTGATGAACCCGTCAGTCTAACATGGGTGGCTCGGGGTGGAATTTGGCCCGGATCTGACTCGGGCTCCTTTGTCCCATCAGCACAAGCCCATCTTGAGAATATCGCACCATCGACTCGAAGGCAAGCTTGTCACATTGACCGAACCGTACGCAATCTTACGATCGACCGCCTCGTCTTCACACGATTCCGACAACCGCCCCAAGAAACGATCAAGAATTTCCTCCACGATACCCTCATCGCCGCCTCCTCCCCCATCTTCGTCCCCGATCAAGCCTCTACCCTCCAATACGGACGGGTTGGACGAAGAGGCTGAACCACCGAGGATCGAGATTGTGGGCTTGATTCGCAAAAAGATCGTGTTCAGCAAACGGCCCGAACCGATGATTCAGGCCGCTAGTTCGGATCCTGTAGGGCCGCCAACGAGTGATGCACCTATGGGACCGGAGGACGGGGAGCAGAGTGATGGAGATGATGGAGAAGAACTTTAAGTGACTTCATGTTGGTCTGAATATGTTGTAATGGTACGCAGAAACCGAACTCACATAAATGCTCGAGCGAGCTACAATTCAGAGGGAAACTGAGGGACATACGTGCAAATCCGGCCTTGTACACAATAACAGAGTATAGTAAGCCTCTGCAATAGCTTCCGGCTCTTCGTCTCGCCCCCGAGATCATGAGTCATCCAAGCCTTCGTCTTGACCGGAGATCGAGCGAGTAACACGAGACGAATGCAACCCGCAGCTGCGAACTTGCTTTCACCGTGTGTTGGCTTCAATGAGTTCTCGCTTCGAGTTGCCTTGGCCATGACGATCAAGGAAGTCTGAAGTCTGAAGTCGATCGTTCGATCGTGTTGATGTCGATAACTTGCCTTAATACGTTTTTCCTCGTGGGCAGGTGAGTGTTGTGTGGCCTCAAACCGTGAGTGTCGATCGGACCCTTGATGCTTCTCCCAGGCTCCTGAGTCGCGACGCTTAAGCTGATGCAAGCAATCGAACTGCTGCCGCAAACACCACAGGTGACATCTAGTCCAGTATTTCACAGTGTTATCAAAGCGAGATTTGAAGGATGCTGCTGTACTGCTTATTTCGGTTGTTAACTCTGCTTCAATCACGCCACCGACCAAGGTGGTTCATTATTGAATTTGTCGTCCCGTTAACGCAACGGGTCTACACTTGTCTTTCCAACATGTTAAATATATGAAGCACGGTATACACGTACGGAAGGTTTGACAAGTCGAATGCACGTTCCAGAGTACCTCAGGGCGTGGAGCCGGTAACGTCTAGTGGAGGGACAGAATTACCCAGCCAGTGCCAGGCGGTGGCCTGTTCGACAGCCATGCCCCTAGCAACGAAAAAGTACAGCGCGAGATGTAGGACCGTTGTGCGAGCAGGTCAAAACATCCCGTAAGTTTCGATGCGTTCTGTAGATGTACCGAAAAGTCTGTCCCAGACGCGAGATTGCTTGCCGTAGTTTCTGCAGACATCGCCAAGCGCCGGCAATCGTCAGCCTTCCGTCACCTGAACGGAAGAGAACTAGGGAAGATATGATGAAACTGACCGTCCCGATCGACCCATGCGATGATGAAGGTCGTGGTCCTCTAGTACCAACCCTGTAGAATAGATGCATGCACGACATCAGCTCTCCTTCGCCTCGGGCTTTAGTGTGCTTTGGGTGGCCGCCAATAAAAGGGTTCTGGCAGTGAAAGCTTACCGCAGTTGAAATACTTCAACCAGAATAATGTGGGATGATGCCAGAGCATGCGCACACCACTATGCCCTTGCATCTCCACCATCTGCACGATTCAGATGTCAAGATGTCAATAATGCATCAAAGAAACGATGACTCCGTGGAGCTGAGTCGAACCCGAGCGCTGGGCCGCGAGCACAGAGGGGTTAGGGGGGTTACTCACCAGGGTATAGCAGAGCGTAATCCATTGTTCGGTGAAGGTTTGACGCCAGAGCAGACTGGCGAGGAATGGGAGGATGAAGATCTCGAGCACTTCTTGGTAGTCCTCCGCCTGTGGCCGGGGAACTCTCTAGGGTCAGACCACGTTGCAAGGAGCGCAGGAGGAATCCAACGCGACTTACAAGGATCGACAAGATTGCCGTAGGATGCCTGGTGCTGTGGTGATGCTTGTGTCTGTGTTCGTCCATGCCGTGGGACAAAGCGAAAGCGATCAGCAGCGAAGCGGATTCGACAAGGAGAACTGAGGAAAGAGAAAAGGTGCTCGACTCACACCCACCACAGACCGTCGACCTCGTGGGTGAGACGATGGTAACAGTAGAAAAGATAATCGAGGGTGAGTTGCCAGGCCATTAAGCGCAAGGGGTACGACCAGCGGATAATGTCGAGCGGTTGCTGCGTCTTGTCGTAGGCGAGCAAAAAGGTGAACAGGGGTCGGATGAACATGTACGCTGCCGGAAGGAGAGGAGGGCATGAGCGACCAAGGCCAATTCTCAGAGCCACTCTGCTGGGACTCACCCACGACGCCCAGGGCGAGATTGTTGACCGACGCATTAGGGGTTCGGTCGCGCCCACAGTTTTTCTCGTCGAGCGAGCCAAACCGAATCGAAAATCCGTTCAAGCGATCGAGGACCATGCGAGCAAACTCGATAAAGATGAAGACGTAGAAAAAGTAAGCCGCCACAGGGTTCCACGTGATGTTAAAGTAGCTTTGGGTCGTGTGCTGGATCACGGGCGCGATCATGGCACGCGAGATGATGAAGATGTTGTCGTTCCACCAAGGGTTCGTCGGCATCGGTCCTCGGTCGACAGTCTCCGGCACGAGTTCGTGGACCTGCTCGGGGGCGGCAGCGAGTTTGCAGAGGCGTTCGGCCCAGGTCATCTCCCGGAACGGTTTGAGGTGCTGAAGCGCGGCCAATGACGCGCGCGAGTGAGGGGGATTCAGGGCCACGTAGAGTTGTCGATGGTGTGCGACGTCGTGTGGTAGATGCAATCGAACACGTCAGTAATCCGGATGTTGTTTTCGCGAGCCAGTGTGCCGGCTGAAAGCTGCCCAGGTAAGGTTCTCGAAACGGATGGAGGGGCCCCTGAGACGAAACGGATGGCTGCTGAGCGCGAGCGTCGAAAGAGAAGGCTTACCCAGTCACTTAAAGGCCTGCGGTCGACCTTTTGACGGGTCGTGCGTACACCATGGATGATGTTGCCCGCAGCGACAGGTTCCTCGGCGGCGGTATTATCGCCGTACGAAATCAACTCTTCCGAAGAGGAAGAATCCGCCGATGACTCGCGGTCGGTGCGGCGACGCAGGGCGGCCGGGGTGCCGCTTTGAAACGCCGACGCCGAGGGGGCCTGAGCGCCGCCACTGGCAGTGAAGCTCCTGGCAGTCGAGGACGCCTCCGAGTCGGCGTGTATGTTGAGCGAAGCGGCGTGGACGTTCATGACTGTGTGACTCAAGGTTGTCGCACTTGGTAGTCAATTTCTACTCTAGGTACAAGAGTTTAGTATAGGGGAGGAAGGGAAGGAGAAGGTGACTTAAGTGGATCGAGGACGAGTCTGTGAAAGTTTCACGTGGAAAGTTTCCCGTCGGTCGCGGTTGACCGGGCTCTCGCATGCTCCACGCATGGCAACTGCGATTGCCAAACTTGCGGGCGAGATCGCCGAGCGCCGTTTGCCGAGCGCCGACCCCTCACGTGATCAGCCCTCGGATCCATGACGGGGGTTCAAGTACACGTGACCTTGTATCGGCCTGTCAAGATTCGAAGAGAACCTCCTCGCCTGCCCTTCTCTTCTTGCAGAGGTCGCCGGTGAAGGCGAAATCACCAATCCGCCGCGCGTAGCAACCCGGCTGATTACGAGCAGAGGAACGGGGTCTCTCGCCGAGGGACCCCTGTCTCCGCCGGCTCGATCGTCGTGGCCCCCGCCGCGATGACCTGGCTCTGCCGAACGCGATCTCGAGCCCTGTTGTTCGGCCAAGGTGCGAGCCATAGGTCGAACGCGTTCACTAGGCTCACTGCATCAGCCGCCACTGCCCGCAGCATGAGTTGCCCGAGTCTGGCTCCATCTTAGCACGGGCTTCTCACAGCTGTGTGCTGTGCGACAGCTCCAGCGGCACGAGCGAAGGCAACTCTTCGAAGTCAATCGGCAAAACAATTCAACGATGGGTCGATGCAGAGCACTAACCGGGAGAGGCGAGCAGAATCTGTCATCGTGGCCAAGGAGAAGCAAGTGGTCATGGGCCGAGGTGCACCAAGAGCGTCAGAACGATTGCTCGCACTTTGTTGTACTGCTACAGATAAAATTGCATTCCACACACGCACAGCATCCCCCCCTGGACCAACGAAATAGATTACGAGACACGTTATGATTTAAAATAGAACTTCCAATCACTTCCAAATCAGACTCCACAGGCCGGCGACGTCTACATCGCCTGCCCAAACACCCCAACCCCGACGGCGCCAACCGTCCTGCGCGAGATGCGTTGCCCCGTCATGACGACCGCGATCTCGGCGTGGTGTTCGTCCGACGAGTTGGTCGAAGACGAGGACGTCGACGACTCGGTGCTGTCGGTCATAATTGTCGAGCATGACACGTCGGACCAATTGCGGGAATGGCTCGGGGCCGCAGTCGCGGCCACCGATCTCTTCATCCGCACGGGGATCGCACTGCCCCGCGTGAATTCCTCTGCCGAGTCGGCGTCGGCATCAGGGAATGTGCCAAACGCGTCTTCTGAAGCGCAGGTTGGGCTCGGCGTCAAGCTCGATCCCCCCAACTTGGGCGTGACCGAGCATCCCATCATCAACGAAGCGATCGACATCGACGACGAGCTTGCGACCGATTCCTCGATTTCCGCGAGCGTGTCCTCGATCTCGCGCGACATGACGTCGAGGGGGTCGACCTCCGAGTCAGTCGGGGACAGCAGTGATTCGTCGCTGAACCCGCGGGACAGGGCGTCGTCGTCGTTGTGGTCCTCCGCGCCCAGGCCGTAGGAGAATGACGATGACGACGATGACGAGCCCGAAAGCGAGCGCGCATGCTCTGAATCGGGCACGGTCGGATTGTCGATGATGATGGGCACGAGCGGGGGCGCGACGTTGCTGTGCAGCAGCGGCGCATCGCCGTACCGCGTGACCGAGTCGTCGGATTCGTACGTCGTCAGGATCGTGTCGACGTTCGTCGAAACCCCCGAAGACGAGGTCGAGGATTTGGAAGCGGCGCGCATCAAGTGGGGTACCGGTACCGCTACGCCGGTCGCGATCTCGTCGTCCAAGCCGTGGTCGACGTGTTCGATCTCTTCGTCGTTGTCATCGTCGTCGTCGTGAGGTGGCGCCGTAACCAAGATCTGCGGTCCTCCTTCGAACGACGCCGTCGACGAGCTCGTCGGCAAGCTCCCCAGCTCGCGCTCGAGCATCGACAGTCCCGTTTGCGAGCTCGTGTGCCGCAGTAGCGCCATCATCGTCAGGCCATTGGGGTGGTCCTGGCCGCGAGGCGTCGTCGGCGTCGAGGTCGAATGCGTCGTGCCGGCAGCACGAGGCGGGGTGTGGGGTGCGTTGAGTCGTGACATCATCGTCTGCAGCGGGTCGCAGTCCGAGCCGGACTCGTCGCTCGGCGAAAAAGACGCGGGGCGGATGCTGAGGTCGGGCGAGCCCCTCGCGCTCACACTCGCGCTCGCACTCGCGCTGGCGGAAGGAGGCGAAGGGAGCTGTTCGCGCGGTGGAAAGGACCATCCGACGGGCGACGCGGCTCGACGCTGCGGGTGGATCGTCGACGTCGAGCTCAGGGCTGGCGAAGGGGGTAAAGGTCCAGGACTCGGGCCGGCGACGACGATGGGCGTCACGATCAGCGGCTGGCGGGCGACGTTGCGCTTCGGCAGCGACGATACGGGTCGCGTCGAGGCGCGGATCATGCGCTTGGGCTGCACCAACGTGACCTTAGTCGGACCGGCGTACATTGGCGGCTTCGGCGGCGCCTCCCAGTCACTGCTCTCGCCGCGTCGGTACGAAGGGCCGTTCGGAGGAAAGACAAAGACGCTCGGGATCGGCGGTCGCGTCGGCGGCGGTGACGGCGGGCTCGCTGCGGTCGGAGTGGGGTCGACGGGGCTGATGGGGGTCATCGGTGGGGTCCGACGGCCGGCCGCCTCTACGTTCGCGACCGAGTGTGGGAGCACGACAGGGGCCGGCGGGCTCGACGGAGCGGAAGCCGGCGCAACGATGCTGACCGGGGAAACGGCGCCATCACCCGAGCCGATGGTCCCTTCGGAGGTCGTGGCTGAAAAGACGCTGTCGGCTGAAGGCGAGACGACACCACCGTACGGCGTGACGGTCGAGGCGCTCGTCGGCGTGACGAGGCCGCCTCGATGAAACTCTGTGAGCGAGTTGGCGAGGTCGACGTCGAGTCGGGCGGGACGAGTTTGGGCGCGACGCGGACCCGGTCTCGGCCTAGCAACCATGAGCTGCTGCTGCGACAACGATGATGACGAAGGCAAGGGCAGGGACATGGCGGAAGATGCGCTGCCGTTGGACTCGTAGGCCGCCGCGAGCGGCGATTCGCTGCGCAACGCGTCCATGACCTGCGGTGCGGGCGAGAGCGTGACCTCGTCCTCCTCGACATTGAAGTAACCTTCCGAGGGGCGATAGGCGCTGATAACGCGAGTACGTCGGCGGGTGCTCTTGCGTTCGCGGAGCTTCGTCTCGTGATCTGAGGCCGCGGCCGTCTCGAGAAAGGGGTTCCGCTCCTCCGCGGGTGCTTCGGCAACCTCGATCGTCGGCGTTGACGTCGACGAGGTCTTGGAGCGGAGCAGTTTCTGTTCGAATTCGGCAAAGACCGAGTCCATGGCGAAGCCTTCGAACCGGATCGACGGGATGCGCGAGCGGCAGTCGAGCAATGCGCTCGGGGCCGGCCGCGGCCTCGGGGGTGACACCTCATCGTCGGCGTCCTCGTCGGAGCCCGCGCCCGCATTCCCCCCCAGGGGTCGCACCGTTTGTTGGCTTGTCCGGCGGGCCGCGGCCTTTTCGCGTGCGAGGTCGAAGGGGGGCGATTCGGCGGCGGGCTTGTTCGACGAAGCGGACCAGCGCTTGGGGCGAGGCGGCGTCTCGGGTTCGATGCCGAGCATGGCCGCAACAAAGTCCGGCATCGGCGTCGAGTTGCGACGGTACGGGATCGGGTGAGGTGACGTCGTAGCGCCAAGGGAGGTGGTAGAAGCGAAGTAGGCGTCCTCGTCTTCCTCGCACGGCGGTCGCAGGCCGTCGTCGCGACGATGCTGCTGCGAGGGCGGGAGGACCTGGTCGGGCCGCAGCGGCGACTCTTGCAGGCCCTTGGTCTTCCACATGCGTCGCCCTGAGTTCGTCGTGCGTCGTGTCTTGCTCTCGGGGGAAGAGGTCAACGAGGACATGGTCGTCGCGTCCGAGCTCGAGTCGTAGTAGTCATCGACGCTCGAATGGAAGAGTTTGCTCGAGGCGAACGACGACGTCGTTTCGAACGTCGAGACGGTCGACACTGAGCCGTTAAACGCGTGACCTCCGCTGCCATTACTGCCGCTGGGTATCCCGGCAATAAGCGACGATCTCCGCTTCGGCAGGGGCAAGTGCATCCTCGACGGGACCGACTGAATGCTCGAGTAGTCCGAGCTCAGCGTCGACGTGACGGATGGGAGTGAGCTCGGTGGGGCGGGGAACTGTGCGAGCGTGGGACCCGAGTCGGTGGCACGTCCGGGACTCAGCGACGCGACCGAGCCGGGGCTAGTGGTCGTGTAGATGCCGAGGCCGTGGGTCGTAAACTGGTCCGAGATGGGGGTGACAGGCGACGGCGGCAGCGGTGCCATGCTCGTTGGCGTTGTCGGTCTCGGGCTCGGAGTCCGCTGCGGCACGACTATTGACGTCGGCTTGGATTTGGCCCACGGGAACGATCGCAGTTTCTTCTTGCCGAACGTCGCGTTGCCTTCTTTGCTGTAACCGAGACCTCGTCCGTTGCGATCGAGAAAGACCTCGCGATCTTCGTCGTGGATGAAGCGATCGTCGAACGAAGGCGCCGAGAAGGAGGATCCTGCTCGGCCATCACCACCGACACTGCTGCTGCTGTACGCCTGTCGCACATAGTAGGGATCGTCGGGGGCGAGCATGGCGTGGCCGTCATCCGATCGTTTGCGGAACAAGGCCGACATTCGGTAGAACACTGTTCAGGACGGTGGCATACAAGGACTCGGTAAGTCAGTTTGCTCGTGCACGAGGAGCTGCCGAGATGAGACTCAGAGCGTCGCGCGCGCGCGTGCCAACGTTTTCGCAGCGCGATCACGGCGGCGCGCGTCGCCGTCGTCTGAGGGAAACACGGGCGCGCGTGCGTTCACGACGAGGCGAACACTGAGCTACTTACAGCAAGGCGGGGCACGGTTACAAACGAGTGTGTTGAGGAAGTCCCAGGGGAGTAAAAGGATCGATGTCGGCTGGTCCAAGATACAGTAGTGTAGTAGCTGCCATCGTGTAGACACGAAGCGCAAGTGACAGGTCGTCGGTCAGCTCTCACGTCGAGACGCGTCTCCGAGTCTTGCCTCGACGTGCTCCTGTGCTCACCTCAAACGGGACACGAGGCGAGACGAGACGGGTACAATACGAGAGGACCAGGGGAGATACAGGGATGGCGGTCCGAGAGAAAGAAGGAACAACAAAGGAGGTCTTCAAGACCTGCGACGGAGATCGGAGCAGAACACGCACAGCGGGATGGGAGACGGAAGGCAGGACAGGATGGGAATAAAATCGCGAAGTCGAATCTCGACCCTGGGTGTCCCGTTGGCGCGCGCGCTGCGCCTTGCTGCGCCACGCGTCGTCAGGCTCGTCACGATAGATGCGCCTCTTGCGCCCAGCCTTGGCTCACGATCAGTTGCAACCCCGATGCTTCAATTCACACCGAGCCCTTTTTGATAGGGACTGGCCTGGGCGCATCCAATTTCCCGCGATTTTGACTGACCGTGACCGATCCTCGCATCAATCAATGGCTGCATCACGGCCCTGTGCGCATCCGACCCCTTAATCGTCGCTGCGCAGCGCGCATTGGTGGCACAATGGCCGTCAACGTGTCCGCGACGAATTTGCTGCAAGACATCTCTTCCGTCGACTATTGTTGTCTCAAATCACGCTTTCAAAGACCATACAGGGCTAAATACATACGAATATGCTTCTCTAAGCCTTTTATTTGATGGCGCTCCAAAGCTGAGCTTTCTATTTTCAGGGTGATCGGTGACCTACACCGGGGAAGATGCACGTGACTCGAATGCGCGTAGGGCAAGACTGCCGGGGAACCGCGAGGGGGTCTCCGCTTGGAATCGATCTTTAATCATTAGACTTGGCGCGAAAAAACCGCGTGCACGATCTACTGACAAGGCAGCTGAAATAACCCAGTAGGAACAAGGGGAAACACCGTCTCGAACCAGTACATTCGCCAAAGCCAGCGCCTGGGCGATTTTCGCCGCCTCACCGGACGATCACTCATTGCGATGAGCTCGCTGATCGCGTCGACATCCAAGGCGATCGACTACAGCGTCCCACCGAGTCCCGTCTACATACTCCGTGGGCATACGGCCCAGATCAGCTGCGTCAACTTCTCTCACGATGGCACTGCATTGTTTTCCGGGTAAGCCACGGCAGCCTAATTTCTATCCTCGAAGTCCAGTCGGAGCATGGAGCTGGTTCTGAAGGTGGATCGATCTCTACAGTGATGTCGAAGGATGGGTAATGGCATGGAATCTTTCGAGCTTTCGACCACGATTCGTCTGGAAACCGCACGAGGCAGGTGTCCTCACCATCGAGGAATTTGACGACGGTCTGCTCACGTGAGTGCGAAGCAGCTCCTCCCTCTGCTCTCGAGCTCACCTTGCGACTTGTCGGCTTTGGACCCACAGACACGGCCGAGACAATAAGATCCACCATTTTCAGCTGCCACAGTCCTTGCGGTCCATCACGCGATCAGCGGCTTCGGCCGTACCGAGCGTAAAGGACCCGACACCTTTGCACCCGGATTGGAGCATGGACGTCAACGCGATGGCGTATTGTCAAATGTCTCTGTTGAAGATCGCATCAGAAGAAGCGGACCGAGGAAAAGGAAAGGGGAAGGAACGAGCCTTGGTGGCGGTTCCGGCCTTGACCAAGGACGAGCAGGTGAGCACACGATTGGAAGTTGATCGGACTCCAGAATGCTGATGATGTGATCCATTTACCTACCCACAAGGTCGACATTTCCCATCTACCGTCCCTGTCTCGGGTCCATCGTTCAATCGGAGAAGGATGCTTCATCGGGAGCAAGACTGGTAAATTGGGTTGATTCAAGTTCTCTCCAGCCCGGGATCGAATGAAGCTCACGCACCACACACCATACGCTTGTACCCAGGAACCGTCATGGCTGTCGAGCTCTTCATAAACCCCACTTCACCGAGCCAGCTACATCTCCTCGCCGCCTACGAAGATGGTCGAGTCGCGCTCTTCTCCTACACCTCCTCCCCATCATCAGCTTTCTCCCCGCCGACGAACTATCGTTCCGAATCCGAAGGCTGGGGGTTGAAGTGGATAAGTAAAGGGCATCGGGAAGCGGTCATGTCAATGGCGCTTTCACCGGACAAGAAAGAGGCGTGGAGCATCGGTGCCGATCATTACTTGTGTCGGTATCAGCTTTGGGAGGAAGAAGAGGACAAGCGGCTCGATCGGTTCGAGATGACGGGACCGGGCAAGTCGGCGGTCGGTGTAAGGGATGATGGAAGGATCGTAGCCGTCTCCGGATGGGATGGAGAGTGAGCGCATTTCCTCTGTTCAAGGCAGCCGAGAAAGACAGGAAGCTGAAGTGGCCCTTGCGATCCTCACAGAGTCCAGATTTTTTCGACCAAGTCGGGCAAGCCGCTGGCCGTGCTCACGTATCATCGCACGTCGTTGCAAACCTTGGCTTTCGCACCGACCAGGCAGAGTGCTGAACGGGACGCGGAAAGTGATAACGATAGTGACGACGAGGAAGATAGGGGCAACGGGCAACAGAGAGCATGGCTAGCGACCGGCGGCAAGGACGAGCGCATCAGCCTCTGGGACATCTACCCGCCCCACTCCCTTCCCGCATGACCTCCTCTCTCGGAACGCAATGGTGGTTGGTGTTTTGTTTGCAATGCAAGTTTGTCCCCCTTCAACTACTACTGCACACACACACACTCTCCGTTCGCCACATTCTCCGTGGTAGTTGCGTTTTGGGTTTAAGCCTCGGAGGCGACAGCGGGGAACGAGAAGTGAACCTCCTTGCCGGTCAACTTGCGGTAGACGGACGAGAAGGTGTCGAGCTTGTAGTCCAGAGCGTTCGAGTCTATGGTGTGTGGCGGACGAAGGCCCAGTCAGCCACGAAGATCCTCGAAACACAATCTCAGCCTCGGCAAGAGGAGCAGAACGTACCCTTGGCATCGAGGAAGACCTTGATCAACTTGGAGCCATCGACATTCTGTCGGGTGCGCTTGCCAACGAGCTCGGTAGGGTAGACGAGGTCCTCGAGGATGTGCTCGTGGACTTCCTTCAGGGTGCGCGATCGAGGGCGCATCTGCTTTTGGCGGGAGCCTCGGGCGGGCTTGCGCATCATGCGGCGCTGGCCGATGAAGACGACGTGGCGGTCCGAGAACTTCTTTTCGAGCTCACGGGTGAGTCTGGAGAGAGTGGGGGGAGTTGATCAGCCCCAGGCCAGACAGCGGGCAGTCAGATTGAGGTCCCGGAAAGAAGACTCACCGGCCCTGGACCTTGTGGAAGGCCTTCAACTGGGTCATGGGGACGAAGATGACGACGGCCTTCTTGCCACCCTTGACATCAACCTCGCGAGCGGCCGAGATTTGCAGAGGTCGCAACTCGGCCTTCAAGTCGGCGACGTTGTTCTCGAGGTCGAGGATCGCCTGCGCGACCTGGAGCTCGACGGCATCCGGGGCGGTGCGGGGGGCGTTGGCCGATCGGAGGATCTTGCTGGCGGCGGTAGACTGGTGATGGTCAAGCGTGTGCGTTGTGAACAAGCGTTTGATGAGGTGCGAAGGAGGGAAGCGACGTCAATCCAGAGGGCACGTCGACATGCGAAACGAGAACGAGGCGGGAAAGGAGAGGTACAACAAGGTCAGCACTTTTCGTTTTTGACCCGAATAACCTTCTTGCATGTGAGTGGTGTCCCAGTTCGGTATCATCCTGGTCGTGGAGGGTGCTATGGCCGCGAGAAGGAGCGCATGCACTCGATTCGTGTTGGCCTCTCCGCTCGCAAGCAATTGGCCCTCCGGCCCGCGAGCGCCAGCTGCAGCGAAGTGCCTTCGCCCACGCCCAGGGCCAGCCTTGCCGCCTGCATTCCTGCTTGGCGACTCCCAAACACCGCGGATTCGTCCCATGGTGTCCCAACAACACTGCCCGGGCGCCATCGAGGTTGACGTTGCGGATGCAGAGTCGTGGTAGCGCCGCGTCGAAATTTAAAGACGGCGGCCCAGACACGACGCCCTCGTCTATGCGGCCACCACGCTCCCCATCGCTGGCCCATCAGGTCGTGGGTGCGCGCCGTAGGCAGACCGAGGTGTCGAACAAAGCACAGACCAAACAGATGATGGGGTGGGAAGATTTACCATGCTGATGAGGTGGACGGACGGACGCTGGATCTGAGCAGTCGCTTCCGCTGGGTACGGCTCGCCTTCGCGCCTGGAATCGTGCTGACCGCCGCTTTGACCCTCTGTGCTCTGTGGCCAGCCCAGGCACTTTTGCGTGCGGACCAAAAGCCGGACAATATACCCCGCGCCGCAATTTTGGCCACGCGGGCAAATCCGAATTCGGCCACTGCAAGGCGATTCATGCCAAGGTGAGGGGTGACCGAATCATGTGAGGGGGTAGGGTATGGGTGTTTGGGCGGCGTATTGTGCCGCGGCAAGCTGACCCAAGCAGCGCGTCGAAGAGCAAAGACAGGGGCTTGCCTCTTGCGCTCGAGCCTTGTCTTCCCGCCCGCTCCGACGTATTTGTCTCTTTGCAAATGTCGGGGTATCATCACAAGCCTACAACATAAAGATAGATCCACAATAGCGTCCACACCACACCGAATGCTCTCGTTCTTGTTCCCCTCACCTCGAACCCCTTCTGGCGCCGCGCTGTCGTCCCGCTCGTAACGGAAGCGCTTTGCGCATCTTCTTCCTCTGACGTATCGGTCGTATGCAACGAAGCTTGGACCTTGGGACCCGTCGTGTTCGATGCTTTCGAGCTTGCCCAGACCTAGAATAATGAAGTCCATGTGTTATTTGAGACATCGCGGGAACGTCTGTCGATGCGGACTCACTTTAAAATTGCGGAAGTATGCATGTTGCGTTTTGGAAGGGTACCACGCCGAGGTGGAACCACCAAAGAAGGTTGAGAAGAGCACCCGCGACAATGTGACGTTCGGATCGGAACGAAAGACGATGCCCGTGTGTTGGATCACCTGCCAAAAAACGAGGAGACTTAAGAATAAAAAGTGCCGATCATACATTGTGACGGCGTACTGACGAGGGTATCATTGATGTAGACGTAAAGCCATCCATTCGCCAAGGGTGGTGTATTCATTCCCACGAGCTGTGTCACCGTCGTCCATCTGCAGGTGCATTGCATAATTGTCAAGAGTCGGGACGACTTCCACCCGAGACATCCAAGTGCTTACCCTCCCACGGTGAAGTTGAAAGCGCCGAGTGAAATCTGAATCCCGTATTTGTCCGGACATGAGATATCACTCTGGTTGCACAAGTGCGGGTATGTAGGGATGTAGGCGTATCTGCGGGAGAACACGAGTTCAAGGCACAGTTGTTCATCCAACTGCAGCTTTTCCCCTGTGCCAGACCTACACCTCTCCCGCCCCTTTGCTTCGCCACATGAAGCGAGTCGAAAAGCAGGAAAATTGTCGGTTCCCACCAGTGCATTCACCCGTCGTTGCGCCACCGTAAAGACCTGCGTAAACTGCACTGTGAGCCCCTTAGCAGAACCTTGGCCAGGATCCACTGGAGCATGCCTACCTGGGAGTTTGCCGCCTAGCATGAAGTTGAAACCTGGCTCGAACGCGACCTGTCAAAGTCAAGCATTATGTTAATACCGAAAACACATAATCTGTTTGATTGCCGAAAAACTCACCTGATAGGTGAGAACGGCTCGCTGCGGCGGTTTTGTGAGGCCGTCGAACGGTAACGGCCAAAACTGTACCCCTCCTTTGATACCGCTGGGATACGTGATTCCTAACACCAGTGAAGAGTCGTCATCCGAAGCGTTCCTGTTTGTCGAACTGGAGAAGGGGTCCTCGACGAATTGCACGAGGTTCGCACTCGCACCTCCGACTTTACCATCAAGGTTCCACCGATCGACCAACCACGAATTCGTATCTTGGTTAGACATGGAACTAACGTTCGCGAGAGGTTCAGTCGAGGCCCAGATTGGGGTTGCGTCGAACGCGTAGGCCAGTTGGGCTGCGCTCCAGGACCGCGCGATCGTGAGTGTCGTCGCGAGACTCGACATCTTCTTTCTCGTTTGAACGGGGGTCGACGCTGGGCCTTGGGAGGAGAAGCTCCAAAGGGTCGGTGAATGGGCGGTCAACGGTGTAGCTATCGTGAGTACATGGTGGTTTGGTGGTGTATAGCCGAGGTATTGAAGGAGAGGACAAGGGCAAGCAAGGCGATGCTGCCACGGCATGAGCGGCTGCTGCGAGGCAAAAAAGGGGCTCGTGCGCGCTCCGATCGCGGAGGGAACAAAGGAAGATTTGCGCTTGGCTTCAGACACCGAGCGATCGGAAATCTGGGAACGGGAAGGCCCAGATGTGTAGGTTAGTCATTCAACGATGATTCCGTATCTCTTGCAGCTCTGGGATCTGCGGGAGGGCCCAGCGGTGTAATGGGAGAGTCGTCAAATGCGCCAGTGTGCATTGCCTGGGAAAATATCGATATGTATGGGCTACAAGGGGACAAGGTCCTACTCGTCACGGACAAAAACATATGAAAATATATGGAAAGAAAAGACAACATAGGTACAACAGTGAACGTATTGATCTAAGGAGACGTCAAGCAACGGCGATAAAGGGGCACTGCTGGTACTGCTGCGATCGCGGCGACGAAGTCGTCAAGGGGTTCGCCGAACGATACACGGTCGGGTGGTGATGAGACGACTCGAACGCCAAGGACTGGCGCGAATTTGCTGAAAAGTCATGCTGCGATGAGGATCGCGAGATGTGGTACGAGGCGTTGCTGAGGAAGGAGCTCTTCGTCGACGGCAATGTCGGGGTGGCATGGGCCGTCTCGGGGGCGAACGAAAGGTGAGGCGAATGCGGCGAAAGGTGCTCGGGCATGTCGAACCTCGCTCGAGAGCTGACTTTGGCCGTGGGCCAGGTACCCGTCAGATCAGCGTGGTTGTCCGCTAGAGTGGGTTCACACGTCGCGGGCTGGCTGCAGGCCGATCGCCAGTCCTCACTGACGTCGGACTCCGAGTCGAGTCCGTCGTCCGAAGAGAGCGTCGGGGCCGAGGAGCTTTCCGATTGAGACCCGTGCCTGCCCGAGGACGCATAGACGAGCGGTGGTAAGGCGTGGTAGAGCGTCATGATCGCTTCGGCGCCGTAGGTCGGCTCCTGGGATACCACCGAGGCCTCTCGCGATGGCACGGGCGGTCGGCCAAAAACGTCTGAGGCTGCCGCGACTGAACTTCGCTTGCGCGAAGGGAAGGGCAGTTGAGCGAGTTCTTCGCTAGCTTCCTCGACCTCGCCGCCCATCATCTCGACCCAAACGTCCAGCAACGAGTCCTCGCCTCCCACGACACCTGTGGAGCGCGTCTTGCTCGCGATTGTCGACTTGCGGCGCGTGTCGTCTGCGCCGAACGTGAGGCTGGCGCGCCCTGGTGCGACTCCAACACCACCCTCGCGTGAAGAGGCGACGCTCCCGGAACGACTCGACACAAGCGCAAAGGGCCGTGACGAGGACGCCGAGCTCGCGACGGAGCTGCGTCGATACAGGCCAGAATCATCCTTGAACGGAAGGGCGGGAAACAACGAGTCGACCGGGGACGATGCATTCGTCGACGGCGTATCGTGGCTGCTCGACGAGAGACCGGCACTGGAGGACGCCCGGGACCCGGAGGAGGCCGACGGCCGACGGAACGAAAAGACTGTCGGCAGAAGAGCCAGGTCAGCATAAGCTCAGAGCGGTCCCGGGCAATCCAAAACTGGACCTACAAGATAAGGTGCTGTGCTTCTGACTCTCAGAATTCCTCTTAGATTGTGTCCTGGCTCGCTCGGCCTCGACGTCGTGCATCCCCTGCCTCCAAGTTTGCAATCGTGCGTCGGGCGAGTCTTCGTGCGCGTACGCGTCGGGTCCGAGGACAAAGTCCATCGCTGGACCCGCGGATGCCGCTCGGGTGATATGTTTAGCTGCACTTTCGTAGGAACCGACGGTTTGGTGGTGAGATTGCGAGTAGATGCTCGACCGCTGCGGCGTCGAGGTTGAGGTGGCGGTCGGGAAGGGCAGGAGCGGAGGCGAGGAGTTCTTGAGCGAGTGGCGCTGCGACGACGAGCTCGTCGACGAAGCACGCGTTCGGGGCATCGATTCGGGGTCGGTCGGGAGGCGAGAGGATGCCCAATCCAAACCTAAGCCATGGTTGTCCCGCGACGTGCGTCGAGTCATTGGCGACGGCGGGGCAGCCGAAACGGCCCTTTGGTCGAGCGCGCCTGTCAGGTTCGCAGACTTGGCATCGTTGATATGGCGACGTGGTGCCGCGGATACTGCGGTGATGCTCAAGCTCAAGGTCGAAGTCGAATTTGAGACGGAGAACTCGGAGACATCGTAAACGGGCACGGCTTTGCGCTTGACTTGGACGACCGAGGTCCGTCGCGATGCTTGAGTGGAGGTAACTTGAGACGACTCTGCAACATGGGCCGCAGCTTCGGAGCCCGATGCCGAAACGGGCGACGTGTCGACGCCTCCACGCTTCAGCGGCTTGACAACGGTAGTTGTCGTTTCTGGCAGCTTGACGTCGGGGTTGGACGAAAAAGACAAGATAGGTTGCCCGATCGCGAGTTTCTTGATGGGGGGCCGCGGACCGGCCGCGCCGGGGTTCGGCGCCTGGTCCTCGGCGTGGTCGACGTGCAGCGAGCGCTGCTGCGCCAGCGCCGGGTTCAGCAACAGCTGCTTGTGGCGGGGCACATACGTTTCTCGTTTGGGCGCAGCATTCGCCCTCTGTGAGATGGATGGCATCGCTGATCTTGTCCTCTTGCCCTCCTCAATTTGCGGTCGGTGCCTATGCGAGTGGCCCCGAGCAACTTGCTGATTAGCCACGCCGCCGCCTTGCGAAAGAAGCACGGCCGAAACTTCGGAAGTCGTCAACTCACCTGCGAGGGATTTGGGCGGACCCAGTGGCGTTCGATAAGTGGATCACGATCTTCTTGCAGTAAGAGCACGCGCTGGTCGTGTCGAGGAATGGGCGGAAGGGGATGGTATCAGAGCAAAGGGTTCGTGATGGTAAGCCCCGACACAAGCTCCAGGGACGTTGGTCTGCAATCCGCCGCCGACACGAAATGTGCGCACGCGCGCGGAAGAGGGCTATAATGGAAACCTCGAGTGCCATTGGTCCAACCGTGCACGCCCATAAGCGATCGATAGCTGTGAGACCGGCGCGACCGGCGCGCGAGGCGCACTGGCCAGTGGCGAAGGCCGCAGCGCGAGGGGGACCCGGAACGCGGGCGGCCCCCAACTTTATTTATCCGCTTTGGGGTTGGGCGCTTTCTTGCTCTCTCTAGACCCAAAGACTCGATCTTGATGCATCATGTTGAAATATCCATCATCGACATCCAAGAATGGATAGTAGCTGCCTAATCTCCCGCTCAAATTGCTTCCCGTACATCGGACCCTCCGGAATCGAAGAAAGTGGGGTTGTGGCTTGTGAGCACGATTGAAGCACGTTGCCAACATAATGAAGTGGGCTCGCAAGCCTTTACCGATCCATTTATGCCGAGCAACTCGAGTCGCGCCTGGCGGACATCCGTGATGACACACGATGAACGGAGACACGACGGGCATAAACATTCTCGGTTCCCAGGTATCTCGCCCAGAACTATCACACTTGACTTGTGTTTTAACGCAAAAGATCACTTGTGTGTTGCCTCGATGAAGAGGAACCCGTCGACTTTGCGCAGAAAGCGCTGACGCGCCCGAGCTACACCTCAGGTGCCACCCTCGGAGGTCGATCGTCAGCTCGATGCCTACTTTCAGCCTAGGAAGGAGTACTCTAGTCAATTAAGAAAAATCGACTAGACGTCGTTCAATCTCATGCGATGAAACTCAGTTGAAAACGAGAGCCGATCCAGTCTTACCTACAGGGGGCATTCCGGAGGGAACACTAGCTTTCAAAACGTTCCGAGCATCTCGTCAACCTGCCTGATCCAGCTTCTCGCAGGCTCTCTTTCCTCCACTGGCGCGGATGGGCTCCACCTTCCGTTTGGCACGAGGCGATCCAGGAAATCCGTTCTAGAAGCGTAGATCTAGATCGATCCAAACAAAAACTGTACGATTTGCCGTTCAGCAACGTCGTCATTCTGATGAACAGACGTTGGAACTTCGAGCTCGGCAGCTGAAGGAACCCCTCTTTGGTCGCAGCGGGAGATTCCACTCAATGCGCGGACCGGCGGCCTGGGCATATTCGGGTTCCGAGCTTCCGCTACGTAGTCGTGCAGCCATTCAAGAATTAACGTCTTGTATTCCATCTTCGCTATACCCCTCCTCGGTATAGTTGTATGATGTTCGGGTAACAAAAACAGCCCCGAAAATTTCAAGACTGGAAGTGTCCCGGGCGCGCTTGCTCGAAGCTGTAGGCTTCCCAGCTCAAGTTCAAGTCGAAAGCGTAAAGGCCAGGTTGTTCGCTCTCTTTCTCGGACGGCAAAAGAAAGACGTTTCAGGGCCTAGAATTGTATTCGATACGATAAAAAAAGAGGTGAGGTGAAAGATGATGAAAAGTCGATAGGCGGTGTCGAGCGATCAGCGAAGGTTGATCGGGCTCGAGCGCGAGTACATTGTGTCTGCCGGCGATAGTGAGGTTCGTGTGTATACATAGCATGAACTGGCTGGGAACATGACAGTGAAGCAGGCGAGACGACTGGAGCCGAAAATGTGCTATAAGAGAGGTGGTTCTATTTAGCAAGATTGGGGATGAGCACGACAAAAGTAGGATTCTTTGTAATTGTGAGAATCTGCAGAACATGCGAAAACGTGAACGTGAGGACAAGATTACTAATACGGGTAGTATATGAAATGAAAGAGTCGTGCGAGGTGCAATAATTGCGAGGAAGTCGAGATGCCGCGGCGAACATGAGGGAAAGAAAGAGCGAACAGGACTCGGGCGTGTCACAGCTCCATGCCGGCGGCGTCTTCCTCTCCAGCCGAATAGTTCTCGTCGTCGTCGTCATCCTATGAGAATAGACCAGAGTCACCCGTGGTCAGCACCTCCGCACCTCCTGCGATCCCTTGCTGCTTGGAACGAAATTCTCAAACTGACTTCTTCCTCGCTCGACTCGTCGTCATCGTCGCCATCGTCTTCTAACGCCTCCCGTGTTGCGAATCTCGATACATAGTCTGACCAAGCGATTGATGAGCGAAGGTCAGCGACGAGTCGCTGTGCGATTCATGTGCAGGGACCCCGAGACGGGACGTGCCCTTGACCTTGCCATCGTAGCTCTTTGAATCCCTCATCAACAACGCTGCGGCCTCTCCGTTGAGCGGATCCGACGCGTTTGGATATCGAAGCAGTTGGGGCAAAAATACCTCAAAGATGTTGATCATGTCGAACATGGGAGACCAGGTCTGGTTGATGACGTCGAGGCAGACCGAGCCCGATACTTCGTCGATGTTGGCTGGAAAGAGAGAGGTGTTGTTGAGATCTGGTTCGGGGCATATCTCGCTTCACCACGCTCACTCACGATGGAATATCTTATTGACGAAGCCGATCGAGGGACTCTTGTACGGGTAGCCGTCGGGCAGCTCGACGTGGATCTTCCATACGCCTCCTTCAAAAGGAGCTGTAGGGTGGCGCACAGTCGGAGCGGGTCAGGTCAAGAATAGGTCAGTTCTTGAATTTGTGTTGGGGGCATTCTGCGCCAAACAGGCCATCGCATGCTCCAGCTACAATTGGCCTGCCCGACGCCCAGACCGCCCATCCTCCTCCCCCCACTTTGGGTGGTGAGGCCCCCACGCGAGCGCCCACTGCCGGCGAGCGAGTTGACGACTCACTCTCTTTGGGACCGTTGAACCGGACGTAGAACTCTTGCATGTTGTCATTGACGAGTGTGACCTCGTAATCGGACATGAGCCTGCGGTTTGTGCGGCGTTCCACGGGTAGACGATCGGCCGTGGCACGTCAAGCCGGAATGGGAGAATGGGACCGTATCGAGTCACGCGATCGGAAGCGAGGGCGCAAGTCGATGATGGTAGGGGAGCAGCAAGTACGTCGTCAGCTTCACTTTGAAGATCAGTGAGAGCGCAAGTACGGACAGTTTCATGACATCGGTCTCGATCCTTCGCTTGGGGGAGCTGTATGTGCGGCGTGATTGGGACGAACGACCTCATCAGCTGAGCGAGCTCCGGTCCGATAGCCACCGTGCACTCCGGACTGGCAACCTCGGACTGGGGATAGGGTGTTACGGACCTCATCGTGGGAGTCGGCCTAGGGTCTAGTTTGGGAGGTGAGCTGATAGGGATCGATCGACGGTGGGCGGGGGGATGACGTGGTCCGGTGGTGGCCGAGAAGGAGCAAAGCAGGCCAGAGCCGTCCGATCGATAGTCCAGGCGCGCGGCGTAGTGCGGCCTCGCTCACTGCCTCGCCGCTCGGACCTCAAATCATGAACGGAAACTCGGGATCGTTCTCTCGCAGTTGCATCCTTGTAATCACACTCACAGTGGTGTACAGCATACCTTTGAGCTCAAGCCTTGACCCCGGAGCTGCCACCGCGATGCCGAGCAGAGTCCGACCGAAATCTTTGATTCTCGGCCGAGTTGCAGTTCGTCCTCGGGCAGGTGCAGGCTGCATGCTGCAGGCAAGCTCGGCTCGGCCCGACGGCACAAGCGGGTCAGCTGAGGCAGGGTTTTTTTTTTTTGGGAAAAGCTGGCTGGCTCACTTTGTGATGCTCGTGAGCGATTAACTACTGCTTTGACACATATGAGAAGAGATCACCCGGCGAGCATTCTAGTTTTATTTTACACCCAGATTTGCTGCTCACTGACATCACGGTATCAACGATACGGTTGATCCGCGGCATGCCGAACTTGAAATTAAGCCGATGCAGCCACAGGCCAGGCCGTCGCACTGCGCCTCGGCCTCGCTCCACGTGCAGAGAATGCCTTCGCTCCGTTCAAACTCATTCCGCTCTCTCTCTCTCTCTCCCGTGCTTATTTGGCTTCCTACCCCAAGTGAAGACCAAGGAACGAGTCGATCCATCTGCCACCGTCTTGGCCTGACCCTCGTCTCGCCCCGCAAGTCATGTCGTCGCCGCGCAACATCTCGTCCTCCTCGTCCGGCGGCGGCGGCGGCGGCGGCGGCGCCAGTGGTGGTGGAGGTGCCGCTCTTCCATCTGCCGCCCGCGCCGGTCGCGAGTCGTCGACGTCCTCGGCCCGAGTCTCGCCTTCGCTGCACCCGACCACGGCGCACATCAACACCTTGTACGGCTCCCCCGGTGGGATCCCGCAGATCCCTTCCCGCAGCGAGCTCAACAGCCAGCACAACTCGCCCCGCGTCTCGTCGCCCTTTTTGAATGCTCGATCGGCAGCAGGTCCAGCAGCATCCCCATCGGGCGGAGGCGCCGTCTCCCCTGCGCTCTCGGCTTCCCATGCACTGGGCACTCCACCCTTGCCACCAGCTTCGATCGCGTCTTCGATCACGACCTCTTCGAACCCCAACTTGACCGAGGCGCAAAAGGCCGAGATCGTGCGCCGTCACTTACTCAACGCGCACGACCAGAGTCGCGTCGAGCACCGACCGACGATCCATCCTCGCGCCTCGTCCAACTCGCTCATCGCTTCCTCGAGCACGAGCATCGCCGAAGGTCCCTCCGTTGATGAGGGAGAGTACCCGACCCCTTACCATCGCCAGGGGGGCGATGTCGTCGCGGGGGTGTACAAGTGGGCCGCGCAACAGGCCGAAGGAGCTGGCGGCGACGATTCGGCCGCCCCTTCCTTGCGGAGATCCAAGTCGCTCGTCTCGTTGGACCATGCGGCGAGGCAGCACGCGGCCGACGACTCCCTGACATTGGAACGGACGCCCACGTCCAATACCGAGGCCGCGGCGGCCGACGACGACGATCCTTCTTCGGCTTCGGCGATGAGGGTGCGCGAGATTCTCGAGCCGGGCGGATTCCGACGTGATTTCGTCATCCGCAAGATCGCCGAACAACGCGGCGAAGACGTGCAGATCGCCGCCAGGAGGGTCTCGCGATCGACGGGTGGATCCCGGAGCTTCATCGACTTTCTCAGTCTGTACGGCCACTTCGGTGGTGAGGACTTGGAGGAGATCGAGGAGGAGGACGAGGAAGAGGATGAAGAGGACGAAATCGAGTACGATGGACAGATCCGCGGTGAAGGGATTCCGCCGTTCCGAGGGCAGGCAAGTGGGTCGAGAGGTGTGCCACCGAACGAGCGAACACCGTTGGTGCGAAACAAGACCACGAGGCACGGGACGACTTCGGCGGCCAAGCGCCAGGGTCCGTCCCAGGGTGACGCGACCGTGTCGCAGGCCGTGCTCATGTTGCTCAAGAGTTTCGTCGGCACCGGAGTCCTCTTTTTGGGTAAAGCGTGAGTTGACTTCTTGCCAGTAAATTCTTTGGTCGCGGATGGGATGCTAACCTTGCTCCGAGCCGGCACAGCTTTTACAACGGAGGCATCCTCTTTTCTACCATCGTGCTCTGCTTTATCGCCATGGTCTCGCTCTACTCGTTCCTGTTGCTGGTCGAGACACGTCTTGTCGTCAACGCCTCGTTCGGTGACATTGGTGGTATTCTCTACGGCAAATACATGCGCTGGGCCATCCTCTTTTCGATCGTCCTCTCCCAGGTCAGTTCATGTCGCGGTGTTCCCTCAACTGCAGTTGGCGTGTCCATCACTGACCTGGGTCAGCACGCGTCCTCATGATAGGTCGGATTCGTCGCGGCCTACACGATCTTTGTCTCTCAGAACTTGCAAGCATTCATCATGGCCGTGACCAATTGCCGCCATCTCATCCCGATCCAGTACCTCATCCTCGCGCAACTCATCATTTTCTTGCCCCTTGCCATGATCCGCAATATCCAAAAGCTGTCCGGTACAGCCTTGATTGCCGATGCTTTTATTCTCTTTGGTCTCGTCTACATCTTTTCGAATGAGATCAAGCTCCTTGTCGACAATGGCATCGCCGACGTCGCCCTCTTTAACCGCAAGGACTTCCCACTCTTAATCGGGACCGCCGTCTTTTCTTTCGAAGGCATCGGTCTCGTCATCCCCATCACCGAGAGTATGAAGGACCCGCATCGTTTCCCGGCCGTCTTGACGGGTGTCATGATTGGGGTCATGATCCTGTTTGCCTGTGGTGGATTGCTCGCTTATGCGGCTTATGGCTCAGCGATCCAGGTAAGTCGTTCATTTGGGTTGTGGCGGGCTTCGTGTTGACCCCCCTGTGCTGACGTGTTTCTACTCCATTCCCGCAGACGGTCGTCTTCGTCAACCTCCCCCAAGACGATAAGTTTGTCAACGCGGCACAATTCCTTTACTCGATCGCGATCCTCCTCTCGACGCCCTTACAACTCTTCCCCGCCGTGCGCATTATGGAGAACGGTCTATTCTCTCGTTCGGGCAAACATTCGAACCGAGTCAAATGGACCAAAAACTCGTTCCGCATGGCCGTCGTCGTAGGATGTTCAGCAGTCGCCTGGGCCGGCGCGAAAGACCTCGACAAGTTCGTTTCCCTCGTCGGGTCGCTCGCGTGTGTGCCGTTGTGCTTTTGCTACCCTGCGATGCTGCATTGGAAGGCGTGCGCCCATACGAGGAAGCAGAAGGTCATCGATGCGTTGCTGTTCATCTTTGGCTTGTTTGCGACGTGCTACACGACGTCTCAAACGGTGCGTACACGAGGTTGTACGATCCTCCTTGACGGGCTGAGTGCTGATGCGATGCTGCTGTTCGTCGATACAGATCTCGATGCTCATCAGCGGCGGCGAGAGCGCACCCCCTAAGTTCGGCAAATGTCAATAGATCTGTCCGCCCCTGTATAGAAACTTTCTTCTCTTTTCGCCCCGTCTGTTACCGTCGAGGGCCCTTGTTTTATTTCATGTTTTTTTTTGAAGTGTGTGCACCGGTTTTGTTTGGTACGAGCCTTTCGTTTGTTCTTCGTAGATACTTTGTTTACCCAAACACACAATTCGTAAAATACTACTCCGGGTATCATGAGAGCTGGTCTTGGGCACGCACACACACAAAAACAAAAGCGTTGACATTGAGTACAAAGTCGTGTTGGGTTTACTACTATTGCTACGACTGTGACTACTGCCAAGCTGCTATGAATTCCTTTTATATACTTCAACTTCAATTAACTAAGAAAGTGGGACTGCGCACGGATGATATTTCCCTAACCTCGTGGTGTGAGACTGGGCTCTTCTCAACTTCGTTGTGGTGTATACATTTTCTTTCTTTCTTCTTATGTGCTGTTCGAGTCCAGTCGTCGAGGGTAAGGTGTGGTGTGTCGGTGGTGGTTTCGAAAGGCTTGTAGATGGTACGAGATGATATCGCGTTTGCAGTGTCACACGGCGATTCCAACCGCTTGATGATGCAGTGGTGACGTTGGAAAGGGAATCGAGGAAGTGGTCGACGCCTCGAGACGCTCTTTGGACGTTCGATGCGAGAGCGCACTCAAGGGCGGGGACGGGGTTGGAAAGTACGAGATGCCTCGAGTCGGAGTTGAGGACGTCAGGTTCGGGGTTGGAGTAGGGGTCGTTTTGGGGGTCGAGGACGACGAACTGACGTTCGAGGACGACGAGCTCGATAAAGGGTTGGGCACGGTGGACTCGGTGGCGAGGCCCAAGGGACTTGGATGCGGTGATAAGATAGGGGTCGAACTGCCTGACGAGGCGTCGTCGGGATTAATGATCTGTATGCTCAAGCCAATCGTGTTCAGTCCTCTATCACGGGGGTCGCTCTCTGAGCGTTTGATCGCCTCACCTGAAGAGTGGTCCCCGATTTCCTACCGATCGATCCGGATTCAAAGCCATCGTTTTCTCCACCACTGCCTGCCGCAAACTCAGTGTCGATCGACCATGCCTTGGCGACGTAGACACTTTCGACAATTGGTGTAGGCTCCCCATCCCCGAGACCAAATATGGAGCGTTCTAACGAGTTAGATGATGTTGACCCCTCACTGTCACTGGTGACTGAACGACGTGCAAATCCGATCCGAGCGCACAGGAGAGGCAATTGAGGATGTCCAGCGGGTAGAGGACCGCGAGAGCCGTTGCTGCCCGTCGACTGCGTTCTGCGACGAGTGGCACGATATTGGGTGCGCTTCATCTTGTAGAGTGAGCTCGGTGACTTGGGCGGGTCAAAACTTTGGTTCGAATCACTGAACGCCGAAGAGATGGAGGTGGGCGAAGGTAGACTCGTCGCGTCGGCAAAGGACACGGTCACGCTTCGGTGACGACTCCACGGCGGCGAGGAGCGATCGGTTGATTCGGTCGGCAAGGTGAGGGATAAAGGAGGGCGGAGCTGTGTTGCAGAGCTCAAAGATTGATGACGCGAAACACAAGCTCGAGAAAAAGGTGGAGTATGCGAGCGTCTTGGAAGTGTGGCAGAGGAGGCACCGTCCGAAGCGTGGCAAGGAGGGAACTCGGTCGCGATCGGCGCAAAGTATCGTGCGACCGGGGCACGATAGTACCGAGAATAGTCGTCCGAATGTCGCCGAAGGGGCTCTCCCTCCGTTCTCTGGTTCATCAGCACATTTATTCCATGAATACCAGTTGATGACGCTCCAAAGTCATCAAAGTAGTCCCTCGACTCGAGCGACTCGTCGCACAACGTCAGCGACGAGGCTTGGGTTGATAAAGTCGACGGTGGCGACGAGCAGCGACTCGCCGGCAGCCTTTGCGTTTCGGTCGATGCGCCGAGCTGACGGGTTTCTAAAGCAAGCTCTTTTGTTTGTTGTACTTTGTCATCGTCTTGGCCCGAGCTACTTGCGTTGTCGGAGCTATCGCCGTCACCTACGCCAAACACCTTTTTGCGCCGCTTCGTCTTCATCTTGAGCGCGCTCTTTGACGACAACGAGCGTGGTCTCAAGGTCATCGTCGGTTTAGAGATGGCGTCAAACAAAAACTCTGAACCCATGATTTGCCCTCGAAGCGCCGAGATCGTGGGCCCCGCGATCGAAGGGGAAGGTGGGGGTGGAGGTGGAGGCCTTGCTAACGGCCGTCCCGTCTTCCAACTCGAGGCGCTAAAGTGGAGTGACCAACGACGCAGTGACTTGTTCGATGCTTCCAGAGAGGCCGATGGGGTTTTTGATAATTCGACCGTAGCTAGACTCGATTCTTCGACTGCGCCAATGGGTGCGATGCGAACGCTCGAGCTCGGTGAAGGTTTTTGGTCCTCGTCCGAAGGCGACTCGGTGATTGACGACCAGGCGCGCAGAGACGATGGGCGTGAGACGGCCGGGGACGATGATGCACTGCAGTCGGTTTTTTTGCTAGATGAGGGACGGCCCAACCTCGATATGGTAAGACCGCCACGGCTACTGATCACGTCGGCTCGAGTGTTCGGTGTTTCAGGCTTTATTTGCAACCCCTGCAGGGCCACAGGGGCGCCGCAAAATGTGTCAGACTCGAACAAGATTGTACGACAGCTTCAACGACATCGTCACTCACATGAAAGGGATTGTGTTCGCTTGACAGGATTTTCCCACCTTGGCCGTTTTCGTCAGCTTTGTCACCACTGCCGCAGGCTGTGACGCTTTCGGAGTGCCGCGGCTGCCAATCGGGATCATCGTCGTCGTCGCCGCCCAATGTCCGAATTGTCGGCGTCGCATCGCAGTCACCGCGGCTGTCACGGGCTGCAGTCGGCGTTTCGACAAACGAGTTGGCCTCACTGTCTCGGGCGTCACGTTTGGGTCGAATATAAAGTGTGATCGAGCTCGCACGACGGACTGGCAGGCGGAGAATCGGGTCAGAACTAGACGGTGCCGCTGCGAATCCGACTCGTGCGACAGTGACCGGAGTTGAACTTGTGCGCGCCGGCAGCGACGATGGCGGCGTAGTCGCACGATGTCCTCGATCACTTTCGCCAGCGCGTGTTGGCGCATTCGTCTTCGGCGTGGGATGGAGCAAGTTGTACCATCGATCGATCCACTTGACCATGTCGGAGCAACATGAACTAGTGAGATCGTGCTCGGCCTCGACGGATAGGCAGCTCGTGAGCGTGAACTGGATCGAGGTCCAGAATTGGAAAACGAAACGTTCCGCGTTGGGGTAGAAGCGTGCGTGCGAAAAGGTGAGGCGATGTTGACTTCTTTTATCCAAGCTTATCAGTGATCGGGCGGAACTGCTGGGATCAATTTGAACGAGCCGCGCTCCCGGTAAAATATGAACGGGCGGTCGAGTCGGCGGGCGCGGCCGGGCGGGCGGCAATACTCAGCTGCCCGATTCTGCACAATGTGATCGATTTGGGCTTGGGACTTCGATGCAACAAGTTCTTTGTGTGCATGAACATCTCTCTGGAACTGTAAAAGCAGTTTTTTGATGGCTAGCCAGGGCTGACCGTCGGAACTTCCCGAGTCGGCCTGATGTCCCGCCAGTGGCGCGCGCGGCCTTGGCGGTCGCTCGTAAAGAGGGGGCGAGTAGCCCCTTTACTCGTCGACGCGTCGGGGCGCGTGTTATCGCGTGAACGCTTCCCAGACAGACGGCGCTGGTGCGGAAATTCGACAGTGTGACAGCTACCTAGAAAACAGATAGATCCACTCTTCATTTCACGTTCTTGAGCGCTTCCAACACCTCGTCGAGCCCATCATCATGCGCGCCCTTCGTCCTCTCCTTCGCGCGCTCCTTCTTGACCTTCTCGGACCGCTTCGAAGCCTCCTCGATCGCCGCAACATCGACCAACGCTTCTCCACCTGCCTCACCACCTTCCCCGTTGGTCATAGCCTTGGATTTCTTACCCTTGAACCTGGTCTCGAAAATCTCATCGACCTCGTCCTTCTTCCTCTTCTTGCGCTTCGAATCGTCCGCCGAAGCGGCCGAGGTAGCCGCAGCGGCTGCCGCGTCGGAAGCCGTCTTAAGTCCCTTGAGCTCGACATCCCTCTGCCTCATCTTGGTCTTCCAATCCTCCCTTCTCCGTTCCCACAACGGCAACTCCAACTTTTTCGCCCAAAAATGCGCCCACGGCGATTGTTGCAAGAATGGCAATTGCCCCTCCTGGCTGATGGATTGGGCAATCTTGTCCTTGAGGAAGACATCGGCGACGGCCCAGCAGTGTTCGACGAGGCGCGACCCGATTCGGTCGTCGGCGAGAGTGTGGTAGTGCCCTATCAGGGAGAGGAGGAAACCGCGAATCTCGCGCGGTGGGGTCGTTGGTGAGTCGAGGAAGGCGTCAATCAGCCGCGACGAGGTCGGGTTCCGCGTCAGAGGGGTCAGAGCCTCGATTTTGAACGAGCTCAACGAGTCGTAGAGAGCCTGGGAATGAGGGGCGTGTAGTTGGGCAAATGCTTGCAGCAGTAGAGAGCCTTGTACGGTAGGTTCGACCGTGACGTGCGAGGGAAGCTTGCGGTAGTACTCGAGTCGGTTCAATGAGAGCACGCAGGGAATCATCAAGAGCCGTTCCTCCGGTGTATGCAGACCAAAGGTGTCGAGGATGAGCTGTGAGATGATCCGGCCGAGTCAGTCAAAGTATTTTGAACAACACGAAACAAGAACATACATCAGAAACCTCCTTCTCGGCGCTTTCCAAGGCTGAAGCGCGTTCGAGCAGCATCTTCATCACCCCCGTCCTCGAGTTGTCGACCCACTCGGCCCTCCTTTCCCTCGCAATCCGACTCAGTTCCTCCACAGCCGAGACGAAGAGGTCCTTGTCCAATCTGGACAGAGCGACAGCGACGACAAAGTTGGCGACGGCGTTTCCGGCCAAGCGATGCAGTTTGCCGGCAAAGAAATCGGTCCACAACGCCTTGACGATGCGGTCGGGGGCTTGTTGCAGGATCGTTTCCAACGTCGGGGCCGAAGCGGGGTGCCGCAACAGACCGCCGAGGTACTCTTCTCGAAGGTTCGTGCGCGCCTCGGTCGTAGTGTCGGGTTTTTTGACTTCTTCAATCAGGCCGCACAGGACTCGATCAGCCCATCCGCCAATTCGCCACCCTTTGGGTCGAGCGGCTTCCAACTCGATCAAGATGCGTACCGCCGGTCCCGCAACCGCGTCCATCGCCGCTTTCCTGACCCCATCACCCGGAATACCCGCCGAGGAAGACGACAACACGCCCGAGTTGGTCTCGATCACCTCCAAAGTCGTCCACATCGTCTTGAGCGCGTCGTCAAACTCTTTTGGCACCGAGCGAGTCTTTTTGCCTTTGTCTGTCGACGAATCGGCGGCTCCTTCGGTCGGTCCGAGGAAAGATTTCATCGATCCTTGTGCTTTGCGGAACTGAAGGGATCGCTTCGATCGCTCGGCACCACCGGATTGACCTTCGGCTGTCGGTGCTTGGCCCGCTACAAGGAGTAGCAAGGCGCGGAGGCAGTGGGACCCGAAGGAATCGTACAGGAGGCTTGGGAGCTCGGGCACGAGTTCGGTGATGATGGAGATGATGAGGGTCGACATGGTCGGCAACGAGGACGAGGATGTCGATGCTGTCGGCGGCAAGGCGATGATGCCTCGGGTCTGCCACCAGAAGAGCAGCTTTTGATCAGTCGCATGGCCATATTGATGACTCGAGACCCTTTCCAGCATGGTGCCAACTCACTTCTCGATCGACGGTTTCTCCTGCCAACACAAACAACGTCTGCAATACATGACTGGCGCGTTGATGTCGAACCAGTCGATCATAGTTGCCCGTGAAGCGATCGGCGAGGACCCTCTTCGCAAAGTCGTCCATCGAGTACAGCAGTCGCTCCAAAATGACGCTCGTCTCTGTATCACCTGCAAGCGCCAACTCGTTGCCGGACAAGGACTCCAACGCCGATCGTAGCAATAGAGGTCGGTCGTCCTCCTCGTCCTCTTCCCCCTCGGCGGCTCTGTGCTGGCGTCCGACGCCCAACGATTCCATCTCGGCGATTTGTTGATCTACTTGCTGAAAGTAGGCCTTTGTGTCTGGATCACATTCTGGTAAAGCATTGGGATCGACAGGCCCAGCAGGTCCCGAGCCGGAGGGGCCATCCTCGCCCTGGGAGTGACCATTCGCTGGATTCGAGGTCGACGCTACGGCACGATGGGGCAGTGCGGTCCAAGGCATCTCGGACTTTTTGTGTCGAGCACGCTTCTCGGCCAGTTCTTGGGCTCGAGCAGCCTGTTCCTGCTGCTCCCGCTTGAGCTGTTGAGACGACGACGACAACAAGAAGCGAGTTAGCGGGCTGCGAAGCTGGTAATAGGGGCCACGACTGTGCCATGATGCACGTCCGCGTCATGTAAAGCTCCTGATGAGGTCATGTGACTGTTTTCAACATGCTCCGGGGGTGACCCATGACCCGTGATGGGTTGAAGGGAGCTGGGTGAATGCACCCGTACGATCTGCGATCTGGCTGCGAAGGCCTCCCGTGGCATCGCCGGAGAGGACGGGTACAGCTCTGGGACTGAGGGTTGTAGGTCTTGGCTTACCTGCTTGGCTTCCTTTTTGGCATCAGCGCCGCGTCGTTGACGAGGTCGAGGCATGTCGCCTGGTCGGTCGCTTGTTCGCACAAGGTGGTAAGCGGAAGGAGCGAGCAACACTCGAGTTGGTCTCCGCGGCAACGCTGGGCTCGGGTATGACAGTCTTTATGAGGCGAAGGTCGTCATGCCTACTACGAACGGCGGATTGACATTCACTTTCGGCTGACAAAGTCACCAAGCGGGATGGAACTTTTTAAAGCAAATCCTTGAATTTCTGCTTGATACATCGCGCGTTACTTTCCAAGTAGCCCCTGTCACGTCAACTCGACTCGGACTCCACAGTTGCCAACTCTGAGGACACGCCCAACACCTCTCCGGTATTCAAAAAGGCAAATAAATAACTGGGAGTATTGCGTAGATGCTCTCCACCTAAGCTAAACCTTGAAAATGAATGCTCTCTGGCCGGAGGCCCAGGTCAATGAAAAGGGACTAGGGGCCCTCGAGTCACGTGAGCAAAATTGAATTTGCCAGGGCCTACGAGCCTGCCCGCCACCTCGGGGCGCCGAGCGGCTTCAGATGAGCTCCCCCACCTCTCCGAAGCTTCCGGCTTCCTTGTCCGTGATTTTCCTTCGACCACGCACCAGTCTCTCGTCATGACGGACAGAACACTCTATACGACTCCACCACGTTCTAAAACCTACGGACCCTCGCCCATCTCACCATCGAGCTCGGTCAAGCGTCGCACGGCACGTCGTCCATGGCCCCAGGCTAGTACTTCTGCCACGCCGACGACTCCCTCGGCAGCGGTGACCGATTGGCAACTCTCGGCGATCGAAGTCATGACCGAATCAGGCCTCATGCTCGCCCATTCCTCGGCCTTGTTGTTCAAACCTCCGGCTAAATTGAGGGGGTGGCGTGGGTTGATCGCTCAGTGTCGACAGATGACGGATACGCCGGGGCATCTGCATAATGAGCAGGGCGAGCGCGTCGATTGGGATTTGAGCGAGAGCCCAAGACCTGGTCGCTACATCTACAAAGCTAGTGAGTCGGCGCTGGAGCTGAAGTGTGGAAGTGCAGTTTCCTTAAGAACTTTGATACACTTCACAGTCGACGGCGGCGAAGTGAAACCCAATCGGGTGTACGACCTCGTGCTCGAAGTGCGCCAGCGCGAACGCCTCGAATCCATCGGCGGCGACGCGAGCCTCCTCTTGCCTCTTGTACCCGCTTCGCCCGACCCATCTTTTTCACCAGCTTCGACTGAATCGAATATCATGCGACGACCTTCCTTGACGAAGGATCAACATAAACACCAGTTGCAGCTGCAGCTTCGGAAACGTGAGTTCAATCTCCACCCGTTGTCGTCGCTGGGCAGGCCGAGGCTGAAGATCTTGACTACGCTCGAAATTCAGACGATGCTCTCCATCCCCGGGGCTCAATGGTGGAAGTCGCTCGATTCAAGGTAAGTCCGGTACTCTATCCAGGACTTCCACTTCTAACCAGCTGACACAAGCCACTCCCTCCTGTTTCAGATCCCAACATGTTCCACTGGTGCGTCAAGTCCCTCTCCAAGGCCATCGTCGTCTCGGCGCAAAAGAGCGTCGACTTCCTAGAAGGCCTCCTCACCGACGATGGAACAGAGGCGTCCTCCAACAAGGGTGTGCAGAAGCGGATTGGCAGTTGAAGTTGCAGGCTCGTGGAGAACGCTTGACTGTGATGATTTTACTAGTAGTGATTCACGAATTTTTGGAATGAGATGTGTCAGAGAGTATGATGTTGTTTCCCATATAGATTTCCGAGATGTCTGCAGCCTGTCGCGCCTCGCGCGTTGCTCAAATGCGCTTTACACAGCTCTACTTCTTTCTCTTCGACTATCTTACCGTTTACCGTGCGGTAAAGAGAAACGCCATAGTACGGGAACTATATTCCACAGGAAATGCCACCAGAGTGTTCCCTCTTTCCTCTCTACGATCGCCCTCCGACGATCCCCCACGTATTCCTCATCCACTCCAATTGCCCCTCGATCGCCGCCTTCTTATTCTCCGCCCGCCTGAACCCATGTCCTTCCCCTTTAAATAACACCAACTCACATTTCCCCTTATTCGCCAAAACGACCTCCTTCATCTTCTCGGCCTGTTCGGGAGGCACAACCTTATCGTCCGTACCTTGGAGCAACAACAACGGCGCACGAATCTTGTCGGCGTTGTACAGGGGCGATCGATCGTGGTACACTTCGGGGATCTCCTCGTTCGTGCCTCCGACCAAACCGAAGAGGTATTGACTCTCGAATTTGTGCGTGTCACCCGCCAAGAGCGCGAGATCGGAAATGCCGTAATGCGAGATGCCACAGGTGAACACGTCCGGCGCCGCACACAGCGCCGCAAGGACCGTGAACCCTCCAGCTGAACCTCCCGTGATACCGACGCGTTGAGGATCGACGTACCCTTCTGAAGCGAGGAATTTGGCGCACGAGACGACGTCCGAAACGTCCGCGATACCCCATTGACCGGCCAATCGTTCACGATAGGCTTTCCCGTACCCCGCTGAACCGGCATAGTCAACACCGCAGTAGGCGAACCCTCGCGAAGTCAAAAGTTGGATCCCCCATTCGAGGCCACGGCCGGTCGACGACGTGGGTCCACCATGGGCGTAAATGAGCAAAGGGGGTTTCTCCTTCGGATCCGAACTGCCGTTGGGGTGATCCTTGTTCGTAGGCGGGAAGAAGACGGCGTACGAGTCGGTACCGTCTTCGGCGGGGAAAGTGATCTCTTGACCGGTCGAGATGTAACCGGGGTCGACCGACGCCGACGACTCGGTCTCGAGCACCCGCGGTTCCGAACCCTCGGACGCGAGGTCGATCAAGGCAAGCACGTCCGGCGTGGTTGCGACAGAGGCCTCGACCACGACTTGGGTCGGCGAAATGACCGTGATCGTGTGGATGACCTGGTAAGGCACCGAAATGACCTTGGACGAGCCCGACTCGATGTCGATCACTCGTAGATTCCCTCCTTTGGCCACCGAGATCCACTTTTTGGAGTCGAGGAAAGCGTGCGTCACCGTGCCGAAGACCCAATCGGGAGCTGTCCAGCAGAAAGGTGATTCAAATCCTCGACAGGTTAGAGAAAAGATCGCGTCCGAAACCTTGCACATCTCGGGAGAGGGGTCGGCATTACTCACGTCCGACATCGTGCGCAGTTGGCTCGGCTAGGACCATCTTTGCCTCGTTGACTTCGGTCCATTGATACAGCTCATTGTAGCCCGTTCGGTCGCACAAAAATACCAATCGGTCCTCATTCTCGGCCCAACGGGCTTGGCTGACGGCCTCGACGTTCTTGACTTGCCCGGCGATGACCTGCTTAGCCGCGACGTCGACGTCGATCGACTTCTTGTCGTCGGACAGGCGCACGGGGGCGACGCAGAGCAACGATCCTTCCCAGGGCATGTCGGGCATATACCATTCGATCCACGAGACGTATTTACCTGGCGACGCGAAACAGTCAAAGCGTGAGTTAGTAGTCGACCGTTGCTAGTCTGCGAGACCGAAATAGCTCTGCACTTGCCCGAAGGTGAGAAGGCTGGGCACGAGTAGAAATCGGCGCCCGCGACGACGACCTGGGGTGTGGATTCGATCGAGGTATCCATCAAAACAATGTTGTTGACCACTTTGGCCGGCTCATCGATGGTGTGGTCCTCGTGGACGGCGAGGATCAGGGACGAGGCTTGGGGGTGGGCCGAGGAGAAATCGGCGTAACGATCGACTTTGGATTCTGTGGTGTGGAGTGAGTCGAGAGCGTGTGAGCATAGTGCACAGGTAAAAGCTTGAACGTTCTATCTCGCTGGACGGACCCTTTGTGACCCTCTTGGGTTGTTGCCATTCGCGACCCTCGGCGTTGGGCTCGACGACCCAGCTCCCGCCTTCGACGTGCTCAAACACGAGCCCGCCATTCCCGAGCGTCGCATACGATCCACCGCCGTACTCGTGCACCCTCGAGCGAGCGTTCCATTTCTCGTCGGGGAGCACTTCGATTTTGGTGGATTTGGCGTCGGACGCTGCGGAGGTGCCACTGGGGAGAAGCAGTTGGGCGAGGGCGTTGCGCCCCTTTTGGGACGGCCTATTCTCGAGCCAGTACAGGGACGAGGACGCCTTGCTGTAGAGAGGCATGGACAGGCCGATGAAGGAGCCCAGCACGAGATCGAGCGTGATCGGCGACTCGAACGAGCCGAACTTGTCCCTGGAGCCGGTGGTGGTGGCGGAGGACATGGTGCGATAGCTGTTGGAGCTGAGCGTGGACAGCAACGAGCGCAAACCGAGACGGGCGAAGGAGCCGATGATGACTGCGGTGCGTGGGCTTCGTGTCCGGATTGGAAAGCGGACAGAAGTGATGGAAACGTGCGCGGTGCAGAACGTAGACGGTGCTGTTCTCGAGCGTCGCTTGGGTTGGAGCGGTTGGACGTTGGAGCTCTGGAGCGCTACCTGAGCGCTTAGCCGACCGCCCGACCGGCGCCCCCCATGGTGGCACGCGCACCACGCGGTCCGACCTCCGCCGCTGAGACGACTCGCTCTGACCCGACTCAGACCACTGCAAGCACTTCGGGGTTATGAGTAGAAAAATACCACTCATCCGTATTTCTCTCGCATCTTCATGAGGTCCCATTACTGGCATGCGTGGCACAGGGGTGATTTTTTGGCCGCGCGGGCCACTTAGTATGGGACGGAATTGATCTCTCGACTCGGAGAGTCTAAGATGCATGCACACTCTTCGGGCCCACGGCATGCTGTGAGGCTTCGTACTACATCGGCATCACTGTCTCCTGCTCGTTGATTCGCTTGTTCCAATGAACACTTCGAGTCAACCGAGAAAAGAGCGAATAGTCAATGCGAATTGAATTCACCTTCAAGGCGTAAGCGTAATGAAATAGCAAACTTGATCGATGAGTCACCAGTCTGGTCCCCGAGCGCGCTCCGCGTCAGGCCGAACGGCGTGACTCGACCTCGTCAACTCTGGCCCACGCGGAGACGAGTCAACGCTGCAATCCAGCTGCTCAATTCGAGCTCTTGGGATTGAATGTACCTATTTGTAGATATCTAGGTGGGTACATAAGTCATAGTTCAAACGCAGGCTTGTCCACTCAGGGCTCAACTTCGCGCATTCGGTGACCGGCACTGATCGTGCTTTCGCAGGCTTCCCTCTTGTTCTGGTTCTCATTCTTCAATCTCGCCAACCACGAGCTCGCCGAGAGCTCAAGATCTTGTTTCTTTACCAAGGCACATCCTCTCCTCCCACACCCGCCGACTGAACTCGCCTCTCAGGCGTTAGTATGGGTCCCCATGCTCAAATCAAGGTCTTGCCCGCGACCGAAGCCGATCTACCTTTCCTGGCCGTCGTCAAGCGTCGATCGCTCGGTCACTTGCCCATCAGCAAAGCCATATGGGGCAAAGTACCCGACCCTCTCGTCGACGATTACCGCGTCCGAGAATTCACCCAAATGTTGCACAATGACAAGGTCACGTTGCAAAAAGCCGAAGTCGACGGCAAAATCGTTGGGATGGGCGTTTGGCACCAACCTGGATATAAGCCCGATCCCGAGATCGAGTTTCCTCCCGGCGCGAATATCGAGGTCTGCGACGAGTTCTTTGCTTCGATGGCACTTGACCATGGGAGACCTGGATATCGTAAATCTACTTTTGCTGCAGTCCGCCTCCCGGTGATTGACTGACTCTGTTCTCTCTTTGCACCCTTTGATGCGACAGACTTGGCTGTCCTCGGCGTCCTTCCTGAATACCAGGGTCGAGCGATAGGACGAGCTATCCTGGGGTGGGGCCTGGCACAAGCGGATGCATCAAATCACAGCATTTTCCTCGAATCGACCGAAGGTGGGTTTGGTCGGTGAAACGTTTATGGAGCCGTTGTCACACGAGAGCTGATCGGGGTGTACGCTCATCCGTGTACAGACGGGATCCGCACATATCTCAAGAACGGCTTCTACCACATCCGAGAGTTGTTGGCTTCGGGACCGGATGGCAATTTCACTGTATGTTTGGCTTTAGCTTACCCCTATGTCTAGACACTGGACTAATGGCGGTGGTACTCGAACGCAGGTCAATCCAATGCATCGACCCTCACGTTTCGAACTCTCGCCAGATCCGTCTCGCTTCAGCATCCAACCCGTAATGCCCGAAGACCTTGCCCGGATCGCCGAGATTCAATTATCCTCCGGAACGGCGAACTCTCACTCGAACCAAGAGATCATAGCAACGTATAAGGCGCAACTCAAGGATGATCGAGCCTTCAGGATCTACAAGGCCGTCGATCGTTTGAGTGGGAACATCGTTGCGGCCGCGAGTTGGCGAACGCCGTATGCATTGCTTCGAGATGATTCACCCTCGCCGTTCGGAAATGGGCGGATTGGGCTGGTGTCGTTGGTTGTGGACGCGATGGCGCAGGTCCAAGGGCTCGAGGAGGGATTGCTTGCAGCAGTAAATCCGGAAGCTATGAGGATGGGATGGACCATCGCGTCGACGAATGGAGCTCATAATGACGGCGCGACGCAGAACGGCGGGGCCCGACATGGTCAAGTAAGCCGACCGGCTTTTCAGGATCATGCGTAGACGGAGTAGACATCTGACGTGTGTTCTAAAACACGGCGGTCAATTCTATCAATTGTTCCAGTGGGTCTACCTCTACCCAGGATCAAGCACCACCTCTCATTCACTGCGCACAATCTCCCCAGCAACCCCTGAAGACTTCTCCGAGATCGCCCGCGTCCGCCGGCAAGCCTTCGAGCCGTCACTCGTTCATCAAACGCTATTTGGAAAAACGGATCCAGAGGACTTTGATCGATGGACGGTGACGCGGTTGCAAAAGTCTTTCCAGGCGCCTCACCAAGCGACTTGGGTTGCGCGATTGGGGGGCAAGATTGTTGGGTTTGCCCGGTGGGACTTGCCCCATGATCAGAAGGTATCAGAGAAGGATGCGAAGATGGAGGTGGTGGACGAGCGTGGAGAGGTTTCGCCGAAGTACATACCAGGGACGGAAGCAGAATTGGCGGATCATCTTTTCGGCCAGTTGGGAAAGACCGAGGGAACAACGCAGTGCTATCGTGCGTGCAGTGGTCTCTCCACACGAGATGGCAACAAACCAATGCAGCGTTGCCTGACCCCATAAATGTGTTTTTGTTGTCTCACAGAGTTAGGTTCCTTCTGTGTCGACCCCAAGTATCAAGGTCAGGGGATCGGATCCGCGCTTATCCGATGGGGTCTAGACCGAGCCGATGAGGATGGCCTGCCGTGTTACACCGACGCCAGCGTGGTCGGGCAACCCGCATACAAGAAAGCCGGATTTGAGACCTACACTGCGCCTGTCTATGGGGGTCGGAATAAAGAGTTGGTGGTAAGTGAGCATGGGGCCGAAAGAGGGGCTGCGGGGCAACGAGACGGACTCGCTGATGCGAATTTACTGCCATCAAACAGCTTTATCCGATGCGACGCCAGCCCCGACGCAAGCCGACAGAGTAGACCTTCTGTATTATGAGTGCTATCGGGTGTCTTTGCAATGACAGCCATGCTCCAAGCGACAGCGGGTGTCTAACGTGACAGAGGTCGAGCGAAGCCGTGGCAGTGGTTCGTGAACGAACTTGAAGGAGGTCACAATCGAGTTCCATCGCGCAACATAATATAGTTTCCCCCCGATGACATACAGAAGCAGAAGTACAAAGACCTTCAAGAAAGTGAGCGATACCATGAAGCCAAGTCAAGAACTAGATCAAACTCTTCAATTGATATTTTGGTCCGTCGTTACGTGACGTAACGGAACGCGGGGTGGCTGTAAAGAAGACACGAGTCAGCTCATGTGCGAACAGTAAGGACCATATCACTTCCAAACTCACTCTTCAGCAAGGTCACTCAATTGCTGAGGCGCGACGCCTTCAAGGCCCCAAGCCTGGGTACGCGCGCGTTGCAGATCCAGCGGCAACTGCTCAAAGTCCTCATCGCCCTCTTGAACAGGACCGTACTTGGCGTCCTTGGCACGGTTCTCGTTACCGAGGTGAAGGGTCAAACCCAGGGAGAGGAAGAGGGCCATCAGGGTGAAGCCGAGACCGACGCTTTGGCCGCGAATGAAGCGGGGAGCGTCCTGCTTGAAGTAGACGACCGACGATACGATACCCCCCGAGCTAAGAGACAGGGAAGGAGTCAATATTGGTAGATCTCGATCGAAAAGAGGACAACCTATTACCTACTTTCCGACACTGAAGAATAAGCCCATCGCCGCCGAACGCTTGGTACGGTTAGGGAAGTTGTTCCCCTTAAGTGGAACAAAACTCGAATCAGGATTTTGCACATCGCCGGGAACGGTAATGATATAATCGACTCACGATCCAAGCAATCGAGTTCGCGATCTGTTTGATGGTCAAGGGAATGGAACACGAAGATGAGGATCCGTGTCATTCCATTGGTCCGTCGTTTGTGCGATGACAAGCGGGAGAGCAAGACACGGAGACTCACGCAAGGGCAAAGACCACCGACGCAAAGGAACAGCGAGAAGTAGGCGACCTTGGGGCTGTGGACGGGGTTGAGGACGAGCAAGAGAATGAAGCCAATGACTACGATCGACAGCCAGAAGACGTTGAAGAAGCCGCGGTGGCCAAGTCGATCCGAGTAGAGAGCGCCTGAGTACGGTCAAGATCGATGCCATTGAGCTCATTTGCATGGCGGAGAGAATTCCATGCTGGCGGACTCACTGATGATGGTGGTGAGGAAGCCCAAAAAGAAAGGAGGGGTTGACAAGAGCGATGCTTGCGACTTGCTGTAGGTGCCAAGCGCGGCGATGATGGTCGGAGTGAACAAGGAGAGCGAGTAGAACGGCTCGGCAACACCCTGTCGATGCGGAATCACAATATCAAGTAGTGGGCGAGACAGTTCCATGAGCATCCGCCAAGAAAGACACTCTCAGTATGCCCAAACTACTCACGATGTAGATCAAGGTGAAACAGTAAGTCTTCCAGTCTTTAAATGCGACACGGACCTGGGCCCACGAAAACTCGGTCTGCAGCGTCGGTCCACGATCGGCTTTTAAGCGACGGAGGACTTCTTGTTGCTCTTCGAGAGACAAAAATTTGGCCTCCTCGGGGAAATCGGTCATGACGAAGGGAGCAGCGCAAGCGATGACGAAGGTGATGATGCCCTCGATCTACGATCGGATCAAATATTCTACGAGTTAGCAAAGAGGCTATGCCAGTGGGCCGTGAAACAGTGGGGACGCTTACGATGAAGATCCAGCGCCAACCGGCGTAGCCACCGAGGCCATCCATTTGAGCAAGCCCGTGGCTGAAGAAGGCAGATACGAGAAGAGTCAGATCTGCTACTCGGGCGTCGTCGTGGGCGGGCGATAACAGGGGCTTACGCGATCAAGCCACCAAAGGCACCGGCGAGTGTGGCGGCAGAGAAGAAGATACTGATGCGAACTGAGAGATCAAGAGAGGCATCAGTACGCCTGAAACCGGTGAACATCGAGATGTAAAACTTACTCGACTGCTCCTTCCTCTTGTACCATGATGTCAGGTAGAAGCAGGCGGCGGGGAAGAGTGGAGCTTCCGCCATCCCAAGGAAGAATCGTGCCACGACGAGACCGGTAAAGCTCGTGACGACACCCATCAAGGTCATGACAATAGCCCAAACAAGCATTGCAGCGGGCAAGAGACGCGAGGGTCTCAGGCGACGAACGAAGATGACGGCAGGGGTTTCAAAGAAGACACTGTGACAAGATGCCGGCAGCGGTTGCGATCAGGACAGACGGTCAGCTACACGGAACGGCATGGTACACCAATCGAATAGGACCGCAGACTTTTCAGCATCAACTTACTAAGACACGAAGAAGACGAGCAAGGCGATCGAATATTGAGAGCCGCTCATCTTGAGCTCCTTTTCAAGACCACTCACTGCGCGCGGCCGAGGAGGGGACGGGACGTGATCAGACACGTCGCAACCAAGTGGAAATAGTCTATGTTCGTTCACTCACGTCGAGCCTGGCCACTGTGGTTTCACGATCAGTGACAGAAGACGGACCGAGTTAGCCAGGTGCAGCAAACTTTGACCTCGACTGCATCGGTTAGGGCCCTCGGTAACAGACGATCATGTAGAAGAGACTCACATGTTGACGCGGTCCAAGAACGACATCAAGTACAGGAGGCTGCGAAAAGAGTACAAACGTGATCAGCCATCTTCTGGATAGGCCGCGACATGCAGTGGCGTGCGCCGCGGATGTGTGGCGACTGCTAGACGCGCGCCGCGTGGGGGAGCCGAACGAAAGGGAGCCCGAATTGATGTGAGGGTTCAACGCGGCCGTGCCGGCGTGCCGAATTTGCCGACGAATCATAAGGTGGGCGATAGTCACTTCGCGCGGAATCGTCACGGTGACCTGCTCGAGGTCTGAGCAATTGCAGCTGATAGGTGCGTACGGGCGGGCACCAGTAGGCCCGGGGTCGAGTGGCAACCACGGGCCGAGCGTGCCGGCAGCCCTGCAACTCGGAGGATTTGGCAGACGAGCGCGGAGGCCGGGAATAGACCCCTATGCCAGAGCAGACGTACGATAGGAACGGCACAATCTTCCAGTCAATCTGGTAGAGGCGCAATTATGGATGCTGTCAGCATGACTCATTGTTGTTGAAGCAACAAGGAAGACGCGACGTACTTTGCGGATCAATCGCCTCTCGTCAGCCTTCGAGAAGGGGACTCCGACGGGGGATCCGACCTCATCGTGCTCGAGCACCATCTTTTCATCGTCAACGCTCGAGGATTTGGTGACCACATTGAGGGGAGCCATGCTGTTCGACGAGGGGCCCCAGAATGTCGAGACAGATGTGAACGGAACAAAGAGTCAGGAGGGTGAAAGACGTGGTAGGACCAGCTCACTCCTGAATCCCCACTAGCACCAAATTCAAACACGGGGCCCCCCACTCTGAGCCGGCATGCCGCTTGGGGAGCCAGGCCGATCGCTCATGATTCTGGACCACGGTCCCCCAGTGGGCGGCGGCCGCGGCGACCGTGGGTACCGGAACCGGGTCCGAGGTCGTACCTGCTCATTAACCGCTTCCTTTGATGCTCTGAAAGCCCTACCTCGGACGATCGTACAGAGGGCTGCAGCCTGCCGGTCGGGGCCGCCACCTTGGCACCGTCGCGCTTCGCGAACTTTTATACTAGCTCGAGCGCTCTGACACATCTCCTGTCCATCGTCTCCGCACTGGAGTAAATACCTCAAACACACCTCCTTATGTAGGGGTACGGTACCTAGTAGGTAAGTACCGCCCCTTGCCGAATATTTTTGCCAGCTCTACCTCGATTGAAAGTCGTTTGACCTCTTTTTTTTATGCTTTGCGGACGTCAGACATGGTCGACACGTCGGGGCCGGCGGGGCTCGGTGCCTATTCTCCGATTGGTCGAGAGATGGCGGGCGTCGCGGGTTTGATTGACCGCGGCGCCCCGGCCAATCAAGCGCAATCATCGCCTCGAAGTCGCGTGGATGCCAAGGCCAGAATGAGCATCCTCCGGTCCTCAATCCCGATGTCCGAAAAGACGCGTGTGCAAGGGAGCTAATAGTACCATCTGCTCCCCAAGCTGCCTCAGTTTCGGAGTGTCGCAACCTAAGGAGCAAGGTCAAAGAATACGCTCGAGCTGGACCGTGATGCCGGGGGCCCGGCTTTAACAAGGTCCAACATGATGCCGCTAGGTTGTCGAGTCATGAGGGGCTCCCTTCGCGACTCGCTCGGTAATCGCTCAATTCAAGACAACGAGATCCCTTGCAACCAGGCAGACAGGGGTACTACAAGAAGCACTTCTTGATGGCAAACTAAGTCCGATCAAGCCGGACAGTCGGACCGAGCTCGAGCTCGAGCTCGAGCATCCGAAAGTTGGGTCGTTCGCCCGAATCGCTCAGGCCACGTATCTGAACGCGGGATGACTGTTGGCCGGTAGCACAAGACACAGTCAGCTTCTCTCTCAAGACCGCTCTCCAAGTCATCATCTCGGTCACACTCACTCTTCAGCGAGCTCGTTCAATGCCTCCTGCGGCATGTCCTCGAGTCCCCAAGCCTTGATCCTGGCCTGCTGTTCCTCGGCCGACAACTGATCAAAGTCCTCATCGCCATCCTGAGCGGGACCGTACTTGGCGTCCTTGGCCAGGTTCTCGCTCCTCAAATGGAGCGTCAGGCCGAGGGATAGGATCAGAGTCATGAGCGCGAACCCGAGTCCGACGCTGTGGCCTCGGATGAAGCGCGGCGAATCTTGCTTGAAGTAGACGAGAGAGGAGACGATACCACCGGCGCTGTAGAGGGAAGTCACCGGAATGGTCAGCACCTGCTGTACCGTGCGCTGGAATCTGCCCCTGGCACTCACTTTCCGACACTGAAGAACAGGCCCATGGCTGCGGACCGTTTGGTACGGTTCGGATAGTTGTTGCCCTACGATCGAAAGAAACATCATCTTGATATCAGTTTTGGCAAACTTTAGCAATGGTGAGAGTGCGTGTAGACTCACGATCCAAGAGATGGAGTTGGAGATCTGAATTATTCAAGGGTCGAAACGATTCGTCAGCCGCCGTAGCACCGCCTCGAATAAGAAGGCCCCCTCACAACCCAGGCTGAACTCACGCAAGGGCAAAGTCCTCCTACGCAGAGGAAGAGAGCGAAGTACGCGACCTTGGGGTCCGTCCTCGGGTCACGCGCGAGCAAGATGATGAATCCGATCGAGGCCAAAGAAATCCAAAACACGTTGAACAGGCCGCGATGGCCGAGTCGGTCAGAGTAGAGAGCGCCTGAATAAGGACAGGTGTGAGCCGCAGTCGATTCGATCACTGATCAGCAGGGGCAACTTGAGGGCTCTGAAAGGCACGCCAGTGCTTACTGAAGAGGGTGGTTGCGAAACCCAAGAAGAAGGGTGGAGTCGACATAAGCTGACTTTGAGACAGGCTAAACGTTCCAAGCGCCGCGACGATGGTCGGGATGAAGAGCGCGATAGAGTAGAATGGCTCGGCGACACCCTGATGAAGAGCAAGGTTCGAGGGGATCAGAGCTATTCTCAGACGATTGCAGAAACGCCAGGAGTTAGATCCATCCAGACTCACAATGTAGATCAAGGTGAAGCAGTACGTCTTCCAGTCCGTGAACGCGGCTCTGACTTGCGACCAAGCGAATTCGGTCTGCAACGATGGACCCCGGTCCGCCTTGAGACGGCGGAGTACCTCTTGTTGTTCATCCTGGGTCAGGAAATTGGCCTCTTCGGGGAAATCCGTCATAACAAAGGGTGCGACACATGCGACGAGGAATGTCACGATGCCCTCAATCTGAATGAGATGTGTTATGCTGAGGTGAGCAAATTGCGTCGGTCGGGACCCACGGACAGTAGCTGAAGTGTACGCACAATGAAGATCCATCGCCACCCGGCCAGACCACCCAGACCGTTCATCATCGACAAGCCATGCCTAATAAGAAAATGTAATCAGCACGCGTACTATTTGAAAGACCCATGAACGAAGACGCAGTGAAGAACTCACGCAATCAAGCCACCGAAAGCACCCGCGAGCGTCGCAGCCGAGAAGAAGAAACTGATGCGGATGTTCTGCTCCTTCCTCTTGTACCACGAGGTGAGATAGAAGCAAGCGGCAGGGAATAAAGGCGCCTCCGCGAAACCGAGGAAGAAGCGAGCCATGGTGAGACCGGTGAAATTGGTGACCAGACCCATCAGGGTCATGACGACACCCCAGATCATCATCGCTGCGGGGAGGAATCGGGAGGGTCTCAAGCGGCGGACAAAGATCACCGCGGGCGTTTCAAAGAAGACACTGTGGGATAAGTGGCCAGATCAGAAACAAAAATCTCATCTGTAATGATCTGGATTGTTGAGGTGCTTACTAGGAAGTGAAGAAGACCAGGAGAGCGATGGAGAACTGGTTGCCCTTGAGGTGAAGATCCTTTTCGAGTCCGTTCACTGCCCGTGATCAAGCCGAGAGATGATAGGCAGGGTAAGTCCATGGTCATTCCACTTCACCCGAGAGACGGAAAGCTCAAATGAAAAGGGCTTACGTCGAGCTTGACCGCTGATAGTGCGGAATCGTACCGCATCGAGAGAAGACTCGTCAGCCCTCGGCCGACTCCTGAATCAGGAACGAAGGCCAGGATGAGGGCTCACATGTTGACGCGATCCAAAAATGACATCAAATACAAGAGCCTGCGCCACCATTCCCAAAATTCAGCATTATGTCCGAGCTCAAATTCCGGCGCAACCACACACCGACGAAGCGGTGTTGGAGGGATGCCTGCCGACCGTAATTTCCGAGGCGAAGCGAGGCGATTCCTCCTTCGGACATCGCTGTCGCGGACCGATGTCGCGTCAAGCTGCCGTCGGACTCACGAGAGGAAAGGCACAACCTTCCAATCGATCTGAGTGAGGGTCCAACGTTCGAATGAGTCAACCATGATTTATGCATCCCAACACGCTGCTACCGGATCACCCACCTTGCGTAGTAGTCGTTGTTCGGCCGCCTTGGAGAAAGGCACGCCAGGTCCCGTGGGAGCGGCGACAGCGATCTCCGAGGCCTTCTCATCGTCTTCGACACCGGAACCGTGGCTGCCATTTATGGATGCGCGTTGTTGCAGGACAGGTTGTGAGTCCGACATGGCGATCGTAGAGTACCGACCGGCGGTAGTCAAAAGCAAAGTGTGTCCGACGAGTGCAAGACGTGTTGGCAAAGAAGAGAAAAGTCGATGCACCGACTCGGCACCCTCTCATTCGATATTGGGTCTGCATTCAAACCTGATTCGGTCACCAGCGCCTCGGAATCGGTCGCAGCGCCATTCTCGCGCACTTTCCCGATCGGGACATCAATCGGCCTGGAAGGCATTGCCAAAAGAAACCCCACCGGGAGCGTCAGGTGGCGCTGTCACAAGTGTAGGATGTTCTGCTGGTGATGCTCACAAGATGTCGAACTGTGGCCGGGTGCTGAGCCAGCTCGTGCGACGTTTCGCTCAGCTCTCGCCGTCGGTTGGGCCTGAGGGCATGATTTTTTTGGTCCAGACCTGGCGGAAGCACACTGAATCTGACGATCTCTTTCATCTCGCAAGATGCCGTATTCTCAGGCTCATGGACTACAGCGTGGTCTAGTAGTGTGGTAGAGTCAGAATCGCAGACGGTGCCGAGTGAAGGCCCGTGCGCGCGGTCAAAGCATCGTCGTTCTTGATCTATCGCGAAAAATTGAAAGGGTGAACAGCTTAGATTGATCTACGCCAATGAATACGGAGCACATCGAATTGATTACATGTGAAGTACAGCCTCTACACACTTCCCAGAACGATAGGTATTCTCAAATGGCTACGAACGCCTACAACTTGCTCCCCTTGGACTGACCCATCTCGGGCCCGACCTCCAACTCCTTTTCATGGATGTTAACGTTGAAGCGCGTCTTGTTGAGCGGCTCGGCCTGGGCGAAGCGGACGATCGCGGGATAGACGTCACCATCGTAGCGACCGAGGGCCGAGTTGAGTTGGTAGTCCGGGATACCCCACGAATCGACGAGAGGGACGGCTTGCGGTCGCAGTTCGGCCAGGAGCGCGTGGACGCGGTTGCGCAACAACTCGTGTTGCTTGGGCGAGATGTAGCCCGAAGATAGAAATTCGGCGGCTGCGAGGGAAAGGGAAGGAGAGAATGCGTCAGCGGCATGGCGCATTCAAAGTGGTGCGGCACGAATCCCTGAGAAAAAGTCTCACCCTCCGAATCCATGGTGTAAGTCGCAAACAACTCGAAGCAAGTCGTCATGATGCGAAGCAAAGCAGGTTGGCTCTGCAAGTCCTTGTCCGTCTTGATCGCATTGGCAAAGTTGTACACGAGCACGAACTGCGAGTGCGCGACTGACATCCTGAAAATGTCAATCAGGAGCGAGTTCCACGTTCTCCGCTCAATGTCGCGCTTGCGCAAGGCCGTGGCGGTCAAGTAAGCCGCTCGGTGACCAAACGCCTGGATGAAGAATTCGGGGTCGGCAAGATCACCGGCGTACTTGGCCGACGCCTTGGCCTCGGGGTCCGAGATGTAGCGGAGGATGTAGTCGCGCGTTCGGTTCTCGGACGACATCGGGGCGTCGCGGTCGGCCAAGAGGACGCGGAACGTCTTGAAGAGGTAGCGACCGACTTGCTGCGTCAACATGTAGGAATCACCTTCCCACGTGACCTGGGGCAGGTAGTCCGCGTAGAATGACGCCAAGCCACCGGAAAGCGAGAAACCGTGACCACCGCATGCTCGGCGGCACTCTTCGATCGCTCCCGAGGCCATGATGGTGCACAAACTCTTGAGTCCCGAACTCGAGGCGTGGACGTCGGCCAATCGCGAAAAGTCACCGTCGGCCATCGCGGTCTGATTGTCTTCGTACAGACGGAACATCTCCTTGCCCGTGTAGTGGCACGCGAAGGCTTGCACGAGCGGCGGGAAGATGCGGTGTTGGACGAGCTGGTAATTGAGCACCTGGGTCTCGGCGGGCTTGTTGCCGTCCAAGACGGGGGCGTCTCGATCGGCGAATTGGCGACGGACGGCGCAGTATCGGATGGCAACCGTGGCGGATCGGGCGAGGACCATACGTGCTTGTTGAACACTGCGGGCATGCGTTTCCCGTCAGCAAGTTGGTACGCTAGGTCAAAACGGGCGCTCGGGTCTGCTCACATGTTGGCGCGGATGTAGGTCATGGTTCCGTAGCTCAAGCGGGCGTTCACGGGCTTTTCAAACTTGCCCGTCTCGATATCGACCTTGGCCCATCGGGCGAGGAAGTTGATATGCGGGATCTCGACGTTGTCGAGGAGCATCGCACCGTTGTCGGTCATGGCGTAACCGGCCTTGGGACCGATATCCATGATCGTGCGTCCGGGGAGGAGTTCGCGGGTTTTGACGTCGCGCAAGGGGACGACGAAGGGGTAAGGGCCTCGCTTGACGAGCTTGCCATCTCGTCCGTCGGGGGTGTGCAACTGAGCCATGACCACGGCGTGGTCGGCCGTACGTCCGAGACCTCCGATCCACCTGAAGCGAGAGAAATCGTGCGCAAGAGATTCGATCTGTCAATTCAGAAATCCGGGCGAAGTGGGTGACCGTTGTATATCGCAGCAGGACTAACCACTTCATGGCGGTCAAGGACGGTGATTGCAGCTTGAAGGTCTTGGACTCGGGCTGGTAGACGGCGATCGTCTCGAGACCTTGGACGTTCGATCCGTGGCCCAACTCGGTTTGAGCATAGCAGCCTGTCGAATGAGAACACCGGTTCCAGAAATCAGCATCGAGCAAGGCATGAGATGGCCGAGGTGTTCTTCAGGGTACGCACCAATGATTTCGAAATTCTTGGCGGGCTCGTAAAAGAGCTTTAGCTGCTCTTCGTTCGATTGTTCAGCCAAAGTCTTGAGGAACATGGACCTACAAGAGCCGGCGAAGAAGGTGCGATCAGTCTCCAGTTGCTTGTACGCCTGTTCCTCTGCGATCGAACTGGCCGCGGAACGCGCCGAGGCAACCGGAACCCTGTCCCACACTCCGCCAAAGCCACTGCGCCGCTCACTGCTGCTTCCAAGAAACTCACTTGTGCAACCCGAAAGCGGCGGGCCAATCCAACATATCCTCGGCAAGGGTGTGGTCCTTGGCGGACCAGTCCAACTCGGTGAGCAACTGCGCGAGACGCTTCTCCTTGGCCAGACCGGCCTTGAACTTGTCCGTTCGGGACATGAAGTGGATGCGCGACTTGTCGAACGCGGGCTGAGGGGTGGGATCAAGTGCGATCCAAGTCAGTGACTGGGATAGGGCGAGTCGATGTGCGGGAGGACTGGGATCGGGCCGTTGCAACCTCCAGCGATCGAAAAGCGAACCGTTGCCGCCCGCGGTCCAGAGCCACCTAGGTCGACAAACTGACCTCATTCTCAAGTACGGGCAAGATCCTCTTGACCCTCTCCAAATGCTCCTTGCCATGGAGGTACAGGGTCAGGTCGTCCGAGCTGAAGCTCGCCTTGGCGCGTTCGATCTCGAGCAGCCGCGAGCCGGGCGTGCCCGCCGGTTTGCTCAGGTGCGCTGGGATCTCGATGTACTTGACGCCGGGATCCATCGTTGGGGGGAATTTAGGAGTGCGGTGGTGAGGAAGAGGTTGAGGGACCAAGTGGAAGGGCGTGGAGGATGTAAGCGGGTAAAAATCGGTGGAGGCAAGGTGTACGGGAGAAAAAAAAAGGAGAGCACAACCCACGTCCGCTTCTGGGCTCTCGGACTCGACGATCGCCTCGGGTTCGGCCCGGGAGCGTGATACCCGGTCCGCTCGGTCACTGCAGCGCCCGGAGTTCGCCTTGGGCCTCCTTGGGCCGCGCATGCTGGTGCGTCGGGCACGGTCGCGATGTGAGCTTTGAGCGCGCGCGTCAACCATTTCACCGAGTCCGAACTTGAAGGCTGCGAAACGACAATGCGGAATGTTGCAAACAACGAGCTACCCACTATCACAGTCACTCTAATGCGAGATTACCATGTCACGGCTTTGGTTCATATTTTCTCATCTCGAGAGCCGATGGCCATGGTACCCAAATCCGCTCGTGTCCGACGGCTTATATATCCGCCACGTCCTTCATGCTATTGCAAGACCACCCCAGACCACACCTAAAAATGCTCAATAAACCCACAGGCTCTACATCCCTCTCAAATAGGACTCCTCAAGACCTCCACCTGATTCCTCAACTTCTCACTCCGAGTCCCCATCCCGCCATTCGTCGGAGAAGTTCCGAAATGATTAGGCGGGAGGGGACTTCGGGAAGGTGATGAGGACAGGTTCGTATTAATTTGTTGGGGTTGGGATGAGTTTCCCCAGGGGTATCTTCGAGTATGGGTGAGCGGCGAGGAGGATAGGGACCGTTTGCGCTCGAGACGTTCGGAAATGACCTGGGTTCGTCAAAAAAGTTCGTCAGCAAACGATTGCCAAAGCGCAAGCCACTCAGGAATAGATAATGCCTCACCACTTCTTTCTCCAACCTTTCAACCAACCGATCTACCTCCCCTTGGTCCTTCCCCTTCCTCCACTCATCCAAATCTGCATTTTCGACCTTCTCCAACCACCGACTCTTGACCGCTTCACCCGTTAAATCCGCACGATGGTGCAACCAACTCGCGAAATTTGGACTCGTCAAGAAGCGCGAATAGAAGCGCTCGATCGTGGATGAGAGGGCCGAGGTTGTTGGAGCACGGAAGGGAAGGGGTGTGCCGTGCGCTTTGAGGGAGGCGAGGAAGGAGGAGGGGGTGAAGGTTGGGAAGGAAGCCGAGGTTGAAGGGATGGAGGAGATGGTCGAGGAGAGTGATCTCTCATACGCCGGGCTGAGTGCCGAGCTGCGAGTCAAGGCCACATCAGTCTACAGTGTCGGTACCAGGTAGCCTCAAGCGAAACTCACCCTTGAGAGGTAGCACTCGGTCCCCCAGCCGACGCAAAGTAACGGTTCAGAGGAGCGATAAAGCTCTCCGTCAGCGCCGCGAGATGCTTGAAAATCAAAGCATCACACGTCACGTAATCTCCGCCCTTGAACGCCGTTTCGACTGCTTTAGCAACGACGGGGTCCTTTTTGACGTGCCGCTTGCGCGTCGACGTTAAACCGATGGTCGCAGTTGATGTGGATTCGGTCTTGCCGATGTGTGTCCGAAGGATGTGGGGTCGACTTTTGAGTTGGGTCAAAATGAGTGGGTTGGTAGAGGAGAGGATGGATCCTGGTATTGGCTGTGAATACAAACCTTGACAGAGTTAATTCGACTCCCGCTCCTCAGACTTGATCCCCGTCTGTTCGAACCCTTACCTTGCCAGGACTCGCGATCCGAGCAAAGTCCGTATCGTGAATATGAAAATAGGGTCGATAATCCCCCGCAAACAAAATGGGGCGAATGAGATTCTTTAGATGATGTACAAGCTCGGAGCCGGTGCGAGGATCCGAGGTCGAGATGAGGATGGGGTCGCCGAGAAGGACGAGTTCCCAGAGCAGAAGGATTTTGGAGAACGATAGTGTGTCATGCAATGCGACTGATAATGGTGTAAGAGGAGATGATGCAGGGATCTGGTGAAAAATCGTTACGAAGTCGATGTTAATTTGATTCAGGGATAGATTCGACCGGTGCTGCGCCTTACTATAGGTACAAGGCCGCCCACACTAGGCGACTTGAGTTGCGTGCCCTTGCCCGATGTCGAGGCGAGAGGTTTGAGCCATTGGGGCTGCGAATCGATCGGTATCGAGACCGAGTGTACGACGCCGAGGAAAGGGTAGTCGAGAGTGGCGCCGGGTAAGAGTTCTGGCCTGTACGTAGGAGCGCGTCTCAGCGAGCGACTCGAACCCGGGTCTCGAACCACTGACGCACCAGGAAGCGATATTGTAGCATGCAGTCTCGACCATACCGCCTCCCTGGGAGCTGTGCTTGAAGTGGAGTGGTCCAAGAGTCGCTATGGTGCTCGAGAAGAGACCGACGAGCGAAGGGCGATGTGTGATCTGTGCGAGCGCAGATACGATTATTGTATTCAGTCGGACCCTCTTAAGGCTCATGAGACTCGAGTGAGCACGTACGAGAACTAGAGATCGCTGCGTGTAACCTCTCCGTACCGAATCGTTCTGGGAGAGCGTCAATCTTCGTTCAGCTCGAGGTTCCTTTTGCTTGGAACGTGTCGCAATGCGCCCCCACCTTTTCCTGGAGAAAGTAGACGAAACCGTGCAAATGCCCATCCGATCTCGATCCCAGGTCGCCGGCACCTTGATCGTCTTCCTGGGCAGAATCCTCATCCTGGCCGACCTCGCTACTCATTCGACCACTACCCAAGGTCGATCTCGACGTCGTCGCCTCCGTGTGCATCAAAGTGGCCAAGAAAGGGTCGTCGACGATTTGATTGCCGTTGGCACTCGCATTGCCGCTCGAGACGGACGTGGTCGAGGTCGGGCGCCCGGGTAGCGGTATTCTCCAGGAGAAGATGTGGGCGCCTGCGGTGGGTAGTTGATCCTCGCCCTCGGGGAGGGAGGAGAAGGCGATGTTGGATTGCAGTGACTTGGGGAACCGCGTTGGGGGATACACCTCGCTCAGCGCGGGCTAGCAGGGCCGAACGTGGGGCACCATGACAGAGTTGACGTCAAGTCAGCTCGGTCCACTCTCCGGGGGCTTTAATAGCGACGACAGCTCGGAAAGACTCACGCCCAAGTCGATATCAAACTCGACGATGGCAAGACACAGGATGTACCTGCGTAGCCGGTGCAGTATCCGTGCATCCATTGCCGCTTCTGGGAAAGGGGACGCGCTCCGGTGGGTCGAGCTCGTCTCTCGCGGGGACACGTTCGAGGTCGTATTGAGCGATAGATTCGGTTTGCCGTCCAACAAAGGGTACGTAGAGACGGAACGCGGGCGTGGTGTCTTGAGCTCGGTCGAGGGGGGCGTTGTGCTCCGCCGTGGTGGTGGTGCTGCTGTTGCTGGTGGACGCGATGACGCCGCTGCTGGTGCGACGACGCGAGGTGGGGCGGCGCCAGCGGTTCGGCCATTTGACAAGGGGAACTTGGGCTTCGGCTTGACGACCGCGTTCGCGTCCGATATCCTTGACGACGAGGCTCTTGGAGGTACTACAGCAGCAGAGACACGCAGCGATGTGGACGACGACGGGACCCCAAAGTCGCTCGCATCCCAAATGTCATCGTCGCTGCTCGCCATCGCGCACTCCAACGCGCCAGGAGAAGAGGGAGCGAAGGTAGCCAATGAAGCGCCGTCGCGCCAGATGGCCGACGTGCGACCGGCGCGCGCCAGTCTGCGCCAGTACAGTAAGCTACAGTAAGTTGAACATTCCCCTGGGCACCTAGCAGCAGTTTCAGCCACTGTATTTCTGCGGATGTAGCCTTAATTGGATAACCTTGAATTCTTCCACTACCGCTTGGAAATTCAGCTGTGTAGCCGGGTAGTCCGTCGGGTTGGTGCATCAGATCGGAGATGTGTGCAAAACCGCCGAGATTCCGACGAGCCGGCCCCCACACAGTCGCGCTGGAACGTCTGCCCCGGGGGCCCTTAGATGATGAGGTTTGCAACTGATGCCAGTTTGGAGCGTTGAGTTCCTCTCCAGCAAGACTTAACTAAATCAGCCTCCTAGGCACCTTGGCTGATCACCCTCACTGCACCTATCAAACTTGAAACCGTTTTGGCAAAGTTGGGCCACTGAGAACCGCGCGCCGGTGTGAACGTGGCATGCAGCGAGTCCCGCGCGATCGAGAGTATTCCCTACAATCGATCTCGTTCATGTACTTGATGAAGCTCTGCGCCAGGAAGAGGGTCGTCGTCGTCGTCATTGCAGTGCCAGTCTGGGCCCGACTCTGAGTCGCCGTCGTTCGCCCGCTAGGATCGACCTCGTCCTCCGACCTCGTCGTTGATCAACACGTGGGGGAAACGCGTCCCGACAGCATGGCGGTCCTCGCGGACAGGGAAGGTTCTAAACTACGGTGAGCGCCACAATCAGGCAGGGGGGGTTGCGAGGGATCTCGGATAGGTCTGGTTGGGCCTCGGGAGCAACTGAAGGCCAAGGATAGGGGGCGGAGGAGCTATAGGTAGCAGGCGACATCGTTCTTGATTAGCATTGCCAGATCCGACTCCTACATTGCTGAGCCTCCCCCGTGAGCCATTTTCCCGTTTCCCTATTGTCTCCCTCTGTGTTTTGTAGTTGCGAGTGCACGCATCGGGATGCGCATGCACCACGCAACGAAATTAGAATAAGGGATTGCCGTTGATCGTTGATCAGCGACGCCTCGCAACTTCCAATCCCTTCGGCTATCGCTGCAAAAAGCGCTGCTCGGCACGTGTAGCCCGCGCCCCACGGGCCACTTTACGTCCCACTTCACACCTCGTATTCTAGACGCACTCCTGCTGCCACTCACTTCTTGCGGTCGACCGATTTTTGTCGTCGCGTCACGAGTCGACCCAGCCCTGTGTCTGTGTTTAGGCGCGACCCCACATTTATAGGTCGTCGCACCGAGCGCGCGCGCGACACTCAACGCGCCTTGCCCGTGGACAGCCTCAGTCTGCCAGAGTCTGCCTCAGTCGCGTCGTACTGTGGCTGCGTGCGTGGGCTGCAGGCTGGGCTCTCTTCTGCCTTGGACCAGCTGAGCTGAGATCGAGGGGATCGTGCATCGTGCACCGCTCGCCCGCTCGTCGATCCTTCATCGCACGCACTACAAACTAGTGCACTTTTCCCTTTCACGACCCAACAACATCTGGACTACGACCACCCGCCTCGGCTCACGATCGCGGGATGATGTCGGGCTATGCTCCGACCTGTAAAGCCTCTGGCTCGTCGTCGTCGTCGTCCCTCGTCGTTGTCTTCATCATCAAGCTCGCACGTCAACGCGATCGCCGGCTCGAGCTCAGCCGGCTACGACAACGACGACGGCACCTCGCACCTGATCCCGATCAACGGCTACGTGCCCCACTCGACCTACTCGTCGACGCCGCTGTCGCCCATTATCGAGAGCTCACCGCGGATCAGCCACAGCAGCAACGGCGCGGCCGGGTTCGGACACGGCATCGGCGCGTTCCACGACGACCACGACGACGATCACCACCACCACCACCACGCCGTCTCGACCGCCATCTCCAGTCCAACGATTCCTTCCTCGCCCTCCTCCCCGAGTCCCCATCAGGGCGCGTTCTTAGGGGCCAGAGGGCCACATCATCGCACGACCTCGTCCACCTCGGCTCAGCGCACCGGAGGCGGAGGCGGAGGCGGAAGCGGGCCAGCAGCTGGCGTCGGCGCGAACCTGTTTCTCGATCCACCACCAAAACGATCTTGGGGATCCGGGATCGTGTACGTCGTCACGAGGTTGCGCTCACCGAGGCGGATGAAGGCGTGGTTCCATGCCGCCGCGTCGAATGGCGCCGACTCGTCGCCGTTCGTCAGAACAATTGTCGCGGCCGCGTCGATTGGGTTCATCGTTTGGCTCTTGATGGCTATGGGAGCGCCACCACGGACAGCCGCAGCAGCAACACAACGAGGCAAGACTCCAATATACCCCAAAGGAGCGGAGCCGAGTCGGAATCTTCGCGGCATGTTGGCCAAGACATTCCCCTTTCTCGGCTCCGATTCGTCCTTGTTCCCCTTCTCCTCCTCCTCCTCTTCTGCTTCTTCGCCACCTCCGGGCGTGATTGAATTCACGATCCCGACGCCCGAACCATATCATGTGCGCCTCGCCCAAGCGCAAGCGATGCTCGACGCCGATCCCGACTCGGACGGGTTGGCCTACCGCCGTTTCCTCGAACGCACGACCTCGCCCGAGGGGCAAATGACCCATTCACCCACCATGGCCTTCGACCACATTTACGTGCTCTCGTTGCCGCATCGTATGGATCGGAGGGCCGAGATGACGCGGTTGGCGAACGCGTTGGGCGTCAAGTTGACATTTGTGGATGCGGCGCTCAAAGATGAGCCGTTCATTCAGTGGATTGGGGAGAGGGTCGCCGAGACGAGGGAGTTGAGGAGGAGGGTCATGGTCAGTTGCCACGAACGCGCCGATATCGGAAAAGTCTGATCGCTGACATGCTGTGATCTACATGCACACACAGGCCAAAGCGCGCAAGGCCTCGCCGGCTTCGATCGGTGGACTGCACATTGGTTCCGACTGGCTCACCCCTTACCTCGACAAGAAGCACCTCAAAGTGTTCCCCCAATTCCCCTCCGATCGCAAGCGGTACCCAACAGGGAATTGGATCACCCATCTCGAGGCCTTGCACACCGCGGGAAATCATACGAGCCTGAAACCCATCGACGAAAAGTTTGACCTCGCCAAAGCGCTCAACGACCCTTTGGAGGAATTCGCGGTACGGCAGGTGCACGAAGGGATCATCTCGACCTATTGGGGGCAGACGAGGGCTCTGAAAGCCGTTGTGCAGAATGGAGATCGCGCGGCGTTGATCATGGAGGATGATGTTGATGTCGAGTGGGATCTCGAAAGGTTATGGAGTCGTATTCATCGCAAGTTGCCCGAGGATTGGGACGTGACGTTCTTGGGGCATTGTTGGAGTCGGGAATACATCAGTCAGTCCTATGGGCATTGTGGTTGAATGGGCTCATGGAGCTGATGCACTAACGCCGTAAATTGCGTCCATGACCACGTCCCACAGCGCCCATGCGGTTACACCCTCACATCCACGCCTCGGTGATGCCGATGTGTTTGCACGGATGGGCCGTTTCGGCCGACGGCGCGCAACGCCTCCTCTCGACCTTCTTGGACCCTTGGTCCGCCTACTCGACCGCGGTCGATCTCGTGCTCCCCACCATGATCCGCTACCACCGCATCGCGGCCTATTCGATCCAACCTCCCTTGATCATCCAACGCAAAGACGGTCCCTCGGACCTCCAAGAAGGTTCTGGATCGAAGTGGCGGGGAATCTTAAGGGATAGTACGGTCGAACGATTGGCGAAAGATGATGGGACGTATGAGGGGATGAAGCCTTTCGATCCGGCGAATATTGACCCCGGAACCAAGCTGAGGATGGGGTGGTGTCCGAGCGAATTCGATGATGGCAAAGATGGGGAAGGGAGGTGATTCACAAAAAGTCGACGCCGCCGACGATGGAGATTTTTCTTTCTTCTTCCTGCTGGGGCTTCGCTCCGCCCCATGATTTTACGGGGACTCGTCGGCTCTTTCGTTTCGGGAAGCCTCACACGAGGGTGTCCATCTTGTTTATTATGTGTGTTGGACCTGCGTTCATTCCTTTTCTGTGACCACTTTTCGGGTTTATCCCTCGATATATAGTAAAGAGGGTGGTAAACCCCCCCACCTCGGATTTTTTTTCGTTCTCCACTCGCTCGCAATACTGCATTGTCAACATCATACCTATTGACCATATATCGGTTGCTTTGATGTGGTGGTCGCTCCCTTGCTCCGAAATCCCGAGGCGGAGACTCTTCGAACGACGCGCGATGTCGGGGTGGATGTCGGACACGGGACTGGAGGTTGACGTCGCGTCGAGCGATTTCGCACGTCGTCCGTCGAGCGCTGACGATGCGACGCGACTGACGCGCGCTCCACTCTCCTCTTTTGACCTCTCGACCCACGCTCTCCCCACGCACCACCTCCCACCACCTTCCTTCAACGAGGAGAGATGCCCCTTCTCCAACGATCCAGCTCGGCGTCCTACCCCACTTATCAATCCGCCGCTCGTTCGCCCGTCGCTTCCACCTCGACGTCCAGACTCGTTCAACGGGACGAGCAAGATCATGACGCGTCTGCGCCGATGAGCATGACCGTAGCGGTCGAGAAGGGCAAAGGAAGGGCAGTGGAGGATATGACTATGGCTGGGAGTGGGTCGGGGAGTGGAGCCGGGGATGGGGACGGGAGGCCGGTTGTGCAGAGGGTGAACAAGGTCGAGGTGTGGACCGTGCAGTGGAGGGAGCCGCAGCATCGCAAGAACAAGACGTGGGAGAGGTGAGTGGGGAGAGTGGGGATAGATGATAGTGCTCGGGCGGGAGCTGATGGTGTTCGTTCGTATGAACTTTATGGGACGTTGTGGGCGTTAATCGAATTGATGTTACCAGGGACGGGGTGAGCACTCGGAGACGATCTGACCAAAGCCCGTCGCGAGAGGGCCGAAACTGACCAAGGCATCTTCCTGCTGCTCCTTTGCATCATCTACAACCACCAATAACCCGCTACCCACCACAGTTCCTCATCATCAAAGGATCATCAGCCACTCTGAGGGACGAGAATGGAAAGACGTGAGTGACGAGGCTGGCGAAGATTTTGAGCGAGCGAAAAATGGTTCTGACTTGCCCAAACGATCGTTCCACAGGCTCGGCTCAACGACGCTTTCTATGCCCGTTGTGGCCGAGCTCGAGCTTAAAGTTGGTGGAAGAGAGTGCAAGGTGCGTCCACATTGATCTCACTGCCGAACCTCCAGAAGAGCAAATTCTGACGGCTTCTTCGCACTTGCAGATCGACGATACCATTACCTACGCCGAATACGTGCGACAATTCCATGACTCGTCCATCGTTGTGTCAGCTTACCCCAGCGCTGGATCACCCTCGATATTGCGTGCGCCAATGCCCGGGGCTATCACGCCAGGGGGTGGAACCCCTCGAGCGCTACCGCGACCGACCCCGAGCAAACCTTCTGGACTGGCGAGCGTGATGACTGCGACGAAATTGCCCGTTGCAGACCAGGGTGCAAGGGTAAGAGAGGCAATGTCAATGGGAATGGGGATGGCGTCGGCTTCCAGTTCGGTGATAGGGGTCAAGAGGCACACGAGCAGGGAGAACGAGGATCCCATCCGAGCTGTTGATCACGATAAAGGTACCGGAGGATACGAGTCCGACTTGAAGAGGATCAGGAGGGAGGATGAGACCCAACCGGGAAGGAGGATAGACGCGACTCGAGTGATCGATCGAACCAACGTCGATGGGCCGAGATTGATGGCCACGCCACCAGCAGCGCAAGAGCCCGTCAAGAAGGCAGGGAAGGAGTACCTGGTCAGTGTAGCCTGAGGACCTTTCCTTGCAAGTATATCACCTCAATTTGCGCCGGACTTGTTGCAGTGCCAATATCGGAAGTATTCGACCAAAACGAACCCCACCTGGGAGGGGGACGGCGTAAGCAGCCAACGCTTCCCACCAGGACTGATCGAGAGCCCGCTGACAGGGTCGTGCTCGTGGCTCACATAGATTCTGATCGTCACCGGTACCTCTGGATCACTCAAGGATCGTGAGACGAGAAAGACGTGAGCGATTCCAGTGGGCTTTGGGCGCTCTGATGCACATGAACTAAGGCTCCAAGCATCGGTCGCAGCATCACCAATGGCGCCATTGGGCCCAAGGTCCGACTCGATCCGGAACAACAGATCAACATGGGCGGTTACACACTTGAGATCGAATCTGAATTCACTGCAGCACCGACGGCCACCATCCCGATTGTCGCCCCGTCCGCTCGCCCCCCACCAGTCAGGAACATGGCCTCTATGAAGCCGCCAGCTCGACCACCGCCATCGATCTTCGACCCGATCGCTGTCGCCGCCTCCATACCTTCGAGCAACTTTTACATACCTGGAGTGACCCCTCAAGCGAGCAAGGCTTTCCAAGATCCGACGCATGGAATGGGATCGGCTGGGAAAGGCAAGGGCAAGCCTGAGTTGGGTCCACAGCCGAGGTTCGATCCCACCAAGGCCGGTGCAGTGGTGATGAGACGACCTGATGAGGAGCACGAATTGGCTTATAACAGAAAGTGAGTCACGCTGCATGAAAATCCCCGCGAAGCAAGTACTCACTGGCCGTATTCGTTCGGTACGCGGCGGACTCAGGGGCTTGCCCGTGGTTGATGTTGTTCTCGACCCACAACTGGGCGATCGACTGCGGGACCATCAAAAGGAGTACGTAAACAACTGGGTCCAGACGTAGAATCGCTTGGTGTTCATCTTGGGGCGTTGATGGTGTCGCACAGAGGCGTCAAGTTCATGTACGAAGCCGTGATGGGCATGCGTGGAGAAGGGCAAGGCTGTATTCTCGCCGACGAGATGGGACTCGGCAAATCCGTCCAGGCGATCAGTCTGATATGGACACTGCTGAGTGAGTCCAAGTCCGAGTCCAGGCCTGTTTCCCATATGGGATGTCGGCCTGAGAGAAGACTTGATTTCACAGAGCAAAACCCATACTGGGGAAGCGGGACAGGCGTGATACAACGCGCCATGATTGTCTGCCCCGTGACGCTCGTGAAGGTAGGTCCCTGGCGGCCTTCACTCGAGTATGCAACCTCCCCGTTGCTGACCACAATCCATCCAACCAGAACTGGAGTCGCGAGATACGTCTGTGGCTGGGCTACGACCTTCTCCGACCTTTCATCGCCGATTCCGGGGCCAACATCAAGTCCTTCTGCGCGACCAAATCCTACAACCTGCTCATCATCGGCTACGAGCGGGTCAGTCGCGATAAATGCTCTGTGTCGAGTAAATTTGTTGCTAAAGCACGGCGCGTTCCCCATGCAGCTTAGGACTGTTATCGACGACATCAAAGCTGTACAACCTCCGATCGGACTGATCATCTGCGATGAAGGTTTGTTATATAATCCTCAAGACGTACTGGGACCTTGGACCCTGACACAAGCCCCTCACCTCCCTCAGGCCATCGCCTCAAGTCCTCCGACGCCAAGATCTCTAAAGCGCTGCGCTCCCTCTCCTGCAAGCGCCGTGTCATCCTCTCGGGTACGCCGATCCAGAACGACTTGCAAGAGTACCATTCGATGGTCGGTACGTAGATCCAATTCACCTTCTGAATCCTGCACCAGCCGCTCAATAACAAAACATAACATTTGATGCGCACAGATTTCGTCAATCCGGGCTTGCTCGACTCGTATTCTGTGTTCAAGAAGCGTGAGTCTGAGAACACGCGCCGCCAAGTGTTCAGATTGCTCAAGTCTGGCGGCACAATTTTGAATCCACAGATTTCGAGAATGCGATCATCAAGTCGCGTGAGCCAGGTGCGAGTGCCAAGGACAAGAAGGTCGGCGAGGACCGCTCGAAGCAACTCACTCGTATCGGGACGGCGTTCCTCCTCCGTCGAGCGGGCGACGTTATCGCCAAGTACCTGCCTCCGAAACTCGAATACACCGTCTTCATCGCCCCCACGCCTCTCGAGGTTTCCATCTACGAAGAGATCCTCATTGGGTCGGCTGCGAGGGCACTGCAAGAAGGCTCGATCACGGAGCAATTGTCGTTGTTGATGGTTTTGAGGCAATTGTGCAACACGCCTGGTTTGTTGATGCAGTCGATCGAACAGAACAAGAAGGTCGATGCGCTCAAGAAGCCGGTCGTCGAGTTGCTCCGGAAGGCGGGGAACGATTCGTACGATTTCGCGTTGTCGGGTAGGTGATCCTCTGCCTGACATGGCGATCCAACCAAACGGGCTCACTCACACAATAGCATGCGCCTCCCAGGTAAACTGCTCGCCCTCGGCACCCTCTTGCACCAACTGCGTTCGATCCAAGGCGAAAAAATCGTCGTCGTGTCCAATTTCGTCCAGACGCTCAACATCATCGAGCGCCACTGTCGGCAGAAGAGGTACCCTTTCAGTCGATTGGACGGCAACACGCCGCAAGCTGAGAGGATTGCATTGGTCGAGGCGTTCAACAGGGGCAAGAATGCAACGAGTTGTGCGTGCTTCTCTGACGGCGTGTCGAGTGAAGGTCGCAGACTAATTTTGCGGTACCACGACAGTCGTTTTTCTTTTGTCGAGCAAAGCGGGTGGAACGGGGCTGAATAGTAAGTTGGGCTCTTTGAGGTCCTCAAGTTCGTGCGCCGCTGTGCTGACCCCTGCCCCGATTATTTAAAAAGTCACCGGAGCCTCCCGTCTCGTCCTCATCGACAGCGATTGGAACCCTTCGACGGATCAACAAGCCATGGCTCGCATCCACCGTGAAGGGCAAAAGAAGCAATGCGTGAGTTGGTCGACTGCTCCCATTCGACCGCGAAAGACGGCACTGAGACACCTTCTTGTTGCATCAGGTCATCTATCGCTTCCTCACGGCCGGTACGATCGACGAAAAGATCTTTCAACGTCAAGTCACCAAGATGGGGCTGTCGACGTCGTTGATGGTGAGTTTTTGCGCGGTTGTACACACGCATCTGCCTCGAAGAAACTGATGGTCGAACCTCGCAGGACGATGGCCAATCGGGTGGAGCGGGCAAGGCGGACTCGTTCACCCCTGATGATGTACGTTGCTCCTCACGGTATTCTTATACCACGCAACATGGCTGACATCTCGTTCTGGATCGCGCATGTCACAGCTGCGCAGCATCTTCAAATTGCACCAAGGCGTCGCGTGCCAAACGCACGACCTGCTCGGGTGCAAATGCCACCTCGATCTCGACAACGACGACGAAGAGGGCGCAGCTCGAATGGAAGCCGACCTCGGACCAACTTTCGAAGACCCTTCCTCCTCCTTTCAAGCTTTTGAACCCCCGGGATTCACTCAAGCCTCCCAATTCCACGCCCTGGGTGGTGGTTTCGACCTCGAAACTGTCCAGCGCGACGAATCGCGTCGATTGGGGATGTTGAACAATTGGGCGCATTACAATTGTTGCGACGAAGGGTCCGTGGATGAGATTGAGGATACGTTGTTGAGGTCGGTGGTTTATCAGAGGGTTATTGAGGCTGTGGATGGGGCAGAGGGGAGTGTGCCGGAGGGGAGGGCGACGTATAGGTTGAGAGGAGGTGAGTTTGTGGCATTGGCCAAGGTGGCTTGCTCACACATTCATGAGCAAGGTGCTGACTACTGCAGTTATGTTGTGCGATAGGTCAAGTCGGATTCGTGTTTGGTAAGAAGAGCGGTTAATGTGCAGTCAAGTATAATAGCAAATACTAGCCAAATACTAGCGGCCCGTCGAGTATTCAATAATTAGCCGTTTCCTCTCAGCCTGGCTTGCGTAGATCGCGTACTCTAAAGCTCAGCTCCTTAGCATTGCATTGTACACTACGCGCGAGTCGTTCGATGTGTTGAAAGGGACACCGAAGCGCTCGATCAGGGAGACGGTCACCCACCTACGCCGCGACTATCTCTTGACACACCTGGCCAAAGAAGCAGACGTAGCTTGCCCAAATGCCGCTGGTTCGGAAACGCATAAGGTTGGGCGAGTGTCTTGGACAGACTGAAGCGAGTATATTTCCCAGCTCAACGACGACGCATGGTAGGTGAGCATGTACGGCCAGGTATACCGGAGGTGAGGGTAGCTGGCTGATCGCCAACGCAGGGGTGGGCGGTGTAGTACCTGCGGCAAGCGGACAGAGAAAGGGTTCCTCATTTGTGATCGAGGCTTGGTCCGGGCAGCGTCGACCCGGTGCCGGCTCTCGCTCTGCCCTTGCTTCGCATCGGCGCTGCCCGCCCACTCACCATATCGATCGCCAACCATGTCCTCCTCCCCCTCTTCCAAACGTACCAAACTCTCCCCCTCGCTCCCCTTCACCCCGACGCTCCTCTCCCCCTCCTCGATCGCCTCCCTGCGCTCCCAAGTCGAAGCTTCGCAACCATACAAGCACGCGGTCATCCCTCAACTGTTCGAGCATGACTTTTTGGAAAAGGCGAGGAAGGAGTTGTGTGAGAGTGTGAGCTTTACGGAAAAGGAGACGGATATTTGTGAGTGGTTCGAGTAGAATCGGGATCGGTTGGATGTAGCTGATGATCACCTTGCTCGTGTGTCCAGATCGAGTGAGTTGCCAAGTTCACCGCGGTCGTCGGGCGGATGAAGGGGACACTGTGTCAATGTGGTGTCGGATCTTGAATTCGGCCGAACCCTCGAACTGGAACATGGCGACGTTCTACATGGCACCGACCTGGTTCGGCGCCCGACCCCACAAGCGGAGCCCCTGAACTGACACCGTCTGAATCCCCACCTGCAGATCTCGCAAACTGGCGACCTCACGAACCTCTCCGGACTGCCCGCCGCCGAACAAGCTCAACTTGGCACGCTCACCGAGCTCCGCGACGCGTTGTACTCTTCCGAATTCCGTTCCTTCCTCCAAAAAGTCACCGGTTGTGGACCGCTTAGTGGGATCAAGACGGACATGAGCTGCGCCGAGTACGGGGAGGGGAGTTATTTGTTGAATCATGATGATGTGATTGGGACGAGGAGGATAAGTTTCATCCTGTATTTGGTCAAGAGGGAGCCGGAGTGGAGGGCCGAGGCGAGTTGTGGAAGGATTTGGGGTTCTAGATTCGGGAAAAGCGAGAAAGTTGACCTTCATCCTTTCCGACTCGTAGTGGGGTGGCGCGTTGGAACTGTACCCCGTTGTACCTTCGGAAGGCGATCGACCCAACATACCCGAACCGAAACCCTCCGTTTCAATACCCGTAAGGACCCTTCAAGTATCAACCACTCTCACATCCCCGAACTGACTCTCGTACCCGGTCAACCTCCACAGCCCGCTTTCAATCAATTCACCTTCTTCAAAGTCCAACCCGGTCACTCCTTCCACAGCGTCGAAGAAGTCGTCATTGAAGGTCAACATGGACCTTCATCACGAGGAGGGATCGGTTCTCGTCTCAGTCTTTCGGGGTGGTTTCACAAACCCGTCGAAGGGGAGGAAGGGTACGAGCAGGAATTGAAAGAGGAGCAAGTGGAAGGTGCGAAGGGGAAGAGCAGTTTGCAGCAGTTGTACAAGGCGACGTTGAAGGAGGCCACCGCGTACGAGGGTCACGTCGAAGGCGTTTTGTTGGAGGGGGAAGTGGAGGTCTTTCCTTCAGACGAAGATCGAAGAGTGTTAGGGGAGGTGCTTAACCCTTCTTATTTGGTCCCGAAGACGATCGCGTTCCTCCAATCTTCGTTTGCCGAACAAGGTCATCTAGCCCTATCGTCATTCCTATCCAAAGAACTCTCGGCACAAATAGAGACTCTTCTTCGCCAGATCGACGCAGGGATGAACAAAGGCCGCAAAGGGGCGATCGTCGGTGGGCAAGTGGTGAATCTCATACCAAGGCACGAGGAGGGGGTTGGGAAGGGATGGGCATTGGTCGGGCCACCTCATTTACAAAGGTTCTTGGCCTGGGGCGCTGAGCTGGAAGACGACGACGACGACGAGTTGGCCGTTTTGCTGAAAAAGGTCAAATCGACCTTTGAATCAGCATCTTTCGCACGCCTCCTCGCGACGCTCACTGGCGTCACTCTCAAAGCCTATACATTGGACCTCCGTCGTTTCCGCCCCGGCCTCGATTACACCCTTGCCCGAGGGGTCGAAGATGGCCACATCTTGGACGTGGGGTTGGGTTTGACGCCTGAGCCGGAAGTGGGGCGGGAGAGGGAGTTGTGGGAAGAGGGGGATGTAGGAGGGTGGGAGGTATGGTTGGATGGCGGAGAGGGGGAGGAAGGGGATGAAGCTACTTATGGTGGGGGGAGAAAGAAGAAGAGCGCCGAGGAACAGGGTGAGACTGGAGCAGACGGTGAAGAAGAGGAAGATGGTGAAGAGGATGGTCCATTGTTGAGTTTGGAACCGAGTTGGAATCGGTTGTCGATCGTGTTGAGGGATCCGGGGGTGCTCAAATTCGTCAAGTACGTTTCGGCCAAAGCCCCCGGTTCGAGGTTCGATCTTAGTGGGGAGTGGGACTTTGAGGTGGCCCAAGACGAGGATGAGGAGAAAGATGACGACTAGTTGCCCCGCGTTGTTTGCAGTAATACTAGCAACCCAGGGATCGTCACTATGATCCGAGCACATTTGTTTTCGTCTTCTTCTTCTTGCCCCCTTTTTGGAACGAGCGCCAATCGGTGACGCGGTCTTCTCTGGTCTCTGGATGGGACGATCAAAGAACTCTACGTAAGCACTCGATCATCTCGATCCTGATGCACCTTCTTTGTCGCACGTACCTTCCCACCGCTTGTCATCTTCCATCTTTCTCTTTCTCTTCTCCAACGCCTCCTCGTCCTTCTTCGCCTGGGCGCCTTCCGCAATCATCGTCATCTTGTTGACCCTCCTCCTTCTCAGCTCTTGGTCGATCAAGAGTTCCTTCGTCTTGAGCCGGATGCGTTCTCGGAAATCGGGGTTGGTGAGGGAGGTGACGCGGGGGGAAGTGTCGGGGGTGATGGGGGCCATGCCCTCGGCTCGGAGCACGAGCATCCGAGCGTCGAGGATGATGTTGTCGAGCGCTTCGCGGCGTTTGGGGTCGACGAGTTCGGTTTGGGCCTGTTTGTAGAGGAGGTTTAGGTGAGTGAGTGGGCTTATCAAAGAGGTTGGATTGGATCCGCGGCGCGCACCTTCTTGAGCAGATCGAACGCCTCGATCGCCTGTTCATGCTTGAGCTTATCCGGATGGATCAACAGCGATTTCTTGCGATAGGTCTTTTCTGCACAAAGCATGCCATCGACTCGATCAGTATGCACCCCAAACCGAAGTGAGGAGGGCGACTTGCGAATGTCGGACTCGGTGAGGTTCGCGGACGGCATAAAGTCGAGTTGCAGTACGTCGTAAGGGTTCATACGGAACGCCTTGAGTACCCGAGCGACCTGGGCAGCAAGGGGAAGAGACTGAATCAGCCCACACGCTTTGTCGTCACCCGCAGCGCTGCACTGACCTCGGCTTCTCGGGAGACGAGCGTCGCTTCCGAGTTGAGGATCCGCTCAATCTCGGCTTCATCGAACACGAGGTCCTCTGTGCTGGCTGACGGTATCGAATTCGAGGTGCTTGTGCTTGGTGTCGGTGTTGGGGTTGATGTGGAGGCCATGGTCGGCGGTGAGTGGGTGCTGAAGTGGTGCGAGTCACGAGGAAGAGCGCCGAAGAGTGGGGGAATCGGGGGCGGCGCAGTGCTTGCGTCGGCTTGGCTTTGTAATGGTACATTTTGGCCCGTAAGCGCGTGTCGTGTCGCGCGGGCGCGCGTGGGCCGACGCGCAGTTCGTCGCGTGAGAGGCTGTGAGAACCGCAATCTATCTGGGAGAACCACACTCAGGTACCGGTGAGAACTGCACTACTTACTGCTGCCGTGCTTCGGTCGGGTGCTGCCAGCTGCCAGCTGCCGTCTACGTCCGTTCGTTCGCGCAGACCAGTGACGATGGCCAGACCACCCCACGATGCCACCTCGCCATCCCCTCCCTCCGACTCGTTCTTCTCTAATGGCATCACCTCGTTGACGGTCGACATTCCCTCCCAGTCGACCGCAACAACCTCCTCCGCTCGGTCCGCTTCCACCACCACCGCGAACGGACCCACCTCAACCCCACCACGTACATCGAGTACATCGACCCCAACTAGTCCGCCGAGATGGAACACGCCCGAGTTCTACTTTTACTACGCCGTGTTTGCGTTCGCGGTGCCTTATATGGCCTATACGGTCATCAACCTCAGTCGACGTGAGCCCTACCTACCCACTTTGGGCCCCCCGAGCGCAACCCCACACCGCTGAAACGGACCTCTTTCCTACTGGTCACTACGGACTGCGCAGCATCCCATCCCAATTATCACACTTTTGCACACCGACTGAGCAACGGCTGGATCTTAGGTTGGAAGATTGTACGCGTCGCACCTTTACACTCTGGGCAAGCGAAAATCCTGACCGATCCCCCATCGTACACGCGCGCAGGACAACTCGGACCACCAATGGTACAAGTTCCGCACGAACCTACCCCTCCTGACGGGCGTCATGCTCATCTGGCTCGCGCTCTCCACCACGTACAACCTCATCGCTCGTCTCGCTACGCCTTCCCCCACCGACTCTCCCTCCCCCACCCCGGCATCCGAAGCCCGTTCCCACCCTGCCTCCTCGACATCTCTCCCCCCACGAGTCCCCTTTATCATCTTTTTCGCCCTCATCCTCCTTTTTGGTCTGCACGGTATGAGTCTCCCCAAGATGTTGATCATCCTCTGGTTCAACTACCGCATCGCCAGACTCGCAACTTCGCCGACCCTGTCCAAATCGGTCCCTTGGTTGACTTGGGCCTTCAATTTGGCCATCTTATTCTCGAACGAAGTGAATGAAGGCTATCAATGGGCGAATCTGTCTCCAAGCTTGCAACACTGGGTGCGTAGATGGACGTTCGGTGGCTCGGACAGTCGGGTTTCGAGACCCTCAAGCTCATATCTTTGATCATCAGGACCAAGCCAAATGGGCCCAGGGTATCTTGCCCCGCTGGCACATCAACTGGAACATAACGATGCTGCGTCTGATCTCCTTCAATATGGACTACTACTGGGCCGCGAACGTTGCTTCGGGAGAAGCGCAGACGATCCGATCGACGCAAGAGGAGAAACTCGAACTGTTGACGCAGAAACTGTCGGCCCCGCCTTTGAACGATCGGACTCGAGTCACGAAATCGCACCCGCTTTCCGATTATTCATTCACGACCTACCTCGCCTATGCTTTTTACCCTCCCTTGTACTTGGCAGGTCCGATCCTGACCTACAACTCGTTCGTTTCGCAACTCTACCACCCCCCAGCACCATCTCCAAGAAGATGCTCCTTGGGTATACGGTGAGGTTCGTCGCGTGTTTGTTGACGATGGAGTTGGTGTTGCATTCGATGTACGTGGTGGCGATCAAGGATGAGGCGAGGAGTGGGGCTTGGTCCGGCGAGAGTCCGTTCGAGTTGAGCATGATTGGGTTTTGGAATCTGATTGTCGTTTGGTTGAAGGTGAGGGGTAGCTCGTCCAGACCGGGTCAGAGTACAGCCAATTTCAGCTGACACTTTCGCCGTGCCTTTCCCCTTCTCTCAGCTCTTGATCCCCTGGCGCTTCTTTCGCCTGTGGGCTTTGCTGGACTCGATCGACCCCCCGGAAAACATGGTACGTTGCATGGCCAACAACTACTCGACCCTCGGTTTTTGGCGATCGTGGCACCGTTCCTACAACCTGTGGTGCATCCGGTACCTCTACGTACCCATCGGAGGAGCGAAAAGGGCCTTGGTCGCAACGTTGACGGTGTTCACTTTCGTGGCGCTGTGGCATGATCTGAGCTTGAAGTTGTTGACGTGGGGTTGGGTCATCACCGTTTTCGTCTTACCGGAGATGGTGGGGATGAAGGTCTTGCCCGCTCAAAAGGTGAGTAAGGATCGGTTCGTTTAGGGGCGTTTGAAAATCAACTTTTTTTTTTTTGGCTGATTCCTAGAATCGTTTCCTCCCCCCTCTTCCCTTCCAGTATTCGCATCACCCATGGTACCGCCACGTCTGCGCCCTCGGTGGGGTCCTCAACGTGCACATGATGATGACCGCCAACCTGATCGGATTCGCGATCGGGACCGAAGGGATGCAGTACATGTGGTCGCGCATGGTCGAAAGTTGGCAAGGGGTGAGGTTCATCACCCTCGCGAGTGCGTGCTTGTTCGTGGCCGTGCAGGTGATGTTTGAGTACCGAGAGGAAGAGGGGAGAAGAGGGGTCAGGAGAAGGTGCTAAGGTGGTGCTTTTTCCAAGGAGTTTTTTTTTTTTTTTTTTTTTTTTGGCGTTTTTGCGTTTTTGTATGTAATATTCCTGGTATTGCATAAAAGATGCTGTATCGCATCGTGTGCATCATTCCACACCGCATCGCTTGAAAATGAGGATGCCTTGCACAGAGTTAGTTGATCGACATCACGCGAAGCGTCAACACGCGTTCGCCTTCCGTCTCTCTCCCTTCTGGCCTCCACGTCCTCGGCAAGGGCAAGGATGGCGCCCGACGAATCCGACCGTTCGCGAACGGAAGCTGAAGCTGAAGCGACAGAACGATCGCAGCTCAAAGCTTTGGAATGGGACCCTACCCAATTCACCTCGCTGGCCACCTCTTCGCTCGTGATCGGTGCAGCGGGATCGAATGCGCACGACGCGGGCGGTGGGAATCCGAATCCGATGACGACGACGATGACGACGACGACGACGACGACGACGACGACGGCGATGGCGGATGGTGGAGCGTTCAAGGGTGCGAATGGCGCGCGTGGGACCGCGGGCAGGTTCGATCTGTTGCTGTTGAACTGGTTGAGTGGGGTCGAGAAGAGTGTGGAGGTGTTGGACAAGGTACGCCCGAGTCGCTTCCCTGGGGAACCGAGTCGGGGAAGCTCGCCGTGACTGACGAACACACCCCTGCTCCACGTTCAAAAAAAACAGGAAACGATCCTGCTCCAACAGCCCACCTTGACGACCAACCTCCTGTCGATACTGGTCGCCCCACCGCCCACGTCGTCCCTGCCCCGTCTCAAACCCGGACGACCGGCCCGAGCGCTCCTCGCCCGGATCCTCTTGCTCCTCCTCGCCAAAGGGGACACCAAAGGCCGCTACGACCTCGTGCAGAGTCTGATCCAAGGCATGGTCGGCAGCGAGCTCAAGGGAGCGGGCTGGGAGAGGGAGAAGGAGAACCGGCTCGCTTGTGCTTGGGTTTTGGGGGAGGTCTTTAGGGTTTGCGGCAGTCAGGTCAGTTCCTGAATGTTGTGTGCGAGGAAACTAGTCGGAGGGGCGAATCGAGCTGATCTTTTGTCTTCCTCGGGTGACGTGGTGCAATAGGTCATGAGCACCTTTATCGATGTGGTGACCACCGCGACGAGGATTGGCAGGACGGCTTCTTATGTGAGTGCTTCTCCACTCCGAGCGATCGTTCGCGCCCATGAACTGAACCTCGGACCACTCCAACACCCAGCCCGTGATCCTACGATGCGCCGCGCTCGTCACGCTCAGGAAAGCCATCGTCGTGGGAGCAAGGTCCATGTCCGACGCTCTCATCAAGGAGACACTCAAAGCGTTGCGCGCCGGCTTGAGCGAAAAGATTGGTGCGATCGTCAGGGAGAGTGCGGATGTGAGTAGTTGCGTCGAGAGCATAAAGTACGAATTCAGGGAAAAGATACTGATGCTTGGGTCCCAATGGGGTGACAGTGCCTGATCGCCCTTCAAGCCGCTCCGGGGACGTTCACCACCTTGGCCGACATTGACGCGATCGTTCAGATTTGCTTCCGAACACTCGACACGGCCGACCACGTCGCCCGTAGAGCCCTATCCCGACTCGTCGCTTCGCTACTCGCGTCGACCCAAGTCGAAGGCAGCGGTGCACCTCCCATCCTGTCCGCTCCTCCACGAAAGAAGAAGAAGGCCGGAGGAGCACCCGGCGCTGCGGGCGAGGATGAGGATGACGACGATGATCCTTACCCTTCTGTTGGGGCACCAGCGGCGTCGGCGAACGCGACCAAGACGCTGCTTTCGCCCATCGAGATGCTCGTGCAGCTTTCGGCGCCTTACAACAAGCTTTCGACGTCGAGAAAGTTGAGGAACGCCATCATCGACGTTTATGGGCAACTCTTGACGAGTTTGGGCGCCGGTTGGGTCGAACAGAATTATGCCGAGGTGCTGCAACACCTCATCAACGAGATTGGGTGCGGTGTCGCCGCTGGGACGGGCTGGAAGAGCTGGCATCCGCGCATGATTGAACGGATCGAACCGAGCAAAGCCAAGTACGAAGCTCTTGCGGCGCGCAAGTCCGTCGGGATCCTCTTGCGGGACATCATTTCCGGACGTTTGTTGTCCGAATCGGCGCAAATCTTGGCCGTGCGCGAGATTGGTCAACTCTACCTCAAGCGGTGGCCTTCGCTCTTGCCTTCGCAAGTCCCACCTTCGAAACAAGCGCTCGTGATTGCGCTCGAAGAGACGAGCGGCCTCTTGGCTGCCCTCGGGTGCGCGCCTATGGTCGTCCAAGATGCCTTGTACGATCCTTTGTTGCGCCTCGTTTCACATCCGAGTCATTCGGTGCAGATCGCTGCTGCGTGGGCGTTGAGGACGTTCTGCGACAATGCACCGACGCGGTTGAGTGCGACAATCGTGCAGCTCGTCGAGTTGCTCAACAAGGACTTGGCTGTTATTGCGCAGAAACCGAACGAGTCCTCGGGCGCGTCGGGATCCAACAAGGAGGGAGGAACTCCGTCGCCTCGTCGGGCCGTGGGTCATGCGCATGCGCTGGCGGCGTTGATCAACTTGATCCCCCACCAACCGCTCTACGTCTCGTTCGACATCTCAGCCAAGTGCATGAGTCTCGCGATTCAACTGTTGAAGCAGTCGGCGAACCACGAACTCATCGTCTCGGGCGTCGAGATTCACGTCGCTTGGATCCTCGTCTCGGCGCTCATGTCCCTCGGTCCGAACTTTGTGCGATTGCATTTACCTCAATTGTTGATCTTGTGGAGGAACGCGTTGCCGAAACCGACGAGTAAGGATGCGAGTGCGGCCCAGGTCAGAGGGGAGAACGAGTGGGCGTTCCTATTGCACATTCGAGAGTGTACGCTCGGTGCGATCCTCAGCTTTTTGAGGCACAATGGAGGGGTGGGGCGACGCGTCTCGAATACCAACAATGCGAATGGAGCAGCGGGGGAAGGGTCGATCACGGCGACGGGTTTAATCAGCGATGACGTTGGACGACGCCTCGTGCTCTTGCTTTCGAACGGGCTCTCGTTCGCGAGTTCGTTCCAACTCACGTTCGAGAAAACCCTCTTGGAACAACATAACGTGCCTGCGATATCGTCGAGGTTCTCACTGTATGATCGCGACCTCATGCTGCGCAGGAGGTTGTTGCAGTGCTTCGTCGCGTTGGGCCACCATCCCGCGACCGCACCGTGGCAAGTCACCTTGTTGACGCAGATCGTGCCCCTCTTCTCGGATCCGGAGCGCTACACCGGAGAATCGATGCTTCAAGCTGCCGTCAACTCACCAAATTTCACGTCCGTATGGGAGGAAACGGATGGCTTTGGGTTCGGCGTGACGAGTTTGATGAAGGATGGCGAAACGCTCGTCGCTTCCCACGCGGAGGACCCCGCCGGCGTTCGAAGGACCGTCAAACTCAATCGAGACGTCGCGGAGATGAAGATTGAACAACTATTGAAATCGGCCGTCTTGGGTGCGGCCGAATACGATCCTTTGGTCCTTTCGTCGCGGCATCATTCCGAAGTCTCGAGTCCCAGTTTGGCCTCGTCGACGTGGGAAGTCCCTTCGGCGCCTCCGACGGCAATTGGTTTGGTCGATGCCGGGATCGAATTGTTCGCCATCTACTTTTCGACGCAAGAGCACCACAACCAAGGTGCTTTGTTGCAGATCCTGCAGACGAATCTGAGGTCGGGGAGGTTGGAGAAGAACCCGGGGAGGAGGATGGCGATCTTGGCGAATTCCATCACGGCGATCGTGGGGGCTCTGAGGTTGTACCGACGGGCGGTGGAACCCCAGGTTGGGACGTTGATGAGGGAGATCATCAAGGATGCGTTGTTGCACCCCGATGCGCATTTACGTGCCGCTGCGGCTGAATCGTTGGGGAGGTTGTCTTCTCTGGGGGAAACGTCGTTCATGGCGACGCAGATTCAATTCTGCGTCAACCAAGTCGTCAGCAATACCGATCCCGACAATCGTGCGGGTTGTGCACTGGCGTTCGGGGAGGTCTATCGCCACGTCGGGAGTCTGGCCGCTGGACCGGTGCTCAAAACGATCGTCGACGTCCTGTTGTCCCTTTCGGCCGATCCTCATCCTCTCGTTCATTTCTACGCCCTGCACGCACTTTCCCTCGTCATTGACGCGGCGTCGTTGTCCTACGCACCGTTCACGAACGCGACGCTGGGGATGTTGAGCAAGTTGTACATGCAGGACACGCACGAACCCGAGGGCGGAACTCCGGGAAGCGTCAACCTCAGGGGTGACTTGCCAGCCTATCAAGCGATTTGTCGCGTTATGGATGCGTTGATTGGGGTGTTGGGACCCGAGTTGCAAGATTCGGAGCGCGTCAGGGATTTGGTTCTGATTCTGTTGAGAGAGTTCGTCAATGAGGGGGACGACGGGATCGCTGTCGAAGCGATCAAAGCGACCCAACATCTGCTCATGTTCGCTCCCGACGCTTTGAACCGCCAACAACTCGTCGCCACTCTACGAGGTCATCTTTCGTCGTCAAGTCGTCACTTGCTCAAAGTCGCCGCTGTGAACTCGGTCTACCAACTCGTACAAAGGGATGCAGCGAGCATGTCCAAAGTCGGTGGCGACGGGATGGTACAACAATTGTTCGAGTTGCTCGATGATGACCCCAGCATCGAAGGGGTTAGGGACGCGATCACGTCGTGGTTACGTCAGACGGCGGAGGCGAATCCTTCGGGATGGATCGACCTCTGTCAGCGCATCATGTCGCGCTCCACGGGGGCGGCCAAAGCCGTAGCGACCGCTGCTGCCGCGGCTTCAACTTCCGGAGGGGGGGGGGAGGGGGAGCGGACACGACGAACGCACAAAGCTCTTTTGCGGACGAAGAGATTCAAGGACTAGGTCTCGACGACGGAGGTCTCAAAGCTTCCAAAGCGACTTCCCGATGGCGAACCCAGCTCTTCGCTTTACAATGCTTGCACGAGGTCTTCGTCACTGTCGCCAAGAGTGGACGAAGGGAACATTTCGATATTGCACGAGCGAGGGTCGTCAGGGCGAACCGGAGGGGTTTGCTGATTACGAGGGTTGGGGATTTGATCAAGATGGCTTTTACGGCCTCGACGGCGCAGGTGATGCAGATTAGGTTGGAGGGATTGGTCGTTCTCCGGGATGTCATTGAGGTGAGTCCGAGCCCTGGGTGAAAAAGATGGTGAAACTTGCTGATGACTTTACATTTTGACTCTCTCGTGACGACAGGGCTTTGGACAATCCCAAGACATTGATTTCGAAGAAGCGCTCCTCCTCGAACAGTTTCAAGCCCCCATCGCCGCGGCCTTGACTCCGGCTTTTTCAGCCGATTCGTATCCCGAAGTCCTCGCTTCAGCGATCCACGTTTGCGCCGTGTTCGTCGGTTCCGGCGTCGTCAAAGAGATCGATCGAATGGGCCGCATCCTCAAACTCCTTACGACCGCATTGGAATCCTGTCGCGAGTCCGACATGTCTTCCATCGGCGACGTCCAAGACCTCAGTTCGACCGCAGCAGTCATGCTAAAAACGTCCATCTTCGCCGCCTGGGCCCAATTCCAATCCGCTAGTGTCAAACAAGCGTATTTGGCGCAAGTGATTGAACCTCATTTGCCGTTATTGTGTCCGTTTTGGGTCGGAAGTTTGAGGGAGTATGCGAGGGTGAGGACGGATCCGGATGCGACGTCTTCGGATTCGGGAGCGGGGGGCGCGGCGTTCGATTCGGTTTATTCGGGACTGTCGAGGGAAACGGCGCTGCCTGTGAGTTCTGTGTAGTCGAATGAGTGAAGTACTTTGACGATGGGTTCGCTGACGATGAACGCACGCCGTGGACAGTTTTACGAGCGATCTTGGCCGCAGATGCTTCATGCCGTCGGGACCTTGCTCAAGGCGGGCAACGCGCACATGCTCCGCGCCGTCGATGGCAAAGTCCCTAAAGCCGCTGACTCTGCTCCCAACTCGCCACCACCCCCGCCGCACCGCACCCAGCCCGCCGAATACTTTTGGGTCCTCTTTGGTCTCTCCTACGAAGCCCTTTGCGCAACCCCACCACCAGCAGGAACGACATCCCCGCTCGAAGTACAAACGATCGCGCTCGAAGCTTTGGCAGGTTTGATCCGCCCTCAAGTCTCGGGGCCGGCTTTGGTGGAGCAGGGTCTGTTCGACGAGGTGTGCAATCTGTGTTATCGATTGGCGATTACGGAGGGGCCCGAGGTCAAGGCGCATGTGATGGATATTGCGGTGCAGTTGGCGAGGAATTATGAAGGGGAAGGTGTCGAGTGAGTGTGAGAGCTTTCCAGTTTTTCTCTTTGGTCTGTTTGCTAATGTAGGTCTGGTGGGAGCAGCTTGGCCGAGGACACCAAGATGCGACGCTGCTTGCAGATTGCGACCTGTGTTCTGCGCGAAAGCGTACCTTCGACGAGTTCGTCACCAAAACGTGAGTCGCGGGCTCGATATGCATGCTCTTCTGGCTTGGCACTGAGTCAGTGGTCCTCTTTTCGACTCAATCAGCCACGCTCGCATCGGCGCCGGCTCGAATCACCTTGCTTCGCTCGGCGTTCAGCTCGTTCGCCGAGCTGGCGGACATCTACCCCGCCTCGACGCGCGAGGAGCTATACGCGATCGCCTTTTACTTCTATTCACGTGAGTGAGGGCTACTCTCTCATCGCAGGGGAATGCTCGAAAACTGAATTGTCTGTCTCTCCCATCTCACAGAATTGCTGCAAGAGGAGGCCAGCGAGATCGACCTCGTGTCGCCCACGCTGCCTGTGCTCAAGGCTTTGTGCGATCGAAGTCAACGATTCCCACCTGGGGGTCGAGGCTTCGTCGTGTTGCCCAAGGTGATCAACGGCATGCTTTCCGCGTGTTTGCAAAACATCGACTCGGTGCGCGGGCGGCGAGGCGCCGCGGCCATCCTCAAGACGAGGAACAACCTCCTCGCCGCGGTCTTGCTCCTCACCTCGTTGGGTCCGTCGATCCAGGTCGGCCAAGAGGTGGTTGAACACGCGTGCTTCATCATCACCTCGATCGCCCTCTCGCCCTCTTCTGAAGTATTGCCGACAGCTCTGCATTGCTTGACCTCGGTCCTGGCAGCTGCATCTCGTGGTTCGGGCGTGCTACGATACTGCGTCGGGCAGATCTTGCCGACGTTGATCGAGTTCGTCGCGAAAGCGTCCAAAACGGAGCTTCAAGCTGGGGATCCCACGTTGATTCAAGTCGCTGAAGTGCTCAAGGCTTTGGTAGCCGTGCTAACGGGTGTGGCTATTGATCGAAGTGAGTGGCAAATCGTTTTGGGGCCGCTTTCAATTTCGGAAAGGGGCTTATTCACAAGGATGGCACTTTACAGGAACTCAATCGCTCTCGATTCTTCTGCCGGTCCTCATCCTCCTCCTCAAACCTTCCTCTTCGAGTGCCTCGCACACCCTCGCGATCACGCATCTCATCCAACTCGCTTCCTCAAACTCGAGCAGTTTCAAAGAAGCGACCTTCAGCCTCAGTGAAGAACAACGCACGACGTTGGAGACGAGTATCCGGGCTCAGGTCGGAGGGACAAGGAGGGTCGAGGTCAAGGAGGAGGCACCGAAGATTAGTTTGAAAATGTTTGGGTAGGGATTGCTGAGTAGTATGTGTAATTGTCAATGCGGAGTCTTCTTGCACGTTCGTGCGGTGAGATTGGAAAAGAGGACGTCAGCCGCTCGGCTTCCTCGTCTTTTCTCCCTCCACACCTCGCTCGTCCCCTCTCGCCTCGATTGATGAACCGCGCCCTCGGGCGAAGAACCCTGTCCACTTTACAGAATATCGAATTTGAGGTGCGCAAGTCGAGGTGCTCAGCAAGATCCCCGACGTTCACACTTGTCCCGACGAGCGCGTTCGTCCTTCCATCCGCCAGCCCCCTTGCCCACGAGCTGTCCCACCGATTGCGATGAACTCGGACAGGCTTCTCGAGACAAGTCGATCCGAACCCGTCCAGGGATCGTAGAAGAAAACGGTCGATTCGTTGCAGCGTCGGTTGGTTTTACTATACTGGCCTAGCCATCTCTTCCGACTCGATTTTTCCGAAGATTACTAGGCATAGATGTTGTTATGGTGTTATTTGAGCCTATTGAATCAAAAACAACCGCGAGGCCGGCGGCTTCCTCAACCGGCGGTTTCCTTAGCGTGTCCGCTCTCCCTCGTCAGCGCGCTTTCGCACGACCCGACCGACCTACGAAACAATGGAAGGACCAAGCGAAAAGACCACACCATTGGCCGAGGTCTTTCCCAGCCCCTTTTCGATCGAAGATTCGCAGTACAGCGGGGGCAAGACCCCGATCCTCGCTAGACGTGAGTGCGCGCGTTCACTGTTGGTTTCCGCCGGCGCCAAGCACCGTCTACGCCATACCCCGGGCGAATCCCAGCCCCGGAAACACATCGGAGGAGTGGTATGGTTCATGTTTGAAGCAGCTGCGACAGCATGGTGTGAATCTGCCTCGTCGTCACGTGCAATGCTGCTCTTCGCCAGTTCAGTCGCGGCACGCGTGGCATTCTCCCGTCCGCTAGCCGCACGTCGGCACGTGCCTGGCTTGGCCCAGGAAGACCGAGGAAGACGGCTCGCTGCCCAATGTGGGGCACCTCTCTTGAGTGGGCAGCGGCCATCGAGCGCGTGGTTCGAGCAAGCACATCACCCAAGCGATCACATCCACTGATCGGCACCCTTTCTGCACGTCTGATATTGTACAGCCCCGTATACCCTCCACGAAATCGAGATGAGAGCGCTGTCATATTCGATTCGCTCGAACAAGGCCGACTGGCAAACGAAGCGGCTCAGTCGCGAGATCAGAACCAAATGGGCCATCGAGGCCTTGGAGCAGAGCACGGAGAACGCGAAACTGGCGTTCAAGCACATGACGCTCGAGAGGCAACCTCTAACCTTTTGGATGGTCGACTACGTCTTGGAGGAGCTCGAACAACACGCGAGGGTGGAGCGCATCGTCAACGGCCAGTGGAGGGTGAGGAGCCGATCCTGGCGCTCGCGTGACACAGCACCAGCTGACTCGATCAGTTCCAACGTTACTTGTTCCCTGGTAGGAGGGCTGCTTTGACGCCATCTTTGAATCGGACCGCCTCATCCCTGATGGTCTACGATCGGCGCTGATTCGTCAAGTTGCCAAGCTCGAAAACGTCCCCGAGGAACAAAAGGACTGGCATCCAGGATCGAAGAAGCAGGTCCTCGATCTCGTGCACCCATCTCTGTACCCGCTCGTTTACGAACAGTCCGTGGTACGCAAATCCCTCGATGGGGAGATGCAACTAGGCACCACAGCTGCGTCGGCGGTGACCCTCGCCGAAGCACCCGCTCCCAAACCAAGCTCAACGTCCGCCATGCCCAGCGGCTTGGACGAAGCAGACGAGACCTCGTACCTCTCGAGTCAGTACCAGTGGTTGCCCAGCGACTTTACGCTTGACGAGAATGGAGGAGTGTCGATCGATGGATACATCAACAACCTGCACCCCGACGACCATGCCGAGTTGTACGATACGATCGCCGTCATTTTTTCACAATTCGTACCCCTCTTTGACCAGACGCTATCGGAACTGATCGACCCACGTCCCCGCGCGATCCCCGTTATCGATTCGAATTGGTACGATAGCAGTGAATTTGACGAAGATGAATGGATGGAAGAGTACGGGTCCGAGGTCGAGGAAGCTATAATGCAAGACGCCTTGGACGAGGCTCATGAAAGGTGGGAAATGTCGCGCGAGATCACCTTGCCGGCCCCCCAGGGTCTGTTCCACCCCGCTCCGGAAGAAGCGATCCGCCGCAAGATCGAAAATCCTGCATTCACGATCAAAGGGCGCACCGTGCAGGTCATTGTAAAGCTCGCCAATATCGTCTTTACCCCCGATCAGCCCACCTACAACGGTGGGGTATGGCACGTCGAAGGGATGAAGAACGAGTCGATCGTCGCTACGGGTATCTACTACTACGACCAGGTGAACATTGACGGCTCGTCGCTCGCCTTCCGCGGCACGTTCGACGAGACCGAGCTTCCCTATGAGCAAAACGACGAGCGTGGGGTGGAGATCGTTTTTGGGATCCACGGGGACGGACCGACGGTGCAGTCGTACAACTCGGCCGCGACGACCCACAACCGGTGCTTGACGTTCCCCAACATTTACCAGCATCGCGTCCCTTCGTTTTCCCTACGCGACCGCACCAAGCCCGGCCACCGCAAGATCCTCGTCTTTTTCTTGGTCGATCCGTTGCGCCCTCGCATCCCTTCGACGCGGGACGTTGCACCGCAGCAGCGAAAGTGGATCGAACGTGCCTTGTGCGAGTCGGCACCCGGCGCAGATACGGAAGCGGACGACTCCGAACCCTCTCGGGGGTCGCTCATCAACCGACTGCCGAACGAACTCTGGAACCGGATCCTCGACTTGACCGACGGGCTAATGACACAGGACGAGGCGAAGGAACACCGCAACAAGTTGATGTTTGAGCGCAAGTTCAAGCTCAAGGAGCACAGCACGGAGGTGTACGAGCGCGAGTTTTCGTTGTGCGAGCATTGAATGGAAGAGGGTGTACCATGGCCGTGACTGTGTACGACCTACTATTGGCGGCTCTTTTTGACGTTCGGTATTGCCAGTTATCGTTATTGCAAATATTTTGTTCTTAGTTGCAGTATGCCCCATTGCCGACGTGAGGATGTCGATCGAGGCGGGTTGAGTCCTGCCGATTCATCGTCGCTGTCCCAAAAGTGACGTCGTTGCAGAAGTGGATGAATACTATAGACATTATCGTTCCCCATTTCTGACGCAATCATCTTGTTCTCGTGTATGGGTAGGAGACTCGGCCGAAGTTTTAGGGGACCGGGGGTCCGAGCGCATCGATGCCGAACATCAGCGTGAAGAGTCGCGCCGGCTCGTGCAAAGGAGCGTCTAGCCATACATGAAAAGCGGGCAGAGTGACGGATCTGGACGACTTGCGCCCGCGAAGTCGAGCCGAAAGTCGGGGGTGAAATCGTAGCGCCCAAGAGCTCGGCCACTGCTTTGAGCATGATCAGAGAGGAGCGCAATTGGTTCTTCAAGTTAAGATAGGTCTGAACGACTCATATTAGCATAGCAGGACCTGTGCTACTGTTCATGTCACAAAAAAGGGATAGAGAGTAATGATGGCGGATTGTGCCGACTGGAGCACGCGGACATAGCCTGGCGAACCAATGCAAATCGGCGTTTCGGCGCGGAATATCGCATGCGCGGCAGCTTGGATCGCCGCCTTGACTCCTCCCCGACCCTCCCCCCACTGCTGCACCCGCGGGTCATCACCGTCTGCAGCTCGTACCTCGGACCGCAACGTCGCACACAAGACCCAGCCGCTCGCGATGAACGCCGCTCCAGCAAAGTTCCCCAATCCTTTTGTACTGGGAACGTACAGCAATAAGCGTGCGCCTGCCCATGCTGGAGGTAAGCTCCGAGCTGCCGTGTGTGACTCGATACCCCCACATTCGAGCTCGGGTCATCATCGTCGTCAGCATTGCGCATCGATCGACTGGTGAGCTCCGAGGCGCCGAGCGCCTGAATCGAATGCAATGTCTTTACATTTTTTTCCTTGTAGTGAATTGGCGACCTCCAGGGAGCTCGTGTCGCCGAGCATATGCCTCGAGGCTTCGCGAACTTCGGGCAACCTGCCGCCGTCTGCCGCCGTCTCGCCCACTGACGCGCGGCCTGGCACCGACCCAAAGTGTCGCGCTGTTAACTTTTCGGACTTGATCGGCTCACTCGGCCATAGTCTCAAGGGGGGGGGAGGGGGGTTCCCCTAGAATATTCTACTTATCGTCACCCTCTTCATAAATTACGTTTCACACAGACCCGTACGCGCTGCAAGAGATCGAGATGAAGGCCCTCTCGTACAAGATCCGCACGACCGAGCCCGACTGGCACGAGCAACGACACGACCCGGATGTGAAGGCGGAGTGGAAGAAGGATGCGCTGGAGAAGAGTAAACGAAAATCCGAGCGAGAGCAACGCTGCAGCGCCCATCAGCCGATGACGGCGGGGATGATCGACTACGCGTTCGATGAGTTGGAGGATTTCGCCCGTTTCGACGTCGCGGTGGGCGGCAAGTGGTGGGTGAGTGACGCGGATCAAGTGGCACAACGCCCCAGTCGAAATGTTCGGATGTAGTGAGCACCTGCTGATGTTTCCCTGCTATTTTGACACGCTTGACGACTTGCGATTAGCAAGCCTGCTTCGATGCAATCTACGAATCGGATCGCGTCGTACCTGATGACCTTCGCACGTCGCTGCTTGGCCAAGTCCTCCAGGTGGAGAATGCAAATAGGCTGCGCAGTGCAGCCTCGCGATCACAAGTCAATGCTATCGTCGACCCCTCGTGGTACCCGCTCATGTACGGCCGAACACTTGTCCGTGCTGGTGACAGTGATGCGGCTCGCGACCCGCCGACTGCGACCACGGCTCGCGTGGCCGAGAAACCTTCAAGGCCCGAGAACACCCAAGAATACAAGTACACCTCGAAAAAGTACCAATGGCTCCCAGCGGACTTTGAAATCGACTCCAAGGGCCAGGTCAAAATCCTCTCGTACATCAACGACCTCGATCCCAGCGACCATGTCGCGCTGTACTCGTCCATCGCCAGCGTCTTTGCCGAGCTCGTTCCGCTCCTCGATCAGACCCTCTCTGATCTTCTTCAGGCTGCTCCTCCTATCATTCCCGCCGCGTGTGTAAGCTACTGGTACGAAGATGATTACGAACCTCGATACTCGAGGCACGACTACCTAGGCATGGACAAACACATGCGTCGTCACGCGCGCGAAATGGCCTACCTCGAAAGGCTGGAGCACCGCCGCTTCGTCCTCCCGTCGCCCTCGTCCTTCGAGCCCTCAAGCACGGAGAAGATCCAAGCCCGGCTTGACAATCCCTGTTTCACTCTCAAAGGTCGCACCGTGCAGGTCGTCGTCAAGTTCATCAACTACAAGCTGACCCCGGATCAACCTACCTACGACGGAGACGAATGGCGTGTCGTCGGGCTCAGGAACGAATGCGTCGTCGCTACAGCGCTCTACTGTTACGACGAAGAAAACGTCACAGAATCGTCCCTAGCTTTCCGAAGCACCTTTGACGAGTCCGATCTGCCCCATCCGCGCTCGGAGGAACACGAATACGCTCTAGCAAGTATCTTTGGCATCGAGGAAGCCTCGACGACGGTGCAGTTGCTCAATTCGGTGCCGACGGCCCAGGGCCGTTGCCTCACGTTCCCCAACGTTTATCAACATCGAACCGGTCGCTTCTCTCTCCGGGATAAGACCAAAACGGGGCACCGCAAGCTCATGGCCTTCTTTTTGATCGATCCCACCCAGCGCATCACTTCGACGACCGATGTCGCGCCGCAGCAGCGAGAGTGGATCGAGCGCACCTTGCTCGGATCCAAACGCACCATCGATTCCCTGAGCTACTTGGGATCAATCTTTCACAAGCTACCGATTGAGCTATGGACTCGTATCGTCGACTTGACCGAGGGCTTGATGAAACCTCGTGAGGCCAAGTCGCACCGAAATAAGATGGAAGCAGAGCGCAGCACCATGCTTAATGCGTACAGCCGAAAGGTGTTTGTCCGCCCCCTCGCCTAGCTGACCCCCCCCCCCCCTCGATGCGCCTTCTTCTGGACATTCTCCTTCAGATTCATAGCTGATAACCACCCTGGAGCAATCCTCATCAATCGACGTTTGGGTTCCTGCTTCGTTTTGCTTGTAGACCTCATAGTTCAGTGTGCACTTCAGCCGCATTTTTGTGGCCAGTTCCGAACCGAGTACGGAGTTGAATGCCCGACGCTGTCGGAGGCCGAGTACGTAATGGCCAGAAAGAAGTATTCATTCGATTTAAGTCTGCAGTTCAAACTATCCCGATCCATAACAAACCTGTAACGATTCCGAAAGAGACGGTGCGCTCGGCGCGGGCCCTCAATCGGCTGCTCAGCCGTTCGTACGAGCCGGCTACATCAGTCGCTCAGCAAGCTTGTTGTATCACCAAGAAGTCTGCCTTGCGATTAAATTTGAACGCGAAAAGCACTTGTCTCTGTAGTTTCCATGAGAGAGGGTGAAACAAGATACATTTGCAGCGGAGCATGCGCTTTGCGGCCCTTGCATGACGTCTCGCGCTCAAATTGTCAGCCCCTCTGGCCCGTCAGCGCCAGAATCCCCACCGCCGTGGTGGAGGTGCGGCCAAGCTGGGTTTACCCGACGGGAAATCCAATATTGGAAGATGATGGGTTCATTGCCGAGCGTAAAGGGCCAAAGCCAAAGCAGTGAGCCAGACTTAGTTTTCGGCGTCATCCACGAAGGCCATTTTTTAAGTCAGCGTCGTACCCTTTTTTTGTTTTTGTTTTACCGGGGCTCATAAATTGCAATCCTTCGGATTGGCTGGGATCTATTTTTTATATTTTACTGGGGCTCATTGCGATCCTTCGGGTTGGCTGGGACCGCTAGAAAAAGAGCTAAAAGACATTATAAAGCAACGACGGCAAGCAGTTGGGTGAAAATCAAACCCCTGCGCGCAAAGAGCGCTGCGCGGATCAAAACCCGCCGAGCACCTAACGCGGACTCCAACGGGCGGTGAGTACTGCTGCCGCTTCACGTCCCAAGAGCGAGAGCGAAGATACTCGAAAACCAGGCAAGAGCGCCTAGAGAAAGAAAGGGGGAGAATATTCAAAAAGTCACGACTGGAAACACGGAGAACCAGGAATACTAAAACAGAGAGGAGGGGAGGAGGAGGGGAACACACCCGAGGGGCCAAGGGAGGGGGTCGAAGCCAGAGCTAGAGGTCCCCAGGGACTGACAGGCCGCAGCCAAGCCCCAGCTACTCGTCACCCCGACAGCGCCTGATGTGTCCTCCCTTGGCTGAGTCTCGAGTGCTGGCTGTTGAGCCGTCGGGGCCGAGCGAAAACGATCCAATACAACGAAACAAGCCTCGCCTTGACGCGAGGATATTGACCAAAAAAACGAGCGACCTTTCTTCCCGATCCATGCCGTAGATCTTGACCAACGCGAACGAACGATCTATTCGACGGAATCCAACACACGGCTTAGGAATAAAAGGAGAAGTGGCTGAAGCGTAGTCAACAACCGAGCAACAGGAACGAGAAGAGGAAGGGAAGGAAAAAAGGGGGGGAATGAGAGGGGAGAACTTCACAAAGCCTCCAACGCAACGACGATCGACCCGGCTTGCCGATCCATCCAAGAACGAAAACCGCTACTGCACAAAGTAGAGAGAGAGGGAGAGGTGCGCAGCCTTCCACTGCGCAACAAGTTTCAAGACAGTCAGCTTCTGACCGAAAAGGAAGGGAGGAAAGGAGGGGAGGAAAATGGGAAGGAAGGACTTAACTCGGTCATCACACCTCCCAATCTCGAACCCCAGGCACAAAACCCGCTCGAGAGAGAAAATCTCGCTCGAACGCTCTGAGCGCACTGGGAAGCGAGGGAGGAGCCACGACGTTGTCCAGCTCGAACCGCTGATGAACGCGCCAGCGGAGCAGGTGCAGCCGCTGGAAGCCGATCGCGCAGGCCAGCCGAACCCACATCCATTTCGAGGTCGTTCTCCCACGACCCCGCAAAAGGGGGAGCCCCATAGTCAGCTGCTCCGGAGTGAACGTCGACGGATCGACGTCGGTATCCTCGATGCCGAGCTTGTCAAGCAGAATGCGTAGCACCCCACCCCAGAAGCTGGTCGAGTACGCGCACTCGAAAAAGTAGTGGGACACCGTCTCGATGACCGCTGCATCGTTGCCACAGAACAGACACGTCGGCGAAGAGGCATGACCCTGAGTATGCTGCCTCTTGCGCGTCGGCGTCACGTCGTACATGAGCCGCCAGTGGGTGTCCTGCTCGACAGCAGACGCGAACCGGTCATGAAGCCATCTCCAGAAGCGCTTCCTATCGCTCTGAGAAGTCCCATCAGGGAGACGCTTGACACGGTCCTCCCTCCCTGGGAACCGCACCTTGTTCACAAGCCGACGAAGCTTGCGAATCGTAAAAGGTCGGGAGAGCCCAAAGAAGTTGAAGCACCGAGGACGGGGAGCCTCCTTGAGAGGTATCCGAGCAGGTCGCAACGCGGTCTTGGGCAGCAACGCTTTCGCCTTGAGCAACTGACCCACGCGCGACCACACGTGCTCGTGCTGTAGGGCGGGTTCCTTAGAGTGCTGCCAGAACCCGCGTCGATGACCAACCAGAGCCCATCCCTTCCCTTCGTCCCTCCAGTACAGGTCCGCGATCTGCGCAAACTTCGCCACCGCGTCCGCATCGTCATATGCGTGCTGGGCACCTTCAGCATAGAGTGAAGGGAGGCGAGGCGGAAGCGAGAGCAATTCGGGAAGCGTAAGGAGTTCGGACTTGATGGTTGGAACTGTGACCCTGGCCGCTGCAACGACTGCCCCCCAGCGCGTCGAGTCGCGATACAGCTTCTCGACCCGAGCCGTGCTGCTGAAGAACCCCCACGGACTGAAATCGCGGGTCGCAGCGACGAGGGACCTCCAGCTCTCGCGAGCTAGGGGCGCCCAGATCGCCTCGCCCGAGCCCGCCACAGCATCCCAAAATCGAAGCGCCACCGAATGAACGATGTCGCCAATCGAAATCAAACCCAAGCCACCGTCCTCCCGAGCCTGGAACACGAAATCGCGAGCGACGGTATTTCGCCCTGCTCCTCCCCAGACAAAGTCCGTAAGTGCCGTCTCCGCCGCCTTAATGAACCATTGAGGCGGTATGTCGAAGGACAGCACGTGGAGGACCGTCGAGATGATGTGAGCGTTGGCATAGAAAACCTTCCCACTCGGCGAAAGTGTCCGGTCTCGAGCGGCGCGGGCCTTGGCCTTGATCCTGTCAAGAACATGGGTCCAAAACAGTTTCGAGTCACCGTGGCGAAAGAAGGCATAGCCGCACCACTTGAAGCTCTCCCCCTCCTGCACCGTTGGCAGCGCCTGCGCAGTCTCGTCCCGAAGCCAGTTCGGTCCGAGTGGTAGCACCAGCGTCTTGTCCGTGTTGGTCTTCCCGTTGGTAGCCTCGTACCACGTCTGCGACAGCGTTTTCAGCTTCGACAATGCCGCCGGTGACTCCACCACCACCACAGCATCGTCGGCAAACGCCAGATGCGTAAGCTGCGCACGCGGCCCCCCTGGCCACACCTTCTGCAGGTCGAGCGCGATCCCGCGCCGAACGAGGGCGTCGAGGAAGGGCTGGAACGTGATGTTCCAAACCGGGCACGAGAGGGGATCCCCCTGACCGAGACCACACAGCAACCGCACCAAGTCCGTGGGGAACCCATTGACAAGGTAGCGCACCCCCAGAGTCTTGGGATCGTAGAGAGCGCGCAGCAGCGAGATGAAACGCTCACCGAACCCAAAGGCCTCAAAGACCTCGAAGATCCAGGCGTGATCGACCCGATCGTACGCGCTCTGCTGATCCAAAGACAAGAGGGCGCCCTCGGGGAAAACATCAGTGCCTAGCGACTTGAGTTTTTCGAGAAGGAGAGTGAGATGACTTCCCGCGTCCGCTGAACGTCTTGATGGCATGAAACCGTGTTGCGCCGGCGGCAAAAGCTCGCCGAGCACCCCATTGAGTCGCGCCACCAAGACCTTGCTGAGGACCTTGTAGGTCGTCTCGCGCAATGTGATCGGTCGGTATGCCCCCAGTGATTTCAGATTGGCCCCCGGTTTATTCTTGGGCAAGAGCCGCACCAGCCCCTCTGCCAAGGACGCCGTCATTTTGCCGCCCTCCCAAATCGAGTTGAACAAGTCCAACAGCTTGGGAGCAAAGTAGGTTGGCAGCGCCTTGAAGAGCTCGTACGGAATGCCCGAGGGCCCCGGTGATCGCCCCGAATCCGTCTTCTTCAACGCCGCTTCAACCTCGAGGAGGGTGAAGGGCTCGTCAAGCGCCACTCTCGCTTGACGAGGCAGCCGACGACCGAACGTAGGGTCCGAGCGGTCGTCATCGTAGCATTTCGCTGCGCGAATAGGGTCGAGCAGGGACCGGCGTGCGTTCGTCGGGTCGCCACGAGCTGGGTCCGGCGTGAAGAGCGACTGCGCGTGCCGTGAAGCAATACCCAGCGCCTCCTGCATGTCAACGGTCTCGGTGCCATCCACATCCTCCAGCGAGACGATGCTCGTCTGGCGACTCCGGCGGTTGAGGCGCGTGCGAATGCTTGCCGATTGACCTTCCCTCGAGTCGACTGACGGCACATGCGCACGAATGCGCAGCCACTGAGCCTCCTTTACCGCCAACTGGTCCAACCGCGACTTGGCAAGAGCATACGCATCGCGCTCGGCCTCATTCATGTGCTCACCGCGTGCCTCCAAAGCCTCCATGACGGATTGGCTCTCGGCCCGCAGTCGGCGCATGTCGGCACGAGTCGAGCGGTATCGTGCATGGCCAGCGACTGCAACCGCCCGCAGAGCGGCGTCATGGACGTCGCCGAGCGGAGCGGTCCCCTCGAGCCTTCGATAGACCTCGTCGACGACCCCGGGAATCGATGCGACAAAGTCTTGATCGTCAAAGACCATTGGGTTGAGCCTCGAAATGAAATCGCTCGTGGAGGGAAGAGAAAGGGGGGGTTCGGCATCAGCGTTCGATGTAGGCAAAGCGAAAGTCGCAACTACAGGTCTGTGGTCCGAACAGGGCGCATCGAAGAGCGTAGAAGCGCTCAACAACCGGTTCGCCCAACTGCATTGGACAAGAATATAGTCGATCCGCGACCACGAGCAAATATTTCGCTCTTCCCCTCTACCACGGTAGTGAGGACGAGTGAATGCAGGGGTGCAAGGATGGACATGTCGGACCGTGTCGAGTGCCTTGAACGCGATCTTTGACAGCAAGGTCTGCCAGTGCGATACAGGAGTCCAAGCGCGATCGGTGATGGACACTCGGTCGACCGATACATCCGGACAATCGTTGAGATCGCCGGCCAAGATCCGAAGAATCTTGGGTCTCGGGGCGTTGAAGTGCAGAAGCCCGAAAAAGTCGCGACGATCGTCCTCCTGCACCGGCGCGTACATGTTGATGATCTCGACATCGAGCTCCTCAAGACGAAACACCGAGCGCAGAATCCGACCGTCGAAACGAGGAGCTCCTGCAAAGACGACCGGGGTAGAGGAAAGGAGATGGCCCGCCAAAGGTGAGCCATCGGGTATGAGGGTAAGGACATGAGGAGTGAAACGAATACAAGCCCCCGGCCAAGCACTCTCGAAGCCTTCGCGCGACGCGTTGTAGCTGAGGTGGTGCTCTTGCAGGAGGATGGCCGCAGGGGCCGGCCGAAGGGTTTTGAGATAACGGATGATTTTGACTTGGTTGACTGCGTTCTTCATCGATCGGACGTTGAACGTCAACACGGTGAGTGACTCAATCATGATTAAATCAGTTCAGCGCCGCCCCCCTCGAATTCGGTCACCTCGGACCTGTGACCCCCTGAACTGTTGCCCCCTGAGCCATCACCCCCTGATGCACCGAGGATCATGGCGGATCCCGCCCGGGTGACACGTCGGTTGCCGGGTGCCGAGCTCGAACGAAGGCGTCGAGGACTCGTCGAGGCTATCGAGGTTGTCGAGGTTGCCGATGATCCCGACGTGCCACCGGACAAAGGCGAAGGAGAGGTCGGGGTCGAAACGGGCGCCGCCGTCGTCGTCTGCGTCTCCTTTGTTGAGCCCAGGGTCGCACGCGTCGACGTCTCTTCCCCAGTGTCGCCGCCCTCCGGTTCGGTCGAAACGATCGACTCGTCGTCGCCGTCGTTCGCGTCGTCCTTGTTGGCGGTTACTGCACCTGCGGGGTTAGCACGAGGTCCCAGCTGGATCATGTTCGCGCCAGAGACACGAGAGTTCAATGCGGCAGGCCCACCGTGCTTCCCATTCTTTCCAGCAACTCGGAAGCCGGTGGTCGAAGTCGAAGTCGAGGTCGAGGCCCCCGGAACAGGGGCGGCGGTGGCCGGAGTCGAAACCGGCTTCCTGCAAGCGCCCCACTGGTGTCCGGCGCGATCGCACACCGCGCAGTAGTGCGTCTCGAATTCGTGTCGCAAGCCGTACTTGGCGCCCAGGATCTCGATCTCTTGTGGCAAAGCGGCGTTGAGCGCACCCTTCTGCGTCTCGATGGAGCCTTGGAAAAGATCAGCATGTAAGCGAAGGTACGCGCAGTGGAACCCGTCTTCGGTCATGGCCATCGGATCGTTATTTTTTTTTTTTTTTGTAGAAACCGTTCATCATATTGCCCCCAATTCCTGTTCCCCCTGATTGGCCTACGGAAAAACTAGATGGAAGTCGACGATGATAACACAAACCGCCCGCAAAAGTGCGAGAAACGAGCCAAGTCCACCAATCCGAGATTCGGATTCAAATGCCCTAGCCAAGCGGTTGCTCCCCCCCAGGAGACGAATGAGAGAGAGAAAGAGAGATGAAGAGAAAGAGAAAGAGAAAGAGAAAGAAAAGAAATGTACTAACGACAGAAGGCCCACCCCACAGCCACTTCCCACTCGGTCGAGACGAAGACAAGAGCACGACTGCGCAACCACCACGACCCTCGACGCTCCAAGTCTCTGCTCAGTCACAACAAGACGCGGTGAAGGTCCCTCAAAACCTCCCCCTCGGCAGTCCCTGGCCCCTCAAAGCCGACTTTCTGCCTGTGTCCGCTGATCCCTCCCTTGACTCAGAACCCCGAAGCCGAAGAGCGCGAGCCACACCGAGTCGACGCCAAATCGCGAGATGGTCCATGATCCGCAACGGTGAACCTGTAACAAAAGAAAGAGGAAAGCGAGCTATTTAGTGTACAGTAGGAGAAAATGATGTCACGAGAATTTGGTGTGTGTGTGTGTGGTGGTGGGGGGAAAGTCGAACCCAGCCTCTACTGCCCTCTCCTCCCCCAAGCTCCTCCCGCCCTCAGCTTCAACCTCTCCTCCAAGATGATCCTCCTCCTCCCAACACCCTCCAGCCTCGTCCCCCACTTCTGCATCCCCCACCTCCCGCTGCTGATCATCTCCAAGACCAGCCCGGTCAATATTTCGATCGTCCTCCCCGCTCCTTCCTGATCGCGCAGACTGGCCTTGAGCTTCGGAAGTCCGAACATGCGTTGAACGGCCGTGTAATGCGTGTTGTCGATCGTGTCGAGCCCCAGTGCGTCGCAGAGCACGCCCCTTGCCGCGATCCAAACGTTCCTAGAGTCAACGCAGTCGAAGAAGTAGTGCTCCCGATCGTCCTTGGGCGCTCCACAGACGAGGCACGCGGGCGAGTCGTCGTGCTTTTGATGAAACTGCAGACTCCGAGTCGGGGTGAAGTTCCTGACGAGCTTGAACCACACCTCGCGTTCCCTCGCCGTCAATGCCTTCGAGTTGACCCCCTTCCAGAATCCCTTGAGATCGTCGGGCTGCAGCGAGTCCCTGAAACCGATCGTGTCGGTGAAGGCCTTTGCATTCAAGACTCGGCGGACGCGACGGATGGTGTATGGCCGATCCATGCTGAGCAAGTTGTATTGTGTTGATTGGTCTGGGAGAGCCGGTCTCGGAAGGCGCTGCGGCGGGTCGATCGGATGGGGCAGGATCGACTCGAGCGGCGTGGTGGGGCGGACTCGGGGAGGCCCGTTGATTCGTACTGCCGCCACCGGTTGAGCTATTGGTGTGAACCTCAATCGATTGATCGCATGTCGGTACCATGCCACGATGTGCTCTCGTTGTGGGCGGCCCCGTTGATCGTATTCGCTGTTGCTGACGACCACATCCGTCGGCGGCGTCCAGAGATGAAAGCCCCCGCCCGGGTACAGCTCGCGTCGAAACAGGTCCGCTACCTTGGCGTAAATGGCAAACGCAGCATAGTCGGCGTCGTAGGGTGGTCGCGACACAGCTGGTGCTCCCGGTAGGTAGTGAAGGGTGTGCAACTTGATCGGAAGAGCGAGAAGGTTCGCGAGCGTCAACGTCCTCGGCTTGACTTGCGCATTGTGCGTCGATGGTACCTTCAGCACGGCCTGCCATCTTGGGTGTAGATCGGTTCGGATCGGAGTGTAGTCGCAAGGCCACGCATCGGTTGCCAAGTCAAAGTCGGGGGCGGGATGGGCTCGTACAATCGCCGCGCGCGCAAGTCCCTGCCAGATCGCATCCGAACCGCCAAGAAGCACGTCCCAGACGCGTGCCGCAACCGAGTCGACGACGTCCTGCATCCGCATGACCCCAAGACCCCCCTTGAACCTCGGTGTGAAGACGACGTCCTTGCCATAGCACGACCTCCTCTTGCCGCCGCGGACAAAGTCGGCGAGAATGCGATCAAGCTCCTTGACGACCTCGAGCGGTGGGATGTCGGCGGAGAGGATGTGCAGAATCTTGGGAATGGCGTATCGGTTGACGTAGAACGCTCGGGTGTGGTGTGTGAGCCCTCGGTCCCGTGCCGAATCGAGCACCGCTTCGAGCCGTGCGACGAGATTCACGTTGGCGAGTTCGGTGTTGCCGGTGGGGTCGAAAGATAGGCCGATCCACTCGAGCGACTCGCCCTCGGCCTTGACGACGAGCGGACGATCGCCAGCCTCCCAGCGACACCCGATGGGTAGTACGACGGTCTTGTCGGTGTTGAGCCGGCCATTGGTTGCGAGCCTCCAGTCGAGCGCCAGGTCGTCGAGCAAGTTGAGTGACTCCGAGCCCGCGACAGCGACGACGACGTCATCGGCAAACGCAAGGGATGTAATGGCGCGGCTCTGTGGGTAGGGGTGAATGGTAGGAAGCGAGAGGTTCAGCGCGATGCCTCGACGGTGCAGAGCATCCAGGAACGGCTGGAACACGACATCCCAGACCGACGACGACGCCGGGTCCCCTTGGCCGAGCCCACACGTCAGCCGCACCGGCGGAGTCAAGAAGCCGTTGATGATATATCGCGCCGTGGTTGAGTCACCCGAGTAGAGCATCCTCAGAACGCGTTGGAAGGCGGCAGGAGCGCCATTTTTTTTTTTTTTTTTTAATTTTTACTGGGGCTCATAAATTGCAATCCTTCGGGTTGGCTGGGACCGCTAGAAAAAGAGCTAAAAGACGTTATAAAGCAACGACGGCAAGCAGTTGGGTGAAAATCAAACCCCTGCGCGCAAAGAGCGCTGCGCGGATCAAAACCCGCCGAGCACCTAACGCGGACTCCAACGGGCGGTGAGTACTGCTGCCGCTTCACGTCCCAAGAGCGAGAGCGAAGATACTCGAAAACCAGGCAAGAGCGCCTAGAGAAAGAAAGGGGGAGAATATTCAAAAAGTCACGACTGGAAACACGGAGAACCAGGAATACTAAAACAGAGAGGAGGGGAGGAGGAGGGGAACACACCCGAGGGGCCAAGGGAGGGGGTCGAAGCCAGAGCTAGAGGTCCCCAGGGACTGACAGGCCGCAGCCAAGCCCCAGCTACTCGTCACCCCGACAGCGCCTGATGTGTCCTCCCTTGGCTGAGTCTCGAGTGCTGGCTGTTGAGCCGTCGGGGCCGAGCGAAAACGATCCAATACAACGAAACAAGCCTCGCCTTGACGCGAGGATATTGACCAAAAAAACGAGCGACCTTTCTTCCCGATCCATGCCGTAGATCTTGACCAACGCGAACGAACGATCTATTCGACGGAATCCAACACACGGCTTAGGAATAAAAGGAGAAGTGGCTGAAGCGTAGTCAACAACCGAGCAACAGGAACGAGAAGAGGAAGGGAAGGAAAAAAGGGGGGGAATGAGAGGGGAGAACTTCACAAAGCCTCCAACGCAACGACGATCGACCCGGCTTGCCGATCCATCCAAGAACGAAAACCGCTACTGCACAAAGTAGAGAGAGAGGGAGAGGTGCGCAGCCTTCCACTGCGCAACAAGTTTCAAGACAGTCAGCTTCTGACCGAAAAGGAAGGGAGGAAAGGAGGGGAGGAAAATGGGAAGGAAGGACTTAACTCGGTCATCACACCTCCCAATCTCGAACCCCAGGCACAAAACCCGCTCGAGAGAGAAAATCTCGCTCGAACGCTCTGAGCGCACTGGGAAGCGAGGGAGGAGCCACGACGTTGTCCAGCTCGAACCGCTGATGAACGCGCCAGCGGAGCAGGTGCAGCCGCTGGAAGCCGATCGCGCAGGCCAGCCGAACCCACATCCATTTCGAGGTCGTTCTCCCACGACCCCGCAAAAGGGGGAGCCCCATAGTCAGCTGCTCCGGAGTGAACGTCGACGGATCGACGTCGGTATCCTCGATGCCGAGCTTGTCAAGCAGAATGCGTAGCACCCCACCCCAGAAGCTGGTCGAGTACGCGCACTCGAAAAAGTAGTGGGACACCGTCTCGATGACCGCTGCATCGTTGCCACAGAACAGACACGTCGGCGAAGAGGCATGACCCTGAGTATGCTGCCTCTTGCGCGTCGGCGTCACGTCGTACATGAGCCGCCAGTGGGTGTCCTGCTCGACAGCAGACGCGAACCGGTCATGAAGCCATCTCCAGAAGCGCTTCCTATCGCTCTGAGAAGTCCCATCAGGGAGACGCTTGACACGGTCCTCCCTCCCTGGGAACCGCACCTTGTTCACAAGCCGACGAAGCTTGCGAATCGTAAAAGGTCGGGAGAGCCCAAAGAAGTTGAAGCACCGAGGACGGGGAGCCTCCTTGAGAGGTATCCGAGCAGGTCGCAACGCGGTCTTGGGCAGCAACGCTTTCGCCTTGAGCAACTGACCCACGCGCGACCACACGTGCTCGTGCTGTAGGGCGGGTTCCTTAGAGTGCTGCCAGAACCCGCGTCGATGACCAACCAGAGCCCATCCCTTCCCTTCGTCCCTCCAGTACAGGTCCGCGATCTGCGCAAACTTCGCCACCGCGTCCGCATCGTCATATGCGTGCTGGGCACCTTCAGCATAGAGTGAAGGGAGGCGAGGCGGAAGCGAGAGCAATTCGGGAAGCGTAAGGAGTTCGGACTTGATGGTTGGAACTGTGACCCTGGCCGCTGCAACGACTGCCCCCCAGCGCGTCGAGTCGCGATACAGCTTCTCGACCCGAGCCGTGCTGCTGAAGAACCCCCACGGACTGAAATCGCGGGTCGCAGCGACGAGGGACCTCCAGCTCTCGCGAGCTAGGGGCGCCCAGATCGCCTCGTCCGAGCCCGCCACAGCATCCCAAAATCGAAGCGCCACCGAATGAACGATGTCGCCAATCGAAATCAAACCCAAGCCACCGTCCTCCCGAGCCTGGAACACGAAATCGCGAGCGACGGTATTTCGCCCTGCTCCTCCCCAGACAAAGTCCGTAAGTGCCGTCTCCGCCGCCTTAATGAACCATTGAGGCGGTATGTCGAAGGACAGCACGTGGAGGACCGTCGAGATGATGTGAGCGTTGGCATAGAAAACCTTCCCACTCGGCGAAAGTGTCCGGTCTCGAGCGGCGCGGGCCTTGGCCTTGATCCTGTCAAGAACATGGGTCCAAAACAGTTTCGAGTCACCGTGGCGAAAGAAGGCATAGCCGCACCACTTGAAGCTCTCCCCCTCCTGCACCGTTGGCAGCGCCTGCGCAGTCTCGTCCCGAAGCCAGTTCGGTCCGAGTGGTAGCACCAGCGTCTTGTCCGTGTTGGTCTTCCCGTTGGTAGCCTCGTACCACGTCTGCGACAGCGTTTTCAGCTTCGACAATGCCGCCGGTGACTCCACCACCACCACAGCATCGTCGGCAAACGCCAGATGCGTAAGCTGCGCACGCGGCCCCCCTGGCCACACCTTCTGCAGGTCGAGCGCGATCCCGCGCCGAACGAGGGCGTCGAGGAAGGGCTGGAACGTGATGTTCCAAACCGGGCACGAGAGGGGATCCCCCTGACCGAGACCACACAGCAACCGCACCAAGTCCGTGGGGAACCCATTGACAAGGTAGCGCACCCCCAGAGTCTCGGGATCGTAGAGAGCGCGCAGCAGCGAGATGAAACGCTCACCGAACCCAAAGGCCTCAAAGACCTCGAAGATCCAGGCGTGATCGACCCGATCGTACGCGCTCTGCTGATCCAAAGACAAGAGGGCGCCCTCGGGGAAAACATCAGTGCCTAGCGACTTGAGTTTTTCGAGAAGGAGAGTGAGATGACTTCCCGCGTCCGCTGAACGTCTTGATGGCATGAAACCGTGTTGCGCCGGCGGTAAAAGCTCGCCGAGCACCCCATTGAGTCGCGCCACCAAGACCTTGCTGAGGACCTTGTAGGTCGTCTCGCGCAATGTGATCGGTCGGTATGCCCCCAGTGATTTCAGATTGGCCCCCGGTTTATTCTTGGGCAAGAGCCGCACCAGCCCCTCTGCCAAGGACGCCGTCATTTTGCCGCCCTCCCAAATCGAGTTGAACAAGTCCAACAGCTTGGGAGCAAAGTAGGTTGGCAGCGCCTTGAAGAGCTCGTACGGAATGCCCGAGGGCCCCGGTGATCGCCCCGAATCCGTCTTCTTCAACGCCGCTTCAACCTCGAGGAGGGTGAAGGGCTCGTCAAGCGCCACTCTCGCTTGACGAGGCAGCCGACGACCGAACGTAGGGTCCGAGCGGTCGTCATCGTAGCATTTCGCTGCGCGAATAGGGTCGAGCAGGGACCGGCGTGCGTTCGTCGGGTCGCCACGAGCTGGGTCCGGCGTGAAGAGCGACTGCGCGTGCCGTGAAGCAATACCCAGCGCCTCCTGCATGTCAACGGTCTCGGTGCCATCCACATCCTCCAGCGAGACGATGCTCGTCTGGCGACTCCGGCGGTTGAGGCGCGTGCGAATGCTTGCCGATTGACCTTCCCTCGAGTCGACTGACGGCACATGCGCACGAATGCGCAGCCACTGAGCCTCCTTTACCGCCAACTGGTCCAACCGCGACTTGGCAAGAGCATACGCATCGCGCTCGGCCTCATTCATGTGCTCACCGCGTGCCTCCAAAGCCTCCATGACGGATTGGCTCTCGGCCCGCAGTCGGCGCATGTCGGCACGAGTCGAGCGGTATCGTGCATGGCCAGCGACTGCAACCGCCCGCAGAGCGGCGTCATGGACGTCGCCGAGCGGAGCGGTCCCCTCGAGCCTTCGATAGACCTCGTCGACGACCCCGGGAATCGATGCGACAAAGTCTTGATCGTCAAAGACCATTGGGTTGAGCCTCGAAATGAAATCGCTCGTGGAGGGAAGAGAAAGGGGGGGTTCGGCATCAGCGTTCGATGTAGGCAAAGCGAAAGTCGCAACTACAGGTCTGTGGTCCGAACAGGGCGCATCGAAGAGCGTAGAAGCGCTCAACAACCGGTTCGCCCAACTGCATTGGACAAGAATATAGTCGATCCGCGACCACGAGCAAATATTTCGCTCTTCCCCTCTACCACGGTAGTGAGGACGAGTGAATGCAGGGGTGCAAGGATGGACATGTCGGACCGTGTCGAGTGCCTTGAACGCGATCTTTGACAGCAAGGTCTGCCAGTGCGATACAGGAGTCCAAGCGCGATCGGTGATGGACACTCGGTCGACCGATACATCCGGACAATCGTTGAGATCGCCGGCCAAGATCCGAAGAATCTTGGGTCTCGGGGCGTTGAAGTGCAGAAGCCCGAAAAAGTCGCGACGATCGTCCTCCTGCACCGGCGCGTACATGTTGATGATCTCGACATCGAGCTCCTCAAGACGAAACACCGAGCGCAGAATCCGACCGTCGAAACGAGGAGCTCCTGCAAAGACGACCGGGGTAGAGGAAAGGAGATGGCCCGCCAAAGGTGAGCCATCGGGTATGAGGGTAAGGACATGAGGAGTGAAACGAATACAAGCCCCCGGCCAAGCACTCTCGAAGCCTTCGCGCGACGCGTTGTAGCTGAGGTGGTGCTCTTGCAGGAGGATGGCCGCAGGGGCCGGCCGAAGGGTTTTGAGATAACGGATGATTTTGACTTGGTTGACTGCGTTCTTCATCGATCGGACGTTGAACGTCAACACGGTGAGTG